CAACCAGTACCGCGATGCGCTTGACGCTTACTCTCGTGCGATTCGCCTGAACCCATACATCTCTGAGGTCTGGTATGATCTGGGTACCCTGTACGAGTCTTGCAACAACCAGATCGCCGACGCTCTCGATGCGTACGGCCGGGCCGCTGATCTCGACCCATCCAACGTCCACATCAAGGCTCGTCTGCAGCTTCTCCAGAGCCAGCTGTCTGGCTCGGCTCAGCAGAACAACGCCCCTGCTCCTCAGCCGCAGGATGTCCACCCTCAGGCTTACCAGGCACCCGGTGTCGGGGCTCCCCCTGCTCCTCAGTGGGGCGGCCCTGCCCCCGCTGCAGCCCCCGCTCCAGTTGGCCCTCCCCCTCAGGCTCCTGCTCCCCCTCGCCAGATTGACTGGAATCGGGGAACCACTGAGCTGCACCCGCAGCAGGCCCCTGCCTTGCCGCCCGCCAACGGCGTTGACCAGCGCGATGCTCTGCGCGGCCCTGGTGCTTCCCAGGCGAGCCCTCGCCAGGAACCTGGTCGGGCATTTCCTGATCCCGCTCGCGTCGGCGCTCCTCCTCGCTCGCCCAAGATGGCTGGTCCTAATGCGTATCCTCCTCCACCCCACACCCTGCCTCAGCTGGGTAACGCACCGGCCCCTGCCCACGAGCGTGCTCCCAGCGGCGGTAATCCACCATTCGGCGCTGCTGCCCGTGGCCCTCTTCCTCCCGCACCCACTGGTGCTCCTGCTCCCGGCGCTCCTAACGGCGGTGCTGCTCCTGGTGCTCCAGCTCCTCCATACGGACATCGTCCCTTCACTCCTCCCACGGAGATCCGCCCCATCCGTGATGAGCGTCCCTCTTCTCCTGGAGCGGGCTACCCCCACCAGCAGTACCACCACGGTCCGCTCGCTCCCACTCCAGGCGGTAGCACCACTGGGATTGCCTCCGGTGCTCCTGCTCCTGCATCAGCTGCGACTGCTGAGGCCGCTGCTCGTGAGCGTGGCGATGACCGTCCCCCGTCTGCTATGAAGCGTGGACGTGAATGGGAGGGTGAGGCTGGTCCTGTCAAGAAGCAGGCCAGTGATGAGACCCGGGCTCGCCTGGATGACCAGAACAGCCGTCGCCCGAGTCCCCCTGCTCGTCTGCCTTCTCCTGGTGAGATGCAGCGACGCAGTTCCTCCGAAGCTCGCCGCGAGGATGCTCGCCGAGCCAATGAGAACTACCACCCTTCGGAGGCGGCTCACCACCCTCCGACCCTGCCTTCGATTCAAAACATGCCTCCTCATGCCGTAGGTGGACCTAGCCTTCCTCCCATGTCTGAGGGCGCCGCTCCTCCCCCTGCGTCGAACGGCCCTCCTTCGGCTCCTCCCTCGGCCCACACTCCGGTCAAGGAGGAGGCTCCTCGCCCGGAGGCGCCCTCTTCGCACGAGCCTGCTGCTCGGAAGATGGACGTTGATGAGGATTACGATGACGATGGAGATGATGAGAAGAAGGCCGTTGCCGCTGCTAAGAGTAGCCCCAACGGCAGCGCCGCGGGCACTGCCACGAACGGCAATGGAGTCAGCAATGGTCGCCAGGGTACCCCCTCCAAGACCGAGAGTGCTTAAAAAGAACATCCACGTGTTTTCATTGGAGTAATTCACGAAATGGTTTTCATGTCTCGTGTTCAATCTGCTTTGCATACAATTGTCGAGTCCAATCTCAATTTCCCTCCCCCTTCTTTTTTTCTCCCCCGTGTCCTTTCTATCTTACCCACTCCCCTTTCCCCCTCTTCCCGCGTCATGTACGGTATGAATGTCCTTTAAACCCCCTTTTTAACGTTGGTGTCAAGACCTTTTGTCCTTTCGGCTACACGCCCAAGACCAACTTGATGTTGGCTGGGTGAGTCGACTCCGGATGCGGTTGTGTGTCCTGTATTCGTTCTTTCTACTCTGCCTCTGATGAATTTTTTTTTATTTTTACTTGAAAGTGATCTTTTTGAATACTCTTCCCTGTGAATCTTTTAAGATGCGAGGGCATCTTTGTGAGAGCAATTTCAGCCATTTTGTCATTGAAGGCTTTGTAAGATCGTAGATGGGTTTGTAGATAGTGGTTGTATGTGTTGGCCATCGGTGTAGGTGGGGTGTGTTCAATCGAGTAGGTATCGTGGTAGCCATTTGGGTTGATGTCCACGAGGTGAGAGGCAAGTTAGTACATAGGTACTGGAGTAGGCAATATCTGAGCCTAGGTGCGGTTCAAGCCTTGTCATCGTGGTGGTTGACCAGGTGCAATTGAATACCACCTATCGTGTCCCGAGGTGGATGTAAAGGGCCAACCCGATGGTGAAGCAAGCACACTAGCAGTCAAACGATTCCAGCCTTGAGCAGATATCCATGTTTTTCCAGGTTGCATCGTGCTTTGTTGTGATGAGTTATCTATCGAGTTATTGAAAAAGGTATATTAATGGTATGGTTTTCTAAGTGTGCCCGAAATATATTCTGGGCTGGTCCCGGTTCGGTTCACCCTCGAGATTGCCCACCACGGTAGGTACTTATGCTACCTTGAGTATACCAAAGACAACTTAACTTGTAATGAAAGATGCTGTCTGGAATTTACATTGTATCTGAACGCTCTATCTTCGTGGTGTTTTGGGTATGGATGAAGAAGAGTTAAGAAGTTGGTTCAATCAAGGCGATGACCGACACTTTCAGAGAAACCACCAATGGCCGCACCAATGACAATGAACCTCTGGCTGTATCCTAGAGAGTAGCTCGTAATTTGATTATTCAAATTCATTTAGTACATATGAAATGTGATCTTGGTCTGCTATCTGTCCTCGTGCCCGAGTAGTTACTGAATACACTTTCCACACCTCCAGAACCTTCCAGCCAATCAGGCGAAACTCCGCACCGCCAAAAGTCAAAAGCCAAAATTGAGAGCCTGGCACGTGATACTTCAAACATCATGTGACTCACACAGAGAACGGGCGGTGGGGTCGCTTACCTGCTGACTCAGCCCACAATTCGGCAACCGCAAAATGCTTTCCACACTTTCAGATCGTCACTTTCTCGACGTCCTCACCACGCTAACGACAACAGGGTCAAGATGTGAGTCGCACCTTGCCATGGATATTCAATCATCTCGTTGAATGCAATTGCTAATATCCTTTCTTATTTCAGGAGTCACCGGAAGTTCGAAGCCCCTCGCCACGGTTCGTGATCTCTCAAAATACGCAGTTTCTCCTGCGCCGAGTCGAAATTTCGACACGCAGGATGAAAAAAAAAGACTTCATGTGCGATGATACTAATATTTCCCTTCAGGCTCCCTGGCCTACCTCCCGCGCAAGCGCGCTGCCCGCCACCGCGGTAAGGTCAAGAGGTGCGTTTTTCATTCTTGAGATGCGAAAATTTTACTGTGGAGATTTGCATGCTGAGACTTCATTTTTGCGAACAGCTTCCCTAAGGATGACCCCAAGAAGCCCGTCCACTTGACTGCCTCCATGGGCTACAAGGCCGGTATGACCACCGTCGTCCGTGACCTTGACCGTCCCGGTGCCAAGATGCACAAGAAGGAGATCGTTGAGGCCGTTACCGTCATCGAGACCCCTCCTGTATGTGGATCCCACAGCCTTTTTTGGATTCCGAAAATCCTTCTAACAATTACTTCTCTAGCTCGTTGCCGTTGGTGTCGTCGGTTACATCGAGACTCCCCGCGGTCTCCGCTCCCTCACCACCGTCTGGGCTGAGCACTTGAGCGACGAGGTCAAGCGTCGCTTCTACAAGAACTGGTACAAGTCCAAGAAGAAGGCCTTCACCAAGTACGCCAAGCAGCACGCCGAGTCTTCCGGTGCCTCCATCACCCGTGAGCTCGAGCGCATCAAGAAGTACTGCACTGTCGTCCGTGTCCTCGCCCACACCCAGATCCGCAAGACCCCCATCAAGCAGAAGAAGGCCCACCTTATGGAGATCCAGGTCAACGGTGGCTCCATTGCCGACAAGGTTGACTTCTCCCGCAACCTCTTCGAGAAGACCATCGAAATCGACTCCATCTTCGAGCAGGACGAGATGATCGACGTCATTGCCGTTACCAAGGGTCACGGTTTCCAGGGTGTTACCTCCCGTTGGGGTACCACCAAGCTGCCCCGCAAGACGCACAAGGGTCTCCGCAAGGTCGCTTGTATTGGTGCCTGGCACCCTAGCCACGTCCAGTGGACTGTTGCCCGTGCCGGTCAGATGGGTTACCACCACCGTACCTCTTGCAACCACAAGGTCTTCCGCATTGGCAAGGGTACCGATGAGGGCAACGCCTCCACCGAGTTCGACATCTCCAAGAAGCAGATTACTCCGTATGTTTCCTCTTACCGTCTTGCATATCTTTCTATAAAAAAGCTTTTACTAACATCCTTCTTCCAGTCTTGGTGGCTTCGTTCACTACGGTGAGGTCAAGAACGACTTCGTCATGCTCAAGGGTTCCGTCCCCGGTGTCAAGAAGCGTGTCATGACCCTCCGCAAGACCCTGTACCCCCAGACCTCCCGCCGTGCCACCGAGAAGGTCGCCCTCAAGTGGATCGATACCTCCTCCAAGTTCGGTCACGGTGCTTTCCAGACCGCCGAGGAGAAGAAGGCCTTCATGGGTACCCTCAAGAAGGACCTTATCCAGACTGTTTAAGGTGTTTCCAGCTATGGTTGGTGTCTGTGACGTATTTCAAGTTCAATAAAAAAGCGAACAATACCTTTATGATTTCTGTTTAGTGCTGTAAATGTGTAGGATTGTAGATCCATTGTTTCTATTTCTATACTAGAGTAACCACTAAATCGCTATATCTTCCTGGACTTATAGTCGACCTGGATGACCATTTAACCTCGACGCTTGTAGTTGCTGAAGACTACCGTAGCCGTCGGAAACCATACCTCTTTTTTCTTCTTCTTCCAATTCTTAGCCTTGACCACCTCGATGACCTACTGATTTTGTCTCATCAATCATTATCAATAAATTTTTTCTCTAACTGGACTCGCCCGCCATAAACTGGGTTGTGCAGCCATGCGGCCGCTTTCCAAGATCCATTGCGTCATCCCACATAATTCCTCAATCACACCCACTCCAGCTCCAGCACTCACGACACTCTTTACACGCTCTCCCTATTCAACCTCTTCAACTCGTATCTCTCCGCTTCAACATATTATCCAGACCCGTTACCTCCACCGTCTACCTTCGTCTCCTCGTGCCATCAACCACTCACAAAAGACCTTCCAAACCCGCCCACCCTCCTCAGTCCGCATCCCCGCAACTCAAACCTCCCAGTCCCCTCGCTCAGCAGACTTCTCCACATCCTCAACAACAACCATGTCCTCAGACGACGCCTACATGTCCTTCCTGGACAAAGCAAACGCAGACCTCAACGCTGGCCGACCCCAGCAAGGGGCCACCGAGACTGCTCGCACCGAGACCGTCGATGCGAATACCCAGGTTCCGAAGGCGCTGCAGTCGGTCGATGCTTATTATGTTTCCGATGCGGACGAGCCGTTTGAACCCGTTGCGCTAAAGTGGGAGGGTGCTTCGAAGGGGGATTGGCCTAGTCCAGGTATGTGGATGTATACGCATATGTGCTCGATTGTATCCCTCGGATGGTTGAACGGGTGTGCCTTGCGCGGTTTCAGGGATCGTGCATGGACTGGACTATCTACCCGTCTACCTATCTACGACAGGACAGACGGGATAAGACACGGGGATTTCTCTTCCTACCTCCCCATCTACCCTTGATATGCACTTCCTTGGATCATGAATGATATGATAATACTGACCCACCATCGTCTTCTCTAGATCAATTCTCCCGCCTCATTTCCCCCTCCGCCGATCTCTCCCAGGCCATTTCAACCCTGAGCCCATCCTCCTTCGATCCAAAGAACCAGTATGCCTCCGTCCTGCGTGCCGTGCGCTCGGCAGCTGTGGAGAAGGACTCGGATGCCGATCAGTCTGGTGTTGAGATTAAGGTCTACCAGGTAGAACTGACTAGTACGAAATTGGAGTATTGGGTGCTGGCATTGGATGTTCCTGGGAGTCGGGTGGTAGGCCTGCGAGCGAAGGCTTTTGAGTCGTAATGAGTGGAGCTTGAATTAGCTGGTTCGGTTGCTGCCATGCTATATGACGAGTGATGCGTGTTGTATATGTACTGCTATTTAGCAGGGTGATTATTGATTGGAGGAATTTAATGGATCGCTATAGTCCCTTTGAAGTATATCAAATTACGCTCTTTACGGAGAAGCCGGGCTTACAACGGCCTGTCCTCGTGGCCATACTCTATTCTCGAGATAGGTATGATGAGGAATGTCCACCTTGAAACAGCAGAGATGGTCCCCGGGATTCGTACTTACATTGATATTCAATCCTTGTATTCCTGTTTGAGGTTCTCTTGACAGATGCTCGTTCGGGCATCGCGACATTCCGTTGCAGCGGGAGGCCGAGAATAGGGACGCGTGTTCGGGAATGGCCGCTGCCTTGGATCTGGGAGCCGTCATGTAAATATCGCAGACTTGCTCATAGGAGAAGAATAGACGATTAATTTTGATCGTGTTTTTGAGATGTGTAGTAAGTTGGACCTTGTTGTAGATATCCTTCCCTTGTTAGAACCCTCGATTGAAGCCTCCGCTCCGTTGCTTATCGGTCCGCCCTGGACAACTTCTACTTTACACTTTACAACATCAACGTGGTATACTTGGCGACTGTCTGGCACCGTTGGATCGACTTGCGCCCATCCATGGAAGGAAAACTCTGTCGATCGCTAGATTCCTGGCTAGCATTCATGACCGTCTCATTCCTGGCTGCCCCGGGGAGGGCATCCCCGGAATGTGCCTCACCCTGGGGAGGGCGCTTCACCCTCAAGAAGAGCAGATTCAAGCAACCAGCAACAAAATATCCCGAACTCACAATTGATTACATTGCTTTCGAAGCGAATTAGTGGCGATTGGATCTCTAGCATGAGTCTGCTGGCTTGAAACTCTTCTAACCACACTTACACCGCTGTTCGTCGTATCGTCCATAGACTATACGCATACCACGGGTTGATCCCTTGAGCCAGACAGTCGGGCATTCCACTGCCCTCCTGTACCCAAACAAGAATCAAGAATCCCCTCTAAGAGCGCAATCTAGGCTCATCTTTTCTCTAGCCATTGTGGTACCTCGAAATCTTTCTCTTTTCTTCTCCGTCGCTTCCACACTGTCTGCCGCTTTCGCTATTACAACGTCTTTCGCCTGGGACATTGGATGCTGTCCAAGTGGTCCTGTCCACTCATTCGACTTTATTGGACTTGACAGCTTTGCATACAGAAAGAAACGCCTTTTCGGTCCTTACCTTTGCAGCTTGGAGATTGCGGGAGAAGAAGGGAAGAAAAGTACGCATTAGCCACCAGGAGGAAGAGCAATTGAATCAGGAAAACGGATTGTAATTGCCCAGTGCAACCACAAAATTGATTGATTCGCTGAGCCTGGATGAGAAAAGTCTTGTCTGTCAAGACGAACGACTAGAGGACGACAACGGGATCGGACCCGGCTTCAACAACGTCAGACTCGCCAGGACGCCTTTCAGATGTCGGACCAAAGCTCTGAAACGTCAAACTCAAAACAAGAGATGCCTCACATCCGCCTGAACTCGGGTCGCCAGGACCCGTTTCTCGAAACAAACGAGGGTTATGCTCCATTGACCGGGCGAACATTACCTCGACCATTAACGCCCCAAGGTCCCGAACCACACGTGCCCGTCGGTGCCCAGGGGATGTCACCTTATGGCGTCTCCCATGCCCCAGAATCATCAGAATTCCTACTCCCGCCCAAGCTAAGGCCCACACCTCGAGATGACCAGGGCCGGTCGGGATCGCCTGATCGCTGGTCCGCACGGTCTGCGGCACGGTCGAGCGTGAGCTCGATGAGTCGGGATAGTCGGTTTCATTTCAATCCGTTTGAGGATTACTCGCGGGCACCGAGTCGGACTGGGAGCGATGAGTATGATGTTAACACGCAGACTGTTTCTGAGAAGTTTAATATCATGCCGACGGATGGGTTGTTGCTTTTTCCTGAAGATGTGGAGAAGGATGATTATCTGCATAATCCCGATCCTTCAGACCAGGACCGTGAGTGTGATGTTTGCAACCGTCGGGGTGTGTTGAACGTTGGTAGTTTGGCGCTTTTGACGGTGGGCATTTTGGTGCTCTTTATTGGGTACCCAGTCATGTAAGACATCCTTGGATTCACTACGAGAGGTGGAGGTGTTCGAAGTGCTAATTTGGATGGTGCAGAACTTGGGTTGAGGGGATCTTGAAACCGACTCAACCGTGCAGGGATGGAGATTTTCTCTGTCTGGATGTTGGGGAGCGGCCTTTGTTGAGTAATATCCGCAGAGGACTGATTGATCCGGATACGCCTGAAGAGGCCATGACCAAGAAGAATGCGGATGGGAAGGAGTGGAAGCTAGTGGTATGTGTGGCATGGATATCTTGGTGACGAAATGGCTCTAACCTGAAGCAGTTCTCGGACGAGTTCAATATGCCTGGTCGCACATTTTACGATGACGATGACCCCTTCTTCCAAGCAGTGGATCTGTGGTATGGAGTGACGATGGATAAAGAGGTTTGTTCACCCCTCGACCAGAACACTGGATGAGTTCATGCTGACCATATCTAGTGGTACGACCCCGATGCTGTCATCACAAACGAAGGCGTTATGGAAATCCGATTCGACAACTTTGAGAACCACGAAGTGGCATATCGATCCGGCATGGTCCAAAGCTGGAACAAACTTTGCTTCAAGGGTGGCCGTCTAGAAGCCAGTCTCTCTCTCCCTGGTGACGGGCACATCCAGGGTTTCTGGCCTGGTTTCTGGGCCATGGGTAACTTGGGTCGTCCGGGCCATGCTGCGACAACTGATGGGATGTGGCCATACAGTTATCACGACGGTTGTGATGCTGGAATTACTCCCAACCAAAGCTCTCCAGATGGCATCAACTTCCTCCCTGGCATGCGGCTCCCAGGCTGCGCTTGTCCTGGGTCTGATCACCCCAGTCCTGGCCGTGCTCGCAGTGCTCCAGAAATCGATGTGCTCGAAGGGAGTACCGCTCCGTTGAACGGCGACGGTCCATACATTGGTAGTGCCTCGCAGTCCCTGCAAGCAGCACCCTTCGATATCTGGTACATGCCTGACTACGGTTCGTCCTCCCCTCAAACCCACCCCCATATCCATCCCTCGCCCTAACCTTATCTTCTCCAGACTACACCGCCGTTTACGATCCCCGCATCACCCAAATAAACGCCTACCGTGGCGGCGTCTACCAACAAGCCATGTCCGGCCTCACAAACCTAAACAGCCGCTGGTACAACGGCACAGAATACCAAATCTTCGCCTTCGAATACACCCCCGGCGCCGTCGGAAACGTAACCTGGTTCATCGGTGCCGACAAAACCTGGACCCTGGATGGCCGCGCCATCGGTCCCAATGGTAACATCGGTCAACGCATGATCCCGCTTGAACCGATGAGTCTGGTCATGAATCTGGGTATGGCGGATAACTTTGCCCCGCAGAATAAGAGTATCCGCGAGTATATGCCTGCGTATCTCAGGTTTGATTATATTCGGATTTATCAGGATCCGGATGATGTTAGTGTCACTTGTGATCCGCCTGGGTTTGAGACGACGGGGTATATTGATGCGCATCGGAAGGCGTATGATAATCATAATCTGACGACTTGGTGAGTTATTTTATACGTGCTTTGCTGTTGTTTGTTTTGGTACTAACCGGATTTCTTCTCAGGGAGGACGCTGGTTACAACTGGCCGAAGAATAGCTATATGCATGGCTGTTAACATGCTCTCCCAGTATGGCTTTCGCCTGTCTTGGTCGTTGAATTTGTTCGTCGTTTTAGCGGCATTGTGTTTTGGCGTTGTGGGGTTGAGCATCTCATCTTCATTTTGGGGGGTCTTATTCGATACCTGATATTATATTTACTCATAATATCTATTCCTTTTTCATTTAAATGACCTCCGTAATTCCCGTTTGCTGTAACTTGTTGACTGAGTAACTATAAGATCGAGTAAATACATCGGCCGGGTCTGATTGGTCGGAAGGCCGTGTATGCTGACTCAGCATCCCCGCGCTGACCTCGCCTGAGGCATCCACAACTACACCCCGACAAACCGACAAACCGATCTCCCTTGACAAGTTGATATTACAAGTACTGTACTGACTGCTAATCTCGGAGAATTCCTGGTTGCTACTCTATCCTGTAAGCCTGTAAGGAAGACCAGGATTGACTCGTATCAGATTGACTAACATTCAGTGCAGATCCTGCCGCAATAAACGTCTTGTTGGGCCAATTGCACCAGCTTCATTGTTCATAAACGAACTCTGATCACTATCGGGTAATTGAACAACCGGTCTGGAACCGTCTCCTTGTGTATCAGTCTCAGCGGAAAAGACTTGTTCATTATATCTGATGACCATATGATCATCGTGACTCCATCGGCGTGTCCATACACAAAGCCACGCTTGAACCACCTCGACCTCGATCAGCTCTGATACAATACTCTCAAGATCTTGGCAAACACCTCATCATCCTCTCACCATTCATATTTTAAAGTCTCCTATTACTATCATGTCCAATAACCAAACAACACCGGGAGAAACAACCCCCCACCAAACAATCCACATGGACACCGACACAGCCTCGGACTCGGAGCCAAATCTCCAACCAGGAGTCTCCCACGTCCACACCTACATCTCAGTGGATACGGACTCCGAAGACGGCGGTATGCAACTCGAGCCGCCGGATGGTGAAATGCTTCGTTTCGCGGAAGATGATAGCGATATCGAATTCGATGAGAGGATTATGGGTGTTGCTATGGAAGAAGATCGAGATGGTAAGTTGAGTCCCAGCTAGCGATATACCTACTACCACTACCCGGATATAACTTCCCCCGATTTCAGTTTATCACCACAAATCGCGATGAAAATTTGATTGCGTACTAATGCCAGTAGAAAACGACTTCACAACCCGCGCCATAAACCCACACTCCTCAATCCCAAACGCACACAACACCCCCTCCCAACCGGGAAACAGAGATCATCCTAGTCTAGGCTTTTATGCGCAACGGGAACGTCCACGGCCCCGTCCTCGTCGTCTCCGGACACAGGGTCATCTTACTGAAGAACAACATGCCGCGTTGGCGGTTCTGTCGAATTGGGAACTTCTCGTTACGCATGCGCTGAATTCACATCGGGTAAGTTAAAATGCCGGTATTAACCACTCTTGATCTATGATGGAATCATCACACATATCTTCAAAAACCTACAATATGACTTAACGATTTCTGACTTCGACACAGACAATCCCCCAAACCCGCCGCCGCTTCCAAGCAAAACTACTCTCCCCCAACAACACCACCCTGGAAAACGAGCTCTACGCCTCACGTTTCATCGTGCCTGCCTCAAAATCAGAACTTCTTCCACCGGCAAGCTCGGGCTCAGGACGTGCATACGAAACTGCTTCCGGTGCGGATAATACCACTGCCTTTCTAGTGCCTGGTTCGTATCGGGAGGTTGTGGATGGTGATGAGAGGTCTTGGTGGCCGCTTGGGAAACCGAGGGTTAAGAGGAAGAGTGATAGGGGTGTTGTGGGAGTATTGGGGAGGGGAAGAGATGGGTCGGGCAGTGGTGGGAGTGGGGAGAGTTCGAGGGTTGTGAGTCGTGGGGGGAGTAGGGCTGGGTCTAGGGGGCCTGGTTAGGAGAACCTTGTGGTAGGAGGTGCTTGCTTGAATTGAAGTTGATGAGTGATGAGATTGTCATTATGGTTTATGTATCCGACCTACTAGCATGGCAACTAAATGAATTCATCCCTACCGTAACCGCAAGCCCAAGCAACAAATTCAAACTCACGATCGTTTCTGCAAGAGAGGAGGTCTGACCAATCATTCTTCAATCCGAGTTGACACTCCATCGCCCGCTTTCTTATCCTGGTTCCTAGCAGCGTCGAACATGTACCGAAGCACTGCCGGACAGCCTATCCGCGTCCCGGCGTTTAGCAGGTAGATTCTTGGTATACAGTGGCCGCTCACTGTTGTCACAGCACTACTCGAGATTTTCTGCGGTAGGAACTCTTCTAGCCTTAAGTCTGCGGCAATCTTAAAAAGACTTGTAGAGCCTTTTCGAAGTGACTTGTTCGTTTTGAGGTCCCTTCGCATATCTTAATCGAGGTGTACGAGGATATAGGCGTAATCATCTATCTAAAGGCTGCTACGACTAATATCCTGCCGAATAAGGCCGTATAAGGTCTCGCCCTGATCAACCAAAGATCTGCTTATCTGAGCGGATAAAAATCCCCCTAGGCACTCTCCGTATGTACACCCGTATTTGAGACGTGCTGTATTAAGGCCTAGAGTATCCTGCCCTAACGGCAAGAAGAGACAGGACACTGCGGTCTCAGGGTACCCTTTAAAGCTATCTGATATGTTCAAGAATCTAAAGATATCTTCCTTTTAAGTTCGTATTGTCTCTAACTTATCCTACAGTAGTTCTAGTAGAGTGTACCTATTAATATCGCAGGACGTTTTCTAGGAGTCGGCAACGTGGATTCTTAAGGAGCCACTGTATACTTAGGGGCTTAATCTCGTAAGCCGTTAAATGCAGAAGCGTGGTTTTAGAGTTCGTCACTCGATTCAAGCCTATCTTATCGTCGGTATGAGTAGCAAAAAAGGCTTTTAGTTCTTCGTCCCTTAGAGTGAGAACTGTATAATATAGCGGTAATGCGTCACGAAGTCGGTCTATTTTTAGTTTCTTTACCGCAGTAAAACGATCTATTTCGGAGATAGCCTCTAATTTTTTATCCTCAAGATCTTTAGTATAGCTTCTATTTAGGTCGACATTAGAAGCCGCCACAAGGGTGCGAGAGTAATGTTGCATATCCAACGAATATGCAAAACATCGAGATGCTCCGACTCGGCGAAAACCGTACGACCGCTAAAATTTAATAGCAGGCGATTTCAACTTAACTCTGTATATTGAGCTGTTCTTCTGCGGACTTTCCTCTTAACTACTATCCGATATTAGCTGTGAGAATTCCGGGGCCGACGAGAGCGTGTAGAGTCTATGCTTGCTTATAGGCCTTATCGGAATTAACGAATGAATCTGCGTCTTCGTCGCCTGAATTCTTATCTAGGCTATACTGTCTAGCCGTTTCTAAAAGTAAAGACACTATTATTTGTCCTGGCCCTTTCCGACGTAGTTTTAGTGCTGTAATATACACTTTTTTAATTAAGAAAAGGGGGCTATCATTAAGCTCCTTTCCCTATACACTAGTTCTTCATTGCACGGGATGGTCCTTGTACTTAGTCTGGACTGTTCCGTAGCGCTCAAAGACATAAAAAGCTACACTGCATGTTTCCTTGCTAGGCTCTTCTATCTCTTCCCAGAATCTAGAGCGTATGCTCTCTCGATGAATATACCGAGCTAATACCGTGGCGATAGTAACGCTATCACAAGTGCATTCGGCGACAAAGTTCCTTATCTACTTGAGCTCGCTCTCGTCCTCATCAGTCAAGAAGAGCCGAATATTTAGCGTTTGATTTGTTTCACCGGATATACTATATTCGTGCTCTTCAATGTCGTCTTCACGATCCAGGTCTTCGCTGTTATATTCGCTGTCATCTTCCCTCCACCATTCCTCTTCCTCGGAGTCATCGAATTCGCTGTCGTCAGATTTATCTTCTGCCGACTCATCATCTTCAAAGTCCATTCCTGCGCTAAAGAAATGTCAGTGGAACCCACGATTCTTACGTGTTAGTGGGAGGGAAGGAGAGCGCACTGCTTCGCTTGAGAGATACTGGGTCCCCCTCCATTTTCTCCTCATCCCTTTCCATTGTTATTATCAACCTTGATTCCTGGCCTAATTTGGGCGAGACCTGTATGATGGAGGAGAAGAAAGGTAGTAGGCAGGCGGAGAGAGACTCGAAATCAGTTTCAACAGTTTATTACTTTCGATTCCTTCTCAAACTGTACTACGAAACACGTTAGTCTATTTTTAATTTAGCATATCGTAATATCGTGAAACGCTTTTTTTGACCAAAGTCACATGATTATTTTTTTGTGCTGTAGCTGGAATAAAATCCATCTGATTAATGTCTCGAAGTCTGATGTCATTGGGAATAAGAAGCTATTTCTAGAAAGTAAATGGGAAGGCTAACTCTGTTTATGACGAGAACAACCAGGAACCAACGTAATTGTCTCCCTCCGTGAACACGTTAAAGCATCAGGAGCATGAGACCGAAAATATTGGCTCCTTGGCCATCGTGACCGGCCACCCGATTGCGTAGTATATAGCAAAGTCAGCTGTGCCCACTTTTACTGCCACTGAGCATCTGGCCGATTCTACCACCATTATGACTACTGATATATCATATGACGGTCCTAACTTGGGATTTCAAGTCAGAGGACTATGGCTATATTAGTGTTAAGCTCTGCAGGTGGGGAAAATCACGACAGTAATAGAACGTGACTAATGTAATTGCCTTGATATCACTCGAAACGTCTTTAAATTATGCCTACGGGATCTACGAACGACTAGTCCTCACAATGACAAGGACCGTGTTGAAGAAACTAATGTAAAGTTGCTCCCAGTCAAGTCTTAATACTAGGCTTTAGACAACCCGCAGTTTAAGCAACAGCCAGATAGCCAGAGCAGCGGTCTCCTAGGGGGGGGGGGGGGGGGGGGGTGATCCCAGCAAAGGTAAGACCATACTTCCTGTACGCTATCATCAACGAATTAAGGCAATATTTATGCATGATAGGGACATCTCCTTCTTTTTTTACCAAGATACGGCCGCGCGAATTAATAATGTCATGGCTGTACTCTAGAGCTTAGTATATTAACTAGTTGTGAGACGCCTATCTCTTCTCTCCATGTGCGTCTCCGGTATAATCAAGCGGGAAAAATAGTATTTTAGGAAATAAACGCGTGGTTTACTCTCTTAAATATCTTGAATGATATATTAAAAGACATAAGTAAATAAAATACTTATTTAGTGGTCGATACGCTTAACGAATGCATAGCAGGCCATCTTTTGCTTTTAGACTTAATCATCCACGAATCATCCACCCACCCGCACGTGAAGTGGATTGTTTCGAGCCGCAACTAGCCTATTATTAAAGAGCATCTGGATACTACAACCTAGATAATGTCGATCTCATTAGAGCTAAATGAAGTGATTGTATCTAAGGCCGCAAAGAAGTTCATACATCCTAAGGTTGACCGATTAGCAAAAAAACAAACGATATAAAGACGAAACCCATGATACCGTTAAAGTCTAAATTGCCTTGTAATATGAAGCCACTAAGCCTGTCTACTCAAGATAGCATAGGGAAACTTAGCCGAATAATGGGAATCTATATCAATATAGTAAAAGGATTGTTCAAAAGTTCAAACACTTCAAAATGAGCCTAAGGCCTGGCAACACATCATATATAGATAAGCATATTATCAAAAGACACATATATTGAACGACAGATATAGCATAGTTCAAATTTGGACACATATTCAAACTCATACATAGAGCATACAATCAATACACCAATAATAGCAAGTTAAGCAATTATCCGTTCTTCAAACTGGGGAGAGGTACGTTCCGACCGATTCAACCGTAGCCCATCGTCCATGTTCATCCGGCCCGCTATTCATAGTGAGAAGCAACGAAATTTCGATTGTTTTGTCAACTCGCGGAGTACCAGGTACCGCAAACTCCTCCGTGTCCACCTTGTCATGAGAATGACCGACATCCTTGTACAGTATCTTGTCTGATCCCATAGCGACTTGGATCGCATCAAGTCTGGTTTTCCATCCTGTGGCATATGCGACGTCGACTTTTTGGAGTTTCAGTCTCTTGCCGTCCACTTCAGGCGGGATCATTACTGGAACATGAACCCAGCCTTTGTTGTCATTAGTCCCGTTCGATCTGACATGCCCACCCCATTCTGGTTGGGTAATACTGAAGGTGGTACCATCGGGATGAAGGTGCGTCGCCTTTCCGTCTGCCTTGAAAGGATATATGGTCATTGTTTATCGCGAAATATTCACTTCTGAAATAGATAGTGTGCAACTCGTAGAAAAGAAATTTCTGGGGCCTAACATGATGTTATTTATGTTTGAAATCGGATTGGGGTTTAGTCTTCAAGGTGATACATTTGGATCCGATACGCCGGCAGAGGCCAGATGTTTTGTACCGTGGTAGTTGTTTTGTTTGATGACGTTGGCTCTCTAAATTCGTACTGCTTCATAAAGCCTAAACTTACTTATAATTTGAAAGAACACTAGCAAAACCAACAGTTTAACAAGAAATCTAGACTCCAGGACTTCAATGTTCTAGATAGCTAGTCTTATACTGCATGTGGTATAATTATGAGTGTTTATCGTAGCTAAGAGATACTCTATAGGTATTTCATATCTCGAGAAAGTGAACGATATTCAAGAAAGGCCAGACATTGACGAAGTAGCTGCAAACGACGTCCCGACTTTAAACCTTGTTTAGTAGTTTGATATAGAGTGCAAGGTCTAGTATTCAAACGTATTAAGCCTTGGTTAGTAATTTATCGCACGGGCTAGATAAACTTAAAAAAATTTAGGTTTCCCTACACTATTCACTGCTAAGGAGGTTAGGATTAAATTTTGGTAAAGGATATAGGCCGTTTAATGATTCATAGAGAACCAGCCTCCAGTGTTTCTAACATGTCATTAGAGAGGCTCAGCGATAGACCACTTTACATGACATCACCAATAGTGAATTGCTCGTAACGCTTTGAATGTTTCTATGCAAACGGATTCAATATGACTAATTTGGGATATCTAGTATTTAGGATCCTGAACAAGTATACCTCATCGCCGGAAAAGATACGGTCTAAGACAGTCGATAGGGTGATTGCTGCTTTTCGTCTGAACACGAGGGACGACTATGATCACTACCCCAGATCGCGTATTCATTACAGGTCCGGCCTGTGGTGACGCATCACCGACATGCGGGTCTTTCCTCATCGCATTTGACCCATCGAATCCTGGAGACGCGTGAGCTGCACTGCTGGGGAGAAGGTTGGGGCATACTCCACGACTCACTTGCATGTGCGACACCCTGTCTTTGTCTTGCGACCCTTGCGGCCTCGACCGAGATACATCGGCAGCGTGGCGCGCCGTGAGGTAAAGAAAAAGAAGTGTTCGGACACCTAGCGTAGTCGTGCAAGGAAACTCCACGGTGCGGTCATTGTGCAGGCCTGCACGAGCGGCAGCGATGTCCTCTTAAGCTTCACGCCTGAGCAATGAACAGTATGAGTCCTATGACATCATATTTTCTCCAGTCTGTTTCGGTTGAGAACTTTCGAACACAGAGTGGATACCTCTCGACTTACTTGACATATATCAGCACTTGCTAAAATATATGGACTAGTACGCATTCAGGACGAATAAGATCCAGGGGGACAAATTCGGGATGAAAAAGATTGACTGATTGAAGAGAAAGAGTACGGTCGAGGGCATGTTGAAATACCCTCCATGCCAGGCGTCGAATACGCCGATACTCCGTGGTTACAACGCTAGAGTTGCAAATTGACACAATTTCGTACAAAAAACCAAAGAACTTTGGTCTTCTATATGACCAATCAGTTGCTAGCGGTAAGTTACCGCTCCATGCTCTGACAATATATCATATATGCTTAAACCGGACATGGCCGATTTTCAGCCGGCCCCGTGAGACTCTGTCTTCCTGCGATGCACATTTCCCCTTGCAATGGTACTGATTGATAGTAGGCTCCGCCATCATATGGGGCGTCTGTAGCTATTTTCTGGCGGTGAGTGTAGCCTACACAATGCAACATCTCGTGCAATAGCGTCTGCGCAATCTCATCATTTGACAGTGGGAGCAAGTTGGTATTGTTGACATCGATGAAACGGCTGCCGGGTATAGTACTGGCATTGTGCGTTGGGTCTGCGTCAATACCATGGTGGATTTGTACCCAGTATAGCTCGCGCACCTCCTTGGCCTGTTGCGCTGTGAGAAAGGTACAGACACCCGCGCGGTCGTAGCCAGTTTGGTGCCCACGGAGAATCTGATATCGTTCTTCGTCTGTAAAAGCCGGGTCGAAGGTAAAAAGGATGGTGGGTACTAAGACTGGAAGGGGGATAACAATCTGCCCGGGTGGTGGAATGGCGTTGTTAGCCTGTATGGGTATATAACCTAGAATAGCCTGGCGTCTGCATTCTGGGGCTGGAGGAAGCAAGCTCGCCTCGCTAATTGTGTATCGATAGGTTCCCTTCACTGGGTCATACCAACGGACCAAAGGGAGTGTTTTAGTGTCGTCCTGTCGCTTGGGATAGATGTACCAAGCAATTCCACTCTTCTTGTATCCCTCCGTGGCCTCTAGAGTGACGGCGCTTATCGGATCACATGCGTAGAATTGGCCGTCTGTTTTGTTTATCCAGTGATAAACTGGAATCAGATTGCCCTTAGGTTCAGTGAAGACCAAACCTTGGTATGGGATCTCAACAGGTGCTCTCTGTGTAGCTTCAGCGGACTGCTTCTCATCGCCGTGGCACATTATGATCCAGTGGCAATTATCAGTACTGGAACTATGGAGAGATTTTGAATAAGTAAGATTGATGATAACGATGAGTACTCTGAAGAGAAGATACTAGTTTATATCCTTTTGTTTCCCTGCCCCGAACCAACCACAGCATAGAAAAGGCACTTCTGACCCTACGACATAAGAACTTAAAAAAAAGGCAAGACGTCACCCAATCTAAGACCGCTTGTAAGCTGGGTCACACAGGTCACAACATCCTGGCCCACTATGCTATTGTCACGAGCGGCAGGGTGGAAGTTGTCTAGACCTGGCTATGACCCGCCCCCATGCGACCAAGATCCGTACTCGAACCGACCCTCAACTGCATATTCCTGCGTAATTTCCCCAATTGGATGGACAAAAAGTGTGACTAAGCAGTTTCAAGCAGTTCTGCAACGTAATAACCAATTAACTAACCAATGTATAAGTCACGATTAATCATCTGTTTGTCCTGTTTGACGACCGTGAGGGTCGCCCGCGGGTCGCAGCCAGTTCTAGAGTTGTCCTTCCGGTTGCGGAGTATACACTATGAAGTTTATGTCCTAATGTAGATAAGGTTATAGAAAACTACCGTGGAATAAATTAAAATTTGAAAGTGAACAAAATTCGTGCCTTTTACACTCGTCACGCATCGCTAACTGCTCACTATGAGCTGATCTCAAACGTACAGTACGCCGTGAATGTTCCTGTAACTCGTCCACAAGCGATCTGTACCTAACAACTTCGTGAGACTTCTTCGATGTGCAAGCCTGCGTGCCGAAAATGGCCTCTAGCACTCTCTGGTTTTGCACCAACCACATCAATACACCATGCGAGGAAGACATCAAATCCTTGATCAGGATTTGCTTCATAGTAACCCCAGTTGCGCCTAATGAAGCTTTTCAACTCAGCAAAATCCTCATCAATCGGATCCAAGTCCGGCGAGTAGGGCGGCAAATAAACCAACTTCACTCCCGCGTCCGTATATATCTGTGAAATCTGCTCTGAATGATGAAAAGACGCATTATCCCTGACCAGAACAGATTTAGGCCCTGGCCACCTTCCACAGTGCTGCAGAAGTTGAGCTATAAAGTCCTCGAACACAGTCGCGTCCGTTGAGCCGCGGAAGATTCGCGAGAGAATTATCCTATCCTAGGAGTACGTAGGCAGTATCTAATATCGCTGGTCGCGGTGGAACTGGGATACTTGCATGGGGGCCACGCCAAGTGGTGACCAGCCTGTCCATCGGAACACAACCCTTTTAGCATATCCAGATTCATCAACGTAAACTAGGTGATATGACTGAAAATCGGATAAATTGTGCAAATAACAGTCCCGTAAGGTGGTGCTTCGCTCCCTGGCTTACTACCGAGCAGTCTTCTTAGACCAACCTTTAGCGATGGGGGCTCTTCTGATGCTGGATGTTGTAATCATGGTGTGAAACTCATCCCAGAGGAAGACAGCCATCTCGTTAAGGTATAGACCGGGTTTTTCGGATAGGTGATCGTAGAGCGCCTCGATCATCAGTGGTGTTACTGTCCGTCTCCGGCCTATTCGAGTTGGCTGAGCGTGGGCACTGCTAAACTGCCGCAAGTTTCAACAAACATCTATGATCGTAGCCTTGCTGCAGTTAGCTTCTTGGCCATTGGAGATGTGGTTCGTGCTGGCTGTCTATCATATCACAGATCAGGTGTGAAGCTAATTTTGAGCAGCCCTGTACTCTAGCGCTATAGAATGGCTCGCTTGCTTAGCCACAGATGCCGTGGGGCCCAGATGTCGCCATCGTCGTTCTCTCAGGTTGCTCTGTATCTAATAGATGAATCTTCAAAAACGCAACCCGGATATGCTAATAGCGAAAATCCCGTATATCTTCCTGACCTTGGTTAATGCCATATATTGTAGGTAAAGCAAGGCTACAACTGCGAAAACTATATCATGACCATCCTCACTCCATATCCGAATCATAATCATCATCGCCCCAATGACGCCGAACATTCTTCTTCACCACCTTCATATCCACAAACTCCAACCAACTACTATACCAATCCAAAAACTCAGGAAGAGAATTAAACCGTGGATACTGACCATAAAGAGCCGTTGAATTTTCCAGCCCAGCATGAAAAACACAAACACGCCATGCCCAGTCTTTGAGAGATGGATCCGGGCTCCTCGAGTCCTCCTCCTGATGATAATACAGATACGCACTGTACCATTCATCGTGCTGTGCGCGCCAGCCGGTCCCAGTTAAGAAGCCGACTTTAACATCCGGGTCTTCATCCACGTAGGCGTCGACGTTCGCTTTGTCGAGGATGTAGTCCTCAAGATTCTTTCATTATTTGTCGGGATGTTAAGATTCTTGATGTAGGTAGCGCATTACCTCTGACGGCACGCTCGGAGAAGGCATACTCTGTTATCCCGACAGCAGGGACTGGTTCGAACGGGCAGATCCCCGAGGAGCGAAAATCAGGATCTTGGATGCCGTTGGCGTATTTGAGGAAGAGGCCTAGTTCGTGGCATAGAGGGATATCAACCACCTCTTCTTCTTCTTTCTCATCGTCTTCCTCCTCCTCGTCGGACTGCTCTTGTCTCATCCGCACCACCGCCTCATCACGTACTTCCTTCAAAACCTCTAGATACGCCTGCCGCCATTCATCCGTAATCAAACTCGACGGTATAATTCCATCCATAAACTGATGATAGATATTTCACGCCTTCTAGCCGTGTAACTCTTCTCGTCTCACGGTCTTGTCGAACAGGACCTATGGGAGCGTAGTCATTCCATCTTTCTTCTTAAAATGCGTCAGCGCATAAATCCGGCCAGTATGAGCGCATTTTCCTGATTTTCTCCTCCTTGGTGGAGAGGCTCATTGCTTGGATCTTGTTGATGCGGTCTTGTAGGAGCTGCCGGTCCGAAGATTCCATTGTGGTGCTGAATCGTTGCACGGCTTGACGCATCCTTTCATCTGGGTTTGTCGAAGGTGATTGTATGCTGTTTGCCATGGTTAGATGTGGCTGGTGGACTTGAAATAGCGGGATGAAGACAGAAATAGAGGAGAGATACGAAGAAAATGGCGCTTAAGAGATGTGTGGGAATCTAAGATGTAACTGAGGTCTGAAGGATCTGCAGTATATAGATATGGCCATGTGACCAGTAGCCTAATCTACCGAACTATGTACAGTCGAAGGGGGGATCCGTTTGCTTCAAGGAAACTATCATGTTCGGGCATCAATTTCAAAGGTCCTTAGATCCTAGTTGAAAAAATTGTTGTAAAAATTATTTCAATTTACTGTCTGGGCAGTCCTCCAATAACGATGTATGCTCGCTAACACAAAATATAAAAAAGTACTGTACAGAAAAACAAACCAGAAACCTCAACCTGACTAAGAACACCGCCTGAAGAGGTCGAGGGAGAATAAAAACCCAACCCGATATTGGAAGAAAATGAGGAATAAAGAGGTTGTGAGGGGTGGTAGATGTGGATGGTGAAAGGGTAGTGAAAAGGGTAGTGATAGTGAGGAATGGGTATCTCGGAAAGAACGAATCCAAAGCCAACCAGAAAAGAAACGACCGCGTTCTTTGGTCTTTTTCGGTTTGTGGAGGATATTGATCGGGGATGGCGGGCCCTAGGTTTTTTTTTTTTTTGTGTGTTTTTTTGATTCTTTTTTTCTGTTTTCTCTTCGCGTCTCGCTGCTCTTTTCGTGAATACACCGAGTTTCTCTTAGGTCGGATTCCATCCCCAAGTAGTATTAAACTCGGCCGTCGTGTTTCGTTCGTAAGATTTGCCGTTATCCATATGAAGACCGACCAGCGAGATGAAAAGAAGTAGGAAAGGCGAGGCCCGCGCAAATTGCCCACTAAGAAAGAAAGACGCCACGCCGGTCAGAAAAGAACCCAAACTCACGGCATACAGATAAAAAGCCAAATAACAATTAACAGATAAAGGACTTGGGCTCTCACATATCCTCGTCATCGTCTTTCCGTCGTTGCTCCGAGTGGAAAAGACTTTCTGCGTCACCGACTTGTTTGCGCTCCGAGACTTCGCGGTTGCGCATGCGGGACCGATGTGCCTGGACATTCATGGGCGTCAGTCCTCGAGATGGCACGGACTTGGGCCTCGGTTCAATGTAAATGGGGTGCAGGCGGTGCGAGGTGTTGAACCGGGTCCGGCCGTCTCTCATGACGGGTAGTTGTCATTGTAAGGGCTCCGAGCTGGAGGATAACCGGTTAAGGTGGAGGTAGACATCAGTGCCGTATCTAGAAAAATTGAGAATGAATTAGTGGGAAGTAGGGGAAACGATATTTGGGGGGTTTTCTTACCCTTCCATACTGATCAACTTTAGGTCACCTCCAAAGTAGCGCGCATACAACCGACTGATAGGCAATCCATACCCAAAGCCAGCCATGGGTGCTTTAAAATCGCTCTTGTCAAAGTCCGGGTCCAGGCTGGGAGTCTGCTCTACAGTCGTATACATGTACGTCCACACGAGAGGAATTGCCGATCGAGGAATACCACCACCCTCATCGGTGATCTTGATGGTGATATCTTCCTTACCCTCGGCCACAATGACCTTGGTCACAGGGAATTGATCGCGGTCGGCACCGTGCTGCTCAACCACCGCACGCAGCGAGTTCTTCAAAGTCTCGAAGAGCATGTGCGACAGATGGCCCGGCACGTACATGAAGTTGAGATCGTCCTTGCAGACCAGCTGCACTTTGGGCGCTTCAAAGAGACCGTAGTAATCCTCGCAGACAAACCGCGCATTCTCAATCGCTTCCAATGCGATATCGCGAACGTTGGTTTTGGTACAGATGATGCCGACGTAATTAGGATGTTTGATGTGCGTTTGTTCCGTGAGTGCAATATGTTGTCCAATCAACATTCGTATGCCTATACGAGACATGTAAAACCGGTCGAGGAAAGATTGTATAGTCGAGTCAATTTGCATGCGCTGTCGCTCCCGCTTCCATTCCAAAATACCCTGGGCAACGGTCGTCACAACACTGTCGTGACGTCGCTTAATCTGCTGGAGAGTCCGGGAGAAACGCTGGTTGTAATCATTTAGTTCGGGTGGCCAATCTACATTGCCATCGGCGGGCACGAAATATCGCCGACCTGCGGCGGCCGCGGCGGCCGGTTTTCCATTTCCGTTAATAGTGCCATTGGCGGTGGTAGAGGAGCGGTACTGGCCCTCGCGAATACTAGGATTTTGCGTGGCCTCGGAGAGAATCTTAGATGGGGATCCGCCATTCATGCGGCCCGGACGCAAGAGGCGGTTTCTAACCTCTTGGGTGAGGGAGGGTCGGGGAAGGGTGATGATTTCCTGAAAGGGCCCGCCGTTAGTGAGTCACGCCACAGAGCGACGGAAGCAGCAGCGACCAACGAGAATAGAGCCACACGTAAAAAAAAAAAAAGAGCCGATAGGGTAGACATACCTCGAATGATTGCGCATACCAATCCTGCACCTTTTTGATCGAGGGCATCTCACTGAGGCCATCGGGTAGCTCGCCTAGGTCTTGGACCCGGTGTGCGAGGCGAATGGGGAGCTCCTCGGAGAGGAATTGCGAGGCGCGGAACAAGGTGCCTACACAAGTAATTAGTCTTCTGCGGTCCTCGATCGAGGATCTCATGAATTACGCTCTGCTAAGAAACGCAAAGGACTAATGAGGCCATACCAGTTGAGGGCCGGTCGCCAAACTGGACCATTTGCCTCAGAGACACCCCGGTTGCGGGGAAGCTGGCATAGTGCCTGATGGTTTCCATCAGGCGCTCTGACGGCTTCCACATCGTGCGACGATTCAAGCCGAATGGCCGCCGAGAGGGGGGAAAGAAGGAATAAAGAAGGAGGACACTCTCGAGGTGTGAATGGGGCAGGATAGTGTATAGAAAAGGAAGAGAGTGTCGCGTGTTCGAGAGAGAGCGAGGGAGAGAAGAGACGAGGAACGGGGGAATGACTCGCACTTCTGCCGAGGTTGGGGGCGTTCCCGGCGCCCGCACACAAAAAGCAACTCAACCGCAGGTTCCGGCGTCGGAGGAAATTGGGTTTAAGCCTACGAGAGGGGAGAAAAGTGCCGATAAATGCGAGTCTGTTTGGTCATATGATGATCATTAGAATTCCCGATCTTTTTGATAGAGTCAATTATTTGTCTTTTAGTCTTGCAAATAGGCAGAATTCATTCAAATTGATTCGTGTATTCTGTTTCTTCCCCTTGGACATTGCATTCCCCCCATACTGTGGAATTGACCCCGGAGTTCCCAGACTCCCAGACTCCCAGACTCCCAGGATAATGACGTTGCCGAACGGGAAATGCAATCTTCCGGTGAGCCTGGGAGGTATAAACTGGTCGGTTAGATGGAAGTGGGAATTATAGATTATGAGTTGATAATAGTATTGACTACTTATCCTATTATTGAAGAGAAATAATTACACTTCTTATTCGAGGGCTTAAATAATGACTGACTGAAGATTATGTTGGGTATCGCATCTCGCATGTGTCATTAAGTCAGTCAGTGTCTCATCCCCCCGGATCTTCCCCTTTCGCCCGAAGGTGGGGCGATCCCCATTAAAGACATTCCTCGATGACGGCCAAAGGGCTTGATTCTGTCAAAGGTTAATAATTGTATAAGACAGAGCCTGATAGTGTTAATAACCCTATTATATTATATCACAACAATATAGTCTCTTGGTAGTATACAAAGTATGAGTCCTATACCTTATGATTATCAGTCAAGTACATTCCAGATCTCCCTCATATCCAGGTTAAATAATTACATAGGGCTTGTGTAAGAAGGGGGGAAAAAAGGGAGAACTACTGTAACTATAGAATTTCTCCAGAAACTCAATAACTAACCGAGTTGGTATCAACTGACAGGGATTTTAGGGTCATGGGCATGAGACTAGGGCCCATGTCCCGTTGAAATGGTACTTTTGTCGCACGACAACACCAAAACTCCCCGCAGATTTGGATTATTTCATGGATGATGACTGAATGAATTCATTTCCCAGAATTTCCCCTAGTTTCCAGACTAGTCCTCTTTGTGTGTGTGTGATTTCATGTTCCCACTTTCTTCTGCTGCCTGTGTTCTATTACCAGATTTCCCTTCTTCAACCTTGTATGTATTGTAGATCTATAAGGTCTGATCCGAAGTATACTTGGACCAACTCTTTTCATCTTTCTTTCTTCCTTGCTCTTATTACGTACACATTGTTTTCTATACCTTCATCTTCTTAATCATAGTTGATATCCCTTCTAATCTGATAATACCCCCCTCTCCCCCTCGGTAGCCCGTCCATTCGCCGATCGGCGTAGTAAGTTAGTGACAGCCCAGGGCGGATCCGTGGAGACTCAAGATTCCCTTTTCGAGCTCTTGCTGCTTCCTGGCGGTGGGACCCCCTCGTTTGGTCTGGGACTCACCAGAGGGGGGTGATTATTCTCTTTTCTCTTTCTTTCTCTCTTTCTCTCTTGCTGTCCTCGCTTGTGAGCTGGTATATATTTCTTGTACCGCGTGGGGGCTGAATCTCTTTTTTTTTCTTTCTCTTTTCTTTCTTCTTCCCTTCCTCTGGCCCTGGGTGTCATACCGAACTGCAACAGTATAACTACTCCAGACTCGACTGTGAATAAGGCCCCCCCCCTCCTTCCTCTAAAAGAACCACCCTCAGACACGCCCTAAGCGCAGGCGACTCGGAAGACAAACCATTTGCCCCTCCACGCTACTACTTGGCGGCGCTCTACTCTTTTTTGTTCTTGACTCCAATCTCGAAGCTTTAAACGAGGTTCTCCAACCTTGTTCATACGTGCATTTGGGATCATTTCCAATTTCTGGGGATTCCTCTTCGATTTCCATATCCTTTTTATCATCTGGTTTTATTTCTCTCTTGACTACTCTATACTTCCCCTACTTATTATCTGCGATTAAATCTCCCCAAACCCCACCCCCCCTCCAAAAGTCGCAATCCTTCTTCCTTTCCCTTTCCCTGCTTCTCTCTTCTCTCCACCCAGTCATTACCATGTCTCGCCGTCGAACCTCCCATAGCGAGCCCATGAACGAGGCCCTAGCATACCCCTTCTCCTCCACATCAACAGTCAACGCCAACGGCCAAATGCCACCCGCCTCGCCGCCGCGTCGCGGACCCATCGAAGGTCCCAATGGCCGCCGTCTTATCCGGCGCGTCACCTGGCGCTCGTCCACCTACAAACTCATGGCTTCGCTGTGGGTGTTGGGTGTACTGTATATTCTGTGGTTGATTCGGGATTTGTTCTATTTGCCTTTTACGCCATCCGAGGCTAGTCCGCCTCGTCCTGCTGATGCGTGAGTTGGGGGGTGCGTGTCCCTTTTTTTGGTCGCGTGTCGGGTTGGGTGTGGAGGCTGGGGTGGTTGGTGGATGGGATGGGATGGGATGGGGGAATTGCGGATTGCGGATTGCGGATTGTGGGAAATGGGTGAGATGGTCGGATGATGGACTGAATGGGAAATTCGATGATTCTTCGATCATAGTTGATTCCCCGGTCGGTGGGCTTTTCAGCTGAGAGGGCATTCGGTGGTGCAGCGACTCGAAGCTGTCTTTGTGGGCTGCTGCTCCTGGTGGCTGGGAGAGGCTGCGCTAAAGTGCAATCAATGGTGGCATCATCGCCTGGTGATGATTTACTGCCGCTCTTTGGACAAGGAGATTCTCGCTGGATGCGGAGCAGCGCCGAGCTATTATTCTCCGTGGATCCTTGCAAGAAGATTCGATGTCGAGGAATTGAGTCGGCCACCACGGTACCCAGCGCATGTCGATGGAGCAGAGAGAGCGTGCACCCTACGGCACTAAATAGCCACACACGCTCTTTCTCAGAGCGCTCAATCGAGACCCTCGTGGAGATGGACCACCTCAGACGGTTATACCGGTGATCTTTCCGATGAACTGCTGTCTGGTGGAGGGCAATGCACGATACAATGCCCACCAATGTCTAAAAGATCCTACTAAACATGGACTTGGATTTGGACCTGCACGACTCTCACGAGCCTCTCCACGAGTCACCAGCCTGGGCCTTTTCAAATACAGGTGTCAATTGTCATTCTGTGTGCGGTGATGCAACCATGCATCTTCTGACGGGCGATCTGACAATCTGGAACCATCTCCTGCAGACCGACGATCGGCACAAATCCTAACAACCAACCATCTTAGCTCTTGGACTATCGCATCACTGCCCCTCCGCCCTCTTTCGCCGGCGATCTCTCATCTCGTCCTGAATCATTACTATTTCCCTGTTTTTGGATTCTTTGTCTTTTTTTTTTACTCTTTTTTTCAACTTGGACATATTGTTTTGCTTTTACCTATTGTGTACCCCATTGCATGCCCATAGCGTCGTGTCTTCTTTCTTCCTACGTCTTTCTGGTGATTGATCTATTTGTTCTGGCTGCCCGATGACAGTTGATTTTTATGCATAGCCTTTTACTTTTACTTTTTTTTTTTATTTCTCTTCAATTTCTTATTTCATTTCTTGCATAAAAGTCGGCATATCTTCTACTTTCTTTTCTCCCGAAGTGATGGGTGTGGTTTTCGCTTCCCTCGATTTTCGATCGATCTTGCATCCCCTTTCTCCCCCTTCTCTCTCTCTCTCTTCTTTCTCCTGTTTATAGCTAGAATGGGGGTGGTCCTTTTGATTTGATTCATGGTCTTTGCATTTGTTATCCACTACCTTAATCGATAATTGCCCATGTCCACAATTATCTATCCATTCTACAAGGGTATACACGGAAACAGGTACAGTAATAGTAAGAAATCTCATTTCATAGCGCGTATCGACTGGCCAATATACAACTCCGACCCACTCCTCTAACTCATTCACCATCTTTTTATTTTCAATCACTTTTGCCCCATGTACCCCCAATTGAGGTGCCCCTGGTGACCTTGCACAATTTAGACGTACAGAGCAGAAGTCTCGCCCTTGGCAATGTACGAGGCGTAGGGCTTGATGGCGGCTGCGACCTCGGTGGCGGTGAACTTCTCGACCTGCTGGGGGGCACGGCCGACGAAGGTGGAGGCGTCCAGGAGGTTGTCCAGCTCGGGGAGAATGGGGTTGAAGAAGGCGGTGCGGCGGATGCGGTCGAGCAGGTCGTTGTCCTTGCCGTGCTTCTTGACGTTGTCGGCGGCCTGGTGGGAGAGGACGCCTAGAGCAGAGAGAAAAGACGTGTTAGTTTGTCATTATAGATGGAAAGATGTTCACTCGTAGAGTGGTCCACTTACGGATCTCCTCGTGGGCATCCTGGCGGGAGAGACCCTTCTTCACGCAGGCCATGATGATCTAGAGAGGGTTAGATTTGGCAATTGAGTAATAACGGTATCACAAGGCTCTTACGTTCTCACTAGAGATATATTAGCATGGTTCAGGCTTTGACAGATGGAGAGATTAGAGTAACTCACGTGGCCATGAAGGGAAGTTCATCGTTGACGTGGCGCTTGATGACCTCGGGGTAGACGACGAAGCCGGAGCTGACGTTGTCTACAGAGCGTTAGAACATGGCAAATCCTCCAGGAAGCTGATACTAAAAACATACTGAGCAGAATGAGACAGGCATCAGCGGTCAGGTAGAGCTCGGGAATGCTGATACGGCGGATGGCGCTATCGTCCTAGTAAAAGTCAATACCAAATTCTAACTAAGCTTTCCTTCTGCAGTCACTCGTCACTCACCAGCGAGCGCTCAAACCACTGAGCAGAGTAGGTGTCCAGAGCATCCTTGGGCAGGTTCTGGAGGTGGCGACCCAGAGAGCACAGACGCTCCGAGCGCATGGGGTTACGCTTGTAAGCCTACAAGCAGTCAGCAGCCACATTCACAGTTCAATTGACCAATCACACTTACCATGGCACTGCTGCCGATCTGGTCCTTCTCGAAGGGCTCCTCGACCTCCTTCAGCATGGCCAGGTGACGAATGTCAATACCAATGCGCTCGCAGGTAGAGCCAAAGGAACCAAGGGCGTTGCCGACATCCACATCGATCTTACGGGAGTAGGTCTGGGAAGAGATGATGAAGGCAGAGCTGAAACCGGCCTTCTCAGTGACTAGCTCATCCAGCTTCTCAACCTTGGCGTGGTCACCCTCAAAGATCTGCAGGAAAGAAGCCTGAGTACCAGTGGTACCCTTGACACCACGGAAGCGCAGGTCGTCGCGAGCGCGCTCGAGGTTACGCAGATCCATCAGGAGATCCTGAATCCACAGGCAAGCACGCTTTCCGACGGTGACCAGCTGGGCGGGCTGGCCGTGGGTGAAGCCCAGGCAGGGCAGGTCCTTGTACTGCTGGGCGAACTGGGAGAGCTTGTCGACGACGACGGCGAGCTTGGGAATGAGGATGTCGAGACCGTCCCGGAGGAGGATCAGATCGGCGTTGTCAGTGCAGTAGCACGAGGTAGCACCCCAGTGGATGATACCAGCAGCGGCGGGGGCAACCTGGCCGAAGGCGTGAACGTGGGCCATGACATCGTGACGGCGGCGCTTCTCCTCCTCGGCGGCAACTGCGAACTCATCATCCTGGATGGTGGCATGAGCCTTCATCTGCTCGATAGCCTCATCGGTGATGGGCAGGCCGAGCTCTAGAACATCACAAACGAGTCAATTGAATGGTGTTTTGTTTCTATTGCCCAATTTACATCCGATGTCGGTGCATCACCGTTGCTTCGACTCATCCCTCCAATGTTCTTAGTTTTCGTACCTTTCTGGGACTCGGCGAGCCAGATCCACAGCTGGCGCCATGTAGAGAAGCGCATGCGAGGAGAAAACAGATACTTCATCTCCGTGCCTAATCGATTGATCCCCATTAGCTATCGAGTCCAATTTTCCTCCGATTATAGCTGCCCCTCATTGGGTGCGGGCTGGAGGAATGACTTACTCGCATAGCGCGAGTTGGGGGGGGTCTGGTAGACATCGTTGCTGGCGGACATGATGTCGGGTCTGATCGGAGGACACTCAAAAGACGAATTGAGCGACAGGATCGACTAGAAAGGTGAGTCTGAAGAAGTGTGCGAACTGGGAAATTTTGCTGCAATCATCGGGTTGTAGCGGGGCTTATCACGTTATCGTAAGGTTGGCGTGGGGCGGGTCACGTGTATACTACGGGATGGAATGAGCTGGTGAAAAGAACAAATCCGGCGCATTGATTATGGTATAATTGGCTCTTCGCTGGAAAGCAAGACGAATAAATGAAACAGTTCTATAAGGAAGCTGACAGAGCCTAGGATAGCTGCGCCAACTGTACGGCAAGGCTGGCTTTATCGTACTTGATGTACTTGCCGCGACCCTTGTCGATCTCGACATAGCGATCATAGAAGCGAGAATAGAGCGGTTCGAGGACAGTCTGAAGCTCGCGGCTCAGGACTGAGCGCACCTCTCGCTCCATATGAAGGTTCTTGTGCCGGGATATCATCTCGTCGAAGCTTGCATTGAAGCATTTGAATTTTTCCTTGATGGCATCCCGATCACGAGACGACAGATTCTTCACGATAGCGCTGGAATCGACTGCGCCGCCCGAGCTGGGTCGTGCACCGGTTCGAGAAGTATACTGCACATCCAACAGACACTGCGATGTATCCTTCCATGCATCGAGATATGTCGATGTTGCACGTTTGCGGAAGCTATCGATTCGGGCGATGCTATCTGGCGCGCCGAGATAACGCGCCAGCTCAGGGCTTGATCGAATAGAACGATCAACGACACAAAACACGTTGGACAGGAATACACCGAGCGCAGCCTTGGTCCGGTGGAAAGTCCGACCGCGAGCCTCTAGGGCAGTCATGAGGGCCTCGATCATGTCCAGAATAAAGTGAGAGAACAAGGTGCCACTGTCAGGGCCAACGTCTAGAGGAGCTGTGCTTGCGGTGTTTGAGTTGGACCGCCAGTTACCATCCCCAAGTGATGTCAAGATAGATGCGAGGGGACCCGAGTAACCGGTCAGAGTAGCCAAAGAGCTCATCACCTCGTCAACAAGAGGTATAGAGCCACCGTCTGGGGGAAGGGGGACGGTGGCAGCCTTGCGCTTGGTTTCCTCTAGAAGCTCCGAAAGCGAAGATTTGGCAGTTTCACGCACCGGCCGGAGAGCCTCGATCAATAGACTCTTGAGCTCTGCTGTCTTGGAATCAATACGATAAGACATTGCTGTCACGATTTCAATAATCTCAAATGCCAAGAAGCAATCTGTCATCAAGTTTGCCTTGATGTATTGGTTTAGCTCACGCAGAGTCTTGGAGTATTCTCCCATGGCTGAGAGGAAGGTGGCTTGGAGAACCAGGCCTTGTTGATCCCCGGTGAAGATCTGCACGATAATCCCATGCTCCACGACAATGAATCCTTCCAAGGCATTTGAGTAGATTCCAATTCCATTCGTGCCTTGTTTGTAGGGACCATCTGTCGGTCGTCGCTTGACGGTATTGAGCGATGCGATGGAAAGGTTCTGGAGGCTGGCGTTGAGATACGGCCCGCGTACGTCTGAATATATCTTCATTGCAGGGCTGTCGCCTTTTCCTCTTTGAGGGCCATGAATCGCTGCCGATCCAATTGCCGAGGCTAGCGCTGCCAGTTGTGAAATTGTATCTTCAGGGAGGGAAGGGAAGGGGAGTTCTGAGGACGCTGGGGTTAGCGTCATTGTCTCGCAATGCATCGAGTATTCAGTTTCAGTGCCCACCTTTGGTCAAATAGTGTAGCGGCTCAATGGGAGTGACGTGTTGCATCAGCTCAGCCTTGAAAGTATCTTGCAACATGTTGCTGCCCGTGCTGAGGAGGGCGTTAAAGTCGGACAATGCTTTCTGGTTCGACCGGAGGTTCGTCGCGTTGAGGTCGACCAGCGCTTTCTCAACACGTTTCATCGCCGATAGGTACTGCGACAGGCCAGAGCTCTGCGGTCTGAAAAGGCTACCAGGTTAGTACGTCCACGTTTGTAAGCTGTAATGGCGTAGGCTTAGACATACCCTGCGCGGATGATGCCCTCCTCGCGACTCTTCGCATCGAGAGGCTGGCGCAAACGTTCAATGGCATCGTTGACCTTGTCAATATTGCTATTCGTAATCTGCAGTGATTGTGTATTGCTGTAAATGGGGCCGATAGCCTCCTTCACGACCTTTCCGCTGGTTTCCAGGCGCACCAGGGAGCCCTGGATCTTCTTGGTGAGACGGTTGAGTTTCTCGAGGTTGGCATACAGCACCTCCACCTCGGCACTTTCCTCCGCAAATGCGGTGTTCCTTGGGGCCACCATGTTCTCAATTGCAGAAGAGATACCAGCCCGAATCACCAGGAGCCGTCATGTCTTCCGGGTGTGGGGTCCACGAGGGATGTTTGGCCGCAGCAACTCGATAAGCTCCGCCCCGGATGGTGTTCACGCTAGACCCAAAATAGACGGAGTCTCGGCCCGTCTGTGCTTCCGTACTCAGTTGTCACATGACATTTCGTCATTCCCCGCGGAGGGTTACAGTAGAACAAGAACCAATGGTGGCCCCGAGCTGGCTAAGGTTGTTGCATGCACCTTGCAGCTTCGTCGTCGCGCTCACGCCTCGCCAAAATGGGCGCTTCGAGGATTGGACGTCTTCGCTGGACAGTTCCTCCTGCTGCTCTCGCTGCATACACTGCGGGGGAGTGGAATCGACGCCTACCACAGAGCTCCTACTTTACTACTACATCTTCTTGGTACGAGACCAAAGCCGAGTCGCGGAACGATGCTTCCCATAAGAAGGGGAGCTCCGAACACCACGACCCAGACTCTGTGTGGTTCAAAGTAGCCCAGAAGCTCGATAATGTCAAACATACTGTTGGAGCTGGAGCTTGGGGAGACTTGGGAGGAAACATTACCGAGTACATCATGCCCGATTGGGCCCGATTGCTCCCGGCTACAGCCCAGAAACTCCAACGGGAGCTTTCAATGGCACCGGGGTCACTCGCAGATGAAATTTGGAAGGAATCGCATGACCCAGACATCAACCCGGAAATCTTGAGGGATGCCGAGGTGCGAGTCAGCGGCGAGCTTTGCAACGAGGAGCTTGCATTCCGAGAGAAGCGCCGACACCACGCGAGGAAAGCATTGGCTTCTTACTTGGATATTCCCGAGGAGGAGATTCATCCCGATGATGTCCCCGTTATTGCCATGTGCGGCTCCGGCGGCGGGTTGCGCGCTCTGGTTGCGGGAACCGGGTCCTACCTGGCTGCTCAGGAAGCCGGGCTCTGGGATTGTATCACCTACACAGCCGGAGTTAGCGGTAGCTGCTGGCTACAAACTCTCTATCATTCTTCTCTCGCCGATGGGAACTTTAATCGGCTCGTCGATCACCTGAAGAATAGATTGGGTGTGCATATTGCCTTTCCGCCAGCAGCGCTCAATCTGTTGACCACCGCGCCAACCAACAAGTTCCTTCTCAGCGGCTTGGTCGAGAAGTTGAAAGCAGACCCAAGCGCGGACTTTGGGTTGGTAGATATCTATGGTATGCTGCTTGCTGCACGACTCTTGGTTCCCCGAGGAGAGCTGGGCGTGAATGATCGGGATCTTAAGATTTCCAATCAGCAAGTCAACTTGTTAAACGGCGAACATCCCATGCCTATCTACACAGCCGTGCGCCATGAGATTCCCGTGCTGGCTGAAGAGGCCCGAGACGATGAACACCAAACACCGGAAGATTTGATGAAAAAGGCCAAACAAGAGTCTTGGTTCCAGTGGTTCGAGTTCACTCCGTATGAATTTTTCTGCGAGGAACTCAATGCTGGAATTCCCACCTGGGCGTTGGGACGACACTTCCACGAAGGGCGTAATGAGACGCCATCCCACACCTATCCCATTCCCGAGTTGCGGGTTCCAGGGTTGATGGGAATATGGGGCAGTGCATTCTGCGCAACTCTTTCTCACTATTACAAAGAGGTTCGACCCTTGGTCAAAGGACTTGCTGGATTTGGTGGGATTGACAGTCTCATCCGAGGCAAAAACGAGGACCTCATTCGAGTACACCCTATCGACCCCGCCGCCATTCCTAATTATGTCATGGGTATGAAAGATCAACTGCCCGCCTCTTGTCCGGAGTCTATCTTCCAGGATAAGCATTTACGTCTCATGGATGCAGGCATGAGCAATAACTTGCCCATTTACCCTCTAATTCGACCCGGCCGCGATGTGGATGTCATTGTCGCCTTTGATGCATCCGCCGACATCCAGCAAGAAAACTGGCTCTCCGTCGTAGATGGATATGCCCGGCAACGGGGAATCAAGGGCTGGCCCGTCGGTGCAGGTTGGCCTCGAGCAACCGAGACCCTGGCAGAGACAGAAAAGGCCCTACGTGAACCCGAGAACATCACAGATGAGCAGGCCAACCAGAAGATCGCAGAGTCTCAGAACCACCAGGAGAATGCCTCAAACAATAAGAAGAACAACTCCACCAGCACCGCTGACACGGACCTGGGCTACTGCAACGTCTGGGTCGGCACTCAAGAAGAACGCATCTCAAAAGACGAACCCCCACCTTCAAAGCGTCTCTTCCACCCAGACAACAACGAAGACCACTCCGAATCCGACTTCCACCTAATGAGACCCGAAGCCGGCATCGCCGTCGTATACTTCCCACTCATCCCCAACCCCTCGGCCCCAAAACTCCCTCCAACCCAGAAAACCCGTCCCCTCGCCGCCGTTCAATCCCTCCAACAATCGCAAAACCAGGTCAAAGACCCCGCCGACCCGGTTGCTCCTCAACCAAACTCGATTGACCCCGACGTGGACGATTTCTTGTCCACGTGGAATTTTATCTACACGCCCGAGCAGATTGATTCTGTCGTTGGTCTTGCTAGGGCGAATTTCTCGCAGGGGAAGGATCAGGTTCGGAGGGTTGTGCGGGCGGTTTATGAGAGGAAGAAATCTGATCGGTTGAGGAGGGAGGAGGTGGAGGCGAGGAAACGGATGGAGGGGTTTGTGCCGTTGTAGATGATACATTTAGAATTGGGGAGATAGGTGATTGATGTTTTGTTTTGAGGATTGTGGCGTTATATTACTTGCACTGCATATCCTTTTCTTATATCTTGTGGGAGGGGATTTGTTAGAATGTTTGGTTTTTGATACTGGGCTTGAACTCGCTTGTAATAGATGCACACATTACTCTTTCTTTTGTCAATTAACATTTATGAATAATCATTTTCTGAGAAATAGAACTAAAGGGAATAAGTCAAGACTGAGATGTTGAGTTAGTGCGTTAGGATATACACTATTCATGCTTGTGTACAGGCTTGTATACTTCACGCCTCGATATCAACATCACACTCAAGACCCTTTAGACACCTTCTCCTCAACCTGCTCTCCCTGGCCACCCCCATTGCTAAAATAAGACTGCACCCCCTCCAAATCCCCATTTTCCTTATCCTTTCCCTTCCTCGCCCGCCCTTCTTCATCCGTCCCCACCACACGAGCTTCATCATCGCTCCCCGCCAAACTAACATCCTTACTTTCATCAGTCTGCTTGCGCAACCCAAGTTGCCGCTCTAATTCATGCAGCGAGCCCGCACCAACAGCCAACAATGTCGACCCCGTCGTCTTCGTCTTCGAAGCAGTTCGGGAATCCGAATCCGAATCTGCCTTCGATACATCCTGGCTTGTAGACGGGGGGATATTCTCCTGTTTCTCCTGTTTCTCGACACTCTCACTCTCACCATCATCGCCATTCTTCTTCCCCCGCCAATCCGCAGGACCGCTCTCGTGAACCGGCTCACCAGGCTTCGGCTCACTAATAGGTCGTCCGTGGACTGCAGTCTTCTGCTCAGCAGAATACCGCCAAACAACCTTCAATTTCTCAAACGCGCGAATCCCCTTCCTCGCACTACCCTTGATTCCATCCATAGCATCCCATTCCGTCTCGAAAACGCCCGAGTCGTGCTCGGCACCACCTTCGAAGAATGCATTGAACCATACATGCGCGACGGAGGTGACCATTGCAAAACCCGTGTAGGAGGCTTTGCTGCGTCGTTCGAAGTCGATGTTCACGTCTGAGTTTGGGAGGATGATGGGCTTGTTGGGGCGGAATATTACCGCTGAGAGGTTGGACGGGGTTGTTGTGCGGCTGGAGAGTTCGGAGGCGGAGCTTGATAGGTCGGATTGGGAGGTGAGGGTTGCGGATGTGTTGATTGGTAGGGCTGGGGAGTCTGGTTTGGTGGTGGGTTTATCGTTCAACGGTGTAGGTGTAGATGTGGATGTGGGCGTGGTACTGCTGTCGCCGGCTTCGACGACAGTGCGCTCTTTGCGGTGGAACATGTGGAAGCACTTGATCTTCTTGCCCTCGTCCACGTATCCTTCCACCGCGACCTTGACTCCATCTCGTAGACCCCAGATGTGGATCTCGAGAATCTCCACTGGGCGTTCCACGTATTGCTTCCCCAATTGATTCGCCCACCGGTCGACATACCCAATATAGCGCATTTGACTGGGGATGCTTACCCCGTTTCCGAACCCAACTCGCATTCGCCGGTCAGTAAACCGTTGTAGGGCATCCTCCTTCTTCCATCCTTCCTGGCTGATAAGATACGATGTCGCGATAGTCCCACTGCGGCCTTTGCCAGCCTTGCAATGCACAACGGCGACTCTCTTCGGTGCCTCTGTCTCGCTCGCACTTTTATCTCCATCCCCATCCTCGACATCTAGCCGATGCAACCAGTTCCGCATACTCCCCATAATATTCGGAATCAGCGCAAAAGGCGGGGGATGGTGATCCGGCCACGGAAAATGATGAATGCGATTGTAAACCTCCGAATCAGGATACCCGGTGCCCTCGGCACGAAACTCCCAAATACACCAATTCTTGCCATGTTTCGCGTCGAGGAATTTGACCAACTCGTCTAGGGGGTTGCGGTATGCTCGTTGCGGGTATGTTGCAGATGGACCGGAGGTTGCGATGACTGGGGAGATTGGAGTCGGAAGTATTAGTCGAGATTCGAGGTGGACGAGGGAATGTTTCTTAGAAGAGGATTCTGGCTAGCCAGTGGAGGAGGAGGGGGTAGTCATTACTATTATCGGTCACGTAGCATAGATCCAGGCCTGCTTCTGGATGTCGAAGGCGTGGGCCTGCGACGATTTGGCGGAGGATGGAGGACTGTTGGGTGCGGAGATTGGTTTAGTGTTGGTTTTTTGGGATCTGTGGAAGACCAGGGGGTTATACCATGTTGCGCGAGTCGAGGAATTCTGCTCGCGTGATTGTCGCTGTTAGGACATTGATTGAACTTGTGTGTGTCGAATTATTGGGCCGATGAGAGGATTGTTGAGTTTGAAATGAACATTGAATGACGCCGTGTTGCCAGACGAGAGGAACTTGTTTGTTGGTGGCCGCTTTGAGCGCAGCCGATGATGTCACTGGGTCGCGGTTATGGCTGGAGGCTTAATTTTAGCGTAGAAACTAAGATCAAAGGACATCGAACATAAGATAAATCTATAGATGAGATAGAAAATCGACACTTTGATCTGTTTTTAATATTGTACAGATTGAATATGAAGTATGTACACATTGATCACAGCGCCGGCTCTCTTTTCCACCCGCTGTAAGGAATGAATGCGCCCGAGGCGATTCTCAACAGATTTGTCCTTTCCAAAACGCCAGCCATAAACGAGAGACAGGCTGACTGCTCTGCCCGATCGTCATCAAATTACACACCCTTAACGCCCGTAGACTTCGTGTCTTCCGTTCCCAACCACATTAAAGAAGACAAGTCATGAAGAAAAGAAAACAAGTAGAAGAAAGAAGAAACACCCTTCTAACAAGGGGCTTCTTAAGCGACGCCATAGAAGACATCAGGTTTGATGGAGAAGCCCGTGGTAGTCTCGGTGACATTAGCACTGCCAGCCTGCCAGTAGGTAGCCTCAGAGTTGTAGTCCTCCTCAATGACATGCCACTCGTGCTGGACCTTGACATTCCACGTCGGGTTAGTCAAGGGGCTGACTGCGGCCGTGATGGTGTTGTTGGCACAGGCGGTGGCATTGGGAGTGAGGCCCTCGCAGTAGGTGCTGAAGCCAGGCGCGTTCTCGGATGCAGGCGCGGTGATGTTGAAGCGGTAGGCACAGCCGCCTGGGGAGCATTGGAGTTGGAAGTTGGTCGCTGTCCAGGTGGAGGCTTGACCGTTGGGGAGAGCACTGGTCAGGCTCAGGGTGGAGAGGATAACGGGGAGGAAACTGGTGAGTTGCATGGTGGGTGGCGATGGTTGTTATTATCGAAGAGTATGGAGTAGAGAGCGTAGAAGAGGGTGGATGATAATGTACAGTTGAAGTAGAAGGAAGGCAGGGGTAGGAAGTAGTTATATAGTCGAGAGATGATAATGGAAAAGTGAGAGAGTTGTAAGTTGAAAGTGACAGTTAAAGATGCAGGAGGTTGGAGGAAGCAGCAAAGAAGTCGGAACGAATCGAGGGGCGCAGGGTTCAACGCGGATTCTCGTCTGCTTCTCTTTTAACTCTCCGACTCCACTCTTTCCAACCACTCAGTTTAATCAGTTCATTACTCCCCCCGGTCCACTATGTAACTACCCAAACGATCGTCATCGTCAGGGGATAACCAAAACTCAATCAACCAGAAGTGAACAAATTCGCACATGACGCTAATCGAGTAACCTCTCATAAAAAACAACAAATAAAAGCCAACCCGCCTAGTGGTCACCCCTAAAAGCGCCGGCTTGTCTGACGCTCCTTTCAAGTCTCACTATCCAACAAGTTCGAACGAGTGATCGTCCCCCAGGCGTTTCATGGCGATTCGCACTATTTTTGGGTCCAAGTGGGTCTTGATGGAGTCGAGAGAGAGGGCAGCCTTGTGGTTCGTGGCGTCCGAATCTCGGGTCAACTGGGTCTTGCGGGTAAATGAAACGGTCGGCGCTTGAACATTGAACTACGATTAGAGCCGGAGTAGTAGTACTAACATGGCTGGATCGAGTGATTTTTCACATCATTTCGTGATCAAAAATTTACAGGGTTGATTTGTTGGGAATATAGTACAAAAAATGATGATATCCAGCAGGGTACCTCGTCGCACGAAGCCGTCATGTCCATCCCAGAACAGATGCCCCCTTTCATCTATCCGACTCGAGACACAAAAAAGTGGCGATACATGCATGCACCTGCATCGGCCTGCAGCCGAAACAGCAGCCGTGAGCAAATCTCCCGATGGAACGCCGAGATTACTATTCGCCCGTTTTGGACGAAGGAGAGCTCCGATTGCTGTTCCCCTCGACTTCCTCATCCACTTCATCCACATCCACCTCGTCCAGCTCGACTTCAGAGTCCTCCATTTCCAGGCCGTTCATAGCCTCCGAGCTCACTTTGCCCTCCGCGGCGAGTCTCTCCAATGCCAAGCGGCGACGTTTTCTCTGTCGTCGCTCTTTATTATATGCAATTCTTTCCTCGCGACCAAGCTTGGGACGTGGGTTGCGTTGCAGTTTAGGCTCCTCAGCCGTCTCGGTAGTATCGTCTAAGGTTGGCACATCCCCACCCTGGATCAAAGGGTGATACTGCAACCGTAGCGCATACTCGTTGACCGACCGCGCGCAAAGACTCCGAATCTCCTCCCTCGCTTTGGGACTGACCGTTGCCTCCCGCTTAGCCAGATCTAACATGTACATGAGCGCGGACTTGTAGTTACCCGCATCTAGGCACATCAGGATGATTGTCTCGAAGGTGCCGGCATCCGGAATGACATCGAGGGTGGCCATCTCTTTAACCAGGAAGATGCCGGCTTCCCGTTTGAGTGCTGTACGACACATCCGGATCAGTGCATTGTAGACCTGGAGATCGGCGCCTTGCGGACAGATGGTATGAATTTCATTGTAGAAGCCAATTGCATCATCTACCACCGTCGGGTCATTTTGGGCATCGTGTTCACACAATTCAGCAATGACACGAACACTCGCAAGAGGGACAACGTGCTTCTCGTTGTGTAATCTCTTCAGCACTTGCCAAGCATCCCGGCGGTCGGTCTTGCTGTGGATCATATACGCAAGGATCGGTTGAGTGGTCGTCTGATCAAGAGGCAAACCGGCCTCCTGCATAGTACAAAGAACCTCAAACGCAGCGGGAAGATCACCCACGCCAACATTGGCCACAATAAGCTGCTGATAATCTTCCAAGACCGGAGAGATTGCGCGTCGGGCGAGATGACGGAACACAGACTTTGCTATCTCGATATCACTGACGCCGGCCGCGACCCTCAAAACATCACTGCACACAGCAGTCGGTGGGTGGAGGTAACCGAGTTCAACCATGCGTCGCCACACAAAACGCGTCGTCATATAATGTTGTGCTTCAATTGCAGTCCGTAGCACATGCATCCACAGATCAGACGTCATGTCATTGCCCTGACTAACTCGGACCTGCATCAAGCGAAGCACTTCATCCATTTCGCCCAGGTCACAGAGCTGGTAGATCATCGAACTATGCAGCCAATCTTCGACATGTATATCCTTCCGCTGCATCAACGCTGCTTGCTCAAGCGCCATCTCGAATTTGTGTTCGCGGAGAAGACCCGCAACCACGAAATGCCATCCAGCCGGGCTAAGGGTAAGCCATCGATCTCGTAGTTTCTGGAGGACTTCTTGGCGGAGAATGAAGTCTGGATGAACAGCAAGTGCCTAGACAAAAGAAGAAAAAAACCATTAAAAAGCTAGACCTCGAAAGAAAGCTCCTGTCAAGTCAAGATTGACATACCTGCAACGCAGCATGCAGCGTCCCCGAGTCCGCCGCAATCCCTTGTTTCTCCATCTCCTCCAAGAGGTTCCTCACAAATATCGGTGACCCATGCAACGCATCCGAATTCGCCATTATAAGAGCCTTATAATGCCGCGCCGACGGCTTGACACCGCGATCCCGGATCAACGTGCGCAGTATGTGTGTGGCGGATGTGATATTAGGCTTCTTGGCCATTTCCGTTTGTAAGAGTGTTTCGAGACTGTCATTACTCTTTTCTGCGGCGTATTTGGGGACACCGGGCCATCTGTTGATCGCTTTCTTCCGCCTCGGTGTCAATGCCTCCTCGTCGTGGTTCTCGGGTTCGAAGCTATCGTGTTCGTTGTCCCAATGCTCGTCAGGAAATGAGGCGGACCCGGACAAGACTGAAGATGCGCCATTGCCACCGCGCGTAGGAGCGTCTTCAACTTGGGAGTGGGCGTCGGTCTTGCGGGCGTTATTGCTGTAACAGCGATGCCGCGGCGGCGCCGCAATGCGAAGAGCTGGCGGCGGACATGGTCGGGAGCTCGGTTTCCGCTGCTTCAATAGAGGATTGGCGCGAGCCAGCGCCAATGGGCTAAATGATGGACATAGCGAGTACCACAGTCCATCAAGAACCAGCACCCGCCGAGACATGTCGAGCTGCTCGTGGAGTTGAGATCGTTCAAGTTGCGGCGACGATCCGCCTAGACATTGATTAGGGTCACGTGACTAATATCGAATGCCCTCGTGGGCCTCGTTCTTGCGGCATCGTCTACAATTATCGAGGCTACGTAGGGTACCAGTAAAATGACCAATATCCAGGTTTTCAATATGTAATATTCGTAGATCGTAACAAGATCCAGAAACCCAGATTCCCACTGAAAAAAATACAGAGCCAGATACGCCACGGCCATGCTCGTTCAACCTGATCCGATGGGGACCTCCCAGCGAGCGACCTTACCCACTCTCTGCTGCAGGGTATCTTATTTGCTAGTCTTAGTTTCTTCAGCCATGCAAGTCATTTATCTTGGAATGTCGCTCATAGACCGCCACGATCACCGCCGCCACGTCCACCCCGGCCTCGGCCCCGACCACCACGGCCACCGCGGCCTCGCCCGCGGTCACCATCTCGTCCGTGGCCGCCGCGGCGGTTTTGTGGTTGGTTCTGTTGCTGCTCTTTCACGATGTCGATGATTTCGTCGGGGACTCGGAGGTATTTGATCTGTTGAGTCGTTAGTAACTAACTGGCTTAAGGCGGCATTGCGACAAGGGTGTTGCCCTCGCGCGGGCAGGGACGTACGTTGTTGCCGCGGATGTAGACTTCGGGCAATCGGAAGAACTTGTCGCCCTCGGGGCTGGTCTGCACAACCTCGCGCAGGATCAAGTTCATCCAGTTGTCGCAGGTGACCAGGTGACCGTTCAGAGTCTCGCCGTTCTTCAGTTCGACCAGCATGGGGTGGCCCTGTGCGGCCGTGAGGAGGCCGAGAGGCAGCTAGTAAAAAGAGGAGTTAGCGTGAGAGCTCTGAATATACGTCAGGCGATTGAGCGATTACCATTGTGAAGTGTGATTCAGCGTGGGAGGTGTCAAGGTGGGAGGAATGACTGGGTAGTGCGCAAGCAGTAATCGGTGCGGGCAGCACTCAAACTCGCAATTAATGGGCGAGTCGGGGAGAAAGGACTCGGCGAATGAGCCCAATGGAGGGTTCTGGTTATTTGGGGTTGTTGTGAGAAGCGGTCGTTGCGCCTGAGCTCCGCTACAGCTGTGACGGAGATGCCGGAAAAATTGATGTGCCGACCGCCCAGCCCGGCGATGCTTCAGGTGGTTGTTTCTCTAAACGCCGACTCGATTGGCTACTCTAATTCTTTCAGCAAACAACTCGAATATGAAATGTTTACAGGAAAGATTCTACTTTTGCAAGATCACAATCAAATCATCATCTGATGTTCACTGCCAAATTTTGGAAGCATTAAAGTATTTTAGCGATCAGATAGTGGCATACACCCATGTCATTATAGATCTTGGGTAGCCAGTCAAGCAGTCCTCCGTCCCATTCTAAACCTTTGGCCGCTTGGTCGCCTCACTCCCATTTTCGTCCTCATCCTCATCGTCCTCAATGGCAAGTTTGCGCTTGTTACGAGAAACCAGACCAGCGGGAGCTTCTTCATCGGTAGCACCTGGCAAGCGACCCTCGACAGCCTTGAGGGTGATCTCGTATCCCTCCTCGACATTCCGAACGGTATCATCGAGTTTCTCTACCCGATCGAACAGCTCCAATTCTTGCAGCAGCTCCTTGTGCCTCTTGAACAGTCGCTGCTTTGTGAGCATGCGCCACCAGTAGTATCTCCGATCATTAGGATCTTCAGCCTTGCCCTTCTTGATCAACAACCGTGCAAGGTTGGTGCCGCCGGCCAGGCGGTGACTCGGGGGAATTTGACTGAGAAGGTACATCTCCAAAATATGGGCGAATTGGGTAGCCTCAATCTTGAAGGAGGTTCGGATTTCGCGTAGAACATCGGTAGGGATGAGCTCTGCGGTTGGGACTGAGCGGAGGCGCTGCCTGCGAGAGTAGGCCCCATTAGGGTCGGGGTTGAGGTTCACTTTGCGCTTGACGAATTCGGGGTGCAGGAGACAGAAATCGGCTGTATCCCGAAGCGCGTCGAAGCTCTCGTTGGGATCCTCTACTGTCAGCTCGATAATCGTGGGATCTGCGATGCATGCGGCATGGATGGTTGTGTAGAGGTGGGTGCCGTGGCCCGCGCGGTGATGTGAGGGGAGGATGAGGAATTGTGCGATGCGGAGTCGTGATGGGAGCTCAGAGAGTTTGATTTCGGCGGGAGGGAAGGCGTCATCCTTGACTGTCGGCGTGATTGAGCGATCTCGCTGGTAGAGCCAGTACCTGTAGGTGGTGGCGTATCCGACAATGGAGTAGGACGAGGCCGTTGGCGTTGGAGGTGTGACCTTTTCGTAACTGTGTCTGTTAGTTTTGATCACACCAAATCATAGACCATAGCCAGAACACCTACACAAAGTATACCGTCCACCGTTCGAGAGTCCATTCTGGATCGTCCGTCGCCAACGGTGTGCCAGCCTCGATGAACAGAGACACCAGGATCTGCGCGCGGTCAAGAATGCGCCGTACATCAGGATCCGCGAGAGATCCAGCCCAGATCTCATAGTTCCTCTCATTCGACTCATAACTATAGACCAGCTTGCCGGGAGGTGTAAAGTCCTTTGCGTTGGGGTCTTCCTGCACAGCTTTCTCGTAGTCGGGGAGATTGATCAAGGCCTCTGTTCAGAGAAATTGTCCAGAATAAGCTAATGTATCCTGGTAGCATTTGCGATCTAGAAAAACTCACCCTCTGGAACGAACTCCTTCAATGTGCCAAGAAGATCCGCCGCAGCTATGTCGCCAACCGCCTTGAAGCGATCGTCGTAGGAAATGTGAACATGAGGGCGGAGATCATGAGCGGCGAAGCGTAGACGGATAATCAAACCCTTGTATCCAAAGATTTGCTCTTCGTCGCCAAAAATGGGGTAAGTGAACTGAGGGTGGAAGGCTGAGAGAGTTTTCGGCTTCGCATCACCCGGCTGCATGACCGTGATTTGCAGCGCATCGTTGGCGTCGCATGTCCCTAGAACCCATTCGTGTCAGCTATTGCGCGAGAAATTGTGGAAGTAGGATCGCCTTACATTCATCTTCAAGCGCCATGTTGGATATGGAGTGGAGCGAGTCCAGATGGTGAAGTGAAGGAGATAGGAAGATGCGAAGATGCAGGAAGGAGGCGCGTCTGACCGCGTCGGGCACAGCTTCAGTATTACCTAATCGGGACTAGCGGGCGATCTGAGACAGTCGATAGAAGAAGTTGAAGAAGTGTACTTCCATACTTCTTTGCTCCTCTTGAACTTTCTATACTTCTCTATCCTCACCTCATTTGACTATGCCTAATTCTCTCATTTTGCGCTCACGTATTTCCTTTAGCGTGGGAATCATCTCCAAAGCTCGCCGAATGCCCATCGTTCTCCCGATCTTCCGGAGTGTTTCAAGTACCCACTCATGGACATCGTCACCAGCTCCAGCAGCTCGTCCTGCAACTGCCAAAGGAAACATCAACATGAACACGCCATTCAGTGGTGGCAATTGTGTGAGCCCCGCAGATGGGAGCCCACACCCAAAAGCTCCCATTTGACTCGCTGCGCCAGCACAAATGTATGTCGCCATCAGTGAAGTGGTGTCCAGCGCTTTTTGTCGCTGACAGATATCATCCAGCGTTGGCGTTTCTAACCTTATTATATGACGAACAATCATCTCATTCACCATCAATCGTGCCCAGAAGTAGTGATTGAGGTCTCTGGACGCCCACACATCGTTATAGATCATGTACGTTCCATTAAACGTGCGTTGGAAGTCGTTCGACTTTTTCAAAGAGAACTTCCATTTCTGTGGAAGTTGGCCTTCCCAAGCCTCCAGCTCTGCATCACAGAGCAGAGCAGAGCTTGCCGCTATTCTTGGATCGGGGTCCGGGTGGCCCCGAAGGGACGAGTCCAGCTTCATGAAGCGAATGAGAATATCGACCAGGCGGACTGTAGGGATCTGATCTGGCTGGGGACCGGGAATTTGCTCAGGAGACCAATCATGCAGCTCCGAAGGTATGACCCCCTGGACGAGAAAATATCTGATGATTGAAATGAGGTAATACTGCAGATGTGGGCGCGGGTGTGTATTTCTCAGCGCATCGCTGAAGCCGGCCTGTTTGACTAGCGCCGCCAACCCATCTAGATGGACTGTCCATGAGTCGATTTCATTGGGTGAACAACAGACCATCTACCAGAATTCAATTAGCTACGTGAACGACAATCAAGAGAGGGTCTGCAGCACAGAACAGCATGTGGACCAGGGCTCATACCTCGTACATACTCAACATCACGATTATATGAAACGTCTGATTCGCATTCGCCTGGTCAGGGTTCTGGACCGCCTTCCGAACGACGTTAATGGCCGCCACATATTTCTCCCGCGCCGCTAGTGACAGGGCTCGGTCCTGACTGACGTTGGACATGGCGGCTAGCCCAACAGAAATGGTTGCATCACGCAGGGGCGAAGGCACAAGAATGGCCTTTAGGAAAGGCGAAGTCTCCATTTCGGAAGGGAGATCTCCCGCCATCCCTGAGACCGCACTTACAAACCGGTTGAAGAAGAATCTCAATCCTTGTTCCTCCAAAGTTGAAGGAACTACAGCCGGCATTGTGGGGACCATGACCATGCGAGGACTTTCTGGCTGGGCTACATAGTCCCATCGCGATAAGCCCAATTTGTTTGTGGGGTTCTCCGAGCTTTCATCTGAGCTGTCTGAGCTATCCAACAGCTTGCGCCTGGCTTCTGATTTGGCCTTTGCCGCCGCAGACCGGCGAGCCGTCTTGTCATTCTCATCACGGAACAATAAGGACGGGACGTCGCGATAGCCACCACATGGTTTCCCCGCTCGCTTGCATTGCGAACAGACCGGATCAAGACGATCACACTAACCCATAGGGGCTCGTATTAGATTATTGGGTTCAATCCTGGGGGTGGACCATCACGCTATCACGCTATATGGCTAGCAATGGGAATTTGATTGACTTACCTTGATGCGCCTCTCCCGACAGCTCTGGCAATTTTTGCTTGGGCGACCGTAAAAAGGCATATCTGCTTGACAAGCCGATCGCAAAGGTCATCCTTAATTTTCTTCAACCCTCCCGGGGTTCAAAAGGGGTAAAAACAATCGTGGAGATGTCCTAGAGATGGCGAGAAGCCCAGATGACGGCTGGATCCGCGAGGCTCAGCCATGTCAGAGGTGGAGCCTGTGGAAGGTGATTGGTGACCAGCCGCGGCATCGCTATGGGGGCCACCTTTCCTAATTAGGTATCAGTTTCGTGGGTTTTGCAAGAGAAGAGCAAAGAAAACCGAGAAAAGACTTGCAATTTGTACTTGCAGTCTGAGGAAAGCCTAAATTGTTTCGTCAGTGCTGTGGCTTAGTCGCTGATTCTTGGTTGATAGTTGATATGCTGGCGTTCAAGGATGCTGGTTTTCTAAGAAGCTCGTCGCTTAGCCAAGAGACGTTTGCCGAGTGATCGAGAACTTGGCGGCCTAGTCTTACAGTTGAAGCGACGAACACCATACCTTTTATGGAGCCGTGGCTTACCCCCAGAAACATCGAGACTGTATTAATGAAATCTGCGTCACAGGCTAATCTTTGAGTCAAGGATATAATATGTGGGCCCTCGCTTCATCGCCGAGAGTTTCTTTTTACTCCATCTTTTCCATAGGGCCACCTATAACATTTCCCAATTCTGCAAGCCATGGTTCTCGATGGCAGAGCTTTGCAACATACAGGGAATGTCTCATTCTACCGCTATGACCCCTCGTTAGCGGTCGCCATCGTGGCGGCTGTTCTATATGGCATCGCATTCATCTTGACCTGCGTGCAATGGATCAGGTATAAATCCTGGGTCTGGGTTGTCATGGTCGTTGCTGCAGCAAGTAAGTCAATAATCATAGAATTTTAATTTTAATTGTCGGTACCAACGCTAATATCATTCACAGTGGAGGCAGTCGGCTACATTGGCCGCTGTATCTCGACCCAGAACGTTACAGACAAACCGGTCTACGTCCTTCAATTCGCTCTCATCATTCTCGCACCAGTTCTCATGGCCGCCTGCTGTTATGTCCTATTCAGTCGCATCCTCTTTTTGATTGTTCCCCGCCAGGAACGAACCTTTCGCTTGTGCTGGGTGCCTCCTAGGTTCATCACCCCACTCTTCGTGGGCTTTGATGTTGTTGCTCTCTTTCTCCAGCTGGTCGGCGCGGTCATGATTTCCTCGGTCGATGCCACTGAGAAGGATGCAGCCAGCAAGCTTAATCGGGGGAAACATATCGCCCAGGCTGGTGTTATCGTACAACTGCTTGCTTTTGGTCTCTTCTCGGTCGCCGCTGTCCGGTTCAATTTCACCTCGAAAAAATTCACGAAGAGTATTCATGAGAGATATGAAATGTTCGGAGAAGACGACTATATCGTTGATGGCATTACGAAGAAGAAACACTGGCCAGCATTATTGCGTGTTGTGAATTTCACTACTTTATTGATATTGGTGAGTGTTCATGAAATCCGGCTGGAAAGCGCTTTACTAACCATTATACGCCTTCCGCCAGGTCCGTTCCATTTACCGCCTAGTGGAGTTTACTCAGGGTGTGACGGGATATCTCAATACACATGAGTGGACCTTGTACATCTTTGATGCTTTGGTTATCTATCCTTGCGTTGCACTCTTCGTCTACTGGCATCCAGGCAAGTATCTGCCATACTTGGGCTTCCGTTTGCCTAAGCACGCTCGTTAAATGAGGATCTCGTGCTGGCGGGATATGGATACGCTTAATTTAAAGGACACTCACTCCATTTGAGACATTTCCTCTTTGCGTTGATGTCATACGTTACACTCAATAATAAATTTAATCTTCAAGACATCTCCCAAAACAACTTCAAAAGCCGCAATCTTTCGGGTCTAGCGCGGGGTTCTGTGGGATATACAACTAGACCCCGGATTTTTCTTCTCCGCATCTTACTGAAGAAGCAGAACTAATAGAGGAGTTGATTAAGCTGGGGTACATATTCACGAAGAATGACCGGGGTTTCGGTGTCACCGAGTCTTCGGCCACAACACCCAAAACGGGAAGGGGTTGAAACGGGCATTCGAAAGTCCGCTTTAGCCCCCGAATGCGAAACCCCAAAGTTCCATTTCTCGACAGAAGTGACCCTTTACTAAGCCCTTTCTGGTATAGCTTGTTTTGAAGTATGGGGAGCCCTCATGGAAAGTCCTATTCTGTAGACATCATCCACTTTGGGCCTCTCCCGGACTGCAGATGCCGCTTACATGATATACGGGGAGATGTGAGTATATAAATGCTGGAGAATAGACGGCTAATCCATTCCAGTATCACAGAAAAAATCTTCAAACTTGCAACAAGAAGCTCCAATTTTCACGATGAAGCTGTTCTCCATCACGACCATCTTGTGCGGCTTGTCCTCCTTGTCTGTTACCTTGGCCGCGAAGTCATTCTCTGGGTCCAATCTTTATTATGCAGCTGGCTTGACAGACAGCCAGTCAACCACTCTTCTTTCTGGCCTGCAGAGTGCCGGTGTGAAGGTGCTGCGAGTATGGCTTGACGGTATGATTCATTGCGTTCATATATCATCTTCTGGCTCCAGACTAACAACTGCAATAGGCCAGTCGGGAACTGTGAAAGGAACCCCGATCAACTCCTTCAACAGTCTTCAGGGGTCTGACCCCAATGACTGGGATGACACTGTACTGAACCGCCTGGATACCTTTATGGTCAAGGCGCACAGCTATGGAATCAAGCTTCTCATATCTATCCACAGCTACAACGCTCTCGAGGCTGCGAATGATTTCTATGGTCAATGGTATGGTACCGGTGATTTCTACACCGATAGTAATGCGATTGGATACTTCAAGCAACGTATTGCCCATGTTCTTGCTCACGTCAACCCTGCCAATGGTAAGACTTGGAGCAAAAGCTCTGAGTACATTTTTGCGTTCGAGGCTCAGAACGAAGCCATGCATGAGCAGGTATGATCAATACTGCCATAAATTCGTCTACTCAAACTAACAAATGGTTTAGGAAAACCCAAGTGCTTTGACCTCCTGGCAATGCACCATGGCCCAAGCCATCAAAGATAACCTTGCCGGAAACACTGGTATTTTGGTCACAACCGGAGGCGGAGCCTATCTCTCCAACTCTCTCCTGGATCCGTATTTCTCTTGCAAAGCTCTTGATGTACTGGCAATTCATGCTTATGGTACCGGAGACTTTGCGACCAGCGCCCTACAGCCATACGTTACCAAAGCCCAGAATGCTGGTAAGAAACTCATCATGCAAGAGTGGGGTTCATGCTACACCACTGCTTCCAACAATAACTGCAATGGCGGCAGCGCACTTAGCTCGAGCACTCGTGATTCAAACATCAGGAATTGGGCTTCCTCGATCACTGCTGCTGGTATCCCTTGGTTCTATTGGCAGATCCTGCCGAATGCCGACCCGCACCAGGGCTGGGATTACGAGGTTGGCATCAATGATGTTAACTGGGCGGCTTTGAAGGCTGCTGGTCTTGCTGCTGGAAATGCGGATGCTGCCTTTGATTTCTCGGCCTACTTGCTGTGAGACTTGAGGCTGGACTTGGTTATGCAGGAGGCGACCAGAGTGGTAGTACTTGCGCCTGGCAATTTTACTTATGACCAATTTTGATTTATGAACGAAGGCTTGATTATCAATGGAAGAATGATTGAAATGCCTTGAAATTCTTCACATAGCAAGTATCAATTGTAGCCACAGAGAAAGTTGACCCACTCAGCATCACCTCCCATCATTTCCTCATCAAGAAGATCAAGAACCAAACCGTTAGATACATCAAAGTCAACCATAGGGATAGAATCCTCTCGATTCCGAATGTTATCGCGCAGAAGCTGAATGACTCGTCGACCCCGTGTTGCCCCAGCGTCGAACGGTTCCATCTGCGCGAGGATGTCCAGAGACTTGAGGATGTATTCATTGCAGCGTTCACCTTCTGCCCCATTCGTATCTGAGACAGCTGCTAGAATCAGGACCAAGGCAATTTGGAAGAGGTGCCAGGCATGATTCCAACATAACATGTGGTTTGGAAACCAATCCGAAGCTATAGTGTCAACGCCATCTCGGGCAATTTCAAGGCACTTGGAGACCAATGCTCCTCCTTGTTGAGTGGCTGCAGACCATTGCTTTCGATGTATCGCTGCGCTCAATAAGTACGGTCGGTAAAGTGTGAGTCGAGTCGTCATGAATCGACAAAAAAGCATTGCTCGTGCAACTCGTAGAGGAGGTGGGCAGTGTTGGGCATCGGAGAGAAACACATGTAGAGATCCTTTCCATTTCAATAGTTCTGTATCAAAGTCATGAATTTCATCCGATGTGATCAAGGGCATCTCGACAAGTCGTTCCTGTATTCGGGTTGCGATCTTGCAGAATTGCTCATTGGCAGTAAGCGAGATTGTTCCGTAATCCTGGTCGGATCGTTAGCCACTCAAGGTATCCGTGTGAATGATCTTTGTACGTACCATACTCGCCAAGGAGGAAGTAGATGATGTCAAGACCGTGCCAGGATCCCAATATCCAAGACCAGGACGACCCAAGGTTGCAGCAGCCCATGTGTCTAGACAAAATATGCACCACCAGGTACGTATCCTCGTGATGATGGAACTATGTCCCGCACTCTGAGAATGAACCGGATAATGTCTCGGGATTTGGGCCCGATGCAAGCCCATAGCAACTGCCATACGGAGAGTTGCCCCCATAACTGCACTGGCTGTATTGGGTTTGTTCAAGTAGTGAAGAAGCCAGCCCCCGTAGAGAGCCAGGGCTTGAACGGTGTATATGTGTCCGGAGCCGAACGATGACATGTTCAGGTGTGTCAAGGCTCGCTTATAAAGAACATGATGCTTACTGAACTGCGAATCACCCGATGCAAAACAGCCCATTGCAAGCACCATATTGAACAAAGCTAGCCAAGAGGTTTTGTGATTTTCAGGGACAGCATCGTCAGCAAAGCGCTGCCGAAACTCGACCTCGTCAATCATCGGCGTGATAGGATGGACATGCAAGAAATATGCGTTGATCAAAGATAACTCATCAATCTCGCAGGATGCATTGCTTTCCGGACTTCCGCCTACAGGAGCGGAGGTCTTCCATGTCTCCGGGCTGGGAGGTACTACCTGGCGAATGCGAGGTGATAGATGGGCAATGACACGTAGTATTGTTGGAACCGAAGAGAAACCCAAGTATGAGGCATTGTAGGAATTGAGCGAGTCCAATGATACAGCAAGACCATTGATATCGTCAGCGATGCGTGAGACTTCACTATCATCATCTGAGACTTCATCCCAGGTGAAGTCTCGCTCAGGGGGCGGTTCCAGATCTTGAAGATCGTCTTCAGATTGGTCATCAGTCACAGAAGCAATAGAAGAATGTAATAAATTCTGTGCTTTTACTATCAGCGCCGTACGCGACATGAAGGATAGATCATCGATTGAACTGGATGGGAACAGCTTGTCGACTAGTACTTGGAGTTTTGCATGGGAATTAGAAAGTTCGTCATAGGACCTGTTCTGTCAGTGACGAGATCTTAAATGGTGGGAGGTTCTACAATCTCTTACCTCCATGATACATTCCGTCTTTGCTTACGAGGCGGATAGTGACATAGATGCGCAACTTCATAGTAGACACACTGGCGACATGGTGTTGTCAGGCCATCGCACCTAATGCGTCGGCGGCGACATTCGGCACAAGAAGCCGTAACTCGGCGTCGGCTTGACCGGGTCGACGTATCATGAGCCGAGGATGTTTGTGGTGATGACTGTAAAAGACTTGGGTCCATTGTCATGAGATAGCAGAACAGTTGGGCAGGAGAAGAGCAACGAAGGGAGCTGAACGCGGAATAAGCAGTGCTTGGGGCGGCTTGGCTCTAGTCCGATAGTGGACAATTCATGAATAAGGCTTAGATCTACGGGAGCGAGCTCCAGTGTTTTATTCGTGCGCCCTACGCTTTTCGGCCCCCGGGAGGACTTTTTAGGCGATCTCCAGAAAACACCAATGCCTCGATTGGGGTGGTCGCTCCGAGTCTGCGGGGTAAACTAGTGCTTGCGGAAAGCTCGGCTCTAGAAATAGCGCCGAGCTAGCCTTAAACATACTCGGCAAAATGGCACTTCAAAATTTTGGACTTATGCATGTGAAAATTGTTCAACAGTTTCAGGTTTGGTTCGATCTCTTATACAGATACAAAATATCCAAGGAAACATTTACATTAAAGAGAGCAGCCTGAAGTTTAAGTGGCTAGGCTAATCTCTGGGTTCAGGACTTGAGATATATTTGAATTGCCACGATGGCATTAATCAGACATGGTCTTTGGATACGTCGGGCTCTACGTCTATGTAGACATTAATTTATATTCAATACTGAGAGAAGAGCGTGAGGTTATAGTAGAGTTGGTTGCATCCTTCACCTCCCCCTCCTCCGCCCCCGCACTCTAATATCTCTCAGCACAAGAGATATTGAATGTACAATCACAGACAGCACGATGCCAGCTGAATTGTCTTGACTCTCAGTTGCGCGGGACAAGTTTCTGAGCGCTCGCTTTCCGTGGGTTACGAGATTCGAAGACCGCATCTAATTCTTCAAGGGTTCGGCCCTTGGTCTCCACGAAGAACAAGTAAATGAAGGCAAATTCAAAAATGTCCCAAAAGACGAAGAAGACATAGCTAGATGACTGTCAGAGGGGTGCGGTGGTTTGTATCCAGACGGATATCCACTTACAACCAATATTTGATTTTCTCCATGGCAATCGGAGCAGCAAAGGTGTTGACAAAACTGGCACAGCCTGCTGTTATCTGGAAAACCATCATACCATTGGCGCGCATATCATCTAATAGGGAAGAAATTGTCAGCATATTGTGTGGAAATCGCGTGCAATATTGAGGAAGTTGACGTACTAGCCAGGACCTCGGCTGGGTAAATTGGCTGCATAGGCGTAAATGCCACTGCAAAGACGACTCCGAAAATAAAGATGAAGGCAATGCTGGCAGAGCTCGACGGGACACTTCCGGAGTGCTCATAGGAAGCGGCTGTGCCAGCAACAATGGCTAGTGCAACCGACATGCCCAGACAAGATCCCATGAGCATCTTACGTCGGCCAATAATATCGTGCAGACGAGCTAGAGAAATCGCTATCAGTAAACATGCTCACTATTCAAGGGCTTAAATCGACAGTACATACCTCCACAAGTCGCTGCAACCCAGCCAGTGACTGCATAGATTGCGTTCAACAGCAGAACCATGTTCGTGGATGTGATGCCAACATTCTTAACCATGATCGGCAGATAGTAGCTGACCACATTATTGCCAGAGAACTGTCCAAACCAACCCATGGCCACAACTAGCATAAGCCTATAGAGACGGGCACGAGACTTGAACAAGCTCCGTACGTCAAAGTATGCGAAAGCCGAACGGGATCGGACTTCAACCAGAGATTCTTCAATCTCCTGCATCTCAATGGCAACAATGGGATGGTTGGCATCTCCGTTGGCATGATATTTGATGATGAATTGGCGGGCCTCGTCGTATTTTCCCTGGGCGATCTGCCAGCGAGGACTCTCGGGTAGCAAGAAGCTTCCCAGGCATGCCAGTCCCGGGCACAGAATTTGAAGCCAAAGAGGAAGTCGCCACTTGAGATTGCCGGTCAAGTGAATGTTGGCACCATACATTGCTGTTCGAATGTTAGTGATGAATTACTTTCATTTTGGCAGAGGGATGATCTTACTAAAGGTGGCGATAATACTGCCCATGTAGTAAAGGGTGTTGTAAATACCAGCCACGGTAGCGCGATGAAGAGGAGGAGCAATCTCAACCAGCAACATGGGTGCAGCAACACAGCAAATAGTCGAGCAGAAGCTGAGCAGGAATCGAGCTGCAATAAATGCTGGCAAAGTCGGAGCAAGGGCAGTGAACACAGCCGAGCAGCAGACACCGAAGGCTGTAACAGCTAGAGTTCTCTTGCGACCGAACATATCGTTGACCCAGACGAACAAAGCACCAGCCATTTGTCCAATGTTGAAAATCGAGAAGACCAATCCAGTCGTCGACGAGCCACTTGAGCCGAGATTGTAGTATGCCTGGTATTCGGGTAGAACATTGATCGAACCCATCAGTGATCCATCGAATCCTATCATTTGACGTTAGCGTTGACACGCATGATCGACGTTTCTCATTAATTGATCAGCACGTACCGTTCATAGTCGAGCACAAGTAGATAAGCATGCATACTCCATAGAGCTGCAAATGACCACGACCCCAAGGAGATGGAGCACCACCGATTGCATCAAAAGTAGCCTCAATTGCCTGTGGCTGCATAGAACCAGCATTTTTTTCATCTATAGCACTTTCATCGTGCGTAGAATGAGCATGCATCTCGGACTTGGCCGTATCGGTCATGGTGTCAGGGATTGTCAAAGGGATCAGCAAGACGTCGAACTCCACTGTTCATCGAATTGTGGACACATGGCTCATATTTATTCTTGTATGCTTTGAACCCCTTGCTCGCAGAGTTTGCGGGGCGATTAAACGTTATGAGGGCGGGAAGCGCTGGAAAGGCCCGAATCCGGGGACGCGCTAACACGGAACTTCGAAACTTCAGCCTAGCGTTAAGGTTCCGTCCCAGTCTGGCTCAATTAGGAAACGTTAATCAGGATGGCGGTGCAAGGTGTTTCAAAATGCCGTCTCATCTCCTTTTATGGTCGAAGTGCCTCTGTTAGGTAGATCGCCAGGCGGATGTCATGAAGTATGCTACCTGATGGGGCGAGATACAGTAAACCCAATTTCTTCTTGCAGCTCAAGCGTAGCTACTTAACTGACTTGTCGCAATATACGAAGTAAGAAAGCAGTTTAATCTTTTCTACGTACCGACCTTTTTTTCTTGAGGCTACTCAGATAACTTTATTTGTTCGAAGAACTTGCTCCGGAGCCAGCGTGCTAATATCCTAATTTGGCTGAGGTTTCCCAAAAATGATCCGACCTCTGATCTATTTGAATTAGCTGGAGAGCTTCTATTCATAAAAATTTGCGCAGTCATCGCGACCGAGTGTCTGAACTTCCAGCGCTGCCGGATCGCAGCTGCATTCTAATAGAATGGCTGACTAGTCTCTTGGGATAGCAACTTTAATCAATATCTTCTTTAGAAGAATTTAGGAAACTCTTAAAGCCCCGTAGGATACGTAAGGCTGCAACTCCTACATGTTTTCCACGCTTGCCGACCGTACTTAGGAAGTCTCAACCCTGGGTTATGTGCTGGTTTGCCCCAAGGCGATCTGGTATCTTAGTGTCTTAGCTGAGTGTCTTCCAAGAGCCCATTTTTGTCAGACACTGAATATTCAGTGATTTCTCCCTGAAATGGTCCCCGGGTTGCATGTACTTGGATGTATGTACTGGTAGAAGGCATTGGGGACCTACTACCAATAGAGGCTGCAAGTATATACTTCGGGGCACCTGTAGGTACCTATACCCTAGTAAGGCATAAGTGAAAAAAAAAATCCGGCGTTTCTAGTTTGACCCGCGAATTTCAACCCTGGACAGGTGAAATAGAATATGACAAGACCTATCCAAGTATATATAGCCTCTAGATGATCTCACGTTGTTGTAGTTACTTTGATGATTCTCATCCTAGGGAGATCTGCTCAGGTGGATATGCAGAGGTAGGTAATTTGGGCTTGAGAGCTCTCAGGCCCATTCCCAGAGAATAATTTTGACAGTGATCGCCGTTATGGTAAACTCTAAATCTAGGCACATGCAGGTGTCTAGATCTTGTCTAAATTGAAAATGTTGCGACCAGAAACACCCGTCCGGCATGAGGTCCTTCTGATCCGAAGGTTTATGGTCAGATGCAAGATCGTGTATTCGGTGTCTCCGAGGACTATAATATAGTCTACAAATACAAAACTCAAGCATCTGCCGCACAGAATGACAGTAATTATACCTGAAAATCTTTCTACATCTCTGTCCCGGTTTGCAGAGTCATTCAGTCATCTTTCCATTCTGGGGGCGTGATCTTGACTGTGACTACGCCGAGTGATTTGCTCAAAATTGGAGGCCAGCAGATCAGCGATGGGTGTGCAATGGTTGACGAAGTCGAGAATTGGAATGCTTGGGTGGGTTACACCATGGGAAGCGCGCTCAGTGGATCCTCCCCTGACCTTGACAAGGAAGTCTGTATCGAGGGATGGGGATGGGGGATTTCAATGGACTTTGTGGATTTGCTTGTAGCTTGAGATACTGTCCAGTTGGGGCATGTGTGTGCACCAAGCTGGGACCTCATCCGACATTGCCCAAACCTACCGGCGTCACTGGCTATCCAGCTGCCGGTAAAAGCGCTAATTACGCCGGTTTGTGTTCGTTTTCTTGTGAATATGGCTACTGTCCGTCAACTACCTGCGGAATTGTGTCGGTTCCATTGACGATTCCGACAGTCTCCCCCTTCACCCCTGACACATGTGTCGGTGGCAGTGGCCAGGGAGAATTGGCTGGTTTGTGCAGCTTTGCGTGTAATTTTGGCTACTGTCCCATTTACAATTGTACCTGTACCGCCACGGGTCCCTTGAACATGCCTCCAGCTCAAAACACCTCTATCACCGGATGGGCACCAGATATCCAGGACAACGGCCTTTGCAACTTTGCTTGTACCAGAGACTATTGTCCTTCGCCGGTATGCCTCGATTCGACCCCTGACGATGCACCCTGTGGACTTGATTACGACAGTGAGGACTGCCCCGGCGATTTCCCTTGCGATTTCAGCATCAACTACTCCTCGCTCGATGCGCTGGAAGCAGACATTGGCATGTTGGATCCCTACTGTGTCGACTTCTACATGCTCAGTGCATTGTATGGAGAATTGGAGACGACTTTGGCAAATTATACGAGCATTGCTGATACGACCAACTACGACGACGACTTCAAAGAGTACGCCAAATACATGAAGGAGCAAGTTCAACCTCAACTCATGTATTTCATGAACATCAGCGAGGTCATCGGTTCACCCAATGGCGTGGGGAATCGGTTTTTCGAATGTACCTACAACTTCAACGGCATAAATAAATCAAGGACTGCCTGTCCAGATGAGTATATTGGGTCGGATCAACAGACTCATATCATCTACTACGATATTATGGACAGAGAAGGCTTCTTTGCCAATCTTACCGCAGACATAGGCGTGGAGCCGGACTGGGTCACCCTCGATGGTGGCTTGTTCCTTGGCACCAAAGAGGTGCCTTACTATGGTACCAGCAGGCCTGACTGTAATGTCTCTGACCCTCGGGATATCATGAAGCAGGCGTTGCCAAATATCCCCAATCTCCAGCTCTCGATCATTCTCACCCTGCTGAACATCGCCTCCGGAGGCTTTGACGGCGTGATCGATGATGTTGTTCAGTCCATCGCTACCGCTGTCTTTACGCTAGGTGAACTGGTTGATCGCATTTACAACGTTGTCGACATTGGTGAGAAGGTCGCCGCTGAAGAGAAGAAAGAAAAAATCCTGCAGATCATTGGTGGTGTGTTTATGGCACTTCCTTTCCTGGGCCCGCTTTCGGGGCTTGGGGATATCATTGAAGGCTTCGATGCACTACTCGCTTTGACGGGGACGGTTGCAAATGAAGCGTTCGATATCTACACCATAGTACAGAACCCGGAGAGTGCTCCAGTGGCGATTCTCAGTATGTTGCTGGGCTTTGACGCCGGTGGGGCTGTTGGTCAAATCAGTGAGAAATCCTTGGGAGCGTTTGAATACGATTCTCTCGCTGCCATGCGGCGGAACATGAAAAGCGACGAAATAAAGGGGATAAGAAATTTGTTTGAACAGAAGATGAGTCGAGTTGAGCTCCTTGAGCGAGTGCTCGAGGCGTTGAGTTTTCAAGGCATGCAGCTACTGCTTGTATCAATATAATAGATGGATAAGAAGGGATTAAAAATTCAAGGATTTCTCATTGAAAAAAATAACCGGATTGCTTGTGTTGACATATATAGCAGATACCACCGGGCCACTAGGGAAGTTAAATATATATATCGGGGCACCTATCATGGATAATTCTACCAAGCCCTTTGGGTGTACAGTTTTGGCAGTCTAACAAAGGAATTCCAGCTTTGAAGAGGTGTAATCAAATACATGAAAACTTGTTCATGTACTAATAGCCTCTATATGCTCTTAGGTTATAGCTTCTTTGCTATTTTCTTCATCCTTAGAGATCCGCTTGGGTGGATTTGTAGAGGCAGTTTGCGCTTAAGAGCTTTAAGAGCCATTTATTGGTAGAGAAGCTAATTCTCAACCAGCATTCGTCAAGGTAAACTCTATTTCTAGGTGCATATCTATCTCTTGTTTAAACATCAAAATCTTGCCTCCAGAAACACCCGCACTGGCATGGAGGTCCTTCTGGCCCTAAGTTGTATGTTCAGATGCTAGATCTAGCGTTCGGTGTCGACGAGGACTATAGAACACTCTACGGCTACATGATTCAAGCATCTACCGCACAAATAATGATAATATTATTGAAATACCTGCAGAATATTTTTCATCGCTGCCCCATTTTGCAGAGTTCGCAGGGCCCTTTTCTTGGCAAGGGCTAAAGGGTCCTTTTCGGCTAGTCCGGCCCTTGGCCAGGGTTTCTTTCAATTTCAATCCGCATCTCCACTACATAGCTACTGTATGTACCGATTTGTGATTAAAAGAGCAGTTCAACGGGAGATCCAGGTACAGGGCGCTTTTAATTGGAGAAAATCTCGGCTATGATTTTGATGCCGTAGGCGGCATTTTCAATCCCCAAAGTCGCTTCATGCTGCCAAGATCAACATTTTTTGGTCCACTTTTCGAAACGACCGGGGCGCTCAAACTGCAACACTAGCACACGACTTCGAGATCGTGATAATGAGATTTAAAATTGGGCTTTCAGCCTTCCAAAGCCACGCGGCGATTAAGTTTTTCTCAAAGTTCGGTTCTCGGGGACTAGACCTCTGCCACGTGCTAAAGCAAGACATTTCGCGTTGATTCTCACGTTTTTTCTCCTAGTGAGCAATAGTTCCTATGAGGCCGAAACTTTACCCTGGGATCTCAGCGGAGACCATCGGAGCTCTTGTAGCCTCCAACGCATTAATGTGGATACTCGGCGAGATATTGCCCACGATTCATTCGAAGGCTGTATCAAATTATCAATGGGAAAAATTGAAACGGACCACTTTCCCAATCAAGCCTTCACCGGAGCAGGGAAACATTTTAGGGCTCGTTTCACTGGACCCGAGATCCGCGGTCCAGAGTATTCGACAGAGATCGACTCCATAGACCCTAAATATATACTGTAAACAGCTATTGGATACGGAACTTTGAGGCGATTCGTGCGAAATAGATGACCCTCAGCTGTGGAGATCGAGGTTCTGGCCTTGCACACGCGAGACATGCTCCACGTTGCTGAACCGGGGGCATTAATACCGAAGCCTAAACAAAAGCTGCCGGTACCCCAGGCAAGAATAGTTTCTGTTTTGACTTTTTTGTTCCTTTGCAACGGCGTACTTGCAGTTGCCTACTATGAGGTTTTATCGGTGTCTGTTTGTTCTCTTGGCTCTGCTCGTGATTGGGTTGCACGCCGCAGAGGTGGAATCATATGAGTTTCCTTCTTGTGCAGTATGAACAATTGCAGCAAAATCTCTGGTGATCTATTACTCACTCTTCATGGTTAGATGACTTGCGACGAGCAACTATTTTCTGACTGCTCTCTCAACAACACGTCATGCTTTTGCGCTAGTAGTTCGCGTTCAACCTCACTATTGGACTGCGTTTCAAGCAACTGCACCGTGAAGGAGTATTTTAGTACGTTTCATCTGTGTCTGACCGACAAGATCCTAAACTAACTATCGCAGCCACATATAAACTATATGAGAAAGAGTGTGACATCACCCCGCTTCAAGGCCCTCCTATGGTCAATGCTGCAACATTGATTCCCTTTATTCTGGGCACTTTCTTCTTCATTACAAGAATCATCGCCAAGAGCAGCGGTCTCGCAGGTGGATGGGGATGGGATGATTATACCATTATCGTGGCCTTTGTAAGCTTCTCAATTTGTTGATCACTTATTTCGGGGGGATACTAACAAATTTGTAGATCCTAGGGGTTGCCATCTATGCTCTCAACTGCGCGAGTAGGCACGCTTCTCCCGGAACCGAATAGTACCAAGTTAGACTAACAAAACCCAGTGATTCGTTATGGCTTTGGCCAAAATATCTGGGATGTGCCCTTCGACGACATCACCAAGTTCTACCAGGTTAGTTCTTGACTCGTGGAATTTCAAATCTCAACGCTAACAACATGCAGCTTTTCCAAGGACTCGCTGTGATGTATAAGATTCAAATTTCCCTCGCAAAGATTTCCGTGTGCCTCTTCCTCCTCCGGATCTTCCAGACCCGCTCGTTTCGATATGTTGCATACGGCCTCATTGTCGTCAACGCTGCCATAGGCATTACATGGGCCTTAGTGGATTCCTTCCGTTGCTTGCCTACCCGTCTGACATGGACTGGCTGGATGGGCGAGGAATCGGGACAATGCATCAATTTCATCGTCTCTATCCTGATCAACTGCCTGGTCAATATCTTTGTTGACTCGGTTTTGATCCTGATGCCGGTATGGGAGGTGATCAAGTTGCAGTTACCACTGAAGAAGAAGATTGCCGTGGCATTGATGTTTGCTGTAGGATCATTGTATGTATACGTTCTGTTTCTCTGAGCTTGACCCTAATTACTGACGACCTTACCAGGCTAACCATCATCGCCATTATCCGAGTCGTTGTATTCTGGAACAATCGCTGGGGTATCAATCAAACAACCGGATTGTACCCTTTGATCCACTGGTCCGTGATTGAGGTTCAGATCTCCGTCATGTGTGCCTGCTTGCCTGCATTCAGAGCCCTCGCTGGCCGCTGGTTCCCAAGCTTGCTTGGATCTGCCCGCCGAACATACGCTTCGCACACGATGGAAGGGTACAACAGACATACCGGGGGAAACAGCAACATCAACAAGTCTATCAGCTATTCGGTGAATTACGCCTCCCGATCGGAGAATAGCGTGGTAGAGTTGGTGGATGTCGATGCGAAGCAGCGTCCATGATTCTTGTCTGCTCTTCTGTCTATTTGATTATTGAATATTTCTGGAATAGATTGGACCAGGCGTTGGTGGCTTCAGTTTGGGTGGCTGATTAGACTTAGCTTTTGTTCGCTTTAATGCATTGTACGAATTGATGGACGTAACATTTTCTTGTGTTCATCTTAAATCCCAGCGCGTGTGGTAACTTTGCAGGCTAATTTACCTTCGTCTATTATTTTTTCCAGAAAGTCCAGGTTTCACTATAGCTAAGTATCCCTAGAACAGAAAGGATACATCATTGGATTTACTTAATTTCTATAATGTAGCAAGTCTGAGACAAGTAGTATACTGCCTACTTTGAGGCCAGATCGTCAAGTCTGTTCTCACTGTGGAGCAAGGGCTGTTCTTTAAAGTTGGACTGCAGATTATAGAACTGCCCAGAAGCCAGAACTGCTAAATTTTATTCAGATAGCTCACAAAGGGGCAAAATAGGACAAACGAAAAAAGTACCATACCATCGTTCCTCTTATGCACAAATGTGGCCCCGAACCAGTAAGCGGGCATGTTATGATCCAAATTTAGCGGGCGGTACCTGAGAAGAGAATCGGAGAACCTCAGGCCGCGTGGGTCCCCCAAAGTCTCGCCATCCTCCCTCCTGCTTCCCGATCGCCCTTGAACCACGATTCCCTTTTCATTCGCCATTCCAGATCCCCGACCTCTTGCCAGTCTCGATCGGGTACACTCGCTGCGATCCTATACCCCATTTACCGGATTGGGCGCCATGATTGACAACTTGTAGAGCTGGTGGCACAAGTGCGAAAGCTCAGGACAAGAGGATAAAAGGACACCATGGAAGGACTCTTCACTCTGCTCGCTTTGAGCATTGTGATGGCAGTGACGTGAGATACCATTTCTAGCTGGACTAGGGACTGCAGAAAATATCGAAGCTGAGAAAAAGAAGCTAACATCTGTCCTCTCTTTAGGTCCTTTGTTGTCGGCTCATTACCTCTTGCCTTTACACTATCCCCCTCCCAGCTACGATTAATCTCCTCGATTGGTATGGGAGTGCTGGTTGGTACATCTTTGATTGTTATTATACCCGAGGGCATTGAGACCCTCTACAGCGCCAGTTCTGTCAGCCGGAAAAGTTTCGGCGCCCGCGCAACCAACGTCGACTGGTCCTCGCAGGGGCTAGTCTCTAACCAAATATTGAATGAAGATGGTGATGCATCAAGCGTGCCGTCTAGTACACCGGTGTCTTTCCTCGAACTCGACGGTGAACGAGCATTGCCCCTCGTCAGCAGGGACGCAGCTTTGGAGGAATTGCATGCGCTGAACGCACGCAAGGACGAGACCTCGAGTGAAAAGCAAAAGGAAGAGAAAGAACATCAGGAGGAAGAGAGCTCCCCGCATGCATGGATCGGCATTGCGCTCATCAGCGGATTCATTTTGATGTACCTCGTCGACAAAATTCCCGAATTCGCTTCTCCGACCAAACCTGATCGACAGCCCTATCACATCTCTCTCGATAACCTCGGGTCCGGCCTTCGGCGTAGTTCCTCCCCTATTCGCAATGGTGGCCTCCTCGATGCAGGCCACTCGAGTTCTCGGCGCAGCCACAGCTTCGCAACCACGACAGGCTTGGTGATTCATGCGGCCGCGGATGGTATTGCATTGGGAGCATCCAGCACCGATACTGGGCTAAGCTTCATTATCTTCCTGGCCATTATGGTGCACAAGGCACCCGCGTCCTTCGGCCTGACATCAATCCTATTAAAGCAGGGGTTGTCGAGCCGTACGGCGAGGGCGCATTTACTAGTGTTTAGTCTGGCGGCCCCCGTCGGTGCATTGGCCACTTTCCTCTTTGCGCATATGGTTGGGTCTTCCAGCGGCGACCAGGCTGGCTCTCAGTGGCGGACTGGCATGCTTTTGCTTTTCTCCGGCGGTACTTTCTTGTAAGTTATCTCTCTCGGATGGGCGTGCTGCAGGGGTACTAACTTCAGCTAGGTATGTTGCTATGCACACGATGCAAGAGAATGGCCCGGGCTCGAGCTCGCGAGAGGTGTCCGGCAATGGTTACGGAGACTCTCGTGACTCGCAAAATGGCTCGGACAAGTCGATGCGCGACTTGATTGCGTCCGTGGTGGGCATGGTCTTGCCGCTCTTCTTGCAGATTGGACATGCTCATTAAAATCTTTTTTTCACATTCTTCACTTCCCCCATTGATTGCATCCAGCTCATCCTCCACACGAGCTATGTATGGCTATGTCTTCTTTTCTCTTCTTCTTCTTCTTCTTCTTTTACCCTATTGACATTGCAACGAGATTGACTCGGGACCATATACCCTCTCTGTTTGACAATTGTTGCTAGAAACCCCCATCTTTGATCTTTGGACAGCCTCTGGCTTTTTACTATTGAGTTTCTTCTCTTGCTTTCTTTTTCACCATGACTGTTTCTTTCTATTTCCATTTTCTTCACCATGATATGCCTGGTCGGATGAGACCCACGAGGCAGATTCCAAATGTGCTAGTAGATCTGTTTACCTTCTTCTGTATAACGCGGGCGTGTGGCGGTGGTCATAATTGCATGTTTCATTCTCACGATCACATCGACGTAGCGTGACGTTGGGCGCGAGTCAACGTCTAAATCTGTCATTCTGTTATAAAATCCCAGGGATCCCTCGAGTGCTCGCGTGCTCAACGTGGGCGACCGCGCTCATTTTTTAATCACCATGTGAGGTTGGGTGATGGAAAGCATTCGTCAGTCTCGTCAGTCTGAATCATCCTCGCCTGACGGGCTGATCCATGGTCGACTTGTCTACGAGCCGCCCGGTCATCCACGGACTCGGGGCGAACTTGGATATCGGCGATCTAATCTAAAGAACCGATCTAGTTTGGCGACCACGAGTTTAACCACGAGGCAGCCAAAGTCAACAGCGAGCATTCGCGACATTGCGGACATCAGGCCGGGTCGCGCGCGCTTGGAAGGCCTGGATTGTCGGCGCCAGACGGGAGGCGTAGATTGGCTGCCTTTTTTTTTTGGCGCATTTGGTTCATCTCGGGAGCCGATCTGGGGACGCCTGGGGGACGCCTGGCTAGCCTCCTGGCCCTGTACTGTAGCTGGTGATTCCGTTGCCTCGTTTGCCTCTGACGGACGAGGGATCCCCATTACAGAATCAGTCTAGGGGGCGGGAGGCCTTCGAGTGTCCTGCCCCGTCCCAGCCAGCTGAGAAAGTCCCCATCTTGCACCGGGGGATAAGATGAAGGCGGAATACACGGAGTGTTTCATCGCCGACCTGTGGGAAGTGGAGCCTCTTTTGGGGGGAGCTTGGCGGCTTTGTCAGTCGAATGAAGACCCGCCGGTCACGACATCGACTCCGCCAGGAATGTCCCTTTCTCTGATCGAACCTCTCCGCCATTCTTCCGCCTTTGCTGGGCTAAACCTCGGGGAGGAAGAAGAAAAATAAAAACATAAAGACTTTCGTTTGGACCAGTCAGGAACAGGTCCCTTGAGAATCCCGACGCTTTGCGCTTATCTCCACCGCATCTTCGACTCCTTAGTCTACTACCCTCGGTCACCCCCGTGGCCAGCCTCCCGATACGACCCCGACGCCCCTCATACCGCTCTCCGAAATTCTCCCTCTGGTCTTCCAGACCGCCACCCAGGCCTTTCTTGACTTTCTATATGCCGGCTGGTGAACGTTTACCACGTGCACGGCTCGAATCTACCGAATACTCGTTGAAGAGCGACGGGATTACACCAGCGGGCCTGGGCCTCGACCCTCGTACGGCTGGTTCTCGCGATGGATCCGGATCCAGCTTTTAGCGACATGGCGGACGGGCTGATCAGCTCGCAGCCCATGTCCGACCAGCTAGATTCCCACTCTACACCTTCAACTCACGACTCCGTCTCCTCCTTTACCAGCACCCCTGCTCGCTCCCTCGGCGCCTCCAAGAAAACCGTCACCCCGATTCCCGCAAACCTACTACCCTCAGCTCCCGCTTCTCCCCCGACCCCCGCGCCGAGCCCTACTCCCCACCAGCGTCCACCGAACTGGCAATCTAGCGATGATGAGGAGAACACGTTTCTGTTGAACCTCCGCATCCACTTTAGCACCTTGTCCAACTCCCGCAAGCAGAAGCTCCTCGAGAGCATCTTGGATGTATGCGATAGCCAGCAGCTGAGCTTTGTCTCGAGCTACGTTGGCCCAAGGTTACGAAAGGATCCATTCCAGGTGTTTCCGAATGAGCTGTGCTTGAGAGTAAGATATCCGCTGCGCCCACGATCAAGCTGGAAGGTATGAGAAATGCTGACCAAGTTTCACCCTGACTATTAGGTCCTATCATTTATCGACGACCCAAAGACACTGGCCCGAGCATCGCAAGTATCCCGGCGCTGGCGCGAACTGCTCAACGACGATATCACTTGGAAGAACCTCTGCGAGAAACATGCATACTCGGTGCGCCGCATTTTGGGAGAGGATGACCCGGACTCCTTCACCGCTCGTTCTGTCGAATCGACCTCGGACTCGCGCGCTATGGCCAGTCTGCGGCGGTTAACGGCATCAACCGACCACTCTGCAGTTGAAAGTGCCCCTGAATTACCCCGCACATTGTCAGGCGAGTGGCTACCACCGACCAGTTTCCCATCAAGACGGCGCCGAACCCGACCTGTTTCGTACCGATCACAGTTCAAGCAGAAATACATGGTTGAATCAGCGTGGAATAAGGGTGGTAGGTGCACACAACGGCATATCACCCCTGACCAGGGCGTGGTCACCAGCCTGCACCTCACCTCGAAATATATCGTCGTCGCCCTGGACAACGCCAAGATTCACGTCTACGATACTAATGGGGACAACCAAAAAACGCTCCAAGGGCACGTGATGGGGGTCTGGGCCATGGTTCCTTGGGATGACATTTTGGTCAGCGGAGGATGTGATCGAGAGGTGCGAGTGTGGAATATGGCAACTGGGTAGGTTTTTGGTTCGCACCCGCCAGAAAAAACTCGCAGGACTGATGATTCATCTTTGAACCAGGGCAGGAATACACTTGTTGCGTGGCCACACGTCAACAGTACGATGTCTCAAAATGTCCGACCGGAATACAGCCATCTCGGGCTCTAGAGACACCACCCTACGTATATGGGATCTCGCCACAGGGACGTGTCGCAATGTCCTCGTTGGGCACCAGGCCAGTGTGCGCTGCCTGGCGATTCATGGCGATCTTGTGGTATCCGGCAGCTATGATACGACGGCGCGGATATGGAGCATATCCCAAGGCCGTTGTATACGGACGCTATCCGGCCATTTCAGCCAGATCTACGCGATCGCCTTCGATGGACGGCGTATCGCAACGGGAAGTTTGGACACAAGCGTCCGGATCTGGGACCCACATTCCGGACAGTGCCACGCTATTCTGCAAGGGCACACGTCCTTGGTTGGACAATTGCAGATGCGTGGTGATACGCTGGTTACCGGTGGCTCGGATGGCTCTGTCCGAGTTTGGTCATTGACCAAGATGGCCCCGATCCACCGGCTGGCGGCTCATGATAATAGCGTGACTAGTCTTCAGTTTGATAATACTAGGATTGTCAGTGGTGGTAGTGATGGTCGAGTCAAGGTGTGGAGCTTGCAAACCGGTCAGCTGCTGCGCGAATTGTCAAGTCCTGCAGAGGCGGTTTGGAGGGTCGCCTTTGAGGAGGAGAAAGCTGTCATTATGGCGAGTCGTTCTGGCCGAACCGTCATGGAGGTATGTCGTTGTCAAAATACCCATTCGTTTCACGTCGGGTTTATTTTTCACACTTGCTAATTTATTATACAGGTCTGGTCTTTCTCCCCACCACCAGATGATGCCGACGACGCCGTGGCTATCGAGAGTGCCTCCAGTACACCAGGCATTGGCTCGGCAGACGACAGTGAGCTCACCGTCAGCGCTCGCCGCCGCACTCTATTCTCCGACCCTCCTCCTACGATACCTTCTGTCAGCGACGGTGACCAGCCCATGCCCGACGCGTCATCTTGATCTAATCCCACCCTTGCAAATCGGACTCTTTGTTGCCATATAGCCTGCAATCTAACTAACCTAACGACTCCTGATATCCACTTTTTGTGTACCAGCACCGGGGGGCTCTCGTCTTTCTATCCATTCTTTGTCACTTTTGAAGCATTTTTGATCTGTTTTGGCCTCGAAATATCTGCTCGCGTTTATCAGGCCAGCCTTATCCCATTCGCCATGTTCCGTGCTTTGTATAGCACCGAGCCATTGCATATTTGGTGTTGCAATTTCTTTGTTTTTGATTTTCTTGTACCTGCAGAAAATGTTCGTCATCCGTGGAGTTTTGAAACGTTTGGTGTGGAGAGCGTAGCCCGTCGTTGCAGTTGTCTTGACCTTGGATCTGATTTTGATCGACGTTTTTGAGGCATCTACTTTTTCATGGTTGCCAGCATTGGGCTGGCCTGAGTCATTTCGGAGTCTAGTTCTCTACTTTTGTTGTTTTGGGGACTGATGATACCTCGGCCTTGGGATTATTGTGTTGTTATTTCTTTGTATGCATTAGTTCGATCTACATGCACTTGAATGAACTGCATTTTTCACTTGATAATTGAGGCTCATTGGCTAGAGCCTCGTCGTAGTTTGGACTTCTTCCTTTCTTCTTAGCCTGCCCTTTTACTCGGGGCATTCTTTGTTTCCTACTCAAGGCATGTACTTGATGGATTATTGATCTCCCCGATCAAAGGCCCATCTCCTGCAGCCGCAAGCCACCTGCAGGCCAAATGTTTGCCCGTGAACCATCGCTGTCAGATGACCCAAACTTGGCACCTATCAATGTCTCCTTTTTGCTTTTTTTTTCTATATCTTCACCAAATATATCGGTTTCCAAAGGGATCGAGTGGCATTGCACGACTGAGCATTGATCAGGCCAGAGCTGACTAATACCCAATGCCCGCGAGCATCCGCACTTCCAACGGGGAACACAATCAAAGAAGCTTTCTCCAAATCAATCAGAACCTCTCTCCCTCTCTCCTCTTTCCCTCAATCCCTAGTCCCCGGACTCTTCAACCCCATTTATACAATTGAACCCAGTTTGCCACCAAGATCTTACTGTGCATCTTATTCCTGACGATGCTCATTAGTGGCTCTCGGACCAGGCAGCCGAGTTGATTTGCAGCAGCGGTGGATGATAAGCGCACCCGTTTCCCCCCCGTTTTGTGGAACCCAACTCCCCCAGATCTAGAGCCGCGGACTCGCGGAGCCTTTTCATTTCGCCCCTAGCGGTAGTGCGGAGGACGGAGTATAGTTCGCTTCCAGTCTACTTTGTTTGCAATTTCCGGGCCTTGCGTCTCTGTGTGTGTCTGTGCTGGGTTAGCTGAATATGGTCTATGGGGGTAAGCCAAGCACCGGATGTTACCTGTGTCGAAAGCGGAAAATCAAGGTAAGATCCTTAAGAGAGAGAAGATATCTGATCGTGGGGTTGTATTTCCCTTTTCAGCCTTTTGAGATGATTGTTTATGCATTTACCCGCTAAAAAGGTTATTCGTTGTGTGAATACATACTAAATCGAATCTCTAGTGCGATGAAGCCCGCCCCAGTTGTCGAAACTGTGCTGTCTATAGACAACCATGTCCAGGCTACCGGCCAGACGCGGTCTTCCGCAACGAAACCAGGAAAATTGAGAGGCTAGCAAAGAAAGATGCAAGCTCTAGCTCCAGTTCCAGCTCTAGCTCTATTGCCAGTTCTTCTACTCCCACAAGTAAAACAAACACGCCAACAGCTCAGTCTCCAACTCTCACAGAGACACAAGCACGCCAACCTCAAGAGTCAGCATTAACACTCCAGCGCGTCCAAGATTCAACCTGGGAACAGCGTGCACTATGTTACTTTTTCGATCAATACACCATCACCGGCGAAGGCGAAGATGGCATGGGCCATCTCGAGTATTTACCCTCGCTATATGCGCGCTGTGGCGAGGTAAGCCCGCCAGGCGAGTTATCACCATCCGTCTGTCTTCGGTCAGCGGTGAATGCAACGGCGCTGATGACGCTGGCTAATGTGGCACATGCGCCGCCGTTGATGATCAAGGCGCGGCAGGGTTATGGGAAGGCGATTCGCAGCCTGCGGGCGGCGCTGGCTTCGCCGAGTCAGGCGGTTCAGGATGAGACTTTTGCTTCTGTGGTGCTTTTGTCGTTGTTTGAGGATATCACGGGTGAACGGAATGGCTTGTTTAGTTCTCATACGGCTGGGTTTGAGTTTCTTATGAAGTTGCGAGGTCAGGATCAGTTGGGTCATCAGCAAGGGCGTGATATGTTTAATTTTGCATATACGCATACGGTATGTCCGCGGTCTCCAGGTCGCTTCAGCTCAGTCAATCCTTGCTAATATCTTTGTCTTGATAGTACGTTGAGATCCTCGCATTGGGAGACAAACCCCGATGCGATTTCGACTGGGTCATGGACATGCTGGATGAGAACGACCCAATTGAGAGTCTTATGCTTGCAGCAACAAAAATGAGTCAACTTTTTCTATCAATGCAAGCTGCCCCCAACCCACCCGACCAGACGACCGTCGAATCCTGGATCGCCGCTGGTTTAGAGTGCGATTCTGTACTCTCCCAATGGACCCTTCACCTCCCAGATCGCTGGCTCCCATTAGCCGTCTACTCCCCCCAAGGCGAACCCCTTCTCACCTACAACCGCATCTCCAACGCCGGGGTCTGGGGTTACTACCGTGCTGTCCGCGTGATGCTACAGCAACTCCTCCTCAACCTCAACCGCACTCTCACCTCTATAACACAAAAGAACCAACAGCCCGGAGGAGACACAATACCAGTCGAGAGCAAACTCGACGAAACCAGTCTACGAGCCGTCATACAAGAAATGACAACCGATACATGTCGCAGCCTCCCCTTTTCCTTATCAGACGTCGACAACCTCGGACGACCGACGAAACCGAATGATAATTCGCGGCCGATCCGTGCCGCGCAGGCATACGGCATGCTCTGGCCGCTGTGGTATATTTTGTCCTGCGGTATGCCGACCTCAACTCAGGCGCAACAGATTCGCACCGTGCTCGCGCGAGTCGGATCCTCGCTCGGCATTAAATTAGCTTTGATTCTGGCTAGTGAAGCCGAACGGATGCGTGGGGACTCGCAACCTGTCGGGACACCTGTGGTTGGTTCCTGAATATGGAGGATGCTTTGTTTTGGTAAAGATATGCCAGATGCGATTTGTATAGTTATCGCGTGCTGTGTGATATAGGAGTATCTGGACATGCGGATCGCCGGATGCTCTCTACTTTACAATTGCGGGGATGGACCACTGGACCGTGTGTCAAATGTGATATCAGATAACGAGCCACTTACGACGATACCATGGGGAACTGGTGGATAGAGATTGTACATAATTATGATAGCTGGTTTTTGTATACAACACACTGATAAATACCTCCAATGGATGAACTACATGTTGTACTTCGTAATTAGCTGGTGGAGTCGGCGGCACCGCTCGGATCTCGTGACGTCATCGCCAGGGACCTTGGACCCAAGCTTCGGAATCCGGCATCAAAAGCCAAGGATAGAGATCTCAGTAGTATAGTCCATTCAAAGGTATCTAAATAGATCATAGCGGTTCTCAGGAACCGGGATCTATCCTGGCTAGCAATTTACCTCGAGTCATCTTCGGAGCAAATTCCTCAGAAGATCGACGGTCAGAGCTGATAAGCACATGTCCCAATCCAGGCCCAGCCCCAATAATTCGTGCCGGCGTAACCGTTCCCGTCACAGCCCCGTTCGTTCATAGTGGATCAGTTTAGGGTAGTTTAGTTGCAGTGGGAGGAGGGATAAGCAATGCAATGCATTATTGCTACTGTGTAGTGTATGGGAGGGGGTGCACTGACGCCATGGTCTTTTTGTCCTGGATTCCTGGTTGCTCGGTTCTCTCTTCTCTCTTATCCGGTTCCTTGTGCCCTAGACTTTCTTCTGTATTTCTTTTCTACTTCTATTTCTTTTCTTACTAGTCGCATCGTGTCGCGAGAGGGGAGTCTTAAGATCTTGGAATTAGGAATCTACGAACTAGCAATATGGCTATGCAAGAACGCAAGCTTCCCTTTGGGAAGATCGAGCCCAACTCCGGCAAGTACTTTGTCAGTTGTGCCCTCGGCGGTATTATCGGTATGTTTTCGCTCTCTTTTTTATTGAAGCTGTGATCGCTGCAAAAATAGCTAACCAAAACTTCTTGTAGCTTGTGGTATGTCCCTCGCAGTTCCATATCCACTGCTCTGTCTATCTCCTTCCTTCCCTCTCCCCCGCAGTCCAATTGACCCAATATCTCCTCTCCCACAGGCCCAACTCACACCGCCGTAACACCCCTCGACCTTGTCAAGTGTCGTCGTCAAGTCGACCCCAAAATCTACACCTCCAACATCTCCGCATGGCGCTCCATCTTCGCCAAAGAAGGCCTCCGCGGCGTCTTCTTCGGCTGGTCACCCACCTTCCTAGGCTACTCATTCCAAGGAGCCGGAAAGTACGGTCTCTACGAGTACTTCAAGCATCTATACGGCGACAATCTCTTCCCCCAGTCTAACCGCACGCTGGTCTTCCTGGGCGCATCCGCATCGGCGGAATTCTTCGCCGATATGGCCCTGTGCCCGCTCGAGGCTATCAAGGTCCGTATGCAGACTACCCTACCGCCGTATGCGAATAACTTGCGCGAGGGTTTTAGCCGTGTTGTCGCCAAAGAGGGCATAGCTGGTCTTTATCGGGGATTGTATCCGCTGTGGGCGCGCCAGATCCCGTACACGATGACCAAGTTTGCGACCTTTGAGGAGACGGTGAATCAGATCTATCGGTATTTGGGGAAGCCGAAGGAGAGTTATGGTCAATTGACGCAGACGGGGGTGAGTTTCTTGGGTGGTTATATTGCTGGTATCTTCTGTGCGGTTGTCAGTCATCCAGCCGATGTAATGGTGAGCAAGTTGAATGCTGATCGAAAGCGTGAGTTATCCGTTCTTTCCCCGAGAGGAATGCCTGGTGGATGTATACTGATCGGATTGAATAGCTGGTGAGGGTGCCATGAAGGCTGTTTCCCGCATCTATGGAAACATTGGCTTCTCAGGACTATGGAATGGCCTGCCAGTGCGTATCGTCATGCTGGGTACTCTGACAGGCTTCCAGTGGTTGATGTAAGTTGCATCCATTCTCTTTGGACTAAACCGAGGCCTCGGTAGCTGACTCTGGCAACAGTTATGACTCCTTCAAGGTCTTCCTGGGCCTGCCCACCACTGGTGGCCATTAGATAGAAGCATATAGTTGATCCTGTAAGCGTGTACTAGCTTTGGTGTTTCTGGTGTCTTTTGTCAAGTTATTAAGTTAGTTATGAAATGTGTACATCGAGATCACTCACCGCCTTTGCTATCACGGCAGAAACATATCGCGCGGCGCCGTAGAAACGTTCAACTCCTCCAACTCCTTTGTACGCCAGGAACCAGGCTCCAGCTGCTGCCTGTGATCTCTCAAGGCCGTATACCCTCTGAACTCTCGGTATATAACTCGACTTTGCAGTCCAATCTACACCTCACTACACCAACCTCTTTTCTTCGACACTCCGTTCCAACCGCATCAACTCCGAGCTGCTCACACCTCAATCGGAACACATTCATCCATCGATTGACACACCAATTGCAAAGACAACTTCAAGAAATCCACCACACCTACACACAATCCTCTCTATCTCTCTCTCTCTCTCTCTTCTCTCTTCCATCAATCTCGACCTCCCTCACAACCACCAAAATGGAAACCCGCCCAACAACCACCGCAAACCCCCCCAGCGTCGAAATCGCCTACAAGCGCAAATGCGCCGCGCTGAAGAAACGCCTCGCCGAAGTCGAAGCCGAAAATGAGCTCATGCGCACCCGCAACCTCCGCGGCTACCAATACATCCAGAAGATGCGCCTGGAGTCATGCATGTTGCTGGAGCGTCTGGCCAAAGTCACCGGCATGGCAGACGAGGCCGCCGCTGGTACGGCGGATCCGGAACTGCGTGCCCGTGCTGCGGCTATGATGTCCAATTCGGCGGTATTGAATGGGCTTGGTGGTTCTGGGGCTGCGTCGGGTGGGAATGGGGCGTATTTGGAGGATGAGACTGAGGGGAGTTCCGATGAGCAACCACCTACTGTACGTTCATCTCACCTTTGCCCTGCCTTGGGTTGATTTGGTTCGATGTGATTTGATTTCTTGAAACTCTGGCTGTTTGGTCTATATAGACCGGACGGTTGCATTTTGTGTTTCTAAAGATGTGATCGATATATGAGTGCTCCTGCTAATATCCACCTCTCACATCCACAGCCCGAAGAACGCCCCCTTCGCGTCAAGCGCTCCCGCAAATCAAACCTTCCCACCGAGGGCGGCGACGAAGATACCCCCGCCCAAGAGGCCGGTGAGGGTGGAGATGGGGAGGCCTCCCTACCGCGCCTGGCTCCAGCTCCGAGTCAACAGGAGCTCACCTCGTCGTTCCGCGTTAAGACCGACAGCAACGGGGTGCAGGATGCCGAGACCCCTGCCGACGGGGATAACCGGGATGCCCAGTCGGATGAACAGGCCGGCGAGACAGGCGCTGATGATGGGGCCACGCCTATGGATGTGGATAGCAAGGAGCCCAAGGTTGAGCAGGGGTAGGGTCCTGGTCTCGAGGGGAATCAAAAGGGGATTGGTACTGCTTTTTTTTTCCTGGATGGGCTTTGATATACTTAAATGATTGTGGTCTTTATCCTTCTTTGTGGATGACGGGCTATGGTCCGCTCCGCTTTATTATTTGCTTGGGTTTTTTATTTCTCATAAAGCGCTGGTTATGGGTTTAGTGCGGATATTTTATGGCTTGCTTTTGATTTTCTGGTGATTCGTGGTTGGAATATGATGAAACAATAGCAAAATCATTATCTGAGCTTGGTTACCTAAACTCCCCTGAAACACATCTGACGTGATCGAGAGTCAAGAGTTCGAGGGGTCTGTTTTCAATCGAATCTGATACATATGCATTGGTAATTGTATGAACATGACTATCCCATGTACAGTGCAAACTCAGCGCCTTGACTCCATTTTCGCCATAACAGAACACACATTGACTCCAACACCAGATAATAGACAGGCAAGATGATTGTAGAAATGACAGGATAGCCTCTGCTTCATATACAGGGAAGATGGTGGTACATGGAAGTGTCGAGGAAATGGAGGGTTGCGAAGTTGCAAACCCCGGGGTTCGGCATGGAGGGCTTCAAAGCGAGGGACATAAGATCAGGCGTGTGTGGTAGGACTGGCTGATATTGGGGCCCAGGGTAGGGTTGTTGTGTGGGACTGTACCACGTCGACCGGCCACGTCGTGCGAGTGGCATGCAGACTTGTGTCTTTTTCATTTTCGTCGAGATTACTCGCAATTTGTTTCTCACTCTTCGGCTTAATCGACACCGGCATACAGGTCGACGACGATATTGATAGCCGCAACCAAGATCTCGGCTGCGATCAAGACAATGACTATGTCATGGCGTTAGCAACCTTCTCGACGCATGTTAAGCTCCTCTACAAAACTTACCAATCCATTCAAGATATTCACCATGGCGATGCGTCAATTGATCCTTCAGTACCGCCAAAAGATCCGCAATGACATCCAATCGCTCTGTAAGCAGACTGACTCGCTGATCCATTTCCAAATAACTCCGCACTGCCTGGTAGACAGGTTCAAGCTGGGGTTCAGCCCAGAACAGCTCAGGACTGTCGAGAACGGAGCCCTGCAAGTGGATATTGATTCGCAGAATGAACAACTCGCCAATCTGCATGTTGATCTGCCGGCGAGTGAGGTTCACACTACCAGTCTGTGCAATCTGAGCCGGTAGTGGTGCTGTGTCGGAGATGGTTTCTGATACCAGGTCTTCAAAGAGCGAGGTCTTGACCGACTGAGCGAGCGCGTGCGAAATGGCCAGCTTGATCATGTGGTTTCGCGGTTCCCGCAGCGAGATGAAGTCGTTGTATATCCTCGCCTGGTACTCGCGCGCATAGTAGAAATTGAAATTCTCGATCTGGGTATCGTCGGGACTCAATATTGAGGACGCAAACTTCGATATATCAGACAAGAAGCGGGATTCGTGGGCCGGCGTCATGCCCCATATCACCACGGTACCATAGTCGAACAGGAAGACCTCGGGAGTATGGATGGTGGTATCAATTTCGAATGCCTCATCTGATTGTGGGTTAGAGACCGCATGCTCGGAACTGACATCACCAGGACGACCAGCATCTTCGTGGAAGTCGATGAGGTCTTCCCGTCGGGTTTTTGTGTTGTCCTCCACTTCAACCGCACTGTCCGAGTATCTCCGCTCGCTAGTCCGTCGCTCATGGTGTCCATTGCCTCCTGTGGCAGGGAAGAACCGGCTTCCCTTCTGCTTCTCTTCGTACTGGTAATCGAATGGGGAATAGACACACTCGTCGAACAGCTTGGGATTCGCTCCGCGAGTTTTAGCCCGAGATTTCAAGAATTTCACCACGCCTTCCAGTCGATAGGAGTTGGCCGTGCAGTATGCGGTCACTCGTGGAATGCGGTCACGGTCGGCTTTTCCTAGTCGAGCGGCATGGCTGCGAGCCGCAGGTTCTTTGATGCGGGTGATTTGTGAATAGACATCTCGAGGGAAATCACCGTCGAATTCCTCCTCTTCTTCCGCAGTCACCGGGTCTGGGAGGAGCTTGAGCTTCTGTGCTTTCTTGGTTGTACGCTGGGGTCCAATCTTGGGAGCGGCCGGGGGCGGCGTTGTCAAGGGAGCGCCATGACTATTGCGACGACGAAGTTTGCTGTTCAAGGCCGAGAGCATGGGCTGACTACCCGCTCGAGGAGCCCCTCCAGTAGCATTGATATTCTGAACCGGAGGAGAGCCGGTCTGAAGAGGGCGAAAGGTAGGATCGGATGAGGTGGTACCGCCGTAGGTACTGATTGTCGTCAGCGGGTTGAACGTTACCGACCGAGATGGCCTGTTGGACCGCGGTGACGCGGGATTCGTTTGAGGCAATAAAGGAGCTTCTTCTGTTGCTGGAGACATCGTTGCTGAATAGGCGACACAAGCGCCGGAGGGAATTGAAGAGTGATGAAGCTGGGAAAAGTCGGAGCTTCCAAGGTTGGAAAGCTCCCCACGTGAATTGCGACAGTCCCCACTCTTAATAATCTGGAGGCGATCCGCAGAAGAATCAAGGTATCAAGGTAGGACATGCCAGATCAAACATGCTTGATTAAACTCTGATGCTGTAATGGAAGAATTTATTTATTTTGAGATTCATACTTGATTTTGTATTTTCCCACCCCTTTACAAGAGTCTGGTAAGTGATCTATATACAGTAGGAACTCCCTGAATCAAAAATGCAAGACATTACCCATGGACCGTGCTATGATGCGCCTTTGACACTTTTTAAACATAAAAAACACGGACATTTGATTTCAACGGCGCTTGAACCCAGAAGAACCACCAGATGTCCTCCGTAGACCGTTGACATGTGCTGTGCTCTTTTGCTGCTTCAGCCAACCCTCCTTCATGCCCCGCCCGTGCTTGGAAGCTTTGGGGGCAAGCGCAACCTTCGAACTTTGTTTTGTAGACGGGGCATCAAGCACTCGAATGGTGACGTCGCCTACTTGAACATCCTTGGGAGGCTTCTCCGTCTTCTCCAAAAACCTCAACTTGTTCGACTTCTTGGGAATCGCAAAACCGAAGTTATTTTCGGCAGGTGGTGTCGGAGGACGGGTAACAGGCTCGGCATTCAGGATATCGTCGGGGAGCAAAGCGGGCAGAGCACGTCGTCGCGCGTCTTCCGTGTTATCGCCCTGCACAGTGGTGGTGCTTTCGGAGTGGATGTCCTCGCTAGGTGCTGTAATTTCCTTTGGCTTAGACTTGGCCTGCAATTTGCGGGTCTCATCGAGCTTCCTCCGCTTTTCCCTCTTCAGTTGCTCCTCTCTATTATGAACTGTTAGTCAAGTGAAATGGAGAAAAGTGGGCATGGAAGATACGGAAAACATACTGTTGCTTTGCCTTCTCCTGCTTCCTGGCCTGCTCCTTAATCTTCATGAGCTGAGCAGAATTGTCGATCGTTTCGGGCGCATCATCGTCACTATCGCTATCCTCGTCCTCGTCCTGCTCAGACTTTGATTCGAGTTGTGTCTCTGGAACAGTGGGTTCTGGTTCCTCGCTGCCAAATCGGAAGTGTTTCTTGGGCGCTGAATCCTCATCCATATCTGAATCGCTCGCGGCATCGGAGATCGTGTTCTCGGCTTCCAGGCTGTTCCTCTTCCTCCGCTTGCTCTGCTTATCATTCGTCTTTTCGGTGGTCACTGGCTGAGCCTTGCGCTTTCCCTGCTTAGCAGAACCATTGGTAGTCGGCTCTTCGGTCGGCTGGGACGTGACAGTCCCTCTTCTGGTAGCGGTCACCATGTCGGAAGTAGTTGCGGCGGAGGCCCCAGCAGGATCTGCAAGTGTGTCTTCAGACTCGGATCGCGCAAATAGTCCTTTAGCTGCAATCACAAAGTTGGAGAACATAGAGATCAAAACAAAGTATGAAAGAGGGAAACGGCACGAGTCCCAAGACGAAGAAGGTACTTGTGATTGAAGCCGCAGCGTGATGCGCCAGACCAAAAAAAATCGCTCGGTCTTAAAATTTCCCGGAGAGCTCCACAAAGTCTTGGCACCATTGGATCTACTGTACTTCATCTATACCGCCGACTTTATTATTATGAGGTCATTACTCAATGAACTTAGGATGTGTACGCAATGTGCAGAGACAATTTACAAGAAACTGAAATAGGGAAGACGATCAGATTTGCTCTTTAACTGTGTCCCTAATCTCGCTTAAGTACATTTAAATACAATGTGCCGTGAGGACCGCAAATTGGTATCACAATCATAGCTCATATCCCCTAACGCCGATGAAACCAAAATTTTTCTCACCCGAAAATTTGCCCAGAGGAACCTAAAACCAGTGCTATTCATGCAAATGTGAAAAACCACAGATATGCATTGACACACGATGAAGACCAGAGCTCGACAATTTGAGTGCTCAAAGGCGCATCGCACCGGCGTAGGCCTGGGCGTGCTCCATGGCTTGCTCCTCAATGTCGGAGAACTCATCAGAGTTGTAGTCAGTGGCATTGTGCAGGATATCACCCCACTCTTCGGAATCCTTCTCTGGCACAATCCAGAAGCTTTCTCTCTCGCGTTTGTTGCGCTCACGGTCTTCCTCGATCCGCTGCTCGATCTGTCGCTTGTCCGGACGGCAAGTCTCATCCTGGGCCCCATCTTCACCGATGTCGTAGTGCTCTGAGTGGGTGTCACGGTCTTTGAGGGCAGCATCAATCTCAGTCACGCTGTCCGCGGTGAGGATTTCCTTATTCTGCAGGTTGCCCAAGACGCGGCGAACATGCTTTACGTTGGCGGCACCGGATCCATCAGAAGGCACAACGGCATCCACAATGCGGAGAATGTCACGCTGGATCATCCGAACGTAGTCAAGGTGGTCCTCTTTGGTGGCCATCTCGCAGAGTTGCTCGATGAAGAACATAATGTTGGCCCGGCTGTTCATGTTGTTCTACGAAGTGAGACAAATCAGCTATCAATCATCTGATATTATGTCCACGGCACTGTACTTACCCGCTCAAGCTGTTCCAGAATGCACGAGTGAAGGTCCTCATCCAAGTCACGGTACTTGAGTGCATACTGAGCCGCCTTCTGGGAGGAGGTGACTGAGGCGCTCAGATGCTGCAGCTGCTGGGTGAAGCGCATGCGCACTTCGAACGGATCAACCGCCATGCTGGCGGGGGCAGCGAAGTTTTCCTCGATGATTTCACCGTGAGGTCCAAAGGTGAATTTCTTGATGTGACGTGTCGGTGGGCTGGCTGGTGCTGTTCCCGAAAACACATACAACCTCTGGTAAGACTTGGTGTCGGTGATAGGATCGATGGGACCGATAGGACGTAATTTGTTGTTATCCATCCTTATCGCTGATTGAAGGGCGGTGAGTAAAGGCGGTGGTATGGGCGGTGAGGGAGTGAGAGATAAGGCAGAATCAAGGGATAGTGTAGGCGGAGATGGTGAAGCCAATGAGAATTCTAAGGGCGAAAGGTTTGATCAGTTCCTTCCCTGTGAGACCTGGCAGGTATGAGGCCCGGGCAGCAGCCAGCCTTCCAGCTCACCTAGTGAGGGGATACCGGGCTGTTGTGTATACCTGCTCCTCCAACCTTAGGAATTGACACTGCCAAGATGCCTATCGAACCCCATACCCTAAAATATTGGATTCAATTCTGATAACCTGACATACTGGCGATTGGCGATAGACGGTCCCAAGGCAGACAAGTCTTGAGCCTATACGATCAATACTGATTTGACTGTAGTGGATTAGATCTAGAATAGTCCGTTAGATTGAATTTGGCGGATATATATGTCTCCATCTCTAGCTTGGCTCAGGAATAAGTTGAAGGATATATTCAAGAGAAACTCCACTGGAAACTCCGAATCTAAATAAGCGAAGGATTGGTCCTCCGAGAAACATCGTGCAAAAGATCATTGTACAAGATAAGTAGAGAAATAAAAAGATCATCATAGCGAGTCTCGCCTGAGTGAACCACTGAGACTGCTTCGCTCATCGCCCTGAAGTAGGCCAACTTCTTCGGCCCCGTGGGTATACTGAAATTCATCGCCTCGGAGGGCTTCCTGCCGACGGAACTCGACACCATTGAGCACTGACCAAACATCTTTTTTGGTCAGCAAGCCTTGTAATATTCCTTTGTTGGCGAAAAGGACATATCGCAGACCAAGCCGTTGGAACATCCGTAGGACGATCAAGAAACTGATATTGCTATTGAGCGTAATGGGGGTTTGGTCCATCCAGGGTCGAAGATCCAGAGTCTCCACAGGGTCTGCAAATGGTTGGTGGGCAAAGAAAACCTGAGTTTCCTCTGAGAGGTTGCGGTTGGCGGGAGAGGTCGAATGTTTCAAAGCGAAGGAGAGCTCGTTGCGTGTAATATATCCAAGAAGAATGGGGGTAGAGGTTTCGGAGATGACTGGGAACCCGCGGTAGGTGGTATTAGCAACGAGGTTTCGAAGTGAGCCGATGGTGTGGCCGGTTGCTGTGATGACAGAGAGATCGTCAACAACTGTCATGACCCGTCGAGCATAGACATCTGGCGGGGTAGTATCGTCGCGGTGGTCGAGGAATGGGTATTCATTGAGCTGAATCCACGATTCGTAGATGCCTCGCTTGCCGAAGATATCACCACACCATTTGGACAGCATAACGGCAATCATGATTGGGATGACATAGGTCAAGGCGCCAGTCAGCTCGAACATGATAACCACGATGGACAGCGTCATTCGAGTCGCCCCACCTAGGGCTGAGGCTGCGCCGATGATCGCGTATAAGCCAGGCGTTACACATGGAATGTCGGGTTCGCATTTGGCGAAGAGGAAAGCCTTGGGGTAGGCTTCCTGCCACATTCGTACTAATATCCCCAGAGCGCGACCATAAAGTGCACCAATGGCCACTGACGGCAGGATAATACCGGCCGGTATATCGAGACCAAAGGTCACCGAAGCGAGGAAAAAAGCGAGTGCGGCAGCGAGTAAAAGGATGGCAACAACACCGAAAGCCTTAGAGCCAGTGACGCAAAGACCGAATCGATCATATGTTTCACTACTGCATTCTGCAAAAAGGGCTTGGACAAGTTCTGAGTTTTGAGCTCTCATGAAATGATTCGGGAAGTTGATCAAGGCCGTTAAGAGAGCAATGACGGCGACCTCAAGAATGGGCCGAGAAGAAGATCGAGATCGTCGCCATCGAGCGATCTTAATGTTGAGGCGAATGAGGAATGCTCCGAAGAGACCACCGACAATGCCAAGGATAATGAATGGAATGACTTCAAAGCGGTGCCATCCCCGAGTATAGGTCACTTGGTATAGCACAATCTTTCCCGTGCGAAATGGATTTAATGCTTGTAAAGTTACAGCAGCAACCATAGCGCAGACAAAGCTTTGCCACATTGTCTTATCCGGAAAATAATAGGATAATTGCTGTAAAGCATTAGTGACCACATGACAAAGGAGATTGCGTAAGCCAAATATTGTTCCATCCTTACCTCCAAGCTAAACAGGACACCTCCGATGGGAGCACCGAAGGCGACAGAGATGCCTGCCGCCGCCGCAGCCGAAAGAACTTCACGTTTCCTCGCCTCGTTGCCGGTGAGACTATCAAAGGGCTTCATCATTATATTGGCGCAACAACATGCAACATGCACTAGAGGGCCTTCCTTGCCGAGCCAGAGACCAGATGAAACTGCGAGGCACTAGGATAATGTAAGTCACCCAGCGCGAATCTGGTTAATAAAGGAGACATACCAGACCAAGCGACTTGATAGTCAGTGTCCATGGGCCCATGAAGTGACGGATGACAGTTCCTCCAAGCACCGTTTTAATCTCAGGTATTCCACTATGTCTTGCATAAATCGCAAATCTTCGTACCAAGAGGCAGGCACATGAAGCGAATACAACCTGTGTTGTGTTAGACCCTTCTTAAGCGGATTTAGATCAGATGAAATACCGAAGAGACGATGTAAAATATGTACTCGATGGCGTACCGGCCTCCAGTTGAAGATGCACCCAGTGCTTTCCCCCATGGCGTCCAGTCCATACATTGGGAATAGTCTATTGCCCATAGCTCTTTGTTAGCTTGCATTTACGTACCGCCAAGGAACGCCAAGTGTGCTCTTACCATTTAAACCCCAGCAGCAAAAGCTTCGATTCAGGTAGAACTTGCCACCTCCACGACCACTCTTGCAGTAACCGGTTTTCAAATCTCCTAACCAATCTGTCGCGATGTCGATAGCTGCGGCAAGGATTCCTACCGCAATACCGGTCGCAATTAGGACGAACCAGACGTTACTGGCTTCTATGACTCTGCGCACATAGCCGAAAATACCCTGACCACTGGAGTATAATAGTCTTTTCCGTTGACGTTCCTTCGTGTACTCATAGATCCAATCGATAGCGGTAAAGTCGTCGTAGCCAACTCGGCGGCCGGGTCCCTCCACATACCAGTCCAGGGGACCGCCATCTTTGGAGTTCGGATCACCATTCAGTCCCACTGGTCCATAGGGCTCTAATGGCGATGCATCGCCATTTTGTCCGCCGTGTGGTCTCGAGAAGCCAAGCCCAGGAGTACTCGAACCGCCGGCGGTAGTCGAGAAAAGGCTAGACAGGCTGAAACGCGATTGTCGTTTTTGTTTTCGTTTAAAAGAAATTCTGCATTGAAGTCTGGGATTAGCAAATGAAACATGCCCTAACAAAGCTACACATACGGCTCAAATCCCTCCGCGCCTCGAATGGTGTCTTGAAGCCGAGGATTCTCACGTTCCTGTTCCGGTAGAGCTGGAGATGTCGCGTAGCGTTGATCATCGCTGCCCGAGCTCTGACCGGTCATTGACATCTTGAACCATCAAAAGTCCACAGAGCCAGCATCTCCTGAACGATCATGAAATAGCGAGGACCACGTTGTTGTAGACAAGTTGGCGACTACTTATCGGAGCTGGCGCAAGCTCCGGGGGGCTTAGGCAACCCGATTAGGAGGCGGTGAATGATCCAGCCCGGTGGGGCCGGGCCATCCATCGCGGCAGAAAAAAAAGTTATGGGGAATTTCTCTCTTCAACTTGCTATCAAGTTAATTGCAAAGAGATCCTCTACGCGGCCGGGCTCAGCATGGATGGAAGGCCCGCCTACGAGAGGACTCTTACAGAGTCCGAGCTGCTTGAGCAGCTCCCGAATGAGATCTCAAGTCTCATTCGGTCTGCCTCGGGGACTCGGCAGCTTCACGCGCTTGCTCTTGGAGCATTAAACAGTGAATTCACAGAAAGTATTTTCCGACTTTACGAACCGATCGTGGTCGATCTCGCAGCTCGATGGCTTCGATCGGATCTCAATGCCGACCCTATCCATGTCCTGGCGGCATTTGCCCGCATCCTACCTTTCGCGGCATACCTCCGACCTTTCGCCAGCCAATATGCCTCGTCACAGGCTGGAAGCCTCTCTGCTCTAGTTGGGTCAAAAGAGTTGACGTTACGGCAGTTGGACCTAAATGATACCCGTACATTACTCCTCGCCCTATTCCGACTGCTGTCATTTGATTTGGACACCTTCGCCAAAGCCGTGTCACCGATTCAACTCCAATCTCTGTTCCCCCACGAAGACCAAGTAATCCGATACCTTGCGGTCCGATGCTTTGCCCTCTATATGCATGCTGCCGATGCAGCTACCCAAAATATGCTGCGCGCCAATACCGGCGTTGACCCAATTGAAGGGAGTTGGGAAGGGATCACAATTGATTTCCGACTTTTGGGGTTGTGGGAGGAACGGCGATGGGAAACCCTGGAGAGGCATATCCAACAGAAGAACGTGACACGGTCAGAGAGCGAAGCAATGGCACTGGTTGATAGAACCCGAGGCTCTCTCACAGCTAGGTCTGCTGATGTTTCCGGCGTCTTGATTCCTCGACTGAAGGACGCCGACTCATTCTCCTCTTCTATTGTGAAGACCCCCACCACGACGGCAAACATTCGCCGCATTGCGCGGTCTCTTCTTGGGTTCAAGCCTATCCTGTTGGTCGGTTTACCCAACTCCGGCAAAACCTCTCTGATCAACGACATTGCCGGTGTAATGGGCCAGGCCGAGTCGATGGTCACGCTGCATCTCAACGAGCAGACAGATGCCAAAAGTCTGCTCGGAATGTACGCGACGTCGTCTGCCACAGGTTCTTTCTCCTGGCAGCCCGGTGTGCTCACAAAGGCTGCACGAGAAGGTCGTTGGGTTTTGATTGAAGACCTCGACCGTGCTCCATCCGAAGTCCTCGGTCTAATCCTCCCGATTATTGAGCGAGGAGAACTGACAATTGCGAGCCGGAGGGAGCGGATAAAGTGCGCCGAGGGGTTCAAGATTATCGCCACTATGAAATCTTCATATAATATTGCAGGAGAGGAAGTTGCCCCAAGCACCTCGATGCTCGGCAGTCGTCTGTGGCAAAGAGTTCCCGTGGCTTCTCTCTCTGTCGACGAGATGCGAGATGTAATTCTGCAAAAATTTCCTCTTCTGGAGTCTCGTGTGCCAATTATCATGGAAGTATACAGGAGGGTTTGCTCTGCTTTCCATGGAAGCTTGGCGATCAAGGGTTCCCAAGGCCGGACGCCGGGCTTCCGTGATCTAATCAAGCTTTGCAGCCGACTGCATCGGCGACTACAACTCATTGGTGCAAAGACCGGCTTTGAAGCTACCCCGGAAGGTGTCGACGATGAGATCCTCTTAGATGTTGTGGACATTTTCCTCAAGTATCTTCCTGAGAAGTCTATGCAAAGCTCTCTCGCTTCTGTGGTTGCGGAGGCTCTCCAAATCTCGCCCCAGCGTGCACAATTCTGCCTTGAGGAACGTACGCCAAACTATAACGATAAGAACAACTCTTTAGTGCTTGGACGAGAGGTTTTGCAGAAAATCAAAGTGCCAAGCGGTGCGGCACAGAAGCTCGCTGCTGCGGCGTCACGATTTGCTTCGACAAGATCAGCGCTTTCTATTATGGAGCAAGTCGCTGCCGCAGTGCAAATGGCGGAACCTGTCCTCCTTGTTGGAGAGACTGGTATTGGCAAAACCACTGTGATTCAGCAACTTGCTACCTTGATGCGCCAGAAGCTCACTGTCGTCAACCTGTCACAACAATCAGAGAGCACTGATCTTCTGGGAGGATTCAAACCCGTCAGTATTCGCACAATGGCGGTGCCGATGCTTGACGAGTTTACTCAGCTGTTCGAATTGACCTTCTCAGCGAAAAAGAATCAGAAATTCCTTTCCTCCGTGTCCAAGAGTGTCGCTTCAGGAAATTGGGTGCGTCTGGTTAATCTTTGGCACGAGGCTGTCCGGTTGGCCAACGGAGTCTTCAATCCCGCGCGCAACAGCTTGAAAGAGACCGAGAATGGCGATGAGCAACAGCCAGCCAAGAAGAGAAAGTTGGACTCCCCCAAATATCAACACTTGCGACAGCAATGGGAGAGATTCGAGGCTCAACTTGCGGATTTCGAAGCCCAGGTCTCCCAGGGCGATGCGAAATTCGCGTTTGCCTTTGTGCATGGAAAAATTGTCCGAGCCTTGAGGAACGGCGAATGGGTTTTGCTGGACGAAGTGAACTTGGCCTCCCCCGATACTCTTGAGAATATTGCCAGTCTCTTGCACCACGGCGGCGAGGGCTCGCCTTCTGTCCTTCTCTCTGAGGCTGGTGACGTGGAGCGAGTGTTCGGCCATCCTGACTTCCGTATCTTTGGTGCTATGAATCCTGCAACCGACGCCGGCAAACGTGATTTGCCTCCTGGCCTGCGTTCTCGATTCACCGAATTCTATGTTCACTCCCCCGACACCGACCTGGATGATCTCTTGGCTTTGATTGAGAAGTATCTTGGTACCTTGACAATGGGCGACCCACGTGCCGCACCCGATCTTGCGCAGCTGTATATGGAGACCAAGAAGCTGAGCAACGAGAACAAGCTCACAGATGGAGCCGGACAGCGACCACATTTCAGTATTCGAACTCTTGTTCGAGCCTTGATCTATGTGATTGATCACGCACATGTATACGGCCTGCGTCGAGCGATCTTTGAGGGATTCAGCATGAGTTTCTTGACCGTGCTGGGCCTGGAATCCGAACGATCTCTTGTCCCGTTGCTGGAAAAGCACATCTTCGAAAATGCAAAGAACGCCAAATCGTTACTTGGACGAACCCCCAGACCTCCCGAGGATGGCCTCGACTATGTTCAATTCAAGCACTATTGGATGCGTCGTGGTCCTTTGGTCCCAGAGGAGCAGCCCCATTATATCATTACTCCTTTCATTGAGAAGAATCTCAAAAATTTGGTCCGCGCCAGCTCTACACGTCGCTTCCCTGTCTTGCTACAAGGTCCTACCTCAGCAGGAAAGACAAGTATGATTGAATATCTGGCAAAGGTCTCCGGCAACAAATTTGTTCGTATCAACAACCATGAACATACAGACCTGCAAGAGTACCTAGGATCCTATATTTCATCTGAAGATGGGAGCTTGCGGTACCAGGAAGGTGTCTTGGTGGAGGCTCTGCGAAATGGGTATTGGATCGTCCTTGATGAGCTGAACTTGGCCCCCTCCGATGTCCTTGAGGCGCTGAATCGTCTTTTGGATGATAATCGGGAGCTCTTCATCCCTGAGACCCAGGAAGTGGTTCACCCTCATCCTAACTTTATGCTCTTCGCTACACAAAATCCTGCTGGTCTGTATGGTGGTCGAAAGGTTCTCTCTCGTGCGTTCCGAAATCGTTTCCTTGAGCTCCACTTTGATGACATTCCGGAGAGCGAGCTGGAGTTCATCCTCAAAGAGCGTTCTCAGATTGCCCCCTCATTCTGCACACGAATCGTCTCGGTCTATCGCAAGCTTTCTCTGCTCCGTCAGTCCAACCGACTGTTTGAGCAGAAGAACAGCTTCGCTACTCTCCGTGATTTGTTCCGTTGGGCCCTTCGCGATGCCGATGACCGCGAACAATTGGCAGTAAATGGCTATATGCTCCTTGGGGAGCGTGTTCGCAACCCCCAAGAGAAAGCTGCCGTGAAAAGCGTGATTGAAGAGGTCATGAAGGTTCGTTTGGACGAAGACGTGCTTTACAGCGAGTCACAGCTTGAGCAGAGTGTTCCCCAGATGGCTGGGCTACCCTCTGGCATTGTTTGGACCAAGGCTATGAGGCGCCTTTTCATTCTCGTCTCCAAGGCTCTCAAAAACAACGAGCCGGTTCTTCTCGTTGGAGAGACTGGATGTGGTAAAACACAGCTCTGTCAGGCCGTAGCTGAGGCCTTCAAGCGCGAGTTGTTCATTGTAAACGCCCATGTCAATCTCGAGACGGGTGATCTTATCGGTGCTCAAAGGCCCATCCGAAATCGTGCAGCAATTGAGAAGCAAATTTTCGAAGATCTGCAATTGTTTATTCATGGGCAGCCATCAACAAGCTTGTCACTCGAACAGTTGAAGCAGGAGTTATCAACTCTCGATGTTCAGCAAAGACAAGACAAAGATCAAGACCTTTTGCGCCGCATCGAGAAGAACATCATTCGATGCAACGCGCTCTTTGAGTGGTCCGACGGAAGTCTCATTACTGCCATGAAGACTGGCCAGTTCTTCCTGCTTGACGAAATTTCCCTTGCTGACGATTCAGTTCTGGAGCGACTGAATAGTGTGCTGGAGCCTCATCGATCAATTCTCTTAGCCGAGAAGGGTCCAATTGACTCCATGGTCGTGGCCGACGGAGGGTTCCAATTTTTGTCAACCATGAACCCTGGAGGTGACTACGGTAAACGAGAGCTTTCAGCTGCTCTCCGAAACCGCATGACAGAAATCTGGGCTCCTCAACTTTCTGAAGACGAGGATATTCTCCCTATCCTGCAAATGAGGTTGACCCTCAAGGATGAGAATATGGCAAGGTCGATGCTTCGGTTTGCGAAATGGTTCAAGGCTACTTTCCAGAACACTTCAACTACCTCCCTTTCTCTCCGTGATCTTCTTGCCTGGGTTGACTTTGTGAACACCTGCCAAAGTGAGGATACATTGTTCGCTATCGTCCAAGGTGCAGCCATGGTCTTTATCGATACTCTCGGTGCCAATCCAGCCGCAATGCTTGCAATTTCTTTGAATAATCTCGATGGCAATCGACAGAAGTGCCTGGACAAACTGGGTGAATTATTCAGTGTTGATGCCTCTAAGATTTACTGGCAATCTTCGACGGTCTCCCTTGAGCCCGGTTTCCTGCAGGTCGGTCCGTTTTCTCTGCCAACCGTTGGGGAGACCGATCCTGATCCGCAATTCACCATGGATGCACCGACCACAATTGCCAACTCTGTGAGAATCGCCCGTGGTTTGCAATCTTCTAAACCCATCCTCATGGAGGGTAGTCCTGGTGTTGGTAAAACCACACTCGTGACAGCACTCGCCAAAGCTCTTGGCAAGCCCCTGACTCGAATCAACCTTTCAGAGCAGACAGATCTCACAGATCTCTTCGGATCAGACGTCCCTGTCGAAGGAGGCGATGTTGGACAATTCACTTGGCGCGACGCTCCGTTCCTGCGAGCGATGCAGCGTGGCGATTGGGTTCTTCTGGACGAAATGAACTTGGCCTCGCAGTCCGTCCTCGAAGGTCTCAACTCTTGTCTGGACCATCGTCAGCAGGTCTACATTGCCGAACTTGACCAGACTTTTAAACGTCACCCAGACTTTGTCCTATTTGCTGCTCAAAACCCCCACCACCAGGGAGGTGGCAGAAAGGGTCTTCCTGCATCTTTCGTCAATCGTTTCACTGTTGTCTATGCAGACAGCTTTACCGATGCAGATTTGAAAACGATCTGCACGAAGCTCTTCCCCGGAAGTCCCCGTTCACAGACCGAAAGGCTGGTTGACTTCATCTCCAGCCTCAACACAGCGATTGTCACCGAACGCAGACTTGGAGCTATCGGTGGCCCATGGGAGGTCAACCTGCGAGACATTCAGCGATGGCTCCAGTTGGCCGACCGGGGAGATTTGCAGATTCCAACCAAGCACTTCCTGGACATTGTCATCAGCCAAAGGTTCAGAAGTCAAGATGATCGCGCGCAAGTTGCTCAAATCTACGACCGCATTTTCAAAGATTCAGAGATTGGCCAGAAGAGCTACTTCCACAACCTGACCCCGGATTACCTACAGGTTGGCCTGGGTATTTTGACTCGAGACCCCCTGTTACAACGCTCGCTTGCACCGCACATGAAAATTCTCCCCAATGATCTTCATATTCTCGAGTCTCTTATCCTATGTATTGACAACTCCTGGCCCAGTATTCTCGTTGGTCCTGCTGGCTGTGGTAAGACAACCTTGATCAAGAAGCTCGCAGCTATCAATGGTGCAAACCTGGAGGAGCTCGCTCTGAGCGCCGACACCGACACCATGGACTTGATTGGTGGCTTTGAGCAGATTGATCATCGAAGAGAGGTCGCCTCTTTCATCCATGATGTCGAGATCTTCCTACGAAACCAGATCATTCATTCGTTCGCGTCTGGTAACGTCTCCGAGTCTGTGGCCCTGGCTCTCCAGATTTGCCAACATTTCCAAAGCCCAGAAACCTCGCTGGAAACCGTGGTCTCATCACTGTCAGATCTTTGCCAGTCGTTCTCTGATCCAACCCTGCAACAATTCCTTGAGAGAGCGCAGAGTCTGTTGGATACCATCCGTAATTCCGATAAGATGAAGGTTGGCTTTGAGTGGACTGAGGGTGTTCTGACACGGGCTGTTCAGAATGGATCCTGGGTCATTCTTGACAACGCCAATCTCTGCAACCCGTCTGTTCTGGACAGATTGAACTCTTTGACAGAGCCCAACGGAACACTTATTCTCAATGAACAACGAACCGAGGATGGATCCGCTCGCATCATTACTCCCCACCCTAACTTCCGCCTCTTTATGACCATGGACCCTCGCCATGGAGAGCTGTCTCGTGCTATGCGTAACCGATGCATTGAGATCTGCTTCATGCCAAGCGAAGGACAAGAGTTTTCTACCTCGACAGGTCCCTCCTATACATGCGACTCTGCACTCTATCGACTTCGTCATGTCTGGAGTTCAAACAAAGCATTGCCATCTGAATCCTCCACGGAAGACTCGTTAGACGTCTGCTTGGACCATCTCTCCCCTGCAGATCTCATCTACCTTCAAAAGTCTCCAGGTACATTCTTGCCTAATCATGCTGAATCCAATGCTGAGAGACTTGCCGCGTCCAACACCTTGCAACGCTACATTTTAACGCTCCAGGAAAATAACCAGTGGAGACCTCTCAACTTCGTCGCTGGCGAGATCATCATGGCAGGAGCATCTCTCAGCATTACGGGCGGACTCCAGCCAATTCACCCTCTTGTCAACGAGCCCCTCCTGTCAGTGACTGGAGGCAGCGATTACCGCTCTAGTATTGTTGTCTTGGCCTACCTTCAAGAGTTTAGGCTCGAGGTTCATCGTTTAAAACAATGTTTGGTCCACTCCAATGACTCTGCAAACCAACTCAAGCCAAGCCAAATGACACGACTGGAGCGTTCCTTGGCTTCCAGCCGGATCCAATCTTTGATGAAAGACACAACTCAGCCTGTCGGCAGCTTCCTGTCTGATTGCGGTCAAGCATTGTACGATTATATTCAGAGCTTGAACGAAGCCAGCCTTGGCTCACCAGAGATTATGGCTGCTCTAAGAACGATCATCTGCCTCTGCTGGGACATCTACAAAGCGACTGATGTGACTCAAGTCAACGAGGGTGAATTCCAAATTTACCTGCAGATTGGAAGAAAGGTCTGTGCATCTCTACTTGAATCATCTCCGTCATTGAAGCCCCTGGAAAGAGCACTCTCAAATGCCCTTGCTCGCTTCCAAGCTGGGTGGGCGTTGACTACAGGTCTCAGCATGCAACGAATCTGGGATTCCTGGAGGCATGTTACACCTTCATCGCAAGAGCAATTGAAGTCTCTGATCGAACTGGAGACCACCGTGTCTGACTTCACCAACTTGGCGTTGCAGACACGCGTTGAGGTTTCTCAGCTGAGCAGTGTGTGGAACTCATTGATTGATGCGCAAAGATTCATCCTGCTGGACGGTGCAGACGGAGATCTACTTCTCGAGGGCATTAAGCAGACGGTGGCCGAGCTTGGTCAGGCTGTCCGCCGCTCTGATTCTGCCCAGTATCCCTATTTCTCGCAGGAGTTTGAAGCGATATGCCAGTATCATGATATCTCGTCGTTTGGCGCCGAGAAGGCCGTTCAGACAGTGGTGCCCTTGCTTGCTGGTCGCCGTGCACGCTCGCTTGACTCCTCAGCTACCAAAATTCGGGTTCCGGAGTTGCTCCACAGACTTGCCCTGTTTTCTGGCGCAGGAAAGAATTCTAGCTCTCCACTGGCCATTGGTGGGGTTCTCTCGCTATCCCTGCTGGACCGTTTGACATCCGTCGGTGCCACTACATTGGGTCAAATGGATCTGCTTCAGGCAGAGAAGGAAGCGCTTTCAAAGGCTCTCTCAATGAGTAGCAGACAAGTCGCGACAGAACAGTCTAGCGTCCTCAGCCGTGCACTTGCAGCTCTGACAGCCGAGCTGGTCTCTTGCCACAGTGAACTCCTGGATGCCGAGTCTGCTGGACATCTTGTCTCGCTTCTTCGATCCATTGAATCAGGAAACGCTATTGAGGATGGGGCACTTATTGCCACCGCGCTCGACTCAGGCCTCGGAGATGACCACTACTTCAAGAACCTAGCTCAGAAGGCTTTGCCAGCCCTCGTTTCCTCGCTAGTTGCGGTCTCCAATGGTGAGAATGCTGTCCGATTTACTGGGCTCGCAACAGTACAGCTAGCAGTCATCCTCCTCCGCCTCTTTGTCCCAGACAAGGCCTTTGATCCTTCGCTTGGTCTCGTTGTCCAACGCAAGCGACACTATCAACGCCTTGATGAGATCAGTGCGAAATCCAATGCTATCCTTGCTTTCGAGAGCACATTCTCTGGTCAGCCATCCAACCTGCGCTCCATTCTTCTGCAAGAGGAGATTCAGGAATTGGGATCTGCCCCACCTCCTTCATCTGTGACTCGCCCGGAGCAATCTGAACTGAGTCTGTTACATGGAGAGTTCATGAACTTGATCAACTCTGTCCTCAACCGAAATCCCGAAGCGATGGTTGATTCACCTGAAAGCATTTCAGAATCCCGGGAAATGATTCAGCTTCTACGTGATAACATCGCCCAGCTCACCATTCGCCTCAGCACATATTATCGATCCTACGACGACATTACTGTGCCGGTCGTGCGCTTCCTCCAGCTTCTCGATGTTGGTCTGTTCCTGGCCTCAAGCGAAGGCGATCACTCCGGCAATTCCCGAGATATCCAGTCTCTGAGCAACCGCACACCCTTCTTGGGAGGTACTCTTCATCCTGTTCTTTCTGACAGCAGCACGATTCCTCCATACAACCAAAGCAATGCCGTCGAGATGCGACTCCACGAATTGTCTGCCCTCTGGACAGCCAAGGACGCTGATCCTACCATGCTTGACATGAAGTCTGGCCGTGAGACCATTCGCCGCATTTTCTCTGACTTCCACTACTTGTGGAAGACGCAGCTCAGAGAGGATCAGGAGAAGGAAGCAGAGAAGTCCGAGCTTTACCGCTACCGAGGCTCGTGGGAAGATGAAGAGGAGATCAACGAAGCTGAGCTTCATCAGCTCTTCCCTACTTACGACGAAGGAGCTTCTGAAAGCCAAGAAGTCGGCCGAGTTGATCCTCGCATGATTGCCGTGCGACTCTCAGCTCTCCATGCTAAGATTGTCGGTGCTCACCGCACCGGCGAGGCTCTTCCTACTTTTGTCAAGGAATCAGGCCGCCTCTTGGGATCGATGTGGTCTTCAAACAAGAGTTCCTTTGCGCCAGTGTCACCCCAACACCATCTTCCCGCTGTCTTCCTACTCCTTGAAGATGTCATGGGCGAGGGATCTCAAGATAATAAGAAGAAATACAACTTCTATACCGATTCCAACCTTGGTGAAGCAAGAAAGCTTGTCGATCTTACGCTTTCAGTTCAATCTCGGTTCGCGCAGATCCAGACTGCCTGGCCAGAGCACGCCGTTCTTCAAGACGTCATTACCTGCTGTTCAGAGATCCTCCAGTTCAAGCACACCGAACCTGTTGCCAAATTCTTGACTAAGCTTGAGAAGCTTCATTCCTTTGTTCATGAATGGCAGCTTGTTGCTAGCAGGGAATACTCAGCGGCCCCCTTGTATGACGAGATCACGGCCATGACCATCGGCTGGCGTCGCCTCGAACTGTCTACATGGGCGAAGCTCTTGGATCTCGAAAGAGAGCGATGCGACGAAAACGTTAGCTCCTGGTGGTTCGTTGCATACGAGGCTCTTCTGGCCGTGCCGCTGCAGATGGCAGAGTCTGGCGAACAAGACATGAGTGAGCACATTCAGGGTGTCATTGCAACCCTAGAACAATTCTTTAAATCCACCTCTCTCGGTCAATTCACTCGTCGCCTGCAGCTCGTTTCCGATTTCCAGGCACTGCTCGTGGCATTCGTCAATGACCATCCTTGTCTCGCGCCGCTTGTGTCTGCACTTAGCAATTTCCTGTCCCACTTCCGGCCCTTTGAGCCGTCGGTTGACAAGATTCTACAGGAAAAGAGATCAGCCCTGGAGAAGGACATTAAGGAGCAGATTCTATTGGCAAGCTGGAAGGACACCAACATCGTTGCCTTGAAGGAGAGTGCTAGAAGGTCTCACGTCAAGTTGTTCAAGCTTGTTCGCAAGTACCGTGCGGCTCTCGCGCAGCCCATCCAGCCGGTCCTTGAACAAGGCCTTCCTGAATCTGGAGATTCTGCCAGCGAATTGCGCATCGAGGAGAAGTCTCTACCAACCGCATTGTACCCTGAAGTCTTGTCCATTTGTCAGTCAAACAAGAAGCTGTGGTCATCCAGAGCTCTCCGATTCCAGAACCCGGATGGCACAGCTCGCAACATGATGAATCTCTATTCTTCCATTCCGCCCGAGTTTGACATTGCCACGGACCTCGACGGTTTCACAGTCTCTATCATTGAGGCCATCAACGAGTTCAAGTCGTCGACCCCGAAGACTCTGACGGAGGAGAACAAGGAGGATGTCCAGCACCTCAAGGTACAGAAGCGTCGTCTATTTGCTGATACCCTGAAGCGCCTCTTTGAGATGGGTGTTAAGCGGAATGCCGGCACAAACCTGATTGAAGCTCAAGTTTCCCTTGCCCAGGTACTCTCCACCAGCGCTGCCTTTGAATCTAGTGCCGCAGCCCAAGCGTCAGTTCAGAGTGCCGATTCCTACTTCCATAGGCTTCTTGATCTTGTTCCCCGTGCTCGCTTGGCCACGCGCAATTACTCTGATGAGCTCAGCAATGTCGAAGTTTCCCGCAGTATGGGCTCTATTGAGTACCTTTTGTTCATCATTCGACGCCAGAGAGGTGCTCTTGCTCCAGCACTCTCTGACCTGGGAGCTCTCAAGTCTACTCTGGATAAGGCACGGCACTTGTGGACTATCGGCTCAGACTTGCTCATCAAGGCTGGCGCCTCTGCCAGCGAGGAACTTCTTGGTCTGACCCGAATCGTCGCCTGGTTGAGCCCAATCCTTGGACTTGCATCAACGATCATTGAAGTGCACTCCAGGTTTTCGGGCATCCCTGTATCCTCCCTTTCCCAGGAGCTGAAATCTAGAAAGGCTGCAATCGACGACCTTCGCCAGTCCCTGCTGTCACATCCTTCCCTGCCATCTGGAATTACCTCCACGATCCAGAAAGAGCTCATTCAGCGCACATGGTCATCGCTCGCTCAGCTCGAGACTGACCTGAAGACATGGATTCAGGACCGCCCTGACCTTTCATTCGCTTTGGAACATATTACTCCATGGCTTCAGACCAGCAGTGTTCCCCCAGCTGGCCTGCTTGGAAAGGGCACCGTGTCAATTCAAAGCTTTGATGACAGTCTTTTGTCTGCAGTTGACAAGATGCTTGTTGGCCTGCAGCAATTGAAGGATGTTCCCACTGCGATCACCTTTGATGGTCTCATGTCACGAAGTGATGAGTTCTTCTCTCGGGCATCCAGGGCAGTCCATCTCAATGAGATCACATCGTCGCTGGCGGACGTTCTCGACAAGCTGCAACATTTGCAGGACAAGTCCTCCGGCGCCCTTCCCATGGCTGCCGCTTTGGTTGCCAGTATCCTGCCCATTGCCACCAAGTACTACCAAATCTGCCAGGATCTGACCGATCGTTTCATCTCGGTTCACCGAGAGATTTGCAAGACTTCTTATATCTTGACCAAGACCTTCACTCAAGTAGCAGCCGAAGGATTCTGCAGCCCTGCTGAAGCGTCCCAGGACGAAGGCAAAGAAGGCAAGATGGAGAGCGGAACTGGTCTTGGCGATGGCGAAGGTGCAGAGGACATTAGCAAGGACGTCGGAGATGATGAGGATCTCTCGGAGCTCGCGCAACAAGCACAAAAGGAGGATGCCGAGAAAGACGAGATGGAGGACTCGGCTGATGCTGTCAATATGGACCAAGAGGAATTAGAAGGTGAAACCGGCGACCACAAGGAAGAAGAAGGCGATGAAGAAGATAAGGACGACAAGGATGATGACGAAGAGGACGACATTGATGAAGAAGTCGGCAGTGTCGATGACCTCGACTCTGGTGCTGTCGACGAGAAGCTATGGGATGGAGCCAACGATGAACAGCAGAAGGAGACCGAGAACGAAGAAGGAAAGGGCCAGGCCGAGGACGAACAACAGGCTGCTGCACAAGAGCAGAAGAAGGATGGAGAAGAAGGCCCCAAGGGCGAGGAAGAGGAGGGAGATGAAGACGATGACGAGGAAGAAGCCCCTGATGACGAGGGCGAGGCTATTGGCCGCGAAGACATGGAAGTCACTGATCCTCAGACCAAGGAGGAAGAGACATTAGATCTTCCAGACGAGATGCAGTTGGACGGTGATGATAAAGGAGATGGTGATGAAGGCGAGGATGACGATGGCATGGATGAACTCGATGACATGGGTCCTCTCCCCGATGAAGAGCAAAAGGCCGACGAGCAAGATGATCAGGCTGGTGATGAGGATGTCGATATGGCAGCCGACGACCAGGTTCCTGGTGAGGATGAAGAGATGGGCGACGAGGGAGAAGAGACCAACGAAGGCGAAGGACAAGAAGAGGAGAATGAAGCTGGCGGTGAGGATGCGGAAGAGCTAGAACAGGACGAGTTCCTTGCTCAGCGCGATGATAATGAAGCCGCCGGTGACGAAGTTGCTCCTAGCGATGCCGTCAACGGTGGTCTTGCTGCCGACCAAGATCAGAACGAGGACAAGGGTGCCTCAGGTGATGCCCAGCAAGAGAGTGGTTCCAGCGATCCCAACGCCAACGCCGAGCAACAGACTGGTGCTGCAAAGGATAGCGAGGAGAGCAAGCGCAGTCGAGATTCCGGTGGTGCCGAAGACTCTGCCCCAAATGAGCCTCAGATGCAAGCCTTCAAGAAGCTCGGAGACATCCTTGAGCAATGGCACCGCCGCCAGAAAGAGGTGCTCAATCCGTCACAAGAGGAAGAGGAATCTCAACCTCTTCCTCAAGATACCGACATGGCGGATGCCGATTTCGAGCATCTCAAGCATGACGACGACGTAGCCGACACACAGGCTCTCGGCCAGGCAAACGAAGACCAAGCCAAGGGTCTTGACCAAAACAAGGGCGTCGAGTCTGAGAACCAGCCTGGAGAAAACGAAGCTCTCCCTGATATCTCGGATGAGCTCCAAGACGCTCTGGACAACCAGCTCCAAGACGAGATGCAGATCGACCGCGAAGCCGCTCCCACCGATGGCCAAGCTCCCGGGGCTTTCATCCCAGGTGATCGTACATCAGCAGACCACGCCGACGGCGCTCCTGGTGCCGAAGATGTGAACGAAGAACTGGATGAAGTCGACTCGCAACTCGCGGCCATCCACCTCTCATCCACCCTCCCACCCCTGACCCCCGAACCCGAAGCCCGTCGTCTCTGGTCCCACTATGAAAATGCCACCAACGACCTCTCCCTCTCTCTCACCGAACAACTCCGTCTCATCCTGGCACCCACAATGGCCACCAAACTCCGCGGTGACTTCCGCACCGGCAAGCGTCTCAACATCAAGCGCATCATCCCCTACATTGCCTCCCAGTACAAGCGCGACAAGATCTGGATGCGTCGCTCCATCCCCTCCAAGCGCAACTACCAAATCATGCTTGCCGTCGACGACAGCAAGTCCATGCTGGAGAGTGGCTCTGGCCAACTTGCCTTTGAAACCCTCGCCCTCGTCGCAAAGAGTCTGAGCATGCTTGAAGCCGGTGATCTCTGCGTGCTGGGCTTCGGTAACGAAGACCACGTCCGCGTTGCGCACGAGTTCGGCAAGCCGTTCTCCTCCGAGGCCGGTATGCAGGTCTTCCAGCATTTCAGCTACCAGCAAACCGGTACAAATGTGCGCAAGTTGATTGCGGATTCGATCGCGCTCTTCCGCGAGGCTCGCTGGAAGCGTTCTCCCGGCTCAGGCTCTGCCGATCTGTGGCAGCTCCAGCTTATTATCTCTGATGGTATTTGTGAAGATCACGATACGATTCGCCGGCTGGTGCGTCAGGCTCTTGAGGAGCGTATTATGATTGTCTTTATCATTGTCGATGCTGTCAAGGGTAGCTCTATTCTTGATCTCTCGCAGGCTAGCTTCGAGGCCGACCCTGATTCTGGCGGTGAGATGAAGCTGCGCATGAAGCGGTATCTTGAGGGTTTCCCCTTCCCTTATTACTTGGTTGTGAGGGATGTGCGTGAATTGCCTTCTGTTTTGGCGACTGCGTTGAAGCAGTGGTTTGCCGAGGTTGTGGATGTATCTTCATGATCTACATTGAAAAGTGGATTTGCAATATCGGGCGTTTATTTTGTATTTAGGGATGGCGTTTTGAATTTTTGATGTATATGATAGATTTTGTTTAGAATAGTTTGTACATGAACGTGGATTACATGTTTGTTAAAATCGTTGTTCCTATCTACCATGTAGTGATCTTTTGAAAAAAGTAATAATTGTAATATGATATTGGTATCTTGATAAACATGTAATACAGTACGCCTCGTCAAGGCCAAAGAATCGATCAAATAATACATGCTGAAGTATGCAAACACTACCATCCATACTTTGAACCAGCTTCCTTCTTGTTCCTCCTTCCAGTAGCAAAACTTTCCTCCAGGGCATCCTTCTGACTACTCGCCGCATTGACCAGCTGCTGCAAGGTGTGCTTGCCAGGAGCAATGGCACGAACGGGGTTGTGCTGTGTGGCAGCCAACTCGGCCTCACCGATAGCCTGGTTCGAAGCATACTCTTTATCAGTGTTGAATGTGAGAATGCGGGAATCGGCCGAGGGAGCATTGCGGCCGAAGAGTTGCCGGCGTTCAGATTTGGATAGATTGAGATCGGTCGCGATTGTGTCCAGAGAGGATGATACGGAGGCATTGGTGGGATAGTATGCTGCGTCGGTAGGCATCGACTCTGGTACCAATGCTGGGTCTGTGGATGTGGCCTCGGTCTCGGTGTTGTAGACCAATGGCTCGTAGGTCCCCGTGCCCGCCAAGGTTGTGTCTGTTGCAGCCGTGTCCTCGGATGATAGTGAGAAGAGGCTGACTTTTGGTTTGGGTGGTGCGGGAGCAGGAGCTGGTGCTGTGGACGATTCGACTACAACCTCCGCTGGGTTTGTTGCTGTAGAGGCTGGTGCCGAGGGTGTCGATTGAGGGACGACCTTGGTAGTCTTTTTCTTCTTCTGATTTCGCGCAACAGAAAGTGGCCGGAACATCATGGGGTTGCCCTGAAGCTTGACTTCTCCAATCTCGGTCTTCTTGAAGGGTAATTCCGACTGAGTGGTGGATTGCTCTGAGCTGCCCGCGACTGAAGTGGTGCCCTCACCCGAGTCATTATCAAACGCCCGGCTATTCCTCATCTCCGCATCGGCCGTGCGATCAAACCCAGGCTCCGCACCGGTCTTCAGACTAAAGATCTTGCGCGTGGATGCTGTCGGCACTTTCTTCTCCGCCACCCGCTTGGGCGCAGGCAGGAATGAGTTGAAGCCCGAGAATGCGCCTCCAGCACCACCTCCCAGTCTGGCTTTCTTGCGCGCGGGGCCATCCTGGTCGTTCTCGTCTGTGGGATTTTCGGGTTTCAGGTCCGGGAGAGCAACGCGAATCTTGCGCGGGTTGCCGCGATCAACCTGGAAGCCGGCGCCTGCATCGGGTTTCTTGGCTTTTTCGACGGGGGGTGCGGGGGTGGGCTCGGGTTCGGCGTCAGAAGCTTCGGAGTCGGAGTAGGCTACCAGCGCCATGATTGTGGGAGGTTCTAAGGAGGAGGAGGTGTGTGTTGTAAACTGTTGCTGGTTGGTTTACTTTTTGTCGATTGGGCCAAACTGGGGGCGGCGATAAGAAATGACTTGGACACCTGAATGATAAGGCAGCCAGATTTGGGATGCCGCAGATTACATAATACTCTGTTCTTGATGCCTTAATTTACGGGCTTTGTAGTTTCACTAATCGGATTAGGACAATCGAAAGGAGCTCAGATCGGAATGAAGAAAGTCATGAGCGAGTTGACTATTCGACTCTTAAACCCTAATCTCCTTAGACTTCCCCCCTCCCCAAACTTCCCTCCGCCGAATGCGAACCCATTCAGGCTCGGAGGGAACGGGATGGCACCTCGCAGTAGACCGGGATGGGTCGACCACCACTTCGTAACGTCATCGGCGTCATCCGGTTTCTCCGTGGGATATTAGGGGGAGGTCAATGGGGTGGATTGGAGCTTGGTATCGCTTATTTTATGGTGGATAGTGAAGATTTATTCAAGAGGAGGGACTATGTAGAATGAGCTGGAGTATTTTCGTTTCTTTCGAGACAAAGGGATGTGATAGTGAGGGATCTGGTCAAAGAAAAGGTGCAGCCACACACGCATGGAGATCACAGAGCCGGGAGAGTCGAAGAAGAATGAAAGAAAGGGATAGCCAGACTCGAATTAATCAAGTAGATCGTTATTATTCTAATCCATATACTCTGATTGTAGAGTATTCAAATAATAATACCAGTACAATTAATAAAGAAGGGGTCACTACAGTACTTAACAGAGTACCAGAAGATCAATGCGTCATTCTGGCAGCCCCTCCCCACCTTCTTTCCACCACCTCGACCAGCCCGACGAAACTCATTTCTTTTGATGGCCCTCGCTTTCTCTCTCCCCCGCTGTCCTCCATGCCGAGCTTAGGAGGTCTCTTGAAGAAGCGGCGAACGAAGGATTCTCAAACCCTCGCGTCCGAGCTGCCTGCACCCTCCGAGAACCACTCTCAGACTGTCCCCGATTCCCACGATTCCCACGATTCCTCCGAAGGCGCCTCCATGCAACCCGCCGGGAGCTCGCAAGTTTCTCCGCAGCAGTCCAACAATGCCGCCAGCATTAACAACCTCATACATAATCCGGCCAATGCCTCACAGGGTCACAGCTCCGCCCATAGTCCCAATGGCAGTCAAGCGCAGGGCCAACAGGCCCAGCAACAGCCTCAGCAGCAGCAGCAGCCGAGACAAGAACGCACGACCAAGGGCAAGTACTCGCAAGAGGACTTCTTGCTGCAGCGCACCCTCGGCACTGGTAGCTTCGGTCGGGTTCATCTCGTCCAATCGAAACACAATCATCGCTTCTATGCTATGAAAGTGCTCAAAAAGGCCCAGGTGGTCAAGATGAAACAGATCGAGCACACCAATGACGAGCGCCGAATGCTGAACCGCGTCCGGCATCCGTTCCTAGTGACTCTTTGGGGAACTTGGCAGGACTCGCGAAACCTCTACATGGTGATGGATTTCGTCGAAGGTGGTGAGCTATTCAGTCTACTGCGGAAATCACAAGTAAGTGACTTGTTACCCTTGATTGCACACACACACCCCCGCTTCTTTACCATCGCGGCCCCTTCTCGTCCCTCCCACTCCCCGCACGCGACCATATCTGTACATTCATATCGCTAACGACACCCCTCGCTCCTTTCCTTATCTACAGCGATTCCCCAATCCAGTTGCCAAATTCTATGCTGCAGAAGTCACGCTGGCCTTGGAGTATCTGCACTCCCATCAAATTATCTATCGTGACTTGAAGCCCGAGAATCTCTTGCTAGATCGTCATGGTCACTTGAAGATTACCGACTTTGGCTTCGCGAAAGATGTGCCCGATATTACCTGGACGCTGTGCGGTACCCCCGACTATCTAGCTCCTGAGGTTGTTTCTTCCAAGGGCTATAACAAATCCGTTGACTGGTACGTTTGCGCTCGGCTCTGCCAGTAAAACCAATTACTCGTGTTGAATTAACTCTCCTGGTCAAAGGTGGTCATTGGGAATTCTCATCTTTGAAATGCTGTGCGGATTCACTCCATTCTGGGACAGCGGGTCCCCAGTGAAGATCTATGAGAACATTCTGCGCGGCAAGGTCAAGTATCCGCCATACCTGCACGATGACGCCGTCGATCTGCTGTCACAGTTGATTACTGCCGACCTCACCAAGCGTCTGGGTAACCTGCACGGGGGTCCCGAAGATGTCAAGAACCATGCGTGGTTTGCCGAGGTCACTTGGGACCGGCTGGCCCGTAAGGATATTGATGCCCCCTACATCCCACCGATCCGGGGTGGCCAAGGTGATGCAAGCCAATACGATAAATATCCCGAAGAGACAGAGCACTACGGCATTGAGGGTGAAGATGCGTATGTATACCCGCCCGATCTATTTATGAACCTACTAACCTTCTCTCAGTTACGGCCATCTGTTCCCCGACTTCTGAAAGTGCTTGTATGATTTATGACGAGATGAAAGGCTCGCGCAGGGGCGCGGAATTTGGGAATTCGCGGAAGTGATCTTATATCTACTGGAAAACCTTTAACCGATCTCATTTATAGCAATTGGACTCGAAGTTTTTGTTGTTCACTTTTGGATCGTGGATCGCTTGGGCCTGGGAGGTTATATTCTTTATAGTGATGCTGGATATGGCTTTTTTGACTTTTTTTTTCTCATTCTTGATTTTGTCTCGATATACAAGGGGGATTTGTCCTGTGTTCCTCTATATCTCGAACCAGAACCCAAGATCTTTTGCCCATAATGTACACAGGCTCTTCGGCCGTTTCTATTCGTACACGGATCCCCTTTGTGGGATTCATCGATCGTTTCCGTCCTTTGCAGTCGCAGACATTATACCCCGATAATTTGGAAATCGTGAAGTTGGTGACATGTATTTGATCTGCCTCGTCTCTTACATAAGGCCGGAGACATCACCACCCATCTTCTTGCGCTCCTCGTTCATGCGGTGCATGTAAGTGCGGCTGACGGTGTTCCACATGTTGATGTACTTGTCCATGCAGCTGGACATGCAGGCAGTCTCCTTGGAGGAGAGGGAAGAGCCGGGGGCGGGGACACAGGCATCGAAGCAGTTCTCGTTGATTTTCTAGAATGACATGAATGTTAGCTATGTGCGTAGAGAGAAGAGACAAGCTGAAAGCGAAAACGGTGACGTACTCCGATGAGAGCGCGGGCATTGTTCATGGCCTGCTCCTGCTGAACCTGCTGCAGGAGGGCAGTCTTGATGTCCTCGTTGGACTTGGGAGAGGAGCTGGAGCCAAGGAAAGACATGGTGGATTGTGAAGAATTGGAGATGTAGTGGAAAGTGAAATGTTGGATGGTTTTCGGAGTCACGGAAATCTGAGAAGAGGCCGAGTCGAGAGCTTTGAGTGGCTGGTGCGGGAAGAATAGAAACTGCGCCACTTGGGCCAATTGTGGACACCTTACAATTGAGCATCACAAGAGAGACACCAGTCGCAAAGTACAACTTTACACTTTATACTCTTCTTCTTCCTCCAATTTCCCCTACCAGCCCTCCTCCCTTTTCTCCTCCTTCGTTGCTTAATCTCGGCTGCCACTCTCTTTCTTACTCGTCGCTTTCGCTGTTGATCTCACTTCTTCTGCTATTTACTTTACTTCCCTCCTCATTTCGTGGTGGTGTTCTCGGGGTCCTGGCGACACCGTTCACCTTAACTCCCTTGACGCCCCTCTTCTTCCTACCCCAGTTCGTTCTTTGGAACTGCCCACCCATTGGGCCCTAATTCAAAATCATGCGTTTCCCGACCTTTTCTTCTCTGCTGTGTCTGGCCGGCTTGGTCTCCGTCCCTGTCAATGGCTATGCAGGCGACGACCCCAATATTAAAAGCATCCCGGTAGGTTGCTGTTTGTTCCTGCGCATGCGCTGCCGAGGTACTAATCTTTTTGGCTCTATTTCAGCTCCGAACCCATAGTCTTGCGCCGGTATGAGATCCTTTGAGCTATTCGAGCTTGGATATGTTGTGTTATGCAAGCTCCGAGTGAAACTGTGGGGGGAATTCGACCTTGTTGACATGTGGATAGCCATACCTTGATTCGGACTTCCAAAGCCGCTGGTTCGACTTCGGAGGAGATACCGTGATTCGCGCTGATAAGTAAGGGTCTTCTTTATATCTTGGAACAATATATACTCCTCTGTGATACTGATTGTTTTCTTCTGGCTAGGTATATTCGCCTGACCGCAGACCGCCCGTCGCAGCAAGGATGGGTCTTCTCTCGCGTGCCTCTAACCGCGACCAATTGGGAGGTGAGACCACCCAACAACCCTCTCCCGTAAACAAAGCTCATTCCCACCTCCAGATCGAACTTGAATTCGAGATCCATGGCAACGGCAACCTCCACGGCGATGGCTTCGCCCTGTGGCTCACCAAGCAGCGCGCCACCCAAGGCCCCGTCTTCGGCTCAACCGACCGCTTCGAGGGTCTCGGCATCTTCGTCGATACATACAAGAACAATCGTCCCGGCGTGTCCTTCCCCTACGTCATGGCCATGATGGGCGATGGCTCAACCACCTACGACCAAGCCCACGACGGCAAGGCCAACGAACTGGCTGGCTGCTCGGCTCGTGGTCTCCGCAATGCCCCTGTCCCTACCAAGCTCCGCCTCACTTATTTCCAGGACAAGTCTCTCACGCTGGACTTGCAGTATAAGACCGAGGATACATGGACTAACTGCTTCACCCTCAACGCGGAGGATACCAACATTGCTATACCCTCTGTCGCGTACCTGGGTCTCTCCGCCGAGACCGGCGAGTTGAGCGATAACCATGACATTGTCTCTCTGAAGGCGGAGAACTTGTACGCCCTGAACCGCAATGCCGGTACCAAGGACTTTGATGGATCTAAGAGCCGTGGTCGTGGTGGTGCCAGTCGCTCCGCGCAGAAGGAGTCTGGTAGCTGGTCATGGTTCCTCTTCAAAATCGTGCTCTTCTTTGGCGCTTGCGCCGGTGGATACTTCGGTTGGACAATTTACCGGACGAAGGCTCGGGCCTCGCGGTTCTAAAGTGTCTTTGTGTTGTTGTTGTTGGTGGTCAATGAATGAGTGCATATCAGAAGAAGAAATCGACAAAAAGAAAAGGGCTAAAATCTAGGTCCTTGTTACTTATCCTCTCTCTCTCTCTCCCTACCCTATCCGTCTCTTGTTTTTTTTTTCTCGGCTGTCGAACGATTGGGTCTTGCATAGCCTTTGACGTTTCTCTTTGTGGTTACTTTGCGTGCTGTTGAGGTATCTTTTTTCTCTGTTCTATTTTGAAATGAATCCAGTCATGATTACTTCGTTATTTGAATGGTTGAGTTGGGTTGTACAGTGAGGTTCCATAAGTTTGAAACCCCGACAAATTGTCAAAATCGGCTTTGCAGTCAGGATTAGAACGATCAACTACGAAAGGATATCTGTGCTATCAAGTTTTTAAATAAGAGTGATTGAAGCATGCCTGGTTGGTCTGTTTCTCTGGTTTCTAAGCTCAGACTTTGGAACAGCCACTGTATTCTTTTTTGAAAAGGACTTGTCTTGAATTAGATTCTCGGTTGCTTTCATATCAAATGCAGTAAGCCCCTTGGATTCGAGGTACCTAAGATGCTGTAGTCGTGATACCGCTTGTCCTTGGAAGCCATTCCACGATCTTATCCATCATAGCATTATCCATGAGACTAGATGGTTCTTTCCAGTCGAAGCCTTTTGGCCGTGGTCAAAGCCGACCTATATTGGCCATAACTGCATCCCATCCTTATAGTGAGTCGTATCAATAAGATATGGAGTAGATTCGCTATGCTTTAAGAAGGGTATCATTTATCTAGGTAATGCAAACGCTGGTCAAACGTAAAAATCTCAGCAAGTCTCATCAAAAAACCTGCCCTCCAGGCATAGCCCGGCCTCAAGCTCGATCTCTCTCCTCAGTCCACATCCGATCCACGATCTGAAACACCTCGGTAACGCTGCGCATCACCTCATCCTCAATCCCCAACGCACTATACCGATGCTGGATCTTATCCGGATGCCAACGCACACGCTCGATCTTCAACGTCCCCAATAAATCTCCATTCGGCGCATGTCGCAGAAACTCCTGTACCGAGTCTGGATTCACATCCCGCCTCTTCCCACTCTCAACAGGCCAGAAGAGCAAATTCCGAAGCCGAGGCGGACTCTCACCCTCCTTCTCCTTCTCACCATCCTCTTTCGACTCCGTACCTCCAGCAGCACCCTTCTTCTCAACAACCCTCCCAATCTCCTCCCACCTCGAAACATACTCCTTCCAAACCCCCTCCCAATTCTTCTTCCTCCTCTTCCTCTCAACCCCCCTCCTCAAACTCTCCTCCACCTCCCTCTCAAACCTCCACCTCTCCCTCTCCTTCTCACTAGATTCATTCTCCCTCTTTCTAGCCCTTCTCCGATCCTCACGAAGCCGCTCCTGCTCCTCAATCATCCCCTCCCGCGTACGCTCCCACATCCGAGACCGCACGTACGCCGCGTACTCCTCGTCGGACATTTGTTCGAGTTCCCCGTCCGGACCCTTGGGTACTTCCGGTACGGCGTAGTTGTGGATTGGTTGGCCGTAGACGGTTTCCCAGTATGCGGCGCCTTCGTCGTCGCCTAGGGCGTCGAAGAGGGATTCGCGGAAGGCGGCGCTGGGGGAGAGGGGGGATGGTTGGGTAGGGTCGGCGGGTGGTTCTTGCGGGTGGTGTTTGTGTCGGCGCTTGGAGGGGCGGGTGTGAGAGTGGAAGTGGGATTCATCTTTGGATCTGCTAGTGCGGGGAGAGTGACTCCGGCGCTTGCGGTGGGTTTCTGAGGAGGAGGATGGGGGCTGGTGGTGGTGGTCTCTGTGGTGGTCGTGGTGTTTAGTGCTTCGGGATGAGCTGCTTTTGAAGCGGAAGCGGCCTTTGCTTCGGTTGGGGTGGGTGTAGTCGTCTGATGGCTGGGCCCTTGAGGTTTCACCCGTAAATGGAGGGGATTCCATGCTTGCGGGTGTGTGATGATTAGGTGTTACGCCATCGCGTGGCACAGGTGAGAGTGAGAGAGTGGTGAAGATGAAAAGAGAAGAAAGTTGGTATGAGGCATCAGGCTTATCGGTCTTATCAAGCTTATCTTATCGGACGAGTGCGTAGGGCTAGACAGGTACTTATCCAGGGTTGGCACTCAACTTATGCTTAACTCTATCCCAGTTAACAAACGGGTTGGATCGAGGGGCAAGAGGCATCGAAGGCCTGATTGACTACTCTTACGACTGAGGATGTCGGGTTGATGTATATTGTCAGTAACCAGAGCCTACAAAGAAGAGTTTCATAAAATGTTCACGTTCCACCTGGATTCAAGTAAGATGCGCCTCGAATAGATACAATTCCCAGCCCAAACACCGTCACCATCCCAGATGATGTAAACTCCTGCGATAAATCACAAACTGACACGATGACCAGAGTATCAAGGTCGATACTGCTGCATGTTCTTCTTAATCTCATCAACAATCTCAATAGCCTCCAACGCATTCCGCGCCTCAAAGTCATAGCGCTTCTGTTCCGTGGCATCGTTGCCACGCAAAACCACAACCCGGAAACTCTTGGGATGTCGCTGGCTAACCTTGGAGCCGACCACTTCACTGAAGTTGATCGAGCGGGTCTTGGCATTGGAGACTGTCTTTCCAGTGTCGCCTGGCATGATGTGCATGTAGTCGTTGTCAAAGGTAAGGATGCGATGGTTCGAGGTGGTGAATGACATGGATTGCTTGCGGAAGACATGGTATCGTCGGTAGTATCCGCCGATGAGGTCTTGTTTCTGCGAGGATGAAGGTAGATTACTCTTCTTTCCTTTCTTGACCGCTGCGGGCTTGTTGCTGTCCACCATCAAGGGCGCATTCGGTGAAGAGCTGCCTGGTGAGCCGCCCATGGCAAGAGGACCGACGCCAAATCGGCGACGAACAAGGTCGAGTTCGGTAATGTTCCCTAGCGCCTCGACAGTGCGGTCCAGCGGTGCGATGGTGTTCGATCCCATCACCTTGAGAAGATAATTCCCCTTGTCCAGGCCCCAGCGTTTGCACACAGAGTCCAAAATCTCCGCGATATAACTGTCAGAGGATGTGTTCAGGGTCATGACATGAGCCGAAGCCTCCAGGTTGATGTAGCGGATTTTAAGAGTCTTAGAGACACCGAGTCGAGGAGTGGCATGAGAAACGGGAACTGCAGGCCGGTCTGCCGGGGTCAATGTGTTATCATTGAGAGCGGACGAGAATGGCTGGCCCAAGATAGGATTCACGCGGCCCACAATCGACTTCGCCGACGGAGCAGGCTGAGCGGGAATAGCTGCTGGAACAGCAAGATTCGTCTGCTGTTCGGGTTCCTCAGGCTCGATATACTGGCTATACTGCGGGTATGATCGTTCATTTTCTTCATACTCAGCCTTGGAAGCCTCTACCAAAGCAAACTCATCGTACGGTTTGCCTCGTGAGCGTCCTCGTGCCTTTGCTGCTTGGTTGTTGTTCGAAGTAAAGTCCGTCATGGGAAGGTTCCGCGAAAGCGCCGGGAAGTCATACTCAACCTCTCCATCGTCAACCATGCGAAGAGCCCATCGATTCACAGTCAACTTTTTTCGGTCGATCTTTGGTTCACGTGAATCTTCAGAGTATTTCCAGAGAGCAAGACCAATCGTCTCCGCAACTGTGATCGGAGCAGGATGTGAGAAAAGCTTGGACTCTCGAATGACTGGTAGGTCGATTGGCTCCTCAGGATCCGATGAAAAGGGAAGGTAAATCTTCAGATACAATGGATCATCCAGACCTCGTCCAGAAAGAACCATGAACTTCTCAACCGGATTACTCGGTGCACGTTTGCGGGACTTGAGCTGTTTCGTCAACAAGCTGACTGGCTGGACTATGCTGATCGGTCGCGGAGGTGGAAGCTCTTGCAATTCTGGGCCTGGCGTTTTATATTTCCGTGGTGAGGCATTGCCACTTGGTCCAGTTCCACTAGGCAACTTGTGCATTAGGGCCATTGGTGAGGATGAATCCAGAGGGCCCGTCATGCCCACCCCGATCAACAATAGCGAGCCCGAACCGGCTGTGGCGTCGAATTCCGAGGACAGAGCAGAGCCAGCAGATTCGGCACCCGAGTCCTCATCTTGCTCATGCAAGTCTTCGAGCATGATACTATCAGCTCCTCGACTGCCTGTTCTCTCACGTCGCCTTCGAGGACGCTCAACCACTTGATCTGTAGTGGAGAATTGAACCTGTCCTGGCTTAAATCCATGCGTCTCGATTTCGTTGTCGGTAGACAAATCACTGCTTGTTGTCGTATCTCGCCGCGGCCTTTGCTCCTTATTCGGCATTGTCGTGCCCAGCGACCCTGTTCGATAATGGCCTGCCACATTCTGAGTGGAAGGTGATGTTATCATAACCTCCGGTCGTTCACGCTGTTCACTCGAGCGGATAGGCGAAGAGTCAGCTCGGTCCCGGCGAACCGGCATCCTGGTAAACTTGATCTGTTCGGCACCACTGTATCTGGTCAGAAAGTTAAGCCACAGACCGTATGGACTAGAATGGACCGGCCCACCTTTGCATGTTATCCCCGTCTTCGTCGCTATCATCACTCAAATCACTACTATCGTCGTCGTCCTCTTCAGGGTGGCGCTGATTTTCCTGATGGCGATCCCGTCTGCCCTTCTTCTTCCCGGTTCGCGCATGATGTCGTCGCCCTGTAATCTCCATCTGACTTTTGCCAGTCACCATGCCCCCCTCGTCATCCTCGCCGTCTTCCAGGCCGAGGCCTTGTAGTTCATTCCTCGCCGCATTCGCATCTCGTACGGCTAGGCGGTAGTATTCTGAGGAGACGGCTGCTGTGGTTGGAATCGGAGGAGAGTGGGTGCGTTTCACGTGGGATGTTGTTGCAGTGGACCAGCCCGCGGCGCGGAATCCAGGAGTATTGAGGACAGAATTGTTAACATTGATCAAACGATCTCCGATGCCGTCTTTAATCGTAGAGAGGTAGTTCGAGCGTAATTGCCAGATGGTGAAGCTAGGGCCTCGGTTAGTCTGCAGTGATCGCGGGGACTAAGAAAGGGGAGGGGTATCATGTCCGCCGTCACGTACTCTTCATTGTGGAGAAGAGACATATTCGCTGTCTCATATGTAGCTCAGCTTTCTCTGAGCACCAACAGGCCACGCCGCGCGGTGGGTGGAGATCGCGTGGTGGTGGTTGTTCCCGGTCAACGAGGGTGAGATCTGTCAGCTGTGACAGCGCATCCACACGTAGCTGTAGGGCGTAAAGGACTAGTCTGGGTCTTGGAAGGAGTGAACTAGTGAGTGTGGCTTAAGCAGGACCAGCCTGAATGCAAAGGAAAGTGAAGTGCAAGTCAAGGAGTCAACAGAGCGGCGCAGGGCCAAGCGTGGAGGGTCGAGGGTTGATCAGTGGCGGTCCTCTCCGCAGATCACTTCCCCGCCCGCACGGGCTGTCTACTTGCCCGAATCATGGCACTGGTCCATTTACCCTGATCAATTCAAAAATTCAGAGTATAGTTCATGGTTGCAATGGAAAAATTTGCATGGTATCTTCTGGCAAGTTTTATAGAAGAGTAACCTTGGAATTCCTTGCCACGGTTTGGAAGATAGTCCTAGGTATCTGTGCACCGTGCCGCGAGATATATACATCTTGTTAGGGACTTCCCATTAAGAGCCAGCTTCATTGAAGCTTGGCATGACGATTGACCCAGTAGAAAAGGAAAAAATGGTGCTGCAAGGTTCAATAACAGTGAATCTTATTTTTCTCTCCAGACTTCATCACTAGGTGCAGATCCAGTGTAAGTACTCCTTCCAGTATTTAGGGCTTTTGTACGGACTAAATCGAATTGAAGACTTCCAGAAACTCTGTGAATCACAGACAACTAAAGATCAATCTATTGATCTTGTCTAGTCTCAATTCATAAATTCATTGCATTTTGCGCCAAATTGATTCCCAACAAAAACATCGCAGGCTGCACGTCTTGGATGAAGAATAGCGAAAGCCAACCAGGCCCTTTGAAGTTTAGACACAGGGACTCAATTTCTCCATCTTATGATACTTCAAGTAGGTAGAAGATGACCTAAATTATCTAATTTGATGTTTAAAATGATTCTGAGCTATAATACAGATTTGCAAAGGACTGGACTGCCCCAGGAATGACACTGGATGCGATTAGATGCCACGCACTGCGCGACGAAATTGTCCCCCCTATACCCTCTCTCTTCTCCTCATTTAGCACTTGGCGTTGCCAGGGATGTTCTTGCACTTGGTGCTGGCCTTGCCACCGGTGACGCTGACACCGTTCCAGGTCCAGCCAGAGCAAGCGCCAGAGGCACACAGGATGTAGACATCGGTGGCACTGCTGCTAACGGTTCCCTTGACGTTGCTCAGGGTCAGGCCGGTGATGGGGACGCCGTTGGTGGGAGTACCAGTGGGGCTGCCGTTCTTGTAGTCCTGCTCAATGACAATACCGTACTTGGAGATTCCGGAGAGGGTGATGTCCTTGTAGGTGACGCCCTTGACCGAGCCAGTCGCGCCGTAGACAGTCTTGACACGGACACCTACAATATTCAAGATTAGCGCGCATGGTCATTACGTTCTGGATACTTGTTGAACGTACCGTTCTGGGAGTTCTTGATGGTGCAGTTCTCGATGTTGACCTTCTCAACGGCATTGTCAGAGCGTCCACCGACGGAGCCGATGGAGATACCGTGGCCACCAGTGCACTGGGCTCCGGTGAAGGAGATGTCCTAGGTAGTTTCAGTATAAGTCTCCTTAAAAGCCACAAGCTAAGGTGTGCATACAGTGCCAGAGTTGACAGCCAAGCAATCATCCTGGTTGTGAACCACGGGGTTGGTGATGTAGACACCGGTGCTGGAACCGATGTCGAAAGCATCGGTGTTGTGGCCACCCTTGCTATCACCGTCGGCGTTGTCAACAGTGATTCCATCCACAGTAAGGCCATTTGCATTGTTGATGCTGAAGACCTGGACGGGGGAGTTCTTGATGTGAATGCTCTGGATCTTGGAGTTGATCATCTTGTGGGCAGCGAAGAACTTTGGCTTGGTCTTGCCGCCGTTGGTTCCCTTGCCATCCCACCAGCGCGCACCATCTCCATTGAGGATGGCACCAGAAGCACCCTTGACGGTAATGTCAGTTCCGGAGACGGAGACCAGGGGACCGTCCCATTCCTTGTAGCCGAAGGTGGTCTCTCCCTCGAAGATGACCTAAAAAACTGGTTAGTGGAAATTTTTATTTAGACGGTAGGACGAGCTTCTCACAGTGGTTCCCTGCTTCAATCCGGTCAGATCGAGAGTAGTACCAGCGGGAACAGCGACGGAAGACAAGACGATGGTCGAGCAAGAAGTCTTGGACTTGATCGCGGAGGCGGCACCGCTGGCGCCGGAGAAGGTGCAAGTGGAAGCTCGCTCCTCGAGAGAGGATGTGGCAATCACATCGAGTTCAGGGACAGTGTTGGGAACTGCCTGGACGGCAGCAGCACCGAGCAGGCCGACGAGGGCAAGTTTGAACATGATGAAATGATTGAATTAAAAGAGCGTGATAAAAGAATGTGAGTTGTTTGATAGATTTTCAGATAGAGAAGAGACGAGCGTGTCGCTTTATACTCCTGTGTACTTTTATAAGACGAACTATAGATTGGGACTAGATCAGGGACCTTCAATATGCAGGGAAATTGCACGAGTTTGGTGGATTAAACTGGGCAGGCATCAACCAGTTCAATCAATCTATTGCTCGGTTTCTTGAGCCCGAAAAGAGGACCTTGTTTCACCACTACTCCGGGCATAAGCCCTGCAGAGGAAAATAGCTTGTATCAAATAAGGGTGGAAGTGGAGCAGATATGCTTATTGGTGGAAATTCTACTATACTGGTTCCTAGCTGCACGATCACATCTGCGCCATCAAGAACTGTACTAGTATCCGCGGACACCCGTGAAACGTGTTCTACGGTTGCTTAACTAGGTGGCTGTTTCGAACAAAGACATCTAGGGGTCCTAAAGTGGGGAATTTGTACGGAGTACTGTTTAGTGACCATGAAGAAATGGAGTTCACCAACCAGGGAATATTTAGCCTGAAAACTAGGGGCAAAGCGCCGTTTTTGGTATGGCCCCGGCGCGGAGTGGATGCTGAAATGGTGTTTCCGCCGGCGCATCTTCGGGCAATCATTATTTGAATCATTTTGGAGCTTCATCTATGATGGGGAATCATCGCCCGCTGACCAATCATGGGCAACTTTACTCAATCCATTCATCTCGGCATTGAAGACTCTCGTCAATCGATGCCGAATATTCGGCAGGCATAAAGATATTCCCAGGTCGGTCCGACACTGGGAAGATCATTGATCTGATGACCAAAATAAGCTTGGATAGACCGCCATCATAGTTGCCGCAGTTGCTGACTGGGTCCTGTCCCTGTTGAAGTGAATAAATCACCCCAATCTCGAACACCTTCTCCTGAATCAAGTCGATGTCGTGTAACTAGTCCTTCTAGGACACTAAAGCACCGAGAATACACAATGTCACTAGTTTCAGGGCTACTGTGCTATCTGGTATTTACCATTATCCCACCACTACTACTGTCACAACGTCACTATTGCTGTGGGGCGTCGGACGAATTCCTAAACATTACTCCATACGGTGATTGTAATATAATCTACAGCATCTAAGGGGTGTATCTTGTGTATTAAGAATAGGACCCTTGGACTAGCAGTAGCCTAGGAATCTTCGGCTGTTAAAAAAGAGAACCACTTGGTTCTCTGAAGCCCTTGCCAGAGGTCTTCCGAGAACTCATTCTTGACCATTTTAAGCCAGAGTAGCACAAGATTTGGTCTCAGAGTGGCCTTCACAATGCAAAAAATCCCTCAAGAAATGGATGTATGGGTTGAAATCCAGAAGGCTAAGATTTAGAATCACTAACTTTAGAAATAACACAACGTGGGCTGGACACCCAAAAACATGCATTCAATTTGCTCATAAACCAACGTGGTCATTTTTTCACCTCAGGGGTATATATATGGTATGATCCTAGACTGGAATTAATAAGACCGCCGAGATATCTACTAACTTGGCACGAAGCTAAGTATTTCAGCCAACTCCACCGAGTATTTAGTCCACAATCACAGTGAGAAGCAAGACATAATGTTTCTAGAAAGCAATGCGAACCTAAGTAAACCCACAGCGCTCTTACAAGGAAACACAATACGCGAGGGCCAAAGCTCACTGCGTACCCTCACAGCAACCCGAGTCTAGAGAAAGATGAAAGTTCCCTCTACCAATCATTCTCGCCATTCAACCCGTTCTCTTCCATTTCCGTAGTATCTCTCGGACAACACCCGAGTTTTCTTAGTCTTTAAAACTGAAGACACGAGACCACTCAGTCCACATATTCAAGCAAAAGCCGGGTTGGCCCAGTACGATTACTGATGTCCACGAAGTAGGTGGTCCCGAAACTCAAGGATAATGATGAAGTTGCTTGAAAGAGATCAGTTCATTACGTTTGTCCACTATTGACACCCTTGGGACAAGTCGGCACCGTGGATAGACAAACGGTGGAGAAATATTGAGTTGACCGCGTTTGTGCTAGTTCACGAGGGTGCATGTATCCTTACGATTAAGATGCGCCAATATCCTATCCGTATTTATCAATCCCGTTGGTCTAATCTTGGGATCCAATAATCAACGTAGTATCTAGTGTTTACCTTCAGCCTCAGCAAATGTTTTGATCATTCTACAATAACGGTCATGAGACTGAACCTAGTTCACAGACAGCAGACAGCTTACTGACTATGAGACTGAACAAAGACAAAAGACAAGGGTAAAATATAGCTATTGGAAAGTCCGTCGCTCGAAGGACCCTTTCCAAAATGGCAAAAGTGTGTGCTGAGAGCTGACCATGACATGGTCCATTAGCTTATTCGAGGGCAATCACGAACTCCCGAGATTGGTAGTCTAGGTCAGTCGCGCTCTGCCAGTCTACACCGGTTGACGAACTAAAATTGTAAGGTTACGAAGCTCTTGCTCTGACCATTAAAGTAGCGTAGATCCAGACTTTATGGCCTCTCCAACCCGAAAGGTTGATTGGATGCTTTCCGCCACGCCTTGGCCTGTACACGCGTCGGTAATCGGCATCGGTCCTCCACATGCTCGTAAAAGGCAGAAGGACAAAGGACCTGGGGAAAATACGATCACTCGACCACGGAGAAGATAGTCCTGGCTGGTTAGCAGCAAGAAGAAGCTACTTGCCATACCAATCTCTAATCTCAAAGATCTTTCTCGCGATGTAAACTGCCTCGATAGGCTTTGAAGTCCTCAGCGACGAGCGCAATACTAGAGCAACCCCTGTTCACAGCACAAGGTATCAGCGCTGATCATAGTCAGCCATATCATTTATTGCGGCAAGCTGGTTGGTTTATTCATCATGCCCACTTTATATGAGGAGGGCGGAAAACGGTGGAGTGGTCATGTCCCGTTCAACTGGACTCGCAATTGGCCCAACCACTCGAGGGGCGAGAATTCCATCCTCGTCGATTCACCGGGATGTGGGCCTCACTCCAGCTACCCCGGACTTTCGTGGGGCCCCCACATGACTGACTGACTGACGGTCTCGAGATGCTCATGCTTGCGTCGAGGATGTATATAACGTGAAAGCTGCACTGTCCTTGAGTGATGGTTGTCTCATAGCCTCCACCAAGGGCCATTCTCAACCATGACGGATACACAAGTCAGAGAGCGCCGGACAGCTGATGCGGCCGTGATCGATGAGAAGACTGGCAATGCTCAAGTGAAAACGCTCGGCCGTCTGCGTCTGCGAGATGCTGAGACGAACGAAGTCATTCTCGTTCCAACCCCCTCCTTGGATCCAAAAGACCCTCTCAATTGGTGATTTGCATCTCCTCCCCATCAATGTGACCCTTGACGCGCTCTTGATACTTATGCATCTCTAGGCCGCGATGGTTTAAGCTATACACAGCAGTAGCTGTCTGCTTTGCCATGATTCTGTGCAACTTCCTCGCCGCCGGTCCGACTCTAGCCATCCTTCAGACAGCCATGGATTTTTTTCCAAACTGGCATGAAACCGGCATGTCAAGCGCTATCTCCAAAACCGCATACTTCTTCAATTGCACCGCGCTGTTCCAGGGTTTGGGTAATCTCCTTTGGATGCCGCTCATCAACAAGTATGGGCGTCGCCCGGTATATGTGATTGCGTTTACTTTATACACTATCACTGCAATCTGGTGCGCTGTTGGAAAAGGATATGCGAATTTCCTGGTCGCTAGGATCTTCATGGGTATTGCTGCTGGTGCTGGAGAATGTCTGGCACCTGTGACCATTGCCGATATTTTCTTTTTGCATGAGCGTGGAGCAATCACTGCGTATGTTTCTTCTGGCTATCTCCTGACTGATCAGTCATTAACCCGCCGTCCAGGTTATACAATGCTTCGCTGAATCTGGGCGTTGCTAGCGGCGCCATCATTGATGGCTTCATCGTCAAGTACCATCCCTGGCGATACATCTACTATGTGGCCATCGCCTTGATTGGCAGCGTTACGCTGATTGTGTACGCAACTTTCCCTGAGACGGCGTACATCAGAAATATCGCATCTGATGGCACGGTCACTACTTTGACCTCCTCTGGTCAACGTATCTGTCGCAGCACCAAGGGCGAAGAAGCAGGCACATCTACAGTCCATGAGGTAGCCCCCGCAGAGCCGACCACTCGTGGTGCAGGCTTTATCCAGGGCCTCAAATTATACCACGGCAAGTATACCCATGAATCTCTGTGGCAGATGACGATTCGCCCCGTGGGACTCCTGATTCTGCCTCCTGTTCTCTGGGCGACGCTGGTGATGTCGGTGACTATTGGTTTCATCACTGCTATCACCTCGAATGTTGCGTCGGCTTTCAGCACTGCCTACGGATTTGAGGCGTGGCAATCCGGTCTTTGCTTCTTCTCGGCTGTTATTGGATGTTTCTTTGGTATCTTCCTCGGTGGTAATTTTTCAGACTGGGTGGCGGACTACCTTACTCGACGCAATGGTGGTATTCGAGAGCCGGAGATGCGTCTTCCAGCCATCATGATCGGTGCCATTACTGGACCTCTTGCTTTGGCTTTGTACGGCTGCGGTATCAAATGGCAGATGCATTGGATCGTTCCAACCCTGGGAATCGGATTGAGTAAGTTCTGCCGTTAAGAATAGTCCACACTGATAACCCCATGTCTAACTATTTCATAGTCAACTTCACCATCACTCAAGCGACGAACGTATCCCTCGTGTACACCATTGACAGTTATCGTCCCATTGCAGGCGAGGTTGTCGTGACTCAACTGGCCTTCAAGTCTGCTTTTGGTTTCTTGCTAGGCTTTTACACTAACCCTTGGGTGGACACGCATGGATACAATGTGGCCTATGGTGAGATGGCGGCGATTTGTGGCGGTGTCCTCATTTGTTGGATTCCATTCTTCATCTGGGGAAAGAAAATTCGTGAGAAGACCCTTAGCTGGCGCGTAATGAGCTGGGTGCGATGGGACGATGATCGCGAGGTTGGAGAGTGATTTCATTCGCACTTCAGTTGTCGTTTCAAGTATCTTGTGCCTTGAACACTCCGTGCCAAATTTATCCTTGGACGTTAATCGATAATTACTGCATCTATTTACCTGTATGACAATGGAGCTTCTAAAACAGATACTCGAGAATGAACCCCTGAATTCATATTACAAGTGATAGCTATGCACCCTGTATCCGCTTTGCCCGGGAAAATGAAAATCGAAACTAAATCGTAATAAATTGGGTCGGATGCTCCGCAGATGATCCAAGGATACAAGAAAAGATATTATAGTACAAACCAGGCATCCTATGCCTTGGTCTTGGCCTTGGTCTTGCGACCCTTCTTGGGCTTCTCCTCGCTATCGTCGATAAAGCCATCTTCATCTGCAGCGGCGGCCTTCTTTCCCTTCTTGGCTTTCCCTGCGCCGGCCTTTTTCTTGGGCACACTAACGTACTTGTCCTTTTTCAAATCCAGCTCGTCTTCATCGTCGCCCTTGGCCTCATCAACGACCTCCTCTTCATCCGATTCTTCAACGACGTCTTCCACGTCAGGCCTCTCCTTGGTTTCCTTCTTCGGTACCACGACATTGCTCGCCTTCATGAATGGCAGAGGATGTGAGCGTTGGTTATAAAGACGCGTGAAGGTGGCCTTGGTCTGGGTGTCGAGCTTGACCTTGGATTGATCCATGGGCCCAAGTCCGAGCTCGACCATCGCGTCAAAGTCATCACGCGTGAGGAAGTATGCATCCATGAAGTCGATGACTTCGTCAACACTCTCCTTGCCCTCATCCATGAGACGCTTGACCGTCTTGTCCCAGATCAACGGCATATATTGTTGACGAATCTCGTCACGATTGCCGGAAGTCCGGAGACGCGTGTGGCCTTGGATCTCCTTGACGAAACGTGACAGCTTACCTGGAAGGAAGGAAAGTTAGTCAGATCTTCTATACCAAGCTTAGACTGGGGAATTTATCCTACCTTGCTTGCTGTTCTGGCCAAGCCAGCTGGTAAACTGTGGCCGCTCCTTCATGTTGCCAAACATGAAACTGGCCGGTCTCACAAAGCTGAAAATAGCGTGCGTAGGCATCAGACTCCATTGTTGCTGGGTTCCATGGATCATGCGGTCCACGAGATCTCCGTCACTGATACTCGACGCGGCGTTGTCCATCAGTTCGAGTTGCTTCAATCTTTTCTCCTTTCCTTCATCATATCTTGATGCGAGAGTGGGAGCTGTTCGGAGATAGTTTTCCTGGAGCATCAGATAGCTAAACTCGTGGTCGTTGAAGTAAAGTTCAGTCTTGTCGTTCAATGTCGAGGTCGAGCTCGGTGCAAACGTTTGCGCGTTGAGAATTTTGCTTGTGATATCCCAGGGCTTGAGGATGATATGCTTCTCCCACGCCTTGGCCATCTGTTTGCCTTTATCGAAATCTATGGCCGACTTGTCATCCACGTTGGACAGGTCCAGCTTGACGGCAGACAACATGTTGATGATTTGTCGGATATCAGCATGTGAGCCTTCAATCAGAGCCTCCAGCACAGATGTGGGGAGCTTCATCTTCTCGCGGAAGCAAATAGTAGAAAGTCTGGCAACAAGTTCAGCCCCCGATGGGCGTCTGAACGGAACATCGAAGGTGATGTGGTCAAAGGGCTTCATCTTGGGCAATCGACGCTCGTTGCAAATGAGGATGATTGGGATATTGGTCTTCTTGACGATGGCTGCTACTGCGCCAACACCTCCGCGATCACCAGCTGACATACCATCGACTTCATCCATGATAAGGCACAGATTGCGCTTCTCGCTTTCAACTTTCTTGCCTTCTCCAGCAAAGTATCCTTGCAAAGATGTTGTGTCCAGGACTCCCAAGGTGCCAGCCTCAACAAGCTTTTTACTTCTGGTATCGCTGGCGTTGGTTTCGACGATATCATATCCTTCCATCTTGGCCACCAGGTGTGCAGCTGTGGTCTTGCCAATTCCTGGAGGGCCATGGATTATAACTGCACGATAGATACCCGAGCCGTCTGGTCCAGCCTTTTTGAAATTGTCTTTGGCATTTTTATGCCAATTTCGTAACCATTTCTGGATTTTCTCGACAGCACCCTTGTTGCCGCAGATCATGTTGATTGAGGTAGGCGCATACTTGGTGGTCCAAAGTTGGTCATCAACCGGCGGACCCTGAGCTGCAAGCGGAGTTCGGCCATTTTGTTGAGACTTGGCCTTGGCCTTGGCCGCTTCCTGTTTCTTTTCTTCTGCGTCAATCTCTGCTGCCATCTTCAAGACCTTGTCTTCCTCTGCTTTCTTTTTGGCTGCATGCTTTTCCGCAGCTTTTCCAGAGCCGCCATATGCAGGCAAACGCCGGATCAACTCGAAGAGACCATCCTCGTTGATGGTCTTGAGATTGTACTTTTGAATAGTCTCGAGTTTCTTTGGGCCAGCATCACTGCCGAGAACAACATAGCTGGTCTTGGAGCTTGGGCCTCCAGTGACTTTGCCGCCGTATTTCTTGACTAATTCCTGGCCTTCTTCACGACCCAGGGTGTCGAGAATACCAGTGAATACAAACACTAGCCCTGCCAGGCAGTCCTCAGCTCCGATAGGAAGTTCCTTGGTGCCTGCAGTCGGAGGAGTGCGAGAACGCTGCGCGCCAAATTGCCACTTCTGGGTCTCCCCAGTAGCGGCAGGTGGCGATGGTGGCCTAATGGTGGGAATGCTGTCCAAGATTTTCTGAATCTCAGGATCTTCCGGTTCTGGTTCTTTCTTCTTGGGAGCGGCTTTCGTTTTCTTGGCTGCGGGAGAGGCAGTCGACTTGGCTCGAGGTGCTGGTTTCTTCTTCGTTTCCTGGTAGTCATCATCCTCATCTTCGTCGATGAGGGCTTCGGACTTTCGCTTTCGGCCTGCTCTAGCGGGTTTGGAAGCGACCTTTGGGAGATCTTCCATGACCACATCATCGTCATCGTCAAGAACCGAGGGCTTCTTTTGGTTTCTCTTCGAAGCCGCAGTTGCCGGTTTGACTTCTAGCACCTCGAAATCATCATCGTCGTCACTGTCTGCAGCGACATAGTCGTCACCCTTCTTTTTGCTGTATTCGTTTGCGAAAATGTCGTCTCCACCAAGTCCCTCGTCATCGACCACATCCTTTGTGGTCTTCTTCGTGGCAGTTCGGGAAGGCTTGACGGGGGCTTCATCGGTTTTTGACTCGGTTATGGTCTTGGAAGGCCGGCCTCGCTTTTTGCTTGAAGCAAAGTAGTCTGAACTAGTTGTAGGTTCGCCTTTTGGTTCCTCGCGTTTCCTGTTTCAAGGGAGTGAACGTCAGCCAATGCAAGCTTGTATAGCCCTAAAGGAAAAAAAAATGAGCTTACGGTTGAGCCTTCGGTTTCGCTTTGGGCGTTGGCGCTTTTGCTGGCGCAACATCTTCATCATCGTCGCTATCGTCCACCACCTTTCTGCTTCCTATACAAATCATTAGTACTGGAGAAAGGATAGGACAAGACACCGGCTCGTACGTCGTTTCCGTGCAGCAGAGGGGTCCTTTGCAATATAATTTCAGATTAGCAAGTTGTAAGAGTCATTGAAAGCAGAAAAGTACAGAAGAACTTTAGATTCTTTGCAGGATAGCTTACCTCTTTTGCAGGCTTCGGAGCGGTGCTTGAAGCCTGAGCAGGCTTGCCTCCAAAGAAGCTCCTGATATCAGATGGCATCGTGAGATCACTGTCGAGATGAGTTGCCAAGTACAGAACTCAGAGCACGAAGGCAATTGAGAGTGAAGGAAGCTCCTGCAGCCTAGTGAGGCAACAGTCCCATGCGTGACGCGCTGGACACGAGCGGGAGACGTGACCGCTGACTAAGGAACACGCTGGGCACGTGCACAGTACTTAAACCTGAATGGGACTAGCGTAGACTTGGGGAACTCGGACATCGAAAAGTGCCGTCGCCCTGCGCAAAGCATCTACAGTCGCTCGTTGCATCCTCGGTCACCTTCCCCGGTAACAATGGGTCTTCAGATGAAGATGTTCGCGGGGCCTCTGTCGGCCTGCACCCGGCCAACATGTATGACCGCCCTTTTTTCTATGCCAATGGCGGTCGCAGCTTCAAACTGACATTTGCGAAACAGGCCTGTCGGGATCGCTAGCTACCTTCTCTCTCGCACGATGCTTCTCTACCACATCACCCGCACTGGACTGGCTTACTCCGAAGTTTGCCGAGAAATCAAAGTCCCCCAAAGGTCGCCCACACGTCGCCACGGGCGGATCTACTCGCGGAACAACAGTGGTGTGGGGAGACTTTGGTCTTCGCATGAAGGACCATGACCGACGGATGCCGGCTTCAGCTCTTAAGATTGCAGAGGAAACCATCAAGAGGCGGCTACGTGGCATGAACTACAAGTTGTACAAGCGTGTTAGCGCCAACATTGGTGTCTATACCAAGGGTAATGAGCAGCGTATGGGTAAGGGTAAGGGTAAATTCGACTACTGGACAGTCCGGTTGCCCGTTAGCCGAGTTGTCTTCGAATTGAAGGGAGATCTGCACGAAAAGGTTGCCCGGGAGGCATTCAGATTGGCTGGCCATAAGTTGCCTGGTATGTTTTTGGATCTGCATCTCAATTTGCCCTGACATTACCCAATCTAACTATCTCTCGCTAGGTCTCTGGGAATTCGTCAAGAAGGACGACCCGCCCGTCGTCGGAATCACCAAACTCGGCAACGGTGTGACCCTCGAATCCCTCAAGCGCGCACGCAGAAACCCTCCCCTGGGAACCAACGAACTCGAGAATCCGCCCAAGACTACCACCTCCAGCCCTACCTCTTCTCAATAAATCCCGCCGCACCCTCTCGCATGGCCTTAGCGTCATCCCTCTCATTGCCAACATCGCCGAGCCAAATTTAAGCCCCGACGCCGGAGCCAGGCCCATACCCCTGCTCTCTCCTGGTTCTCGCGGCTCCTGCATCGACTGGGTTGTCGGAATTCCGATTTTCTGTACATTATATTGTCAGCTTTTGTACGCATCATACTCGAATCATTATGCACCATTTGTGGGGTTAGATGCCTTTGTCGTTATATTAGGAGTTTAGACCGAAGGATACATGACTGTGATTTACCTTTGTTCTTGCCCTGGGCGCCTTGTCCCATTCCTAGCTTTTGTGCCTGGGCGTATTCCTCTCCGTTGGCGCCGTTTCCGTTTCCATTCCCGTTTTTGTCAAATGTAGTCTTCATCTCGCTCTTTGTATGCGGCTGGCCTCCTAAAGACGAATTGTTAGTTATCCACACTTCGGATGGTTTAAGGTATCAAAGGTCCAATTTACCACCCAGCTGTCCGGTCTGCTTTTCCGGTGGTTGAGTAAATTCGCGAATGGATTCATATCTAGTCAAAGAGCGTTAATATTGGTTTGTATGGTGGTGGAGCTTTATGCTTGGGTGTTGATACTGTGTGCTCTCGCCACCGGGTTCCATATCAACTAGTCTAGGGTCGGTCATTTTGACTGGAATTGATAAAAACGTAAGAATCAGTTGATCAATGTTGGGATTTGTTAGGAGTACGATTGATCAGGAGTGAAAGAATGTCTGTCAAGAGGACATACATAGGTATTCCAGGAAGCTGGCCCAGTGACGAGATGCGATGACGATGACGTAGGCCCAACAACTGGAACTCAGGTTGTTCTAACCCCCGAACTTCAAGGCCACAGGGAGATGACCGCCGGTGGCATTTTGATCTTATCGGTTATTAGCTTCAGCCTTAAGTCAATATTTGACGTCGTCTGTGCTCTACTTATTTACGGAGCACAGTAAAATAGGTGTAAAACCCTTGAGTATCCAATGCATAGCTCTAATGGCAAGTAAAAACGCCGGAATCCATTTCAAAATGCCATGATGCGCCCGGTAAAAATAGTAAGAGATAATAAAGACTTGAGGCAAGTATCAAAGATCCAGCAGTATCCGAGTCGCAACCTGCAGAAACCCAGGAAGCCAACTGGCTCGCGAACTGAGGCTCACCGCGTAGTGTACAATCATTCATTCATTGATCGAATTTGTTTGAGTGAGTTTACTCGAAGTCCATGCCCATAGTCCAGCTAAAGTAATGTTAGTGGACGTGTGCGTTGGATTTGAATTTGATTGAACTGACCTCTCGTAGATGCGCATGAACTTGGCCACAAAGGCCTCGAGGTGGAAGATCACTTTCTATATTGGGATGTATATCAGCATCCATGTAATCAAACCTTTCTGAGAGGCGATGATAACTTACACTGCCAAGCTTGATCCGATGCTCATAAAAGGCAGACCATTTGATCACATCCGGCTTAAGGACATCGTCCACTTGTGACACCAGCATAAACGTCAATGTCTAAAACGAAGCAACGTTAATGGTGTTCTCAGATAGTTCCGTCACGATACAATGGCATACCTTGAGGATGGTAGTCGGTGGAATGCAGTGCGTCAAAAGGTCATACAGCCGTGCGCGGACTTGCAAAAGCTGGGCGGGCGATCGGTCCTTTATGATCTCGGCTGCTGTGATCGAGATAAGTGCCTCCCAGTCAGGAGGTGGAATGGGAGTGCTATCCGTCACTTTCTCACTATTATTTCACACCTGTTAGAGCCTGAACACACACTTGAGTCCACCCTTGATGAGTCCACTTACTTCTGCGCATAGATAGACTCAAACATGAGCAATGCACGGCGCAGATTCCGACCACTCTCCTTCGCAATCCTCTTGTTCAAACCATCCGCCTCGGTCCATCCCTCTCTCTTCGCGGCGATTCGAAGTGCCGCGCAGATATCGTTTTCAGTTGGTGCGGCCACCCTGACCAGCAGGGTACGCGAGCGGATGGGCGCAATGATGTTGGAAGTGCTATTGGCCAGGAGAATCAATCGCAAATTAGGGCTGTACTTTTCCATTGTACGTCTCAGCGCGGCTTGGGCGTCACGAGTAAGGTGGTCGGCTTCATTGATCACGACAACCTTGAACCGTTGCTTCGCGGACAGATCCACCTGTTGTGTCTGGGCAACTTCTTTCAGCAATTCTTGAACCACGACGCGGTCGTATGTTCCGACATCGGCCGGAGTAATCTCGAGGTGGTAGACGGAGGAGACAATGTTGAATTCGAGCTTGCGGTTGCTGGTAGTTTGGAAGACTCGTGCATCGATCTTGATCTTCTCGACACCGGAGCCGTACAGTTCTTTGAGAGTTGCAATGATACGTGTCTTCTTGCCGGCACCAGATGGTCCATAGACCAGCAGATGAGGGAAGTCTCCGCTCTGAGCCTGTAATATAGAAAAAGCTAGGTGAGAAGGTGTTGGCATAGCAGTGCAGATGTTTGGCCTTACCAGAGCTCGGAGGCGATCCGACAACTCAGGGTGATATGTGAGCGCGTCAAGTGACCGGGGACGCAGCTTATCGACGAGCAAAGCCATGGTGTATTGTGGATTGGTAGATGTGATAATCGGAGGTTCTTGAGGGGAGCTTTCGAAAATGCGAAATTGGGGGAACGCGTCGGGACCACCCACGCGCGCCTAATTAATCGGTGGTCCGTGCATATCTCGAACAACCAGCTTGGGCCTGAGAAAACTTGTCAAATATGCTCTACAGTTACCGAAAACCTTACAAAGTGGTTATGGAAAGAGCAGGTTTTTCTTCTATATGTACAATTTGAGATTTCTATCGAATTTTATGCCGTGCGCCTTATTCCAGAGATATAGTACAGTCACAATTGTTGTGGAGATGAGAGATTGATGGAGTGAATCCTTGGCCAGCATTGACTAGGAGCCCTGCTAGAGAGGTGTAGAGCTCTCTTTGTCACAAATCAGTCATTCTGATTCCGCGATCGTTCGATGGTAAAAGCCGCCTCTCCAAGAAAGAGGATTTTAAGACTGAATGGGCTTCAGAACCCCATTGTCATCATATTTCGCTTCTAGTTTGGGTTAGTCCAGTCGTCAGTGCTCAAAATCAAGGTTCACTTACTGAAGAATGTATAAGATAACGTGATCGTATCAATGCCCTTCATATTAGGATCCGTCGCGAAATCAGGATCAATATAGAAGAAGACAGGCATATCCACGGACTCGCCAGCATTCAACTTCTGCTCCTCGAAACAGAAGCACTGAATCTTGCTAAAGTACGGTGCCACCTGGCCCGGAGTGACGCTATACGTTGCGACTCCAATGATATCCTGGGGACCCTTGTTGGTGGCAGTGTAGAAAGCCAGGGCTGTCTCACCAGGCAGCACCCGAACCTCTCGTTGTTGCGGCGTGAACTTCCAGGGAAGAACATCGGAGACGGAGCCGTTGAAGGTAATGCGGAGACGTCGGGAGTCGGTTACTGGTGTCACTCGGGAGGCTGTGTCGCCGTCGCCGACTCGGTGGGTAAGAATGGGCTGGCCACCCCAACCGGTTTGCTGGCAGATCTGTCCTTATGTGTCAATTGAGACCGTAGTCTTTATTTTGCTAGTCACCAATAGGAAGGGCGAGGCGCACCATTTTGTACAGAGGAACGGAGCCATAGGCAAGTGCGACGGTTCCGAGGATCATGCTGATTGTATAGTACCTGATTGAAGTATATCAGTATGTGAAAGAGCTCAGATTTCTCTCAAGCAGAGCATGCTCACATAGTAGAAGTGTTGCGCTGTTGCGATTGCGGTGTGTTGAAGGGTGCCGCGGAGGCATGCTGCTTCTGGTGTAGGAATGAATTCCTTGAAAAGAACCTCTTCTCTGCCTCAAAAATGCCCTTTCGGAGATAAACTGAGCGTTGAGGTATGCTCCCTGTCAGTGTACAGCGCCCCCATGAGGGAAACATCCTGGAATTCATCATTTCTGGAATCTGCAGAGGAATCGGACCACTTCAGATCCCGGCGATTGAAGGTATCCCGCAGCCCTGCACGTGACGGCAGCGGCTTGCTTATCGATAAGACCAAGCTCCATACATGTAGATCTACATCCAGCAGACCAGCGTATCTGCCCCAGCGGCAATTGATTACTCACTGTGCTATGATCTGCTGGACAGTTGCCAGTCTGGCCTATCGCGAAGCTGAGGTTCTATATTCTGCGTACCCCAAATTCCACTCCCGAATATCTCTCGCGTCTACTTGTGAAAATTTTCAATTTGAACACATTAATTTGAGCTCCAGTGGACTCATAAACCCACTGGATGCATAAACATTAGTCAAATAAGCCTCGAGAGAACACTGTCTGTTCAAAGGGGCGCAAAAAGTGATAACTAGTCATACAAAACGTTGAATGAAAACCCGCTACCCCCGCCAACTCTAGTTCAACACACTATTAGTGATACGACCAAAGACACCCCGAACCAAGCTGGGCCTTTCCCGAAGACAGGTGAGAAGAATCGCAGCGCTGACTGCAAATGCAATGTGCTCGCGATGTTGATACTAGAATCAAGGGAAAAAAACAAACGTATTAGCACTCGTACTAGAACAACTGTAACCGACCGACCACACACTCCCTCTCTACTCGAGGGCGGGAGATGGTCTTAGACCGTGGGAGTGTGACACAAGTCGACTGGACAAGAAGAGGCTCGAACATACCTTTTTCTCATACAATCGTGGCAACACCGTGGCAGCAGCTCGCGGTGCCACAAATAGGGCCAACTCCTGCCTCTTCCGTGCCTGCTCAACCAATACACTCCATCCACACATAAGACATCCCGCTCCCACACAGAGACCAGAATCCCACATCAGCGGCGTAACTGTTTTTGCATCGAATACCTTCGGCCCGATCCGTGTCCGCGACAAGCAGACAGCGTAGTAGAAGAGACTGACAAAGGTTGCAAGAAAGGCAGATGACTGCGCACCCTCGGAGATGGCCCGGCGTAATACGGCCGGATCCCTCATTTTGCGCAGCCGCAGAATGATCTGAAGTGGGATGTAGGTTGCACAAGCTATCTTGAAGGTTCGGGCAAAGCGGGACACCGCATGTATCTCGCAATTCGGGCCGCAGCCCATGTGCACCATTTCGCATGGAATGGGGATGGTCTTTGAGGGATCGCCCCATATCTCGGGCCAGCCAAAGTCTCTGCACATGGATTCCAAGAGGGGTGCTTGTCCGGTGTCTTTTCCGTAGACGAAGGTCCCGCGTCGAGCGCGACGGAGGGCCTCGATTAGCCTTGTGTCCACTTTGGCAATCTCGCTAATCCATTTCTCGTAGGTCCGGGGTAATCTCTCCGGCAGGTAAAACCATGCCCACATGACCACTGCTGCACTCGTTGCAAAGACTCCTGCGTCAGCTAGACCAGGAATATAAGACTCGATGATAGTCCAACGGTTCTGAGCCTTGCGACGGCGAGCCCAGCGGCTCCATGCCATGCAGGCTATCACGTCCACAGCTCTCGTGACGGTGAATATGGTGAGATCCATCGTCCGGCCCACCAACACAGGGTGTGGGCGCTCGAGGGTATCGGCTAGCTCCTCACCGGGGTCATCCTGGCCCCGTGAGAGTCTCCTGGCTCTGAGTTCTTGTCGTGTGATGGAGCGGTTCTTGTTCAAAAGGTCGAAACTAATCCATGCTGATAGGAAGGTAGTGACGAATCGAATCAATCGATTCACCTGTTGAGAGATCTGGATATCACCTTGAGCAACCGATGCGTAGATCCTATAGAGCAGTACGGGGAACAAGGTTGATCCACCAACGAGAGCCGCGCAGAACGTTGGAAAGCTGTTGACCCGCAGAGGCCCGGCGAGAACACGAGCAAGCTACGAGATTCATGATTAGCCTATTCTATTTTGGGCCGCCACAGATAGACAGTGTTTTGAGCACGCGTTGGACAGTGACATCATCCATCGTATCCTGGCTATCAAAACACCGAATGTCGGGACTCACCTCCTGAAGTTTTTGCTTGACAGACCAGTCCTGGCTTCTGAGTCGTCGAACATAGGTCAAGAGTTTTGGTGTGAGTGATGACAAATATCCCAAGGCGTAAGCACGTAAGATACTATAGACCCGAGAGCGATCAGCTCTAGATTCCCTAATTTGGGGATTGACACCACCGTTGTACGCGGCAGAAGGTCGGAAGAACTTACGGCTTCAAGACCCGGACTTGAAAGTGCCTGTCACGGAGACTTAGCCGGACTGCAGGTTCCATCTTGCCGGTAACCCTCACGAAGCTGATCCGCGGGGAGGTAGAATAAGCATCACACTGAAAAGGCGCGACTAATCGGGATTCCCAGGCCTGCGTCTGGGACAATTAGAGAGTGGGACAGTGACAGCTTGTCCAATCACAGCGCTACTCGCTCGTGCCCTACAGTGCTGACCGCGCAGACCAGGCTTTGTTGCAGACGATGACTGGCAAATGGCAGCTGTCCAAAAAGTTGGGTAGTATTCTTTTTGGATTTTGGATTTTGAGATTGAGGGGAAGTGACCCTCCTGACAGCTGCACGATCGTTTTTCTCGTCTCCCCTCTGATCAACCGTGGATCTGTGTAACCGGTAATGGGGGAAGCTTATGTAGGGGGAATATGTAGGAGGGTCGAATGGGGTAGGACCTCGGTTCCTGATGGGGAAGTAAGTCCCCGCCGAGATGAGTCGCAGCAAGTACTTAATTATGTATTCAGGATTTCAGGGGCACGACACAAGTCGCGGCCGATCATCCGTCGAAGCAATTTGCAGATGTTGGTTGATGCGGGGCTTGGGCTGAGCAAGACCCGGGGGGGATGAGTTAACTAAGGGCTAGATAGGGCAAAGATCGAATCCTGGGCGCACGCTATGAGATAATTCTCCCGATTGCAAAGAACAAGGCTGGCTGGGAGAGACTGGGAATAGTCCCATAAGCACAGACCTCAAGAGATGGTGGTGTGTGTGGGCAAACGGCGTGGTGGGGATGGGGGATCTTGGGACGCTGACCAAAATGAGTGAAGGCCCCGAGTAAGTTCCAACTTACCAGTGACTTGAAAGGTACTCTTGGGACCCTTTGGATGAGGACACTGGATACCAAGTCGAGAATGGGGTACTCCACGTTGGACCCGGTCGGACTGGTCGAGTTCTCCGCGATGCCGAGATTCAGGGCCTCGGGGCGGCTCCCCCGGAGTTTGGGTGACTGGGTGAAGATACGCGGCTGGCGGTACGAGAGTGATACATTCTGGTACGAAAATAGAGTAATATTGAGAGTGGATATTGAGAGTGGTGTACCGCTGCCAACCGCCCCCAAAAGTACTACCCGAGTAACTGAATGGTGCCGCTAGCACGGCTGTAATTTAGTGTAATTTTGGTATAGCCGTTACGTCACGCGACCTGGAAAAAAAATTCACATGTGATTGAGGGTCAGTCCGACAATAATGCGATGGTGGATGGTCGATGGCAACGAGAGAAGAGAGAACAACTCCACCTTGGATAGTCATTTCCCCAGCTTTCAGCATCTTCGTTTGCTTTTACATTTCCCATCTCCTTTTCATTTTTCACACCCTCTTTGGGCCATCGAATTTATCTATCTTATATTCACACTCTCTATCTGGGAATCCACCCACCTATCTCTCCTTATCAAGTCGGCGATCTCGAGTCTCTACAGCACGGGCGATAGTCGGACACCGAACTATTAGCCAAGGCATGATCTTGTCGTCCTGGTCTCCGCTGCTCTTGATTCTTCAGGGCAGCAACTCTTGACTCTGGACGTCTCGCTCGGCCTTCTCCTGAAAGCTCTAGTCGCATCGCATCGATCATGGATGGATTAGGCCCTGAAGTACACCCCAGACCTACCTCCCCACCACCTGCTGGTCCATTTGGCTGTGAGTACTCTGTTTGACTGGACCTCTCGTTTTGTCGGTATCATTTCCTAACGAGTCAATAGACGCCTTCCTCTCCCCGATGGACGCTCCTTTCGAACAGGCTCCGGCCGTGCCTTCGGGCCTCCCGCTGCTTGATGATAATGAATCCAATATGCTCGATAGCTTTTTCACTACGATGAATTCCAACAACTTTACAAATGATTTCTGGTTTCGAAGTCAACAAAATAAACCCTCTGGTCTCAACTTCGACTGGACCGACGAACTCCCACCCACCTTCGAAGGCTCAACCACTTCGCTGTCGCAACCATCCTTCCCCCCACAAAACCTCAAAATGAACTTGATGAACGGCAGCGCTGCTGGTCCCGACATTTATGCGGCAGCTTCGATGCTCTACCATAATAACATGAATGGGACCGATCTCGGTTCTGCCCTGGCCCAGCAAGCATTCGTGGGCCAGCCCATCAACATGAACGGTGTCCACGGTCGGCGCGATTCTCAGCATATGGCTCCCGCACAAGCTTCCGGCTCCTCACCCTCACGGCCTCGGATTCCTACGGGATTTCACACTTCTGAGATGCTCTTTGACGTGCGCGACCCGATTCCCGAAGACCAACATCCGTCTCGCAAGACTCGCGGTTTGCACTGGGGTTCCGACGGCAGCTTCATGGACCAAGGCTACGTGGCACCTCCTGACCAGCCAGATATGGAGACTCGCACGAGAGATTTATTAGAACATCTGGACTGCTTTGAGCCGCAGGATAGTGCAGCCAACACTCGGGCTCCCAGCCCCGAACGTATGGCTGGTAACCATGGTCAACGCACCGCCTTCCGCCAGGCCGATGAAGATGAGAGCTCGCAACCCCGCAAACGACAGCGTGTCGTCAAGGCAAGCAGTGAGCAATACTCCGATGACGAGGATTCAAGGTCGATGTCCAGGAAATCCCGCACCCCCAGCATCGCCAAGGGCCGACGCTCATCATCGGACACATCTCGAAAGGCGAGAGTCACCCCGACAGCCAAGGCTCCTCGCGAGAACCTCTCCGAAGAGCAGAAGAGAACCAACCACATTCTCTCTGAACAAAAGCGGCGTAATCTCATCCGTCAAGGCTTCGATGATCTCTGCTCGCTAGTCCCCGGCCTTCGAGGCGGTGGCTTCAGCAAAAGTGCCATGCTCACTCAGGCCGCGGACTGGCTCGAGGATCTCCTTCGTGGCAATGAACTCCTACAGAGCCAGTTGACCGATATGAAAACGATTAACGGCCTTGTAATGCCTCGATGAGATATATGCCTTTGTGATGTGACCATGATTTATTCTCTTGTTTTTCGTTCACCGAGAATGTTGACGCATTTGTTTTGTTCTCGGGCACTCCAAGCGGTTCAGCGGCTAGGTGGCTTCGGGTCCCTCAAACTGGCGAGTGGGCGTTTGTTGTTAATATGATACCAATTTTGTTTGTATGTGGGGGAGGCTTTTTGTGATGATTGTTAGTCCTCGGAGATGTTATCAGATATGTCCGCATCCTGGTGGTCGGTTTTATGTGCTCAGTTTATATCTTTCAGCATAAAAAATTCTATATATCATGGTCGCGTTACCATTATGAAGCTGGTAATCGCGCTTCCAAGGAATACCTAGCTGTACATTCTCATCAGCGCATGAGAAACGATGCATATTTCGTATGGGGTCTCATGGAAGCGGCACAGTAAAGCTAAGTCGACTGATGTACAATGGTGGTTCAAATGCCTCGAGTTTCTAGACCAGGCAAAAGATTCGGCCAGATATTCTCCAGCTTTTTCTCTTTTGAAAGATTTTTCCGAACGTATCAAAGTTGCTCGATAGCCCAGACAACGCCTCTTGGGTGATTTTTGAGATATGACTGTTGAGACGATTCTGTAATTCTTCCTCGAAGTTTCAAACTTGCGCAATGCCACTCAGTGCTAGACCGCACTCAATAGTTGAATTGCTAACAGCAGCAAAAGGATATGGAAGGAACCTCATGCTCCAGAGTCCATTTTGCTTGTGAATAAAAAGCTATCGCTAGAGAGTTTTCCGAAGATCAATTCTTCTAAATAATTGTACCACGAACACCAGGACCAGCCCAAGTGTAGCTGGAACTATGTACGCCCCGTACTTATCGGACGGCCTCGTTAGCGGCCGATCCCACGGGCCCCACCGCTCTGTTTTGGGCGACGCGTCTAGCCGGCCTCAACTTCGCATGGTCAACACCACGACACAACTCCTCATTACCCCATCATGCCTCCCAAACGAAAGCGCTCTGGCGATGAAGAGACCAGAACCTCAGAAAATGACTCTCGCAAAAGCTACGCTTACCTGAAACCGAGTGTGCGCCGCATCCCTGAGAAAACCGTCAAGACGAAATGGACCACTCTGCCAGAACCTGTTCAGGATAAGGTCCGGGACTTGTTCCACTCGCTCGAGCGTCCAGTGATAGTGCGGCAGCAGAATGAGCGGAAGCGCATCGAGGCGCAGAGTGCGGTGCGGGCTGTGGTGCATAAGTATGTTCATATCGTCTTTGATCGCATTTCTCTACCGGCGAGCGAAGCAGTCGCAGCGCATCTAGGACTCCTTTGCTAATTCGCATTCGAATGTAGTCTTGGAAAGCGTCTTCCTCGAATGCCATTCCCGCCCATAACGAAGGACTCCAACTTTGACTACGAGTCCGCGCTGAACGAACACGTACGTCCCCTGTCAACGTGGACCAGGCCACCAGAGCTGACCAGATGCAGCGTGCGTTAGAAGCCAACTTGGCTACCATACAGGATAGCGCTGATCTCCTGAGAGCCGAGATTGCCAAAGAAGAGGCACTCCTTGCCGAGGAGAAACAGTCACTACAAGAAATGGAAAGAAATGCGAAGCGAGCAGAGGTCGAGAGAAAGAGGCAGATGAAAAATGTAGGCGCAAATATCCACGAACGTCACAAATCATGTCGTTTCCTTTCTGACCTTGCCATTTTCAGGAACACCCCGTCTTGCGTAAGCTTGACGATCTACCGCAAACCGATCGCCAAGGGGGCGCTGAGTTTACACTCCTGGACATCAAAAAGAGCCAGGTAACCATGGACGAGGTATGACTATTCCGCTCTACGCTCCCACCAGAATCTTGTGGACTGACCATGACCACCAATCTAGTTGGGCGACGACCCAGAGGTTCGAGCTCTGATGAAGCAACTGCATGGCCATCTTCAATCAATGCAGAGTAATACTGCACCCCTGGCCGGACTCAGCGAGGCAATCACCCGGTCGCAAGCTGCATTGGACTTATACACAACCCCGAACGACTGAAAGGGCATCCGGCATACGATTCAACATGCAGACTGCAAGCCCCATTTTTGGGCAACCGACATACGTCGGCAGGAGTTCGCAGATGCAGGGCTCCGAGGATTGATGAAATAACATCGCCTCTCACCCGCCAGAAGCTCATGGCCTGGTATTGACCATCCGAGGCTGTCCAGGAGATCCCTGTCGCGTGCTAAGGTCCCGATCACCTTGATCAGCCACTGCCGGTAGTTGGTATTTGCCAACCGAGACCAGGTTCTATCACACGTGAAGTACGGTGTACATGGTGTGGCACCTAAGAAGAGTACGCACCCAGGCACATCTGGCCAGGATACGAAGGGCTTACTATGAGGCTCTCTGGCGATTCCTGTCTCATTTGATAGATCCTATTGTTTGGGCGCACACGCCTAAATTCCACTTAAGGAAAGTTTATCATGCCATCTGATCGCAAGGCCCTGCAAGCCCAGATAATTTCAAATGAGGACGTTGTTCAAAAATCGCTCATACGAGTGACGATCTTGTAACAAAAGTAAATCCTAGGAAGACTAAATTTAGGTGGCGGGCGTTATGGTAGGGCCTAAAGTCATACCGAGGTGCCCCCGCGACCCCCGCGACTCGGGAAGCCCCTAAGAAGCGACCAGAGATGCGCCATGCGCATGCGGAGAAGTTCGGAGGGGTCGTTGTGACTTGCCCGGCATGACTCCGCTTTCGCGCCGCCCTCCAAGAACTTTGAACATCCTAAACCACCTTGAAGTAGTCTCTCACCACAACATTTCCTCGCTCTCCTCCATTCTATTTCCTGCGGTCAATGTCTGCAGGCAGTCATTTTACTCAGCCCTGGTGATTCCTGAACTTCACAATGACCGAGAAATCCGCGTCGGGATCGGGCGCAATCTCCGACAAGACCGCTGCGGCTGCCAAGTTCAAGGCCAGCGCAGGAGACGCAGGCAAGGATGCGCGGGCAAAGGACTCGCCAGCAGCATCTGCAGTCAAGTCCGAAACCGCGGGCTCAGGAAGTCATTCCAGCCCAAAGAAGCGCCGCAAGGTCAATCACGGTAAGGTGCCGTTCGCGCGCTATGCGACAGGGATCTTTGGGCGCAAACCTTCGGTACCCGGTTCGCATGGCGATTGAGCAGTTGATTTTGCTGATGAGTGATTTATATTTGCAGCTTGTGTCTATTGTCGACGTTCGGTAAGCTCCCCGCTTCATCAATATTCGCGCGCATATGGGTGTGCCTTGCGACGATCTTTCTAGGACTCTGTCACTACAGAGTTTCTATTACATACTAGTGCGGCGGACCTGCTTGAAGAAATTGCTTTGCTAACAGAGCCCTCTTGGTTGCGTGGGACAGCATATGACTTGCGATTCGGTACGACATTCCCCTCCCATCCGAGCCCGTCCAACCCTCCATATCACCTACGAAACCGGCTGCCAACGCTGGGCACAACCCAGAGAAATGTACCTGCTGACTAGCTTTAATGCGCATAGGAACGGCCTTGTACACGTTGTATAAAACGCAATATCGGCCATTTGTGCCATGATGAGCCTCGTGAACCCACGAAACGCAGAGATCAAGACCATTCGGCCGCGGACGAGGAGGGCTCGTCTAACAATGAACTGACCAACGTCCAAGGCATGGGAGCAAGTGTCGATCTCCCAGACTCTGCTGGTCAGCAAATTCTCCCAGACGGCACAATCGGAATTGCGCCTTCTTCGGTACAGCCTCCGAGCATTGCCTCCTCCGGCCAAGGTATTGAGAACAACCCTCAGCAGAGTGAGTATAGACCAGGGCTGTACTTCTGGCAGTGCTTTGAGAACCGACTGACACGGAATCTTAGTGATGGCGTACAACGACTGGCTGGGCGGGCAAAATCAATTTCAAGACATGCATTCGCTCCATCCTTCATACATGTTCAATGCGCCCGAGGTCACTAATGAGTACAACTTGCTTGGAGATTTCCTCAGTAATAGTCTGTTGGACGACGGCGCACTGTTCCAAGATCAGAGCATGCAGGGCATCTACTCCGATCCGACTCTCATCAATTCCATGAACACAGTTGGTGTACAGAATGGCCTGCCCCCGCCGGTGCAGCTCCCACCAGCGGCACAGAGCCAGGAACCTCAAGGAGATTCCGTCCTGCGCCCAACATCTACAGTAGGCAATGACAAGGCTCGCGAGACATATTACATGACCGCAGCGGATCCGTCCGGATCGGACCCACCAGAGGAGCGCATGAACAAGCTTCTCAAGGCCAAGTACGACGCAGGACTGTTGAAGCCTTTCAACTACGTTAAAGGCTACGCTCGGCTCAATCAGTACATGGAGAAGAACATGCACCAAGCATCTAGGCAGAAGATTCTCCGGCAGCTAGACAAATTTCGACCCAAGTTCCGCGAACGCATGCAGAGTCTGACTGATATTGAGCTTATCCTTGTGGAGATGTGGTTTGAGCGGAGCCTGATGGAGTATGATCGTGTCTTCGCCAGTATGGCTATTCCAGCCTGCTGCTGGCGGCGTACCGGCGAGATCTTCCGTGGTAACAATGAGATGGCACAACTGATCGACGTACCTATAGAGAGTTTGCGTGATGTGAGTGCTTTTCTTGACCTCAAACTTTCGAGCTTGACTGATTTTCTTTTTGAAGGGTAAACTCGCAATCCATGAGTTCTTTGTTGAGGATCAGCTGGTGAGCTACTGGGAAAAGTTTGGCGCTATTGCTTTCGACAACACCCAGAAAGCTATGCTCACCAGCTGCACTCTGAAAAGCCCGAGTAACCCAACAGGCGAGGGTATTCCATGCTGCTTCTCGTTCACCATCCGACGTGACAATCACAACATGTAAGTGTCTTCGTACTTGAGGTTGGCGATGATCCAGAAACTAATATAGTCTATAATAGCCCGTCTCTGATCGTTGGAAACTTCCTACCCACACAACGGGTCCACAAGTAGCGACCTTTCTAGAATGTTTTTATCCTTTCATGCTTCTTTTCAGTTTTGGTATGGGTTAGTTCAAAAAATCCGGCATTTGCTTTTAATCGGTTCTTGCGTCTCTTTTCTCTCTCTCTCCTTTGAATTTTGATTCCCCGAGTCTGGAGGCTTGTATCCTTTAGTCTGAAAATGTACAATTCCTGCGGTGTTTGATTCACAGCTATTGATCAAAATCAAGAACAATTTCTCTACTGGTAAATCTTTTAATATTCTAGGGGGACTTTTTAGGAACGAAGGTGCGTGGGTTGAGGTCGTGGCCAGGTGACCTTCACGTTTGCCCTCACTTCACTGTTCTCCACCACCTCATCTTCAGTCCTTCCTTGACGTTCCTCTCAACTCAATTCTTCCGCTCTTCAATCGTTTTCTCATCAACTGTGTAGTCTCTCATCCCATCACACAAGCCTACCATCATGACATCGTCCACAGCCGATGCTTTGGCAGATCTGGCGGCCGTATTGGTCGTCTCAACACGCCAATGGCAGACTGAGAAGTCCACCAAAGCCTCCACGGTTCCAATTGAAGACGATATTCGGGCCATCGAGGAACAGATTGAACAAGTCTCTGATACGGTGAATCTGTCAACCCCAGATCGATCGAAGCTGGATTCGGTGGGAACGGAATTGTGGAATGTCTGGCGCATCCATATGATGGAAGCATGCACAGATGAAGAAGAACGGAAGACAAAGAATGGCAGAGGTATGTCTAAGCTGACTATGGACACCACAGACAGACAATCTGACATCCATTCTTGATAGTGTTGGCCGTGGCCGTTGCACTGCTCGACCTTGCGTCCCCATCCAATGCTCCAGGTACTTGGAAACCAGACGAGTGCAGTAAACGACTGCGGAACATGTGACTGAATCCATACACAGGCCATATCCGGGTTCTGCAGGTGGCCTTTGAAGGGAGTCGTGTTTGCATCGGTACCTGAGCCCCGCGGATACGTGTGGTGGCTGCAGCTGATCAATGCGGCAGATACCAACCAGCTCGACTGCTCTCTCAAGATCCTCAAAGCGGCAGCAAAGCGATTCGATTCCTTGGAAGGAGATTCCTCGGCCATCGATAAGGTTCAGCTGGACTCTATCACTGCCGAATACTACATGCTTCGGGTGTATCTGGTGAGGTTAGGTGTTGTCATCCAATGTACATTCCTGCTAATCGAATTTCTTAGGCTTGGAAACAGGGGCGACCCGATATTGCTGATCACCTTTTTACAAAGGTTCCGTTGAAGGCTACAATCAAAAATCGCTCTACTATTGTTGAGCAATGTCTCTGCATTGGTCGGATGGCACTCGAAACTGACCAGCATGAAACTTCAGCCAAATGGCTCGAAATCGCGCTGGGGCAGTTACATGAGAATCAAGATGATGAAGCACTGATTTCAACAGACTTCGACTTCTACATTCGGCATCATCTCGGTCAGTCCTGTGGTCAGTGAATGCATGAAACGAAATACGCTGATATACCACAGCATGTGCCTACAGTTTCCTGAGCGCCAATACCCCCGAGGCAGCCGCAAAGCTCGAGGATCAAATGGATATACTGAAGACAGTAAGTATCATTCATCAGCATTATCCCAGTCGCTCGTGGCTAAGATCTATTTCAGCAGTATGGAGAGAACCCTGCCGTACAATACCTCGAGCTAGAGATGATGCGATTAGGGCTGAATCAGGAGAATGATAAATTCTTTGAGAGTGAGGCGCTCCATATTTTCAGAAAATCTCTTTATTGACACAAAGTTCAGCCATGAAGGCTGTGATCAATCGGCCAGATTACACTGAGCAGGAATTCGAAAAGTAAGTCCCCTTATAATCAACACGGTATGCCAGTCATCATTGCTGATTTGATTCAGTCTCATTGTGTATATCCAATATTCGATGCACCTGAGGTTTGTTGGCATTCACAAGTCTGTTCCCATTGAGACAAAAAGCTGACTCGAAATCAGCTTCTATCATGCTTTCGAAATATGTCAGTCATTGCTGAACTCTCTGCCCACCGAGAGGCGTGAATGGATAGAAAATTGCTTCCTTCGACTTCCGCGGATAGTCGGCACCCTGTCACATAAGCTCGACATTCCTGATGAATCATGCATAGCAGTCATGAAGGAGGCACTGACCATCCTTGAAGCGCGGGGAATCGAAATGATGAGCCAGGAAACAACCGATGCCTTCTTCACGGTAAGAAATCAGCATGAATTCAATTCCATATTACTAATAAATATGCAGGTCCTTCTGAACCTTCTTGAAGGATCTGATGGTATGTCTTGCCAGCACGTCGTTGAGAAGTGGTGCCAGCTTGCGCTGGAAAGCAAAGTCTTCAAAGGTCGCTTCGTTTCTACCAATCTGGGTCTTCAGAAGTAAGTCCATGCAAATTCAACTTTTACTTCAACACTGAAGATATCTCTAGGAGTCTGGCCACAGTTTGCTTTGACAACAACAACGTCACTTTGACTCGGCAGATTTTGGACCAAATCGTGGTGAAGAATGACTCGAAGTGTGACCCTGGAGTTCAAGGCCTTCTCTTCAAGCTGGCATTACACGATGAGAAGGATGTATATTGTAAGTGATTTCGTCACTTTAGAGTCTAGATTGTCTCTAACATGTAAGTAGTGAAGGATTACCTTTGCGAGTTGTCGAGTCATTCATCTCCTTTCGATCAATTGAAATTCCTTCGAAGCTGTGCGGCGGCGGCAGCAGAACTGAAAAACTCGCGGTTGGTGATCGACTGTATTCAGGAGTCCATGAGATGCACAATGCTCGTAGAGGATTTTCCAGAGGAAGTCATGGTCGAGCAAAACGGTTTCGAATGCGAAGGGTCGCTCTCAGTGGCCGAGTCCTGTCTATTTCCACTTTTATTTCTCTTAAATGAGATGGAAAGAGGACAAGATGTATCCCAAATGGATGTACTGAGCTTGGTGAATTTAGGTTGGTTTCGATACATTTCCCTCCCCCTTGGAATTGATGCTGATTTCCACAGTTCTAAGATGGGCCAAGCGAGGACTCGGCAGCACGAGTGTGGCCTTCTCGACTGGCGAGTTGGAGTCGGTTGGTTTGTATTCGTATACCTTGGCCGTGCATGTCTTCAACATGTTCCACGCGGAGGGCATCGAGGAAGTCCTCGAATTCACGAAAGATGTTTGTCTACTCATTACCATTCACTAGACCCAAACTGGATATCGCTAACAGGGTGTCACGTTGTGGGACAGATCTTTGATCTTTCGATCCAAAGACATGAGTCTATCCAGAGCATAGATCCCGAAATCATGCCCTCGAAGAGTCAAGAAGAAGGATCGGATCAAGAAGAGGGATCAGACGGGGAAGAAGAATCAGATTCCTTACCGCTCGGCCTCATTGCTTACCGATTTCTCTATTTTGAGGCCAATACACGTGCCTTTTGTGTTCAAACTCAAACCGATGCAAGCCGCAAGGTATGTTCGCTTAGTAAGCCTCACCCTCGATGCAGCGCTGATATCCTATAGCTTGAACACTACGCAAAAATCTGTGAGGCCATCAAAAAAATTCGAGATCAGACACCAGAGTACTCCACTTCTCACCCACTGGGTACCAATGCTCTCGAAAACCTCTTGATCATCGAGTTCGAAGCCACTGTTGCTCTGAAACAGTGGAATGCCCTAACTTCGGTAGTCCGCGAGAGCGAGAAGTTCATCAATTCAACCGTTTTCATTTGTTTGATGGACTGCATTGTTACCTTCGAGATGCCTGATGAGCACAGGGCTATCGCTATCAAGGTAAGTCCTCGCCGAAATTCAGTTCTGGAGTGTTGGCCTAATTTGGTAAACCAGAGAATGCTGGAAATTATTCGCAGAGCTGGGGAAGTCCCTCCGGCTGTTTCAGATCAGCTCTCAGCCTATTACCATTTCTTGTTTACGTTTGCCCTTGCTGCAGCAAAGTCTGAAGATTCTGCACGGCTTCCTGAGGTTTCTCAAAAATGGCCGGGCGCATATTATGGCATGGCCGAGTCAGTCGTTGACGAGTTCCTCCAATCCACGGGCGATATGTCTGACCCCAAGCCGCGCTCCGATGGCGACGTGTCCCCGGGAGATTCCTTGCCAGCAGTATCTTGGCCGTTTGATCCTTCTACCGAAGAGCAAGAGTACCTTTACCTTGCGAAGTGCTCATTCAACCAGGCAATGGACTTTTATTCAGCGGAGGATGATCAGGCTTGTCTGCGGTGGGCTGAGAAGGCTATTCGGCTAGCGGGGTCGGTGCGCAGTACTGAGGGTGAGGAGCTGGTGAGCCTCTTTCAGAAGCGATTGGAGGGACTGTTTTAGTGCGAGTATCAACTAGCACTGTATTTTTTTTACTCTGTGCTGTGTGGTTTAGGGATGAGAAAGAGAGGGAGCAGCTGTATCCGGTTAGCGCTAAACTCCAGCATCGGACCTGGCTGGCCTAGTATCTCTAGAAATCATTGCATAATAATATTGAATATCAATTGCTCAGGCTAAACAATGCTATCAAAAGGGAAATAAAGAAAAACTGTCTAAATTGTAAGTATAAGCTCTGGAGACATAGCCAAAGGGTGAAATAATAATGTGGGTATCATCAGAAAAAAGTCCAAGTCTGGTAACAGAAAGAAAAAAGAACAAGGACATCAAAAATCAGAAACGAAAGTTGCCCTGCTCCGTGTCTTCGGAGGAAGTGATGCAAGAACAAAACGCATGAATGAAAGATAATGAAAATAGACGGAGAGTCGCCATATGCCAGGGAGATGAGCAGGCAAAAGAATAGAAACGAGAGGGGAGAAATAAAAGGAGAATGAGCAACTCCCGCTCATTGGTGCCTGCAGCCCTCGACTGGACACCAGTAATGTCGAGGATCATAAAAGGCAAGGAGAATCCGCTGACACTTGCGATATTGAGAACCAGCAGAGAACGCGAGTAGGGAATAAGGTGTATATGTAGAGATAATTCGAATTGGTTCATTCATCGCCATTGGCATCATAAGAGCGACTCCTCGAAACCTGTCGCATCCCTTTATAGCCTTTATGTCGTAGTAAAGGAGTCGATGGCATATGACGAGGAATATGCGACGATCGAGACGAAATAGACGAATAGCTTGGCTTTCGATCCATATCTTTGCCACTACTATCCGTCTCTGTCTCGCCACTCTCATCGCTATTCTGGGAACGTGCGCTGACAGCTCGCAATGTGAGGTTCAGTTCCCGCTCAAGCTCTTTTTGAGCGTGGAGCGGTTTTGTCGAACCGTTGAGCTTTTTGCGATAGGCTCGTAGGGTTCGACAGAGTTGTTCGGTGGACATGTCTATGCTGCCGAATTCGCGCTGGCTGGATGCTTTGGTGCGTGTTCGGAAGTCCACTGATGTGCGGCGGTGGGTGGTTTTTGCACTATTGGGCTTTTTGGATGCGGAGGAGTATGATTTTGTCCTGGGGCTGACTGGGGACGGGGACCTTCGGATGGGGTCTGGGGTGAATGAGATAGGGGAGCGGCGGTTGGGAGGAGAGGGCGTCTCGGCGAGCGAGTTGTTCTTTAACGTGGACGGGGTTAACGATAGTTTGGACATCTTCCTTCCCAGTGTGGGCGAGAGTTCACGGACTGGGGTTGGCGTTCCAAGGGGGCTTGGGTTGTCAGGTCGCTGGAAGCCGGCCAGTTCACTCCGTGAGAGAACCTTCCGGAGAGGAGGTTTGGCTGCGGTCGATTCTTTGACGGGGCATTCGTCGTCTCGTCCATTTGGCTCTGGAGGAAGTTGCGGTTGTACACAGAGATTCCAAATCATGAGTATACCATCCATGCCAGCTGAGATAAGACTTCGCTTGGTCGTCGGGCCGTCGTCAGACTCCTCGGTCTGTTCAAGAAGCAGCGCATCGCTGACTCCCTCGGTGTGGCCGAACTCTCCTGTGAGCAGGTGATCTTTCTCCAAGTCGTATACTCGGATAGACTTGTCGGTGCTGGAGACTCCAATCAGAAGCTTGGGGCTTTGTCCTGGAATTTCAGAGGTGACTGTCAATGAGCTCATGATCACTGCATCATTTGCTTCCGAGTCTGAGGCCCGGAAATTGTGCAATTGCCGCCCAGATGGAATGTCGAACTTGGAGATACAGCGGTCCATGGTTGAGACATAAAGCAGGTTGGAGTCATCGGGGCAAAGGGTCATAGACACTGGAGAGGCCTTCATGGTAATAACTCTTGTGATGAGATAGGCGATCGAGATCCCACTATCTTCATCTCTGGTCGCACGGTCGCGAATTAGAATCGTGCGATCCGCGGAGCTTGATAATAATCCCTCGCCATCATTTAGGAACATGATTTGTCCCACTGCGCTAACGTGGTCATCCATGGTTTGCACCAGCTGCAAGGTCGAGTATGTTTTTTGGAAGAGCTGCACCATGCGGTCTCGGCCAGAACTGGCGACCAACCATGAATCGTCAGTTCTCTGAAGGGCAACATCTGTAATCTCGCCTCCATGAGCGCGAGCTTCGTCGATGCACTCCCAATCTTCGCCCGAGTAAACCCTAGAAGGAGTGCGTTAGCTTGGACGCTTCAGTAAGAATACAAGAAGGAATGACAAACCTCAGGACTCCAAATTTATCACCTGCGACAAACCAGTCTGCATTGTCCACAGCTCTCAGGACCTTCAACTCATTGGCAACGTCTTCGTCCCCGGCCACGCTTTGCTCGACTATCACGGTCTTCGAATCGACACATTTTCCGCGTGCATCCCAAAAGTTCACCGAGCCATTGCGAGACCAGGAGAAGAAATCCGCAGAGAATTTGTTGGGCGCTTTGAGCGGACGGATGCCCAGGACTGGATCTCGATGCGCCTGCATCGATGTCTCCCCGTGCTCCTGCTCTCCCTCGTCCGGCAAAGTCTCAATGGGGTAGATGTGGATCTCCCTGGTTGCTTCTACCGTGACCAGATGTGAAGAAAGTGAGCCCATACAGGTGATGGCAGGTACTTTCGTCTTCTTGTCTACCACCATCTTTTCCAACTTGGTAGGAGACGTAGGAGAAGATGTGGAGGTTCTTCGCAGAAATTCGAAAGACAATCGCTGCATCCTCCTGCCGCGTCCACCCAACCAAATCGACTCGCGGTCGAAATCCACCGTCAAGGACGTGACAGCAAATCCAACCTGCGTGACCACCGTTAACTTCTGGGATCCTTCACGATCATCGAGGAGGCAGACAGCTCCCGATTCGGTGCCCACGGCAGCCTCTTGCTCAGAAATGCTGCTGATACAACTAAAGGTATGGTCATTCAGCTGTCCCAAAAGGCAATTCCTGCCAGACAAGGCCTTCGGGGCCGGGTTTGGCGATGGAGCCCCATCCACAGTCAGCCTGGATTTCGTAGGAGACACCGGTCTCGCAGTCGGAAGCCTCCACACCTTGACATGGCGTACACCAGTGGTGACCAGCGATTGGCCCACCCAGCACATGTCACGAACGAAAGAAGTGCATTTGTTCGTAGAATGAAGCCTTGCCGATCCATTCTTGAGATTGATGGCCCAGATAAAAAGAAATCCATCGTTGGGGTTGCCCAGGGTTGCCAAATATTGTGAGTCCGGGCTGAAAGCGAGGCTGCAAACTCCGAATGTGTGCTCGCTGAGGATGGACAGGGGGACATCGGGTAAGGCGTCTCGGGCGGTTGAAAATATAAGCACGCGAGGATTATAACCGGTCTCCCCCACGGCCAAAAAACGGCCATTGGGACTGATGGAGACGCTGGTTACTGCTTTGATCCTTTCTCTGGACGACCATGCGCGTGGGCTTCCATTTTCTGTGACTTCGTTCGAGGGTGAGCCATTGGGGACGTTAAGATGCGGGTTCGAACGAATGTGGGAGAGGGATCGCGATCGGGGGTCCGGGGTTGCTGGAGGAGTAGATTGGTTGTAGAAGGACGTGGTCGTGGGATTCACGCTCGTTGCAGACGGGCGAGCTCGAAAGAAACGCTGGCAGAGGTTTCCCTCGCCATCGAGTTCGGCAAGTACTGCAGCAGAGCCGGCGCATAGCGCAAAGCTCTTACTCTGGTCGTGACTGGAGAAGCCATTGGGGGTTGTGGTGGTGGTTCCGAGTACAGTCTGAAGGGACAAGGTCGATTGGTGTGCAGATTTGCTCGGGGAGCGAGCTCCAGGTCGGAGAATGGGAGAATTGGACGGGGTGATTTTCAAGGAGGCGCCAGGCCCGGCGAGTTTGGATTTCGCGCTGAGGGGCGCGGGCGTGGTGGTGGCCATCGCCTCGGGGGACTGAACAGGCGAAGAGTCGGAGTCCCCTGAGTGGGCGGGGTCTTGGCATTTCAGGTCAGGCGCATTCGTGTAAGCGTGGGGGTATCACAGATCGAGATCTGTGATGATCTGAAGTAGAGAGAGAGACTAATCCGTAGAGGGGAGAAGGAGAAGGAGTGGGGGGTGAGATGAGAGAGAGAGAGAATGACGAGTGAGGGCGGGGGTAAGGACTGGAGTGGGTGATGATCGGGGTGATCACCAAGGCGCAAGCTGAAGGAGTGAAGATCTGGAGACTGGAAAGGTTGAAGAGAAGGAAATTAGAAAGATGTGAAGCTGAAGTTGTAAGCTCCCGGAAAATCCCAACCCGGGAGGGGGAAAACACAAACATGGAGGGAGCTTCATTCCACGCTAACACCGTTGATCATTCCAGGCGATCCAGGGAATCTGGCGAACCTCAGTTTTGGACTGGTCATTTGGACCTTAGGAACCTCTTAGGGGCCATTTTAGGGCCTGTTAGCCCTGCTAGGGCCCTTTTATTGTGGATGGCACGGGCCGAGTGGAGCTGCTGGCAGCTGCATGGTCTCGAGGGCTAGAGGCTTAAGGCTAGAGGACTCCGGGGTTCAATTGGAGAACTATACGGAGGACAGTAGACCCTAACCGAAAAATGGGAGATAAGATAAGTAGTTTGTAACTATTCAGAATATTCTCAAATGAAAACCCTCTGTTTAATTCTGTTCATTTTCTTATTCTCGTCTTTTAATCTCAACTGTCCCCAGATGAACCGGTGGGTCCAGGCCCTCAGGGCCCCAGGCAACCCGGCAACTGTTAGTCTCATCACTAACATATCATTGCCGCTTCTTGGTGAGATTGATTATTCATGATAAACTTCAAGAGCCTTTGACCTCGGGATTTAAGGACTGGTTTCTTGAAAAAGTGCTTCATTAACAATGTACATCCTTCGAATGGCAGTCTGGGTGGAGATATATATATTCTCCGGGTTGATGCATAACATAGATGAAGCGTACACGTTCGAAGTCCAGCCCTTACATTCAAGAAGCATAATGGAACCTTAATGGTTAGAACAAATTAGGTGGATATAGAGAATTGCGCTTATCAGAATTCTGATCTTTCTTTTCGACTCAACGAGAACACACTAGGTAGTATAGACAAACTTGATATGATTTCATCTTTATTCATAGATTGAGGTAGATACTTGGACTACAAAGCGACTATATAGAGGAGAGAAGGGAATCCTTCATCTCAACTAAGACAGACCAATATGAACAGCAAGTAAGACTATTGTGAGGTTCAATTTGAGCAAACATATTTCTTAAGGTTCCCCTATCTCCCGGAAAACTCTCAATATCCTCCCACCTTCTCCTGCATGGGCTTGAAGCTAACAGTCGCCGGCTCGTCACTAATCCCACGCTTCTTCGCTTCTTCCAGAATAGCCACTGTCGCAGTAGCGCCAATGCGAGTAACACCCAAGCTCATGACGTGCAGCAAGTCGTCCAGAGTGCGAACACCACCAGCTGCCTTAATCTGGACCTTGGCCCCCGAGTGTTGACGCATCAACTTGATATCCGACACCGTCGCACCGAAATAATTGTACGATCCATCGGCTTGCTTGACAAATCCGTAACCTGTCGAGGTCTTGACAAAGGCAACTTCAAGATTCGTGCAAATCTCGCACAGCCGGATGATATGCTCGGATTTGAGGTAGTCATTCTCAAAGATGACCTTGAGAATAGCGCCGTGGCGTACAACCGCACGATTGATCTGGTCAATCTCTTGGGTGACATACTCCCAGTCTTCGCCGAGGGCTTTGCCAACGTTGACGACCATGTCGATTTCGCGACCACCAGCTTGGGCGGCAGCGGCGGCTTCTTGGACTTTGATCTCGGTGGTGCTGTTGCCGTGGGGGAATCCGATGACGGGGCACACCTGGACATCAGTGCCTGCCAACTCTCGAATGGCTATTGGGATGTGATAGGGTTTCACACAGGCTGTGGCGACGTTATTTTCTCTGGCGATCTTCAGGCCGGCTAGGACGTCGGCGTCGGTCATGGTAGGATGGAGCAACGAGTGGTCGATCATCTTGGCGAGCTGCGACAGCGTCACAGAAATGGTGTTGTTGGAAGTCATGTTGGTATAGAATGAGGAGTGAATAGAATGAAACTTGATTTCAGAGAAACCTGTTGGTTGATTCTTTAGTCTGGACGAGATTGTGTGTCCTTTTTATAGTTGTTCTGTACTTCCTTCGCGTCTTCCGGTGGAATCATTTCCTCTTTTGTCACCCTCCATAACCCACATTTTTCCTCCGGATCAGATGGGAACAGAGTTCACTATAAACCATAGATATTCAAGAACTATTTCTAACCTGACCGAAAATTCTATTTTTCGCTTAACATATCAATTGTATACGCAAAGCTCATGAGAATATGGAAGTGAAGGGTTGTACTGGAGCTTTGTCATCCGTTCCACCGGAAGATTGACCATTTCAGGCATTCATTCCTGCTCTCCGAACAACTCACCACAATCTACAAGTTACTATGGCGCCCCCAGCCAAACGATCTAAAGTGGGCAGTGCATGTCAGAGATGTCGTCGGCAGAAGCTCAAAGTAAGCCGAGCCTTTACTTTCCGTCCGATTAATTCCCGCTAATCTCGACAGTGCGATATCAAACGCCCTTGCACGTTATGTGTCCGTGCTGGGGTCGGCTGCGAGACAGCAGATCAGTGGCGAGTAATTCAGAAGCCGCAGAAGGATCAAAGGAGAAAAACCAGTTCTAAGCACAAGCGTAACTCGGAGGATGAGCAACCTGAAAATGCTGGTATCACTAAGCGACCATGGTCTAGTTCCACCATGTCATTAGTGGAAGGAGTAAGTAAATCTGCCGCTGAGCCACTGAAACTCCACTAACCTTGACCAAGGCATTTAGCTTGCACAGTTCTACACCACCCGAGACACCGTCAGTCAATGCTCTACCGGGTGGTCAAGGACTACATCACTCGGTGAGCCCGAGGCTAGGTATCACACGTCCCGCTGACAGGAGGCCCGGAAGGCCTCCTACCACAAATTCTTGGCCACAAGGGCCACGACCAGCACTAGCAGAACTGGTATCACTGTTACCTTCGCAAGAAGTTGCAGCTTTGCTGGTGGACACCTACTTTGATCGGATCCACTGGTTCATGCTCATCTTCCATCAGGATGATTTCCGAAAAACCTGGCAGGAGATGTATGATTTACCCAGGCAGCAGCTCATAGAGTCTTTCCCGAACCAAGGATTTATCAGTACTTTCCTTGTTGTGATTGCCATTGCATTACAATATGCAGGCGAGCACAGACAAGATCTACTCAAGGCGCATGGCATATCACCTATGGACCTCAAGGAAAGGATTTTGTCAACAACCCGGGCTAAGATACTCGACATTGTTTCTCTGGGGTCTCTAGAGGCAGTACAAACATGTGTCCTGCTGGGGACGTATTATCTGTACCATGGCAAGCCGGAGCTGGCATGGCCAGTTTGTGGCTGTGGACTGCGCATTGCCCAAGCTTTGAATCTGCATCGGAAACTGCCACAAACAGCATTCATTACCTCTGAGGCTTACCGAAAGAATGAGACGCGGAAACGTTGTTGGTGGGCCATATACGAAATCGAGACATTTTGCTCCATGTCCTATGGCTATCCCCATAGCATCAAAGATTCGGATTGCGATGTGGAGTTTCTAGACCCATCCGCAAAATCTGTTACTGGTCAATCGCCTGCGTCGGCCGATGTGATGCATGACTGTACAGCGACTCTTCTCTCATACAAGTATTTGATGTCGAAACTCTCGGTACTCATAAATGACATTCTTACCGATCTGTATGGGCTTGGATCCTTGAAGGCCGAGACTCGGCAAGGCGGGTCGACTGGCTCTTCCAGTCTTCAAAGACTTGTCCGCAAGGTTTCGGCGCTTGACGCCCGACTGCAGAAATGGAGTGCTGAGATACCCGCTGAACTACGGCTAGATCGTGCTGACACCACTACCTATACCTCCATAGATGAGATGGACCAGGATATTGGTGCTTCTGGTCCCAGATTCGAGGCTCATATCTATCAGCTCCAGGATCTTGCCTTGAAGCTTGCGTATGAAAACGCCAGAATTCTTGTCCATCGACCGTTGCTGGCGTACAAGTCGAAATTTCCCGCAGAGACTGAAACCGAAGAACTCAGCAGTCTCGTCCGAGATACCGTGAACCTGTCTCTACAATCCTGTCGTGATGCCGCTTTGAGCACCTCCAACATTGAGAAGACCCCTATCTTCTCTCTTGCCGCTGATACCTATGCCACGGCTTTCATCGGCATGCACACTTTCACAGCTGGTGTCATGCTTTGCGTGTTGATCAGCATGGAACCTTTGGCCTTGGAATCTCATGAATCTAAAATGGGTCTACGTCGACTGCTACGTATGCAGTCACTTCTCAAATCACGAGCGCATTCGTCCCTTAACACACAAGGGTTAGAAATCCTAGAGAGACTAACAAAGTTGGTCATGGAAAAGGAGTTGAAGGAGATGTTGAAGTCTTCCGAGGATGAACAGCGGTCTGTACCACAACCAGGTTATTCTAGGGACGAGTCAAATGCACAGCATCTGAATGAAAGTGGGCAGATGCTCGCCATGACAGAGAGGATTTTGGACAACGAAGCTACGTTTAACTATGTAGAGGACCCGGCCATGTCACAGGCTCTTTTCGATTTTGATCAAGGTGTGTCTTTCAAGTAACATCTACACAGCGATACTAACAAGATTCATACAGTAATCTCTGGGAATATCCCTCTGGAGCCACTATTTCCAGATCTTCTTGGCCCGGGGGGTGGATTTGCTCCTGAGCAAGGTTGGATCTGGGGATTTGACAGACTGGCTTATCCGCCAGAAGACTAGAAATTATAACAAAGGAACTATGGGCATCACAAGTGACTCTTCGTGTATTAGCGAGAGAAAATTCACGTTCGGAAAGTGTATTCTACATTACCTTAGGTGTTCGTAAATAGAGTCAATCTCATACGAAAAGCTTGGCATCTACAGTTGATGCCTGACCTGTCAGGAGGCCACTCCCTATCTTATCGCCACTGCGGAATTCCCTTTCGCTCTCAGCTTCACCTTCAATTTCTCTCATCTCAAGCAACTTTTACAAACTGGCCAGCTCATTATCCATCATGGCTACCCAATGCGCTGCATCGGCCAAACTGGCCTTACCATCGCTTCTTCGCAGCTTCTTCCGCACCGAGTTCAACCACGACCTACGCCCTTCTGCCCTCCGTTGTTATGCTGGCCCTTCACTACAGCTTCCTCGCCGGCCATTTAGTTCGACTCCCAGAGCCTGCCAGATCGAGATCAATCAGTCGCCCGATATGATCACCACATCGGTCGCTCCCCAGACTTCTCAAGCAACTACCACTCCACCCTCCTCATCCTCACCAATTGAACAAAACACGACTCCCAGTCGCGAGTCGTCGCATAAACGGGCATCTGAGAATCCCAAGAAGAGGACAAAGAGGGATAAAACCAACTGGGACGATTCGAAAACGAAAATTAAAGATCGCAAGGAGCGCAAAGAATCGCGCGAGGAAAAAAAGCTCGACAATGCAAAGAAGGCCCCGGTGAGAAAGGAGAAGCCCGACCCCTGGCGAATTCAAAAGGATGCTTTGGACAAGAAATTCCCCAACGGATGGAATCCACCTAAGAAACTGTCGCCCGACGCGCTGGAAGGTATTCGCCATTTACACGCGACCGCCCCAGACCGATTCACGACCTCTGTTCTTGCGGAGGAGTTCAAGGTCTCTCCAGAGGCTATCCGTCGAATTTTGAAGAGTCGCTGGCGGCCCTCGGAAGTCGAGGCCGAGGATCGTCGCAAGCGATGGGAGAAGAGACATGAGCGGATTTGGAGTCGTATGGCTGAGCTGGGTCTTCGGCCGTCGACCAAGGCCTCTCGGCCGTACTCTGATGCCAATACGCTTTACAAGCCTGGTGAGAGGGAGTTCTAGTGCGACTGTGCACAAAAAAAGCCGGCTTTTGTCTATCTTTGCGGGTTCTCTTATGGTAGAAGCCAACCGCAATCTTGTATACTACTATATCATCGCATAGCGCTGTATAATAACTTGTCTCCACTAAATAACCGCGCTTACGATGTAGCCTCATAACTCTCCAAATTAGAGTATTTGGATAGTAGCATTGCTAGATGTATGAACCTCAATTGAAATTAATTTCCCCAGTAACACAGTGCCGTCTCACTTCATTAGCCTGACCTTTCTCGTGTCACGGCGGGGCAAAAAAGGAGTTGACAGCAACAATGCTTCGGGGGTCCGGGGCCGCAGCCAGCGGAGAAGCGCCACTACTGACTTTCCAACTCTCCTTCAAACCCACCTCGGCAGCATTCGCATGGCCCTATTCCTCGACCGCGCCGACCACAACTTCTCCCTATCATGGTCCCTTCAATCTGACAGAATGCAGATGTTAACATACCGTCTGAAGCTCGGTCCCACCCACTGATTGTTGCGCGCAACCTCCCTCCCCAGATCGAGTCTGGAGCTCCGCCTTCGGACCACATGCTGACGCCGCGTCGCAATGCCGTCAAACATCCAGGTCTTTGTGAAATGGAAAGACCAGACCATCTTCGCGGGAGAGAATGTTGAATGCACAATCACCTTTAAAAATGTGGCAGATGCTGCCTCGGAAGCAGGTCATGCAGGTGAAGGTGGTCAGCATCAACGGAAGCTGTCTCGTGTCGCGAACCACACAGGCAACTCCGGCTCAGACTCGTTCTTCTCGTTGAAATCTCCCCAAAATCTCTTTTCAGGGAGACGATCATACTCGATCAGCTCTCAGAGGAAACCTTCCCACCGGACCGCCTCGTCATTGAGCTCCCCGCTCGTATCCTCGCATAGCTTCCCACCGACCAGCGGCCCCTCTACCCCTCGAAGTTGGCAGCCCGGCCACAGTCACAAACGATCGGTATCAATTCTGTCTATTGAAAGTGAAGGATATCCTGAGAAGACACCGCCACCGCAGAGCTATGGCCGGAATCGACCGATCAAGGGCCATGGGCGTTCAGCAAGTCTCCAAGTTGCCCCTAGGAGGAACGATAGCTATGATGACTCCCTCCGGAAAGGTATAATCCTGGCCAGGTCAAATGGTAGCATAAATGCAAATGCTAACCATGTTCCACTAGTTGGGAGAGCTCCCATACGCGGTCCTCCACTCGCAGAGTCCCCAAACGAGTCTGGGCCAGGCAACTTGAAAGTCGACACTTCACACCTTGGACGAGCAAGTCGGCCTGGCTCTCTTGCCACTAGCCCTGTTGGAACAGCAGAGAAATTACGTGCCCCGCCGCGAAGAACGCAGCTACCCGCTTTCGACTTCAAGTTTCCTCCCGCTCCTCCATCGACTGATCCTAATACCAACCGCCCTGCTCTCTCCCCCTCTCCAAAGTCATCCGACAGGATACCCTCGCCCGGAAAGCCGGCATCAAAGGACTCAACGGCCTTGGCCGCGCCATCGCATCAGCAGCTTACGCGGATAATATCAGCCACGAGTGTGAATGGTAGTAGCCGAAGTAGTGGAGAGTTCTACTCGGTCAGTGATCATTCGAGCGAGACACTAGCATCGGAGTATACAAACTATTCGTCATCACAAGTCCCACGGCAACCACCCACCCCGCGGCATGGGCGGCATTACTCGAGTGTGATAGCACCCCCGAGGAAATCTGACAGCCAGGCGCTGCTCATGGGCTATGCACAGATCAGTGCGTCATTTACGGTCGATGGCTCTTTGGTGAACCAGTCCGTTTTCGATGAGGTCAAACGGAAAGGTGTCGTCGGTGGCCAAGCCGTTACAGGCGGGGTGCCAGGACGGCCAGGCTCTGCGGGCGGTGATCGTTCACGAAAAGGCGGTGGTTTCTGGGGAGCACTCAAGTGGAATGCAATTGAAGAGTCTATCAATGGACTCTTGTCGAACAATGAGCTCGATGGTTTGCGAGATATGCGCGGAGTTGCTTCCTCGCGATCCATTCCGCTGCTGTCCACCCCGCAGTCGCTCCTTTTCGTTGACCTACGACTCGCACCGGGCGAAGAGCAGTCATACTCGTTCTCGTTCGCACTTCCTAAGGGACTCCCGGCGAGTCACAAGGGCAAGGCGATCAAGATAACCTATAATCTGGTCATTGGTACTCAACGGCCAAGCGGACCTAATGAGTCTCAGCGAGTGAATCGCATTAATATTCCGTTCCGCGTTTACAGCGGCGTCAATGGTAAGACTGTCACCACCTGCGACCAGCTGGGCTTTGCAATTCTAATGCTTTGACAGACAAGGGAGATGTCCTCGGCCACGACCTGATGTCACCATATGTGATCTTGCGCGACGAAGCCAAGGTGCAAAAAATTGCGCCCACTACGCCCGTGACCCTCAAGAACCAGAGCATCAGTGGACCTTGGCAGTCTGCTGGAGATTTCCTTTCCTACGTGGATGAAATTCTTGAACAGCGTGCGCGCTCAAATTCGCTCTTCCCGCCAGGAGCCCTTCCAGAAAGACGGTCAAGTTATGATGGCCCTCCTCCGCATGCTTTGTCTTGTAAGGATATAATTGATTTTGCCATCCTCCGAAGCAACCAAGCTGTGCAGTCACGGCGGAGTCCTAACAGATTCGAGATTGCTCGCGATGGTCAACGGATTGCCGTTGTTGTGCTTAACCGCCCTGTGCATAGGCTGGGTGAGACAGTCATTGCCACTGTTGACTTTGGCGATGCTGCCATCCCATGCTATGCCGTACGAGCATCACTCGAGACATCCGAGAAAGTAATGCCTACAATTGCAGTCCGGTCGAGTGCAAGCATCCATCGAACCACCCGTCGCATCCATGCATCTCTATTTGAGAACACTCTGTACGCGACCCGGGTCGTGTTCAGTCCTGCAATCCCCATTTCCGCTACACCCACCATTCTAACCAGCGGCGTGACCCTGGACTGGGATTTACGATTCGAGTTTGTGACACCGAAATCAAACGGCGAGCTTAGCCATGGGCCGTCTGGTACTCGATTACTTGAGATGATGTCCTCTGATGATCGTGGGAAAGTTTTGTCTGCAATGGAGCATTTGGGTTGTGAATCGTTTGAGATTTCTATTCCCCTGACTGTATATGGCGAGACTGTACGGGAGCTACTACCAGAAGAGAACGTGGGGTATGCTATCTAGAGAATTGTGATATAGTCCATGTGATGTCTTTTCGGTGCCTGCCGTGCAGGCCCTTCATCTTATTCGAATTAGATATTCCTTTTATCTATCCTTGGATGTCCCTTGCCAACGACAAGTTCGTTGTACCTTATGTAGATCTGTAGGCCGTGCATATTTACCCGCCAGAGTCTGAATACCAACGTCACGAAGGATAATACAATTCAAACATTTGGCTCAAACCCATGGGTCAAGGAACACCAATCGGCAAACCTCACCTCAACTTTGTCTAGTTAGTCCTTCATCCACCCAATCGCAACGATGCAAAATACGAGAACGGGCCCATGCCTGCCTGGAGTGCCAAGCTGCTGCCTGGTTTCTGCCTGATTGGCCCCACGCCAAGCTGGCACATTAAGCTCTCTTGTAGATGACAGAAGTTGTTATAAAAGGGGTAAAGTTAGGAGATCGTCTTTCTCTGTTCTACTACTCCCATAATCAACTTCAACGCACATTCTCCTATTCACAATGTCTTCGACAACCGCGATACCTCAGTTGCCGGGGTTCAACGCTCCGCTGAACACCAAACCCGAAGTGAGACACCATCTCTCCATGCGGATGCATAGGTTTTCTGATCAAACTTAGAACCGGAGAGGTCACGGAAGTGTTCACGGTCAAGGCTTTCCAAACGCGCTCGAAATTGAGGATGGCTATGTGAAGTAGGATTTGACTTCAGACCGCCGACCACGTGCCTGGAAACTAACATGAAACCTCCAGTTATCTGGACGTCAAAAGAGAGATTGTCATGATGCAGATTATGAGCAGCATCACGGAAAAGCCTGATTGGGACAAGAAGGTGAGTTTACATGCTGATTCAAGTAATTACTATATTGCTAACGCAACCAAGGTCTTCGATGAGGAAATCACCTCCAAATGGCGTAAAGAGATTGCTGAGAGTGGAGAAGACGTGTCCCCCAAAATGATGGATTGGATCATCAAAGAACTTCAGTGGAAGTCTGAATCCTTCAAGAAGGACGGCCGAGTTAAGGTGTTTGACGTTGGAGTCGTCAAGTCCGATACTGCCATCTCACAAGAGCTGCAGAAAGCTTTGAAGGAAGCAGCTGTGCCGTTCGAAGACGTCCCCGAAGACCAGAAGGATTATCACCCGAATTCAGATCAGCAGGTCGTTGATTTGGTTCACCCGTCTCTGTTTCCTGTTATCTTTGGCCGATCTCGCATCCTGCCCGATAGAACAATCAACTTGGAAACTTGCCTTGGCAGTGTCGGACAAGGTGACCTGCTACCAGTGCCATCGAAAGATCATATCGCGCACACTCCACGGTATGGCTATGGCTGGCGCGCCACCCCGAGGGAATACAGCCAGAAATTTCAATGGCTTCCCTGCGACGTGGAATTCACCGAGGACGCAGGATGTCGAATCGTTTCTTACATCAACAATGCCCATCCAGTCAAGCACCGAGGACTATATGAAGTTGTGGAGAAGATTATCACTCAGGCAGTGCCACTTTGGAACGAGACATTGGCCTACAGACCATATAACGAGAGACGGATTCAGTACAACTCTATCGACTATGAAGAGGATGTTATACCTGAACCAGATGGTCAAGAGTCCGATGAGGACGATGACGCATATGAAGAACGTTGGCAGACATACCGAAACTCTCGGCGTTTCATCCAGCCCGAACCAGCGGAGTTCACGCCGCCGAACCTTGAAAGGTGGGGTCTCATCAACCTACAGGAAGCCTTTGCCGAGGAAGGACTTCAGGTGATTGTGAAATTAGCCAATATCGAACTCACGCCGGAGAAACCCAACTACGCAGGAGGTAGCTGGCACATTGAGGGACAGCTGGTAAAATTTCCTTTCAAATTCTGGATTCTTTCAGGGTTACTAATTGGCATTTAGAATGAACGAATCTGTGCGACGGCCATCTACTACTATGACAGCGAGAACATCACCGAGAGCACACTAGCCTTCCGCCAGCGCAGCGAAGACAACTTTGAAGATGTAGGCTACGAACAAGATTGCCACGAATTCCTCCAAGCCGTATACGGATTCGGCCCCGAGGTTGACAGCCGCAATGATACCAATGTCACGCAACATCTTGGAAGTGTCGTCTGCAAAGAGGGACGCTTACTTACATTCCCCAATGTTGTCCAGCACTGCGTTTCTCCATTCTCCCTGGAAGACAAAACCAAACCCGGCCACCGGAAGATTCTGGCGCTGTTCCTAATTGATCCGCACAGACGGATTATCTCCACTGCGAACGTGCCTCCTCAACAGGAGGACTGGGGAATGGAAAGACAGAATCTTGTGACTGATTTATTGGCGAACAATCTCCCGCCGGAATTGCAGGTTATGGTTGAGAAGGATATGCCGGCGTCGTTCTTGACGATGGACGAGGCAAAGGCTTATAGACTTGAATTGATGGAGGAGAGGAGTGTGGCATCGGAGGTCAGCAATGCGGCCTTTGAGACTGGAAATTTCTCTCTGTGTGAGCATTAGGGAGGAGTGATGCAGTGTCAAGGATTGGAATGCATTGATATTCTTTTTTCGTTCTATAGTGCTCGTTGCTTGACAATTCCCTGGGTTATCTTAGTCAAGATTCTCATGAACCCTTAGTACTTGCTTGTTTCTCGATCCTCACTTTGACACAGTCAGGTATTCAAATCATCCCATGAAACAGGAAAAATGCCAAACTCGGCACGAAAAGCCTGATCAGAATGCGACGATACACGATTGCTAATTCGACGATACACACCTGAGTCTGGTCTATCGTAGTCATGGTATCACTATCTTCTAATTAGGATATTACTACGGAGTATAGTAGTTCAAAAGACTTAGTCTAGAATCCAGAGAAACAGACTAGCTAGATATTCTTTACTCACTCTTTTTTTTCTAACTGTTTTCCTAACTGTCTTTCTAACTGTCTTTTGAATCATCTTTCTTCAAGGGTGTAGACTGCGCTCCTGATCGGGACTAGTCCCAGAATATCGCCCCACCTCTCAAAGCTTGGCACTATACTGTAAGTTACCTGTTATTGTGTAGTCACCATTCACTGCTCTTTGCTTTCTTCTACTTTGTCTCTATTTTGCTAGAGCTACTTCCTCGAGATTATTATCATGGCCCCGAGTGATTTCGATGCTCGATTCCTCGGTGGGTTGGTAAGAACTAAGGTCACTTCACTACCTTTAACGACTCGGCTACCTCCCCTCCCGCGTCAGGCAGCTCGTGGATCGTCACGGAAAAGCTCTATGAGCAAGCAGTCTACCTCACAAAGGAAAATTTTGACAACGGCGTTGGGCTTCCTTTGACAGCTGGTCTTTTCCTGTGTCATCTGGAAGAGGACCCGGCTCAGATAGCCTTCATGCGAATCTATTATCAGATTCCTGTTACTGGAACTGAGGACGATCTTGCTAAACTAGCCCAGCAGGTCATTGAACCTAAGGTCTGTAGTGAACGAGAAGCCTTTAAGCAGTTGATGGCCCAAGACTGTACCGCTGTTCCCCATTATCTTGGATACGTTGAGAAGTAGCAAGAACCGCATGATCTTGTTCCTGGGGGGTACATTGATTATCTTGTATGGGAAAAGGTCCCAGGGGAATCCCTTACAGAGGAGTTCTTCTGGAGCTTGGATGGCCAAACACGGGATGACATCCGCGCTAAGTTCCGCGCTGCATTTGAGTGAATAGTATCAGCTTTCCGGTCGTCTTTTTAATCGTCTTTCTCGAAGCTCTGCAATTGCGCATGGAACGAAGGCTAACATGATTGAAAGAGATATCATGCGTTGCGGCGTAGAATCATATCCGCCCAGAATCTCCAAGGTCATCTACGATCAGTCTACAGGTGATGTGTATATTAAGGCTTCCCCAAATGCTAAGAAGATCTACTGACAAAAGCAGTCGCATTTCGGGGTTTCGACAAGGATGGCCGGTCATTGATGAACTTAAATGGTCGGATGATCTGTACGTTCTTTATGGCCTAGCTATGTCACCAAAAGAGCAGTGGGGCTGGTATGATCATCCGAAAAACTGGACGATATAAATAGTTAAGAAGACAGTGCGAAAAGACACCAGAAAGACAGTTTAGAAACCGGTTCAAAGGATATTTTAAAATAAATTGAGAAACAACTTTCATAAAAAGCTAAATTTAGAGCACTCATACTTACATTATAAACCCGTTTCTCCAGTCTAGATATCAAGAATCCAGTGTACCTGTACTCCACTATATCCAACAACGGAATATTCTGTGGTGTGAGTAGCCCAGCCTTAGCCTTGATATATCAGTAAGCTCTGCGTCGATTAGCTGGTCATCCACGTTGTGCTCAATTTGGAAACCACGTTGGGTCAAGTATTTCAATACGGGTAGTTGCCCAAACGAGTCCCGTCCAGTGTGAGGGAGTTTCAAATCGCAATCGATAGGCATGCACTTTGCAGATTTCGCATGCGTACAGTCGACCTACAGCGGTGCACCCGATCTTACCATGATGGATGACAGTGATAATCTGAAATTTGTTGGGGAGCTCAGGGTGCCCTGGGTCCCCGAACACCGCATTGATGAGGTATTCGAACTCGAGAGTGCTCCGAGGAGGACGCTCGCCCTTCCGATTATGTACATGCAACACCTACAGTGTGTGTACGGGTTCCTCGGCACCTACGACGAGACCATTTCCCTCCAACAGGGCGTCGCCAGCCAGGGAGTGCGGAGGATCTAATATTCTCCAGTTATCCGTATATCCAGTATGTATGATGAGGGCGATGGGAAGAATTCCCCGGTCGTCTCTGCCAAGCAACGTTTCTTCTATGTCGGAGATGAGGCACTGAACCAGGGACTAGCTAATAACACGACTGCTGGACGGGTTCAGGGATATTGACTAGTGAATGTTCAAGATATCCAACCACAAATTTCTGGGAATGATAAAACGACGATACATAATTGCTAATCACACGATACACACCTACGTAGGGTTTAGCGCGGTAACTGTATTACTCTCTTCTTATTATTGTAGGATATCATTATAGTGATTCAAAAGTCTGAGTTTAGAAACCAGAGAAACGGACCAACTAGACAAGCTTCAATGACTCTTTTTTGAAAGGTCTTTCTAAATGTCTTTCGAATCATCTTTCTTGATAGCACGGATATAGTTCAGCTAGTGAGTGCTAAAATGATTCTGAAAATTTATTGGGGTTCCAAAGTTATGGAACCCTAATGTAGAAGAATGTAAAACTGTTATACTACTACTTACCGCCAAGCCAGGATAAGAGTTGTATCGTCGAAATAGCAATTCCCAAATGTCTCTGAACCCATCTTTAGCGAGACGAGAGGAAATGAACTGGTTTGAATTTGTCGATTAATGTACCTTCTATTCAATTCCTAGATGGTCAACTTGGAACTTTGATAATCTGATGTAGGGGCCAGAGTGGGTCACCGGGGCAACGCAGAAAGGGAGAATAATAATGATCCATGGATCCGATTGCGGGATCACGTTAAGAGGTGGACGAAGGTGGAGTAGCTGAACTGTACGACGGGACTCCGTACCTGATGACTACTACGAACTTACTCGATGCCGCGCGCACATCGTCGATCCTAACTTGTTTTTTCTTTCTACCATCCTGGTCATCTACAATCGCATCGTCTCCAGAACTCGTCTTGGGTAAGTTGCACGTCATACCCAATCTCATTCCCCCGCCCCGCGAAAAACAACACCCGCGCGATCGAACCCTTCTGACATCGGAATGCAGGCACGTCGTGATCAGCGCCGTACCCCCGCCGCAAGTACCATCCAAGGGATATAGGGAATATCTCAGTCGGCGCGAAGAGAAGAAATGTCTTCCTTCATCACCACCATGTCGGTCCCCGCTGCCCCTGCCCCCGTTCATCTATCTACAACTCCCATCAAGTCCTTGTCTCCCTCCCCACCGGCGCGAGGCCCGTCTTTGAGTCTCAGCCCGTCGGTAATCTACCAGACCACCCGCACTTCTCATATTCCTTCCCTTGAACCTCCGTCTTACTTGTCGCCCGCCGTGCGCGCACTGAAACAAGGCGTCTTTGGACTAACACCTCCCAGCAATGCGCGGACGCGAGCCCCCTTCAAGCCCCGCTCGGCCGCCAAGGGCACCAGCAGTTACCAGCTGAGGCAGTTCGCCGAGGCCACTTTGGGCAGTGGCAGTCTGCGTAAGGCTGTGAAGTTGCCCGAGGGCGAAGATTTGAACGAATGGCTTGCAGTGAACGGTAGGTTTATCAATGGTCGTGATCATGGCACAGTATGCTGACACCCTTGGGCCCTGGTTATAGTCGTCGACTTCTACAACCAGATCAACCTTCTCTACGGCTCTATAACTGAATTCTGCTCCCCGCAATCATGCCCCGAGATGAAGGCTACCGATGAGTATGGTCCATCTATGCGACGCGATACCACTTGCCCTCGATCCAGACTGACCAACTATCCAGGTTCGAGTACCTCTGGCAAGACTCCGAGAACTTCAAGCGGCCAACCAAGATGTCTGCTCCCGAATACATCGAGCACCTCATGACTTGGGTACAGGGCAATGTCGACAATGAGCAGATGTTCCCCAGTCGCATCGGTAGGTATTTTAATCGTCGGTTGCACGTCCATCACTAACTGTGTCACATCAATAGGCGTTCCTTTCCCCAAGACATTCCCGAGTCTCCTCCGCCAGATCTTCAAGCGTTTGTACCGAGTCTACGCCCACATCTACTGCCATCACTACCCGGTTGTGGTACACCTTGGTCTCGAGCCACACCTGAACACCAGCTTCAAACACTACGTCCTGTTTATCGATGAGCACAAACTGGCCAGCGGCAAGGATTACTGGGGTCCTCTGGGTGATCTGGTGGACAGTATGCTGCGCAGTGACTAGGATCTGAGCGGGTTGGTGACGGATTGGGTACACTGTGCATGAGGAGTCGGTTCGTGTTCGATCTCGCTGGCTGCGGTTTCGGGTGGAGATGCGATCAACTGGATTCTCGACGGCGTTCCGGGTGTGGTGCATACATTAGTAGATTCAATTTGTGGTTATGGGCTTGTTCTGGCGTTTTCTTGTTTCATTATTCGGAATGGAAGATTGAGGCATTGATGATCTGGTATTCCGGAGGGATTTCGTGTGCAATTGTCGGGTGAAACGACTATGGTCGGATACAGGGAGACGAGCATAGCAAGGCGTGTTCTTCACCTTTGATGATACCCTAGATCGAATTGGACACCGCAATAAGCACTGGCAAGAAACAATTCTTCAATACTCTAGACTCTAGAGTACTTTCTGTAGCTGTAGACTGAATAGCTTTGGCTGAGAGTTGCAGCTCCACTGGCGAAAACCAGACGGCTTACCTCAGCAGCTAGTGTAGCCACGTGACTCGGGAAGAAGTCGGACGTGCAACTCTCAACTTGCACGTTGCCCAGCAATTCCGACCCCGTCGCTCGAATCCTCCTCTCATCCTCCCCCCGACTCCTTCTGGTCTCTCGAGACTCTCCTCACAACCAATTCTCACGATGATGTCCGCTCGTGTCGCCCGCTCCGGCCTGCGCGCCGCCCAGCAGCTCTCCGTCGCCCGCCCGGCCTTCAGCGGTCTGCGCACCTATGCCACCCCGGCCCAGAGTGTCCGCCCCCCCGTCGCTCTGTTCGGCGTTGACGGCACCTATGCTACTGCTCTGGTATGCATTCGACCCTCTGCGAACCTCTTTGTCGGCAATGTCGAAGTTTTTTGTCGACCCCGTGTTGCCCCGACCCCTCCCGCTGGCGCTGGGCTGGGCCTTTCCCCCTCTTGCATTTCAACGTCGGAGATGAAACCCGCAAGACGACAAAGAAATACGTGATGAATGGCTTTCGTCTAACTTTGTCTTTGCTGTAGTACACTGCTTCCTCCAAGTCCGCTGCCCTCGACCAGACCGCCAAGGCTATCGCTACCCTCGGCCAGACCCTGAAGGCCGACCCCAAGCTGATCACCATCCTCCGCGCTCCTACCCTGTCCATTGCCGACAAGCAGGAGATCATCAAGGAGCTCCAGAAGGTTGCCGGTGCCGACAAGGCCGACATCCTCAAGAACTTCCTCCAGACTCTGGCCGAGAACAACCGTCTCGCTTCCCTCGACGGTGTCTGCGAGAAGTTCGGTATTCTGATGAGCGCCCACCGTGGTGAGGTTGAGCTGAACATCACCTCTGCTCAGGTGCGTCAACAACAGCCCTTCAAATGAAATTCTGCCTTGAAAGCATCCGGAAGTACTGACCAACCCATGAACAGGAGCTCGACGCCAAGACCATCTCCCGCCTCGAGAAGGCCGTCGCCAAGTCCGAGTTCAGCCAGGGCAAGAAGCTCAAGGTTGTCACCAAGGTCAACCCCGACCTCGTTGGTGGACTCGTCGTCGAGATCGGTGACCGCACCATTGATCTCAGCGTTTCCTCTAAGATCGCCAAGATGAACAAGGCTCTGACTGATGCCCTGTAAATGTAAAATAACTTCCTTTTTAGCCAACAAGCTGAATGTCAGAGTTCCGCTGGGAGTGGATGTTAGATTTATATTCGGCATTATCGTCCCGCATGAACGGTGAAAGTTGGAGAGAAAAGGGAGGGTGGTTCATCTTTTCTGAGAGGTTTAGATCTAGTGTCTCTCTCCCTTATTCTTTTGGTGCTTTCATTTTTCTTTTGTTTCATTATCTGTGGATTGCACAATACACTTTTCATTTTCTATGTCTGGGGTTCCAGCATTGTAGATGTAGTATATCACTGAATTGGTACAATATGTACTTGAATTTGATATTCTCGGTTGAGATTGATTGGTTGCTAGGCTCATATTTACTTGGGTCTGACAGGACTGAGCACGATTTTCAAATGATCAGGATACTTCAAGAAACCCCGGTGGAGAGGATTGCTACAGGTATAGGCACGAAAAGGATGTTGAGCAACACGGTACAAAGCCAATGAACAGAGTGAAAAGTATGTTAGATGAAATGCTATTCTACGCATGCAATATTGCTCTCAATGTATCTATCTGTCCACTTATCATGGAACTCGAAGCCTATACTTGCATCTGCATCTCCACCATCAACTTAAAATGCCATATCTATTAAGTGTATCTAGTTCAAACAAACCAACCCATTCCATCCTCTCTCTAGAACTAGAGTCCACCAACCTCACCCCACCTCAGCAGTAGCCCTGCAACACCTCTAATAATCCCCATTCTGCTTATCAACCTGCGTCTCAAGCTCATCCTCATACCCCTCCGCAATAGACGCCGAGCTCCGAACACGCTGCAATTGACTCTCAACATAGTTATGCAGATGCTCATCACTGTCACCGTTTTGAGGAAGTGCAGTGCTACTATCCCGTCGACTGAGGGGTCTGCTGCTATCCTCGTCATCGAGGACTGTTGAGGCGGCGGGAGTGGCGTCGCCGGCAATCGTGGAGTTGAAGTCACTTCTGTTGCCGATGGATCGGTTGGTGGAGGAGCGTCGGATGACGGGACGGCCTTGGCTGCGGCGGCGGCCGGAGCGGGAGAACATGTCGTCGAAGTAGTGGGAAGCTGCGGCGAAGGGGGAGCGGGGTGTTTGGGGGAGACGGCAGCTTAGACTAGATTTTGTTAGTATTTGTGGTTTGAAGGGAATTTTTTGTGTTGAGATGAGAAACTTACCCAGTGTCGTGAATGATCTTGGCAATTAATCCGGTCCAACCACACTGGTGGGATGTACCCAGGCCACGGCCGGTATCGCCGTCGAAGAACTCGTTGAACCAGAGGTAATCCTTCCAATGCTCGTCAAAGTCGAGCAGGTCAGAATGTCCGTTGATTGCACGGCGACCCTCGTCATTACGGGCAAACAGATGCTGCATACGGTGCTGCAGTTCCTCGGCAACATGGCCAAGATGCATGTAATCACCCGAACCAGTGGGACACTCGACTTGGAACGAATCGCCGTAGAACATGTAGAAGCGTAGCAAAGACTCGACAAGCAAGAAATTGACGCAAAGCCAGATAGGTCCACGCCAGTTGCTGTTGCCGCCGAAGAGGGCGCTGTCCGAATCACCGGGCACGTAGCCCACCTTGAATGTCTGGCCATTGACGTCCATGGAGTATGGGTTTTCCTCGTGGAACTTGGACATTGATCGGATACCGTGCTCGGCCAAGAATTCGGTCTCATCGAGCATACGTCTTAGGATCTTCTCGAGTCTCTCCTTGCTGACTAGTGAGAGGAGGAGGCGGTCGTCCTTGCCGCGGGTCTTCATGCTGGCAATGTTACGCTCAGCAACATCGGACTTGTTCTCGATGAACCAGTCAAGTCGTCGCTTGAACGAGGGGAACTTTTTGATGATCTCTGGTTCGAGAGTGAGGACGGCGTATAGCGGGATCAGACCGACCAGCGATCGGATAGGGAGCTGCTGAGTCCAGGGACCACCGTATGAAATGGCATCATAGTAGAAGCTTGATGGAATTAGCAGATGTGTAAGAATTATCGCGAGGGAGTGCAAACTTACTTGTCTTCCTCATTCCAGAGTGACTTGATGCTGTCCTCACCAGACCGGTAAGTCATAGCATCACTGATCAGGATGAAGTGTTCAAAGAACTTGGACGCAACTAGATGTAGGTTAGTAAATACACCAGCGGTTCATCATTCGAGTTTCCCGACTTACTGTCTTCATAAGTGCGACGGTGCTTGGCAAGCTCCAGTGCAATATTCATCATGGTCAGACAGTAGAAAGCCATCCAGCCAGTGCTGTCCGCTTGCTCGAGGACGCCACCAGTGGGCAGAGGCTCTGACCGGTTGAACAAACCAATATTATCCAGACCCAAGAAACCTCCCTCGAAAACGTTCTTACCATCCGAGTCCTTCCGATTCACCCACCAGGTGAAGTTCAGGAGGAGTTTCTGGAAGACACGCTCGAGGAAGTCCAAGTCTTGCCGGCCATACATCTTGCGCTCGATCTTGAAGGTGCGGAATACGGCCCAGGCATGCACCGGTGGGTTGACATCTCCAAAGTTCCACTCGTAGGCGGGAAGTTGACCGTTGGGGTGCATGTACCATTCACGAGTGAGAAGGTCCAGCTGCTTCTTGGCAAAATCAGGATCAATCATTGCCAGTGGGATGCAGTGGAAAGCGGTATCCCATGCCGCGAAGAAAGGATACTCCCAGGAGTCAGGCATCGACAGGATGTCATCGATATAGAGATGCCGCCACTGTTCATTACGAATGCCCTTTCGGCCAGCAGGAGGAGGAATCTCGGCGGGATCACCATTACTCCATTGATCCCAGATGAAGTTGTAGTACTGCTTGCACCACATCATGCCCGAAAAGGCTTGTCGCTGGATGTTTCGCAGGTCATCACTCATAGGAAGGGGGCTGATGCGGTAGTAGAAGTCGTCCGCTTCGGCACGGCGTTGCTCAATCACCTCGTCCAGAACCTCCTCATCCACGAACTCTACCTTCTTTCGAGAGAAACGGAATCGAACAACGGCACACTCACCCGGGGGCACACCCTCACCCTCGTCGAATGCATACCACGCACCAAATTTTGTACCTTCATTAGCAGGGTTCACAGCATCCTTCTCCTCATCCACGATGTGGCGATGGAATGCATCCTTGACGTAAGGCTGATCATTCTCAGTGCCCCACAGCTTTTGGTTGTTGGTTTCATTCTCAGTGAAAAGCATTCGCGGTTGAATATCTTCCTCGCTGGATCCAACGGGAGGCGAAGGCGCAAAGCATGCATATCGCTCGCCGAGCTTGCGATGAGTAGATTTCGCGACGCGGTCACCATCTTGCTTGATGGTTGGCTTCACGTTCTCCTTCTCATAGCCCCAAGACCAGGTGTTCCGGAACCAAACGTGAGGGATGATGTGTAGAGGAGCTGGCTCAGGACCACGGTTGTATGCAATAACTCGGAAGATAAGTTCTTCTTCATCGTCGCCTTCCTTGGCAGTCTCGATGAAAATATCCCAGTATCGGTTTTCCTCAAACACACCGGTGTCAAGGATCTGGTATTCGCGCTCCAATCGAGTTCGCTTGGCATTTTCGTCGACCAAGTCTTGGTAAGGGAACTTCTTCTGGGGGTACTTGTAAAGGAATTTCATGTAGGAATGCTGCAGGAAGCTCACGTCAGACTCCAAGTTGGTACCCAGCAGTGCGACTATTCCAACCTACCGTCGGGGTATTGTCCACATGGAAATGGCACTCCTTAATACTCTCACCATGATTACCTTGAGGGTTAGACAACCCGAAGAGACGCTCCTTCAGGAAATCACTAATTCGGGACTATCAGCGTCTCGGAATTGGCGGGCGCAACTCCCTGGTGTAGAATGTACTGACTCTTCTCCGTTCCAGAATGTAAAAGCAATGTTCTGCAGGCCGTGGGTATCCGAGACACCGGCGATACCATCTTCGCCCCAGCGAAAGACTCGCGATCGCGCATGCTCATGCGTAAAGTCTTGACACACTGGTTAGCTTTTTTCTCCACGGGTTATTCTCGAATTGCAGATTGTCGCTTACAGCTCCAAGCGTCACCATCCTCACTATATATCGTTAGTCTTGAACCCTTGCAGGGCTTTAATTGAAGTTTGACTTGACTTACGAGTAATCCTCGCGCACTGTCCCACACCGATGAAGTCATTAGCCCGCTATCCAACCAAAACCACCATTCGCACTCATGTAAACCAACCGGTTGCCCATTGTCGCTCAGCCACATAAGGACCCCATTTCTTCCAGTACCGAGTACGTTCCCGATCCTCCTGGAGACGTTTCTCTTCCTGCGTGAGGTACTCCTGCTTGTCGATCAGGACCATGATGGAGGTGGTGGACCCGGGATGCGGAGCCGGAGAGAGCAGCGCGCAAACGACGATTGAGGGGGAGAATCAGCGATCAAGACGAAGAACAATCTCAGTCAGGGACTAGGGAAGAAGATGATCGACTGCAAGAATGTACAAGTACCGCCAATGCAGCAATGGAGTGAAGAAATCGAGGAAGAGAAAGGGAAGAGGAAGAGGCGAAAGAAGAGGAGGGGCAGATGGTCGCTTTTTTACTCCGCAGGGTCGGGACTATCAGTAAACCAACTACTCAAACCCAGTTACCCAGTTTACCAAGTTAAAAAAAAACCGAAGCCTCTTAGCCTACCAAATTTGCCTGTGAAGTTCCGTGCTTCTACTACCAAAGGCCTAGACGGAGGAACCAGGTCCGACTGACAAGCTCCACCGGTGTGCTATCAGTGCCACGGCCCAAGGACAGCAGCCAAGGCAGGGACAATGACGGCACCGGTGGATATCGGGGGGCGCTGATGCTTCTGAATGCGCCTCAGTGATTGGTTAAGTTTGGCCAGTCCATTGGGATCTCGACTGCGGGAACAACACACCCAGAACACTCGCAGGTCTTGCAGGTCTTGCAGCGGCATTTTAATTTATGGCGCTGCCACTGATGCCACTAGTCTCGTCGGTGATCTTGTGCTTATCCGTCCCGACATCATGCATCTTCACATCTTGAAGCCCCGAGGGAGAGAAGAGGAGAGGAGAAGAAAAAAAGAGACAACTCAATTACGCCATAGCAGTGCCAAAAAAACGAGGGGCTCCGGTCTCATCGCGTGGGGGGAGCCCGGATACATACAAAAATGGGGGGTGTTTCTCAAAACATTCAACACATGAAGCAAGCCAAACCACAAATAATCCCAAAACGCGCCGACCGGGGTATCTTTCGTCAGGTGGTCTGGCTTCAAATCGCCATCCCCGGGTCGGTTTCCGTCTGACCTAAATCTGGTCCAGTCGGAAGAGGTATAAAACAGTCAAAAGAGAGGAGAACACTTCCTTCGGAAGGGAGAGAGATATATCGGCCGATCACGACTCATTCGCCTTCTGTTCGTCCGCTTGCTGCTGCTCGTTGTCGGTCGATCCTTCTGGGGGAGCTGTCGCAATGAGATCAGTCATCCCGTTGACCGTGACAGATAAGAACGAAAATCACATCCAGCAACATGGGAAAATGCGATCGCGCGATGATCACAGGGAGCCATCCTTACCGGTTGTCTGGTCCTGCTCACTCTGTTCTGTCTGTGGTGCGGATGAGGAGTGGTAAGACTGTGCCTTAAGGCGCTCCTCGGCCTCACGAATGCGCTTTTGCAGAGCTTCGAGTTCCCGAGTCTGGATCATCATCTGTTGCTTCCTGTTCATTGTAACTTGTCAGTGACGATGCGACCGAGCTGCGATGTCATTTCCGCCATGTTAAGCCTCCAACACTCACTTCTGATCAATGGTCTGGGAGAGATGGTTGACATCACTGTCGAGCATGAAAGCGCTGTCCAATGCTGTGGAAAAGGCCTGCGCCATGGTCCTAGACAGGTGTTAATTGCCACCGCTTGCTATAGCTTCGGACGGGGAAAGCAGTAAACGCACGACTGCGGTCGGATCTTGCCCGAGGGCTTCCACTCCGCGTCCATCTCCATATCGGTCATGGTCATTATGATAGGCTTAGGGTCCCCGTTGCGAGGGACGCGCTGCTGGGTCGAAAAAGGTTGACTTGTAGAGGGGTATATGTGCGACTTGTCGGGCGGGGCAACACCGCACGGCCGCAATCGATATATTCAACGGGGGGAGGAGATCGAATATCGCGGAGAGAGGGAATCGCGAGGGTAAAGTTAAAAAGATCACAGGGTAGGCTCAGGGGTTTCCGATCAAGGGCGCTGTCGAGGGAGTTCGAGTCAGTCGAGTCTCAGAGCAGTTATACTTCGTCCACCCCCAACAAACAACCCCGATAAGCGGGTTGGCTCCAAACTGGAGGGGGGGGAAGAGTCGTAGCAGACCAGGGGCATAGAGCCATACCAGAGACAAAAGGCAAGCGCAGATCGAGGAGAATCCGACAACTTTGGAGAATTTCACCGGTAAACAGCTGGGAACCTTTGGTAAGAGGAGAGGAGAGGGAGAAGGGAAAAAAGAAGAGAGGAGCGCCGACTGACTTTCTTTACGGATTCTTTACTTTCCTTACCGGGGCTCAGGGACGCATAGTTACTCCGTAGTAGTGACATAGTGCTCCATACGTACTCATAATTTGGGACTGACTTAGTTACTGGGTTTATTAGAGCTAGTCATCTACTCGATAACAGAGGAAGCATTCAACTCTTGCCCACGAATGTGCAACCTTCTCCTTATTGTAATCGCAAAGGGCTTCTATAGTATGTATACACAACATCGGGCTCCCACCGCAAGGGAGTGTCACGGTATTACAAGGGGGGATTGCTATAATACACAGGATGCTAACGAGCTAACACGATTAGGGGGAAGATGAGCATTATCATTTGCTAGAGTGGATCTATGTGATCTCGTAGGTTTGCTTTGACGGCTTCTTTGAACTTCGATGAGGCCTCGGAGGCAAACTTAGGGGGGGTTGTACATACTGTAAGCTGCTCAGGGGCTTGCAGAGACCCGCGCTATCAAAAAAAGACACTCCACTTGGAAGAGCCGAAAAAAAGGGGTGAACTCATTCTTAGTGAAAGGAAGCCCCTGACGTGGGGAGGGGCCCCAGTTTGCCGGAAATTTATTTGTGATCGATAGTTTAGGGCATTTAATACTGTATGTCCGATGGGGACTGGATGAGGGAAAAGTTATGGACTGGATGGACAGCGATGTAGTATGTAGTGTATGTATGCATTTAGAGCACGGAGCCTGTATAGGCTAAGGCATAGAGCTTCTAAGCACCGTGCGGAGGATCCATAAACAGTCATTTTCCAGTAAGCTCAGGAATGACACACCATAATAATACCTTATTTCTACTCCGCACTCGACGATAGCTGGATGATTCTGTACGATCTATTACGATGTGTATGTAAAAATCACCAAAATGTTCATATGATCCAGGGCTAACGGCAAGCTCTGCGGGAATACCGTGGTAACAAGTGTGTATGTAATATTACAGACATACCTTACCGGTTGTCCCTACCGGATCAATAACTACGCAGCAATCCACACACTCTCACCCAGCAACCAAGACCGCTCTCACACGTGATCTGGTAATTTACAATACCACCTCTGTTCTGGTGGCCCGTGGATGGCCTGAATCCAGTGGTCACTCTACTCTGCTGCTTCCAGGCCAGCACTCCAGCCATTTCCTCAGTCCTGCCATCTCCAATTCTCAGTCTTTCAAGGGGAACCTCGTCCATTTCATCGCTTTCATCCTCATCCTCTCACTCTTTCATCTCCTCACTGTCGCTTGATTTCCCTCTCGGATGAACTGAAGGGACACCGATCGCGTCTCCCTCTCTTTCCTGGACCCCTTCACTCTCTCCTCGACTCCTCGCCGACCGCCCGTCTCTCTCGAAATCTTCGCGATCCCCGAGAACACGCTCCGCGCTCGCTCCGCAACCAACCACCCACCCCTCCCTTCCTCCCCCACCACCGCCACCACCACCATCGTGGCCCCAATCCCCAAAGTGCTCACTTCCAGTGGCCGACCGGGCGGGCAATGGGGAATGCCTCCTCTGTCGGCATACACACCATTTGAGTCTTTACTCTTCTTCCAATCCCTTGCGACCTCCGATGTGCGCCCGGCCAGCTTCGCGTCTATATCGACTCTGTTGAGCAATAATCCACTCGTGCGCCAGAATGTAGCTTTCAGCGCCGATCGCCTCAGCCCAGAGGCGTTGGAGGATCTCTATGCGACGCTATTACGCGACGGCTTTGGTCGGGACGGCACATCCCTTGGCCCAGATGGACGGTCCACGGAGAGCTCTGGCCCCAGTAACCCAAAGAAACGCAAAATCTCCAGCCCGCGACCGGACGGGCTGACCGAAGGGCTCTCCCATGCTGTTCTGGTTCCGGAACTCGTGGCCCACCTCTATGCGCGGTATAAAGAGCTTGTGACGAAGGAGATTAGGGACGACGAGAAGCGATTCACCGACATTAAGATCGAAATCGAGCGTTTGCAAAGGGAGGATGTCAAGACGGCGGTACCCACTGCGAAGGGGGTGCCCCAAGCTACCAAGCTCGAGCGCCGCGATTCCATGGATATCAGCGTCAAGCAAGAAACCCCCCGGCAGGAACGCCCCGACCAGACAATCCCTCTTGCGACACAGGCACAACCGGTTCAGTCCATTCCGCAGGCAGTTCAGCCAGAGCCAGGTCAGCCTACAGAAGTCCCGCGCCCGCCCGGCGCGCCTGTCGGATCGCCTGGAGCTCAACCACCTCAGCTTCAAGCCCAGCCCACACCAACAAAGGCTGGTCAACCACTACACCCACAGGCTTTTAATCGCCAAGACGTGCCGCATCCTCCGCTTCAGCCACCTTTTGCCCCGCGAAATCAACAGCCAGGTCCGTCAACTCCTGCAGCAGCCCGAGTAGCACCACCACATCCCTCGCAAGTTGCACCACGACCTAATGTCCCGGTGGGCACGCCTGTTGCCCCGGGGAAAGCTTCCATTCCTATATCCACCTCTCAACAACCCGCCCCGACTCAGTCCAGCTTCCAGCAATGGCAGCTCGAAGCCCCCCCCACATTCACCTTACTCCGCAACCTCTCCGGCTACCACTACTCCCCATCTTGGTCTGGCACCCGGCAAACCACCAGTCCCCCCATCACAAGTTCCTTCGAGGACACAATCCAAGGCCTCTATTTCTTCGGCCGTTCCGAGCACCCCAGGTGCAGCAAGTCCAGCTGCTCAAACTCCGGTACCCGTTGGATATCCGCGCATCTCACAGACACCGAGCGTTTTAATTCCAGCTTACCCCGAGTCTCGTGGATCACGTCCGCGATTATCCATTGATACGCCAGGTTCTTCTACGCCATGGAAGAGAACACCTCGTCTGAGCATCCCCGAGTCTCCGGTATCGCCTGCACGTCCACGACCAGAGGATGTGAGCCCGATCAGTGAAAGAGCACCTTCTCCCGATGCTATGGATATCTCGCCACCCCGAGAGAAGAAAACCACTCGTCGTAGTCAGGCAACTACAGTGGAAAGCAAAGCTACACCGAGCATCAAGGTTGAGAAAGGCACTTCTACTCGGAGGAAACGAGCTATCAGTTCCGCATCCACTCAGAGCCGAGGGCGCTCAGTGGCTTCGAGAGATGACTCGCCCGATCCGTCTAGGGCTGCCACACTCCGAAAGGGACCTGCGGCGATTGTGGATGATCAGACTCCGAAAGCACGATCAAAGCGCAAGCGTGGTGTCAGCGAGTCCTTCGATCATGAGCCCATTCTTCCGGAGCAACCCAAGATCGATACAACCAGATACGTGCTTTGCGCACGCGGATTCCACCGAACAGCAGCTCCTATAATGAACGACGTAACGACCCACAAGCTTGCATCCATCTTTGCCAAGCCATTAGGTGAACGAGATGCACCCGGCTATCACGATCTCATATATCGTCCCCAGGATCTCAAATCTATCAAATCTGCAGTTCATCAAGGTAGCAAAGCCGTTGCTGCTGCAACCGAGGCTGTCAGTACTCCAGCGGGCGACGGTGAATCTCCAGTGCCAGCTGCAGGTACACCGTCTAAGAACAACATGCTTATGCTTCAGAAGACCGAAGAACTCATTCCTCCTAAGGGGATCGTGAACTCTGCGCAGCTGGAGAAGGAGCTTATCCGCATGTTCGCCAACGCAATCATGTTCAACCCCGTCCCGGCACGCGGATTTGGCCCGGCCTTCCCGATGATGAACGAGCGAGGTTCCCGGGAGAGCACACAGTCCGGTGACGGTGACGAAGGCGGGATCATCCAAGACTCGATCGAGATGTTTGAGGATGTTGAACAGGCCGTGACCCATTGGCGTCAAGCTGAACGTACGGCTGAGCGCAATGCGGATGATTTGGCCAATAAGAATGTGCTTGCATTGCGGCGTGGTAGTGTCAGTGATTTTAATACTGATAGTGCGGATGATGTCAAGGGCTGAGGCATGTTCGGATGGTACATGGCCATGTATTTTATGATAATTTTTGAGTGTTTGATTAGGATTCCTTGATTGATATGAATACAATGAATCGCCATTAGGTGATTTCCGAATGACTATTATTAGCTTGCATTATCTTCGTAGCTGTATACTGTACACCATATGTTGATTCCACCATATTTTCCCCTGTATGTATACAACCAGGTGGTCTTCTTGTAGTCAAGGCACATTGAGCATTGAGCATAGTCTATCTGGAAGGCTGGATACTAATCCGTGGCGGTAGAGTACCGCGATATCCCGCCCCGCGTTGATTTCTTCAGTACCATTCCCGAAGCGCAACGTCTACTCGTTTATACCGCCTCCCCAGGAATCTCATATCATGTCCAACAGGATTCGGTTCCATCGAAAAACACGAACTGGGTTTCTCAACTGTAAATCTAGACATGTCACACTAGCAAGACGGTCATTTGATTTGCGTGAACTACGAAACTGACTCTCCTTGCTAGTGTGACGAGTCGAAACCAAGATGCAGAGATTGCGTGCGTCGCGATGAGATCTGCTCATTCGAGACGTCAACCTCGAAATCAGAATCGCCTCAATCCGGTTCTCAACGAGTCGAGCAGCAGCAGCATCCTCCTCCAAGCCAATACCCGCTCCAAACAGAGCAAGTGCAGCAACTCCCCGAGGAAGCGCATTACACCCCCAAGTGTCTCCTAGATCTCCGCCTCATGCATCACTACAGCGTCTTCGCCGCCCAAGCTCTCTCCAACACCCTAGACGAAAACGTAGTGAATGCACTGAAAGTGGACATTCCCTGCGTCGCATTTGAACATGAATTCTTAATGCATGCCGTCCTCTTGGTGGCGATGGTTCATCTCTGCTGCGTGGATAATTCCGCCGAACATCTTCCTATTTTCATATACCGTGATCAGGCGCTACGTGCTTTACGCCATGCTGTTACGCATTTATCGAGTGGGAATATAGATGCTTTGAGGGGTGCGTCGGTGCTTCTTGCGGCGGTTTCGTTCCCGACGGATCGATGGACGAATCAATCCGGCTTGTGGGTGACGAATTGGAAGGCTTTGGCTCTTGGTCAACGGAAGTTACACCCCGCCAGGTTCGGGACCTTTTGATAGCAAGGAAAGCTCTACTCCGTCCCGTGGTCTTTATGGGTGCTTTGCAGACCTCCTCGTACCGCCAGTCATACCGAGCACCATCCAGCGTGCTCTAGATATGAACCACCACGAGGATGACATCCAATACATCTCCACCTTGGAAAAAGTCGCCGCGGAGCTTGGGAGAGTGATCTCAATTCTCAACTTCCCATATGAAACAAAGTTCTTGGAGAAAGAGGTTAAGGTGTGGGCATTTGATGTGATCTCACCCGAATTTCTTACATCTGTGCAGCAGCATCGGCCGGAAGCACTTGTTGTTCTGGCCCACTACATCGCTCTATTCATGTTTCTCCCGGATTCTTGGATTTATCATGGTCTTCCGCAACATGATATTGGTGTCGTGGTTTGATTGTTGGTAGTGAGTGGAAAGAACGTTTGTCGCTTCCTGTATCCGTTATTGAGATGGACGATATGGAAGATGCGGCAGCCGCACTTGTTGCTACTTGTTTGGAGTAATGAAGGGTCAAATAGAATAAGGTTCATTATCTCCTAGCCATTGGAGTCTTGAGATATCTAAATAATTTCTACCGCTGGATAAATATGCAGAATCAACAGGATCAAGAGAAACCTATTTCAGATCAGTCTCATGATGTATAAAGAGGCTCTATATATCGATTCTTCCAGCCCAAGATACCCTCCTTACCTTGCCCTCGTCGGGTCCGGTTTTGTTGCCAACATTAGGACATTTCCTCATAATCCACCTGTACAATATCCTTCCATCTCAAACGGGGTTGCTCTTCATCTAGCCTGCACGCTGTTGGTGTTGGATTTCTCGAGAGACGACGATGGAATATAGCCGCGACGAGAACGAAAGACCGAAAAGACGATTTGTGCAACCAAGCCCACGAGAATTATTGCCTTCCGAGATTGAATTTGGATGATAATGTGCCGGATCCGATGATTTGGACGAAGAAACATATGATGTCGCCGCCAACGAAGATTTTGGTAAGCCGTGATGGCTTTACGACTGAGTAGGATTCGCCTTTGACTAGCAAGATGAGTCTGCCGAGAACCATGTAGACCGAAGCAGCGAAGAGAGCCGGTGCGACAAGAATCGTTAAAGTCTGAACGATGAAGAGGGTAAAGTTGCTTGTGTTATCATGGGCAAGGAAGCGGCAAATATAACCTGTCGTCTCGACTGATACATCAATGAATTAGAATTCAATAAAAAAGGAGATTGGAGATGAGAACTGATCTACTTACGACAACGACCAAATATGAGAACCAAAAAGTACCACACGCGACGACGGAACATGATGTATATATGCCAGATGCTGCAAATAGCAAAGGGTATTGTGAAGATCATAGCTGCCCCTTGGTTGGGATTGTAGCCATACGGGTTGACAGACATGTTGCCGACTTGCAGTTATGCACGCATTGCAATTTTTCCAGTATCAAGTCGGTAAATAAAGAGGAGAAGGCAGAAAGAGCGTCGGTTTATGCTTAGTTATTTAAGATAGCCACGCAAAGTCTACTTATATAAACCTTTCCCGTCATGAAGAGCTGGCTATACATAGTGCGAGGCGGGTCCACACTTCGCATATCGGACATCGCATATCGCTTACCGCATATCGCACCCGTGGGTCTTATGAATACAAAAGCTCACTTTGGATTCCTAGGATTCTGATGAGAAGCTGTTATCGGGTGAATTGACTCTGAAAAGAATTGTCCGATATAGAAGGATTTTTATTTAAAATCTAATCGCACACACTGATCTCAACAAACACATCAACCGGTCTTCACCATATACCGCGCCGCATACTCAATACCAGCTTCATAACCATAAACACCCAACCCAACAATACAAGCAACAGCCTTGTCTGACAAATAACTGACGTGCCTGAAATTTTCTCTGGTGTGCACATTCGTAATATGAATCTCGATAAATGGAAGCGATGCTCCGATGAGGGCATCGCGAATCGCAACGCTAGTGTGCGTCAACGCACCCGCGTTAATCAGCACGGCATCAAAGTTGCCTCGTGCGGCATGAATTCGATCGATAATAGCGCCTTCATGGTTGGACTGGAAGGCTTCGAGGTGGATTCCCTTCGAAGTAGCGAGGGCTTTGGCGTTGGTCTCGACGTCGGCGAGGGTGGTGGTGCCGTATAGATGGGGCTCGCGGGTACCCAAGAGATTGAGGTTGGGCCCGTTGATGAGGAGGATTCCGGGCATGATGGTGGAATTCTTTTTTTTTTTTGAAAAATTAAGATTGGTATGTTCTTGCTATTGAAGTCTTATTATGTTTACGGGTATCTTATATCTTTATGTTTGTTAGTTGTTGCGTGAACGGTCGCTTATGATTATAGCCGATCGGATATTATCAGAAATCTTTAGAGTCACGCTGAAGGTCCCTGGAGTTGTGCTAGGAAATCCGTGTCCAGGTCTCCATCATAAAATCCCAAATTATGCGCAAAAGCAGGTTCCTGCCTAGATATGCTGTTAGCGATGAATTTTTAATTTACGCGATGTGTGAGCGCACGCGGAGACTGGACATACCTGCTTGACGGAAACGAGGTTACCATCTCTTCAAATAGAGCGTCGTACCCATCCGCGCCAGATAGACCAGCTGAGGTTGTATATCCACTGGTGTCGGTAATATTTCGCAAGTCCGTGAGAGACGACTCCGTGATGGTGTTCATGGCGATAGCACTTCCAGGTGCTAAAGACACAGAGGGGCCGCTTTGGTTCAGTGAGGGGGCTTCAAATGAGTGATCAGCCTGAATTTTGCATCCAAGGCCATTTGTTGACTTGGTCAAACTCAGGAACCCCTGGATACGACTCTCCGAATCCCCCTTCTCTTCCAAGCTCATTGCAGCATTCGTGACAACAAGACTCCGTTGACATTGAAGTGCAAAGCAATGCACCAATGGAGAGACCCCAGACTCTCCAGCAATTGAGAGATAACATTCAAGTATATCCAGCACCCGATGGATAGTTCTGATGCAAAGGTCCGTGACTGCAGGCGAGACCGGCTCAAACCTTCGGATCAGTGACAGTGTCGTGAAAGTGGATGTGAGATGTAACACCAGCAGGGGCGGGGCGCTGGCGTTTTGCCTGTTGTATGGACGGTCTTGTAGTACTACAGCTTGTTTCTCGCGTAGATTGTCGAGAAGATCCTCCAATTGGAGATTTGACTTTGGCTGGTATAGGATTTGTGACAAATCTTGTACAAGCTGTTGGATGATATTGAAGGAGCTCAGGGCACGCAAGGGTGCGGTTGACATCCGTCCCCCATTAAAGCTATTAGAACGAGTTGCGGACCAGACATCCCACTCGTCTACGTCATCTTCCTCTACCAGCCCCTGTTCAAGCTGTTCATCCGAAGATAGGCAAGGCGTGCGTCCTAATAAGGCGGATAGAATGGTGTCTAAGAAGACACAGCCGTTGAAGGTGTGACGGAATCGTGTCTTCCTCGCAGTGAGCGGCAGGCCAAGCAGGAGCCTTGTAGCTTGTCCAGCCATGGTCCAGGCGTGATGAATATTGCCGAGGGAAATTTGTGTCAACACGAAGAGCAGTAGCGCATGGACATGGCCCAGATCCAAAGCTCCAGGGTCCGCCAGAAACTGCTCTTGAATGGACAGTTGGATAGCCAAAGGAGACGGTAGGCTGGCATCATGGTTACCCCTTAGAAGGGCAGTATAAGATATCACAGCCCATAGTACCATGTGACAAGAGGTATCCGTGGATAATGGCTGGTTTCGGTTCATATGCATCGCTCGAAGGAGTTCCCGACGCTCAAGAATTGGAAACCAGCAATGTGTGTAGGTGAAGTAAAAGTCGAGTAGGTCAGGCGTGTTTTCCGGCATCACCCATTCAATTGCTTTTGATGAATTTTGAACAGGCGCTTGGACAGTCTGCATAATCATAGGCTCATTTGAGCCGAAGTCCATTGGTACCGCGACGAAATCATCCATGTTCTCATCTTGATCGCGAGGCTCTACAGGGTCCCAGTCAGAGCCATCATTGCCAAGATCTTCACCATCTGGTTTCAACAATTGATTCACGTCCCGGGAAAGTCTTGATGTTCGCCAAACAGACACAAGGTGATCCGCTTGTCCACTTTTTAGGAAATTGCCTTTGCCTCGTGCGTCTCGCAAGAGGCCATAGAGCATGCTCTCACTCCCCGGCACATTCTGAAGAACAAGACCAAGAGTAATTTCCAGGCTTCGAACATATCCGGATGGGAGTCCTCTTCGACCCCCACCAGTTTGATAGGTGCAGGTCCGATTCGCAGCATGACATATCTTGCATACGGGCTGTTCGCCGTCACACTTGGACTTGCGACGCCGGCATTGATCACAAGCACGATAAATGCGCTGCCTCTTTGACGGACGTGGACTGGACATTGGAGCCTTGCATTTCAGTCTCACAAATCAATTGGCCTTCTGATCACTTGGCCTTGGGTAGATGGAAAGTGGTTCGGTCGAGGGTGGCGACCAGTCAGGTGATCGGCGGTGGATTTAGCCGATGGCAATTGCGTGGAAGCTTCATCGACCAACCACGCTGGGACCCGTTCTAAAATCTAGAAAAAGACAATAGTTGATGAAAGTGCAAAGCATCATTTCATGCACAACGAAATTGATTTGAAATGAGTGCCATCGAAAGCTCTTCTGGCCCTTTGAAGTTCAGCAGTACGCCGCCACCATCCGCTGTCGAAGCACTTGGCATCCGCCGACAATATAATTCGGATGCGACGATATTACTTGTCGGGTTCTTTGGCGCTGGCAAGAAGACGCTTGGAATTATCGCATCTGTCGCCTTGCGAAGACGCTTCGTTGACTTTGACGCGGTTTTCAATCAAGAACACAATTCATCGCCTCAAGAGTTTATAGCTCGTCACGGTCTAGCTCGATATCGCGAACTCGAACTGCAGATATCAAAGGACATTCTCACAAAACATGAGAAAGGCTGTGTGATAGTCGGCCTCGGAGGCACAGCAAGTCCTTCACAGCGAGCTCTTTTGACTGAATGTGCTCAGCGACATCCCGTCATCTATGTGCGACGAGATGAGAATGATCTGCAACAACTCTCCGGCACAAGTTCCGACAAGTTCAGTCGAATATTCGACGTTGTGAATGCGTTCTTCGAGTCTTGCACAAATTTCGACTTCTTCAACAATACTCAAACCGAGTCTCGGGGTGGACCGATACCGCCTGCATATCTCAAGCTCAAGGAGACTGAGAGAGTATTTGTGGCATTCTTGCACAGAATTTTTGGTAGGGATCATCGTCAAGTTTTCTCGATCGATCCATTTTCAAAATCCCATACATACGCTCTACAGGTTCCTGTGACATATCTGGACCGACCGGAGTATGACCTGGAATCTCTCGAGTCCGGCGCTGATGCCATTACGCTCCTGGTTCGTCCCAATGACATAAATACGTCCAGGTCGACGGAAAGGCTTGCACGCCATATTGCATTGTTAAGGAAACATTCCCGCGTTCCGATTATTGTCGACTTGTCGGCACCTCATTCAACACACTCGACATTCGATTACCATAAAACTTTAGCGACTATCCTTCGGCTTGCCCCAGATGCTCTCACTTGCTGCCTTGAATGCGACTCTGGTCTAGTTTCCAAGCTCAATTCTTCAAAGGGCTATACGAAGATCATCGGAACGGTCCATGAGCCTAGTCCTATTGGGTCTCAGCATCGAGCCCTCACCCCGTCAACCCTCACAGCGCTGGGTGGGGCTTTAGAATGTGATGCCATCCGCGTGACCGGCGAAGCAATATCGCCGGATCAGAACTATACATGTTTATCCTTCGTACACGATATGGAGATGACCTTGAAAATTCCCATCATTGCATACAATATGGGACCAATGGGACGGGCCTCAGTTTGCCTGAGCCAAACCCTGTCACCGGTCGTTCCTCAGTCCTCGAAGGAGACAGGAATAACGGTAAGAGAGGCAGAATCCGCATTGACTGCGTGTTTCTTGCAGTCGAAAAAGGCCTTCACTATCTTCGGGCAGAGTGTGAAATACAGTCTCTCGGCAGCGATGCATAACACGGCGTATGCGGCATGTGGGCTGCCACATGTCTACGCTATCCTCCAAAGTGAAAATTTATCAGATATTCATCGACTCTTGGAAGATAAGAACCATGGTGGCGTGACGATCTCTCTCCCCTACAAAACGGCAATATTACCTTTCCTCGACGAAGTCACCTCTGATGCCAAGGATATCAACGCCGTCAACACAGTTGTGCTAGAACACACTCAACTTCCCAACGGTGAGAGGGTCACCGTTCGACGGGGTTACAACACTGATTATATCGGTATAAGGGACTGCATCCACAAGCATCTCTCTCCTGCAAATGCAGTTCGCGATGGAACCACGGCTTTGATCATTGGGGCAGGTGGAATGGCCCACGCTGCGATATACGCATGCTATGAACTTGGCGTTCGGAGGATGTGCATCTACAACAGATCTGTTGAGAATGCAAAGAAACTTGCGGATTACTACCACCAGTGGGCACAGTCGAAGGGTGGAGTGAATCTGCAGCTCGACGTGCTCTGCTCGCCAGAGGACCCTTGGCCTTCTGACTGTCGCTTACCCACAATAGTCACTTCTTGCATACCGCCATATGAACTGGGAAGTGAACGTCCGATAGAATTGCTACTGTCGGAACAGTGGCTTGCAAGCCGAACAGGTGGCGTGTATCTTGAGGTGAGTGAGAAAATCCATACTTTTAAAGACCGAGGCTGATTACTTGTCTAGGTTGGATATGGTCCTTCGAGGACTCGATTGATGGAGCAATTCCTCCCACGTGCATCTAAGGGGTGGGTGGTAGTTGATGGGCTGATGGTATTGGTTGAGCAAGGCATTGCTCAGTACGAGATCTTCACCAAGCGGCCAGCACCAGTTCATGTTATGCGACGTGCTATTAAGGAGCAGTCTATCAGACATGGATTTGTTCACTGATAATTTTTACTTTCCGAATGGAGCGATTATGACCGAATCTACTTTTTTCAAGCTGGAATGAGACATTCACCTCGAAACACTTGGGTATTCCGTAAAATGTCAGGTGGCCTTTGGGAACATCCTTCATTTAAATACAGCCATCTTGTCTAGTACCTAGCTTTTCAATGAGAGAATAGGAGACAGTTCCCATTCATTCCTGGAGCCACATCGTACCTTTTCTTATGATTAGGGCTATAGGTCATGGCTCCCATTCTTGATTTCTCCCTTCAAATAAGAAACAAAGCCATCATACCCCTAATGCCACTTGAAATGGGGAAATTTGAGAACCCCAGGTTTTAGTTTAAACCCGCTCATGCCCTGCCTCCGGTTATGAAGTTAAACTCCGGAGCTAGGCTAAGACTTTAACCTAAGCCCCTCAACATGACGTTGACGATATATCCTACCAAGAGTCTAAAAATGACTTCCATCCTCACTCAAGTCACAGTCTCCAACAGCTGAATGTTAAATTCATCACAAAAACCATGAAATACCAACCGGCTATTATGAGCGCGTCGCTTGGACGGGCATGGCTCCACAATCTCCACTACAAGATCGAACAAGCCGCCAAGGCCGGTTTCAAAGGAATCGAGATCTTTTACGAAGATCTTGATTATGCCGCACGTGAGATTTCCAAAGATGACTCTCCATCTGCAGGAGATATCCTCAGCGCTGCAGACCGTGTTCATGAGGCCTGTCAAGCGCAGGGGCTCGAAGTGATCGGCCTTCAGCCTTTCCTCTTCTACGAAGGTCTCAAGGACCGCGAACAACAAGCCAGACTGATCGAGAAAATGAAACTTTGGCTTCAAATTGCCAAGCGACTCGGCACCAATACGATTCAAATTCCTGCGAATTTCCTGCCTGCAGAGCAGTTGACGGATGACCTGGACGTTATCGCTGCCGATCTGCGACAGGTAGCTGACATGGGTGCTGCCGAGAGTCCTGTTGTGCGCTTCGCCTACGAAAACTTGTGCTGGAGCACTTACATCGACACTTGGGAGAAGGTATGGGAGGTGGTGAAACGTGTTGATAGGGCCAACTTTGGAATGTGCCTAGATACTTTCAATATCGCTGGGCGCGTTTGGGCGGATCCAGCCGATGTGACAGGAAAGACGCCAAACGCAGACGCAGATCTGAAACTATCCATGGAGCAAATGGTAAAGGAGGTTGATGTAGCCAAGGTCTTCTACATCCAAGTTGTCGATGCTGAGCGTATGGAAACCCCGTTGGTCCCTGGCCATCCATTCCATGTTGACGGCCAACCAGCAAGGATGAGCTGGTCTCGAAACGCAAGGACATTCATGTATGAAAAAGACCGTGATGCATATTTACCGGTGGAGGATATCGCGAGAACGGTCATACATGGGCTCGGGTATGAGGGTTATGTTTCAATGGAGCTGTTTTCTAGGACCATGGCCGAGACCGGTCAACATGTTCCTGACGAGCATGCTGCAAGGGGCATCGCAGCTTGGAAGACTTTCCAACGCAACGTTCTGTGATGCTGGCCTCGAGGATAAACAGGAGCCAATGGCCAGGTCTATTTCTTAATCCGTATCCTGGCAGCTCGGACCTGTCCCCTCGTCTTTCCGGCACCTGACCGTCCATCAGAGGCGGCCTCATACAAAAGAAATACCACATATCAAGATGGGACCACTCGCACTTATCATATAACTCCACATATTCATCGGCACACATATACATCCATCCGACATCCTCTTCATCCATCTCCGTGGTTCCGTCATGCCAATCAGGATGGATTTTATAGTTTCTCTCCTCGGGAGTCAAATCACCCCACTGTTTGTACAAAATTTTGACCACGGGCGACGTTATATAGTCAAGAGACTCTAAACAGATATCGTCCACAAAGAGGGCATAATTGAAACGCGCCCCAAATGTGTATTCTGGATATGATCCTTCGAACATGCGTAGTCTTTCAGGATAGCTCGCCTCCAGCGGTAGCTGCTCCTCAACCCAGACATTAAAGTGGTTGCGAATCTCGTGTGAGGTTGCAACGTCGAACTTTGTAACATCATAATTAATAACAAGTTGGTGGTTGGGAATCAGCTCAGGGGCTCCTTCCTCGAGGTACTCTTCAACTGAATCCTGTAGTAGTTGGAGTACTCACTTTCACGCTTTGTCGTCCGTGTACGTGCAGCGGTAGATAGAAAAGCCCCGTGGGAGATCTGGCCTCTTTATGTTGGTGTTGCAGCGAGACATGTGAATGCCTTCCCAGGGGACCTTCCCTGTTGGAGAAAAGGGGATGCGTCCATCAGAAAAGTACGTCCTACGCCTTAGAGGGCGAGACTGGATGCACATGGGCTTGTTGAGGATCCGTGGTAGCCGACATGATCTCACCGGGAATGTGAGGTTGAGATGCCCGATAGCGTGGAGCGCCTTCATGAAGCCAAGCGTTCCTTGCCCGCGTGAGTGCTGGTACTAGCAGGGAGCAGGGAGGAAAAGTAAGATGGCAGGGAAATATCGATGTTTAGAACTGAGGTTGCATGTCACCAAACAAAGGACAGGAAAAGGGGGTACAGAGATGATGGGCACTTAGTTAAGCCGACCGGGTCTAGGGGCGGCAGTTTTGCAGTCACCAACTGTCTAACAACAACGAGCGAGCTAGAGTAACTCGGAATTATCAAACCCCTTGTTCCAGAACTCAATATATGTTATTCTAGCTCAATATTGATAATTCTAAAGATGCTGATAACTTTTTATCCACTAACTTAGCACAAATTTAATGACTCATTGAAAATATGGACCGTGGAATGTACCAGCGGCGTTTTGAAACAAGTAAATTTTAATTCCAGAAGAAGGGAGGGTTTAATCCAGGCAAGCATGCCTAATACTTTGATCCTAATCTGTCTGAATAGACATAATATTTATTTGCAATACACTTAGACATCAATGGTCTTCCCATCCAACCAATCCTTGGAAAGCCGATATAGTAGATCATGTTTCTCCCCACAAACAGTACCAACGTGTCTTCGGTGCCCGGGCATGTCTCTTAGGACGGTAACCCCCATCGTGAGTTCCTGACAGTAGGCAAGACACTTGTATCCCTCAGGGTACGAGTTGAGCTTCTCATCATTGATGCGTGGAATCTTGTTTGGGTTGACAGGTAACAGCTTATCCTTCTCATACCAATGACGAACAAATCGCGCACCCCAGCGGCCATTGGCTTTTTCGAAGAAGAAACAGAACCGGCAGTCTGCCTCTGCGTCAACCTCACATCCATCAATCGTGAAGCGCTGTGTGATGGTTGCCTTCATCTTGGTGACGGCACGAGTGGCATCTGGAGTGATGTCTGTGGTCACTCCGTGGCAGCGGTGCATGATAAAGGCGCCTTTATCCATGCCGGCTTTGGAAGCGGCCATGAAATCTTTATAGGAGACTCGGCCAGACCAGGTTGTGTATACATAGGCGTCCTCGTGAAAGATTGATTCGAAATTCTCCCACTCACAAGCATCACTATAAAGATTCATTAATTAGAGACTGAAGCAGTATATATTATGAAGTCGTGGCTTACCGGTAGCAGGGCCAGCCTTCCGCAAGCTCACGCAGTTTTGCGCGCTCCAGAACGAGATTATCAGGACCATTGTTGCGAATGGCCTGCTCGGGCCAAGTGCCTTCGGGAAGAGAGTGCAAGTCAGGCATGATGTAATTTAGATGCTTTACGTGAAAGTGCTCGCTGCGTGGTCCAATGCCGGGATGGGAATGCGATTATATACCGGCATCGGAATATCCGGGGGCACGGCTAATGCCACTGCCGATCGATGGAATACCCGCCCCTGTCCTCCGGACATACCAACATGTGGGATGTGGAGGAAAACGGATATACGGACGGATTTAAATCTTATTTGTACTGTTATTCTACGGATAGAATAATCCGAGAACTTTTGAAGTCGCTGCCGAAAATGATAGAAACGGGAACCTTTCTACACATAATACCGACCGCCACTTGGCGGCCTGCTATGTTGCTAGCATCTCTCGAGGTAGATGCGAAGAGTCATATTGATGCGGCGACCGGCATGAAGAGCAAAGAGAGAAAAAAACGAAAGCTATTTTCGATAAGCCTTCGCTCCGGCAGACCCATTCCTCGACCATGCATCAATCGCGAAAAAGACGATTGAATAATCGATTTAATTTAGCATTCGCCGAGACGAGCTTTTTCAAAAGATTAGCTTCAACTCCCAGTCCTCGGACATCCAATACAAGCGCAAAGGACAATGGTGGGTGTGTCTCTTACCAATGGTACAATGATTATCGGTGAAATATCCGTTTACGTAGCAATCGTTATCATGCTTGTCCCAGGTGCTATATTTTGGTTAGGTTCTGATTTTGAGGAGCTTCTTTTGGCTTCATAATCAATGAAGGAATGGGTAGATGCCATACCAGTTATCCTCATAGCAGTCTCCCCGTTTGTAGCACAAAAAATACAGATTTTCACCTGCGCTAAAGGTGCGGACAATCTTGGAATCGAGGTATGGTCCTGCCCGGCAATTGACTTTCGTGTCAACATTAACGATATGACAATACTGCGCAGTGCCAGCGAGGGCTCCAAGTGGCAGGGCCAAGAAGGCAGGAAAGATGAACTTCATGTTGGCGGAAGCAATGTTAGAGCCAACGCAATATGTGATGAGAGGAGTCAGAGACGTTAGGAAGGGAGAGGGTGGCAGTTGACCATCATATCCGCTTTTAAAAGTATTACTGATTCTTCGAGGAAGGACTTTCTCTTTGTTCTGAATACGAGCCTTAGACCAAGTTTGAGCGGGAATAACTGCGTGAGCGGGAGGAAGAAGAACGGGATAATTCTTTCATTGGATGGACTGGTAGTTTTGCGCACTCTATAACAAGTTCAGTTAGTACCTGACCAAGCTAGCTTATTTTCTAAGCCAAAATGCAGCTAGATAGATATGTGTCGTCCGTATTCCCTGCCATTTGCGGCCCGCTAATTGTCAAAAGAACCGCCCTTGAACTCAAAAGCTCGTATAGCCAGCATTTCGTGGCCTCCCCGATTTCTTTTCCTCAAAGCTCTTCTTGGGGGTCTATTATAATATTATTGAGTCAGCGAGTCATCTTGTCGTATCGATACAAGCAAGGATATCCCCGCCCCCCTGAAAGATATCATACGCAACAAATAATCTAGCTACCGGCCTGCCATTGTTGATCGCACTGGAAGAACTTAGGTGCTTTCTCCCAAGACCCACACGACTAAATCCCCCGCTAAACTCGAGAGATCACTTCCATCCACGGTTCCGCTTCCAAGCCAGGATTTAACCATAATCTTGTACCGTTTAATATTAAAGCTTCATATCCGAAAGCTGCTCTCGGCGTGGCACATTTATCACGTATCTTTTCTTATTATCATGATGAATTTTGAGGACTTATAAATCATATTAAAAAGTCTCATGAAGCCATTCGTGGCCAGCTTTCAGTATGATCAGTCGGCTCACTGATCCTCGGCTTTTCAAGTCTATTCTTGCCGGATTTGTGAGCTTTACTGTTGCGCTTCTCATTTTCTTCAACATTAATGCAATCCTCAACCCCCGCGCATCATATCCGGCATCACTGAAAAAGGCACCTACCATATTATCTACCAGCTCTGCAACTGAGGAGATGCCCGGGGCCAACGAGCGTTGTAGTCAACTTCCAGGAGCCGATGATGTCCTGGTGGTTGTCAAGACAGGAGCAACTGCGTTGCGTGAGAGATTGCCAGTGCATTTCCAAACTACTCTGCAATGTATTCCGCACTACGTGATCTTCTCAGACATGGAAGAAGAATTTCAGGGCCATCACATACATGATGTCCTGTCTGGAGTTAGTGCGCGAATGAAGGAATGCGCGCCTGAATTCAAGTTCTATCGCGACTTGCACGAGAACCACGATCGCGTGACTGAATTCATGAGAAAGAATGCGCATTTTCAACAAGACGCCTGGCATCTCGATAAATGGAAGTTCGTCCCCCTTGTGGAAAGAGCTTTGCTGGCCAAACCGGACGCAAAATGGTTTATTTTCATCGAGGCAGACACTTTCTTGGTCTGGTCTAACCTCCTCAAATGGTTAGCACAGCTAGAATGGACAAGGCCTTACTTCTTAGGATTGCCAGTGACGATGGAGGGCCAACTTTTTGCATATGGCGGGGCAGGATGGCTGTTATCACGACCAGCTATACAGAGAATGACCCAACACATGGCTTCCCAGAATGACAATTACGAAGAGTTCACAAATAAAACGTCATATGGGGACTTGATTCTTGGTCATGTACTTGAACAGGCCGGCATTGGACTTACTGGGGGGTGGCCTCTTATCCAACGAGAAACACCCAGTACGATGGAGCACACTGAAGACCTATGGTGTTATCCTATTGTGACATTCCATCACATTGATGCGCCTGATATAAAATCAATCTGGCATCTTGAGCAGAACTGGATAGCAGATGCGCTTACACCGCTGCTCCACTTTGACATCTTCAACAATCTCATAAATCCTCTCCTCTCTACCAAAATTGATGACTGGGATAACTTCTCTGACGGCGAGGAGAAAGCACTTACTGCGGATGAAGGGTTCGAGGATTGCAAGCGAATCTGTGAGGCGGATGTACAATGCATGCAGTTCCGCTTCACACCAAGGAAATGTACAATTTCCCATTCGATTATTCTTGGATGGAAGGCAGATTCGTCGATGAACAGCATCTCGGGCTGGATGATTGAAAGAATCTCCCGGGCCAAAGCAAGCGTTCAATGCCAACGGGAAAGGTGGATATCGACAGACTAAATATGTCATCTTTACTATAAGTTCCCCTTTCGTATCACGGGAAAGGAAAGATAGTTGCAGAGTATCGCCATGATTCAATTGCTAGACTGTATAGACTACTTGACCTAAAAATTGATACCTTTACTTTCCTCTGCAGCTTTCAACAAAACCTTCCAAGCTCCCTCTCGATCCAACTTTTGAACCCGCTCTTCTCCCACCCACAAGCGCCATTGCTCCTCGATCTGGTATCCTATAACATGAGTGCCCTCAACACAAGGCCAACCCAACTGCTCAGCCAACTTGATCATTCTCGTTCTGCGTGGCTTGAAACACATATCCAGCAACACGCCCTTCTCTGATCGAGAAAGGAAGTGCTTCAAAACGGAAGCAACAGCCAACTCAGATTCCGTAGATGGCTCGAAATCGGGAACTGTCCCAATGATGTAGTACGGAGTCGGCAGCTTCTCTGCTTCGCTCACTGTCTTGATATGTATGATGTTGGGGATTGTTGGAAGTCGGCGCGAGTCGTTAATGAGATTCTCCACTTCCTGGTCATCTCGATTCAGAATGTAGATCGTTGGGCAGTGAAGATGGTTCGCAAGGGCGTAGACAGCAGCACGGCTTGCACCACCTGCTCCCACGATCAGGGCAGATGCTGGACGTTCTGATGAGGGTCGATCTTTCTCTTCGCCTTTTTCCAGGAGACAACCTTGAACACCTCTCCAGTCGGTATTGGTGCCGCATAGGTGTCTGCGACCGTCGTATTTGTAGTAGATATTGTTGCATGCACCAATAATTGTGGCCAAGTCATCGGTCTTGTCGAGATGCTTCATGATGGAATTTTTGTATGGCATCGTGACTACCAGGCCTGACGTGGTAGACTTCTTGGCCAGAGAGACCACGTCTTCGAGTGTCGGACATTCGGTCGCATAGAATGTCCATGGAAGACCGAGTGATTTGGCGATATAGTTGTGCATTTCCGGGGCAATGGAATGAGTGACACCCACACCTACCAGGTGGAGGGTTCTCTCTTCGGAGTATGACTCTTGCATGATACGATGCCTTGGGGTTCTGACAAGGAGGGGTGGTTGTAGAAGATGGTCTTTCACAAGAGTGCAGATTTGGATAGAGTTGATCAACCGGAAAACGCTCATTAATTTAATTAGCCTATAATTTGAAGGGAAACGTTTCGGTTCAATTCATTACCTTGTTTGAAGTACTCCATCGGGGCTCAATATTTTAGCCGATGGCCGCGCCACTCACGGTTAAGCTCATGGCCGAAACTGAATTCCGAGGTTAGATTGCCATACAGACAGTATAACTGCCAAGTTTAATTATTCAAAGAGATTCGTTTCAAAATTTGGACTCTCATCGTTTTGAATAGTCATTTTTAGCCAATGGCTCAATTCTCATCTTCGTCGAACGACGCCGTCGCGGCGAAGAACTTCCACATCTTTGGGAAGGGTATCTCTTTCAGCATTTCACCTACAATCCACAATGCTGGATTCACGCATTATGACCTTCCGTACAAATACGACATCCGAGAATCCTCAAATATCGATGGTGTGGCAGGATTGATCCTGGACGAGCATTTCGGTGGTGCCAGCGTTACAATGCCCCATAAGTTGCAAGTACACAAGCTATGTACCGACCAGACGGAAACCGCTCGCTTGATTGGAGCAATCAACACTCTCGTCGTCAAAGGAAATGGCGATGAGCGACGGATCATTGGCGATAATACAGATTGGTCTGGACTGCACAGAATCATGTTGGATTACGCGACAAGAATAGGTCAACGGTCGAATGTTGGCCTTGTCATTGGCGCTGGAGGTGCTTCACGAGCAGCACTGTATGCCATGCACAAGGCAGGGATCCAGCGCATTTATCTCGTCAATCGAACCCTCGCCACGGCGGAGAAAGTCAGGGAAGATTTCAAGTCTGTCTTCGAGATCACGGTCATCTCAAGTCTCGAAGAGCTCGTCGAACACCCAGATGTTATCGTGGGCACTGTTCCTGCCGAGACGACGACCGAGGATCAATTTTCCGCCATATTTGGAATGCGTGGCCTTTGCATTGATATGTCGTATAAGCCAAGGCAGACACCACTGCTGAGTGTCGCTCACAGACATGAGGGATGGTACACCGTGACTGGAGTGGAAGTGTTGCTTGCTCAGGCATACGATCAATTCCACCTTTGGACGGGCTGTGAGCCACCGAAGGAGAAAATGATTGAGGCTGTTGCTCAACATGAGCGAGAGAACGCGAGGGGAGGAAGTAAGGGAGGGTTGCTTTGAGCGGATAAGCAGGACAAGTTTATTGCAACGAGATAGTATTAGGCATAGATATCCGGCTTGACCATAGAAAAAAAAACAGAATAGAGCTAGACTCTTCAAAGTGTGGACGCCCTGTGTGGAACGAGAGTAATTACCGAGTAGCCTAACAAGTGCCGTGGACCGGATTCCCAGAGAAGGACTTCGGCTTGACCGATGCTAAGGATAGATAGATTAGCTACCTTAAGACTACTCCGTCTAAAGTGAGACAAATTTGTTCGTCAAATCGTTTCAATCCAGTAGGTAAATGTTCCAGCTCTATTTGAAAATTTGCATACAAGGCCAGACCGGCTGCCGTGTGCTCTATCTTGGGGTATAAACATTTTAAATGGTTGCATGACTGCTGACAGCAGTGACGTGGCCGATCAAGCTGCAGTAATGGGCTGCTCGGGCTTCGTCCGACCCAGCCCCTCCTTGGCATAAAAGTCCATCGGATAGACACCCTTGTTGGCTTTGTCCCAGTTCTCACGAACACCCAGGGCAATAAGAGCCTCGTATGGGGTCAGCAATGGCCGAGAGAAAGCATATCCCCAATCAATACTCAACCGCGGACAAGCGATCTGCACCCAGCACTCGACGTCCGACATGGACGCGAGCTTTCCAGGGAAGATCTCACTCAATAGAAGGTTAACGACAGGGATTCCACGCTCGGCAAGATGGCGTTCAATCATTGCCATCGTATTAGGATTGCCCTGACGTCCAAGCGATCCCAAAATGATTCCCCATTTCTTAGCAGTTTTGGCAGTGGCAATCGCATCTCGGCGAATGGTGTGCATTTCCTCGTGATCGTATGATTCACGGGTCAGAGTCCGTGAGTAAGGATCGTACCGGTATGCCGGGATAGTAGGATTGTGAATCATGGCGGATTCAAGATGGAACCGGCCATCGCCTAGATATAGAAGAACGTCGATCTCTGATTCAGGTAGTTGGGGTGAGGTGCAGCCCAAGATTTCGCCCTTAGAGAGCGGCATAATTTGAGGAATCACAACGCGGAAACCAGCACGCTCCAGGACTGACTTGAGTCCGTGTAAAGTTGCGTTAAACTGGATTGTGCCGACAGTGGCGATGGTCTGGCCGGGCTTGAAGTTGCGCTCGAGGGTAGCGATGAGGTGGCTGGTATCGATGCTAATGTCGACGAAGATATATAGTGTCTTAATTTTGGTCACATCTACGGGGATCAAGCAGCTGTGTGCGTAATGGACCAGAAGATCGCATCCCAGGGCTCGCGCCGTGTAGTCGTCAATGCAGCATGCACCGTATGTCACATCACCCATGATCAACGTCTCGATGCCGGGGCAAAACTGCGTGAGAATGTCTGAAATGGTGGTTGCAAAGATCAACAGTCCCTCTGGAAACTGCAGGGCGACGCGCTTGGCCCCCGAAGAGCGTACTCGGTGGATTGTCTTGGGGATCTCGAAGGAGTAATTCTTAGGGAGGAGGTCGATTGCGGCTTGGATCTCTGGGTCATTCAGGATCTCCGAAGGCACTTGATTGAGGGTACGAGGAGTCCTCCTTGGGGCGGCTGTGTGCAAATATTTTAGTATCGTTGTCCGATCAGTGCCGGCAGATCCTGCATACCTGTCTGCACTGCCGTGGATTCGACATCATTCTGGCCCGTAGAGTCCTTTTGAGCCTGGGTTTCGGCAGTACGTCGACCGACAAACCGCTTCTTGGGCTGTCGCATCTGACTGCCAGAGGTATTAGATGAGTCTTCCATATTGACCGAAGTGATCGAGCCTTCAATGACGAATACTTGGAAGAGTTGCAGAAGATCACCCCCACTATCGCTATCGTTTTTATCTTTTTTTCGGTGGGGCGTGACCGTTCCCGCACTAACCCTAAAGGGGTAAGGTTCTCTCCGCATCAGACCAGCTCCCCTCTTTACCTCTTCTACTCCCTTTCACTTTCATTCTTTCTTTTCCTCTTGACTGATTCGGTAACCTTCTTATCCCCCCTTTGAGCTCGCCGATGCTCTTGGAAGTCACCAGGATGGCCACTTACTCTCGTCTACGTCTGCTCTCGGCTTTCCGAGCGCCTCTATTCAAACGATGCTACTCGACCGAGTCGCGGTTAGCCTCGGACCATGTACGCATCGTGGAAGTTGGCCCTCGCGACGGACTGCAGAATGAGAAAAAGTCTATCCCCATGGAGACAAAAATGGAATTGATTCGGAGACTGGCCAAGACCGGTGTCACTACCATCGAGGCAGGCTCCTTTGTACCGGCAAAATGGGTACCACAGGTATGGGCCTTCGGCGCATCTCGGTACATCCATTGATTAGTGTGAAATACTAACACCCCAGGGCTTTGATTGAAGATGGCCAGCACAGCTGAAATCTGCGAATCACTTCTCACATCGCCTCCCCAATCTCAAAGTACAATCGCCTATAATTATCTAGTTCCCAACATCAAGGGACTGGAGAGCCTTGTGAAGATCATGGATGCAACTGGTGTCTCGGCAGACTCGCCCGGCTCGGAAACCAAGCCGGCGACGACGACCGAGGTCTCACTTTTCGCCGCTGCGACGGAATCCTTCTCAAAGGCCAACACCAATTGTACTATCGCCGAGTCTCTGGAGCGCATCAAACCTATTGTTGCGGTGGCTAAGACGAAGAACATTCGCGTGCGAGGATATGTCTCAGTCGCGCTAGGCTGTCCCTACGAAGGACCCGAGGTGAGCCCGTCCAAAGTGGCTGACATCACGGCCACTCTTTTGGAGATGGGTGCGGATGAGGTATCAGTGGCCGACACCACGGGTATGGGTACGGCACCGCGGACTATGGAGCTCCTCCAGGCCCTCAAGGCGGCCGGTATTGCCAACACGGATTTGGCTCTCCATTTCCACGATACCTATGGACAGGCCTTGGTGAACACTATTGTCGGACTGGAGCATGGCGTTCGGATCTTCGACAGCAGTGTTGGAGGATTGGGTGGCTGTCCATACTCCAAGGGCGCCACAGGCAATGTCTCCACGGAAGACCTCGTCCACACCATTCATAGCTTGGGAATGCACACGGGTGTCAGCCTTGAGGAGATGTCGCGGATCGGATCGTGGATCAGTGAAGAACTGGGCCGAGTCAACGACAGCCGAGCCGGCAAGGCCACCCTTGGCCGACTGGCGGAATAAAAAAGTGTTCCTCATGAAAGCAAACCCTACTCTACTTGTGTTATATAACTTATCTCTTTACCTCTGTTTCCATACTTTGAGCGAATTTCAATCTTGATCAGTTGCGACTGCTCTTGTACATTCAGTACACTCTATTATACAGTAATGCGAGATCATCCAATGAACCAAATCCATCGACCATGGATAACCCCACTTGTTTATATACATTTTGTCCCTTCTCGATCTGTCTCGGCAGAGCAGAGATGTGAATCAACGCCAGCATTATGCATAGTCTTGTAGGTCCTCAGGCCTTCAGAAATCAGTCACCCGGCCTCCATAGCTCCAGTCTCCACCAGCTCCCCATCGCAAAGGCTCATTCTTAGGCCCACCGACTTCTCCCGTCTTAGGATTCTTCTCGCCCTCGAATTCGGGCTTCAGACCTTGCGGCGCATCGGGGTGAAGCTCCTCGCCACTTCCGTTGACCTTGATCTCGGGCCGGGCGTCGGGCTGTGGTGACTGGTTGACATGGGGTGTGCTGAATGCACCGGTGGAGCGGCGCTGGAGTTCTTCGAAGATTTCCTGTTCTTCCTTGGGAAGACGTGGAGGCGCAGGAGAGTGCTTGAATCCGATTGAGGGTTTGCCATCGTCACTGGTTTGGCGCAGAACGGCTGTTGTGGAGAGCGATCGGGTAGCAAGTCTGCTCGTGAAGGAAGGGGCGCATACGCGGCGCAAAAACAGGGAGGATGCCATGATCGTTGGTGTAGGAGGGATTTATCGGCGATCAATGAGAACTTAAAGACGAGCAAGTAGAGTCGCGGGAATAACAATCTCCAATCTTCTGCCTCGGGAGGTGGCGCCGAACCCCAAAATGACTAAGACTCGCCGATCCGATCCCGATATCGCCTTAATTTTTTGGTTTCTCTGCCCGTCGAGTCATCCGAAGTAGTTGGTTCTCTTTGGTTTTCCTCTTCTACCTGCCCCTCGGACGACCAATTCACTTTTGCAAAAATCGCAGACAATTTGCAATTCACAATGTCTGCTCTTCGTCTGGCCGCGCGCCGTGTGCCTTGTGCATCTCGACTGGTTCCTTACTTCGAGTCACCCATCCAGCGACGCTTTGCGGCGACCTCCAATGCTCCTCAGGAAGTGAAGCGCCAGGTCCAGGTATGTGACCCATTAACAATGGTTGTTTATAGGACAACTTGACTAATTTCTTTTGCAGAAGGAGGCCACCGTGCCCAACCCCGATCCTTCGCCGGACTCGCTCACCGTGTCGTTCATTAACGAGCGGGCACCCTTCATGGTCCCGACCTACGTTCGCCCGGCTCCTATGATGATGAAGGGACAGGGTTGCTACCTTTGGGATATGGAGAACAGACGCTACTTGGATTTCACTGCTGGAATTGCAGTGAACTCCCTCGGTCACTGTGATCCTGAGATCGCTCAGATTATTGCGGAACAGGTGCGGAGTCATACATTCATACAGACACTATGGAGCAACTGCTAACTATAGTCCGTGTCCTATTCTACAGGCCGAGACCCTCATTCATGCCTCTAACCTTTACCACAACCCATGGACTGGTGCTCTCAGCCAGCTTCTCATCAACCTGACCCGCGAGTCCGGTGCTATGCGCGATGCTTCCCAGGTCTTCATCTCCAACTCCGGTACCGAAGCCAACGAGGCTGCGATCAAGTTTGCTCGTAAGGTCGGCCGGTCCATCGATCCCTCTGGTGCTAAGCACGAGTTCGTCTCTTTCCACAACTCCTTCCACGGTCGTACAATGGGTGCTCTGTCTGCCACCCCGAACCCCAAGTACCAGACCCCCTTCTCGCCTATGCTCCCCGGCTTCAAGTACGGCAACTATAATGATGTGGAGCAACTGCAGACCCTCATCAATGAAAACACTTGTGGTGTAATTGTCGAGCCTATCCAGGGTGAGGGTGGTGTCAATGTCGCCAAGCCCGAGTTCCTTGCCGCTCTCCGCAAGCGCTGTGACGAGGTCGGTGCCGTGTTGATCTTCGATGAGATCCAATGCGGTCTCGCCCGTACTGGTAGCTTCTGGGCTCACGGTCACCCGTCTCTGGCCCCTGCCTCCGGTGAGGCTGCCCACCCGGATATCTTGACCACTGCGAAGGCTCTCGGCAATGGTATCCCCATTGGCGCGACCATTGTTTCTGGCAAGACCGTCGCATCTCACATTAAGACCGGTGATCACGGTACCACCTTCGGTGGAAATCCTCTGGCCTGCCGCGTCGCCTACCACATCGTCGCGCGTCTTGCCGACCCTGAGCTTCAGAGTGCCGTCCAGGAGAAGTCGACGGTCTTCACCTCCGGATTCCAGGCTCTGCAAGAGAAGTACCCCGACGTTATCTCGGAGGTTCGTGGCCGCGGTTTGATCCTCGGTCTCCAGCTGGCTCCTGCTTTCACTTCCAAGGCCGCTGATATCATTACCGCCGCTCGTGAGCGCGGCTTGTTGATCATCACCGCTGGTGATGGCTGCATCCGCTTCGTTCCTCCCTTGACTATTACGGAGGAGCAGATTAAGACCGGCTTGAAAATTCTGGAGCAGGCTCTGGCTTCCGTGATTTCCAAGGCTTAGATCTGCTCTCACCTGATTTACATGCCGCCTATGATGTGTTCGATATATACCATTTCGCTGGAGCGACTTTTTTGTTTTTGAGTTTGATTTTACCAAGATGCATTCCGATTTATAGATCGCTGATAGATGTAGTCATGAAGCGCAAGATATGAAAAGTTTATTCATTCTTCAATTTGGCTGTGAGTCGTACCTATCAGTATTCCTCTACCTAATTCTTAATCCAAACCTGTCAACATGGGTAGGCACTCCCGCAATCGCTCGAGTCTCCAGTAGATACGATGACGCGCGTAGCGGAACCCGCCCGGTGGACCTCCGCGTGGAACTTCAACTTCCCCATCCACCTCCGCTCAGTGGTGAAACGCGCAACCTCCCCGATTTTCCTCGTATGCTCATCGGATCGCTCCAGATGGCCCCTCACTCTTAGTCCAAATTCATGGGCCGGGCATCCGTCCATATTCTCTCTCGTCTGTAGCTTTTGAACCCTCTCACGCGACCATCTACTTCAAGTATGCCTGCCCCCGCACGCTCCGAGGGCGTCCCCATGTTTACCTCCAACGATTCTTCGAGTTCTGCGCGGGTTCGCATATATGATCGACTCAGAGGAGTCTTCCGTGGCGCCGACCCTCGAGTGTGCGTCGCTTTTTGGCTGTTTGGTGCGTTTAGCTTCGACGTCCAACATGTGAGACGGGATTGCAGTCCAGGAACGTCGACTAATGATGACCTTCTCTTCTAGGTCTAATTAATAATGTCCTCTACGTTATCCTCCTCTCCGCAGCACTCGACCTCGTCGGTCCGGATGTCCCCAAAGGCATCGTCCTCCTGGCGGATATAATCCCCTCCTTCGGAACCAAGTTGATCGCCCCGTATTTCATCCACGCGGTACCCTACTCGATACGAGTCATGATCTTTGTATTCTTGTCCGTCGTCGGGATGCTGGTAGTCGCGCTGAGCCCGAGCTACACAGATGGTGGAACTATCTCGTCTAAGCTGGCTGGGATCGTCCTGGCGAGTCTCTCCGCGGGCGGCGGCGAACTGAGCTTCGTCGGTCTTACACATTTCTATGGACCGTTCAGTCTGGCGGCATGGGGTAGTGGAACTGGTGCTGCTGGTTTGGTTGGTGCCGGTGCTTATGCCCTGGCGACGTCTACTTTGAACATTCCTGTTCAGGCGACTCTTCTCGCATCTGCTATTCTGCCCGCGATCATGGCGCTGAGTTTCTTTGTAGTTCTGCCTCGAGAGGCCCTGCAGGCTCAGGGAACTGCTGCAGATGGCTATGTTGCGACAGGTCAGGGCGAGGAGCTAGATGACGATGAGGCAGATGATGAGGGCCATGAGATCGAGCCTGGTGAAGAGGAAGGACTCTTGGGGGTTTCTGTCCATTCAGCTGACAATTACAAGTCGGTTCATATCAACGATTCGGCCTCTTGGTGGGCTCAGTTCTGGGCTAATCTGCGACGGCTGAAGGGACTCTTCTTTCCCTTGTAAGATTTCACTCTGGGTTATGGATTATTGTCACGCTAACCAACTTCCCACAGTATGCTCCCGTTACTCCTTGTATACATCGCCGAGTACGTGATCAACCAGGGTGTCAGCCCAACACTCCTGTTTCCTCTATATACCACGCCCTTTAAAAGCTTTCGCGCCTTCTATCCGGCCTACAACGCCATCTACCAGGCCGGAGTCTTCATCTCCCGCTCCTCAACCCCATTCTTCCGCGTCCACCACCTCTATATCCCCTCCTTCCTCCAAGTTCTGAACCTTGTCTTGTTGACTCTCCACGGAATGTTCAACTTCATTCCGAATGTGTATCTAGTCTTTGTGATCATCTTCTGGGAAGGTCTGCTGGGTGGCTTGGTATATGTGAACACATTTGCGGAGATCGCTGATCGAGTTCCCAAGGAGGATCGTGAGTTCTCGTTGGGTGCTACGACGGTGAGTGACTCGGCGGGAATTTGTATTGCTGGCTTCTTGAGTATGCCGTGGGAGGTTTTGCTGTGTCGTTGGCAGTTGAGTCATGGGAGGGAGTATTGCCGGCAGGCTTAAGATGATTTAAATTTGGAATTTCCTGCTGCTGTAGGCAAATGATGACTACTTATGATACAAAAGCTGAAATGGTGATGATTTGGCCTAAGCAATCTCCTGTGGAGATAGACTTCTACTTTTTCAAGAGGACAGTGCTGCCATTTTGGTACTCGCAGAGTCGGAATAATTTCAAGGTATCTGATAATTCAACCGTGGGGATATTCTGGAATTCAATTATTCTTCATTAATTTACCACTAACAGTCATCTGACCTTTGATTCACTTGTTGCGGATGTCTCGTGGCTCGTGGCTTTTGCGTCACTGACATGTGATAATGTGGGGGCTTTCACATGTGATTGAGGACTATCTAAGAAAGGAAACGCTGACGCACTCGACCCTTTCTCTTCACCTTCAAAGTCTGTTTGATTTCACTACTGCAGTGATACTGAGTACTAAGCCCTAGATACTCGGTTCACTCGTTAACCTAATCATCTTTTCTGTGGGTTTGTTGCCGAACGGGTTTGAAGGAATACGACATCCCTCCTAGCACGTGGGACCAGGGAAAATCGAGATACACCCTCCTATGTGGAAATGATAGGTATGGATCATTTGTTCTTGTTTACTGTGCCTGTGCTGATTGAAATCTTCAACAGACCACGTTCTCGGAAGACCTTCGACTCGATTTCGCAAGATCCAAGTCTTTGCGGTCGTCTCGTTCTGGTCTTTCTATCTACTACGGTGCGCCGTTTTATCTCACAATCAGGTACACAGGCAGCTGACTTGGAGTCGAACATAGAGCTGATAAACATGGACCACCGTTGATTCGGTCAATTTCATCACACTTCACGGGCAAATTAACCAGCTGGCAGACGACAGTCATCATCTTCCTTTGGCTCTATGTGAGCCGCAACTTTGCCAAGATCGTAGGCTTGGAATGCCCGGAGCCTCTAGCAAATCTCTATTCTCGATCCTTCTTCCGTGCAACATGGATCACCACTGGCTTGGATGCTGGCTTTTGGACCGCAATGAAAATCAAGCCTAAATGGCTGCGCGATTTGGCGTCGCTAGTCTTCACGGTCTACTATCTCATCGCGGCAGAACAAGCAGATGAGAAGGTGCGGCGGGTTCGGGGTACACTCACATTGGAGCACCTTCGTGTATCTTGGAACAAGGCGACAAGCCCTTACCTATGGTTTCTGGCGAGCTTGGTTCGCCCTCGACTTACCCGCTATGGCCCACGGGCTATTCGGATTCCCCGGCCTAAGCACTCGGCTTATACTAAGTCGGTTCATAACGAGCCGATCAATGCGTGGCTGTATTTTGATGGGCCGCTAAGTACATTGAAAGATCAAACTTCTCTAGTACTGGATGTTCCCGGAGGAGGATTTGTCGCCATGGGACCACGCAACTCGGAGGATAAACTACTTTCCTGGGCGGGACAACTGAAAGTTCCAGTCTTGAGCATCGACTACAAGAAGGCTCCCGAGTTTGCATATCCATACGCGCTCCATGAGTGTTACGATGTGTATCATACTATCATGGCGACCAACGGCCGCTGCATCGGGCTGAGTGGCTCGACACGCCCTCGAGTCGTTGTGACTGGTGAAAGCGCCGGCGGTAACCTTGCTGTCGGCATGACACTGATGGTTCTGCAATCAGCGCAGGCTGACAACGCTCTTCCTCGCCCAGTTGGGCTTGTGCTAGCGTATCCAGCACTGAACGTCAGGGTCGAAAGCTGGATGACGGACGAGCAAATGTCCTTGATTCAAGATAAGAGCTCCCGTCAGACAAATAGCAGTGTGTTGCAACGAAAGCAGGACCAATACCGCAAGCTCACGCCTTACACTTCACCTGGTCGCTCTGTTGAGAACTTGACTGAGAAGCAACCAAAGCAAGAAGCCACAGAAACCGATATAGCTGCGGAGACCTCAAAAGCACTACGCGATAAGTTAGAGAAGAGTGAGCATATCAGTGGGAAGGCCGCTACCGAGACCAATCCACTTAAAACCCGACTTGCTGTCTCCTCTATGATCTCGTATGTCCACGATCGTATTCTCACTCCTGAGATGATGCGTGCGATGGTTATCCTCTACATCGGGCCACATCATCGGCCAGACTTCAATACCGATTTCTTCCTCTCCCCTGTTCTTGCCCCGGACGCTTTACTAGCTCAATTCCCGAAGACATACATCTTGACTGGGGAGCGAGACCCACTCGTCGATGATACCGTCATCTTCGCAGGCAGACTACGACAAGCAAAGCTTCACCGTTTCCATGAACGCCAAGATCTCGGGCTCGAACAGCGCCAATTCAACGAGAAAGACTACGTCGAAGTCTCTCTCATCCCAGGAGTCTCCCATGGCTTCATGCAGATGGCTGGATTCTTCCCTGATGCATGGAAGTATATCAACCGCAGCGCACGTTGGATCGAGAGCCTATTTGAGAATCCGGACCTACAAAGCTCCGAATATAGTCTTCTTCAACTCTCTCAATCTCAAATCCCGAACCTTAAACCCCCGGGGAGGATCAGAGGTCTTTCTCAGAGCAACGCAAATGCAACGAAGAATCACCACCGCAGTTTCACGGGTGAATCCTCGACCGACGATGATCGGCCACTTGAGATGGGCATGAGCAGAATCACACCTGTTGCGTCTTCAACAACGGATCTCCCACTACGACGCAGAAGATCCAAGTCTTCATTCGCTTCCACACAGTTAAGCGGTCTCACAACTCTAGGTAATGACTCCAGCGATATGCATGAGTTCCGCGCGAAACTCAAACGTTTGGAAATGAGTCGTCAGGATCCAGACTTCCCCGATGAAGTCAACAGCGCTCCTGAAAGTCCGGTTGCTATGCGACCTCGCGGACGGAGTATCGCGTCGCTTGATAGCGAGGAGGATATCTTGGATCGGAGAATGAATGGGATTGCGGGGGGTTTGATGGGTCTGGGGGAAGGTGCTCAGACACCGGGGGCATAACTGCATGACAAGGTTGGGGGCGTGAAAGTTGGGTGCATAGAGATGCATGATTTACGAGTTACGAATGATACCTTAGACTAAGATCGAGACTGATTAGATTCTAGAGTTGCTAGATAAGTTATCAATTTATGCGATTCCTTCAGATATGATCATGTTTTATGTTGGTAAACTTTTAGTCAAGATAAGAATCCAGCAGGGATGGGAGATATCGACTAGAGATACTGATTCCTGAGGATCGAGCTTATCAGATATGAGCCAATCTCACACCACTCTATCTTGATTATCATCGTCAGAGATCGCTCATATTTGCTCTTATCAACGAAGCATTAAATTGCATACTCAAGATAGCAATCCTTCCCATGCTATCCTGACAATCTTATCATCGACCCTGTTTCACCGACGAGAATGATTCGGATGAAAAAAGGCGGGCAACGTTGTATTTTAGTTTTGATGAAGTAAATCAAACAGCCTAATCTAATCTACTCATCTGCTACCAAAGATGCCCAAGTGCTATATGCTGGCACAACCTTGCCTCGGCATTGACCAAAACCAAGCTTAATGCCCTGAGCATTCTGACAAAATCCTTCCAATACAATCTCATCGCCGTCGGATAGGTATTGTAGCGTTTGCCCGTCTGCCAGCGTGATGAATTTCGAGCCTGCCTCCGTTGCCTCAAACAAACAGCACAGCTTGGTCAATTTTACCAGTTTCGTCCACACCCTAGCTAGAAATGCATCATTATGTTGATGAAGACACGCAGGAACTTAGACTGCCTGAAATTGTCCCAGTTCCGAAAAGGTCACCTGTCGCAAGTCCGCGCATTGCGGAAGCATGATGGGCAAGTTGTTGTATAGGAGTCCAGTAGAGATACTTGAGGTTACTGGTTGCCATTTGGTATTCCTTACCATTTCCTGCAGGCAAAAAAGTGTAGAACAGAATTAGTGCATTTTTTGGAATCGGGGAGAGGCAGACTTTCAATTAGCAGGCAGCCTGGGATGACGACACTTAAGGATCAATGTGACTGTCAAACGAATATCAAATGCAGCGATTCGGAATCATGTATGGGGTCTTCGACGATAGTAGTCATATTTCTTGTCTATAAGTATGCTACAGTAACTCTGGCTCAGAAATGGCTTAACCGCGATACTTATTGCTCACATCTTCGAACCGAAATACCACCAGTCCATCCAATCCAACCCGTCTCCTTAGGCCCACGAAGCAGGCAAAGAATAATCGAGACACCTACTAAAGCAAGATTCACGGTGCCTGCAACGGCCCAACCACTTCCTGCGTAGACTCGATTCCCTATGGCGGTGCCCGCCAGCTGTCCACAAAACACGCCAATCATGTATGTGGTGTTCACTCGATTACGTGCCTTTGGCGCGACATCATAAATGGCCCTTCGATTTGTGATCTGCGCCATCTGCAAGCCAAAGTCTTGCAAAGATGCTTGAATGATTGGACCCGCAATAGTGGACGTGCCGGTATAGGCACCGATGCTGATGCCAATAAGCATGATTATCAGGCTAAACATGACCGACAGTTGAGGCACAAATTTGTCAATAACCAAATGGGAGAAAAAGGGACCAAGGATCATGGGTGTTATGCCAGCCAGTGCGACGAGGCCAACCTGGACAGTGGTAAAGTTGTAAGGCTCCCCCAGCAGAAGAAATGTCAATGTAGTCCAAAAGCTGGTGAAAGTGGCAAAGAGACAGAACCCCATCAGAGTAGCCTGTGCGAGAATGGGGGACGAAAACGGATAGCTAAATACTGTCTTGAGTATCTTAAGATACGATATATCCGAATTTACTCTTGGATAATCTGGCATCCAAATCCAAAGTAGGCCGAAAATGAGGTATTGAAGGCCGAGAGATAACCAGTATATGTTTCGCCATGTGGAGTAGGTAGCAATCAAGCCCGAGAGTATGCGTGCGAATAAAAGGCCCAGAACAAGTCCAGATGAGACCACAGATAGGGCTGTTGCTCGGCGAGCTGGAGGGGCAAGGTCACCAACAAGGGGAAGTAGGATTTGCTGTCAATTGGAATTAGTCTTTGTTCGAAATGGCCAGAGCTGCAGATTAAATATCCATCAATTTTCTTTTGTTCACATACAGGGGTGACGGTTGTGACAGAGGTTAGATAGCTCAGAGCCAAAAACAGCCTAAATGAGCTGGTGACGCATAGGCCAATCCATAGAGTAGCTGTAATGAATGTCAAGAGAAGAATCAAATGTCTTCTCCGTACCAAGTCCCCAAGTGGACAAATGAAAATGATTCCGGTCGCATACCCAGCCTGGCTGCACGTGGGAACTAAAGAGGCTTGCTCGTGAGATATTCCGAAATAGCTGGCAATGTCGTCAAGGATGGGATACGAATAGTACAGGTTTGCAACCTGCAGTTGAATGTTAATGAAATCCGGCCAATATCGGGCATAATTGGCATAATGGTTATAGTCGTTAGTACGTACTGTAAAAGTTCCAGCGAATGCAAACAGAAGGTTCAATGGCAACCCGAATTTGGGCGGATTATCTGGATCTCGACGACAAGACTTTGGCATCCACAACAGGATGTCTAGAATGGGGCATTGGCCGGTATTATTTATGACTAAGGATTTGCGGTTAGAATTAATGTGGTTGCTCCGCAGTTCTCAAGGTTCGGCATACGCTGATGAGGGATTGTGGTCGTATCAGGTGTTCCACTGTTTGTGATGTCAAGTTGAGACTGACTTTGGTGAGACGGATGCGCGTTTGCCAAATTGTCGGTTTTTGTCATTTTGAGAATATTAAAGGCATTTGCCGTTTTTGACAATAACCTTTGAAACCCTACAGGGAGTTTCAAGTCCGAGAAACTGTCAGGCTTCCAAACTTAGACCCTAAATAGTACAAAATGCAGGTAAGCGCCCCGGGGATGCCCCGCATATCCCACGCCGGATTATAGGCGAGTCTCGGGCTCTCGGGTTTACGCCTCGGGAGGGGGCGGGCATTAAAAGGAAAACAGAATCATTCGGGTGAGCCTCGCATAGCGAAACTCTGTAATATATGGTAAACTTATACTTAGGGTCGGAGAATATTTAGAGGCCCATTCCTTTTCGACTCCTTTCTCTGAATCTCTTTAGGATTCAGTTAAGTGTCTTTGAAGACTCTACCCGACTAACTCCAGCGAATTGGAATTTCAAACCGGGCACATCGTAATCGCATTCTAGTCCATAACTAATTCAACAGAGATCAAGCAAAATGGCTGGTAGTACACATCCAAACACCCAGTCTAAAGCTTCCAGATACTCGAGCCAGCGGTCCACTTTCTGCAGTTCTTTCCGTAGAAGTAGAACAGGATGCCGAAAGAGCACCACAAAACAGTGAGACACATGTTCAACATGATCGCCGGGATATAGCCAGATTCCTCAGTCCACGCCGTGATGAATTTGCTGAAGCCGTAGCCCCATAAATTCTTGTTGACGGTGATCGCGATGAAGACTGATCCGACAACGGGCTTGTAGCTATCGACGGCGTAGGTACTCGCGATAGCGGGCAGGGCTGTGACCTGGATACCGGCGCAAGTGTAACCAATGATGACAATGATCTAGAAAGTAGTTAGAATGAAGAGCATGATCAGTTTTTAGCAAAGGGATATACGTACCCTCCAGTCCCAGTGATACTCGTATCCAAACGCGATGATAAAGTTCCCGAGAATGGAGATTATCACATAGGGAATCAGCGTAGGCAAACGCATCTCCGGTTCTCTGATACCCCTGTTCTTGTTTGTCGCTCTCATTGAGATCCAGTCAGAGAGGGGGCCGTTAGTGAGCAATCCGAGCAGAGCACCAACAAGACTGGCAAAGTTGGTAAAACCAATAGACTGGCTGGACCAGTTGTAGGGTGGGGCTCCAAAGGCTTGACTCTGTGTGAGATTGGCCGTCAGGAAACAGCTGGCAGACCACGAAACCACGAACGCAGCATATTCAACAATTGGGAACGCGAGCAAGCGCCAAGGGACCCAGAATGCGAGAAGCAAAGTCTTGGCCCAGTGAGCATCGGGCTGATAGATGTGGAACTGTTTCTTCGAGGGTTTGCCCTTGTGGAGGAATGGATCCATAGCATCGTCCTCGACTGCTGGGGTCTGGACCTCCAAATGCGTCTGGACGTTCTTGGAGGAGCCCTCGGGGGATTCTTCCTTTTCCTTTGCATCCGCAGAATCCACTGTGGAAGTGACTGTAGCTTGAGTCTTTTGGATCTCATCGGGATGAGCGCGATGCCACTTTGTTTCTGGAAAGGCGAAGACTCCGACGATGATGATGAAGACAAACATCGCAACGTTGAGCCACCAGAAGCTACGCCATCCAACATGGAGAGCCATTGAGCCGGCAATAATGGGGCCAACCTATCGTCAGATAATGATTAGCTTATTTCTCCGGCGTCCACTTGCGACTCTTTTGTTTGGACACTTACCATCAGGGAGCCAAAGTAGAGAGCGAAGTACATGGTGTTGTAGTAGCCTCGCTCATGAAGGAAGAAGATATCGGTAATAACTTGCGGGCAAAGAGTCTGTCTCATCCATAATCAGTCAGCTGCTGTCCACTGGTTTTTTAGCGCGTATGGTGGCGGATATATCGTCCTACCTCGCATGGTCCAGCACCAAACCCATTCAAGACGCAAGCGCCCATGAAGCTTCCATAGGTGGTTGCTTTGGCCCGCCAAATGTTAGACGCCAAGCACACCACGGAAGAGAAGATCAAAACGGGTCTCCTTCCGAATGTGTCTGCGATGGGAACCCTAAAATTGTAACTTGTAAGTAATCGGCGCGATGCCATATTTCAGACCGAGCGGTAGCCTCACCAGAAGAAGTTGCTGAATCCCAGAACCAGAATGCACACTCCGGTGAATTGCACAACAGCAGCCAGATCAGAGTTGAATGCTCCCATCAGATCTCCAAACATTGGAGCTAGCGCCAAGGGGCCAATACCCATAATGACATTGCTTGCCATCGCGATGAAGATAGTGGTGAACTTCCAGTACTTGTTCCAATTCTAGCCAGGAGAAACAAGGTTGTGTCAGCATAGGGTCACATAGTACTGCCCACGGCTACTATGATGGTTGTTATACGTACGAGAGGATCGTTCTGGTTCTGGGACGGCTGAGGAACCAAGACATTCGACGATGCGCCCGACTGTCTCACGAAATGATGCGAGCCTACATCGGTCATGATCTCCGTACCGGGGTAGATCTTGACGTGGAGCTCATCTTCGAGTCTGCAAATGAGTTAGCCACGCGATGATTCTGTGACACTCTGCAGGCAATATGCAAAGTTGACGTACTGGCGAAGAGTCTAAAATTTGACGCATTGCATTAGCCTTGTTGTGGGTTGAATCTAATTCGCGTGCCAATAGGGGAACCCACCGCCTCATCGTTGTTCATCTCCATGATGAGAGATTTCGCACAGCAAGCTCACTCGAGAAATGCAAACTTGCGACCGAAGAAATTCTCCAGGGCGTGAGAATTGACATTTGCCGTCTTGGGGAAACGCGTGGTTTTCAGTTCCACCGTTGGCCGAGGCAGGGAAGCTTGCACTTCTTAGCCATTCGAGTGACAACGAATCAACTGCACGTAATTAAAGGGGTTTGATACCGGTCTCGTCCAGCCAAACTTTGCCAAAGTCTCCCTGGGGGTGGCTGACAACTAAGCTCTTTCAGGATCGGGTGACTCCAGAAAACCGCCAATCAACGCGGGGCATCCACGGGAAACTCTTGCGGGGGAAGTCCTGAGGACAAACGGGATGCTCGAGAAGAACGACTGCCGGGGGGCTTGATGCCATGAACTTAACCAGGCGATCGCTAACTCAAATATCTCCAATCAGCTTGCAAGCCACAAGCTTATCGAGACAGGGCACTCAACGGCGGCAACTGCAGTCGGCAAATTGAACTTGTCATATTGAAGTCGCGTACGAGGTTTTCCCCAGGTAACTCCCAGCGTCTCCACGGTCCGGGGTGTGGCTTGTTTGTCATCACGGTGTAATCAAAGGAGAGTCAGAATGACCCCTAGAATCGGTCTTAATATCCGATCGGGTACACGTCAAATCAACCGGGGAGAAGAGAGTAGTGGAGTGGATTGTGGAGAGGAGTACTCCGTAGACGGGGTAGAAAGTCGCGGGGTACCAAGTCACGAGTTCTCAACCTCTGAATGTATAGGGAAAAGAAGAACTCCTGTATTGTATCTCCAGTCTACTCGGCAGTTGCGCTTCATCAGAAGAACCGGAGATATTGAACTCTCAGACAATTGGAACTTTTGCGTGCACTAGCTTCAAGGGTCTTGGCTTTTAACATCCGTGTAAGTTGTGCGGGAGATCCAGCCGTCTATTACTTCCATACGACACCACAGCCGGCTTGGCTCAAGAATGGTATTATTCGTACTTACGCAGAAATCGGGACTGGGGTCCATGATGATGAAACGCAACGGAAATTTTTCCTAGCCAATAGAAAAGAGAGGGAAGAATCGCCCGTCATTCGATGAATGTTCTGCATCAACCTTACCCGTGATAACCACTGCTCAGACATCAGATTAGCCTAAGAACGATCTTGGCGCCAATGTTTCCGCTCACCGGGTAATGGAAGCAGCGGTACTGTAGAGCTCTAATGGATCAAGATGAAGCTACTGCATACTAGTATACTAATCTCTTTCACCTTGATCATAATAGTGATTACTGAATGATTATGTTGCAAGCTCCCCTGGACCCTGCATGTTGGGCGGGCTGCCCTCCTTGCCGTGATAGGAAAGTTCATGCCTTGATGCCTTACGGCCGGAGTACCGACAGTCATGGCCCGATCACATGACCAAATACATGCCTTGTAAGGATGAGAATAAAAGAAAAATATCCATGCAACAACTAGGTCGACGTCGAGATTGTTAATGATTGATGATACCTATAGTCACTACAGATTACTTCCACCTTGGAAAAAATGAAATAGTAGCATCCCAGCAGTTCGAAGAGAACCCTAGATACGGGAAACATATACATCACCGTTCGACCTGAAAACATCCACGCTTGTTGGTCTGCGTATGTCGACTGTCACAATTACAATTTTAGGGCTTGCAGGTGCCTCTAGCCGAGTTCTGCCACCGAGTCGGGAAATTTGGCTTTATCGGTTGAGAGCCGCCATATTCAGTTAATCTTTTTTTCTCATCCTTTTTAGTCATTCCGTATACGGATAAAGACATGGATAATGATGGACTGGAATGTTAGAAATAGATTGTGGGTCACGTGGCCGCCAAGCGGGCGGAGCGGCCCCACTCGTAGCTATCTAGACCTCTTCGCCCTTAGCAATTTCATCCTCCTTACACTCTCGTCAACCTTCCAGTGTGCACTGTAGCCTATCTCCAACATGGAATACAAAAGAAGCAGCGGAGATTTCCAATTTTAGCTTCAAACAAGAGTGGAGATGGTTGCACGACATTCAATATCTTTCTACATCACCCACTTCCTTCGATGCCCCTGCCCTCCCTCTAGCGTTACAGTCGCCTCGATTCGCACCCATAGGACCGCGAAAGTGGCAGCAGCCAGAAGAACTCCAACCATGATACTGGTATTCTCGTAGCTTCTCGGACTTGCCTTTTGTTGCTGGTTGCTTCTGATCAGTAAACCAGCCACCGGCGTGCCGAGCAGTGTCGCAAGACCTCGAACCATATACAGTGCACCATTGACACTAACAAAGTTCTGGATACCGAAGAGTTCGACCAAACTCGTTGGAAACAAGGATACGTAAGCCGAGGCGAATATTCCATAAAAGATTGTGAATACAATGAACAGCATGCTTCCACTGGCTGCAGTGGTCGAAAGTGCGGACGGTAGCCACAGGGCCAGGACGGCAATTGCAGAGACCAATGTGGACAGGAAGAGAGTATTTAGTCTTCCCATTCGATCGGCAGCATAGCCAATAACGATTTTGCCCAAGGCATTAGCCGCGTTTGATATGGCGATGAAATTCGCCGAAGTCGCCTGCGAGTAACCCAAGGTACGCGCAAACGAAGCAAAGAAGAACACCGGGGTATAATACGCAGCAGATTGAAGTGCTGCGCCCAACGCATGGGCTGCGAACTTGCGAGTTCGCACCACACGCCAGTCAATCAGTGGGATTCTTAGGAAATTCAATCGGCGGGAATTAGCAGTGTTTTCGGTCTGGATGCGAGATAATTGGCTGGCTGGCCACTTCATAAAGAATCCAGCGGTCATGATCAAAACGAATGATATACCCGCTGTAATACGGAGGGTGTTGCGAAACCCGACACGCTCAATAAGCGATCGGAAAGCTAGGGGCCAGACGACGCCTCCAATCCCAGTCCCCGAAAGAATGACGCCCATTGCGAGACCCCGATGACGGGAAAACCATGTGGGCGCCACTGTTACCGAAGGCATGTAAGCCATGCAAGTCCCAATTCCCAAGAGAAGGCCCTGGGTGAGGATAAATTGCCAGAGAGCCTGGCTAAAGCTGGCAAGAACCAGTGCAGCGGCGTAAATGATACCGCCACTCCATATAACGGCTCGTGGGGAGTACTGTTTTGTCCAGGCAGTTGTAAATGGAGCGCCAATAGTCATCAAAGCAATGGAGAGTGTTCCGATGAGGTCTATCTGAGCTGGTGATGCCCCAGTGAAGGGAGTGTTCGGAATTCTAGACATGGAATCATAGAGCTCTTGGTAGACACCGAAGGTGAAATTGATGCCACATCCTGTGAACACCAAGGCAGTTGAAGACGCTAAAACTAGGAATGGTTGTCTAGCGATCAATTAACATTTAGCACTGCCTCTTGTGATTTGGGAGGACATTAGGTGGGACGTTTACATACAATCGTTCCCAGAGGTTGACCTGGCAATTGCCAGCGACGAGCATAGGCTCAAACGAACGGTCTTCCATGGTGACAAAGTTGGCGACTTTAAAGTCTGATTTATGACACGGCGCATCTTTTTGATGGAGGAAGCCTCGGCGTTTGACTCACGGCGCCGAGTGGATACGAATGTGGGGAAGTTGATCCAATAATGATTGAATGAGGGTGAGACTCGGCCACCGAAGCCGAACTAAATCATGCTGAGCTAAATACAAAATTTTGGCATCTACTACTCTTTATTGAACAGAAAATAGAAAAGCCCCAGCTAGTCGAACTTGCACTTATGTATATACCCACGTTCCCTGCCAGTACGATTGGCGTGCAGACGGCATCGGGAACTGTGGTGACACTGGCGCCGTATGTGTACGGTCTTTGACAGCATCGAACATGTCAATGATGAACGAAACTTTGGAAGCCATGGGGTTAGAATTATGTCATTTGATAGTATGACAGGCTCTTGGCTGGGTTGGAGACATATGAAGAAAATGGAAAGGTCGAGACTAAATTTGTAAATAAATCACAATTGGGTAGGAAAATGGCCATCTTCATGACTGATTTCTTATGGAATTGCGTACCCCTCCTCGGCCCTGGTACTCCATTTCCGCAAACTGGAGCCCAGAAATCCTCTCCGGATGGAATGCAGATTGGCACTGGAATATCTACCATGTGGGTGGAATATAATAATCCTCCCAACGGTCGGACTCAGCATCTTTGAAAGTATCAATAGTACCTTCTACCCCATCCGCCCCAACAGACCAGACACCTCTTTCAACCAGCTTACGCCAACAACCCAACAAACGCTCCAGGCGCTGGGAGCGGTAGTAATCACCACCAAAAGGCTTATATCCATGCTGAAAGAGCTCTGAAAAGCGTCCCCTATCAACAAGGGACCCATCGCTTTTTCGTGCGCCCACGCTCTTGTTCCAATCATCATTGAACGTGAACGGAAGCAACAGCCGGAATCCCTCCTCCGCCACATCAAGGCCGTTTCTCTCCACTGCCTCAGTATACAGGCCTGCAGAGACGCAAGATGGGGTACACTTTTCGGTGGACGTTGAATAAAAGTCCGACTGTAGAAATGGAGATCTTGTTCTCGTAAGCTGGATAGGACGCTGGTCTCCTGTATCAGCCGGGAAAAGACACACTGGCGGTGCAGTGTACTCGGAGCGGGGTAAGACGCTAAATGGCTGCGCTGCCGCAAATCCAGCCGAGTCAGCCGGGGGCAGAAGAAGGCCCGGAGCGATGTAGCGGAACTGAGGCCGCCTCGCGCGCGTCAGAAACGAACGCGCAAAGGAAGGATTAGGCACCGAAGCAGCGTCCAGGACGCTTGATGCAACCAGCGGCTCTGAATTATCCGCATCAGTCCCGGTCAGTGGTGGGTTTGACGGCTGCGAGATGCGCGCCTCAATGGCCTGATACAGCCGATCCCACTCGGCGACACACGTAGTAACCTGGGCGTCGCTATAAGGTCGCCACTCCCAGGGCCCGACCTTCTCGCAGCCGAACAGGGCTGGCTCTTTATGAGGCGAGGCCACAACTTTCCCAATATGAATAAGGTCGATCCAGTTGGTGAGTAGCGTCTCGAGCGGGTTCCAAACGTTTTTACTACCCTCCACTGGAAACCCAATGTCATATTCATCAAGATGCATGAAGCTCGCGACTCGGTGGAGGCCTTGGTGGTAGATAATACCGCCATCACTGTCCACAGCGGATAAGCCCCCTTCGACAGCGTACAAGCGCACCAGGCTGTCAACGGGCTGATCTTGAAGATCAGCTGTATCTTCCTCAAAAAGCCTAGATGGCCCATCGATACCCCATGCAAAAACTGAGAACGGGATGTATTCGTGAGAATTATCAAAAGGAAAAGGGGGCATGATAGCGGTGTCAAGGAATGCCGCCAGTGATGGATGAAGCCGTGGACGACAAGCCTCGGCTTCATCTCTATCACCGGAGCCCGTGAAAAAGTTGCTGTTGGCATCCAGAGTTTCCAGTGGGCGACCTTCAGCGAGCCAGGCATATTGGATCAGGTAGTTGTGTAGAGCTGCACATCGTGTGTAGTCCATTCCTTCGAGATCATCTCGTGGAGGGTTATTTGGCCGGACAAGCAGGCTGGCGATATCCGGAAGTTGTGAAAAATCCATTGAAATTAGGATGGAGTATTTGTCAAAGGGGTACAACCCGAGAGGAATGAATCTCATACAGCAAGCCCCGCAGTACGGCGGTGTATATAGGGGACAGTATAATAGAGCGGGCAGTCAAGCAGCGGCTCACCGTCCAAGGTTACGGGTGGAAAGGCGGCCGTTTCTGGCGCCAGAGGTTGTCATTTTCGGCCTCAATTTCACAGGTCCCTATATTCTAGTTGTAATATAACTGATTTTGTGTAAGCCTGGTTTCATTCCAAAGAATTCCGAATTCAACATACCTTATACGCGAAGTAGTCAAAGTAAAACAGCGGCGCGGCAAGGTAGCCCGAGAAGATTTTCACAGAGCCTCTCCCACCGAATGGCCAACAGGGTAGGTAAAACTCACAGCCAAAAATCAAGACAACGATGATCAGGGAGAGGTATTGAGCCCATGAAGTGAGAAAGCCTCTGAATGGAAGAGTGCGCAGATCCTTTCCTTGTGCTTCCAACCCTTCTCGGAACCTCAGGAGGGAAATGTAGCATGATGACCATTCAAATAGAGTCGCAATAGCAACCTAGTAGTAATCGTTAGCTATTTACAACTCGAAGAGATGATATTTTTACCAGAGATGAGAACCAGCCATAAACAATAACGCCAACACTGTTGACGTTGAGATAGCAGAGACCACCACCCAATCCCAAACTGATGATGATAGAAACATACGGCCGACCTTGGCTATCTTTCCTCCCAAAGAATGGATGAATGATTTTCGTGTCGGCGAGGGCTGTCAAACTGCTGGATGCCACATATACACTTGTTATACCACAAGAGATCACACTGAGAAAAATGAAGCCTTTGATAACGTGCGCCAGTTTATAGACACCTGCACGCTTTATGGCAATCACGAACGGACTGCCTAATGTTCCACTTGCACTTGGGAGATCGCTGTCATCACTTGGGACACACAGTCCCACAAGCCAGATGTTCACAACAAAGAAAGTAAACATGCGCCAGAAGACGGGTCGTACTGTCTTTTTGATAGTTTGGCGTGGGTCTGCGACTTCTCCAGCAATTACTGCAATATGCTCACCTATGGAGTCTTGTGAGTTATGGCTTCAACAAATTCTTGGGGACAGTATCATACCGCCTCCAAAGCTGAAGGCAGCTTGTACAAAAGCCTTGGCAATTCCCTTGATTCCATTTTTGAAGGCACCAGGGTTCGTCCAGTAAGTGAACTCAATTGGCCCGTTGGTAGCGGTGATGCCCCCCGATGTGATAATAAACATGAAGAATATCAGTAATATCACAGCCAGGCATTTGATGAACGACATGTAGTACTCGATGTACCCGTAGATCCTGACATGGAATGTATTACCAAGGCCAATGATGATAATAAATATCGTGATATATGCAGCGAGAGGAATGACGTTGGTTTCTGGCCAAAATTGAAGCATAGAATTAGCTGCTGTGATTTCTGCCGGGATAATCATCACCCACTTCACAAGTATCAGCAACTCTGAATTTGAAACAGATGGGGAGGTACTAACGGCAAACCAAAAGTTCATTCCGATTGCAAATCCCCACGCTGGGTCAATATACTCAATACATTGTCGAATACAGCCGCCATGGACAGGTTTTTATGTTGTCATCTCGCCGATCAAAGAATACTGGGTATAAAAAATAATACTAAATGGAAATTGTCAATTGCATGTCTGGAAGCTCGAACTCTGATCTTCTTACGCGGTGAGTGTATATGCCTCAGCGGTTCCAGCAGGACCAGCTGATTACAGGTTAGCTCATCTTATTCAAATCCCCTGGAAGGCAATAGAGCATACCATAGTGCAAGGCTTGGCCTGTGCCAATGCCAGCGCCAAACGTCATCATCATGACTTTGCGTCTGGTGAGGGATCGGTGGTAGCCAGCCGTGAGTGACTCAGAGGGTATCTCCTTGTAGTCACCATGCTGATCCGTTACCGTAGTGGCAGTTCTTTCAATATCCACACCGGCATTCTCACTGCCTCTGATTTCGATTTTATCAACGTATGTCGTTCCCATTGATAATTTGAAACAAGGGCCAAACTATTCTTGAGTACACTCATAGCTGCGAGAAGATCCGTCCAAGCATCTTAAAATATATACCTCAAACTCAACATCATATCTCTATCTTGGTATCTTTAGCTCTCATTCCATACCCAGCGGGAAGACCGAATAGCCACTGGGAAGGATGCGAAAGAGCGGGGTTGATAAGTTCTCTCCACTATTTTCATGCGTCCTATCTCTCCATTTTGAAGATCAACCCTTAAGAGTTGTAACTCACTGGTATGATCCTACGACTTGACCTGTACTTAAAATTGCCAGAAAGGCCATTTCGCTGATAAGTGCATCCGTAGGAAAATTCACAATAATCATGGCTTCATCCAAGAACGTTGTCTTTGACATCGTGGGTACCCTCGTATGCTACGACCATCTTTACGATGCAATCGACCGCCGACTGGGAGACCGTCTACGTGCAGAGGGTATCAAGCCATGGCTACTTGGCCAGTCCTGGATGGAAACTTCCGAGCGCGAATATACCAATCTCAGTATTGCCGGTCGATATGCACCATACGGCGAGGTCTTTGAATCGCTTTTCTATCGCATTCTCTGGATGGGCGGAATCCAGAAGCCTCGGGCATTTGCCTCCCCGGAGGACCTGGCGTGGATCATGAAAGAATACCAGAAGCTCACTATGCGTCCCGGGGCAGCCGGGTGTGTCCAGAAGCTGCGCGATGCTGGTTTTACCGTCTGGGCTTTCACAGCCGCTGATTTAAAGCGTGTAGGCGGGTATTTTGCAAAGGCAGGCATTGATTTGCCGGCGGAGAATTTGCTATCCTGCGATGACGCTGGGGTAGGCAAGCCTGATCTCGCTGCCTATAAGCCATTGCTTGAGAGACTGAAGGCAGAGAACGATGGGAAGACTCCTTGGTTTGCTGCAGCTCACATGTGGGATGTCTCTGCCGCTCGGACTGCTGGGTAAGGGGCTTTTTGATGGATTTTGCTATATGAGACGGTCGCTAATCATTTTTCTCTTCGATAGATTCAAGGGAGCTTACTGTACTGTGTTAGAGAATGAGCCATTACACAACCTGTTTGGGCACATGGACGTCGTTGATGATACTCTACCAGGCATGGCTGAGAAGATTATTGCTGCTCAGGCTGCCTCGTGATAGTATACAAATGAAGGATGAAATAATCTGAACTGTATCATGCACTCCAAGTATAAACCTATAGTCTGTATCCTAAGATATAATTGTTTTCGAATCACACAGTTCAGTTCATCGATCAATAAGCTATTGATGACCGCCTCGAACGTATTGGAATTTCACACAACCTTTATCTTTGCAGGAGACTCTAAAATGAATCTTCCAGTTTATAAATGGAGAATGACTAGCATTTCGCCCTATGCAAGCAGTTCAATCTTCGATCTTCCACGTTTCGGATAGATGCTTATCGCACGCACGGGATCTCGCTGCATGATCCGCCGGTTAACAGATCCCACCGGCAACTCGAGGGTTGTACCCGGTGAGGGGAACATACCCCAGCTGATAATAAGTTAGCTCCGATACTTTCTTCCAAGCGACCAGCAATCCCCAATAAATGAAGGTCCATATCAAGTGAAGTCTTTGATAGAACCATTTACGTACTTGTGCTTTTCTTCTCCCGGAGACAAAATGCCATCAGATCATTTCCCTGCTCCTAATGGGATGCTCCCTTACTGGCGCACGGAGCCCCATCGACTTGACAATTATCGGTCCACAGAAGCTCTGCCGAAGGAAAGTGATATCATCATCGTGGGTGCTGGTTATGCAGGCTCATCTGTCGCATATCATATCCTCGATCAAATCAAGCCTGGATCTAAGCCACCTTCGATCACTATTCTGGAGGCCCGACAGGCATGTTCTGGAGCGACAGCTCGGAATGGTAAGAGAATTCATTCTCAATGAAATAAATCTGAGCTCGACAATGATTAACTCGTACTCAGGAGGTCATATGAAACCTGATATCTATAACTTTGTCGCTACCCTTGAAGCAGAGTATGGCGTCGAGGCTGCGGCAGAAGTTGCCGTATTTGAAGCGAGACATGTTCATGCCGTCAAGGACTTTGTTGATAAGGAAAGGATTGACTGCGATTATACAGTCACAAAAGCGATCGATGTGCAGTTATGTTCAGGTCATTTTCAAAAGCTTAAGAGCGGATATGAACGGTTAGTCTCGAATGGGTTTGAACCAACTAAGCCAGCTCGCTTTGTGAATGCTGAGGACGCTGAATCTGTGCATATTTGTTCCAATCCCCCAAACTATAGCCTTCAGCTAACAGCTCACTAGTTCTCGGGTGTCAAAGGCGCAGTTGGCTGTGTTACGTATGATGCCTCAAGTATCTGGGCTTACAAGTTCGTGCTGCATCTCCTGGAAAAAGTAGTCTCGCAAGGCGTGAATCTGCAGACTCATACACCAGTGTCTAAGATCACGAAGTCGACCAATGAGTCTGCGTCTTCATCTCATTGGCAAGTGGAGACTCCGCGCGGCACTATCACGGCACAGAAGGTGATCCTTGCGACTAATGCCTATACCTCCGCTCTCGCCCCGCAATACCAGAACAAGATCATTCCCGTCAGGGGGACGTGTTGTCGAATTGCTGTTCCTCCCGCATCGACAGTCCCTCGCTTGACTTGTACCTATACACTGCGGTGGAATGGTTGGGACTATGATTATTTGATCCCGCGTGCTGATCGGAGCATCGTGGTCGGGGGTGCCCGGACGGCTTTCATCCATGACTTGAACAACTGGTACAATGTCAGTGACGATAGTCGTGTTTTAGAGGGTGCTGTGCGTTATTTCGATGGGTATATGCAGAGGACTTTCGTGGGGTGGGAGGATAGTAATGCGTACACCGATCGGGTGTGGACTGGAAGTAAGTGCATGATGATAACCCCTTGCATATGCGAACACACATTTGTATTCAATCGGACTGGCATGGTCCGTCTAACATGGGCAGTTATGGGATATTCGTCGGATGGATTACCGCATATTGGGGCTGTTCCCGGACAACAAGACGAATATATTCTGGCTGGATTTACGGGTCACGGGATGCCGCAGATCTTTTTGGCTGCGGAAGGGATTGCGAAAATGGTGGTTGGTGATGTGGCATTCGAAGAGACTGGCCTGCCCCGGCTATTCAAGACGAGCCAGTCGAGACTTGACAAGCAGGAAAATAAGATATTGAGTAGCGCGCCTGAAGGTGGGTCATCGCTGGCCAAGCTGTGAGATAGTCTACCAATATACATACGGGTACATGCATCCAGCAGGTGAACAAAGATATAATGCGGTTTCATAGCTAAGGTTGAACTTCAATTCTTACTTAAGGGACTGCTTTATACAGACCATTTATTCAAAAAGAAAGGATTAGCGAGCATCCAACTTATTTCACATACATTGGGGGGGGGGTCTTGATCCTGGTCGGACTCAGAAAATCCACCCAAAAAGGGCCAGTCTGAACTGGGATAGTCTAAACGAGTGTACGAAGGACAGAGGACCATAAGCCAGAGACAGTAAAATAGTACAAATTTGCACCAGCAATCTAATTTCCTCGTCTCTCTCACATCATGACCCTGGTCCCTTAATAAACTATTGCTTGGCGGGACGCTTGGCACACAAGACGTCAGTTGGCTGATGGATTGTGTGCGGGATCCACAACCTTCTTCAAGTTCCACCCCCTGAGAAGCGGAAGGATACGAAAGCATACGAGGTATGCAGAACCTCTTCTCGAAAAGCTTGACAAGGTGCATGTGGGGAATGCTTGGGGGATAAAATCTGTGATTTCTTCAAGATGTCACCACCAACTGGAAGCCCAACAACCACGAGTCAAGTCCGATCCCAAAACGTCGATCATCCCGATGCTATCAGTTACGATGGCGTGCTCCTCACCATCTACTGCCCATAATTGCGCGATAGGACCCGCTGGGATTGTTAAATGAGCTTCTCTATACTGACGGACAGGGAAGCTTACTCCTTATATATGCCCTCCTCCCCTCTCGTATTCTCTTCCCTCTCGTGATTCTCTACTTGCTGGGCCAACTCACCGCTATACTTCCGCCTTACATTCCTTTACAGGCCGTCCTCTCTGCCCGCCCACTTTTTTCTTGTCAACCTAATGGGGGTCCCTGAGACAATTGTGGCTTTTCCCAAGCAGGAATCGGACAACCAGCCAGCGACGGTCCGCTACGAATACGACCCCTGGTTGTTGGATGACCATCCGCTCCGCTCGCATCCAACCGAGTGCATCCCCGGTCTGGGAACGTTTCTCAGTGAATGGTTTACCTCTCTTCAGTACCGATGGAAGGAGACCTTGTTCCGCGCTGGATGTCTTCTCCTGTCATGTTTGTGAGTGATCAATCGAGACTTTAGAAGTGAAGCCTGATTTTGTGAATTGGAACTAACATAATCTCTGATAGAGCTGCATTCCAATGCCTCCATCTCCTCCACTCCCCATCTACCGGTAAAGGCCTGCCGCGCCCAGCGGTGACATCTCGAATCAGCCCTCGCGAATGGCACGTGAGATGCACCTACCCTCACTCAGATCCCCGTTCCAACGCCCTTGCGCAGTCCGTTGCTGCCGGCTGCGACGGGCTTCGAACGGATATTTGGCTGCGCGACAATGAGCTGCAGATGGGTCCATCCAACTTGGGCCTCAGCGCTACCAATTCTTTGCCGCTGCGCCTCGATTCGATCATTGCCAAACTGGAGTCGGATAGTGCTTCACGTAGCTCCCAAGTTTCTTTGTCTGTGGCTTCTGGCGGGTTGAGCCGTAATGATCCTTCGCGAACTTTTATGCTCGTCTTGGATGCTGGATCCTCGCTACCTGAGGTTTTGCCCGATTTAGTTTCGCAACTGGCCGTCCTCCGACAACGTGGCTATCTTTCCCATTGGGATGGTGCCGGGGTGGTTCAGCGGCCTGTCACCGTGGTTGTCACGGGCACGGCTGTGCCTGATTCAGATTGCTTCAGCTCACCCTACTCAGACGTATTCTGGACATCTGAGGAAGGGTTTATCTTTGAGGAAGACCTTGCCAATGATCAGCTCTCTCCGATCTGCGTGGTATAATTCCGCCTGATTTAATTGGTTGTAATTGTTCTCACTTTCATGATACCCACTGTCAATGTTAATATCAATGCCAATATCAAATCACCTTTTCTATGTCCTATGAGCGTAGACATTTCCTAGAGTATTATTTCAAAGGGATTATGATTATGTGCCACGTCAGTTGGGGGCCCTTTGAGACATGGTTGTACGGTGTAGGTACACAGCTACACTCGAGGATGGTCGGGGTCCGACAGGGACTGGTCGATCACGAGCCTAATGCAAAGTGATGCGTCACAGAATGTACATCACAGAATATGCAGGTGGAAGGAAAAAGCAAATAACCATAAAGTACAACTGTAAGTCAAGTCCGTGCATGCTGCCTGACGTCGGTTAGTTAGGGTCATACATTCGGATTAGTTTTAGGGCATCAGGGGTCGCGCCCAACGGAGATAAGAGTGGAATTCAAAGATTATTAGAATAGTGTCCGTAATATAGATCACAAATGATCTCCGTCATGTACGACTTGATCTGAATGACTCCACCGGGGTCCGTTTGAATCCTTTTATTTTTCTGACTGTCTAATTTCCAATGTGTCTGTTTATCGCACGAGCGGCATCCCATCCGATCCCCACATGCGTCTTGGTCCTTGGCTAAGTTGGCCCTGGCCCCATCCACCACCGCGCTAAGCCGCTCACCGTTTTTTCTCCGGACTCCTCCTGAACCATCTTCTGTTGTTGACTCTGTTTCGGTCTGGGCCTGCGATTCTTCCTCTTCCTATCCTTCTTCTCCATCGACTGTTTGCAACCACCCACCCAATACCAACCCCATCCAGTGTCTCAGTGCTTGATTATCATCAGCTTCTCATCCAGCCCCTCACCCTCGGCTGCGTTGTCCGTACTCCGCACCTCCTCACCACACGGGCGCACTATCTCCGACCGGGCATGGATCGCGCGATCAACCGCTGATCCTCGACATCATCCTCAGCACCCTGCGCTTCTTATTTTTCCCTCCCGGCGTCTCTATTTCTTCCCGTGACGACCGTGCAAAGTCTGCTTAGCCGCGCCTTCACCCGCGCCTTCACCCTCTGGTGCTGTCTCCATCTCCGCGCCTTGACACGCATCGCCAGGGCACACGCCCCAAGATGGATCTCTTCCGTCGCCTTCATCAGAACTCGTATCCGCCCCGGCTGTCACCCCTAAGCGGCTCCCAAGAACCGCGCGATGATCGTGCTCGCCAGCCGAGCGGTCTCTCACCCGCCCATGACCCTCGCCGTCGTGCCGACAGCGACAAGGCCCGACCGGCCAGTCGCTACGAATACACGACCCCCTCATCAGATCTATACTCACCGGGTGTATCAAGGGGGTCGCAAGGGGTCCGGGGTGAGAATGCTGGGGCGGCGATTTCTCCGCCGCGGAACCAACAGCATGCGCACCAGCATCGGCGGAATGCCAGCCTCGAAACGCGGCAGCACGCACATGCGCATCGCAGAAATCACTCTCAACCGCAGGGAGCTCAATACCGAGAAGGTGCGTATTTTTACTAGCCAGTCTATTCAAGTTTCATTCTTCGTCTGGGGATAGCAGAAGTCCTCTCTGCTATTCTGAGGTCTGTTTGTTGTGTCCCCCGGATTCACAAAGAGTTGGGGTCGGACTTGTCCCGTGGTTCTCGTTCCCCCGTCCGGCTCCTCGCTCCACTTTGGGCAAGGTGTTGTGTTGAGGCGCAACATTCAAAGTTATCCCCAGGTTTTGGCGCTCTATTAGCGATCTTGGGCACCCTTGCATTATCAATCCCCCTATCAACCCATTTACCCCCCTCTGCCCACTCCCCAGCCTCTTCTTCTTCCTTGATGCTTTTTCCCCGGTGGCGCAGATCCATCGGGAACGCTAGTCCCAATATGGACTAGCTGCGCTAGTCTCTTCTGGGCTTAGCGGTCGAGCTTCCGGAGTCACGGGTTCACCGTCCTGCTGCTTCTTCTTGGGCCTGGGTGAATTCAGCTCATCATCCGCTTCGACCTTTTCTTGAACACTGTTCGAGGGTTTTGCGCGAGATGAACCACCCGCCTCCTGGCTTTGGGCGCAGGGCGTCCCAGGGCAGCAGTGGCAGTCCCGTGTACTCCGGTGAGTGCGACCGCGACGCGCGCCATGCAGGTCGACCTGCAACTGCGCTACATGGATCTAGCCGCCCCCCATCATTTCTGTGATATCGTCGCTCATGATCTTTTTTCGAGGCTTGCATAGTCCCCCTGTCCCATTTGCATCCACTGACTTTTTTCGATTATCTACAGGACCTCAAGAACATTCTGCACCGCCAGCCTTTGGTAGTCGTCAAATGCCTCCTCCGTCTCCTCCACACTCCTACGGCGCCCGATCGCAGTCGACCAACGCGCCCGCCTCATCCCTACTTTCCCGCGATGCGCCCAGTGCCCCATCCCATCGCCCCGGCAGCAGCATGTCCATCTCCGCCATGCTAGGATCAGATTCAGAACGCCCGGCGCGAGATACTGGGTCATCACTTTTCTCGCGGCCCCCGGGGTCGTCGATTTTCGGAAATGCGCCTTTGTCCACCTCTGCCGCTATGTCACCACCCACAGGCCCGTCCCGACCATCACCTCTAGACCAGTCGGCATTTCGTCGATCACATACGCCGGAGAAGTCCTTTTCCAGGCCGTCAATGGGACGGCCATACCGGTCTGGATCTGGTGGCGGGTCGAGTCTGCTAGGAGGTGTCGAGCAGGCTAAGTTCGGCGGCCTGTCACGCACACCACTCTCTCAATACCCCGAGAAGCCGCATTCCACACACCCGTCACCTCAGATCTCCTCTGCCGAACCGCCCTACAATGAGCCTCGTCGCATGAGCTTCAGCGGACCGATCGCTCGGCCTAGTAGCCAGCCACCTAACGCTGATGCTTCAACGCGCCCGCCCGGTTATAGTCCTCTGTCCCGTCCCTCCGCTGGTGTCCCCGACCGATACGAGCCTGTACAACGTGCTAGTTCTTCATCATTTGCAGCTCTCGACCCCCATGGTCGAGATCCCCATGGTCGCTTCGGTAGCATCTTTGGGGACCGCCGGTCGGAAGAGACTGTCCTGAGAGAACGGGAACGGGAGAGAGAGCGGGAGCGAGAACGCGAGAGGGATCGTGAAAGGGACCGTGAAAGAGAGCGCGCTTTCCACGGGGTGGATTCAAAGGGCTCACTTGGAGCGGCAACACGATTTGGAGCTTTGTACGGCGAACGCGAACCACTTGAACGGCATTCAGCCCCGTCAACCTGGGAACACGGTCGCTCGCATCCGTCATCCCCCGAGTCAAAACGGTTCCCGGCCCCCGATGCGGGATCGGCCTTTGGATTCGGTGCCATTCAGAGTTATACCAAGTCTCTGGGGTCTCAACCTGGAGGTGGTCGGCAGCCTCCACTGTCTCTGCAAACGGGCCACGGTCAAGTTTCGCCTACACAGCGCGAATCGCCTTATCTCAGCAAGTCTCAACCACAATCCTCACGCCTTGGCTCGACTCCAGTGACTGCCTCCTCTACGACAGCTCCCTCACTCTCACTTTCTGCAGTCGAGGACCAAGGGCGGCGTAAAGGCAGTGATGATCTTCTCCATCACCGGAATCTGCTGGCAGTGGGCGTTGATGGCAAACGTGGTGGCCGGGCTTCTCCTCTGCCTCAGGCGGTCCAGGGTGCACAAGCTCCCTTTATCGGCCCGTCTGGAGAACCGGGAATCAAAAACGAGCTGGGGCGGGTGTTCTCTGGTATCGGCAGTGGTGTTGGCGGTGTGACCGCTGGCTCATCAGGAAGTGGCCCGTCAACACCGCTGATTTCGAGCCCCTTCAAGCGCGATAGTCTCACCGGTCGCTCAGTAAATGGGGATGCTGATGATGCTAGAGTCCCTCGACCAACATCGGCGACTGGCCAAAAGCGAGGAAGAAAGTCACGCGAGGAGGATGTTCCAATGGATGACAGTGGTGCTGGACTCTCTAGTCGTGGTCGTCGGTCTCGACATCTGCACCATCACCATCACCAGTATGGGTTCCCGCCTTCTATAGCTTCAACTCATCAATATGTGCTAACCTTTTCTTCTAGCCACCACCATCACCGCCACAAGGCAGACGAAGAAGCTGCTACTCTGAGTGCCTTGCATCGGCCTACACCTGCCAATCTACTTGGTCGAACATCTACTCCTGCCGAAGCCCCAGCCGGCCACCATCACCATCATCACCACCACCACCATCATGCACCTCGAGCCACAGCCACCGTGCCCGCATCTCCCATCCGGGAACCTCGTACGACTGTGAATCTCGAACCCCTCCTATCAAGTGTGGCACACTTGCCACGACACCACCTGGGATCCACACTGTATACCCCTCGCATCGGCGTTCCGGGTGCCAAAGCCTCCTCGGAAAGCTCCAAGTTCGGCTACACGACAACCCCGCAACCTCTTCCCCGGTTTGAGCAGCGGGAGAATTGCACCTTCACCATTCGAGTCCCCCGTTTCCGCATTGATGCGGCTCGGCGTGAAGAGATCTGTGCGCGACGAGCGTTGTGGGGCACAGGCGTCTATACGGACGACTCCGACCCCATTGCCGCTGCCATCCACTCGGGATACATCCGAGGCGCTTGGGGTGAGGATGTAGATGAGTCCATGCTGGATTTGGAAATCAAGGATACCTACCAACATGCCCCGCAGCCTACGGCTGAGGATCGTGCTGCGAATGCGTCCAAGGGCGAGCATGAGCCCCGGAAGCCACGTCTCCCACAAGTACCTCCTGCCGACAAGGACCTACACATTACTCTTCTGATCCTCCCGCGTGTCGACCAGTACGAATCAACTGTGATGTTCGGTCTCAAGTCTCGCAAGTGGACTGGTCGTCACGACGGGGTAAGCTTCAAGGTCCACCGGGTAGAGTGGGTGGATGATGGTGTTGGGCGCGGGGAAGAGCGAAGCGGCGAAGCCCGACGCAAGCGTCTGCGCACATTGATGCAGACAGGTCGCATCTGCACGGGGCCCGCTATGGCGAGGATGGACGAGCTTCGTCAGAGCGGCGTGCAGGTTCCTCGTTCCCTGGAGAGCAAGGAGCTCCCCACGCCCGTTCAACCAGTCTCTTAATGTCTCTCTACGAAGATCTCTCCTCTCCGCATTTTTGAAATGATGTTATCTTGTGCGGATCCACTTGCAGCCTTAATCGGTGCGTGGAGTCCCCATATTCTACGGGGTACTACAGGGTATCTGGTCCTGGATTGGACTAGGGGCGTTTCCTCTATTTTTTTTTTTCTTTATCAGTATTTTACGTGGTTTTGGTTTGCACTTTCCTTTATTTTCTTGGGGCCGTTGATACCTGCGAATAGCGAGTCTTCATTATTATGGGATGTGAGATTATTTGCTTGCTTTTGATTCTTGATTTGTTGTTGCTCTTCACGTGCTTTCTGGCCATTCGGGTCAGCGGGAGCGGATGAAGGGATGTTGTTCTGTGGCTTTACATCTAGGGAAGGGTGGACAGAGATACGTCTAACCCCTCTCATTGCCATTCATTGATTGATTTCTAGTATTTAGTTTCTTTAATATTGATGAAGCTCTCCGCGGAGAGCACCTTGGGGTTTCCCGGTCCAGTTGATATTGATTTTCGTAGTATGGGACATGAGAGTGTTTTAGTTGATCGCCACTAGTACATAACCTAACGTTAGACTCGTTGCTCTCCCCGCAAAATCGGGTGCCGCCCGCCGCTGCTTTGCCTAAAGTCTAACCGACCGAGGAAATCAAGGTAACATTATTCTTAGGGCTCTTTTTATGCTTCATTATTTCCGAGCAAAGTGAATCCTCCTCATATGAACTCCTATTTCTCGGCACTCCGTATTTCGGTGAGCCGATCCTGGCTTCTTGTCCTTTGTCCCTTGTCCCCATATACTCGGGTTTATCCACTTTCATTTCCCCCAGACTCTCCCACAGTCAACCGAGGCTCAGCGGCTGTGACCAACCACTCCTGTTGGGTAATTGTATTTCCGTAATTGCTGGTTTTCCTCGGAGACTCTGTTCAGTCCGGACGGGACCGACACACTCTAACGTGACAGTACCTAACCATACACAACCATACCATACCCCGCCCTCGCTATCCGCTTCGGTGTCTCCGTACAGCCGAGGCATTTCAACCGGCCAAATCAGTTCTTATTAGGAACTTTCTCCTGGCCAACTCCGACAACTTGTCTTTTCTTGCTTTCTCTTCCTCTTTATACCCCCCAAGTATCCTCCTTCCTTATACCATTGAGAGGGATGTTCGCTGCCTCTGCGCGAAGCCGTCTCTCCACCCTGTCAAGGCCCCGGCTCCCTCCGACACAACTGCTCGCCCGCTCGGTAAGACGGCCACCTCCGACTGAAAGAGAACTGCTCTGCGAGAAAATTCGCAGAGAAGTTACAGCAGGAAGAGCTTGCCAGGAAGCATCGTGAACAATTGAACTGACTCTTTTCACCTGTATAGACCCCTGCCATGGCTCGCAAGGCGTCGTCCGTCCCTGAGGGTGAGTTATCACATGCCCCGCGCGTGCACGACGAGGAAAGCTCAGGATGAGCACGTTCTTGTTCTCAAAAGCGGACAAACTCTTGCGCAAGGCTTCGGATTCAATCGGACTCAACTAACATGCCGATTAGGATACAAGGAGGATCTCTCCAAGGGCAAGATGCTCCGCTTCGAAGATTCCCTGCCCCGCCTCCCTGTCCCGTCCCTGGAGGAGACCGGCAAGCGCTACCTCAAGTCCGTCCACCCACTGGTGTCTGAGGCCGAGTTCGAGCGCACCAAGAAGGCCGTTGAGACCTTCATCCGCCCCGGCGGTGAGGGTGAGCCCCTGCAGAAGCGTCTGCTGGAGCGTGCTGCTAACCCCAAGATCAACAACTGGCTCGCTGAGTGGTGGAACTCGGCCGCCTACCTGGGTTACCGTGACCCCGTCATTCCCTACGTCTCCTACTTCTACTCCTACCGTGATGATCGGGAACGCCGTAACCCGGCCAAGCGTGCTGCTGCTATTACCTCTGCTGCGCTGGAGTTCAAGCGCCAGGTCGACGATGGCTCCCTCGAGCCCGAGTACATGCGCGGTCAGCCCATGGCCATGAGCTCGTACGAGTACATGTTCAACTGCTGCCGTATCCCCGCCGCTCCTGAGGATTTCCCCCGCAAGTACTCTGCGGCCGAGAACCAGCACATCATCGCTGTCCGCAAGAACCAGTTCTTCAAGGTACCCCTTGTTGTCGACGGCCAGGCCCTGAACGTGTCCGAGCTCGAGCACCAGTTCCAGCGCATCTACGAGACTGCCCAGCCTGCCCCGCCGGTCGGTGTGCTGACTGTGGCTGACCGTGATCACTGGACCGCTGCCCGTGAGAAGCTGGTTGCTGCCGACCCGGCCAACGAGCAGGCTCTGAAGGATATCGAGTCTGCCGGCTTCGTCGTCTGCCTGGATGATGCTAAGCCTGTCACCCTGGAGGAGCGCGCTCACCAGTACTGGCACGGTGATGGCACCAACCGCTGGTTCGACAAGCCTCTGCAGTTCATTGTCAACGACAACGGTACTGCCGGTTTCATGGGCGAGCACTCCATGATGGACGGTACTCCCACCCACCGTCTCAACGACTTTGTCAACGCCCTGATCTTCGGCAAGAAGATTGATCTCTCTGCCAAGTCTGTCCGCTCGCAGCTGGCCGACCCCAAGGCCATCAAGTTCACCCTGAACGACGAGGTCAACGAGGCTATCGACATTGCCGCCCAGTACCACCGCAAGCAGATCGGCTCTCACGAGCTCGTCGTCCAGTCCTACCAGGGCTACGGCAAGGGTCTGATCAAGAAGTTCAAGTGCAGCCCCGACGCCTACGTCCAGATGGTCATCCAACTCGCCTACTACAAGATGTACGGCAAGAACCGTCCCACCTACGAGTCCGCCTCCACCCGTAAGTTCCAGGAGGGCCGTACCGAGACCACCCGTACCGTCTCCGACGAGAGCACCGCCTTCACCCGCGCTTTCTGCGATCCTAGTGTGCCCCGCGAGGAGGTCGTCAAGCTCTTCCGCGCCGCGCTTGCCCAGCACACCAAGTACACTCTCGAGGCTAGCGACGGCCGCGGTGTGGACCGCCACCTGTTCGGACTGAAGAAGCTCCTCCAGCCTGGCGAGAAGCTTCCCGCTATCTATGAGGATCCCGCTTTCACGTACTCCGGTTCCTGGTACATTTCCTCTTCCCAGCTCAGCTCGGAGTTCTTCAATGGATACGGATGGAGCCAGGTTATCGATGATGGATTCGGAATTGCCTACATGATCAACGAGAACAGGTATGACCATTTTACCCCTTCTAGCCCCCTGACCCCGCACGCTTATACTAACCCTGTGCTTCTCCTTCTAGCCTGAACTTCAACATCGTCTGCAAGCGCCTCGGCGCTAACCGCATGAGCCACTACCTCAACGAAGCCGCCACAGAACTCCGCGACGTCCTCCTCCCCGACCTGGCCGCTCAACCCGAGAAGTCCAAGCTGTAAAGTTGTGACTATGCGCTTATAACTAAAGTTGCATGCATTGTGCATTGTGGTTTTTCACTCTTGATTTCTTTTTGGTTCGGTTCTCGGTTTTTGATATCTGGTTTTCAGCGCCGCTATAGATGAAGATATCTTTTGTACTCCGGCTGTTTGTTGGGACGTGCATCTCTTTGTATAGTTGTGTGGATACAACATGAATACATTTTATGTCTAAAGACTATTCTTTTGTGTTTCTTTTTCTCGTTTCTCGATGATGAGTACTAGGATGTATGGCATTGGTTACTGGTTATTTTAAGAGGATTCGTTGATTATCCATCTATTTTAGACATTTACTTTGATGAGTTGCATGGAAGGGAGATCATCCATCTTGCATTGTACGCTATAATACAATAACGAGGCTCTAGCTCTCGGATCAATCCCACTCAATTCGAAAGAAATCACCAGACCGCGTTGAGGTTCGGAGCAAGCGCTACCTTGAAGGGATTGGGTGGATGGGTTGGGGTCACAACTCTCAGGATAGTCAAGCCCGGCACACGTTTGATGGGAATAGCCAGAGAATCCAGGAAACCGGTGAGAGCAAATAAATTGTCTTGCAACCCGCTAGAACCTCTTGATTCTAGCGAAGGGGCCCTCAATCAGTTCACTAGACAATTCACACGAAGAGTCTCTTGAATCTCAGTTTTCCCAGAGGACCAGACCATGAGTTTCTGTCCAGCCCGCTGAGATGGTTCATTATTGCGTAGATTTAGGTAACATTAGCAGAGCCAGTTCCCATCTAGATACGCCCGTATCCCGTATCTCCGGAAAGCCATAGTGGAGATGTTATCATTTCTCCCAAAGAATAAAGCATCATTATTATCATGAGAAGGGTGGAACTATCCTACCACCCGTAAAAACAAAGGTTCAGCGAGAAAGGAAAAGGTTATTTCAGTCTTTGCTGTCTGCCGATCGCATGGTCTGCGGGTCTGCCGCTTCGGTCCCCTCTTGCCCTGATACTGGGCCCGAGTCGGGAGCTGTAGGGGCAGTCGGCCTGGTTGAGATGGTCATGTCACTGATTTGTCGTTCTAAGTTGGAAGGAAAATGTTAGCAAAGACTGGACAGAAACAAAATAATGCCTCCTCAGAAGTTATATTGCAAGACTGTAAGTTTTGATCATAATTACTTACCAAGTTCTCGAATGCGTTGGCGCAGCATCTGATTCTCTCGACTCAGCATGGCAGCTTCGGCTTGATAGTATGCCCCCTCATCTCGGCTACTCCGTCGAGATGAGCTTTCCCGGAGACTCGGGAAGGCCTCTGTGCCCTCCGGTCCCCGTGATGCATCCCGTGGTCGCAGGTTCGGTGATGCAGCCTGGCTGGACGGGCGGGATGATCGGCGGTTGGAGAGAGAAGAGATGGAAAGACGGTTGCTGGGACCTGTCGTGGGGGGAGGGATAGGTGGGAAGAATGTGGTCGACCGCTCTGATGCCGGGGTGGTAGTATCGTCAATGACCGCTGTGCCTGAGGCGGATGAGTTGTGCTGTTGGTTTTGCTGCTGGTACTGTTGTAGCTGGGCCTGCTGGCTGCGAATCATCTGCAGTAGACGGTTCTATTTTGTTTCAACAAGGATTCAGTTAGCTTTGTATAATTCCCATCTATACCATCCATCACGTAATGATAACAACTCTGTAGTTTAACGGACTGAAAGAATCAATGATCGGAGAGACCCACCACTTGTGCTTCTTGTTCCTGCTCCAATTCCTGGTGTAATTCCCCCAACGATGGGGCACGCTGGTGGTGCGGGTCCGCAGTCGCAAAGACCGGACTCCCGCCGTGACTGGTGGGACTAGCCGTGCGGAAGGCCTGGCCCATTGAGCTACGATGCTCGGACCAAGGTGCATCATTATTGTTATTGCCTGATGCCATACTGCCAGTCTCATTCAGGTTCAGGTGCATGCCAGCCGCTGACCGACGCCGCTCAGAGACTGATACGCGGCCGATGCTTGACCCGCGCGAGGGCCGACGGGGTGTTGTGCTGGGGTTGACCGGGGCGGGGGAGGGAGTCGTTGTGCCCGGGGAGACGGCGGATGGGTTCCGGTATGGTAGAGAAGATGAGGTCGAGGACGAGCGCGACGGAGGGAGAGAGTTGAGGTCGGGCGACATGGTGATTAGGGCGGGGGAGAAGGCGGTGATCGAAGTCGTGAGCTTTGAGAAGTTGGAGCTTTGGAGGGAAGCTCAACTGATTCTCTTTAGGCAGCGGGCGGGCATGATCACCGAGCTGAGTCAGCCATCGCGGGGAAGGGGATCACATGACTAAGTCGAACAAGCCGAAACAGACACCGGATTAATCAGGCATGAATTCGGGTAATCAGGAACTAAGGCATCCAGGCCACCCACTCTCCACTTCCATGGAGGGAATCTGGAGTCCGCGGGGAGGTCCAGTTACTTGGAGAAAGGAAACAAAGAATTATTATTATCCCTACTACAGTACAAAATACTAGCTCAGAATATGCCCAACTGATTGAATTTGAATTTGTTCCAGCCTTGTGCAACTAGCTTGCTACACTCGAGGAACACAGCAGAATACATCGAGCCTCGAGGACAGCCACATCCCCCCTCGCGGCTGGGGATTTGCCTTCCCCCGGCGAATATCTCCCTTTGCCCCCCAAGTTCTTCAGTGCAACCGTTTGTGTCAATTCTTAGTCCTACCTGTTTCCAGACAATATCCAGGGGGGCCCTGGACTTGACCTCGCAGATTTCAGGGGAGGAGGATATCTGCATTTAGCCCTGAATACTAATTGATAGCGAACCAAGGATTGGAAAGTCAGCCACGTCGATCAAACGCGGTTATGCTCCTCTTCCCCCACGTCTGCTGATTTTCAGAGTTTTCTAGTGTGTTGAGCCGGGAAAGGTAAACTCATAACTCAGCAGATAGAAAATAGAGGATAGACGGCGTCGCCGGGTAGCACGGGTGGCGCCAGACTACTCAACTACCGGTCGAAGTAGAAGTTCGAGATGAGACCATAATTTATCGTTCATATTCCATAGTTCGGATGCGGAGTTGATTGTCACACGCTCAACTCTGAACTAGTAACTTTTATCTTGGGTGTATATACTAAAACTTTACTCTGTTTATTTCAAACATGGTACGGATTGGGGTGTTACACGCATACTCAATGCATGTATACACCAGCTGGCTAATTGGCGCGCCCGAGAGCGCACCCCATTTCACCATGTAGAGCACATGTAGAACCGTCAATTGATCTGACCGGAGGTGATAAACTTCTGTTATCAAGTAACATTGTTTGCTCGGTCGACCCCTTGCGAGCGCATGGCGTCTGCGATTCGATCTTGTCGATCACTCGATTTTTTCGGGGATTCGATGCAGTACGATGGCCATGTGCAAGTACGATGCAAGGTCGCATTTGTTCTATCTATCTCGCACTCGAGTACCGATAACACGATAACATATTTCTGATCTTTGGACTCTGTGAGTCTGGAACCTGTTGGCCTTGTGCTGATGGTCGTTTCCGGAAGACAACGCTGGGGTCCACCCCTCGGTGGATCAGCCAAACTTTGTTCTCGGATTGTGCTCCATGGGGTCAAAGGGGAAACTGCTCGGAACTCGAACGATATTGGGGTCCGAACAATAATGTCAGTGTCAGAAATACCGCACACGCCGGAGGAAAGGGAGAGGCCAAAGGCAGCCTGCAAGGGATTGGGATCAGCCCTTGATGCCTCATGTGGTGGATGGACTACATGGAACGCTTTGACATCCTTCGATAATGTCTTCTGGAAAGGCGACCGCAAGGCGACTCTAGGGCAGATCCAGTGTGGTAGATATCAATCCAAATCAGGAAGCGAAATGGCAAATCAGCTTGGGGGCTTGGTGACTGGAAACTAGAATCAGACAATGGACACACGACGCACAGAGTAACCGCATCCCGGGGGGTCGGAACAAGACTTCTGGACCCCTGCACGGATGACGATCGCTGCGACGCCACGCCCGTAAGTGTACCTAAGCAGCAGCATCATCAGACAGCAAAGCAACCGGCGAGTGGTACCTGGTCCTGAATCTCGCCTGCCTGGCCTGGTCTTTGAAAGTCCTTCTGGACGAATCACGGCCGTTGCGCCCGGTGTGATAGGCCGGGACAGCCCTGGATGCCCCTTCGCCCCAAGCGCCTTGACGTCACTTGGCGATCGTATCCTTGGCCCGCGCGGGCGATCACAAATCCTGGCGCAACCGAGCCAAGTCTGTTGTCGTTTACTCTTGTTTGGCAATGTTAATAATCGGCTTGGTCGGCTTGAACAGATTTTGCGCTGGGGTATCTGGCCTGCGTCATTATTTTTGTTGCGTAATTGTTTTCCGGTTGATGCCCCCTCGATCTGCGATGGGGAACCATGCGATCCGGGGACTGGCAAATCTTCCCGACTCCTTGCATCGTGGGGCGCCATATGATTTTTTTTTGATATCCTAATTCATCGAGCCTGGTTTGGTTCTGGTTAGCAACAGTAGATTCAATGTTGCATGCATCCAGGAAATATAACATGGGGTAGAAATCAAACACCGCGCCGCAATCTCTCTTGCATGTCCCAATGCGGACATTCCCACCCTTCATGAGACCCCAAAACGGCGTCCTCGGAGCTCGCCCGAAGACAATAATTCGATTACCGGGAAGCCATAGCATCGGCCCTTTGGTCATGGTGGTCTCACAAGTGGAGCCGAACAACCAATTGCGGTCTGTGCAGGGTCGTGGGGCAGGTCTCTTTCCGGAGGGTTATCTGGTGGCTTTTTAAGACTGCAAGTTGATGCATGAATCAGGACTCTGCGCCACAAGGATTTGGAGGCTTTGCGCACTGTAGATCTTCTGTAAATATGCAGGGAATTATCCTGTGCATCATCTATGAGATCTGAGCAGGAGTATCCTGGAAGATGAAAAAGTTCTTTCTGGGGTTGGGGTTGGAGTTGGAGTAGGCCCGCATGAAAAAGTGGGTATAGTTCTGTAGAAGTGTAGTACAGTATACTGTTGGCCCACGGGGAAACGATCAGTCGGCATCCCGCGTCTCACTCGGTGAACCCAAAGAGAAACTCCACGGCGAGGAGTCTGGAGTAAAGTGTGGTCCATCCTGGAGTACAAAGAATAGTCAAAATCTGGGGCGCATAAGCAGAGTAGAAAGTGGAAGAAAAGTGGATGGCCCAAGGAATGCCCGGCCGCATTTGACGGCGGTTGTTCTGTTGCATCGCACCTTCCCCGTTGTATTTCGTACTTTCCATTTTTTCGAATTATGAAATCTACTTTTCTCTTTTCAGAACTATTAAATCATCTTTCGTACTTATTTGGGCCCGCCTGCCTTTTCTTCCCTCCCCCCTGTCGACTTCCTGCTTGTTGCTTTTGTATTTTGTATCCTCGCACTTCCCCCACTCTACTCAACTTCTTACCATCTTCTCTACTTCCACTACATCTTCTTCTATTGTCCTTTCCCCGGATTTTCCACTCTTCTCACTTTTGTGAACCACTGAATCTTATCACTGTACTCAACGTTGTTCAACCGTAAGTGATCATTGCTACTATATACTATATACAACTCACCCGGGTCAACGAACCAACTAACATTTCCCTGCCCTCCAGAAATTTATCAGCATGGCGAGCACCCCAGAAAAGCTGGGAGATGGCCGCGATGCGGTGACATCCGAGGCCTCGAGTGCTACCAAGCAAGAGATCTTCGACCCCAGTTTGAATGAAAAGCTTGGCCAGAAGGATGCTCAACTCGAAAATACCGACGCTTCGGGTCGAATCGAGCTCACGGAGGATATGTGCTACGACAAGCTCGGATACTCCTTCAGCGAGAAACGCAAGTGGTTGATCATTACTGTCATCTTCTTGGTCCAGACCTCCATGAATTTCAACACCTCTTTGTACTCCAACGGTCTTGGGGGGATTTCCGAGGAGTTTGGTGTTTCCAAGCAAGCCGCTCGCTGCGGTGCAATGATCTTCCTGGTCTTGTACGCTTTCGGTTGTGAGTTGTGGGCACCATGGAGTGAGGAACTCGGACGCAAGCCCATCCTTCAGGCCTCGCTATTCCTCGTCAACATCTTCCAATTGCCAGTGGCTCTCGCACCAAACTTTGCTTCTGTTATGGTCGGCCGTGCTCTGGGTGGTCTCTCCTCTGCGGGAGGTTCAGTCACTTTGGGTATGATTGCTGATCTTTGGGAGGCTGATACACAGCAGTACGCTGTGGCTGCCGTCGTCTTTTCCTCCGTTGGTGGCTCTGTTCTGGGTCCCGTGGTTGGTGGATTTGTGGAGGCTTTCCTCCCCTGGCGCTGGAGCATTTGGATCCAGTTGATCTTTGGTGGCTTCGTCCAGATCATGCACTTCTTGCTTGTTCCCGAGACCCGTACCACCGTGATGATGGACCGGATCGCAAAGGATATGCGCGAGAGCGGCGAGAACCCGAACATCTACGGCCCTACCGAGGGCATGTCCTTCCGCGAGCGCTTCCCGCCCCGTGAGCTCATGGCTACCTGGATCCGCCCCTTCCGCATGTTCCTCACCGAGCCCATTGTATTGACCCTGTCTCTGTTGAGTGGCTTCAGTGATGCTCTGATTTTCATGTTTGTGCAGTCCCTGTCGCTGGTGTATGGCCAGTGGGGATTCAACACTTGGGAGAAGGGTTTGGCCTTTATTCCGATCCTGATCGGCTACTTCATTGCCTGGATTTCGTGGTTCCCCGTCATCAAGCGCAACGTGAAGGAACGCCGGGACCATCCTGACAGTGAGCGCGCTCAATATGAGTCTCGTCTGTGGTGGCTGCTGTACACCGTCCCCTGCTTGCCTATCGGTTTGATTGGCTTTGCCTGGACTAGCCTGCCTCAATGCCACTGGATTGGCTCCATGATCTTTGCTGCCATTATTGGTATCGCCAACTATGCGATCTACATGGCAACAATTGACTATATGATTTGTGCTTACGGACCTTACTCTGCCTCCGCGACTGGTGGTAATGGTTGGTCTCGAGACTTTTTGGCTGGTATCCTCACCATTCCCGCTACTCCGTTCTTCGAGAGTAAGTTGTCTCTTCTCCGGTTTCCTGATTCGCTTTGACTAACATGATCTTTCCCTTGCAGACATCGGTGGCAAGTACCACCTCGAATATGCTTCTACTATTCTTTGTATGTCCACTTCCTATTCCAACTCTCCTTGTGAATCATCAGCTGACCAAAAGCTTTAGTCTGTATCTCGTTGCCACTGGTCATCGCCGTCTACGTGATTTACTGGAAGGGTCCTGTCCTGCGCAAGCGCTCCCCCTTCGCTCAGCAGCTCGAGGAGGCCCGCCACGACATGGCCATCCAGGGCCGTCGCGTTTCCAAGGTTCCGGAAGCTTCGCGTGCCAACTCATATGCCCGGTCTCAGCAGGATCTCCGCATCCGGCAAACCATGGGCAGCCGCCCCGGTTCGCGCGTCACCTCCCGCGCCAACTCTCGTGTCAACTCACGCCGCAACAGCTTGGTTGGAGGAGTTTAAACGCCTTTTTCTCAGTCTCGTACTGAGGCTCATACTGATACCAAGGAATATCAGACAATTTCCTGATTCACGTGCACAAAATGTGCCCTCACAAGAATGACCAATGGCCGACGGCAACAGCCAACATTTGGGACTTTCTGCCCTGTGATTTATGGGCAATATCACATCTTCTATTCTCTGTGCATGTCTTTTCAACCGCATGGATCCTTTGCGCTGGGCGTGGTGGACTCTTAATTAATACTGTTGGTTATGGGAGGGGGGGCAAGACTGGAATTGGATTCGGCTCGCAGGCAAGCATCGTCTACGTATGTGTCTGTGTCGCCATTGCTTGGTACCTGTTCGACTCAGTTATTGGCTTGGCTTTTGATTTGCTTGTGCTATTCGCAAAAGTGCGTGTTTGGAGATATTTGTCTGTTGTCTGTTGGTGATGTTATGTACGCTTACTGGCTTTTGTGGCGAACTCGATCGATGCTTGTTACGAATTCTATGGTTTAGCTGATTACCCCCAATGCAGTTGATTGTCCCCCGTGATATTCAATCCCACCTATTTGCTGTAATCTGTAACAGTAGTGAGCGTCTCATACTCCATGCCGTAGCTTGGGCTTCCTTCATGGATCCTTGCAAGGCAACTGAACTGCATTCCTGTCCGATCGACCTCATCCATATATCTACCCCTCGCTTCATCTTCATTAGATAGTCGATCTGATCGACGATCACTGCGGAGATACTCGCGTGGTTCACGATGAGCAGCGGGGGGTCCGGGGGAGGACCCTGCAGGCCATCCATCTTCCAGACGCCCCTTGCTGCTTTCCCACTTTCCCAAAGCGGTAGATCGACGGATTGAGGGGAGATTTCGCTGGGTAGATGGTTAGGTCGTATTTTCTATGTGTCGCTGGGACTCGGATGTGAAGCCTGGTGTTTTCCGTTTTCGGTGATTGACCCCCGAAAGGGAGCTTGAAGCTTAGGGGCTGTATACCCCGCGATGCCCGGGGATCTCCCCTGGTGTTTCTTGCCCAGGTTACATCCAAGTGTGTGTTCCTGGTAGCATAGGATCTTTTGGGCTTATCATGAACTACTGAATGAAAATGAGCTCTATGTGTACTTTTGGGTAAGTTGCCCTGGTTATCGGTAGAACGCATAGGCCATGAACGGGGAAGCCCAGACAGGATTACTTGATTGCATAATCCCACTACTGATTTACTATTTGGCCTATACGATGTAGGGAATCTAAGATCTGATCTCTGACATGTAATGTTCAATCCCCAATATCCAGATCACTCACTTAGAATAGACCTCCCTTGTCCAGAACCACTGTCTGTAGGATCTTTGATAGCTACAGTATGACTCCGATAAGATAGGCCTGGTCCGTGCACCGAAGAGCTCTCCAAACAATCATCCTTCGAATCAGCGACCGCAGTCGAGACATCCTCGGCTTTAACCCACGACAATGAGCAGCTTCCCCGCTTTTCGTCTCTGTGGGAGACTCCTCCAGCCAGCACCTGTCTTTTCAACATCCAGGATATCTCCATTGACCCTTCGTCCGAGGCCATTGAACCAGGAGCGCATGGCGTCTAACAAGGTCGAGCCGCACTTCGCCAAAGGAGAAGATGCGGCGCAGCTAGGCCCGGACATGCAGACCCTCCTGCAACAACAGGGCTGGGCCCTCGACGCCGATGGAATGGGTGTTACGAAGACGTTTTATTTTAAGAGTTACTTTAAAGCAGTGGTGAGTACAGCCATTTCACGTATACCTGCAATAATATGCGCAGTATACTCCGACAACCCGCAGTGGACAGTTTCGAACATATTACCAAGGCTAACTGAATAATTCTGATCAGTCATTCGTCAATCTCATCGCCTCCGAAAGCTCAGTGAAGAAACACCACGCCACCATGACCGTGGTAAGCTTCGAGAAAAGGAGAAGAAGGCGTTCGAGAGGGAAGAAAAAAAAGTAAAAGCTAATACTAATTGGTTCCTAGCGATTCGGCTCCGTCGATGTCCACTGGACGACACATCACCCACGCGGCCTTACCCAGAAGGATATCACGATGGCTCGGCATTGTGATAATGGCGCCGGTTTGATGGGCGCCGTTGAGGCTGGACAGGGTTTGAAATGCGGGCCGGGGCCTTAGTCGGTTTCAATTAGACTATGTATTATCGAGAATTGAATTCAGTCCCTAACTCCCCGTTGATGTGAGATCTCTGATCATTTTCTGACACCAGGGAAGTAAAAGTGGCATGATGTTTTACCGAGAGTGGGAAGTTTTGATACGTTGGAGGTGGAGCGAAACGGTTGAGCTCCACTTAAGAAAAGGGGGGGAAGTGAGAGGGAAGAACTTAACAGTAGTGCATAACCTTGTCCATAAAGATAGCTTAACTTAGCTGTATTTCTTATATTTTCCATTCCAGGTCACCTTTATACGACAGTCATCAATCAATAGCAGGCATGTACATATGCCAGCCAGGGCACGGGCCAACTTTAATCTATGGAGTCAAGTGATTTCCACCTAACTTACATGCTCCTTCGTCTCCATGTCAGCTTATGTGCCTCGCTCTCTTATACCCTATTAGGGCATTGCTGTGAAGCTACTTGCTCCAAATCCTTTAACTCCATGACACTCGTTCCATTCTTTTGTTTCTGTTAGCTAACTGCCTGATCCATATGTTAATTCCATCTGATCTTTCTTCATCGTGCCACAGTATGACCCCGTGAAAGGCCTAAATAGCAGCATATTTCCACCTTAACTAGAAATCAGACCAAATCCCATCAGATTTACCTTTGTACATTCTATTAGATTTCCTTCTTAACCCTTTCGTGAAAGCTTCCCTACGTTCGTGGTATATTCCACATGCCCCGAAGCGTATTATCACCCTTTTTCGCAAGCGATAGTCTCATGCAATAGGTAAGAGCTGTAGAAGTTGAGCTTAGTCGACTTCAAAACAGCAACCAGGAACTTTCATTGGCAGTCATCGAGGCCCTCATTCTACATAAGCCGTAATGAGTTAGACTGGAATCTACATAGTGTAGAGAGATGCGCCCGGCTGAGATTCAGCTCTGGAGTATAACGTAAGCAAGTCGACTGATGGCGCGAAGAGACAACGCTAAATGGCCAATTTGGATAAGTAGTTGATGAACTTCGAGGCCGTGCGAGCTGTGCTCGTAGAAGCCCCCCGCTAGTGTGCCCGCTAGTGCGAGAGCCTCAGAGCGGGCAACTCGCATTTATAGTCGACGTCGAGGTCGCGGCTGCTCGTCCAAAACTATCAACAAATACATTCGTACATTTCATAGTGAAGAATACTGATTCGATACAATAATGGCACCTCAAGTTCCGTCTAATCCAGATGAGGTAATGGTTATCCGAAATGTCACGCCTGATATTGTGACGTTGAGCCTGCCTTTTTCGCCCTTCGGTGGTGTTAAATTTGGTGGCCGTGGGACTCTGGGTATGTATGCGTTTCAAATTTTCTTTTGCCCTATGCTACCCAAAGATGGATATTGAATTCTAGAGCTAAACATTGCCGGTGCGTTGATAGTTCGCCTAGCTACCGGGTCTATCGCAGTCTTCTCTCCCGTTCCGCTTACAAGTCGAGTACACGAGGCAATTACCAACTTGGGCGGCGGGGAAATCAAGTATATTGCAGCATTAAATATTGAACACCACCTAAACCTCACCCAATGGAAAACCGCATTCCCCAGCGCTGCTATCATCGCTCCTGAAGGCCTCTGGGAGAAACGACAAGCCGTCCCAGAGTTCAAAGATACTCCCTTTGGACATATATTCCGCGCCGATGCACCCCCGAAGATATCAGAGGAGTTCGACGATGAAGTCACAGTGGAATATGTCCACAGCCATCAATCCAAGGAACTAGTCTTCTTACACAAGCCTTCCAAGACGGTTATCGAGGCTGATCTAGTTCTAAACTTGCCAGCCACGGAACAATACTCTCGAACGGGCGAAAGTGCCACATCTGGCCTTCTGAACAAACTACTGAAGCCTCTGGCGTCGACGGAAATGTCGGCATTTTGGCAGAAAAAGTTCGTGTGGCATGTTTCCTCTATGTCAGATCGCAAGGGCTTCGGCGACTCGATGAAGCGCATTAAGGCCTGGGAATTTGATCGCATCATTCCCTGCCATGGGGATGTTATCGAGCATGATGCCCATCAAGTGTTCCTGAGTGTTATGGCTCCGTTTATAAATTGATTGTTTACTTCTTCTATTTGGAGATTTCCTCGATGAAGGTTGTCATGCTAAACCTCATTTCTCTTGCTTGGATTAATCATGTGCTATGGGCTATGTCGTGCCCATTTCTGGAGTTGTTAGGAAGCCAAATGGCAATCTCCAGAACAACCTAGGACACGTCCGATACCAGTTGCCCGTTTTAGATGCCAATATGATGCCTTCACTGTCGGGCCCACTATTTATGCCCCATTCCAATCCAGCGATGGAATATCCCACACGAACGAAATCTGCTGTGGCACCTGTCATAGTTTTATAGGGTGGGCGCTAAAAGTGGCCAGTGGCCGAACAAGGGGGAGAGGTACATATTAAGCCGAAGCTTAACCTAAATAGGCACAAATTTGCCTGAAAGTTCAGGTTTCTGGCGGTCGCTGACCTTATGCTTGACTTTTAGGGCTTTTGAAGAATTGGCGAGCTCGAAACTCTTTCTTGGGGGGAATTTTGAACCGATGCAAGAAAAGTGGAAATCTAGGAAATTGTACCCGGTACTTTGTAGTCTGTACAAGAAATGACCAACTTGATGCATCACACTTCCAAGTCGTTGGATTGAAGATCGTCCCCACTGACTAGCGAAGACAAATGAGGATTACCGATTGTACGGGAATCAGACAAAGAACGATGGGCGGGGAAACTCCGTATAGTTCCGTCGAGCCGTTACTGTTAGCCGGGTCTAGCTTATCCTAGCTTGGTATAGCTCGGCATCTTCGGTTGTGATGTTGGGAAGGATTCTAATCTGTTCTGCCTGGAGGTGGTTAGATATGCGATGCAATATGCATCTATTGTAAGAAAACTATGCAATTATTTCAACTCGACTTACTATTCACTAAACGGAAAATTATCCAGGGATTACTGTGAAGGTATACCTATTAGATACTCATTACTCAAGTATCTCATGAGCATACTGTTGATACTGAAGTAATACAGTAGCTTCCTTCCCGCCTGACAGGAGGATCGACACTTCAAGAATAAGACCGTACAACACTCTAGAAGTAATAATTGCATGTATACCACACTTATAATTCAAGAACTAGCTTTTTCTTCTTTTCTTCTGTACGACTCCAGATGTACCCCATAAAGTCAAATAAAAAGTACCAAAAGAAAAGGAAAAAAATCAGGAAATCGAGGGGAAATTACAAGGTTCTGGGCCACTCAGGGGCACCCAACTTTTCCTTAGCGGCCTCATTTTTATGCACGTCGCATCACCTCAGGACTCGACTTTCTTTTTGGTTTTTGGCCCGCTCGAATCCTTTCTTTCTCACACTCTCTCCCCCACTGCCGACCTTTTCGAGTCCAATTCTTATTTTCCGTCACTCTTTTAACCTTCTTTACCTCGAATTACGCCCTACTCCTGCCATTCCTTCACCATCGTGCCATTCTCAATCGTGCATGACGTTGCGAAACGGCCGTGCAGCCGCGCCCACGTTCTTCGCCGATGATCCTTTCCCTCTAAGAAACTCGACCCCGTTCCCCTTTTCCCTATCAATTGCGACTCTTGACGTCGGCAATGGTTTGGTGAATGCCGTCGCCAGTACAGACCATCGTGAGGGTCAACAATGTCCTCCCCTATAATGAGTGACCCGCCGCGGCCATCCCCGTCCTTTGGCGAGCGCAGAGGTCATCAACTGGCCCCATTGCAAACCAATTTTAGCCGACCCACGGCCAATTCGTCCAAAACAACTTCCACGCGATTGCAGCGCCCTCGGCCGACCGATTACCCCAGTACCAATGGCTCCGAGAACCCCGTGCCGCTCCAAAGTCCCGTCAAGCGACAATCGTCCAAGTCGAGCTTGCGCAGTCTTTTTGCCCGCGATAAATCACAACGTGCGGCAGCAGCCCCCGACGCCAAATTGGCCGAGATTGAGGAAAACCAACCGCCAACAAACCCGGAGCCCACGGAGACGACCCAGACAGTGACGGTGGCAGATGCCCCCTTGTCGCCATCAGTGACCAGTCCCCGAACTGTCGTGTCAACCCCGACATTGACCTCTCCGACCACCCCGCGAGCTCGAACAACGTTGAAAACACCGAGGCCGAGACCAGCAGCAACGGATTCCAAGCCAGTTTCACAGGATCAATATGGATGGAAACCGCCCCCGCTTTTCCAGGCATACCCTCAATCTTATAAACATGAATGCCTATCTGCGCCGGCCATGTCTGCGGACGCAATCCTACGTCTCCATGCTACGACGGGGAAGTCAATTGCTGAAGTAGCGCCAGATGAAACTGCCGATGCAGCCCGGAAGAAGCGAGAGCAGAAAGAGCGCAAGCATCTTCGGACATTGTCAGGCACGATCAACAAGGTTGAGTGGACTACAAAGATCTATGTCCTCGCAACGGCGGGCTTTATCCTCCAGTACGCCGGCGAAGGGAAGAATGACCGCCTTCCCGAGTGTATGCTGCAATTGGGTCCTCAGTCGGTAGCGTTTGCCAGTGATGCTATTCCCGGGAAGCATTGGGTGCTTCAGGTATCGCACAAGGCTGCAGCAGAGAACGGGCCAGGGGCTTCCGAACCCGCGAAATCGGGCCGTTTTTCTCGATTCGGGTTTCATCGATCAAACGCAAAGCGGATGGCGAGTAGCTTCCTGTTGGTCTTTGATAGCCCCGATTCTATGATCTCCTGGCTCACGGCCGTTAGGGCTGAGATTGAAGTCCGTGGGGGTCCCAAGTTCACCGCGGAGAAGCACTCTGATGATGACCAGATGCCTCAGCTTCGGAGCAAGTCCAGTGCCCGCAATATTGTGAAGAAAGACCCCCATCGCATCTCCAGCCTGTTCTTGCAGCCGCAGGGTATTCGCTCGCCCGATGAAGAAGACGGTTCATCAGTCGGCGGAATGACCTGGCAGTCTCGACGAAGCTCGTACGTCTCGATGAACCGCCAATCCATAATCGACTCGCGCTCTGGCTCGGTATCCACAGGCTGGACAGAGGCCACAGGACCCAGCAATGGCTCCGACATTCAATCTTCATCATTCACTTCAGTCAATCCTCCCAACTCACCGCCTCAAGATAGCAGCCGTCCCTCTGATGAGGCTCGGTCGAGGGACGTTGATTCAACCAACACCCGTAGCCCGCCCACATCCAGTCACGGAAATGCCAAACGCCAATCTCTTTATATGTCTGCCAAACTGCAAGATTTCCCTGCCGTTCCTCGCTCCGAAGCGATTCCATACAGCCAATCTCCACCACCCAATATACCCGACTCATTAGTACGCAGTGCTTCCCCACCAGCACCAAACTTTAGCGTTCCTTCATTCAGCAAAAAGTTTGTAGCAAGGCCCGGGCCGCCTCCTTTGGCCTCTCCACCTGCGCCTCTAGCTGGTGTTCTCCGACGGGGTGAGAGTATTGGAGACTTTAGCATCTCCAGTATCTCCTCCCCTCCGCAGTCCCCCACATACAGCGTTGCAAGCTCGAAGCAGACCGACTCTCCAGAACCAATACTTATTACACGGGAACCCAACGGCCGACGCATCCTCCGGCCTTCCAACTCCGAGGACGCCTTGTCCAGAACCGTGCGCTCATCACAAAACATGGTCAATCTCTCACGTTTACCGCGTTCTACGCCTTCCGAAACCAGTCCTCCGCCATCTCGCCCACTAAGCATGGTTGGTCGCTCTGGATTAGGAATTCAGATGAACGGCGAGCCACCCGCCCAGAGCTTGCCTCCAGGGGAACCTCTCCCAGTTCTGCGCCCCCGAATGTCCAACATGAACATGGATCAAAACCCGCAGAATATATCCCGCCGCAAGAGCATGCCAGGATTGACCATTGGGCCTCCAGCGGCACCCCCACCAAACTGTCCACTCCCTAAAATACCCTCGCCTATTGCTGCTCAAGCGGCGCCGGTCTGGTCCACGAGCCCTCCTCCCGCTCAACCTCCGATTTGGTCGACAAGCCCTCCTCCCGCTCAACCAGCACCATCCTGGTCGGCGAGTCCTCCTCCTGGCCAACCCTCGCCGGTTTGGTCGACTAGTCCTCCTGCCGATCGGTTCTACCAATCTCAACAAATCCGTGACCATATCCAACAAGACAGACGAAAGAGCGGTCTCCCACCTATCAATCCTGCACCTGCTAATGGCAAGCTATCAAAACAAGCTGCACGACAGTCCAGGATGATCCAATGAAACCCATCATGCACACAAGACAGATACGATACCAAAAATCCCTTTTGACGCCAAAAATTCTCCCGCCATGTCCAGCCGTCTTTCTCATATATTCCGACCACCTACTTACTACTCGACTTCTCATTCGATCTTGTCTTCTTTCTACCAATTATATCCTATAGTCCTCCATCTCCCCCGCTGAGGATCTCTCACTCCTTGATCCTTGATCTCTCTACCTTATCTCGTGACCTGTCTTTTTACCCATATGCATACATCATCTGCATCCAATACCCTGAGCGTCTTTCGCAAGCATATACATACAATCCTGGATCATCTCCCGCCTAAAAGGGCCTTTTCTTTTTCGTTTCTTGTTATTTTATTGTTCTAAAATGACAATACCCGTCTGTTCCATGTATACTGACTGTCAATCTTATTTCTCTTCGCATGATTTGATCAATTTGTCCTCGATTACGGCCCGGAGCCATAAACGACGCTTATGCACTACTACATATAAGCTTCTCCGGATTCATAGATATGCATTTCTATAGCCAATGACAGATATGACCAGCAGAAATCTGATAAGACCCGTGGGGGTGTACCCTGGTCTACCTTTTACTCTAATAGGCCAAGCGCATATTTTACATATCCCGTTCGATCGCACCGCGATCTCATAATAGAGGGATGAAGAATAGACCATATGAGTCCGGGTTTAGTGGACTCTGAAATCCCATGTTTAAGTTTATCCTAGGCCCGTATCACATACCGGCCAACCGAGGCCCCGAAGGAACTCCGGACATGGTTAGCGTTGTAGGTTGTACCAAATTGGAATACGCCCGAAGAAGACCCGTCGGAGCTGGGGCACGCACCGGATCTTCCCGCAAATAGCTTGCAGCTCACTTTCTGGGAGTGAGATCCTGTACTTGCCATTCCAAGTTATTGTCGGCGCATCGAAGAGTTGGATTCAGGCTAGTGCAGTCGGAACTGCCGCTGCCTGACATTTGCAAGTCTCCTACAATATCCCATCGCTAGACTCATAATCTCCGATGTAGGTCCCCGGGCCTCTGGTGTAATTCCCAGCGAATCGATGGCCACGGTAGCTAGGCTGAGGTACACTTGCGTATGGAATTCACGGGAGCATTTCGGGCGATGGAGTTGATTCCCCATGCCCATGGTCTAGGTCCCCGCACTCCGCGTTTTGCAGACCCAGGGGAATGGATGGACAACTGGGGTTAACGGAGTCGCTGCAGGTTCATTCGGTACCTACTTGCAAGGTTGGCGCTATTGAGCTTATTTCCCCGCTGCAATGGTCTTTTCATCTATCGGATTCGGCAGAGGGGAAATGAATTTGGCTTCATCTCGTAGCACATGACTAATCGTCGAGTATTCCCGGTCATCAAAAGATGTATAAATTACTCTTTACTCGCTGCAGGCCCAGCTATCTCGAATCGTGGTTCCATCCCCAGACTCCAAACCCCACGTCCGCCGTTTCAGGCCTTCAAAATGCCTCGTCTAAACCCCATGTTACTTTTCTTTTCTGCCGCCATTATAGGCACAGCCTGGAGTGCTCCCACAAACAAGACTCACTGTGGCAACGATTTGTGCACCTGGTGGCATGACACAGGTGAAATCAACCAAAACACCCCTGTTCAACCTGGAAATGTTCGCCAATCTCATCGATATTCCGTGCATGTTAGCGTTGCTGGCCGTCATGATTTCCTTGATTCCTTCGTCTATGAGTCAATTCCTCGCAATGGCAACGGTAGGATCTTTGCTCCCTCTGATGCACCCAACAGCAACACGCTTGATAGTTCGGTTGATGATGGGATCTCCATTGAGCCTAGTATCGGGCTTAATATGGCATGGACTCAATTTGAGTATGGTCGAGATGTTGATCTCAAGATCACCACGATTGATGGTTCTTCCCTGGGGGCTCCAGAGGATGTTATCATCCGACCTACTTCTATCAAATACTCCATCTCTTCGTCAAAGGACAAAAACGGGGGTATTCTCGTTCGGATTCCCTACGATAAGAACGGACGCAAGTTTTCCATCGAGTTCAAAAATGATCTATACACTTTCCGTTCTGATGGAAATCAATACGTTTCTTCTGGAGGCGACGTTGTGGGCATTGAACCTACCAATGCGCTTGTCATCTTTGCGAGTCCTTTCCTCCCCTCGGACACGATTCCTGCAATGAACTCCGGCAATACTCAGACCATGAAACCTGGCCCGATTAATAATGGAGACTGGGGCTCCAAGCCCATTCTTTATTTTCCTCCTGGCGTCTACTACATGAACGAGAATACGAACGGCGCCTCTAGAAAATTGGGCTCAAATCATATGATCCTCGATCCAACGACCTACTGGGTATACCTCGCTCCTGGCGCGTATGTCAAAGGCGCTATTGAGTACACCACGCATGCATCAAAGTTCTATGCTACAGGACACGGTATTCTTTCGGGGGAGCAGTATGTCTACCAGGCGAATGTAGACAAGGGCTATACCAGCGTGAAGAGCGACCAAACCAGCCTGCGAATGTGGGGGCATAACAGTATCCAGGGCGGCCAGACCTGGTTCTGTCATGGTCCAACTCTCCATGCGCCCCCCTTCAACACCATGGATTTCAATGGTGATGTGAACAGCATCAGCAGCCGGATCACTGATTACAAACAAGTCGGCGCATATTTCTACCAAACTGACGGCCCGGAAATCTATCCTAATAGCGTCGTCAAGGATGTTTTCTGGCATGTCAATGATGACGCTTTGAAGATCTACTATAGCGGGGCTTCAGTTTCCCGTGCAACCATCTGGAAGTGTTTAAATGATCCCATCATCCAGATGGGTTGGACTACTCGGAACATCCATGGTATCACCATCGACACACTGAACGTTATTCACACTCGTTACAGAGATTCCAACACCGTTGTTCCAACAGCTATCATTGGCGCATCTCCTTTCTATATGGGCGGAATGACCCCGGATCCAAATCAGTCGATCGGTCTCACAGTCTCAAACCTGATCTGTGAAGGACTGTGTCCATCGCTAGTCCGAATTACCCCTCTCCAAAGTTATAAGAATCTTGTCGTAGAGAATGCTGCGTTCCCGGATGGCCTGTTGAAGAATTCCATTGGAACCGGCCAGAGTATCATCCCGGCAGTTTCTAGGATGGAGATGGACATGAAGATAACGAATTGGACTGTGGGAGGGGAGAAGGTCACTATGGAGAATTTCCAATCTGACAGTCTTGGCCAACTGAATATTGATGTCAGTTATTGGGGGCAGTGGAGTATTTCTTGATTGTTTGAAGGCTTCTTGCTAAAGATGAATGGAATACACTATTGTCATGTGGATGGATCTTGTATGCTTCCTTTCGTCGACCTACAGCCTCTTCTCCGGTTCTATCAGATCTAGCTGTCGTTCTTTTCTTCTCCCTGCCTTTTACTTCTTCCGCAAATAGAAGCAACTTTTTCTCTTGCTCCTTTGTTTCCCTGCTTCTCCAAGGCATTGAAAATTATCTGTCGTTGGGATGTCGTGGCATTCGTATATACTAATCTCACCACGAAGTATACCCAAAGGATATTTCCAGACTGCCACAGCCCAGTATGACCTACCCCAAACACACTACCGAGCCCGAAATCTACACCTCATGTCTGTGCGACCACCAAAAGGCATGATATAATTTATTCATTCCATAGTATCTCGCTGGAATACATCAATTAGCTCATTTATGGTAAAACTTTTGACGAAAAGAATACTGATACCTGAGATATCTAGTAAGCCCCAAACTATTGTATGATTATTTGATGCCGTCCACACTTGCGACAGATAGCCAGACACACCACTCCCAGCAAGGCGTATTCCACCCGTATCTCGCCTAATGTTCCATTGATGGATAGTCGGTGGTGTGAGGGAAGCCAACGCGCAAATATCGTCAGCAGAAAACCTCGGCTAAGTATAGTCCCGAACTCGAGGGGAAAATGCATTTCTTGGATCCTGGACCCCTCGTCCCATGATGCTCCACTAGTTGCCGGTTTAGGGCATCGCTCATGTCCCGTGATAGTCAGCCACCCCGAAGAAGGTCCGAACCAATAACAACGCAGCACACGGCGAATCCAATCTTGGGAGGTTCTTAGAATCCAGAGTTCCAAAGGGCCTAGAAGTGAAAGGAGGATGGAAAATGGAGACCTCTTGCGGGGAAATATCATCCACAAAGTACTTTCCCCAGATTTCTTCCTCCTTACATCCGCCTTTCTCTGGCAGCCCCGTCCATCCCACCAGGTAGATAAATCGACTAGAGATGCCAGCCTCGACGTCTATCCACCCTAATGCAAATGACTTCCTGCCATTTGTCAGCAATAATCGTCCAATGGCGTGCGATAATTGCCGTCGTCGCAAGGTCAAATGCAATCGCACCGAACCCTGCGAGAAATGCCTCGAGGCCAGCTTGCAATGCAGTTATCACACCGTTCCTCGACGCAAAGGTCCCAAAGGCCGGACGGCTCGAGTTTTGAGTGCGTTGCCGTCTCTTCAAAGCTATGATGAACGCCCCACTTCGTCATCGTCGTCGTCGTCGCCATCAACCACCTCTGTCACCCCTCCGATGGCCTGCGATGTGCCTTCCTTGATGGCTTGCCGGCCGCAGAGGATATCCTCTACAGTTCTTCTCGCCCACGTCAATGTCTTTTTAAAGCACTTGTACCCGATCATGCCAGTCTTCGATTCTAATCAGGTTGTCGAGGACTGTGGCCGCGTGGAGACTCTATCGCCACCGCGATACGCCTTCTTGCTAGCTCTCTGTGCTGCGACACATCTGCAGCTGAATCTAGATGCCAGGCAAGACGATAGCGGGCTCGCACATGCCATTGACCATGGCGAAGTCCTTGTCGCGGAAGCCTTGCGCACACTTCGGGAATTCGATCCCATCGAACATCTCCACGTAGACACTGTCCTCTCATCATTCTTCCTATTTGCCGCATATGGGAACATGGACCAACAGAATCATGCTTGGCACTATCTGAGTCAAAGCATCTCTTATGCGTATGCACTCAATCTCCATCGGGAGCAGACCTATACTTCACTACCCCACGCGGAGGCCGAACTGAGGCGGCGGGTCTTCTGGTTGCTTTTCATTACAGAACGGTAAGCCTAGTCACTATTCCTTTTTCAATATGATCATGTCATGATGGATTCAGAGCATACGCCTTGCAGCGCAAAAAACCTGTCATGCTGCGCGGGAACATCCGTAAACCATCCATCTTCACATCAGCGGCGCCCGCACTGCTCTACGGATTTGTGAATCTCATATCCGTATTCGAAAAGGTGACACCAGAATTCTATTCTTGGAATGCTTGCGACAGTGACGACTCCCCCATTGACACTTTTGCCCTTTCCGAAATCTATCAATCCATCGCTAGTCCCTTGCCACCTTTGACGGAGATCCCTGAAATCCAGCAGGTCGACCTCGTCGTCACTCAACAGTGGCTCCAGATTCGCTTGTGGCAGACTGCCCTTGACCGCGCCTCTAAATCCGGTGAGGTCCTACCTTTACAGGCTCCTGCGGCTGCAGGAAGAGCCGTGATGGGCTTCTTGGCATCAGTATCTCACGAATCAACGGATGCACATGGCATTGGCATCGTAAGAACATTAGCTTCACCCGCATAGAACTATACAGCGAACTAAGAAACTGACATAGGAACAAAAACTGTACGATCTCGGGACCTCTCTGGTGCGTCTTTCTGAACGTTCAGTACAGCACGCTGCTACCGCACAGGTAAGCTACTTGGCGGCCGATTTGCTGTCTGCTATCCTCACTTCTCTGGTGAGGATACGCGGTGCCCAATCATATTTGTTCTCTTCGCTCCTGCAAACGTCCGAGAGTATCTTGGGGTTAGATGCCGTTCCGCCTGTGATGAACCTCGATTTGCCTTTGAATCTGGATTGCAACAGCAGACTTGAGGAATGGGCAACCGCTCTGGTCAACCCTTCTACAGCGGATAAGCGAGAGGAGGCCGCGGACTATATCGATCATCAGGCCTCTGATAGATCCTGTGGTATTTCGCAAGGTGTTTGAGCTGACAACTGGGTGGTATTTTCTTTTGTCTGTTTTCTGGGTTGGTTAGGCGCTTCGCATTCAAATGGGTCAGTCGGTATTGGAGTATGGCAAATATTTTGGCCTATGTTTGGTTTTTTACCGAGAAAAGAATACGAACTCGCGAGTCTCTCTGTTCGATCTATCTATGAGAGGACGTGAGTAAGATTATGGGAATAGCGGCCTTCTACTTAATATTCCTCAAACTGCTAGATACAGAAGTCACAAGGCCATGATAGAAGCAAAAAAAATGAATTGAAATTACTACAATTTACCGGGCGGGCCAAAACTTGTCGCTCGGGGCCGTTGTTAGCGGAAATCTTGGGGCCCTATGGATCAAAGACATTGTAGACTTGCGTTTAAACAGTTTAAGACCATTATCTGGGACTAATAAGGATTTTGTTTGACATGTACTCGTAGAGTCGGAGCTTAAATAACCCAATATTCGTTGCGCCAGCAGCCGTCCTATCAAATGCGACATGCGTAATAGTCGGGTTTAGGACCAACCCGTCTGATACTTCCGAATTTCAAAATCCGAAGCGAATCCGTAGCTCAACGGATCTTATCCTGGCCCGTCAGGAAGCATTTGAATCCCGAATCCTCCGTAGGCGGCCGTCCGGGTGAATAGCCAGCGCCTCGAAAAAGGGTCCGGTGTTGGGAAGCAATGAATATGGCAGCCCATCAGGCAATTGCTCCATCGTAAGAATCACAATCTCAACCTCTACCTGCAATAATTTCCGGGGAAGAAAGCATAATCTTGCAGGAAAGCTTCATCCGAAAGGTTCATGGGGTCTAGGAAGCTTCCCGGGGTTGCCACTCCGAAGAAGGTCCGTTCAGCCACATTCCGGACACTGACCTTGAACCATCCCCGGCTCCTCGCGAATGAATTTGTTCTCCTTTCAGCACCCCGCAAGAAGACCCCGGATTTCCAGCTGTAAACGAGTGCCTTGGCGTCATGATACGACAAAGAGTCAACTTACGCGAAATCGTTCGGCTTGCAAGCTCATGACGGACAGAGCTATAAGTATCGCGCCACGGCTCCCAGAATACGAATAGAGAGCTGGAGATAAAGCGACACACTCGACTATTTACGAAACATCTTCTTCTTTCTTGTCCACTTGCGACCTTCATAGCTATCCTCGCTGGACACAATGGAGTCCAAGTCCGCGACTGATCATGTCGAAGAAATGGACCTGGATCAAATGATCCGCGATGCTCGGCTGGCCACCGAGAAGGAGCATGGCATGTCCCTGTGGCAGGGCCTGAAGCTCTATCCCAAAGCCGTCGGTTGGTCGCTGCTCATATCCACTGCGATCATCATGGAGGGTTACGACGTTGTGCTCATGGGTTCTTTCTATGGCTTTCCTGCGTTCAACCAGAAGTATGGCAAGCTCATGAAGGATGGCTCGTATGGTCTGTCGGCATCCTGGCAGGCCGGCTTAGCCAACGCCATGAACTGCGGACAGATTCTGGGTCTTTTTGCCAATGGTATCGTTTCTGAGCGGTTCGGCTACCGGAAGACGATGATGGTGTCTCTGGTGGCCACTGTCGCTTTCATCTTTGTTCTCTTCTTCGCACATAACGTCCAGACCTTGCTTGTCGGCGAGATCCTCATGGGTATCCCACTCGGTGTTTATCAGACGCTTACCGTTACCTATGCATCTGAGGTGTGTCCCGTCGCACTACGCGCCTATCTCACCACATACGTCAACCTGTGCTGGGTCATTGGCCAATTGATCGCATCAGGTGTGCTAAAAGGCCTCTCCGATCGGACAGACCAGTGGGCCTACCGCATTCCCTTCGCCGTGCAGTGGGTATGGCCCATTCCTATTTTCATCGGCGTCTACCTGGCGCCGGAAAGCCCGTGGTGGCTCGTTCGCAAGGGAAAACTTGCGGAAGCAAAGGAGTCTCTTCGACGATTGACTTCCCGAGGAGATTCTAGCTTTGATGCAGATGAAACTGTTGCCATGATGGTCCACACGAATGAAATTGAGAAGGAGAACTCCTCTGGCACTACCTATTGGGACTGTTTCCGTGGTACCGATCTACGGAGAACTGAGGTTGCCTGTCTCATCTGGGCGGCGCAGAACTTCTGTGGTGCCGGTCTGATGGGCTACTCGACCGTCTTCTATCAACGTGCCGGTCTCGCCGTCTCCCAGTCCTTCAACATGTCTTTGGGTCAGTACGCTATTGGCATCTGTGGCACCGTCTTCTCCTGGGTGCTGATGAGCTACGTCGGCCGTCGTGCCCTCTACGTCAACGGACTGGCCATTCTTTGCGTTCTGCTTTTCGTCATCGGCTTCATTTCAATTCCAAAGGCGTCAACAGCGACTTCTTGGGCCACTGGCTCTATGCTTCTTGTGTATACATTCTTCTACGATTCTTCCGTCGGCCCTGTGTGCTACTCCCTGGTATCGGAGATTCCTAATACGCGACTCCGCATCAAAACCGTCGTGCTGGCCCGGAACTTGTACAACTGCCTGAGCATTCTCAACGGTGTCATCATTCCCTACATGTTAAATGTCGATGCGTGGAATTGGAAGGGCAAAGCGGGCTTTTTCTGGGGTGGATTCTGTCTCTTGTGCGTCGTCTGGGCCTTTTTCCGCCTGCCAGAACCTCGAGGACGGACCTTTGCCGAGTTGGATATCCTCTTCGAAAAGAAGGTGCCGGCTCGGAAGTTCAAATCGACAGAGCTGAACCTGTTCGCTGAAGAGCCTGCGATTGTGAACCAGGAGGTGACAAAGGCAAACTAGATAGTGGTGTAGAGGAGTTTCCTCTCCTCTGCTATATACGAGGTCGCAGGCTCTGTCTGTCTCTCTATATTGGCTGATATTCTCTTCCATCTACTTTCATTATGATGGATATGATTGAGTTGCTTTGTTTTGGTGTACTTGGATAGTTCGGTTGAGCAGATGCCAGGCCATGCGGTCTGGATTGTGGATATGATATGCTGTACTTAGGTATATACATGTAATAGAGAATCTTTCAGAGCAACTCAGTACACTATACAGCTCCAATAGTCTTCTCAGAAATACCCGTTTCACTTTAGAATATGTTACTTTAGAGGCCTGTATGTAAGAAGAGTAAGTGGCCAGTAGCCCTGAGAATTCCCAACTCGATACTACACCCCCTTACTCAGTTTAAGCGTAGTAATGGTGGTACTATCCCCCTATCGTGATTCCATGTATTTAAAACACTCACAAATTTCAGAACTTAACAGCGCACGACAGGAGTGGAACGATAGACCGCAGAAACAATATCTCTGCCATCAAGAATGAAGATTCGAAAGTAATTTAGAAAGATCTTTCAAATGAGAGTGATCAAAGTATGTCTAGTTCCAAGTCTGTTTCTCTGGCTTCTAGATTCTGACTTTTGAACTACCACAATGATATCCCAAGTAGAAGGTAATAGGTACCACTACTATGCTAAACCCGAATAGGGTGTATCGTCGCTTTAGCAATTCCCAGTAGCACTGCGTTCCCACCTGGTCTCGTGCGTTCGGCTAAATTCAATTCAACGGCCTAAAAAAAGTAGTCAAAATGCTACTACCTACCAACAAATAGATCGATGGGGACACGGTCCTGCCTCCGTCTAGCTTCCAAAGAGTACCTAGCGTCACCGGAGGAGTACAGTTGAGGTACGTGCGCCACATCCCACATCACCCCCACTCGACATGAGTGACTCCGAAGTAGCTCCGATGGGATACCACGCATCCGTGGAGATGGAAACGAGACCCCTCCTGTAATCCATAGACACGTCTTGAAATTCTCCGAAGTATGACAGAGCAATGGTCAGTCCAGGAACAAATACTTCCGTCCTTTTCTCCGCCATGCACAACATATTTATAGATATGGAAGCTACCTTGTCGTCTCTGGACTAAAACATTCCTCATCTGTTACCTCCCAGAGTCCGGTAACTTTTCGCATTCAATTCTTACATCTACCTAAGCATCCTATCTCCCGCATTCATTATGGGTTCGATCAGCACTGAAACGCCTCGTGCGTGGTGGAAAGAGTCCTCGGTATACCAGATTTACACCCCCTCCTTCAAGGACTCGAATGGCGACGGCATTGGTGATCTCCGCGGGGTAATCGACAAATTAGACTACATTCAAAACCTTGGAGTGGATATAGTCTGGCTGAACCCGGTCTTCAAGTCACCACAGGTGGATATGGGATACGATATCTCGGACTACGTGGACATTCATCCTCCGTACGGGACCGCTGCGGATGTGGACGAATTGACCGAGGCTCTCCACCAGCGGGGAATGAGGCTGGTTATGGACTTGGTCGTCAATCATACTTCGGACCAGGTGCGTGTTTCCTCCAATCTGAAACACATTGCATTTTAGGTAGCTCATGCCTGCGTCCTGCAACTTACAGCACCCCTGGTTCCAAGAATCACGGTCATCCCCAACAAACGAATATCGAGACTGGTATATCTGGAAAAAGCCCAAGTTCGGCAAAGATGGCCAACGGCAGCCACCAAACAATTGGGTATCTTATTTTGGAGGTGTGCCAGAGTTCCTATTAAATTACAGAGGTGTAACCCGACTGACACATAATAACAGGGAGCGCGTGGGAATACGATGCAGCATCGGGGGAGTATTACCTCCATCTATTCGCCAAGGAGCAACCAGATCTCAACTGGGAAACTCCTGCGGTGCGGGCAGCTGTCGAGAAGATCATGCGATATTGGCTCGACAAAGGGATTGACGGCTTCCGCATGGACGTGATCAATTTCATCAGCAAGGACTTGGACTTCCCCGATGCCGCAATCACCAATCCAGACTCGGTATGGCAGAACGGTGCTCAATATTACGCCTGTGGTCCGCGTCTGCATGAATATCTTCAGGACATTGGCAAGATTCTGAAGGAGTACGATGCCTTTTCAGTTGGGGAGATGCCCGAAGTCAACGATAGTGACGAGATTCTCAAGGCCGTCGGCTTTGACCGAGGGGAGTTGAGTATGATCTTCCACTTTGAACTGTACGTATTGCTATCCCTTCACTCCAAATTTTCTGTCGATCTGTCGAAAGCTAACCAGAGATGTCCAGCATGGGCCTCGACCACGGCGCTGGAGGGAAATTCACGCCCCGAGAATGGAAAGTGTCTGAACTGAAATCAATTGTCTCCAAATGGCAGACGGTCATGCATGAGAATAACGGTTGGAATGCCCTCTACCTCGAGAATCATGACCAGCCGCGAACGGTATCTCGATTTGCGGTTGATCACCCCCAGTATCGGGCCTTGTCGGCCAAGTTGCTGGCAACATTTTTGGGCTTCCAGAGCGGCACGGTTTTCATCTATCAGGGCCAAGAACTCGGCATGGCCAATGTTCCCCATGATTGGACTATCGATCGATACCGAGATATTGAAACGCTGAATCATTGGGAAGAGTAAGCAAGCCAGGCCACTCTCATCTCTCTCGATTTGGTACCATTGAGATCTAACATCATCACCTTGACAGGCTCCAACTGACCAAGCAAGACCAAAGCGCTTTGCATGCGGCCACACTGGCAGAATACCGGAGTAAATCCAGAGACAACGCTCGCACACCCATCCAGTGGGATGACTCCACGAATGCCGGCTTCTCCACGGGTGTACCCTGGATCCCAGTCCATGAAGACTATCCAGCATGGAATGCCGCTGCCCAGCTGGCCGAGCAAGGGAGTGTATACCACTATTGGGCACGCGTACTGCAACTGCGCAAGCAGTACCCGGATATTTTTGTGTACGGGTCGTTTGAGCTCGTCTCTTCTGACGATTCAGAAATCTTTGCATATGCCCGGCATTCGTCGGCCGGCACGGCGCTGGTTGTCTTGAACTTTGAGCCTAAAGAGGTCTCCTGGACTATGCCGCAGAACCTATTCGCTGGACGGGGCGCTGAGGTCGTGTTGTCTAATTATTCTCGCGGGAAGATCTCCACTGTTGCAGGGGAGAGAATCACGCTGGCGCCGTTGGAAGCCTTTGTCTTGCTGAGTGCAACTCCGTTCGTGAGACTGTAGCGCTGAGTCCAGATCGTATACGATAGGCATATGAGTGAGCATTTTCGCGCGTTGTCTTTGGATTGTTGTGCGAATAGCCCTAGGTTATCTAGAGTGGCAATATGAAGTTTCTAGATCCGAATGTCTTTTCTGCTATTTGTATTGACAAACCTGAAACTCCTGGCCCAAAATCAGGACTTGTTTCGTAAGATTGATACTAGAATGGAATGGCGCTTTTGATATTTCAAATGATTCCCATTTTGGCGGCCCCCGATAAAAATAAGCATCAAACGCCGGAATAGGCATCTCATGATTGGAATAACAAAGGTCATGTAAGATGGTCCCCAAAGCCCCCGCTTCTCAGATATGAATGCCGGATGACCTTGATGGCCCTCCTGGCTACATGGAAAAAATGGACCCAAAAGAAAACGAAAAAAACTATCACTCTTCCACTTCTTCCACTCGAGCGGTCAGGTCCCGCTTCACAGGGGTCGAGCTGGGTGCGGATGCGGGCTCCGCAGAGGTTGTGGTTGCAGATGGGGTGGCGTCTTGGATTGTGTTGGCGGGGGCAGCAGTCTTGGACTTCTTGCCCTTCTTCTTCTTGCTCTAAAAGTTGAATGTCAGTATGAATAAACACGTTAGAGGGAGGTCTGCGGATGCTTACCTCCTGCCAACCCCACAAAGGCTTGAAACTGTCAAAGAACCCGACATCCTCGAACAAGTTGGGGAACAACCACAGACCAGGAGGAACAGTGAAAACGGTGATGCAGAACAGGATCAGACGGAAGATGGACATGGCAAAGAAGAGACCGAGCAGTCCCATCATGCCAACACTGAGATACCACACACCCTGGCGCAACATGACGGGCCACAGAGGGAACAGGACAACGGCGAAAATACCAGCCACGACTGCAGCAGCCATGGCCTTCTGCTTCCACTGAGGACCCTCGTACAGCCAGACGTAGTGCATCATGGGATCAGTCTCTTGGTGCTGTTCAATCTTGACGGTCCACAGTCCCTTTGTTCGGTTCTTTGGCTTGGCGTGGTTGTGTCCTTCGTGCGGGTCGACCTTGCTCACGCGCAGAGCCAACAAAGAGAGGGGCAGGAGCTTGAAGATATTCTCGGCGGAAGCGCGGTCGGTCACAGGTGGGAGGAGGGAGTTCTTCTTCGCGGCGGCTTTGGCGTAGGCGGGGGACTCGATAGCGCGTATAGCTCGCTTAACTGTAGACATCATCGTGTTAGAAGGGCGATCTTCTTTGAAAGTGGGCTGTGTCATGTTTGTCACTCACCCTTGAACATATCCTTGCGCTGACCATCCAGAATGCAAGTCCGTGGCTTCAGGTTCTGTGATCGCAGGAAGTTGGCTACAGCCAGTGCCTTAGGATCAGCTGGCTGTCCCGGCTGGACAGGAACTTGATGCGTCTGCTGTTGTGGTTGAGGCTGCTGCTGAGCTTGTGGCTGGCCTGGCTGGCCTGGTTGTTGCTGCTGTTGCGGTTGCTGTGCCTGTCCGGGCTGTGGTGAGCCCTGAGCCTGGCGCTGGGCCTCCATTTGCTGTTGGTGCGCCTGCATTGCCCGCATCCGCAACTGCGCAACATATTGCTCAGGGGTCAATCCAAGCTTGGCAGCATCAGCCGTCAGCTGCTCACGCTGCTTCTGTGCGAACTGCTCCGGAGTCAAGCCGCGCTTTGCGGCCTCGGCTGCGAACTGTTGTTGCATGGCAGCCATCTGCGCCATCTGCTGGGGACTGGGTTGACCAGGTTGCGCCATAGTGAAGGCGGGGATGGCGGTGAGGGGAAAATGACGATCTTCAATGAGAAGTGAGAGAAATGGAAGAAAAGAAGGAAAGGAGGGCGAGTTGGGCGGTTGCTGTTTCTGGGGGGAGAAATTCAGCAAGTCCAGGGTCTGAACGAGCGAAGTGGCCAGATCGACTCAGGTGATCTGCACCGTGCAGCTTATCCGCTCCGCCCGCAGAACCCCCAACCCTCTTAACCACCCCCAAACTAGGGCAACTAGCACTTGCAACACTTTGCATGGAGTTCACCATGCTCTAAACTTCTCCATGTCGGTCTCCTATGATGCTGAGAATGCCATTGGTGATCCGACATGGGTAGCACTGCTCCTGGTGAGTCTACATTATACTGTTCTAGTGCGTCGCGTGGACTGACATCATTCCAGAGTGAACGCGACGTAGCCGGTCAAATTCCGATCAATTTCGTTACCAACCCTGCCGTCTCACTCTCATCAGCCTGCTTTGGCAATGGCTTATATGCTCGAAAGGATGCCGCCAAGTGCCTTGCAAATCTCCTTGCCGTCGGTTATAGACGACTGGTTGTAGACCTATACTGGTCGGTGGAACGTCGGACTTGGACCTTTTGTCCTGTAGAGATTCCTGCCAGAGTCGACGTGACAGTATCAACTTTTACCTCTACCACAACCGAAGCCTCGACCACTTCCACTATTACAACTCAAACTGCTACGACAACTTCGGATGCAGGCACCCCGACCGTCACTGGGTACACTGATTCCTTTGGAGACACTGTCTATGAGCTGGGCCCTTATAGATGTACCAATGACCTTGATCTATATTCACTTTCAGAGGTACTTGTCGGATACTTTGAAGCGACAACATCTCAACTTCTTGTCTATACAACCTATTTGGTCCTCAATCTTCATGTCGCTGGTAGCGATGCTGAACCGTCAAAGCCAGCCAAAATGATAACGGGCAAGGATCTACCTTCGTCAGAGACGGAACGAGCGGGCTCATTTCTTCATGATGCTCTCCGGGAATATCTTTACACCCCGACTCAGCTTACCAAGGACCGAAGCAATTTGAACGAATCGTGGTATCAAGTTGATGAAAGCTACATGCCGATCGTGGAATACTTTACAATTCACAAGGATGAAGCAGGCATGCATAGTACTCCGGATGGATGGCCGTCCGCAAAATATGTCCAGCTTGCGAAAGCCGATCGAATTATCATCGAGTACGGATCAGTGGATCCGCAGCTTGCGGCTCACGACTTTGGTCGAGATGAAGATGCCATCTTCCCACCTGGCTATTTGACATCTCCTGTGAACACTACTGCCACTCCAAACGGAACCCTAACCTCGGGCTGTCTATATAAGGCGGATGCCACAGATGTCTCCCAGGTGAACTCGTCCTGGGCTCTTGCTAGTTCAATCCCCGTTCCAAAAGGGTTATCTACAGACGACACTATGGGATCATTAACCAATGTGATCTCTGGGAGTACAGGATGTGGGATGTCCCCAATGCTTAACACGACCCTCTTCGATGAAACTGCCGACGCCAACATCGAGCATTATCGGAACGTCTCCTTATTGACAGGATGGGCCTGGGCAATAGGTGAGCCACAGGGTGCAAGTACAGGGGGTGGTACAGCGGATACGCCCAGTTTTGACCGTTGTGCTATCATGGACCTCTCATCGGAGGGTCGCTGGCGTGCCACCAATTGTTCCGAAACGCGGCGAGGCGCCTGCCGTCTCGGCAATTCACCTTTTTCATGGGTCTTATCCAATGCCACAGCCGAGTATTCAAACGTCTCGGCCACATGTCCTCTTGGGTCCAATTTCGCCATACCACGAACTGGCTTGGAGAATACTTACCTCTACAAGTACCTTCTGACCCAGCCCGAGGCAATGATCAACCCTGCCTCCACCGATGCTAGCCTGCGCGAGATCTATATCGACTTCAACTCCATCGATGTCACATCTTGCTGGGTCACAGGCGGACCCCAGGCTAAATGTCCCTACGGGTCTGATCCACAGCAGCTAGAGCGCAGAACTGTCCTTGTCGCTGCTATAGCTGGGATTGTCATCTTGATCATTACTGCTTTGACTCTGTTTGTCAAGTGCAATGCCAACAGGCGGAACTCTCGTCGGCGAAAGCGTGTTATTGAGGGCTGGGAATACGAAGGTGTGCCCTCGTAATGTGACAGATTTTCTGTTTCGTATCCATGTCTCATTATTGGTTTGGATCTTATGATACCCTCTTGGTCCGGTTTGGTTTTGTTTCGAGGTCGATGGATGGTGCTGTTCTGGAATAGACTTGTATGAAACCTTCGTACAGTGGCGCCCGTTATTGGCTCCCTTACCGCGTGTGATCGGGTCATGGATTACGTTATTGATAACTTAAGGATCATGGTCCCCAACATACCAACTTACCAAGGCCAGTCGACAGACCGTAGGGTCTTGCGGGGCCTTTTCAATCTTATCTGAACGCGCTTATCTACAGCCGCGCTTATCGTACCGAAGCGCTGCTTCTTGAGTGACGAGATAACGCGTGATAAAGTGTATGTTACTATCATTGTCAAATATGCTACCTAAAATATCCGTACACCAGAAATAAATCATATCCAGAAATGTTCGTTCCATCAATATGTCAAATGGGCCCCCTGGACCCCGAAACAAGAAATCAAATGAAATAAATCGTTACATGCCGGGCATAAGAAAACCTTGTTATCGCAAAACTCCGTACCCAAAGAAACAAGAAAAATCCGAGGTATCTTTTCCTACATCACCTGCCCGTATATGATGAATCACAGTCCTGCAAATCGTGCCCATCCAGCAGCCCGAGCTGGTGTTGGCTTCTGGCTTGGGGGCGAACTTGGGATTTCAGCCTCATCAACAACGTTCAAGCTGCGACCTTCCTCGGCCACTTTACCGCTTACATCGCGGCGACGTCCAACACCCAATCCGGCAATGTAGCTTCCATAGGAGGACAGAGAGGCACCAACACCACTAACGAGGCCAGATCGAGCAGTGTCAGCACCGGAGTTGCTGACAACACGACCCTTCCGGTCTCCTTCAGTTACACTCCGGGAGTTGACATAACCCTCATCACCACTGTCATCCTTCTTTAGGGATTGGTAGGCGGACATTTTCTTGTTGCGTTTCTTGGACAGCTTCGTTGGCTTGCGAGTCAAGTCATCTTGACCACTGGCGTGCCGTGACGTGTCCAGACCAGGCTTGCCCTCTTCCTCTAGATTACCATAGTACCGGGTCTTTGACGATGGGGAGTCGAGTGATTCATAAGTACCAATGACCTGAGCTTGCTGGTTGGAGATGTTGAGGTTGTCACCCAGGACGCTTCGTCGAATGGGATCGGTGTCTTTGGCCTTCTCCGTGAGGATTGGCTGGGGGGTCGGGGGGTTGAGCATCAGAGGATTGAAGGGAAGACCGTGAGAACGCTCATCATCATGATCGTGATCGTGCTCTTCGGGGTCAGGGAAAATATTAAAGCGTCGGTCACCGAGGTCCTGTTCGGGCTTTTCTTCGTCGTTTCCATAATGCTCGTGCATTGCTAGCGATGCATACTCTCCGCGGGTATCCTCAGGGATAACGCTTCCAATACTCGCAGGCTTCTGTCCATATGCGAACCAGTCTCGGAAACCATTCCCACCTTGCGAGGTGGTTGTAGAGATGGTGCGGCGACTGTAGGCGGATGATGATTGACGAATATTGGCTTCGTTTTCATTGTTGGCTTCGCTGACTGGGGATGGATCGCGGTCGGGATATGCAACCCAATTGCCAGACAAGGGGCTGACCGAGTCCAACCTATCCGCAGTGAGAGATGCCAGGTGGGTGTGGGTAGCAGAATCCACGACTTCGGGTGAACGGGCAGGCACATTGCGGTATCCCGGAGCAGGGGCTTCTGAGGTCATATCATAGGGCTGGCTAGCAGGATGCTGGAACAACATCTCGGGGCTTGATGGCTCCAAATGAGATAGCCGGTGTGGGGGCACAGATACTACAGATTGACGCTTCACGTTCATCATATCAACTGATCCACGGTTAGAATCACTGGCCAAAGATTGACCACGCGTATGCATAAACGGCATAGAGCGAGGAGGACCAATGAGCGGGTCTTCGAGACTCGAGTGTAGAGTGGATGAGCTTAGATGCTTCTCATCCACATCGAGTTCCTTGCGACTCTTGCGAGGACGAGCGGTCAAGTTATCTTCCAGCGGGTTCATATCTGGAGGTAGATGAGAGATCTTGCGGAACATGACGGCCAAGAAGATCGACAATGCGAGCGAAACAAGGTGCAGGCCGCCATTGGCGAGAGCACAGATAAAAGTAGCTTCGGCCACCTGAACGGTCACGGCATCATTGTCGAATAGAGTGCCCCATTTGTAGACATCGGTGGTGTATTCTCCATGAGCCATGAAGGCGGTAAACACGTAGAACGGAATGAGTCCCGCATCCAGAGTGGAGGCGAACAAGCCATAGCTAGCTTGTGAAGCGGGGGGTCGGTTCACTGGAGAGCGACAGAGATGGTAAATGGCATAGAGAGTATGAAGAATTGCGACAATAGGCTAGAAATCAATTAGCGGTCAAGACTAGACGTGTCGGGCCTAATACTGCTTACACCAGCCCGAATGATCCAGATGACGGTAGTCGCAACGTTGTTGATCACAATCGAGCAGAACAGAGATCCAAGTGCGCCCAAAAGAGCGAAGACTCGCAACACCAACTGTATTTGTCGCGCAACGGTGACTTTAGTCTTTGTATTGGGACTCATTGGCGTCCATGTTGACTTCGAGTCGAGACCGCCCCACTGTAACTATTGTTAGTAACAATCGATATTGTATCCGTGGTACTATAAGTGACACATACTGAGTCGGGGTGTCGGTTGATATTCACCAACGGGCCCTTTTGCGTGAGCCTTGGTGGTGGACGAGTTCGACTCGCTTGCGTCACGGCCTTGGGGTTGAAGCTTGGATCGGTCGGGCCATAGAAACTGTAGGTGGTCGGACGATCGTAAATGAATGGAGGCTCCGATCTGCCCATGGTAGCGACTGAAGGCTTCCGTGAAAGCCACGCAACACGTGGGGATCAGGAAGCGGGAATCTAGAATGGAAGGGAATGTGGATGAGGAATGGAGGAGTTGGAATGCGATCTGACAGGGACGACAAGCTGAGCGCATGCGGAGAGGCCGGCGATCAACAGGATAGTTGGCCCGGCAACTTCGATAAGGTGATAAGGTCACGTGTGGACGCGCCATCTGATAAGCCATTCCCGATAAGCTTCTCTTTCCCGCGGGTTGACGCTGACTCCGATTCTCCGGAGCTCCGAAACATCAAAAGACTTTCGGGGTGATTCACTCGTCTCTGCTTTGTTCATACAATGCTCGAGCGGGCCTTTGTCTGTGCCCAATGTACAACACAATTGGGCCGTTCCTCGATATTGAGGTCTAATCTAAAGCCGGTGGTGTCATACTCGGTGCGCCGACTGAGCAGTCATGCCGCTCAAGTTGAGCGACCAGCACGCATCGCGATTGTGGGCTCCGGTCCTGCAGGATTCTATGCAGCGTCGCGTCTACTGAGCAAACATCAAGATGCAGTTGTGGACATGTATGAGAAGCTACCAGTACCATTTGGATTGGCTCGATATGGTGTGGCCCCGGATCATCCCGAAGTAAAGGTGCGTGCTCAGCAGCAATCATATACAAGTGCCATTGGACTATCTCAGTATGTATCTATAGTATGATCATCGCGGCTGACATCTTTAAAGAATTGCGAAGATAAATTCACCGAGGTCGCAACCTCTCCCCGCTTCAACTTTGTAGGCAATATCGACCTCGGCAACGGCCTGCCACTCACCGCACTCAAGCCTCATTACGATGCCATCCTATTCGCATATGGAGCGTCCAAAGATAAAGAACTAGGAATACCCGGAGAAAAGGCTCTCCGTAGTGTATACTCAGCTCGCGCCTTTGTTGGGTGGTACAATGGTCTGCCCGAGCATCGGGATCTCCAACCCGACCTGACCGGTGGTGAAGATGCGGTGATCGTTGGCCAGGGTAACGTGGCACTCGATGTCGCTAGGATTCTACTTTCGGATGTGGATACCCTTCGGAGTACTGACATTGCCGACTATGCGGTGGAGGCGCTCTCTAAGAGCCGAATTAAGCGTGTGCGAGTCGTTGGTCGCCGAGGACCGTTGCAGGTATATACTCCCGTCCCCACACGAACACAGCATTCAAGATCTAGCGTATCTAATTTACTGGTAGGCATCTTTCACAATTAAAGAAATTCGAGAGCTTCTTCAGCTTCCGTCTGTGTCCTTCGACCCCATCCCACAGGACGTGTTCCCTCCCGACGAAGTCATCAACGGGCTACCCCGAGCACAGAAGCGACTGATGCAGCTTCTTGCCAAGGGCTCTGCCAATGATCCCCAGACATCGACCAAATCATGGTCCTTGGACTTCCTTCTCTCTCCCGACTCCCTGCACTGGTCACCCATGCACCCATACCGCCTCATGCATACCAAATTCTCCCGCAATGAACTCGACCCTGCGGATCGTTACAGCCCCAGCTCGAAAGTGAAGCCAAAGCACCTATCTAGTGGCAAGCGCGCTATGGTCAACTTGCCTTCTAGCGTCTTCTTCCGTAGTGTCGGCTATAAGTCGCTTCCTCTGCCTGGCATGGAGGACCTGGGGATTGAATTCGATTCTCAGCGTGGTATCATTCCCAATGACGGATTCGGTCGGGTCACGAGCCCGTCAGGTCTGGGTAAATCCCAAGAGTTGCCTGACGGCTCATTGATCAGCTATCTACCCGGTCTATATTGCGCTGGTTGGGTCAAGCGTGGCCCGACCGGTGTTATTGCCTCTACCATGGTCGACGCATTCACCACTGCGGATACCGTGCTGAAAGATCTGTCTACCAAGGAAGACCCCCAATCACTACTACAGACCTCCGAGCAGAGCAGTGGTCTTGGTTGGGATGGAGTCAAGGCCGAGGCTGCCAGCCTTGGCCTACGCACAACTTCTTGGCAAGACTGGCAACGTATTGATGCAGCTGAACGTGAGCGCGGCCGACAAAAGGGAAAAATCCGCGATAAGCTTGGACGCGTTGAAGAGATGCTCGAAGTAATTGGATAGACGCTTAACGCTTTGTATAGTATTGGACAATCTAAAGCAAAATGTATTTGACAAATCCCACTCAACTTAGACCTCATTCATCTTATCCACCACTGCCCCAAACTGATTCCATCCCTGCTATCATATATCATGCAAAATGTAGGTTATAGTCCCGTTCCCAACGCTTACGCGCACTGCGAGATATCAACCTCGGTGTAGGTAGCCTGGACACGACCGAGCTGCTCAGCCTGACCATTGGTGAGGTCGTTCATGGCCCGGAGGCCAATGTTGAAACCCCCAGGAGCGGTGTCGATCCCCAGAACGGTGATGGTCTTATCGACTCCATTGCCAGAGAAGTGCAGCTGGTAGCACTTGCCACAGTTAGGGCTACCGGTGCCCGAGACGGCGAGAGCACCGCCGATGTGAGGGAAACCTGGCAGCGAGCCGAATGTGGGATACTTTTGGTTGAGAACACTGCCGCAGGCAACTGTGTTCGTAGATGAGCCGGCAACATCGTACACTGGGTCGTAGGAAACTGAGACCGAGACTGCCTCTGCTGCGGGTGCTGGGACAGCGGCGGCGAGATTGAGGCTGGCCAGGATGGCGGAGGAGATGGCGATGAAGGACTTCATTGTGAATGGAATGATAGTTATGTAGTAACGATTAATCGATGTTGATCATATATCTTTAGAATGAGTTGGCAATGAGAGATGATTGAATTGCTTCTTGATCTATACCTCTGTACTGCCATCTCCCGATACGTTTATATATCTTCACAACCAAGGCATCAGGCAACCCAGGCGTGCTACTATCTCAGGTACTATGGCAAACACAACTGCATCCGGTGCAAGTCTTAGACATAAAGCGGATACCAAATCATCATCTGGTGACCAGGTCGAAATAGTTGAGGCCGAGGAGAGAAAGCAGGCATCTTGGAATCGGACAGGCCTCCCGCGCGGGGCGGGGAGAATGCGGGCACTGGAGGAGAAACTGAGACATGAGAACACAAACTCTTGGCTAGGGAGGGGATATAGTGTGGCGGAGGTCGATCATCTGCACAATCGACCGATCCATCTGCATCAACACGAAGTTGGACATCCCATGTGTCGACTGATTCTCATGTCACCATATTACTTGGATGCCCACCTGACCTCGAGGTTACATTCAGTATGCGGACGCACTGGGAATGTCGGGCCTTGCCTAAGGCGGCCGTATTTAGAAGGTTGAGTCATAGCTAGATATAGTTAGAACATTTACAAATTGAATAGAAGTAGGGAAAAAGAAAGAGAGACTAAAGTGAGACCAGAAAAGGAAGACTAATTAGGCCGGAGATCAAAGAGCAAAAAAAGAAGCGTCCCCGGGAAGGCTCGAACTTCCAACCTCCTGATTAACAGTCAGACGCGCTAGCCGATTGCGCCACGGAGACTTGCTTGTTGAATACGATTACAAGATATGAATTAGATCGCTGCTACACTATTGTCGAACTCGAATGGCTTTCTCATCTCAACTCTGACGGTCATCTCATCTGATCTTACATTAACTCATCTCTGCTTCTACATACATACACTTAATACTATTGGTCTCGAATATAGACAAGAATTCCTTTAAAAAGACGAAAATCTAACTCGCTAGCTTTCAATCGACCTCCTGATCATCTTCCCACTACCCTGACAGGCTGACAGGCTGACAGGACAATTTCAAGGAGTAAGTCCAACCGGTAGTCTACTACTCCGTATACCCACCACTTTACCGCCGCCTTATCTTAAAGCCCTCTATCCATTAGATTTGAAATCCTCCTAATACCAAAAGCCTATTCTCCACCCTTAATCATGAACACGTGGAGGTGAAAGGTTTCATGGGATCAAGCCGATTTCACAATTTTCACCAGGTCCACTTGAACGATCTGTTTACACTTTGCAGTCAACAACGTCCACGAACTTTATCTACCACTCCAGCTACTCTACGGAGTATAAGACCACAAATTAGGGGCCAAAGCGTGGATAAACATATGAAATGCCCCTCTTAATCCACGTGAGAAACTTTATATAAGGCAGACCACATGGTTGCAGAAGCTCTATCTTCCTCGAGATAGTAGAATAGGGGGTTGGTATCAAGGTACCACAGACAGATTAGCAAATGAACTTTAAAAATTAGAGTGAAATAGTAGCACCAGAAGATGCAAGTAAGACTTTTAATAAAGGCGTCAGTCTACCACCAGGCATTCAGGCATTGGAGTGTTGAAGTGACATGCATTATTCTGTACGATTTTCAAACCTTTCAGTGATTCGGAGAATTTTCTCTCCTATTTCAATCCGTGGCGCCCTCGAAGAAATAGCAAACTTCCGGACATCCCCCTTCTCCTATCCCCGTGGCTTGAGCTGACATTTGGTCAGTGTCTCGGTAGTTACATAAACGATGGCTTGAGAGAAACATGGGACCGGTAGACACTATCACCACACCTACGTGCGCCTTCAGTTTGACTGCCGTATCGTATAGGAATGTACGAGACTTGCACATTCCCAAGCCGGTGAATTGAAGCCAATCTGGGATGCTACTGTTGTTTATTTGTGGGGGCACGCCTCGCTGGGTCAAAGTTTCGGAGGCCTCTATGAGAGTTTTCGGTGGAGTCTCGAAGGACCCCCTCTCTTCGGTTATTTTCGTGTGTACGATTGTGGTTTTTGGGATTATTTTCAGATATTATCATAAATGAATATGAAATATAACACCGAGTATTCCGTACAATCGATGATTGCTTGTGTTGAATGACACAGCGGCCTTGTTTTGGAAGCATAGTCTGCCAGAAAGGATCGTGTGTGGGGTACTTTATATGAATCTACGTTGGTAATTCTAGAACACCCCTGTCAGATGGCATCCCGTTCGCACTTTCAATCTTCTAGTGGTATCAGTAGTAGCTGTCTGTCTTGAAATTCAACGATGGCTATACTAGGGCCGAGTTTATTCAATTCCCTCGGTGGTAAACGAGGTACATCCTTCCACCCGGTGAGGGCTATGCTTAACGGTGTACTTTGTACTTTTGATCCACACTCTGGATCATCAGCTAGAAAGCCACTAGTTCCTTCGGAGAAGGATCATGGCCGGCTTGAAGGGGTCAAAGCACACAAAAGAGGGGGCATGAAACAAGAAAGGAGCATTGCAAAACAGCTTATACTGGGTATGTACTCCATAGTAAACACAATATTTAGCCCGGGTATATGGCTATTGGAAGTAATATAGACCACACGGCACACTTTAAACTTCAGGATTTGGGTTATCATGTGCTTATTGTGCTTCCAACGATCCCTGCATCTCACTACACCCTGCCCCGGACCGTCATTCGCTGCCCCCACGAAGGCTCGTGATTAACTAACAAGCCATTATTGATTTTGGCACTCGATCGTAAACAAAGGACCTGGTGCAAATCGAATCTCTTGTTCCCGTCTTTCCCCCCCGATCGTGGGTCAATACGAGAGAAATCCACTATGATGGCTGGACGATGGCGTCGCCTTTGCCCAACGCGGTTCGGTGGAGTGACACGAGCGCTTGATTTCGGGCCGTCGAATCTTAAATTGAGTGTTCCGACACAAGATCGACGCCGCATTTTTCGGAACAAATTACCACCATACCCTATCGCGCTTGAACGGTGGAGATGTGGAGATAGGGCTCGGCAGAAGTTCCCCTTCGACGCTGCGAACCATAGACAGCCGCGAGCCTCTCTCCACTTTTGACTCTGCCACGCTTCTCCACATTCCATCACCTGCCGCACTATACAGCTGTTATGACAGTAGCAAAATACGTACCTCCGCCATCTCCGTTCCCCTGAGTACCGGTGATGACTGACAAGAAGCTAGAAAGTGGAGGCCAGAGGGCTTTTCTCTGCTAAGCCGAACTATAGTGGAGACTCGAATTCGGCGCAGGCCGCTTCATGGCTCGAGTGTTTTGATCAGGAGCTTGTTCCTTTTAAATGCCGATCTGCTTATACGAACACAAGGTCTTGCTACTCTGATGGATTTTTCACTTCCTCAGGGACACGGCCCGGATCCCTGCAACCATGGTCATGCTAATCCACGCTTTGCGTGCTCTCTACGCTGATGGGGGCGATTCGTCTCTCGCCCGTCGCTGGGAGTTTCGCGAAGAGTCCCCGGTCGAGGGTACCAATCGATCGCTCTTTATTGCTATGGGTGTGGTAGCCATTCTCTCATTGACCTCTACTCTTGGCCTCCTGTCGTTCCTTACCTATCGGTTTATTTTCTGGCAGCGGTATTATAAGCGCCCGCTTGCTCAGAACCAATACGTCGTGCTTATTTACAATCTCCTTCTCGTCGACCTACAACAAGCGATTGCGTTCCTTATCAGTTTACACTGGGTATTTCGCGGCAGTGTCCATTTTGGAGAGACTGCCTGTTATTTGCAAGGATGGTGGATCCAAATAGGTGATCCTGGCAGTGGCTTGTTCGTCTTGTCCATTGCGCTGCATACAGGTGCTGTGGTCTTGCGTGGTCGCCAATTGCCATTCAGAAACTTTGTGTACTGTGTGATCGCATTATGGCTGTTTATCCTCCTCTTGGGATTCATCCCGGTTGGTCTATATGGCTCGAAGGCCTTTGTCATCACAGAGGCTAATTGGGTATGTACCTCTACTTGTTCCCTCATGCTCGAGCATGACTCGACTAACCTTTGTTTAACTTTACAGTGCTGGTTGAGCCCGGAAAATCAGCGCGAACGCCTCTGGGGTCACTACCTTTGGATTTTCCTTTCCGAGTTCGGCACAATCGTCCTTTACGCGATCATGTTCTTCTACCTTCGACGCCGTATGAAACAAGCGAAGATACTCCGCCGTGGCCAGCAAGAGAGCCTGCAACGTCTCAATCGGGTTGTGATTTACATGGTTATCTACCCTGTCGTTTACGTGCTCTTGTCACTGCCACTTGCGGCCGGTCGTATGGCAACCGCTCAAGGCAATTCCCCCAGCAAGGATTATTTCGCTGTCGCTGGTTCCCTGATGGCCTTGTCTGGGCTCATGGATGTGATTGTCTATACCGTCACCCGTCGCCATTTGATCACCGATACCGAGCACAGCACGACCGACCGCAACTACGAAAACACCGACTCCCAATGGCAAACCAACATTACTACAGCCGGGGGTGAGGGGTCTCGCCCTCGAAAGGGAGGGTTCCGCATGGGATCTCGACTGAGCTCAAAGTTCCGGAAGAGTATGCCTACTGTTGTTGACAAAGAGACTCGGAATAGTCCATTCGATGATTCGACAGATGATATTGTCCCGAAGGACGACGTGGAAATGAACACTTTTGGTGTGTACCAGGAGACCACCATTGAGATCTCTCATGAGCCTGCAACACCTGCAGATACTATGGAGGCAACTCCGCGCCGGAGTGGTTAGGGGCTTCTTTACGCTGTATGATTTCCTATTCTCGGCCTACAGGGCGTTTACGGTATATATGACCTACTTTATATTTACCTCACTAGGCATGCCTGCCACTTCCTTAAATTTCTCTAATATATGATCCCTTACGCTTGAAGAAGCATCATATGTACGCCTGTCATATTTGTACATGAATCATAATTTCGAACAATCTGCCACTCAGTGGATCATAGCACATACAGACCACAAGGATCAATAAGACTTGAGTTACAACTCCACGTACTGGTCCCACCGAAAAAAACAACAACAAAATCCGCAAAGCTCGTCAGATCTTCAGAGGAGGTCTGGAAATCACTTGAGCATAGCTTCATGTACCGTAGAAGAAGGATCCCAACAGCCAATCCACTAGCCTCAACGCTCGCTTGTTTCTACATTACTTTGCCAGGTCAAGGTGGGGTACAGCGCAATAGTGTCTTGCTTAGCTGGCAGAGTGGATTCGGGTGTTCGAGCCGCGCGAATGAAAATGGTTCTTTCTGCTGTTTTGTGGCTTTCGCGCTTGGGTCATTCGACGCGCTCTAGCCTTTGAGGTGCCAGGTATTGAAGATCTTCATCTCGGCGACAAGAGGAGATCCACTTTCCGAGAGCGGCAATCGGTCCATACAGAGAAGCCGGTTAAAATAGCGCGAATACCGGTATTATAGATTTTTACATCCTTCGGAATACGGGAATATGTACGGAGTAGTATGCAAGGCGTGATCGTGTTTGCACCGAAGCGACAAAGTAAGGTTAGCTAACCCTATGAGCTTTTCCTCGGTGCGATAATCGCTCAGAATCAAACCTCGGATATTATAAGCGGCCTATGAAGGACATGTGAATAGGAGGTCTTGAAACCAGGGTTCTCCATGAGGAAAATGTCGAAGAAATCAAGATGACTTTGAAAAAGCAATGATACATATATAGGTTGAAGTATAATAAATGGCGACTATGTACCCCGCAAAACTCTCTGCCCAGTGGCTACTGGAGCCTGATGGATACAACCATGAACCTTGAAGGGCATTTTCCACAAGTTAAGATTTTTGCGTGATAATACGTGGTTGAAACTCCCCGCGCTCAGCTTCTCCTTTCGTGCCTCTCATTTTGACGCTTGATAATACATCGTGGTTCCTAGCACGCTAAGACCGTACCCAAGGAGAGTAAGTTGTAGGAAAGTGACAAGCAAAGAGACCTTTGAATTGGAGGGATCAGAAGAAACAGTAGCTAGAATCACAAATTTCAGGATCAAACACCATTCCCTGACATCGTCGGCCTCTCAAATATCTGACCTCGCGCTTCTAGGGGTATGCCTAGAAGGATAAGATGCGCACGATGCCCTTTTTCACCCCAAGCATGGTTCCAGTTATCTTCCGATAGACCAGTGTTCATCCCGTTCTGAAGCGAAGAAAGAACAAGGGTCGATTCTCTTTCAAAAGACCATACGCAGGGGAGTCGTCGCCCTCATCAAGCAGGGTTACCATCCGACGTTCACCGTGGCGCAGCATAGATTGATGCGTCATGTTTGACGTTGATGATTACTTGGCAGATTCTTGCTAATGATTATCAATTAGTGATTCTTCTCAAATATTCCCAAATCTGGAAAATGTCTGGCTTGGTTCCTTGTTGGTAGCACCAATCTCACTGTACCGAAGCAAATCGACGGAGATATACTGAGAGAAATGGACTCAGAGGTATGAGACTGTTTGTTGTCCGCTCCGTGGATCGAGATAACGTAGGAAACAGCTCCGTTGAGGCAAGACATTGTGTAACTATCCTAACAGTAAGCGTTACCCGTGGGAAAGTACTTATGAGTTGTGATATCCTCTCCTCCAGTAGGAGAAGGTGAATTTCACATCATGAAAATGCACCGACTACAATTTCTACTCTACTGGCTGGCACAGATCTGTCTCGTCACAGCACAGTTTCAGGGCTTCAATCCCTTTGGAAACGGTGAGCTCACATACACAATTCGTGTCCCTCAAGGCACAGCTAGCGCCAGCATGGGACCTGTATACTTCCAGATGAACTCTACACGCTCAGTGGAGTGGTTTGCTCTGGGACAGGGAGCCGCTATGCACGGTTCTAATATGTTCGTGGTGTATACCTCGGGCGACAACTTTACTATCTCCCCGCGAGCAGGCACAGGCCATTATGAGCCGTTGTACGACAAGCATGCGCAAGTTTCACTCACCAATGGAAGCGGGGTACACGATGGAGTCATCACTGTCAATGTTCGGTGTGACAGTTGCAGCTTTTCCGGCGGTGGGATGGTGAATCTGACCAACGTTTTCAGTCCCTGGATCTGGGCTGTCAAGTATGGAGCACCGTTGAATACAAAAAGTGTAGCAGCGAGGATCGCAGAGCATGATGCCTTTGGTACATTCTTCGTCAATCTCACCAAAGCAATAGGCCCCGACAGTGATGATCCGTTTGTTAATTTGGACAAGACCTCGATTACGAGGGCCTTCCCAGAGCTTTTTGATCATGAGGGCTTCGATAGGAAGAGGACTGCCCACGCGGTCCTGATGGCGGTCGCGTTTGTCTTGCTATTCCCTCTATCTGCGTTAACACTTCATATCTTGCCGTCCACGCAAGTCGTACGAATCCATGCAATGCTGCAGCTCTTCACGCTGGCTGTGACAGCCGCAGGCTTTGGACTTGGAGTCGCAATGGCCAAGGATGTTCATCTTCTGAAACATCACCACGAAATCATTGGCATGGTGGTCGTCGCATGTCTAGTTCTCTTCCAGCCTGGCATGGGTCTCTTACAGCACCGATATTTCCAGAAGACAGGCGGCAAGGGTCCCTTTGCCTATTTCCACCGCTGGCTCGGAAGAATCATGATCATCTTGGGGGTGGTGAATGTAGGCCTGGGATTTGAGATCACTGGTATCGGTTCCTCTGATGTACCCGAAGGAGCGGTGATTGCCTATGGAGCGGTCGCAGGAGTGATTGCGATTGTGTACACGGTGATTGTCATGTTGACTGGGCGACGGGCCACATCAGGTTGAAATTGAACCACAGTGGCGCAGTGGAGACAGTACGGAATAAGAGCGATTGGTTCTGCTCGGAGAATATCAGCAATTGATCAGGGTAGAACCTTCTATACCAGGCAGAAAACTAGTGGATCTAAGAATTGCGTGTACAGTCTTGGAGTTAAAGTAAGAGACTTGGTACGAAACAGGGAATTTCCCTCCTCAGTGGTAAAAAGAGAGTCTATAAAGAACCGCTCTCATTGAAAAGAAGAACAACCCAAAGTTGAAGGTGATTCCATGTTACAAGTGCAGTAAAGCGGACAACATAGGCTCGAGAAAAACTATGATTAAAGATAACGAGAGAATCCTGAGTACTTGTTAATCTCATCTTTTCTCCTTTCCTATTTTATAGCTTGATCTTCGACACCGACTACTACAAATACTCAGAGCGAGGACACGACCAAGAAGAGACATAATCCTTAGGAGTCATTGTTCGTTCGGCGACAACGTAATTGAATTTTAGGATAGTCTTATACCAGGATGAAGATCCATAAAGGTCCATGCCCCATAGGTAATAATGACCAAGCTTGGGTACATACTCATGCTCAACGTGGACCCGTTGATGTCATAGTTAGCAACAGCAAACTGCCCAGTTGACACTTGGACAAGCAGTTCGCCAGGAACTCCGTCTTTTGTAGGATTATGATTCGCGCCCACATTTTGCTTAGTTCCTTAGTTGGTGCTTTTCTTTTGCCTCCTTGGTCGCTTGGACCTGAATTGACCCACATGAATGGTGATGCATTGCTCCGCTTTGCTTGAAGTCTCCCTGCCATTCAACGTTCACGGGTCGGCCAGTGGCTGAGCCTCGTTCCGTACATCTCCTGAATATGACGTCGGGCCTCGGTTTGCCCTTTCCCGTCGACGTTCGACAAGCCTACAAACCTGATCGACTCTCTCATCTCAATCCTTTCCCTCCTTTCATAACCTCAGTGGGTGAATGGCGCAGTCATGCCATTGCATACGGTCGCGTTGGGTGCGGCCTTGACCCCTACCGTCCTCCACACTCTAATCAATCATGTGGGTCTACAATTGATGCGGAAGACGAACTGTACGAAGTACATAGATGCATGAAACTAACCTGTCTGCAGTACCGACACCGCAAGGCGCGCCATAACCATCCGACCGTCCATCTCACCTATGATGAAGGCATTCAAGTCGTTCGTCAATTCCTTTACTACGCCTCGAAACACCCCGTAGAAGATATTCAGGCGTTCACGCGCCAGTCAGTCCCCAGCCCGCATTGGGTAAGGACCGAATCGATCACCATCCCCCCCGAGTTTCTATTGTCCGCGGCAGATGTGCTCGCGAAACAACTGGGCCCAAGGGCCTTGTGCGGGTTGGAGGAGAGAAATGGTGGCAATGGCGAGGTCCGGCCGAGGAACTCAAGGGCGAATGGGTCGAAATGCGCAACCATTACAACGAGATGAAGAAGTCCAATAGCCGCAACAACAGAATCATGCTGTATATCCATGGTGGCGCGTACTTCTTTGGCAGTGTCGATACCCATCGATATATGCTACAGCGTCATGCTCGCAAGTTGAAGGGCCGCGTTTTCGCGCCCGACTATCGTCTGGCACCCCAGTTCCCGTTCCCATGCGGCTTGCAAGATTGTATGGCGGCGTATCTCTGGCTGCTTCAGAGCTACGATCCCAAGGAGATTCTTCTTGCGGGGGACTCCGCCGGTGGTGGCATGGCCTTGTCACTGCTAGTCATGATGCGTGACCAAGGCATACCACTGCCCGCAGGTGCGATTCTCATCTCGCCATGGGTCGATCTGACACACTCCTTCCCCAGCATCGTGGAAGACAACCCCGGGGACTACATCCCACCCTACGGATTCCGATACAAGCCTTCCGCAGCTTGGCCTCCGCCTAATGCTGACGAGATCTTGAAGATTAAGAATCTGTCTCGCAAAGAAACTTTCACAGCCAGGGACATCGAAGGTGCAGGTCCGACCGCAAACAAGGATGCCAGAGATACCGCTGTCCGTGGTTATACACTTCACGAGAATAAGAACCCGGCCGAGGGGCATGCTTATCCAGGCATGCAACATACTGCAGACCCGGGCACCCTGCATGCCGAGCCTGACAACATCCACGTGGTCCTGGAAGGCAAGACGGTTGAACTCAAAGATCAGATCCAGATGTACGCCACCAACCAACTACTATCCCATCCTTTGGTATCGCCAATTCTTCAGCCATCACTGGGAGGGCTTCCGCCACTTCAAGTTATCAGCGGTGGTGGCGAGACCCTCCGGGATGAACAGTTTTACGTGGCCCATAAAGCGGCAAACCCGGCGGCCTATCCTCCTGCCGATGTGTACCTCGACGAATTTGATCCTGACCGTGAGCAACTGAACAAGTACGAGCCCACATACGTGCAGCTCCAAGTTTGGGATGACCTGTGCCATGTCGCTCCCACGCTCAGCTTCACCAGGCCGGCCAAGCACATGTTCCGGTCAATCTCTCAATTTGGCTCCTGGGCTTTGGCTCGTGCCCAAAAGACAGAGGTAGAGATCATGGACGACAATCTTGTCTCACCTATCTCATCCAGTGATTCGGACAGCTCGAATAGTCCGAACAGCCCAGGAGGCATCGGAAGTAAACGCAAGCCGACTTTTCCAGCCGGGCTCTCTGTCGGTAAAGCAGGCGATCCCCTTCCCGCCTTCGAACAGCACATGATTCGTCAACGAGTCGACAAGCGTGGTCGTATGTATCATCTCGACCCGCCGTCGTCCTATCCGGCACTCGCAATTCCGCCCGCTAAGGTGGGAGCAGTCAATCCAGAGCTGATCCGGAAGTGGCTCGAGGCCAAGCACGAATGGGATCAAAAGTTCTCCAAGGAGAAGCTCTGTGTTCAAAGCCGGCGTATCAAAGAGATGGCGCATGGCTTTCAGGACTTCGAGGGTGAATGTCCGCCTCCAAGCTCTCTGGCTGCTCGTCGTGGGGCTCCAGGTGTACTTCCGAAGTGGCGCGCCAAGAAGAACTATGGGCTGATGCTCTGGAGTGGCTGGGGTAGCAAACATGATGAGCGTACCATGGAAAAAGCGAGTGAAGCCGAAAAGTTTGGTCAAACTACAACACGCCGCAGTGTGGATGCTGGGCAAGCCGGTTCGTATTCAAGCGCACCCTTGAAGAATCCTCTGGCTGGCAACACTGGGGAGAGCAGGTCTGAGACTGCCGCCGGGAGCAGCTCGACAGGCGGAACTCCAGCGATCACCTGGGATACCACAAAGGAACAGAGGCAATGGAACGGAGAGACTGACCCAGGTCGTCCCTCCGAATCAACTTCCTTGCGTCCCACCTCAGAGAGAAGTGGCGGCCCCATACTCATACTACCGGGTGTTGATAATCGCAAGTTCAACGATGAAAATGCAAGTACCAGAGCGCTCTTCCACGCCGCAGGAACCCTGCCCATGTCATCCGATGCTTCCCTACCTTATCTAAAAGGTCGACCATCGTCGGTTGGCGGCTCGGTAGCCGGCCGTAGCGAATTTATGTCAGACAACGGCGAAGACGCGAGTACTGTTGGCGGGGACAGAGAGTTGAGCGCGGTTCCTGGTGTTGCGAATGACGCTGCTAGCACTCGCGCGGTCTTGAGCGCTAAAGGTGTCGTTGGCGTGGTTAGCTCTAGGGATAGTGGTCAAATCTCCACCGATACCGCATCCTTGCGTGCAAATATCTCAGATGCTGATGCTGTTTCCGCTGCTGGTAAAACATCCACATCGCACCGGCCGGATATGCCCGAGAGAGAAGTCTTTAAAACAGCTCAAGAAGCGCTGTAAATTCAATCTCTCCGACATCTAACTGCCATACACGTGCAGAGAGTCTGTCTTCATTTCAGATTCGTTGATATTACTGTCGGGATATTGTTTGAACATACATGCCCATCATTGCAAGACTATGGTCTTTTCCTTTCTTGGTTGCTGCATCTTGGCACGCCGTTTCTCGATCTTTGTCATCTTATTTTCTATGTTGGATATACCCTTTCAATGCCGGCAATGGTTTCTTGTCCATACTAGCTAGTGTCTTCTGAATGTATCTGATTCGCATACGTATGCAATTCTGGAGGGATTGTACCTGTAATCCGTTCATTCAACTTCATCAACTAGAGTCTGAGATACCGAATCACATAGAACTCTAAGTTGCCTGGATTTACGGGCTTCTCGAATGCGAACAGTAGTTCCAATGTTTGAGGGCGGGAGAAACCGAAGAAGTCAGAGTAGTAAAATCTATTGGTACAAACGAAGAACGCTATCATATGGAATGGCCCACCGGCGCCGTCTGAAACGGCTCAGTAGAAATGCAACATGTACAAGTCCGTGCAGGGAATTCATAATTATACAATCATCAATGGAATCGGGTGACTCGGATCCTAGCGCCACTCGAGGCCAATCTTCTTGGCCACCTGCTCGGCAACGTCGAGGAAAGCCTGGCGCCGGGCACTCCTGTCGGCACTCTCTTCTGCCACAACAGTGGGCATGCCACGGTCTGCATCTTCACACACTTGCGCATCGAGGGGAATGTCGCCAAGGAAGTCGACTCCCAGTCGCTTGCACTCTGCCACCACACCATGATCCTCACAATGCGAATGCTTTCCGTCTCCATGCGAGAAAATTCGAGTTTGATGGCCACAGTTCGGGCAGGCAAAGTAGGCCATGTTGCGGACCATGCCGAGAACGGGGACGTCCATGCGCTGGAACATGCCGAAACCACGGACCGCATCGCGTAGTGCAATATCTTGGGGGGTTGATACGATCACGGCACCATCGATGATGACTTCTTGGTTGATTGTGAGTTGGACGTCACCGGTTCCTGGTGGGAGATCCAGGACGAGGATGTCGAGGGGTCCCCATGAGACGGAATGTAGGAGCTGATGCATGGCTTTCGTGACCATGAGACCACGCCATGTGATCGGGGTTGTATCCATGGGTACTTCGCCAGTGGGGCTATCGGATTGTGTTTGTGGGAGGAGGTAGCCCATTGACATGGACTTGAGGCCGTAATTTGTGAGAGGGACAAGGCAGTTGTCTATTGAGAGTTAGTCAATATACATGCCTATTCGCTTCGGGGTTTATAGCAAGGATGATAATGTCGGTCTTACTTTCATCGAGCCGGGGCTGGCCAGATAAATTGAGTAAAGTTGGAATAGACGGGCCAAAGATATCGGTATCAAGAATGCCAGTCTTAATGCCTCGACGAGCAAAGGCAAGGGCAAGGTTTACTGCTCGCGCAATGATTTACTTAGCATATACGATGGAGGGCCAGGAGAGCCAATCTAAGAGATTGCATTGGCAACTAGGAAAACACGAACCCGCAACAGTCGATTTGCCCACACCCCCTTTGGCAGAGGAAACAGCCACCACTTTCTTGACATCTCGGATCGCGCGCTTCTGAGGCAGGCCGCGACGACGGGGGAAGGACGGGGGGGCACCAGAACGAGGAAGGCCCTAGAGAAGCAATAAGTCAGCAAGATGCATGATAAAATATTGTATAGCGGCAGTGCATGTTGACGAGGTATGCGACACGCGAAAGTTACCCAACAGGCAACCTTAGGAGTTGATATCAACGGTCGTAGGTAGCTGGCACACACTCACCAAAGGATTGTCATGGCTTAGGAGGGCCCGGGAGGTTGAGAACATCCTCCTGCAGATTGTCATTGTGCAAGCTTGAGACGAATACATATTAGTAAAGGCGCAAATGAGAACGATTCAGCAAACACATCGACTATGGGGAGAAGCGACATGAAAACGTGAAGAGCAACAGAAAAGGCGGAAGGCGGATAACTATTCTGCCGGAAATCGAGCTCACCGCCACTGACCGCCTTCGATAAGGAACGCCGGAGGCTAATCCCAAAGCATTAAGTTATTCCGTTATCCGGATAAACAAAAAAAAAGTTGGCCGAGAGGACTTGCTCTCTTCCAACCCTTCAACATATCATGGCTCCTAGTAAACCTCGTTCTGGGCGGTCCCTCGCGGACCAGCTCGCAGATCTCGAAGATCCGACTCCCAAGGGTATGTAAAATTTGATTGGACTCAACCATTTTTTGATGGTGGGCCACCCAAGGCTAACATCGTTCCAGACTTTGATCCCGAGGACATTGACCGCGATGAGCAGTCAAGTGATGACGAAGGGGCTGGCAAAGAGTCAGATCTGAATGCTGGTAGAGAGCACTATCAATCTGTGGGGTAAGTGAAATGAGCTTACATGTGAGCAAATCGGCCGGTTGCTAAGGTTCAAAACAGCAAAGGAAAACTTCGAAAGCAAGAGCCCGTCGATCTGGGAAAGCAATATGCGGGCGCTCGCGTTAGCAGAGATGACCTGGATGCAGACAGCGACGATGATCCATTCGCGGCACGTACCGATGATGAGCTCACGTCCGATCAGGAAGATGATGGCGACTCCGCCTCGGCAGAGTCGCAGAGCGACGAGGACCTAGTGTCCGGGTCCGAGGAAGAGCAATCGGATGATGACGAATCGGACCGCATGGATGATGAAAACGACCACGATCATCTGAGTGGTAGTGAGGTCCCTGAAGTAGATCGGCCCAGGCGCAAGCAGAACAAAACCCACAATGGCATTGGTCACCTCTCGGATATGCATGATGACAGCGGGCGCAAGCAAGGACACTCGGATGACCGAGATGAGCTGCGGCGGTTGATGGCGTCAGATCAAAAGACCATTGCTGCAACGATTTCGCAAGCTGCCAAAGCAGATGCGGCGAAAGGAAAGGCTGTCAAGGAGCAACGTACCACGTTTGATGCACTGTTGAACACTAGGATCAAGTTGCAGAAAGGCTTGGGTGCGATGGATGAGTTGGTGGGTGTGGTTGTGGAGAAGGAAGAGGGTGAGAGTGTGGAAGAAGAAAAGAGAAATTCGGAGGCTATCAAGTCTGCCGAAAACGCCGCCCTTGCCCTTTGGTCTACACTCGAAGAACTGCGCATTGCTCTTGCCGACGCTCATACTAAAGACGGAGCTAAAAAGCGCAAGCGTCAAGATCCAATTACCAACTCTACTTCGACTACTTCGCTCTGGGAGCGCATGTCTGATTTGGAGTCCGAGTCTCTCCTTCACCGACGAGCAGTCCTCGATAAGTGGTCCTCCAAGGTTCGCGGCACCGCGACCTCCCTTCCTAATGCCCGTGGAAAGCTGCTGGGATCTGCATCTGGTACCCAAAAGATCACCGCCGTCCTTGATGCGCATGTTGGTACGGAGATTGGTGATCGTGCGAACAAGCGTGCACGTCAGACATCTGCGGCCAATGGCTCGACCCCCACCGGACTGCCCGAACCCGTTTACGACGATACCGTTTTCTATCAGTCTTTGCTCCGCGATCTCGTCGAGCAGCGCATGTCATCCTCCGAAGCTATGACCGGTGGCCTTGATACCCTCCACCAGCTGCCCTCCCGCCTGCCAATCCACCCTATTACAGGCATGCGCAACGACAAGAACAGAAAGGAAGTTGTTGACACACGAGCCTCAAAGGGCCGTAAGATGCGTTTCAATGTCCATGAGAAGTTGCAGAATTTCATGGCCCCCGAGGACCGTGGCTCATGGACAGTCCGAGCCCGGGACGAGTTTTTCGCTTCTTTGCTTGGCAAATCGGCGAGTGGCTTGTTGGGTGAAGGAGACGAGAGTGCCAGTGATGCCGAGTCTGACGAAGATCGTGAGGAAGGTGGATTGCGTCTATTCAGAAACTGATTCCATCTCTGTGGACATCATCGCTATGACTTGTACATTTACCATACCTGAATATTGGATACCAATTATCACCACAAAATATCCAATTCACAAGCAGGAAAATCTCAAACTTTGTTTCTTTTTTGTATTTATCACACTGCATAGTTCACACGAAATACCCTTGGAACCCTGGTCAGCGTTCATATGCCGATCTTGAGTTGGTCCCTATCCTGTTGATCTATGGGCAAGATTCAAAACGGAGCGTACTTTTCATTAGCAACATGCACTCAGGTTTCACTACTTCCATCATCATCATCCCGCCATTGCTGGCGGAGTGATCCGATCAAAGTATCCGTATTCCACCCAGTTCTTTCATGCATATCATGCAATAGACGCTCTGCAGCTTTCTGGTCGCTGCGATGCCGTAGAACCCAGCCCCCTGAAGAAACGTGCATTAGTAGATGCATAGCAAGACAGAGGAACAGATTTGGCATACATGCTACCAAACTATGTCGCGCGGTAAAAAGCGTGTTCTCTGCTCGGGAATTTGACTGAGCCAGGCCTAAAATGCGAAGTAAGTGATATCGAATGTTCCTCTAGATTGGTGGTCACCTCTGTTAATCAATCAATTCATTTCAAAATGATGGATTGAAAGCTTACTTCTATTTGGCGAGTCTGTCGGAAATTCTCATACGCAAAGCTCACTGGGGACGATGCTGATAGAGCTAGTACAATCTTTGCAATATGGTAGTACTGTAGGCCAATCACTGTATCTGAATCAGCGTGGCTGACTTGTTAGTTCAAAGATCTAGAGTATCATCTTACCATGAGCTGGTAAAAGCATCCAAATGGTGGGAAATCGTTGATCAATTTCCGTTCCACGTGTCACCATTCGCACTGGCTCGAAAGTGTACGGTTTTGAGGTGTACCACTCTTCAACCTCCTCATCAACCGATGCGTCCAGCGAAACATCGGAGAACGCACTTTGAAGGACCTTTGCCAACAAAAATACCATTCTGCTCGACCAGGCAAAATCATCATTTCTGGTGAAGATATCTGAGCCGTGGAAGTTCTGTAAGTTGGTTCGCAGGGGCCGTTGAGTAGTCAACGATACATAGATATCTTGACGGAGACATAGCCAGGCTGCTGCCTCGCCAAGGCCACCCGATGAGCCAAAACTTTGCACAGAATTGAGAATGTGGGTCGTTCCTGTGAGATGGAACTGGTGATCCTCGCCTCTCAAAGTATGAGCTCTTGTAAAGTCAACTGTATGATTGAGAGAGACCTACCATCCATTTCCTCATGCTGGCGTAGAATTGCTACCGCGGCGAGAACGTCCTCGGTGATATGCTCTGGTTCGGAAAGTGCAGGTATCAATCGTTGCACACATTCATTGTGATATTGCAAAGCTTCAGCCGTATCGCTATCATTTTGTCGATTCAGATGCCGTGACGAGAATGCAAAGATAGCGCAACGCAAGACCGGCTCTTTTAGCGCCCTTGCTGGTACTTCATATTCAAAATGGCGATATGTGTCTGTTATATCGGCCTATGGTTAGTTCATGTTAGTTAGGCAGAGTTAACCGTAGACTGCCTTGTACACACCCATAGTGCCATATTTTCAACGAAATTGCGGAGCAAAACAGCCTCCCTCTCTGTGAAGCTATGGATATTTTGAGAGCTAGATCGTCGTTTAGATGGTGGAGAGGGGTATAGGGATTGGCTAGGTGGGGAAAGATCTTTTGCGAGCTGTTGAGGTGATCGAGTCAATGTTCTACCAACAGATGGCTGTTGAATTTCGTGATTGTCATAAGGTTGGCATACCAAAGTTGTACGTCCCTCAATTGATATGTCTCGAGAATTTTGAAAGGGCAGATAAATCTCATCTTGCGAAGAGCTCATGTAGAGACCTGCAATTTCAGGAGTCTCGTCGTGGAAGCGGACTATAGTTCTGTTAGAATTTCCATGGCTTTAAATGCGAGCCGGGAAGCAAGATACCATTTCCACGCACTTGTGGCCAGTTGTTTTGGTCTGGAAATGTCCCATCGATGCCATCTGATAATGTTAAACCATCACGGAAACGGATGGTGGTTCGGTCACATTCAGACCCTGCATCCTGACAAGGCTGGCAAAATCTAGATTTGATATCGCCTACAGCAACATGTTAGTAAAGAATTTTTTATCTCCACCAAAGTCATTAGACTCACACTTCAAATGTCGAACTATTGCGGGGAGCTCGTTGATTCAGTAACACACCCCTTCGATGGGTACCACAAGCCTCACGCCCACTTACCGCGACATCGGTGGCTATGTGGACCTGGTCAGCTGGCATGCTCCTGGTGAATTGATGATCCGACGTACCATCCTGCGACAAGTCGACTCCGTTTCGGTCGAGTGGACATCTGAATCGTACTAGAGGGTTGGAATCGAGGACAGAATTTCCCTCGACAACCCAGAGGTCCAGAGGCAAATCTCTCCGGAGTGCGGGGAAGGTTGTCCCCACAATTCTATTCGCGAGTTATCGAGAAACTGATTGCAGAGTGGGCCTCAATTGCCTTAATGAAGATTGGCAGCTTATCGATGTAACAAGTGAACCATATTCAGACCGAGTGGGTCTTCAGCCAGTTAGTTGGTGGCTGGAGGAGTTTCAAAATTTACCTCTTCGGGCGTATTCAGAAATTCTTTCCGGTTGATCTAGATAATTATCTAGCCCACCCACGAGGGAATAGATAGAGACGATGGAGATAATTACCATGCTCTATAATCGATAGAGAGATGTCTCTGGAAGGGCATTTAGGACGTCAAGCTCAAATTATTTAAACCACCCCAGGACCCTGGAATCGAGAGACCAAATGAACATTCACACCTCTTTCTTTTTCCACTCTGCAATTTGACAGAATTCATAAACAGCACCATGGGAATCCAAAAGCTTCAAGTTGGAATGGCTGGCTTAGGTCGTGTCGGCAAAATCCATGCCATCAACTTCCTCCAACGAACTCCTCGCGCTCAACTGGTCGCAGCCTTTACCCCCGATCCAAATGAGATTTCCTGGGGAAAGTTGAACCTGGAGCCTCACGGAGTGACCTTGTACACCGACTATGACGAGATGCTCAGGCATCCCGGTCTCCAAGCTGTAGCTATTGGAACTGCTACTTCGGTACATGCTGAGGAGGCTATCAAGGCCATTGAGCGCGATTTGCATGTTCTATGCGAAAAGCCCCTTTCCATCGACGTTGAAGTGGTATGGCAGTTCCAACTGGTGTCGAGAGTCTCACATTGAAGCTAACATTTTGATTTATCCCTATTCAGTGCAAAGCCGTTGTCCAAGCTGCGAAGAAGAAGCCTCATCTGAAAGTCATGTGTGGTTTCTCACGACGATTCGACGAATCATACCGGGATGCCCGTGAAAAGGTGGAACAAGGACTTATCGGCCGACCTTCTATCATTCGCAGCCAGACATGCGACAAGTTTGATCCCTCGGGCTTCTATGTGGAGTATGCCGCTTGGTCGGGTGGTGTCTTTGTTGACATGTCTGTCCATGACATCGACTTGACTCTCTGGTTCTTCGGAGACGACATCATCCCAAAGAGTATTTCCGCTCACGGAATCACTGCCGTGCAGCCTGAGTTGAAGAAGCACAAGGACTATGATAACGCTGTCGGAATCGTCGAGTTCCAAAACGGCAAGATCGCGTATTACTACTGCACACGGATGATGGCCCATGGCCAGGAGGATACCACCGAGATCATTGGTACCGAGGGCAAGTTGGCAGTGAACAGCAACCCTCAGCGTAACTTTGTCAATCTTTATCACTCTGGCGGTATTACGCGAGAGGTACCCCCGAACTTTATTGGTCGTTTCGGCGCTGCTTTTGTACAGGAGGCTAATGAGTTCACTGTTGCATGTCTTGACAACACTCCCCTTCCTATGAAGCTGTCCAATGCTGTCAAGGCAGTTGAGATTGGTGCATACCTTCAGGAGGCCTTGGTTACTGGACAGCAGATTCACTTTGACGAGATTGGTCGGCGGATTGAGAAGGCTCAGCTTTAGGATAAATGCTGCATTGTATTTGCTCCTGTCCTACAATAAGTGTCGGGTTCCTACTTTAGTATAAAAAAATTTAGATGGAAGAATGCGATTCGAGTTCTTGCCCTTATTTCTTGGTGTCATTGTCTGTACTGAAGCCGAATCTATAAGGCAAGGCCAGGCTGAAAGGCACTTCTGTCTACCTGGAGCCTTGAATGGTCTATTGTTCCAAGTGATATAGAACTAAATTTTTCTATCTACATCTCCTGGGGGCTATTCTTTGAATCTGATCGGATTTTTGGTGAGTCGTACGTAACAAGCTGCTGAAGATAGAGAGATCAGGACACTGGCTGTCGCGGCCTCTTGGAAGGATGTAATGGGATTGGTAGTCTTGGCCCCACTAGGATTGTTTGAGGTTAGAGAATTACTACTTGCAAGAATCACCCTCCTGTTGCGCAATAATAATAAACAGCTGTGTCCAGCTTGATGGCCATGCGGAGTGGAGAAGAGTGTGGGGAATGGCCCCGATCCCCTCATGACGCCACAGTATTGGCATGATCGACAGGTCATCAAGGGGCATTTCGTTTCGTCTTTTCCTTTCCTATAACCATGGGAACGTTGGAAGCTACAACGGTCGGGGTATAGAGGCAAAACTCCCATATTGTCACATATGATTCGTGAGTTGGCAGGAGCTCACTGTCGACTGCTGCTGTGATTCTTCCAACCCCAGCCGGACTGGGCAGTAACGGACCACATTCATCCTTACAGTTCGAGAATATGCATTTCAACCTCCAGAAGCAGTTGGGACTCGGTTCCCTATGCTCTTCCCTATTATCATTTCTCTGTGGTGATAATAAGCAGGGCTCCGTCGCCCACCATCCAGCCCAGCCACCATCATACCCGCTGGCTGTTCGCAACCCATACCTATCGACATGGATGCCGGCCGACCGGGTTGAACAACTTTCCTATGCCGAATCCCAGTTCTGGACAGGCCAGGACCTCGGTTGGTCTGTGATGGTTCGCGTCGATGGCCAAGTGTATAGTCTGATGGGAGTCCCCAACTTGGACAGCAACTCGATTCTCCCAGCAACCGTGCGACGCGCAGAGTTCACATCGACTCATTCGCTCTTTGATCTGACGGTGGGACCAGTTGCTTTTACCCTTGACTTTTTCTCGCCGGTCTCGCCGTCAAATTACTTGCGACAGTCGCTCCCTTTCAGTAAGTCTATGCAAGGCAGTACATTGTTTCCATAGCTTCGTTATTGGGAACTAACCGACGACACAATGCAGGCTATTTGAACGTGCAAGTTAGCAATTCATGGGCCCATGATATTCAAATTTACTCGGACATCGATGGGAGGTGGACTGGCCGAGAACATCGTTCAGTCCACGACTTTGAAGAACATGACAAGCTGCTGTTCCACACCTTATCGGTCCAGGATGCGCCTCGATATGCGGAAGATCGCGACATGGCTCTTTGGGGACAGGCTATTCTTGCTTCTCGTCCGGAAGGCTCGAGCAACCTCTCCGCGCTCGCTGGACCTCCTCAAGTCGTCCGCACTGCCTTTGTGAGGAACGGCGATCTATCTACCGAGGAGTCCTCTTGGTCCCCGCAAAGCGTGGTAGCTCTTGCGCACGACCTAGGAAATGTTCTTGGTGATGCCTCTGTGACATTTGCTGTTGGCTATGAGAGGAAGGAAGCCATCAACTACCTTGGCGAGCCATATACTGGTTTCTACCGATCTAAATATCCCACAACCCACGAGGCACTATCATTCTTTTTGGATGACTTTGAAGATGCTCGACTAGAGTCTTGGAAACTGGATGAGGAGCTCTCTGCGTTTGCTACCGCTGCTGCCGGTCCCAAATATGCAGATATCGTGGCTTTGTCAACTCGTCAAGCTTACGGAGGCATTGACTTGACAATTCCCAATGATTCACTCGACACTGATCAGGTGCTGGCTTTTATCAAGGAGCTTTCTAGCGATGGGAATGTTAATACGATAGACATTATTATGCCAGCTTTCCCAATCTACTGGGTGATGGATTCTGATTGGATCCGCCTGTTGTTAGAACCGGTGATGCTCTACTTGGATGCTGGTCGGTGGAAACTCCCATATACTATTCACGACCTTGGATCTCATTATCCTCATGCGATCGGTCATGATGATCAGCGAGCAGAACCCATGCCTATTGAGGAATGTGGCAACTTGCTCATTCTGGCGCTCGCCTATGTTCGTGCCACTGGGGACGAAAACTGGAGCAATCAGTATATGGGACTCTTCCAGAAATATGCCGACTATCTGGTCGAAAATAGCATTGACATTGTCGAGCAGCTGTCGTCCAATGATGCTGCTGGCCCACTAGCAAATGAGACAAATCTAGCCATCAAGGCGGCCATCGGCATCAAGGCATATGGTGACCTGAGCGGAGATCAAAGCTACTCTCGCATCGGTGATGAGCATGCAGACCTTTTCTTTCGGCAAGGTCTAGGCACAGACGAGAATCAAACCCATTTTGTGCTGGAATACCCTGACAAGGCAGATACATGGAAGATTCCATATAATCTATACCCAGATGTCCTACTGGGATTAGAAACGTTCCCCAAGCAGGCATACTCGATGGGCAGTCAGTTCTTCTCGACGGTCCGCGGGGAGTATGGCGTGGCATTGGACAACCGGCAGGACTGGGCCAAATCTGATTGGAACATGTGGCTGGCCGGTACTTTCGAAACGAGTACACGAGATGAGTTCATCGATGACCTGTGGGCATTCATGACCAATGGAAAGCATAACTGGCCTTTTTCGGACCGTTATGTTTCTACCTCTGCGCATGGCGCCGAGCCTGGTATTCCGGTCCTATGCCGGGCTCGCCCAACCGTCGGTGGTCATTTTGCATTACTGGCATTGAAGGGTCCCAGTTCTCTTCAATCGCTATCGACTCATAAGGTTCATGGTACTGGAGGGTCGAGGTATGATCGATTCATCGACCCTGCTGAGGAGCTGTGATTTGTTGCGTAAAGCGTGGACATGTCTTTCCTTTGTACATAGTCTTAGTCAGTAGCAATAACATCTTCGTTAAAACACTTTTATTCCCATGTATTTTTCCACGTCAGATGATCTTGGTGGGATTGTATAGGGTGTTATCTCATACAAAGGCCTTTCTGGCGATGCCTCGGCCGATAGACTGGAACAGCAACTCTTAGATATGATACCCAGTAGATTGCCTTGAAAGAACAGTCCAAATGTTTTCTTTTTTTCTTTTTCTTTGTTTTCTTTTTGAAAGCAGGCCACAGTTTAATTAATGTGGCATATAGCTCAGTCTTGCGAGGTACTATGACTACCAACCATGTATAGCTGAGACTGCGGATAGCACATTCCTTACAAACCACGAGTGAACTTAGAGTTTAATATTTGATAGGGCCCAGTAGACTCTCAGTGAGCTACATCAGCCTTAGAGTCCTTTATAAATTTTAATTTAGCCTGTTTGTGACGGCATTTTAAACTCTTCTTCCTTCTTTCTCTTCAGGAAGTGTGTTTGTGAGACCAGGGGTGCTTACCTAATCTGCCTGTCACGCCTCCCCGGGTTGTTGCTTCATCGATGCGCAGTGAATCTTCCGTCGCCCTGCAACTTTCTCTCACCTCCTCTGTCTTTCTTCCTTTCTTCCTTTCTCTTTATCTCCTCCTCGCATCCCCTCCTCTATTCCTCCACGACCTTTGATCTCTCTAATAATTCCCCTCCTTCCCTCCATGGCTTCTGTGAGTTCCTCCTGTCTTGGCTCTCTGTCGTCTCCCCTCCTGCGGCACTGAGCTGGATACCCAACCTGTCACTTCGACGACACAACAACTTGCGCTTATCCAGATCTTGACTAATGCTGTATCTCTCGTCTCTAGCCCCGCCCGCACAACTTCGGTGCCCAAGGCTATCCTCTCGCGAACGGTGCGACCCCCGTCCGGTCCGGCACCCGGAGCTGTGCCACTACTCCCCAACAATGGCAGACTCATCCAGAGCGGACCGACTCGGATCTTGTGTATTGCGGACGTGCGAGGTATAATTGACACACCAATGGCTCGATACCAGGCAAGGCTAATTGATTACGCGATGCAGGAAATCTCAAGTCTCTGAATGACCTGGCGAAGCAAGCTCGTGCGGACCACATCATCCACACGGGTGACTTTGGTTTCTACGACGATACTTCGTTGGAGCGCATTGCGGACAAGTAAGTTCCCAAATCAAGCTCTAAATTTCCCTTCTAGGTCTCAAAATGAGACTTTCCCATTGCCGCATGGCATTCGGCTTCGATATCCCAATATTCGGGGGCTAAGCTAACCTTATTTTGTCTTCGCGCAGGACCCTCAAGCATGTCGCCCAATATTCCCCCCCTCCTTCCCGAGAACGTGAAGCGCACAATTGCACAGGTGCCTCCTCAGCAGTCCATCAAGCAGCGTTTCACTCCGGACCAGCTACCCCTCTCCGAGCTGCCCATGCTCCTCGACAAGCGCATCACTCTTGACGTTCCCGTCTACACAGTTTGGGGTGCCTGCGAGGATGTCCGCGTCTTGGAGAAGTTCCGTTCGGGCGAGTACAAGGTGAACAACCTGCACATCATCGACGAGGCCAACTCGCGACTATTGGACATTGGTGGTGTCAAGCTGCGTCTGCTTGGACTTGGTGGTGCGGTGGTCATGCACAAGCTGTTCGACAATGGCGAGGGAAAGACAACAATTGCTGGTGGCCAGGGTACCATGTGGACTACACTGCTACAGATGGGTGAACTCATCGACACCGCTAACCGCGTTTACGACCCATCGGAGACCCGTGTGTTCGTTACCCACGCCTCGCCTGCCCGTGAGGGCATGCTGAACCAGCTCTCCGTCACTCTCAAGGCCGATTTCTCCGTTTCCGCTGGTCTGCACTTCCGCTACGGGTCTTCCTACAACGAGTTCTCCGTCAACCCTTCGCTCGACCACTATCGTGGCAAGCTTGCTGCCTCCAAGGCCTCTTTCACCGATGTTTGGGAGACTGTGCGGGGCGAGGTTGAGTCGGCCATCTCTTCCAATGAGGCCCAGAAGACTCTGCTGGACAATGCTCTGGATGTGGTGCAAAAGATGCCTTCCATTGCTAACGGCGGGAACCCCTTCGGTGGCCCTGTTGCTGCTGGCAATGCTGCCGGTCAGGTAGACGAGAGCGCTTTCAAGAACATGTGGAACTTCAATCTTGCGGATGCGGCTTTCGGATATCTGGTTTTGGAGATTGAGGGTGGCCGAATTGCGACTGAGATGCGGGCCCAGGGCTTCAACTTCGCCCACCGCAGCGGCAAGCCTGCGGCTGGTGGTACTCAACCCGTTCCCAGTGCCCTGCCAGCTACGACCGCCTCCCCTGCGCCTACTGGTGCTGGTGGCCGTCCTACGGCCTCTACCCCCAGTTCGGTCAAGCTCCCCCTGTCCTTGGTGGCGCTGCCGCTGGTCAGCAACCAGGCCAGGCTAAGGCTCAACCCGCTCGTGCTTCTCCAGTTCCCGTCATCCCCAAGGCTGCTAGCCCGGCGCCTCCTGCGACTACCTCTGCTCAGCCCGCCGGTGAGGAGAAGATTGCTGGCGCGGACGCTAACGGCACCATCCACCAGGAGAAGACTGGTGACTCTCCCGCTCCTCGTGGCGAGAAGAAGCCCAGCAACGGACTGTTCGTTTCCAACGTCGACAGTGAGCAGAAGGTCCGTGACCTCCTTCCTGAAGAGGACCAAGCCAAGGCCGTCAAGATCGAGAAGTACGGCAAGTTCAACTACGTTGTGACCTTCCCGACGGTAGAGGACGCCAAGGCCGCTCTTGATCGTCAGCCCCTTGATCACAAGAAGCCCACCACTGGTTCCGGCCCTCGTAAGCCCAACTTCAAGTTCTTTGAGGAACGCCCCCGAGGACAGGGCAATGCCGGCACTTGGGGAAGCAGCACCCGTGGTGGTGCTACCACCGGGCAGCGCGGCTACCAGAGTGCCAGTGATAGCGAAGGTGCTCGTCGGGGTGGATTCGGCGGTCGTGGCCGTGGCCGCGGTGATCGGGGTCGTGGTGGCCGTGGAGGTCGTGGCGGCAGCTTCAAGAGCGGCTCGACTGACTCCCCTGCCCCTTCAACCCCATCTGGCGACAAGCCTGCTCCTTCCGGTGGTGATGCGTAGTGAGCATCACTGACATGGATGGATTTCGCCTCTTCCTTTTCTTGGTTATCGTCCTTTCGGGGTGTCGATCATTCTCGACCCCCTTCCTCGCCATCTTGATTTTGCCTATGCCACCCCCCACCATTTTTCTCGCGTCACATTTTAATTCTCTCGTGTCTTACTTTGACTCTCGTGAACCATTTCCAAATTCCCCTCTCTTTTTTACCTACCCCGTTTCGTTTTTAGCAAGATGGTGCTCCTATCTGTGTTATTCCAGATACCTTTATATCCTTCCCGTAACGCCTACCGGAAAGGATATGAGGTCGCTTGGCAATACAGGCTGCGTTTGATGGACTCGAGGTCACGTCTTGAGGATTGCGTTCGGTTGTGACACGGAGAGTGACAAGACGCAAAACAAAAAGAATGCCAAAAAAAATTATTACCATCTGCCCATTCCCCTGTTTCTTGTCCCGTTTTTCTTTGTACTTTACCATTTTTCTCTTCCTTATAGAAGAGGACCAAACATCGATACCCTTACAGCTTCGGTTCTAAACGGACGCTTTGTGTAGACTAAATCGTACTTGAACCAACCTCACAAGCCTGTCACGATGTATGTGGCCATGTCATTATACTTGTTGATCAGTCTAGTCTCACATAGATAGATAAGATTCATGTACATTCATTGGCTGTGACTCGGGGGTTTCTTTTTCTTGCAGTGTGGCTGGCTGAGTGGGTGTGGTCCAGACAAGCTTAATTCGATACATCCCTCTAATTTGGATCCACGTGGTAATTAAGCATACTCAAACTCCGACCCTCTACGCAATAAGCCACTTAAATGACGGTTAGATCAAAATGAGATCGAGAGAATTGCTCAAAAACGAAGAATTGAATTTGGTTGTGTACAAGGATATATGCAATATCCACCCTTTAAGGAGCGCAAGCCATCCCAACCTACCAAAACTAGTTATAGATAATTCCAATTCGCCAAAACCCAGATATTCCTTTCCGATGTAAGAGGTCGACTATGAAGAAGTCGCCTCGTCCAGGCGCCGTAGTGTATGGGTCAGACGGATGGTCCAATGGTCCACCTGCATGACGAACCCCCGTGTCTCCATTCGCCAGGCTTAATGATGGAAGTAAGAAAGAAACACGCATGAAGGACAAAAAGGTACAGCTACTGGAAAATGAGAGACGAAGGTAAGTTTGGAAAGAAGAAAAGAAAGAAAAAATTGATCAAAAAAGAATTGATGAAATGGAAATAAATGAGAAGTTCTCTGAAACTTGAAAATGATCAACGAGTGGAATGCCATGGATATGAATGTTGAGATTTCATCTCAAGCGCCGCGGCGCGTCCGGCGGACATTTCGTCGTGATTTATTCCAGAGTTGTATTTCATGACGCCGTATGTTTTTCAAATGACATTCGATGATGGGTATGATTGGAAAGTAAAACGTGATACAGTTTAGTAGACGTAAAATGGAGGTTGCGTGAGTCGTGAAAATGATGTAGGGCAGGCCAGTTGCTATAATCCCCATCGTGGAGACTTAATATGTTACTTGGCACGGCCCATGATGTCGTCGACATCACGCTGGTTCACGACGACGCCGCCCTCGGAACAGCGAGCCTTTGTGCGCAGCTCAGAGCAGAGATTGTCGACATCGATCTCGCCGTTCCGGAACTTCTCCATAGACTGTAGACGATCCCTACATAGCATCTTAGTAAGAGAGGAAGGAAAGAAACGAAGCTACACTTGAAGCGCAGGAAAACATACCAGATCTTAGTACACGACAGCATCTGTGACTTGTCCTCGCCAGGCACAACTTCTTCCTCCAGCCTGCTGTCGATTTGAGCGATAAGGTCCTTCTTGGGCGGCTGAGTTGCCACCTCGCTCAGGTTGTGAGATGGGCTACCCAAATCAGGCAGAGGGAAAGCATCGTTGAAGAAGGAACCAAAGTCCTGGGACAGGACGGCATCCTGGGGTTCGCGCCAGTCTCCAAAGAGGACTGGGTCGAACTGACCGCCATTTTGTTGAGCCAGCCAATCGAACCCGACCGTATCCTCGGTAGAAGCCGGCTGGTCGCTGGAGACACTGTGGGGCTTGGACTTGTCCCGAGCAGCTGGGATGGGGTTATTGATGTTGCCGCAAGCCATACCAAGTTTCGCGCAGAAAGATTCCTCACCATTGATGGAGCCGTGAATCTCGCACGTGTTAAGAGAGTCGTGGCCCTTTGCCTCGGGCGGAGAGCTCAAGCTCGGCTCGGGAGAAGTCCCGTTCGACGAGAGTAGCTGACTCTGGTGTGAATCAGACGAAGACGAGGGAGAATCAGATGTGTCATGCGTCGAAGTCCCGAACTGCTTAATGCTGTTGTAGGGGGCCCTGGTGGAAGTAGTGCTGCCAGGAGTAGTACCACTGGAACCAGCATAGTGGGACTTTGCGCTCCCAGGTCCAGTGGGAGTACTGGAGTTGGTGGGGGTGCTAGAATTAGACTTGCTCGTGGCAATGTTGGGCACGTTGGGGAAGCCGTTCAAGTTGTCGCGACTGAGCACACCCGGGGGACGAGGGGCCTGTCCCTTGTTCTTGGATTGATCGTTCTTGTTCTGGCCATTGAAGAGATGCGAGCCCGGAAGATCACCAAACTTGGGGAAGTCGAAGAGGAACTCATTGTTTTGCAGGCCATACGCTCCCCGGGAGTGAGCACTAGGAATAGCACTCATCGCCGAGATACCGCTACCACTGGTCATCCAAGAGAGACGTTTGCGATACTCGCGAAGTTCCACCTGCAGTCGCTCGACCTGAGCTCGAAGTAGGCCATTCTCCTGGTTGGCGTTGTCTGACGACTTTTGCAGTTCGTCCACCTTGGTTTCCAAGTCCTTCAAATGCTTCTCCTTCCGCTCACGGAATGCGCGTTGGGCGGCCCGGTTTTGAGCCTTGCGTTTCTGTTTTATCTTGTCAATAAAACCGTGCCCCCACAATATCTATTTACCAAGACACGCTGGATGCCTACCGTGGTGGGTTCAGAGGTGAGGGGCTTCCGGCCAGGCTTCTTGGCCTCACTCTCCCGCCGCTTCTTGCCATTCTCCTCCCCGTCCACTTCAGACCTGCCATCCATCGACTTTCGCTTCTCACCAATGTCATACTCAGCAGAGGAGCCAGGCAGATCACCAATCAAGTCTTCTGAGTTCGGGAACTCAAAGTCGACCTCCGGGTTGAAGTCCAAGAATGGGCTTTCCTCTTCTCCGAACCCGTAGGCATTGAGTTGCGAGTTGTCGAACCCACCCGAAGGTGGACCACTCATTCCATTAGACGAAGCTTGGTCAGGGCTGTGGAGGGGTTTGACTTGGGGGGTATGATTAGGCTGGGATTGCTGTTTGTGGCTGGGATTGTTGGATGAGAGAGCAGCCAGCAGGAGATCCTGCTGACCGGGCGAAAGATAGAGCCCCTGCTGGTAGAGCTGTTCGTAGTCGCTCATGATGAGGGTAAGATTTAGTGTGATATAAATAGGATGAAGAGATTGACAAGGGTAGTCAAAGAGAGTAGCGTTCAAGAGGGAGAAGGGTAGGCGGGTAAGTCAGTTGAATGGGAATGACAAGGCTCGAAAGGAAACCGGGAGCGATAATCGGGCGGTCCGCCCGCAAACGATAATAGATGATTAAACTTGGATCAAGAGGATGTTGGCGAAAAGTTATGGGAGATCAGATCGATTTGAATCGCCCTGAAAAAGGCTTGAGGGAAGTGTTCTCCTGGACTGGAGATCTGACAGGGAGAGAGCGAGATAGAGTGGAGGAGGGGGGAGAGGGGATCGAGGAAAAAAAGGTGCAGAACGGGCCTGAGGCTAGAATGGAGTGGAAGCACTAGTCGATTAGCCCCAACTTCCAAGCCCAGGATCGAATCACTGCCCGGGTGTGGCTAGGCAGGATCGAGAGAGAATTGGGATGAGGTGGTATGAATTGTATGAATTGTACGGAGAGTGTATGAAGGAGTGTAAAGTAAAGGTATTGGGATATACGGGGGGGAGGGTGGGAGTATGGAAGTTGAGGAGGGAAGAGATGATGACAGAGGAGGCGATCTGGTGAGCGGTGGACAAACCGGCTGCTTCATTGGCCCGAATTCCGGCCGCAGGTGATCTCGGATGATCGGCAGCCAATCAGCGTGCGGGGCAAGGAGGGGTGGTGGGGGGCTGACTCAACTGACTGGCAGCCTCAGGCAGAGCATGGCTGTTCATGTTGGCCTGATTCTGCCTGATTCTGCCTCTGTCCATAACCGTTTCCAGTTGCTTAGAAATCAAACGCGCGACTTTCCCTTCGATCTTCTTCGGTGGATTCGCTGTGATTCGCTCCTGCACACTGAGTTTCGGCTTGGTCTCGTTCTTTTTCACTCCCATTTTCTGCAGCCTTTTTTTCCCGGTTCCCGTCTAATTTGAAGGTCCATCCAGTCAGATGGGTTCATTTTGGCCCTCGTGTCCCCTTCCCCTCTATCTAGCGCCATGTTTCATTACGAAGTGACTCACGAACACTCGTATACTCCGTACTTCGTTACATCTTGGTCCTAGTTGAAACCCTCAACGAGCACATGGGGAAATCTACGGTATGATAATATCAACAAGTGAATATGGGTAAGTATTCCGTATTTCCACTCATATATAGAGCAGACAAGTCTCCAGTCGTCACGACTTTCGATGGCCATCCATACATAGCTTACTCTCCGGAGTATACTCCTCCATCACTTGCTGGCCATCTTATCCATCATTATCACTTCTCAATGGCCCAGGGTCTAGCCCCACTTTCGGGTTCAAGTCAATGTCTCCGATCCAGGATCAGACCACGCCTCCAGCTTGTCCTGTTCCATGGTATGTTGAGCAGTTCAGCCCCTACAGTATGTATGTAGTAGTATCGACTGGATGAACTCCTAGTGGCTGCCGTATCCGCGTGGCAAACCCTTCTTATTTATGTCGCCCGGTCTCGAATGACGTTTTCACTTTTCCTCCCGTATTTCCGTCGCAGATCCACGTGAAAAATGTAGAAATTGGGCCGAGTCTCAAACATTAGCTATGAGCTAAGTACTTACTACTGCTACTGCGTAAGCAGAGCCAATTTAAGAGTCTCCGGTTTCGCATGCAAAGCCCCTCCCCCCAGTTGTCGATCGTTGGGGCTTATCGGGACTTTCTTATCTCGTTCTTATCGTGTCTAGTATGTATTGTAGTCATGATAACCTTCTTCCATCTAATCCATCTATCGGACTAAGCAATTATGATGGCTGAAAGCCTTCGATGAAAACATAGTAAAAATATTTTCCTGCGAATAATGACTGGCCTACGTGTACTGTAAACTAATCCACATACATTATCTTCACTACATTTGCCGTGCTGAGGCTCCAGGTCACATGACCCATCGTCCAATTTGGCCGGTCACAACTCGCCGGGCAGAAAGTCCTCCGCACATCGCATATCCACTCCTCGACTAGCGCCCAGAGGCTAAGAGACCTTGTCGAGACTTCTCAAATTGGTTGGCTGGTTGCCTCAACGCTCTTACTTCTCTTCAACGCACCCTCAACCCTTGCCCACCATGTCTGACGTCGCCGCCTTGGAGGCCGAGGTCAAAGAATTCAAGATCCAGGTAACTCCCCCTCCTCTCACCTTTCCTCCATATGATCCAAGCGCAAACCAACTAATGACCTTCATTTGTCCTCTTCTCTAGCTTGAAACCGTCCAATCTAGCTTGCAGGTAGAACCCGATAACACGGAGCTGCAAAGTCTCAAGACTGAACTTGAAGAACTCATAACCCTCACCGAAACTGCCATCGCCGAGCTTAAACCTTCCGCACCCGCAGCGAAGCCGAAGCCAACCCCAGCATCGTCCAAGGAGACATGGTCATCGAAGGACTCTGTCTCGCGCCCGTCACAACCCGCCGTCGATCGCACAGATGAGGTCGCCGCCACCGCACCCACCCCAGCCGCCTCTTTCTCCGTCAATGACACTGTTCTCGCCCGCTGGGTCTCGGGCGACAATGCCTTCTATCCCGCTCGCATTACCTCCATCACGGGCTCTTCTAGCAACCCCGTGTACCTGGTCTCGTTCAAGTCGTATGCGACCGTCGAGAACCTGACGGCCAAGGATATCCGCCCCATCGCGGGCAATGACTCTCGCAAGCGCAAGGCTGATGGAACCCCAGGCAGTTCAGCATCCCCATCTCCCGCTCCACCGTCGCTCTCACACGCCAATGTGATCTCGGCGGCGGCCGATATCAATCCCACTCTCGCCAACCAAGCTCGTCAGGAGCCTGGTAAGGTTGGGGATGCGTCCGCCCGTCCCGCCAAGGTGCCTCGCAAGGTCAAGGCCAATAAGGAATTGGAGGAAGGCAAGAACAAGTGGCAGAATTTTGCGGCCAAGGGCAAGGGCAAGTTTGGCAAGAAGGACAGCATGTTCCGCACTGGTGAATCGGTGAATGCTCGAGGTTTGTATTTGGTCTTGATTGTTGGTAAAGGCGTAGAACGAAGGCTAACTCTTCTGTCAAGTGGGATTCACGGGATCAGGTCAACAGATGCGCAGAGACCCTACGCGGACTCGCCATGTTTATCAACAGGCCGAGGATGAGGGCTACTAAAAAGACGGAAACATCTCCCCAGGCTCTTCGGTCGAGCTGTGGAGGTCTTGCATTAGTAGGCGTCTGGCCTATGGTTATGTCCTTTTTCTTTCCTGCTTCTTTTCTTCTTTTGTTTGGAGTATTTCTCGTGTCCTCATCGCTAACTGGATCGGCGATGCAGATAAAGCCATCTTCATCTTTTGTATTTCTCGCCTAGCGGAGTTCTGTGTCCATAGATTACGGTTATTCCGAGGATTTCATGATTTTCATTCACGAAGTGATATCTATTATCAGTTGACCACCCTTGCATTCTTGTGTAGATTTCTAACTTTGATTTGCTCTCCAGATCTAAGGCCCGTCCTGTGATTCTCTTTATATGGTCCTTATGGAGACGTATTGTCTGGCCTGCGTTCCAGCCTCATGGATTATCAGTCTGGTTGACGATTGTTTACTTACTGGAGCTCCGGTGAAATGCCTATGTTCAGCATCATCCTCTCTGCATACCTATTCAATAGCAGCTAGTATATATTATGTTTTTCGGAGAAAGCAATATATATCTCCATTATTTCACTTCTTGCCCAAGTGCATCATCGGCGGCATCTGGAAAGGGCCACAAATGTTAACTACAATACGGCCAAGCAGAACTATAGAAGACCACAAGTTAAACCATCTACTATTACCTCTTCATCCTCACAATGCCCCCGCGTGTGACCAGCTTAGAAGTAGGATAGCATCCAGGTTCTTGTAAATCTCCCATGGATAGGCGTAGACATAGGTAGAGACCAGATACGAGCCCGACAGCTAGGAACCTTTGTTGTGCCTGACCTTAGCGCCTAGCTCAGATCGCGGCACCTCAGTAGGTACTACTAGGTAGTACAGTACGTACATACTTTAGGCATTGCAACTCGCCCCAGTGGTTCTGATAAGTCTTGGCCGGACTGGGCGGGGCGGCGGTACCCGCCTCTCCTCGGTCCAGCCCACGTCATGTTGCGCTTCTCTTGCTTCTGGGCTCTCTCCAACTTCCAATCTCCTGGACACTTTCATTCCTACCTCCTGCTCAAGACTTTCTTGCGTGCTGCTGAAATTTGTGGATGGTTAACACGTCTGTGACCTCTCTTCTTTGAGTCAGCCTCCGCTTTTTTGTTGTCCTTTGCGCTTGAAGTGTCCGAGCTTCGGCCTTGCGACCGGTAGAGCTGTCTCCACCTTTCGCATGAGCAGCTCTGCAGGGCTGACCATTGATAACGAACCTCTGTCACTCATCCAGAGACTCGGATAAGTCGGAATAGGACTTGAAGAAACGCGACTATTCCTCGGCCTGATTGCCGTGTCGACAAAATGCGGCAATTGGGGCTTGTTGGTACGCTCGTGGGGTTGGGCTTCCTTGCTTCGCAGCCGGCGCTGGTCGGCGCGCAGGGCGAGACCAAGATCCACGAGAAGGGGCGCTGTGCGATCCGTGGGCACTGCGGAAAGCAATCGATATTTGGCGGCGAGTTGCCTTGTCCTGATAATGGACGGGCTCATGAACCGGAGGATGAAGTAAGGCAGAAGCTGGTCGGGCTGTGCGGTTCCAAATGGGAGGAGGGCCCCGTCTGCTGTCTCGATGAGCAGGTGAGATTATAATCAGTCTATCATTGAGCAGATGCGATCGCTAGTATTGAGTGGGTGTACTGACGAAGTTCGTTGTTTTGTCGTAGATCGATGCGCTTTCTAGCAACTTGAAGCTGGCTGAGGGTATCATTGCCTCATGTCCAGCTTGCCGGCACAACTTTTTCGACATCTTCTGTACCTTCACCTGCTCACCGGATCAGTCGCTTTTCGTCAACGTCACTCAAACGGAGGAGAATCGCTCGGGCAAGAGACTAGTGACCGAGGTGGAAAACATTTGGTCCGAAGAATATCAGAGTGGTTTCTTTGACAGCTGTAAGAGCGTGAAAAATGGTGCCTCCGGCGGAAAGGCCATCGACTTCATCGGTGGGGGTGCGAAAAATTACTCGCAGTTCCTGAAGTTCCTCGGGGACAAAAAGTTCCTGGGAAGTCCTTTCCAAATCAACTATCACACTGAGCCCAGTGGTCCCGACTCGGAGGGCATGAGGGCGTTGCCCATGAAGCCCAAGGCTTGCAATGACGCGGACAAGGCGTATCGTTGCTCTTGCGTCGATTGCCCCGATGTGTGCCCCGAGTTGCCTGCCGTGTCTACTCAAGCTTCGTGCCATGTGGGACTCTTGCCATGTCTCTCATTTGCCGTCATCGTCATCTACTCCGCATTCCTCACGCTTGTTATCGGACTTGCAAGCTATGTCACATACAAGGAACGTCGATTTCGCAAGCCTGAGCGTGTGCGCTTGCTCCAGGATCCCACTCCCAGTGATGATGAAGATGAAGGGGAGGTTGTGCACCGTGGAGGCTACATGGAACAGCCCCAGGGTGTATACAAGCCAAACTCCCTTCTGTCTGCTCTGTTCCGTCGCATTGGTGGAGCTTGTGCTCGATTCCCAGCCATCACGATTGTATCCAGCTTTATTGTGGTGGTTGTGCTCAGCTTGGGCTGGCTTCGATTTACGATCGAAACGGACCCCGTGCGTCTCTGGGTGAGTCCGTCGTCACCAGCCGCTCAGGAAAAGGCGTTTTTCGACGAAAGCTTTGGGCCATTCTTCCGAGCTGAGCAAGCCTTCCTGGTGAATGAAACTGGTCCAATTCTAGACTATGACACCCTTGTGTGGTGGTTTGACGTCGAATCCCGTGTGCGACGCATGATTTCGCTGGACAAGGGTCTCAATCTGGACGATGTCTGCTTCAAACCGACAGGTGATGCCTGTGTGGTACAATCCTTAACCGGGTACTTTGGTGGCGCGGTCTCCAATCTCGACCCTGACACATGGCAAGATCGGCTCCTCCACTGCACTGAATCTCCCGGTGACCCTAGCTGTCTCCCTGACTTCTCGCAACCATTGAAGCCGGAGATGATTTTGGGTGGATATGAAAGCACTGGAAACGTCTTGGACGCTAAAGCGCTGGTTGTGACCTGGGTGGTGAACAACTTTGCCCAGGGCACCGCTGAAGAAGCGAACGCCATCGATTGGGAGAATAGCTTCAAGACCGTCTTTGATGTTGTCCAGGAGGAAGCCGCTGAGCGTGGTCTCCGTGTTTCTTTCAACGCCGAGGTTAGTCTTGAGCAAGAACTGAACAAGTCTACCAACACGGATGCGAAGATCGTGGTCATCAGTTACGTGATCATGTTCGTATATGCTTCTCTGGCCTTAGGGTCTGTCACTGTCACCTGGCGGTCTCTTCTCATGAATCCCGCCAATGCCCTTGTGCAGTCCAAGTTCACACTCGGTATTGCTGGCATCTTGATCGTGTTGATGTCTGTCTCTGCTTCGGTGGGGCTGTTTTCAGCGGCCGGTGTGAAGGTGACTTTGATCATTGCCGAAGTCATCCCATTCTTGGTACTGGCAGTCGGTGTTGACAATATCTTCTTGATCGTCCATGAATTTGAGCGTGTCAACTTCAGCTACCCGGACGAAGAGATCGATGAAAGAGTTGCTCGCGCTGTCGGGAGAATTGGACCCAGTGTCTTCCTGTCTGCCTTGACGGAAACTGTGGCATTCTCTCTGGGCGCATTTGTAGGGATGCCTGCCGTCAAGAACTTTGCGGCGTACGCAGCGGGTGCCGTCTTCATCAATGCCATTCTGCAGGTCACCATGTTCATCTCCGTCCTGGCTCTTAACCAACGGCGAGTGGAGAGTCTTCGCGCAGACTGCTTCCCATGCGTCACCGTTCGTAAGGCGAACTCGTTTGGCTTGCCTGAGGAACAGATCTACGATGATCACGAAGCAGAGAGTACGCTCCAAAGCTTCATCCGCCGGATTTATGCTCCGTTTATTTTGGATCGCCGCGTCAAGGCAGTGATTGTCATCGTCTTCCTGGGTATACTCACTGCAGGCCTGGCTTTGATCCCTGAAGTGGCCCTCGGTCTGGATCAACGGATTGCGCTCCCCAGTGACTCTTACCTGATCTCATACTTCAATGATCTTGATGCCTATTTCCGTACTGGACCTCCAGTTTACTTTGTCACTCGCAACGTCAACGTGACCGAGCGAAAGCACCAGCAACAGCTCTGTGGTCGATTCACCACCTGCGAAGAGTTCTCCTTGCCATTTGTTCTAGAGCAAGAATCCAAGCGTCCGAATGTGTCTTATCTTGCAGGATCCGCCGCTAGCTGGATTGATGACTTTTTCTACTGGCTCAATCCTCAACAAGATTGCTGCAAAGAAGATGACAAGCAGTGTTTCGAGGGTCGCAACCCGCCGTGGAATCTCACTCTCTACGGTATGCCAACCGGGCCCGAGTTCATTCACTACGCTGAGAAGTGGATCGATGCACCCACCGATGCCTCCTGTCCTCTCGGAGGCAAGGCCCCTTACAGTTCTGCAGTGCTCATCGACAAGAAGCACACCATGATCAATGCCAGCCATTTCCGAACGAGCCACACTCCCCTGCGAAGCCAAGATGACTTCATTCAGTCATACATTGCGGCTCGTCGAATTGCGGACGATATCTCTCGAGAGCACAAGATCGATGTGTTCCCCTACTCGAAGTTCTATATCTTCTTCGACCAGTACGTTTCCATAGTACAGCTGACTGGTACACTGCTGGGATCGGCGGTCGCTATCATTTTCGTCTTGACCTCTGCTATTCTCGGGTCCATCGCTACTGGTGCAGTCATCACCACCGTGGTAGTTATGACCATGGTCGACATTATCGGTACGATGGCCATTGCTGGCGTTTCCTTGAACGCCGTTTCGCTCGTGAATCTGGTGATTTGCGTGGGTATTAGCGTGGAATTCTGCGCGCATATCGCTCGCGCGTTCATGTTTCCCCCGCGAACTCTTCTCGAGAAAGCCCCCGCCAAGTTCCGCGGTAAGGATGCTCGGGCCTGGACGGCACTGGTCAATGTGGGTGGAAGTGTGTTCAGCGGCATTACGGTGACCAAGCTTCTTGGAGTCTGTGTGCTGGCTTTTACTCGGAGCAAGATCTTTGAGATCTACTATTTCCGTGTTTGGCTGGCCTTGGTGGTGTTTGCCGCCACTCACGCGCTTATCTTCCTGCCCGTAGCTCTCAGCTACTTTGGCGGTGGTGGTATGTACTTCCTTCACCCAGGGCTGATTGTTTTCTTTACTAATGATGTATAGGATATCTCGACCCAGCTGCAGACGGTGGCCTTGAGGCTAACCTCGCGTCGCGAGGGTACCGCTCGCTGCTGGTTGATGATGATTACGACTCTGATGAATACTAAGCGCTACTTGCTCCCGAGACATAGTCTGACTTTTTACTCTTGCCAAATTTGACACCTACTTTCGGTTCTTTCACGGACTCTGCAGCAATGGTTGTCTGGGGTTTGCCGAGCTCACCAATAGTCTGCAGCCACGGATACACACAGCTGAGGGAGGTACCGGCGCTTTCAGACCAGGCTGGGCGTTTTGGGATTGTGGTAGAGTTGGGAGGGGTAATTTCTTTTTCCTTTTATTGTCGAGTGTATGCTACTGTACACGTCTATATCTCTTTCTTGCTACTCTTTTGTACTGTCTGGTCTTAATTGTAGTTGATCACATGCCCCTCACGAGACCACACACAAAAACCCTATACGATGGTCGGTGTCAATGATAATGTTAGCGTGGTACTTCCACCCCTACTTCATGACTAATATTCTGCCACCCTTTTATTACGACTTCACGTAATTAAACCACTATAATACAATATATTACCGCCTAGTAAGGTGTATGACCCCCCTGCGCGTCGATAACAGCCTGGCAGCGCTTCTGCATCAGATCAATCTGCTGGTCTAAAAAGCTTGTAGGAATCGCATCCCAAGCAGCTCGCACAGCCTCGCGTAGCTGATCATAAGATAGCTTACGATCATAGTCTTTCAAATATCGATCACCGATCCAATCTTTTATCCAATCCCAAACCTTCTCAATTGGATTAAGATCTGGCGAATACGGTGGCCAGTCGATAGGGTATATCCCACGATCGTGAAGCTCCTCAATAGTTAAGAGATTTCGATGAGATGGTGCGCCGTCTTGCATTACAATTAGATGTTGATCTAAATGATTGCGAGCCAGCGAAACCATACCGTCGATAAGAGGCACAATTCGCTCTGTATATCGAGCAGCAGTAATAGTGCCCCATTCCTTCTCCCAAAATAGACAAGGGCCTTTCTTATTATTATAGAATGAGCCCCAAAACATCCAGCCAGGTGCACGAGAAATTCGCTCTCGTATACAAGTATCATCAAATTCCTCACCAGCCCGACGCGTAACATAGATCCGTCGATGATAGACCGATGTAACCCAGGTCTCATCAGTCCATAATATCTTTTCCCACTGCTCACGCGTCTAATTAACGTGCTCTAGCGCCCAGATTAGACGCAGTGCTCGTGTACGGTCGGACAAAGGAGGCTTTCGAAGGGCCTTACATCGATGATATCCACGTCTAGCTAAGGCCCTTCGTAAGGTGACAGAACTAATAGGGAGTTGTAGTTCTTCTATAACCCTAGAGTACGGCATCCGTCGTGTCTCTTTCGAAGATGAGATAAACTCGATTATCTCATCAAGCTGTTCTTCTGATAGCTTTCGACCTCGGCCAGGGGCCTTACGTGGTGTAGGCCTCTCATCAGTGCAAGCCTTTTGGACCTGACGCTGGGTAATGCCCAGTTTTGATGCAATTTGGCTATAGGTAAGCCCCTGAGCGCGCAGTGTACGCGCTGCGATGCGCTGATCACGACTAGCTTTATGGCTAGGGGTATGAGGGGCCTGGGGGGCCTGGGGGGTATGATCGGATCTTTCGTGATTAGTCTCCATGGTAGGTAGGTAGGTAGGAAGGTAGGTGGCTAGGTGGCTAGGTGGAAGGGTTTGAAACATATGGTATTGCCCTAATCCCTATTCGGAAGGCGGTTGGAGAGGGTATTAGTCATGAAGAAGGGGTGAAAGTACCACGCTAACATTATCATTGACACCGACCATCGTAGATGCGCGACCCAAACTCCATGTCACCAAACAAAAGCGTATCACACAACAACAAAAGGGGAAGAGATTACTACTATGTAATCAAAAACGGTGCCCAACCCCAAAAGGGCCTAATGACCCAAATGTCCCAAGTAAATCCCAGGTTCATAGCTCAATTAGCCCAATAGAAAACTGAAGAAGTTTTCCCCTCGACACGGTTGATGGTGGTTCATCCCGCCCTAAACCCAATCGGGTAGGTTCCCCCCCTACTTTTTTTTTTCTTTGCCGTGTCTCGTTCCAAATTTTTTTTTCTTTCTCTTCTTCTTTTCATCCCCCCACCATCCTCTCCTTTCTTTCCTTTTTTTCCTTTCTGTTGTTTTTCATTGAGATACCCCCTTGAGCTGTTTGTCTTCGTCGACAAGCTGCTCATCTTTGAATTGTCCTCTGCTTGAAATTTATTAGGGGCTAGGGACAACCCCCCAAGTGACTTTCCACACGGACACTTTCTGGAAGGAGAAGAGAAGAAGAAAAAATATCTGCTTGGTGATACCACATTCTATCATCAATCATGGATCAACAACGATTCCTGCAGCAATTGCAGATCATCCTGGACCGTATGTACCTGAGAAAAGCTTCTCCTCTCCTGCAAGATCAATTCCCCCTCGCTAACCCTTGCTTCTTTTCTCCAGCAACCCAGGGAAATGTCAAGGAGGCCACCGGCGTCTTGCAAAAAGAGTTCTACAGCAAGCCTCAGTCCCTTGTCCTCCTCATCCAGGTCGCTACCGGCCATGAAGACCCCAACCTCCGTCAGCTGTCCGCCGTCGAGGCTCGTGGTCTCGTCCAGAAGCACTGGCTGAAGGTTGCCGCGGCTGAGAAGCCTCAGGTTCGGGAGCAGCTGCTTCGCGCCACCATGGGCGAGAGCCAGGATCTTGTTCGTCACTCCGTCGCCCGGATCATCTCGGCTATTGCCAAGATTGATCTCCAGGACGGCGAGTGGGCTGATCTGCCCAACATCCTCCTGCAGGCGGCTGACGGCGGCAACCAGGACGAGCGGTCCGTTGCCATCTACATCCTGTTCACCATTCTCGAGACTCTCGGTGAGGGCTTCGAGGAGAAGTTCCAGGACCTGTTCACCCTGTTCAACAAGACCATTCGCGACCCCGAGAGCGCCGAGGTCCGCATCAACACCCTCCTGGCTCTGAGCAAGCTTGCCTACCACCTTGACTCCGAGGAGAATGTCGCCCCCGTCAAGGCTTTCCAGGAGATGGTTCCTGCCATGGTCGCTGTCCTCAAGGATGCCATCGACCAGAACGAGGAGGACCGCATCATGCAGGCCTTCGAGGTCTTCCAGACCCTGCTCAGCCTGGACCCTGCCCTCCTGACCGTCCACCTCAAGGACCTGGTCGTCTTCATGAACGAGATTTCTGCCAACACTCAGGCTGACGAGGACGTCCGTACTCAGGCCATCAGCTTCCTGATGCAGTGCGTCCAGTACCGCAAGCTCAAGATCCAGGGTATGCGTCTCGGTGAGCAGCTCACTCGCACTGCTCTCCAGATCGTCACTGAGCTGGATGACTCCCCCGCTGATGACGACGACATCACTCCTCCCCGCTCCGCCCTGGGTCTGCTCGACATTCTCGCCCAGAGCCTGCCCCCCAGCCAGGTCGTTGTGCCTCTGCTCCAGTCTCTGGGTCAGTACTTCCACCACACCGACCCCAACTACCGCCGTGCCGGTATCATGGCCCTCGGTATGTGCGTTGAGGGTGCTCCCGACTTCATCAGCACCCAGATGAAGGAGATCTTCCCCATGGTTCTCCAGCTCCTTGCCGACCCTGAACCCAAGGTCCGCCAGGCTTCGCTCCACGCCGTTGCCCGCCTTGCCGACGATCTCGCCGAGGACCTCAGCGCTGAGCACGAGCGCCTCATGCCCCTGCTCTTCAAGAACCTGGCTAGCGCCATGCAGGAGTACAAGGGTGAGGAGGATGGCCCTACTATGGACATCATGAAGGCCGGCATCAGCGCCATTGATGCCGTCGTCGACGGCTTGGATGAGAAGGACGTTGCCCCCTACCAGGCCGAGCTTGTGCCCATCCTCCACGAGCTCTTCAAGCACCCCGACTTCAAGATCAAGGGTCTTGCCGCTGGTGCTCTTGGTTCCCTCGCCTCCTCTGCTGGCGACTCCTTCCTCTCGTTCTTCGACGAGTCGATGCACCTGCTCCAGGAGTTTGCCACTGTCAAGGACAGCGAGGAGGAGCTTGATCTCCGTGCTAGTGTCACTGACGCTATGGGTGAGATGTCCGCTGCTGCTGGCCCTGAGCGCTACCAGCCGTACGTCGAGCCTCTAATGCGGGCCACCGAGGAGGCCCTCCACCTCGGTCACTCTCGCCTCAAGGAGAGCACCTACATCTTCTGGGGTGCCATGGCCAAGGTCTACGGCGAGCAATTCTCTCCTTTTCTGGACGGTGTTGTCAAGGGTCTCTTCGAGTGCATTGAGCAGGACGAGGATGCGCTTGATGTTGATCTCGGCGAAGCTGCCCGTGATCTCATCGGTCAGGAGGTGATTGTTAACGGCCGCAAGGTCAAGGTCGCCAGTGCCGATGATGATGACGAGCTCAACGGCGACATTGAGGATGTCGAGATCGACGAGGACGATGAGGATGACTGGGATGATATCACTGCTACCACCCCTCTGTCTCTCGAGAAGGAGATTGCTGTGGAGGTTATTGGTGACCTGGTTACCCACACTCGCAGCTCCTTCCTGCCCTACTTCGAGAAGACCATCGAGACTGTCATGCCCCTTGCTGAGCACCCCTACGAGGGCGTTCGCAAGAGCACCATCAGCACCCTGCACCGCTCCTATGCCATGCTGTTCGCCATTGCCGAGGAGAGCGGCCAGATGCCCAAGTGGCAGCCCGGTCTGCCTCTCCAGGTCCAGCCCGCCAAGGAGGTCAAGAAGTTCGGTGAGATCCTCATGACTGCCACTATCAAGATGTGGGCTGAGGAAGATGACCGGTACGTTTTACATGATTGTTCTGATTTCTTTGCTTTTGGCCTGGTCTTTTACATGATGATTTTTCCGCTTAACCCAGCTCACTTTGACACACCAAAGAGTGTGATTGATGCGAACGGCGATTCTGTATCTGATATTTGTTTTCATGACCATGGCCTTGCTATTTGCTATTGCTATTTTGCTCGTCGATTCCTTTCATCTTTACTGACTGATCGACTTTTAGTGCTACCGTCGCGGACATCAACCGCAACATGGCTGAGAACCTCCGCTACTGCGGCCCTGCTCTCATTGCCGATGAGACTGTCCTCCACAACGTCATCCAGATGGTCACCGACATCATCACCAAGCAGCACCCCTGCCAGATGGAGTTCGGCCCTGAGGAGGAGACTCTCGAGGCCGGTGAGGAGACTTCCGAGTTCGACTGGGTTGTTGTTGACACTGCCCTGGACGTCGTCTCGGGTATGGCCGCCGCTCTCGGCCAGAGCTTCGCTGAGCTCTGGAAGGTCTTTGAGAAGACCATCCTCCGCTACGCCAGCAGCACCGAGTCTCTGGAGCGCGCCACCGCCGTGGGTGTTCTCGCTGAGTGCATCAACGGTATGGGCGCCGCCGTGACCCCGTTCACTACCTCCTTCCTCAAGCTGCTGCTGCACCGTCTTGGTGACGAGGACCCCCAGACCCGCTCCAACGCCGCGTATGCCGTTGGACGTCTTGTTGAGCGCTCCAACTCGGATGCCGAGATCGTCAAGGAGTTCCCCACCATCCTCAGCCACCTCGAGTCGTGCTTGCAGATGAGCGTGTCTCGTCTGCAGGACAACGCTACTGGCTGTGTCTCCCGCATGATCCTGCGCCACCGCGACCACATCCCCACCAAGGATGTCCTACCCGTGCTGGTCAACATCCTGCCTCTGAAGAACGACTTCGAGGAGAACGACCCCCTGTACCGCATGATCTGCCAGATGTACAAGTGGGAGGATGCGACCATCCGCGAACTCACCCCCCGTCTGCTGCCTGTCTTCCAGGCCGTCCTGACCGGCGATGAGGACCAGCTTGACGATGAGCGTCGTGCCGAGCTCATCGAGCTGGTCAAGTGGCTGAACCAGATGCAGGCGGGCGCTGCCCCCTGGGTTGAGCAGCTGTAAGGATGCTTATGACGGATTTATTTTATGTGACGACCCCCTGAGCCGGACTACGTGTTAATGGTATAGACGGATGATCTGGACCCCCAAGATGACTAGACGATACCCCATCTTGACGGTGATTTCCCCCGCGATGAATGATGAAAAAAAGTGCTGTTGTACATAGTTCAATTGATTGATGAATGATTCTCAAACTCTTTTCCCCCAATAATTCGTAAACTTGAGTGCTTGTACACTCTTTAGGTTGTACATTGTCTCCATAGACTAAGTAATAGCGCACAGGTAGGCCCGATCATAATCGTGTAAGCTCAACTTATACTTCGTACTGTGTGAGTCTCCCGTCGAGGCCTCGGACCCTGTGACGTGTGTGGCGGGACCTCCAAAATCGTCAGGGATAAAAGTTTGGGCCTGAAGAAACATGGATCCAACGCCTATCGACTCTGCTTCGATGATTGGCCATCCTCGCAGTAGCGCAGCAGGAAGCTTGAGAAGAGGGAGAGATAAATGGCTGCCTGGTTCTCGTGGGGTCGAATGCACTAACTCCATCTCCGTACTTCACTGGAAATCAGGACCAGTTTCCAACCATTCCTCTCCCCTCCTACCCCGGTTCCCCTTGAGGCTTACCGGTGATTATACGACATCTTACCGCGTCTTATCTGAGGTCAGATCGCCAGGTTCATGGTTTATGATGTGCTGATATGCTGACGTCGTTCCAGGGTTTCTGTGTTTCACCGCTAGTGCTAGACAATCGCGATCGTCAGAAGGACGTACATAACCTCGCTCAGTACGACGTTCATGATGATTCCCTCTGTCGCTGCACCGATTAATTGGGTTCTGCCCTCGTCTGGCTCGGGCAGTTCTATCAAGAAGCCTATTAAGACTGTGTCGAAGCCGTGTTTTGGGTGCGATTGCGGTGATGAGGAGTGTGATTGCTGTATCTGTACGGTTATGTGAGGATGAGGGAGGATATGACTGGCCGAGGAGGAGATTGATGAGTTGATAATTGATAATGGTGGTGGACTTTAATGAAGTTTTTTTTGAGGCAGATACTTCTCAGTCGCAACGAGATTGAATGGGCATGGCCTTGATTTCGATTTGGTCATCTGGAATAGCGAAGATCTTGTGTTTTTGGGTTCAACAATGCTCTTTTTACTTGTAATCAAGAGGTCTGAACTTGTCGAATCCGTCCACTGCAGAGAGAAACCTAAGGTTCATGTATATTCGGTGAACTATATACCAGGGCTCCCGACTAACGTTGGCCGGGTCTAGGCTGTTACCGGCCAGCTCCCTTTGTAATCCATAGCTGATCTACTCGGTATATATTTACCAATTTCTAATGGCTTACTCTCCATCCATCGTAAAATAACACATGAAAAGCCCTAAAAACAAGCCCACCCCCACTATTCACCAGCCCTCTAAAACCCTTTAAACGTGATGAATCCGCGGATCGGCGCCTTCCGCTGACTCAGCGCCTTCCAGCACTTCCGAAAGAATCGCCGCCGAGCACTTTGAAGGTCTCCATGCATTCATCAGATGAAGGAGCGCCCAAGCGCACGGCGCGCGCCTGCGATTCTTGCTATAGACGCAAGGTAGAATACTCCTTTTTGATTTATGTGGAAGTGGGAATGTGCGAGACTGACTCTTCCATCCAGATCAAATGCGATGCTGCCGTGCCACAGTGCAATTGGTGTAGCCACCATAACCTCCCATGTACTTTTGATCGAGTTATTACACGAAAGCGGAAGACGGAAAATGAGGGAAAGTGAGTATCAATTTCTTAATTTGAGTTATATTAATGCTTGTCTTGTCGTCGCTTTTTTCTCATTGGCTAACAATTCTTGCATAGTCGGCCTAAAGCCTCGCGGCTGTCAGAGCGCATCAGCCGCATTGAACAGCTCCTAGCGGAGAATTTGATAAGGGATTCAAGTCCTGGTAAGCTTTATCTCGCTTCGAACATTTGCTCTCTGGTGGCCATAGCTATGGCCATATATCACCTCTGTGCTCTTTCTAAGTTCAAATAGCCCCACCGGATCTATCAGAGACCGCCTATGACTACTCAACGCCCAGTAGCTCCCCCAGCACTGTCAGCAGCTTCGCACCCCAGCTATCATATTCTGTGGGAGTGCATTTCGCTGGCCGAGAACTGGGTGCGATCAGTCTTCTGACAGGCGTCCCATTCCTTCTACCTGAAGGGCAAGCCTGGATCCAGTCTCGCACCGGACAGACCGTCGCACACGACAAGCTGAGTCCTATGCATGCACCATGGGAGAAAGAGCGCGCCCAAAGTAACAAGAACTTATTGATGAGTTTGACGAGCGAGAATTTATTCGATCTTCCTGATTGGCGTGTCGTACGGTTGTACTTTGAAGCCTACAGAAGCTCTGCTGTAATGCGGCGGATCTTTCCGGTTATCGACTGCGATTTATTCGAAGAGACTATCCATGCAGCTTACCAGCAATCGAGCTCGAGTTACCGACAGACCAGCAGCCGAGCTTGTGTCACTGCTTTCCTTGCATTTGTTTGCCGCCTGCCTCCAATAAAGGAGCTTACCCAGGAGACGCCAATTGATCACGAAACCCTGGCTGGCAAATGTCAATTTTTGATAGCCCAAGTTCTGCAAGAACCTGCAACTATGGACGCTTTACAGGCTGTCACAATGCTGGTGAGACTATATCCTCTGATTGCTTTTATTAAGACAGGAGTGTACTTCGAACATGGCTAATCGCGATTCCCTAAACTCACTAGACGCTATATGAACTCGCTTCGGGAAACATGCGGGTGACGAATTATTTAGGGGCAGTTGCTGCACGACAAATCTTCATGCTAGGTGCAAATCTCTGTCAAAATCGAACGTCCCCAGTCAGTGAGCGCAGCCAGAAACGCCAAAATCACCTCCGCAATCTCTTTTGGATCTGCTACACCTTAGACAAGGATGTTGCCCTTCGCACTGGTCAACCACCCGTCATAGTTGACGAAAATTGTGACTTGACCATGCCAGAAGGATATACCGAGCGAGCATTCTCTGATCCGGAGAAAGATGATAATCCTAATGTGGAGCCGGTCTTTCCTTTTGATTTGCGTCTGAGCATGCTCAAGTCTCGAACTCAAAGTCATTTGTACTCGGTGAGCGCGATGCAAAAGTCTGACGCCGATTTATTGAAATCTATACGGGAATTGGATGATGAATTGGAGGAGTGGCGGCTGTCAATTCCGCCCCAGTGGCGTCCGACAATGTCGTTCTCGCAAGAGACCTCCGATCCGAATATGAGCATGCATTCAGTCATGTTGCGGGTTAATTACTATTTGTGTATGAGCGTCATTCACCAGGCGAGCAGTCGGTGCAAGGCGTGGATGCAGGGTAGTGGGATGATGGACGGGGTGAGTTCGAGTTTGGCTCTGTCGGTGGAAGCTAGTCGGTCAACACTCTGTTACCTGGGAGCTGCGGAGCATGTGCTAGTAGAGGGAGTTTTCTGGTAAGCATGTTCCTTCTCTCTACTTTCAAGTAGTCACATTGTGATTTCTCTGGCTAATGAGTGCCTTTCTCTATCCAGGACACTAATATTCTACCCCATGTCCGCACTCCTCACTATTTTCTGCAGTATCCTCCAGAATCCACTGGATCCACGCTCGCGTGATGATTTGGATCATTTGAAAATGGCCACCGTTATGATGGCTCGCATTTTCTCACGAAATTTGCCCGAAACCGAGGTCGAGCACCTGAAGCTGGTGGCTGACTTTGTCACTGAGCTCAAGCGGCTGGCCGAGTGTGCCATTGACAAGGCATGGCGGGAGCAGAGCGCCAGCTCTCATATGGCATCATAATCGTTTTTCTTTTATTTCTTGCTTGGTGTCTTTTGTTTCTTTGTATATGGTCTTGTATACGGGTTATAATATGGGCGTCAAGGGCTTGGGGATATGCGTTGCAGCTTTGGGAATAACATAACGACACGATAGAAGGGGGATTAGGGATACATAGACTGGGGACAATCTCAACTACCACATTTTGCTACTAGACACATCGCTATCTTTAATAAATAACTTCTGAGCAGAGCTTTTGGCCCTCGAGCGATCTTATTGTTGCTTTGAAAAGTGCTTCAACAATGAGACAGCTAAGTAGACCAGCTCCAGGTTGGGATTGTTTCCTTATCATGAGAAATCTTTGCAGTCCATCCTCCTCTCGGGCGGTGAATGCTTCACATGGAATGACCCTCGACTCGCAGATTGAGGCAATGGTTTTGAGGGCGGCGACTCCCAAGTGAAAAAAAGTATGAAACTCCCTGAGGAAGCATGACCGTCTCTCCGATCGGACGGCTACCGCTCTGTGCCCGGTTCATTTCACTTCAATCACCCTGTGTTTGCGGGCATGAAGACCTGTCTCGTAGCGGGTCCCTTTGCGGGCAACAGCTTTTGGAGTCTAAGTTGAGGCTTGGTTGGGTTGATTGATATTGAGTTGAAAGACCAGCTCTGCTTCCTCAATTCACTTTGTCAAGCAGATCCCATATCAATTGTGCATCCTCGACTGATCGTTTGGCTGCCACCTTCGAGGTATCGGTGCTCTCAATCCGCTCTGCCGAATTGACTGCACCACCCTCTGCTTCGAGTTGCTCCATCAAGCTCTCAATGTCTGCTTTGACCTTGTCCATCTGCTTGATTTCCTCTCGAGTGCGCTTCAATTGTTCTTCCATCATCATAATGAGTGATTCACGTGCCTGGTGGGGGCGGTATAGGTTCAGTAGATGGTGGGCATTGATGAACAGATTGCGTAGGTCCTCCACTTTAGACTCGAACTGTTCGGGTGACACCGAGAGAATCCCGACAAATTCGAGGAAGTTGAGTAGAAGGGACTTGCTAATCTTCAGCAAATAGTAGGCGTGGTTGAGGTGTTGGGCGGGCTGGGAAAGGGCTTGGTCGGCGTCTGATGCAGGCTCCGGGTAAAGTTGCTCAATGCCTTGATCTTTCAAGGATGGCAGTGTCGTTGATAGCTATTTCACCTCAATTAGCCAATATCTATCGAAAGGAAAAGGCCTGATGGTTCAAACACACAGTCTGCGGTTCTCCAAAGACGGTATACTCCCCCGTGGGAATCTCAGGCGGCACCAGGAAGCGCAACTCGGAAGGTACTTCCAAAGCGCGGAGTTCTGCTGGTGACCACTTCTTTTCGACAGCAGGGATTCCATCCTTGTCCTTTGACGCTTCGGTCTTGATTTGGTCCAGCTTATCGAGGTTGTCGCGTGTAAAGTGCTTCCACAAAGGCGGCGGAGGCGCAAAGGCAGTAGCGACGGCTCGTTGCTCGTTGGTGTCGGCCATGATGCTCGTCAATTATGCCAGAAAGGCGAGGGTTGGGCAGTATCGAGTGGGATCACCGGTTATCGAAGGACTGACAGTTGATCGGAAATGAAGGTGAAGGTGACGGTGGATGTGGAGGTGAAGATGAAGGAATGCGGCCGGAGCTAAGTGGGTCTGTGCTTGCGACACAATGTGCTTGGCCGCTTCAACCCTTCTCCTCTTCTGATTAACCTGGGGCTTGGAATACTCTCACCCCTTCTGCCTAATGACTGGTGGTTGATGTCTTTTGGGAGGATCCTCGGGAGTTATTCTTACGCAGGATGCCTCTAAATAACTCGGGATCCCTATCCCAACCCATCTTGCATCGGGTAGGACTGGTGGGAGCGGCCGCTCGCTTCTACCAGCGCTCCTATGCGGCCGACTATATTGCATTGGGTTTTCTGGCGATGGGATGGCTGCTGGTAAGTCAATATTTTGTTTCTCTCATGCTGGAAATTGTTGCTAATGCGTATTTCCTGTCTTAGATACAAGTCTTCGTGAACCCATTCCACCGCATGTTCTCCCTCGACAACAAGGCCATCCAATTTCCATTCGCCGTCCATGAACGGGTTCCAGTTGGTGCGCACCCTTGGATATCCCTTCACGACTCCAGTATATACTCACCATACATCTAGGCATGTCCGTCATCTACGCCGGTGTCCTTCCCTGCCTCATCATCCTCGCTTGGTCGGCCATGCTACACCCCGGTGTACACAAGACACAGGTCACAATGTTGGGCCTGTTGGTAGCTCTGATGCTGACGTCTTTCTTGACTGATGTGATCAAAAATGCTGTGGGCCGGCCTCGTCCAGATCTGCTTTCGCGTTGCAAGCCTTCTCGGGGCACGGCGGATAACGTACTGGTCGCGTGGACAGTTTGTACCGAGTCCAATCAACACATTTTACAAGAAGGATGGCGCAGTTTCCCCAGTGGTCATAGCAGCTTCTCATTCAGTGGACTCGGCTACCTATCCCTGTGAGTATTTTGGTCAATTCATCAAATGAACATGAATTGCATGCTGACCCATTCCCTCATAGCTTCGTATGTGGCCAGATGCATGTCTTTCGACCTCGAACGGACCTCGCTCGGTGCTTATTAGCATTCTTCCCGCTGCTTTGTGCCGCACTAATTGCTATCTCTCGCCTGGATGATTACCGGCACGATGTCTATGATGTGACGGTTGGCGCAACTCTAGGGATGCTGATCGGCTGGTTCTCATACCGCCGCTACTACCCACCCTTGCGGTCAGTTCGTTGCGATACCCCCTATGACAAAGCCGACATTGGTAGTATTGAGGGATTCAGCAAGTTGGATGATGAGGAACAAGCGATTTCCCGACCGCTCGTCTCTCGCCAAGGTTCTGGAACCGAGGAAAGCTACCAGATGGACCATGCGGAGATGTCTAGCACTGCTTGAGAGGGGAAACATAAGCGCATTATCATATATCTTCATGTGACCAGGATCTTTGACAACGCAGCAAAGCTGTACATTGCATATGCACCATTTATCAAATGAATATGAGTCGATCAGGCCTGTCTACTATAAACTGCTCTTCCCAGTGGGGTCTTATACCACCGATAAGTTCTTTGAGTAGAACCTCGACTAGTGGAGTATTGAGAAACTCACCTACTGTAGGTGAAATCTTGAATCTACTGACTATAATTTGTAATTTGTCTAGATCCATCGGCGAGTCTACTGTAGTAAATCTGCGGGGTGGCAATAATTCGGCGGAAGCAGCTTATCGCCGCCTTTGGCCTTTGGCATTTTTGACTTTTGCGGGGAGCTCGTTTTCCTCCCCCTTCATCCTCGGCCCTGGCGAAACGGCCTTGTCTCTAATAATTGACAAACTGCGGAAGTTTGGCAGCTCTCACTCCCTGAATTTTCTCGTGGTTGCCAGTCTCCCGCCAGTCAAGATCGTGCTCCATTGTGTCTAGTTCCTCTTCCACCCCCGATGGACCTTTGGAACCGGTCCATCAAGCAGACCATGTGAGGAACCTTCCACGACACATTGGATGCCGCGCAGAAAAGCCGCCGACCGTACGGGCCAGGTGAAAACCCGGTCTCGTAGCGGTTGTCAAGAATGTCGAGCGAGCCGTGTGCGCTGCGACACGAAGAAGCCCGTCTGCACCCGATGCGCAGAGAAAGGCCTACCGTGTTCGACCAATCTCGTCCTGAAATGGGAGTCTGAATTTGTGAGCCGGGGTATGGCCTTTGGCCGTGCTGGCGTGTGGAGTAAAAGCCGCACCGATGAATCGTCGCCCTCGGGATCCAGTGCTTCGTCTCCTGCATTCTCTCTGGACGATATGCGACAGTGGTGCACACTGCCATCAATTCATCCATGGGCGTTCATCAACAGTGGAATGGCAACCTTTGACAACCCCGATCAGATAGACATTGCACTGAATGAGCAATTGGCAGTTGTTCCTTTCATCAACCGTCATACTATGATCGCTGGCGAGGCATCTGATCGTCCAGCATTCAACATCTGTTCAATCCGCAACATCGGTGGCCTTGCGACCGTACTGAGCCCTGGTCCTGCCCATGGCCCCTCCCTTTTTCCAGGAATATCGAGTATAGGTCATACAGAACTGTTTGATTATTATCTCCAGCAGGTCTGCCCTCGCGCTACCGCCAGCTCCACCATGTCTTCACCATTTGCCTCTGTGATTCTTCCTTTCAGTGTTTCTGCGTCACCCACGCTGTTCAAGGCTATTCAATCACTTGCTGCATGCCATTGGGCCCGACAAGATCCGAATTATAGCACACTCGGACTGCGCCTGAAATCGGAAACATTGAGGGATCTTCGCCGTCGCCTTTCATACGAGGGATCTGTGACATGTTCTAATGATCCTGAAGTTCTGCTCATCATGATGATGCTTTGTCTCTATGAAATTCTAGACAAATGCGATGAGCATTGGACGATTCATCTGAAAGGTGCCAAAGATTTGATTCGACTCCGCAGGCAACAAGTTGACGCGGTTTCTGACCCAGTGACCACCTTTGCCGAGCACTTCTTTGCCTTTCAAGATGTCATGGGTCGGACTGCGTGTGGCGAGGCGGTTTTGTTCGGGAGTGACTATTGGAAAACTGATGATAAACATATCGACTTGTGGATGGGGTGTAGCCCTGAACTGGTCGCCATCCTCTCCTCTATAACTGAACTGAGCCGAGCAAGACGAGAACTCCAATCGGGCAATTCTTCCACCCTGTTCTCCGTTCGTGCTGCCTCACTCGAGTACCAGCTAGAACATCTGGTTCAGGAGGTCGGAGACGGGGATGATGATATTCTCGTCTCTGTGGCGGAAGCAAAACGACTCGCTGCTTTGCTCTATCTACATTGCGCCCTTTACGGAGCTTCTCCGACCACGCCTTTGGTGATTGATTTCGTCTACAAGATCCTTCACTTAGTCTCGGATCTGCTTGAACGCGAGTCCATGGCTAGCGTCATGTGGCCCGTGTTTGTGGCCGCCGTGGAGCTAGATCCATCGCGGGATGAACTCTGGTCAGGTCCGGATGGTCAACCAGTGTCTGGTCGTGCGATTGTCCTTCAAGCCCTGGCGGCGATGGCTGATTCTACCATCTCGAATATTGCTCGGACGCGTGCGGTAATTATCCAGGCGTGGCAGGGCCGCGACCAGGATCTTTTGAAAGCACCGCATATGGAGATGAATGACTGGGAGACATATGTGGCTCCCATCAGCACCTCTATGAGCTTGGCGTGATAAGTTATTAGTGTATTATAGTCATGTCTGGTTGCGCTCTGTATCTTCAATGTATGATGCCTAATGATTTCAGTTTTCTTGCCTCTTGGTGCCCTGCCTAACAGTTGTAGATACATGAATCGTTGCTTACCGACTACAAGACGATAGGAAATTCTGAAAAGAACTGGAGAAATGGATTAATCTGTCATGGATAAGAGTTCCAATAAATACTACTATTCTTTAGAATGCTGCAAGGAGAAGGGAGTTGCTAATACTGCTCCGTTTAGAATGGCTGGTGCCCGAGCAATGAGATTGAATCCTCCCATGATCCTTATCCAGGCCATGCTTAGAGCAGTGAAATTAATACTTGGAGCCCTCCAGACTATCAGATGAAAGTAGATCATTGAGTAAACATAGTAAACCTGATAATTTATACGACTGCAATGATCCTCTTAACAGGATTGTTGCACTGGCACTTATAGAAGCTGGATGTGCCGTATAGTTCATACATATTGTATGCCAGTATATTTGACAAGACCTATATAATTGAGCTTGTATTCTTAAGCCCTCTAGCCGCTTTAATCTGATGTTCTGTTGCACCAGTTCATTTGGGTTGTGATGAAAGTGCGGGGCGCGGCCGCTTTCGGTTTAGCGGACCAACTTAACGGCGCTTACAAGTCGGGCCCAAGCGTATTTCTTAATCGCTTCCCTCTTCAACTGTACAACTCCTCGCTAACAAGCGTACTATGACTTCAATTTAACGGACAAGGCCTCTGGTTAGGCCATCCGCCCATCATTGATTTCTGGAGAATGGCGCAGGTCCGGCCTTCAGTGCCTGGGCGCAGTTCCTCCGCCCACGCGTTCGAAAGCAAGCTCAGCCAGCAACTATCGCAAGCACAATCCCAATCCCAATCAGAATCGCTGTTTGCCCACCGTGAGAGTGTATCGCGTTCGCCTAAGTCGCGCTCGTTATCCGATGTCTCCAAGCCTACGTCCACCGCCCAACCCGCTACGGGAGACTTGAGTCGTCCTCCTAGCAAAGACGATAGCATGATCCCATCTTTGCCAGCAACTCCCAGTAGATCGAACGCGCACCATCTAAACCTCTCCTTGAACCTCTCCGCAAAAGCCTCCGCCTCACCTTCAATCATCAGCCGTGCCCCTCTCTCCCCAAAACTCGACTCTTCTCAAATTACATATGGGTCCCCCGGTTCTGTTCTTCCACGGCGCTCTCGTGGTCTTGACTTCTCGCGCGCTTGCACAAATCTCCACCATTCGACCCTGGCAGAGTCATCCCCGGATTCATCACCGACAGTTGGAGGACGCGGAATGATGATTCCACAACGGCGCAGTTCGCCTGGTCTGACTTCGGTCCCACCTTTCTCAACGTCCGGCCCCGCAGACCGAACGGCGATTTCGAGCTCAGTCTCGAGCGTGAACATGATGGAGTCCGATACCAGTAGTAGTGAAGACGACGACGATGCCATGATGGGGGACCGCGATGACGTGATGCTCAGTACGCCGCAGGCGGCGCGAATGGGCTCAGGGCCGAGCCCTTTTGCGACGGGTACCATTCAAAGTCCTGGGAACGACTGGATGGGTGGTTACTCCCAAGCTGCGGCCAGTCTCATGAGCTTCCAGCGGGCCCGTTTCCGAAAGGGACGTAGCCGTCACAGTTCCAGCAGTGCCAGCGGGAATAGCACCAAGCCTAGCCCTGGACCTCACTCACCTCCAGTTATGAAGAGTGTCGAGAACCCAACGGCTGGGTATTTCGCACCCCGACATTCGATTCATTCTCGACGAGAGAGTTTAAGTTTGGGGACGCGAGATCTCCGATTATCCGACCTCAGTGATGACGGGGAGAGTCGCGCTACCCGAGGAGGCAGTCCCACTGCTGTATCGCATACTGATGGTGGTGGTGGGCCATTAGGTGTGATTCGTCGGGCAGTTACCCGTCGAGGAAGTCTTCTGGTGAGTAATATCTATTCCGACCCATATCTATTATGACGGTCGTGCTAACACTCATGCACAAACAGCCCAAGACAAAAACATTCGCCCGTATCCGGGCCGCTTTGATGGAAGAAGGCGCCCCCGTCGACAGCGATATGAAACGAGAGGCAGAAGTCATTCGGCAGGTCCGCGACACCGAGCCCGAGACATCACCCACACTCAGTGCCTTCCCATCGCTTCAACCAACTCAACCACCCGACACTCCAGACATGGATCCAGCAGCCACAGCTGCCAAACCCGACATAGCAACCCCTCGGGCCAATAGTTTCAGCAAGCACGCCAGTCGCCATTCCGGCGGAGTGGATTTCTGGAACTCACTCGATGGGCGCTATCGTACACCACCTCCCACTCGTCCAGGAGGTGCCTCGTTCAATGCGGATGAAGATATTGCCATGGATATGACTCCCTCCACAACTATAGGGTCTACCATCGACTCTAAGCAGCGCTCGCGGTCTTCCACACCGCATGCCCCCGGTATGAGCGCGATCGGCGAGATATGTCGCAAGCGGCGTCGGGACGATGATTTCGATCCCAACCTCTTTAAGCGAAGAGCTGTCTCGCCTAGTGTCAGCGCTCAAAGCAGTCCAGTGTTGAACCATTCTTCCACCGTTGATACTAACGGGCCCAACATCTGGGGTCCACCATCCAAGCTAGGGCCACCATTTTCTGAGCGGCCTGCTAGTGAGAATGGCAATGGCAATGGCAATGGCAACGCCAACGGTGGTGGCAACGGTGGTACCGGCAATGCTGGTAATGGCAACCGAACGAGCTTTCATGCTGGTACTACGAAACGAGTGGGATTGCAGGGCATGACCGAGGCTAGTGATGGGTTCATGAACATGAGTATTGAGTGAGAGATTAGCCCGGGGCTTCTTCTTTCTGACTTTGGATTTTGTGATGACATTTTTGTATGAGACTGATGGGAGACTTTTGGAATTCCTGACGGGGGTTTGTTTCTTTTCCTATTCTGGGCGCTTCTTCCTTTCTTATTTTTTTGGCATGGCGTTGGGAGGGACGAGATACACATTATGCAGCCACGAGATACCTTAATATTATCATTTTATCATTTGAATCACAATTCATTTGAATCAAATTCCTTGTAATGACACAGTAATCAATCTAGTCTAAGATTCTTCATTTAATGATATTGAATCAAATCATTGTTCGACTACAGTATGCCTCCATAGGTGGAGACTCCCATGCGGCCAAAACACGTGCGGATCGCTCTCTCCGCCCTCCGCCCTCCGAAGCTCATCTGGGTCCTCCATTCCAAAACAGCAGCGGACTCTCTTCCATCCTCGTCTCTACCATTTTCCTACACTGCTTCCACTCTTTGCAGTATGGCTTCCACCATTGAGCTTGCGTCTGCCTTCATTGAGGGCGCCCCACCAGGCGAGGTATGTACACCGGTCTTACTCAAAGACCTTCCCCCGGATTACCCCTCTGCTTCTACTGCCCCTCTTCTCGAACACTCTGCGCTTTCAAAATACTTGGATATATGCTAACCGTGGATTTCTCTGATAGCTCGCCGATGTCGTGGCCGGTATGAACTCTCTTCCCTCCTTGACCAAGTCTAAGCTTCCAAAGCAAACTGTCAACAAACACTCGCATCTCCCGATTCATTCGCGTTCTCCTGCTAAGTCTCGTGTCCGAGCATAGATGTGCAAGCCCTGACATCCGAGGGTGATGATATCCTTCCTTCGCTCGCTCCTGCCTTTGAGCGATACAATGAGAGCCAGCTCACTACGGTGAAGCTACCAGGCTCAAGCCAGGAGGTGCGCTCGCGCTTGATTATTCCACCAACAGTCTATCAAATACTGACCTGTGTATTTGGCGGAAGGTTATTGTCAGTGAATTTAACAAGGTGGAGGGCAACCGATACTTCGATTCCGAGAGCCAAACCTCGTTCGAGATCGACCATACTACACAGGTGAGCGCGAATTATTCAGAATTGAGTATCACGGCATTGAAAGCTTATACCTTGTGTTACAAAGACCGCCTCGAATGCGCAGTCATCGCCTTTGGAGTCACAGAATGCCGATTTGATGTGAGCGTGGAAAGCAATAAACCGACTACTGCGGTACCCGCTAATCGAGGTCCTTAGTAAATCGCTGCTCAAGTCGCTAGGCGTTCATGCCAAGGAGCATTACCCTAACTGCTCTTACGGTGTCTATCCCATCGAGAATGACTCCGCGGTTGCCATTCTTCTGGTCGCAAACCGATACTCTCCTAACAACTTCTGGTGAGTCTATCTAGACCCTCGAGTTCGCCCTTAGAAGCGCAGCAGATAAAGACGAACGAGAACACAAGGCTAATTGCTTGCTTGTTTTTAGGAACGGTCGTTTCCGTGCCATCTACCAAGTCCCCGTTTCCTCCTCATCCACAGCCGTCACTGGCAAGATCCACGTCGATGTACACTACTACGAAGACGGTAACGTCGCCTTGAACACCACCAAGCCTGTCAAGATTTCCATTCCCTCAGTCACCGCCGAGTCCATCATCGGCCGTATCGCTGCCGCCGAGCGCGACTACCAGGAGGAATTGAACCGAGCCTTTGTGCGCATGTCCGAGGGTGCCTTCAAGGGGCTGCGTAGACAGCTGCCCATTACCCGCCAGAAGGTGGAGTGGGAAAAGGTTGGTGGATATCGGTTGGGTCAGGATATCTCTGGTGGTAAGGGACGGTAGTTTGGTGGTTCGAGCGAGAGTGAATCGTGAGATGAGCGAGTGCAATTCTGAGCGTTGGACGCAATTTATCCATAGGCGGGCCTGATGAATCGATATACATATTTCTTGCACATGGATATTTGGTTTTTGTGTTTTATTCATCTACTGTACTTCATCCGATCTATGTCAAGAAGTGTTTCTTGCATTCTTCCGTCTCTTAACTGGCGAATTGAAGAATTGGATCCAACTCACTACGACCAGCGAATTTACCTTTTGACCAGCCAATCAGGTAAGTATTTAATTGAGTAATTGGTTCAATTCATTAATTCCTTCTAAGTCCAATGAGGAAACTGTAGCCTCCGTCCACTTCCAGCGGTGACTGGGATGAATAAGCAAAAAGAAATCAGCCGGGGATCTTCTGCACGATGACTTGTCCCTTTTCCAGCACAACAAACCCCTCCAACTCGCTTCCATCTTCTTGCAGCATTGTAAATATTACGACTTGAAAATGGTTGCACACTTGAACCGATTCTTGCATTCCGGCGCTGGACTGGAGAAGACATTGCGTCTGATTCAGTCCTTGGCTCAGATCGCCGTGGTGTTTAGTGTGGGGAGCACTGCGGTGCGATTCACAACTGCTAAATTGCAATTGGCGCTGAGTATGTGTTGAGACTCTCGTATATCATTGGTTATTTTAATTACACGGTCATTGGATGAATGCTAATTGTGATGTCCTCAGCTCGGCGGTTCTTCCGTTTCTTCGGCTTCATCGAGTCCTTCCAGCGGGTTTCTGGGTTGCTCAGTAAGGATGGTATGAGCTCGGTGCCTGGGTGGCTTGATCTTGCCAAGTGGACCTGTTTTGGACTGTACTTTCTGCTTGAGGATTTGACTATTGTAAGGGATTTCGTACCTCAGAAACGAGTTGCCTTGGGTTTTTGTTGTATGTCCCAGCGCTAATACAATACAGCTACATGCCATGGATGTCTACCTCGTCCCCTGGGAACAGCGCGTCATGAAGGAAGCAAACACCTTCTGGTTCTACGCTCTGTCCTTCTCTCTCGCTGGATCTGTCTATGCCCTGCTTTTCTCTTCGTCTGTAGAGTCGGCTTCCAAGGCAAAGGACCAGAAGACGAAGAAGAATGGCACTAAGGCTGAAAAGGAGAAGGTTGAGACTGTTACCAATGAGAAGGCTGATGCCCCCAAGACGGCAGCTTTGGTGCGACAGATTGTCGTGGATGGCTGTGACTTATTCCTTCCTGCTACGCTTCTTGGCTGGATGCCTACGGGTGATCTGGTGATCGGCTTGACGATGGTGCTGAGCACTGTCTTGACTGGTCGGGAGATTTGGAAAAGAGTGTGATTTGGGGGATTTGAGGGCGCATAGAAGATACATACCTACCTAGACTATAAAGAAGTTAGAGTCTTCGAATTTTGAAATCTGAATGGAGTGGCATCTGATCTATGGGTATGTCCCGCCCCCACGAGAGAAATATATTGTGGAGATCGCCCTGGTATCGTGGAGTACCTACACAATGAGGAACACAGAGCTCAGTTTTGATCGTGGATCTAAATACAGAACCTATACCTAGGTAAGTTATGTCCATCCTTGAGGCTATAGCTAGCTTGCCTTGTACATAATGGATAACCTACCATTCGTACCTCTTTCACAGTAACAAAATGCGCGATCGTGACCAATTGGTCGCAGGAGAGCAGGCACCCAAGAACATATTACAGCCCGAGTAAACGAAACCCCCTCTACCGGTATTGTCTTATCTTTACAATCATAGACATCTCAAATATTGACGAAAGATATCGTTTCCAGTCACTGCGGGAGTGCCCTGTAGAAAAGGTGGTGCCAACACTACAAGCCTACCGACTAAACTACCTAAAGCTTGTCGGTCTGAACAAGGGAGTATGTAGACTCTGGGAAAATGTTCAAAAAACCATTGCTACGTGAACAACCTATTTCCTAGCAAAAACCGACCACCATTTCCTCTAGTTAGCAACGAATTCTAGTCTTAGCTAAAAAAAAGGTTCCCTAGGCCCAACTGAAGACTGAAAAAAAGACAAAAAGAAAGCTGGACTCGCGGGGAATCGAACCCCGGACCACTCCCATGCTAAGGGAGTATTATACCACTAAACCACAAGCCCAGTTGTGTACAAGGCTCCCAGAGATATTGTAACAATAGCCTGAAGCTTTGGATTGCATGTTCCATTTAGGAATGTTGTGCAAAGGGTGGTCATTGGATGCACGGAAAGACACTCTACCACTCGCCAAATCACGAGCATTGGCGGGCTCAATGCAATAGTGTCATTCTAGAGCAACACCTGATGTTTCAGGCTGACCAATCTTTTTACCTATTGATGCTCTGGAATATCAATCACGAGTACAGCACTCCCTAGTAAGTAGAAGTGAGCCGATTTTGGTCGGTTATTCTAGTCTCAGCTAACGAATCAACAATATTGGTGCAAAAGAACATAAAATAGCCGTACCATGGTAGTGCTCGATGTAATGGGATTCACCTTCTTCCACCATCCTTCGCGAGTTCATTCTCCGAAAAGCCCTTGAGATCATGGAGATAGCTCCCAAAACGCCCCGAGATTTCAATCACCTCCTGAAGGTGCACATAGGTCAGGGTCGTTTTCTTCCATCTAACATACTGTCGGGCCGTTGTGATAACGTTCCTGATTTGGCGTCCATTCAGTTTTCCTGCTTAAGAACATCCAGATTCTCGCGTACATTGGCGAAGTCGATATCTTCATCGACATCGAGGTTCTCGAATCTTTCAACGAAAATTTGCCAGATCTGACGTCTTTGCCGGGGCACCAGATCAGGGTAATGTAGGGCATGCTGAATTCGAGAGATAAAGGCTTCGTCAAATGTCCCAACCCGATTACTCGTCAAGATAAGGATTCCCTCGTAGTACTCAAGCACGCGCAGGAAGACTGAGACAAGCGCGTTGCGCTGGAGATCTTCGAGGCTTCGTTGTTCGAGGAAAACATCGGCTTCATCCAGGAGAACGACACAGTCCCAGATGCGTCCGAGATGCAGGACAGAATCGAGATATTTTTCAACATCCTCTGCCTTGGTGCCCACATCTCCACAGGTTACACGGTAAAGAGGTTTTTGGCGATCTCTGCGACTCCCTCGGCGGTAAGAGTCTTTCCGGTCCCTGGCCCGCCATTTCCAATAGCAAGATCAAACTGTTACCCTTGATACTCATCCCCAAACTTATCTATCACATAGCCCAATAGAGGTCCCAGCTGCTTTGAAGCCTCAGGGGCAAGACGTGATCGGATATTCTCCATGTCGTTGCGGCAATGGTTAATGAAAAGGTAAGGCGCATCAAGCTCGTTGGTATTCAGATACTCGTTGAGAATCTCCCTGAACTCTGGCTTCCGCTCGAGGACCATTTTAAGGCCTGCTTCAGATTTGTTTCGACCGGAAGAATACTTTCAGCAGCTGGGGCTGGAAGGCGGAGCTGGTCGATAGGCTTGAAGCCATGGTAGCCTTTAGTAGTATCGAGATGAATGGTCTTTGATTAGGTGTGAAAGACCACGAACGATATATCTGGGTGTCTCATAAGATATAACTCCATGTCTCGGACTCGATTTTGGCATCGCAAGCGAGCAGTATCCCTTTTGTCTTGTGTTATCTCCGATTCATCCTCAAATGGAGTGTCATCCGGGGAATCCTCAGAATTATTATCATCTAGGAGGCGATAAAGTACCTGAAGCCGTGGAGGCTTAGGCTCTTGCTTGGTGGGAGCAGAGACTTGAAGCTGTTTTTCCAACTCAACGACCCGATTGCGTAATATCTATACTTCATCAGTAGCCCTAGCTCGGTTGCTCAGATGTACCGTTCGGTCGTTATGATCGACAGCCCCTGAGAATGACGACATGCCAGGAGCAGGACTGTAAGATGCTTCAGGATCCGAGCTAGACTCAGGTTCTACTCTAATTTTCGATGGTGCAAGATATTTCAGCTCAGGCCTTCTGTAGGCCTTGGGAAACATTGAGGCCAATTGAGATTGAGCCCCGTCAGTATCTGGCTCATTTGAGACAGAACCAAAGTCGATAATATCTCCAGGAGTGTCTAAAAAGGCATCGGAATCCAAATTCTCGAGAATGTCTAGGTTGTCGAGGGCCGAGAAGTCGGACTCAAAGCTCCTCGCATGGTCTCAGTGATCCACAAATGCCTGCGCGTGTTTGAGAGCGAAAATCTCCTTCTGTTGTGCCTGGATCATCCTGCGATGCTGCCTTGGCGTGGGGTGCGATGAAACTATTGGTTGGAGTACGTGAATTCTCTTCGAAATATTTGGATGAACAGAGGTTTTCTTATGCTCCCTAATCCTAATCTAATATAAGAATGACAGGCCATTGCCGAGCACAAAAACACCGGACTGACTATCGCAAACGGCCTTTTTGATATCGCGGACGCTCTATCCCGTGCGACGCTAGCCACTTCTTTATACCCAACTTCATCAATTAAATAGATGTTTGCCACCCTATATTCACATATCAGCCGGTTTCTGCTGCGGGCGCTTGAGTATTATGAGGAAGGATCTTGGAAACGAGCTCTCCATGCTGTTACTAAACCTGCTGCCTTGCGATATAACGGCATCATCAAGGATATCCATAGAACCACAGATGCGATTGCGGCTCATGCAACCGCAGGTAGCCAAGCAGAGCAGCGTGATATACACGAACAATTTCTCGCTGCCCATCAAATGATAGAAGGAAAAGCGTCATCGAATACTGCCGGCCAAGCGAAGATACCACAGAAGCTCCAACAATTGCACGATCTTATCACTGCTACACGTGCACAACATGCAGAGATATCCCGCTCTGTATTCAGTATCCAGTCAACTCAAGCACTTCACGTGATATACTCCCAGTACTCAATTGACCATCAGAGCTGCCTACAAATGTCCATTGGTCTCCGCAATCACCATCACCACAGAGAGAAACTCCCTTCTGGAGAACCCCTCGCCTGCAATCATGGGATCAATCAACCACTACCTCACTTCTTCCCGTCAAAGTGCGGATTGCATACCGAGACGCCGCTCAAGACTTTTGTGCAAATATCGTTGAGCAACTTCTTAGCGATAAACTAGCTATTCAGTGGGTCTTGAGCCCCCAAAGGAACTGTCACCCTGTCATCACCACACTCAAGAGACTCATATATCAGACCGTGACCATGAGCGATGCATCGGGAGCTAAAAGCAATATTCTACAAAATCTGGACCAGTTCAATCATGCAAGCCTTCCTGAGCATTTTCTCGATGTGCTGGCTGCACTCCTTCGTCCGTTGCCGGTTGTATACATGATCGTGCAGCTGGAAGCTATCGATCCTCATTATGCAGAGGAATTCTTCCCCTGCCTCCAGACGTTAGTCAGGAAACTGTCTGACAGTGGCTCAGCAACCGTGCTGAGAATTCTACTACTCAGCTGGAGTCCAAAAAGCTTCTTAAACGAGGACGGACCAATTCAGCCTCTTAAGCTGTGGATCTCGACGTCGGGGGCATTTGATGCCTCATCAGCCTCTCCACCGAGGGAGGCTGATGAGGAACTGAAATATCTATGCAGTAGCATTCGCTCAGTCAACCAAGTTCTTGGAGAAATGCTGTTACATTGAAGATTAAGAAGGCAGCGCAAGGGATCTTTGCGATGGTTCACCTATTGATGCATGCTTTGCGATGCAAAAGGAAACATCCAGGGGCTATGCTACGCCAGCCCAAGAAGCCGAAGCATGAGGCGCACTATGGCGCATGGCTTCGGGGCATGGGATTCAGTTGGGCATGATTTGAGCCTGTAGACGACCCAGTTCGCTCGAGTATTGAGACCGAGTGCCTACGTATCGCCCAGGTCAGATTCTAGCTAGGACATATATTTCTAGCCTTATGTTGAGGGAGCTATATGGGCTGAGCGTATGATATGTCCTTTTGACATGTTTAGACTTATCCTTGAAAACCCGGCATGGAATTTGTATGCACTTAGTTCTCAAGTTATGGTTCGGTAGTAACTTTGAAATCTCACTCTAGTATCCTATGCTGTCAACTGTGTATTACACCTAACGATCATGCAGGCGCCACATTTATAATGCTGGCAGACAGCACATCTGTCGGGAGCTAAGTCGGGATTATTCATCGAGTCGCAGTGACACTATCCCGAAACAAATATTGTATTAAGACACATCTAAACCGAAAATGTTGAAGTATTAAATCAACTTACGCAAACCCACCAGTTCGCGTGGCTGATGTGCAAAGCATCGAAGTGCCTGAATTTGAAACGGCCTCTCGGCTGCCATATATAAGCAACGAGTATCTGAACAGCAGGGAGGTAAGTAAGTACACGCCAATGATCTGAGATTGTTAAGAATAGGGGTAGCTGGGTAAACTTACAGACCCGTGCCCCTGATAATGTTGGGATTGCACTGCACTCAGAAAAGAAGAAGATTCGCCGTCGTCGGCATATGTTGGAAGCATATTAAGCGTGGCATTCGATGAAGTTTCATCAACTTTGCCTTGAAGAACTTCCCAGCTTCTCTAAACAATTAGGTGATGCTTTACTTGGTGGGGCAAGTGCTAGGTTTGACATACCTAGGTGCCTGACGACGTGGCTAGCCCGTTAACGACCCCACGTCATCTCTTTACGTACCGTACTGGTAATAAATGAATGTATATGATGATTGATGGTTCAAATTACGCCGGAAAAGAGTCTCAGTAGTACATATCAGTGTAGAATTTAAGATACCTCAAGTTTGCGTGGTCCCCGAACTCCCAATAATGAGGAACAACAATGGATGATGTTATATCCTTCTACCTAGGACGAATGCAAGTTCTGGCGACGAATATTGCAGTTCCAAGGCAGCAAACGCATGGAAAAGACCACACACAATACGTCAAACCCAGAATCCTACTTGATTATCAAGTCATGTACCATAAAGGTCTGTTTCCTCAGTGCTCCTTCCATTTGGCGATATACGGTCGGCGTCAATATAAGCAGAGTCTTTGATGATGGCCGGTCTCCATTTCATATCGCCGCAGAGCTTGCCAATAACGTGGAAGTCCTCGAGTACCTCTGCAACCAGGGATATCTTGATGATCTGAGCACATAGGATATGTGGGATGGACACCGTTAGATCATGCAATACGTGCTGCCTATCTACGTAACGGCGCTGATGTATTCCAAAAGGTGCAGTTTCTTTGGTGATAAGGTGAGGATTTCAGTACCAAAGGGAGAGTCTTTTGGCCCGAGAAAATGCCAGCGGATGAGGTCTACGAAGGAAACGTCAACAAAGGAGACCATAGTGTCCTCGAAGATACTGGAAAAGCCTTGTGACCCGTTGAAAATTATGACAAATCAACATACAGATAACTAACCTTAGCATTGAAGATTGATCACCTGATGAATGTAGTTCTTTATTTGAACAATTCGTATTGGAAGTTCCATAGCCGCGCAGATCTGCCAGTGTGACGAACTTGGATTTGTCGAGTTCCGTGGTCGCCTGAATGGAATGACAGCCGAGAAACAAGGCGCAGCCCAATACGAGGTGGAATTTCACCCGCTGAACAGCCAAACCTAAAATGGACTGTCAGATCTGCCTAGGAATCAATGCGGCTGGTGTCAAGTGGCGAGATCAGTTTGTTGCGCCCGGTGGAGAATCCACGGTTGCCCGTCCCGATTAGGCAAGTCTCGTATCCGCAGTCAACTATGAAGATGAGATGAATGAAATGATCAAGTGTATAAAGAGAAGAAACAACTGACCGAAACCAGCACTCAGGTACAGTTCAAATTAATTTTCATCATGTCTACTACTACACTAGCCACCAAATCCGAACTCAACTACCTGGAGAAAGAGGTTCGCACCTCTTTGTCTGCAAGTAGTTCGAGTACACTATGCAGTACTCTAGATGACCAGTCTCCCTTCCACCCAGACAAAACCCTCCTCATCCAAGCCCGAGGCGTCGGATGTTTTCGACTCCCTCTACCTAACCGCCAACTTGAAATCGACATCCTTCATCCGGACGGCCATCTAGCCTACACCTCGACCCGCGACCGGGTCTGCTCCGGCAACAGCGTCCTGTCCAACGCTAAACTCGGCGATCTCATTCGCACCGAGTACTTTTTCGGTCCGAATCGGGATCCCGTGGTTCATCTCCTTCAATCTTCTGCTGGGAATACCAATACCAATACCGAAGAGATACATCTTCGTGGGCAATGGACTTCGCGCTCGGTTTCGTTTACCACACCCTCGGGCAGTGAGTTGCGATGGTCGTATGCGAAAGAGAAACGACCTGATGGTCGCAAAGTCAATTTGATTGTTTTGGGTGTGGTTGAGAACTCGACGGACGAGAAGAAAGCATCGCAGATTCCCGAGCGTCGTTTGGCGCAGCTTTTGCGATGCGAAGAGACGAGAACGCCGCAGACTTCGAGGAGTTCGGCGGGGAATGGGGGGACGTTGCAGATGGATGAGGAAGGGTTGCGAGAGTATGGAGTCGATGAGGCTCTTGTGGTCGCGACGTGTTTGACGATGCTGAAGAAGGAGGTTGATCGGCGTCGGATGATTCAGATGATGGTGATTGCTGGGGCAGCTGGTGGTGGGTCATAGGGAAGTTGGTGATGTGATTCAGTTTTGTACTTGCGTTGGCCTACATGATCTTGATGGCGATTGTATTTATGATGTCATATGATAGTGTACTTGCTTTGTTTTACAGACTGTATGATCTATAGTTATTAGTAGTTTGAACTGAATTAGAACTCAATATGCGACCAAGATTTAGTTCTTTAGTCATAGAAGCAGATGGGAATATTTCACTTGAAGACCATCAAAAATCAATCATCTCTGCTGGTATCATTCAAATCCACTGGTATAATCTAGCTCTATCCCATCATCTTATATAACAAATAACCGGGGGGAACCTGCCCCTCGGCCCATTGCATCATCGTCTCCATTTCTCCCCCACATTCTTCCGCGAGTTCATCATCATCATCATCATCGCTTGCGCTCATTCAACAACTCCGCAATATGCCCATTCAACCAATACCCATCCAATTCCTCGGGCGACATAGTCTTCGCTCCCGAGATCCAACCCCGACATTCACCCGCACCACAGGTACACTGGAACGGCTGATCCATCTCCCACTCCGTACTGGGATAAAAGAAAGTCAACGCATCCCCAGCCTTGAGTGGCTTGTCGTCCACGACGCGCACCTCCATGCGGGCCATGTCGAAGACGAGCGAGGGCGCGCACGAGTGGTTGCAATACACCAGGTCGGAATTGAGTTCGATGTGGGTGTCCCGCCCCGTTTGGACGCTGGTGTAGGCCTTTGTGCCCGGGGTGGTGCCGGTGATCGGGGCGAAGATGGCGCCCGCGGGGAGATCGATGAGCGAGTAGGCGCCGCTGCCGAAGGCTTTGGGGCTGCGGTTTACGCGTAGACGGTCGGGATGAGTCGGGAGGGGCTCGGTGTGAGGGACAGGGACCGTTGTGGGGGGGGATAGGGTCTGCTGAAGGCATTGTAGGTGTGTAGAGTAGAGGAGAAGCAGAGAAGAGGAGGATAGAGAGAGAGAAAGAGAGAGGAGAGTATGGTTGGGAGGTTGAGTAGGAGGAAGAGGAAGAAGACGAATGCAGCGAAGAAGAGTATTTAGTATGGACCACCGGATCGAGGGTCTTCCTTTTTATACTCTTCTTCTTCTTCCTTCTTCTCCCTTCAACCGAGGACAACTTAAGTTTCCCCCAGTGGGGTCGAGTTTCAGGCCATCGCGTAGATTTGTTCTTTACCGGAATTTGTGTATACTGGTGGGTATACAGATACCAGTGTTTGGTACTGGATGGAGGAGAGTATACCATAGAACATCATACAAGAGTACTAATCTACAGATTTACATGCTGTCTGCTAATGATACAGACTACAATCATCTCCATTGTATTCAATTCTATCCCGCTTCCAATCCTGCAGTCAGCCAAGCTTCGTGTCTGTTTTTATTTCCCGCATTTTTCCCCTCGGGCGGCTCAGTAGGCCGAGGCAAACCGCAAGGAACAGTAACAGACGTCGGAATAACTACGGAGAGACAACCCAAACCAGATCGTCATCAAGTGATTCGGTTTAAACTAAACTCATTAGGCTCTCCGGACGGATGGCGCTAGAGATCTTCTAGCGGCCGATCGTGGTTTACTTAGTGAACTTGCACATGCTGGGAGACTCTGGAAACGGAAGAATGCCCGTTCACATGCAAGTAAAATACTCCTAGACTATCATCGTCATCGTCTTGGTTTGGTTATTTTGTTATTGACATCGCAACAGATCATTTACACTGTACATGATCCTAGCCAGGTAATACTATATCCTTCATCTACATTTTAATTCATCTTCCGCCACAACTCGTCCCCATTCAACCATCGCTCCAGATTCTCCGCCACTTCCCGATACCATCCATTCAACAAGTCTTCTTCACCATATCCCATCTGAATAATGATTAGCATCATACAATAATCCATCCTGGTGGAAACACTCGAAACTCACATGCGGGGTTAACAACACCTCACTCCGCCCCTCCCGACCCCACGCCGTGGTGCGCCATGGACTATCCAACGGCAATGGCTCCGGATCAAACACGTCCAGCGCGGCTCCTCGAATCCGACCAGCCCGTAATGTATCCAACAAGGCTGCCTCGTCAACCAACGGACCCCGCGAGGTATTGATGATCAATGCCTGGGGTTTCATCTGAGCCAGATCCGCGGCCCCGACAATCCCCCGACTGCGATCGGACAAAACACTATGCACGGAGACAATATCCGCCTGTCGGAAGAATTCCTCCTTGGATGAGGCTGCCACAAAGCTGCCCACGGGCAAATCTTGCGCCCGAGCCTGCTCATCGGCTTTTTCCTGAGTCAAATTGGTCGACCACGCGAGGACTTGCATGCCAAATGCTTGTACCGCAATCTTGCCCACCTGCGACCCCAATTTCCCCAGTCCCAGCAATCCCAATTTCTTTCCCGAAAGAGTCATCCCAAGCGATCCCTGCCACCCACCAGCTTTGACCGCGGCATCGTCCCGAGCGACATGCCGCGCCAATCCGAGGATCAACGCCCATGTATGCTGCACCGTGGAGTTGACACCGGGCGGTCGGCCCTCTGTGCCTGCGACCGCGACTCCATGTTGGGTGAACGCGTCGATGTCGAGCGAGAGATTGCGCGTGCCCGTGGTCAAGAGGAGTTTCAGATTCGGGAGAGCGGTGATGGTCGATGCGGCGAAGGGCGTGCGCTCGCGCATGGCGAGGATCGCGTCGAAAGGGAGGAGGCGTTGGATGAGGGCATCTTGCTGGGTGGGATCGCGGGGGTCGAGGGTTTCGGGGAAGCTGGTGATCTCGACGCGGTCTTCGAGGTGGGCGAAGTGAGTGCGGGCAATGTTTTGGTAGTCGTCGAGAATGGCGAATTTGGGTTTGGAGGCCATGGTGGATGTTGGTAGTAGAGCGATCGTAGTAGGAGAAGAGGAAAGTGATCAAAGTATGGTGAGTATGAAGGTATCGTTATCTCGAGATTTACCCCGCCTGTGGGGAAGAAGGGAGAGTAACTATCCTGCAAGTGTGAGTCAGTATTGCAGCAGGAGTACGCTCAGTCCCAGGGCGCACTCTAACAGACAGCAAGCCAATTTGTAGTCAATTGAGTCAATTCAGACCCAATGCGAGCCACATAGTGTGGAATGTCGTGCTTCCAATCGCGGGTATACTCCATCCGGGCGGCCGAGGTCATTGCCGATAAGGTGATCCGTATGAGACAACAATTCAGAATGGCGGAGGCTATGCGCTGCCGTAAGCAGATGGAAACCGAGGCATCTGAGAATTGATGTAAAAAACAGTAAACAGTAACAACCGCTGAAATAACTTCTTTACACCTAGTAACCATAGTCTACCATTCGGAATATTGGCTGTGTAGAGTTACCTGCGTCAGCTTGGAAAGTTGCCCGCTGTTAATAGATGACCATGCAGGCGCATAACAAGAGCAGGGTTGATCCTACTCTATCGCCATCATAATCACAATAAGATATCATAAATGGTGCTATAAACTTCAAAGATCCAGACATAAAGTCATGCAATGCTCGTATTAAATGCTCTGGAGTATGTCCTCCAATATCTCATTCTACCATTGTCGCATCTATTCACAATGATCTCCATAATTGGTCCTTTTGAATCTGCCATCAACCTATTGAATAGGCCTCTTCGGCTCTCGAATCATCAACACAAACGTCTCTTCGCCTTGTCCACCGTACTGCTCCCGATCAAGACGGATTTCTTCAACTGGCTTCCACCCATGCCTGAGATACACCGGATAACCCTCCCCCGTGGCCTCCAAGTAAACCCGCACCTGCCATTCATCGGCCTTGCTTGTACCCCATCGCAAAAGGGTTGACCCTATCCCACGCCCTTGGTGAGATGGTAGTGTCGCTAAAAGGTCCAGCACTGATTATGTTAATCATCACTTCGACAATATACATAAATAGGCGCAAACGCAAGCGGAGAGATCCTTACTCATATCCTTCTCCGTAACATGCTTCTTCCGAGACTCCTCCAACAACCCCCGAAACCCTGCCATGAGCGCTTCATTCATCGGGCGCGGCGCAAATTGAAACGGATCTCGCGCCGCTTCCTGAGCCTTTTCACTTAAAACGGGCACATTCGTTCGCGGGGACAGCGATTCGGGAATATGCCATCGTGCATAGCCTACAGTTGTCCCGCTGGCGGGATCGGCCACCTTGAGTACATGCATTTGTGGGTTGGCGAGGTGCTTCATGGTGTACATGGATTTGTAGGCTTCGAGGGCGTCTTGGCTGGCCTCCGGGAAGACTTGCGATAAGAGACCTCGGCCTTGGAAACTGAGGGTGTTGATTTGGGCGAGGGCGGGTGCATCGCTCTCTTCGGCGTATTGGATTTGGTAAGCCATGGTGAGGTTTTTTAATTTGGTAGGTTCAGTAGAGTAATTGAGGTGAAAGTAGATGTGGAAATTCAACAGGCAGCAAACCAAAAGTTGAAAGAGGAGAAATGTTATCATTGCCGGGAGTGGTGAAGTTCGAGTCATTGCGGGGACTCGATCGGGAATTTGACTAACACGCTAGGGCGCGACCAAGTTAGCGATGCTACATAACAGAACTGCCATTTATTTTTAGTGTGATTCCTATAAGAATTGGATACCACCTAGGAGCTTGTAATCCATGTTTCAATAACATTGCAAATGACCGGACTACTTGGTGCGTTGATCTAGGATGAACAACGTCTGAGTACGGAGATAAGGACCTGGTATACTCCGCCCCCGCGTGGAACCAGAGTGCCGAGAGCCTTGTTGCATCGTACTGGCCCCACCGGAATTCGCAAGAACTCGCGTGAGGGAGGGATGAAGTGTTGAGGGCTGTTATCTTGGAGCTGGTTTAATTGACCGTCAAGATGACAAAGATGACTATGTTGGATTGTCTTTTCGTAAGGTTAAGATGAGCGGCCTGAACCACTGGGACAGTCAAAAATTGTCAATGTTGATCACAATTACCGAACATGGCTGTCTGAACTGCAGGTATACGAAGGGGCACACGAACGACTAAGGATGAATGAGACTTTAGGTGATGAATACAAAGAAAAGACATGAACCAATAGCTTGTGAGGCCTTTCTGGTCCGATCGATCTGAACATTATTATCATTTTTGTCGTGAGGCAGGTTACCCTGTCAGAGAGTCGCGATATCCGGCAATCCATCTCCCCCGATTGATGCGCATGAGGTACCATCATGCGCTAGAACCTCTATCCATAAGCCTCCCTGAGTCAATTCCGCGCGATGTATTATAGTCGTTCCTTGATGAAATCCACCACGGCCTGATCATATTTAGCCTGGTAGGCATGATGGGCGGCATTGTTGTCAAGAGGAAACGGAGAGCAACTATAAATGCAATGAGCTGATGGTTAGACAAAGTCTTGGTACTTGAAAAATGTGGATCTTGTTACTCACCATTGACTATCGCCTATGTCACAATAACTGTGAATAGATGAAGCGAAAGGTTCGCATGACCAGGGGGCCAGACGAGGAAATAGCTATCGCACATTGTCAGAAAATCTCGAAAGCTGTATCAAAGACTCCCACACTTACTCCGAGTCCAATGTCGCATGTTCCGACGTTCCACGACTGCAAGGGCGCAAAGGTCTCATCTCCGTATGCGATTACACCAATCACTGCTCCTACTAATCAGCCTCTGCGACTTCGAATACAATCGGAGCCTTAAGTCTTACCGTTGGAGGCATATTTGCTATCAAGCGCGGTTACTGGAATAAACCCGATAGAAGATGTTCCACAGATTGCGTCCATTGTGAGACATGCACCCTGGATTTTGATCAGTCTAAATTGCTCTCTTCTATACCGGGGAATTCTGAAACTCACCAGTGAGTAACCCACGACGACAATCTTGGCTTTGGGACAACTAGCAACATAGCTGGTGATGTAGTCCTGCAACAGCTGCGCTCCATCATACACAGCGACAAACTTATTTTCTGCACCATATTGATAGGGAAGACCGAGACTCGTTGAGCCGGGAATCTGGTTCAGGATGAGGTTTTGTAGTGCCGCCATGACATTCAACGGATCAAAGCCTGTTTCTCCGGTCGCTGCTTGTCCACGGGCAATGATGGCATGCACGCCTGTGGCACATTGCTCTGGTGGGACATTTTGCCCATGAGTTTGTTGGAAGAAGAGGTCAGAGGCGATGGTGAATACCACCAAGGAGTAGAGACGGATCAAGCCAAGCATTTTGCTGGTTAATTGCTTGGGTCAGAGCAGGACTCGCGAATGAACGTGGTGATCTGCTCCAGCCACGATCCAAGGGGGTCTTTTGCTTATTTGTTATAACGATCGGGCGGGAGCGATTATTGCTAGCCCCCTACGGAGTACCTTTTAACCAATGTGCTACAAACCTGTTTCCTTGTGGTCATTATTTTCCAGTCCATGCGGTGCAGCCTGGATGGGCCGAGGCCCACAATTGTTCTCGATATGGGATGTGTTTTGACATATCAAGAAGTCGTCGATCTCTATTGCATGGGCACATTTCGCTCTGGATTGGCTTATTCCTTGATCACGTACCACACTGAGTGATAGATTGGTGCGATAGAGTTGTCGATATGGCCCGTTTTACCAGGGTTGAGATTGTGATCGACAGGGTCGGGTCCGACTTGACTTTTGGGCCTATGGGGCTTGATCGTGGTGTCAGAGCTCGGCATTCCACATGCTATCGCACTATCTCTATTATCTCAGAATCTCACACTATGAGTGGAAGCGAATAGTCTCTGCTTTCCGAGCCGGTGAAAATGTGGCAACAAATTCGGGCCGATAGCTCAACAATATACACAAAATACTCATGGCCCTGGAGGGCTTAATGAGCCAACACTGAATATCAAGACTTGTCATGCATCATTCGATAATTTTCCAAAATCTTATCCTTTCGGGTAAATGCCTTCCTGCAACTTGGATCAGGGCATTTAAAGCGATCTGGCTGAAGGTGTTGGGCTCTGATATGCCGCCACAACGAGGACTCTGCTAGAAAGGTGCCTGAATAATTGCAACCTTCCCAGCGACATTGGAACCGGCCTGAACTACAAATAAATGAGAATCTTTCATATCTTCACAGAAATGATATTTTCTGAACAGACGGACTTACTCATTTTGTTCTCTTTGGCGATATGAGGGAGAAGCCCGATTCCTAGGACGAACAATATTTCCGGAGGACGCGGTAGGGCTTTCATTAAGATTTCTATTGTCCAGAATTGATAAGAAGAGGGTGGGTTCCGCGTCTTGAAGTGAGGCGATTTCACTCCCTGGTTCCATGTAATTTGCGGTAATGGGCCCTTGATTCTCAACGTTTCTGGTACCATGATACCCGTGGATAGAAGAACCGGAGGCTTCTAGAATTGAAGCTGATGGCCAGAATCCTTCCCAAATAGGCTCTCCCACGTCATTAGAGGGTGGAAAGCCTGGACCTCCTTCAAGGATCCATTGTTGACTGATATCACCTGTGTAGAAAGTCTGCTCAAATACCGTGCCGCTTGCTTCTGATGATAAGCAGGGCACCTCAGAGCATTGTGAAGTATGTGAATTCTCGGGACCCGAGTTTTCCATATTTTGAACGAATCCCGAGTCGTCAGGAAGGGAGAACATTGTGAGGAGGAGCTTTGGTAAGAACGCGACGCGGATAGAAAACCTATCCTTAAGGAGTAATATCTTAGAGTGATCGTTCCTTCTGCACTGTGGGAGACAAGAAGTACTTAAGGAAACGGCGAAATTATCTCATGGACCAAAACCTCTCCAGACGGCGATCCATTCAACCTAGGCAGCCGCCTGATCAGCAAATACTGGCCGATATACCTCAGAGATAGCAATGGCTGTTCCACAGAATGCATAAAACCACCTGCACTCAAGTTGAAATAATTTGAGTCTGTCTGAGTTGAGATAGAAAGCTAGGTTCAAATTCCCGGGGGGGGGGGGGGGTTAACAGGGATAACTAGCAGGGCGGTCGGGACGCAAAAGATGGATGTGACAAGGCACACAGAGTGTGTATGCACACCAACTTTGCACCTGTCCAATCATCGCGTGATACGAATAACCGCTTACTCAAGACCGCATCTTGTTGAGACTGACCAAGTTTCCCCTGTCCAGTGAAGCAAATCAATCGACAGCGGAATGCGAATATCCTGACGCTGATTGGAGTTTGCTCAAATTGTCGTGCATACAGTGTGGCTTGATAGCAAATCTGCCTTTTACGGAGCCTTAAATCTAGCTGGGTGGTCACAATGACTTTTTCCTTTGGGTGTTAGCCCTCTAATACTTAACAACTCCCCTTGATTCAGGGTATAATCCTGCGAAATCATCTTTCAACCGTCTCGACGTTCTTTATTATGGACAACTCGGATTGGGAGGCTCATAGGACCGAAATTGAGCGTCTATATCTGAAAGAGAAGGTGACACTCAAGGAACTGGCAAGGATCATGCGGGTTGAACACAGATTTCATAAGACGTAAGATATACAAAATGCGATGCCACCAAGGTTGACCGACTCTGATTCCACACAGGAATAATCAATATCAACCTTGGTTCGAGAATGGAAACTTAAGAAACGACACGGACGAAACACATGGATATACATTGCTCAAGAAAAAAAAAAGAAGAGGAGGAGGCGAAATTGACGTCTTCATCGACGGGAAACTCCAAGACCCCCAGAAAGTTCGACGTGAAATCGCGAGACAGGCATATGTCACCACTATCGACAGGTTTCGCCCAGGTAATTGTATATCGTTTAGATATGTTTTCTGTGGAATTAACACACGCTAGCTGCATCCCCAGAAGCACCTCCAGGTGTAATGGTTTGCTCCCCTCCAGCGCGGACTAGGCAGCTGCAATTGATAGTAAATCTGCCCTGGATGCAGTTCTCTCGTGAACACCCTTTCCACCAATACAAAGGTCAGCATTGGTCCCCTTCGGAAAATTGCTACTTCAAAGCTCACATTCCACAGAAAGCCTTTCGGGCATGCTTAGTGTTACAGCATCCATCTCAAACACTGTTAGGCGCGTGTTCCCACAGGTACATCGAGAGCTCATGATTGCTTTGAACTCGGATTTTCTGGACTTTATCGAGTTGAGGAAAGCCCACCAGGATCACAAGTCTTCACAAGAGCGCGAAGGGTGGGTGTCGAGTGTGTGCATGCACATGTTCTACAATGCTGACTGTATCACTAGATTGACCGAGTATAATATGGACCAGTTTCTTCGGATGACCATGTTTTTGCTTTCCAATAAACTTCCAATAAATGCCCAGGGTGGAAACCTTGATCGACAAAAATATCTTGCGGAAGAGGATCGCCTTGTTTTGAAGCTCGTTGAAGTCTTGGGAATGTCTAGCACCCTCATATCTGAACGGCTTTCATCGACTGTCCAGCCATCCGCCCAGGCTATTTGTGAGAAATTATTCCAATCTGCAATCCGACTGCACCAATTGAAGACTATTGAGAAGATGTTGCAAGCTGGAATGAATCCCATTACACATTCAAACTTGGAAAAGTGCTGCTGGTATCACCTTTGGAGTTTGCGGCAGATGTCGAGAACAGAAAGGCTGCGATTGAGTTAACTCGCCTTTTGCTATCATTTCAGGCCAACATTCATCGGTTCAAATGGAAGCCCGCACTCCACATTGCTATTGAGGCCATGGCAAATGATTCAGGACACAGCCACTGGTTTCACGAGAACTTGGAGCTTCTTCGACTGCTTTTGAATGTTTATCCACATCCCGAAACACGATTCCGGCGTTTCGGAGCAGATAATCCCACCGTCACAGCTCTCGGCCTTGCTGTAAGTCTGGGCCAGCTACAAACAGCCAGATTATTGATCGATCACGGTGCGGACATATTTGCGACTCAGTGGACTCACCTAGACGGCGCCTGGCCTGACTTTGAAACCGATGTCTTTGGTCTAGCTTCCAAGAGAGGGGACATTGCGATGATGCGTATGCTTCTCGACGCTTCCAGGAACATGAAAGGACCAAGTCCCATGGTTTATGGCTTGGATCAATCTCTTATTCTCGCCGTGGCCTTTGGCCGAGAAGAGGCAACGAAGCTCCTTTTGAATTCAGGTGTCGCTGTCTCGGCCGCTGACCATTTTCTACGGGCAAGAGGTGCCGGTCACAGAACGCTCGTGGAGAGAGCCTTGGCTCAGCAAAACCTCGAGCTGCATCTTACCTTGGTAGCCGCGGGAGCTTCCGTGGACTGGTCGGCTGTCATGGATTGCTTCAGCTTCAAACTATTTCATTCCATCAAGCAGAAAGATGTTCAGGGTGCAATGAGCTTGTTGAGCTTGAAAGCTCCACCAGATGATCTATACGATGATTTTCCCGATACCGCCCTTGGCGCAGCGATTGGGCAAGGAAGTCGTGAGCTTATCCAACTCCTCAAAATTGCAGGTGTTACCGCCGAAGGACATCGTATTCCATATATTCCAAACATGGAAACATTATCCTGCCTGGAGGCACTCGGGTTTCTTCCGACCATCCTTCGCAACAACGGACAGATGATACTCACTTGTGCCATTCTCCGGGCGAAAGAGGATGGTTTGGTAGAGTACCTGCTAAGCCGTGGGGTGGACCAACAAGAGATGAAGCTTGGCCCTCTCGAAAGTTTCGACGGTTGGTTAGACAATCTGGGGTTGCCAGAATGCCAAAGTCCGCTCGAGGCAGCCCTCACGCGACGAAACATGACACTTGCACAGACTCTCATCCACAGGGGGGCACTCGCCACAGAGAAAGAGCTTAATGCGATTGTTTGGCAGGCCGTCATAACGGAAAATGACAGACTCGTTTGCCAATTTCTTGCATGTTTTCAACCCCTTTCCAGGCGCCCACTGCAGTGGGAATGGCGGTGCTTTGGGGAAGAACTGGCATTGTCCGGGTCCTCCTGAATTTTGGAATCGATCCGAGGGGTCTTGTATACGTGACCGATCCACCAGACGAGGGCGAAGAAATAACAAACCAAGGCTCAGGCTGGTGGCACCGGGAAACCGAGGAAGTTGTGCCATCGGTTCTAGAAGTTGCAGCATCCAAGAGTGACCGCGAAATCCTACAGCTTCTGCTAGACTCGATGAATTGGACCCAAGAAGATAAAAGCCGTTCTCTCACAGCGTCCCTCTTTTGGAGAAATTATCATCTTGTATCAGACTTGTTGGCAGCCTGTGCGGGCGTGAATCAGGGGATGATGGAGAGAGCCGTAGTCTCTGATAAGTATGGGAACTCTTCAAACATCCCCAAGTTTTATCTAATCTGAGCACTGACATCTAAAATAGGGTGAATACCGAATTGCTACCTCTGCAAGTTGCGGTGAACGCCGGGAATGTCGATATGGTGAAACTTCTTCTTCGGAGGGGTGCGAAAATCAACCAGATTGAAGCAGGCGCCGGTGGCAAGACCGCTTCACAAATCGCTGCAAAGACCGGCAATGTGGACCTCCTCGCTCTACTTCTGGAGAAGGGCGCGAATGTGAATCAGCCAGCTGCAGAAAATATGGGGGCTACAGCTTTGCAATTTGCCGCCATGGGAGGTCATATTGAGATTGCATGCCGTCTTTTGGACCATGGCGCCGACATCAATGCCCCAAAGTCACGAAAATTTGGGCGAACAGCGATGGAAGGTGCCGCAGAGCGTGGTCACATAGACATGGCTGCAGCTTATGCTCAATAATGGCGCCCATACCGATGGTCCTGGTCGAGAGCAGCTTGTCCGGAGTGTGAAACTAGCGGAGAACAAGGGTCATTTTGCGACAGCCCAATTTCTAAAATCATCCTGTGGGTGGGCGGAGGAGGATAGAACCCGCTATGATTGTGAAAACTTTGACGAGGAAGAGCATCTCGGTCTCTGCTTGCACTGACCGATAGAGTTATTGTTAGCATCTTTATCGCGTACATCCTGTGGATATAGCATTGTGAATCAGAACAAACGAGCTATCTGGGAGCGGCGAGACTCTCGCATAACAATTTTCTCCCGTATAGTTTGACCGAACAATCTACCCAAGTAATTGGATACCTGGAAAAATCCGTCTCGGCATTAGTTTTTGACCATTCGCTGCCCCTGTTCACTGACCAGATAGTCCAATGGTTGGGAATGTATGATGAGTAGCACCCAAAGAACTTGACTAGATAGATTACATTATTATCATTTGATCCCCCTCAACGCTTCCCACTCATGCTCCAACATTCCAAACATGACTAGATCATGCCAAGTGCGAAGGTGATATAGAGCTTCTCGCTCCCTGCCTTCCTCCACAAACCCAAGATTCTTGTAGAGCTTCAGTGCATTGAAGTTGAATGAGAATGCACATATACTGATCCTATGCAATCCGACATGCTGAAAGGCCCAGTCTAGAGCCCAATTGATAGCTTCCCCGCCGTATCCCTTACCACGAAACCCGTCTGCAAGTGATATACCTAGCATAGCGCAGCGGTGATGCTCTCTACCCGGTGGCTGGGTGTAAAAAATGCCCAAGTGTCCGATGGGCACGGGGTTTTGCTCTTTGCCACCCGCTGAAGAAGATACCATCTCGGAGGATGGAGGGAGACAGATAATCAGACCAAGTAGGGAATCTTGCATCGATTTGATAAAGTCCTCTGCATACTTCTGGAATAGAGGTCCCTTAAGGCGGCCAGTGCTCATAGTTTGAATGGTAGGATCATTCAGAAGTCTTTGAATGAATTCCTTGTCCGAGTCAGTGTTCTCTGCTGCACGGTAGAGGAGGCGTTCAGAAGTGAAATGTAGAAGACCATCTGGATTCGGGATTAAAGTCATAGTGAGCATTCAAGAAGCAATATGTTATATAGTTTGCCATGAAGTGAAGAGAGACTGGACGAAAGAAGGAATTAAAGAGGGCATTGTATACAGAGGAAAAGTGTCGGGGGCCCAATTAGGTATCGAATAATGTGGAAACGTAAAGTAAACGGCCAAATAGCCGGGTTAAAAGACGGCGACCGGATGAATTAGGGTAAGCGTAATCACTTGGTATAATATCCACTCTTATAGGCCATGGGAAAAATGTGTATACAATATCAATCTCCAGTCTCCTCTTCCTAGAGGTGTCTGGTAACAGCAGGGCCAATGTTGTCTGCAGCTTCGTGATATGTCTGAAATCCAAAAAATTCGTGCTTTTCACAATTGCCACGATTTATGGCACACTCAGTGAGTACTTTTCTTTCTTGAAGAAAAAAAGGGAACTATACTCTGACGGATTTGGGATGCAGGCGAAGTCCTGCGTGCTTTGCGAGAGTGATGTAGCGGCTATGCCTCCTGGAATAATGTGGCGATTATGTACATCGGAGCAACCTGCCTTGGTTGGGGGTCGCCTCTGTCGTCATCAATCAAAAGCTTGTCTTCTCGTCTCTTCCCTCTTTTCTTTTCGCTCACCTTTCTTCGATCTCAGACCCTCTCACCATCTCACCAGATGTATCTCTCATCCATCTAATTCGCTGGAATTTAAACTATTGCAAACCTCGCCACCTTGGTCCACATTCCCAAGTCTGCATCAACTGGTTCTTCCCACGCGTTCGCGGCGCTAAATTCGGCATAGTGGCTCTACCTTCCCCCCGCCGGTAACAACGTCCGTCCAATCGCTTCCACAGACTGAGTCGTGTTTTTGACGGCCTCGATTCTCTGCTGCCCTGTTTTGCAAACTTTCCCTGGCAGACGACGTTTGACAAATCCCGAAAATAAACCAAAAGCCCACCTGCAAGGCTGATTGATCCAAGCCGCATCTTCCGCTGAACGCCCATTCTTCTTTCTTTTCCTCTTCCATGCTTGTTGCGATCGTGCGATCGTGCGACCGGAGCGCCGCGAACCCTCGAAATCTGTGATTCCTCTTGGACCCCCCGCTACCCCATCTCGATATCCACCCCTTGTCGGAGATTTCGATCTGGCAGATGATTTCAATGATTGAATGATTCTTCTTTCCTAGCTCTCTTTCGATCGGATTTGTACCCTGCCACTCGGCAGGGTAGTGAGAAACAAGATGGTTCTGGACCAACAAATGCTCCACCTCAACCTCGAAGATCGCCCGCCCGTTAATTTCGCCATGGTTGTCACGCCTCCCGCCGAATCTGACCTCAGAACGCACGATAAAGCCACCGGATCCCCGTTGCATGACCCCGAGACTACCACGACGCCATCGAGTGCTAGCGCGACCCTGACCAATGACCCCATGAGCCGGATTTATCGATACACCCCGACTCCGACAATTGTGCTCGATGGGTCGCTTCGTATCATCGAAGCATCCGACAGCCACTTGGCCCTGTCTAATCACACTCGGGAGGAACTACTGCGAACGAGCATCTACGATTTATCCCCGCATATCGTTCCGGCGCCAGATATCGCGTCGTTGAGTGGCGCGCTGGGCGCTGCCACCACGACGCGCACCTCACAGGTTATTCATCCTGTCCGTGTCGCCAAGTCTAATATGCAATATTCTCTCCGGGTGACACCGATATTCGAAAACGATACCCTGATCTATGTCCTGCTCGAAGCGCACTCCACGGGAGTTGAACAGCACAGATCGAAATTCAGTGAACAAACGTTCCTGAATGAGACTTATAAGATTCTCATCGACACCGTGAAAGAATATGCAATCTTCATGTTAGACAATCGTGGCCACATAGCGACGTGGAATTCCGGGGCCGCCATTTTGAAGGGTTACACTGCGAGTGAGATCATTGGGAAGCATTTCTCCACCTTTTACGGACGCGAAGATTGCTTGGCGAACAAACCGGCGCGAGAGCTCGAACTCTGCCTGAGAGATGGCAAAGTAGAGGACGAAGGATGGCGTTATCGGAAAGATGGGAGCCGCTTTTGGGCCAACGTGATGATCACCCCGATTTATCAATTTGGTCGACATGTAGGGTTTGTCAAAGTCACTCGCGACCTCACAGAGCGCAGAGCCGCGGAAGAACGGCTGATCGAAGCGTTCGAAGAGTCGTCAAAACTCAAGACTGAATTCTTGGCCAACATGTCGCACGAGTTGCGCACCCCCATGAACGGAATGTTGTTAGCCTTGACGATGCTGATGCGAACGCCATTGACGACCGATCAGCAAGAGTATGCGTCCATCCTGGAAGACTCAACCACGATCTTGCTGCAGGTCATCAACGACGTACTGGACTACTCAAAGTTGTCATCCGGATCTTTCTCTCTCAATACAGACGTACTGAACATACCAAACATTGTCAACGCGGTCATTCGGAACTGTCAGCCAACTTTGAAACCCGGAGTGGTTCTCGAGAGCGTCATTGCCCCGAATTTCCCCAAAAGTATAAAAGGCGATCCGCTGCGCTTCCGACAAGTGTTGCAAAACCTGGTGGGCAATGCAGTGAAATTTACCGAGACAGGGTATATTCACGTAAAGGCATCGCATTCGGTGGATCCGAATGACCCTCAGAGCTACATTATCTCTGTCCAAGTTGAAGACACTGGCATTGGCGTACCCGAAGCTGCAGTCAACACGCTCTTCACCCCTTTTACTCGGTTTGCAGACTCTGCCACACGTCGCTATCAGGGAACGGGACTCGGACTTTCCATCTGCAAAAGCTTGGCGGAATTGATGGATGGCACCGTCGGATTCCATGCCAACCCAGAGCGATCGGGGAGTGTGTTCTGGATCTCGGCCAAGATGGGGCGCATTAACCGGCCGGCTCTCAGAATACCCAGAACCGTCAAGCCATCCGTTCTGGAATCAAAAACCGTGGACAACACCGCCTTACTGCAGAAGGTTGCCCCACAGAAACAACTGCTACTGGTTGAAGACAACAAGGTCAACCAGACGATCATGCTCAAGCTTCTGGCGACTCTCGGTTTTCAGAGAGTAGATGCCGCCTGGGATGGCGCGGAGGCTGTGCGTTTGGTCAAGCAGAAACCGCTGGCATATCATGTGATCCTGATGGATATCAACATGCCGGTAATGGATGGTTTGACGGCGACCGAACAGATTCGACAGTTGGAAGTGGATGTGCCCATCATCGCGTTAACCGGGAATGCCCTGAAGGGCGACGCCGAGACGTACCTTGCTAAAGGCATGAACGATTACATTGCTAAGCCTTTGCATCGGCAGCAGTTGGTGGACCTTTTGTGGAAATGGTGCGGATCTGAAAGTGTCTGCGGATCTGAAAGTGTCGGCACTTGATTCATGTCTATGCATTGATTATCGAATCATTCAAAACCACGTGCCTGTCGATTTGACGCTAAGCCTACGGTCGCAACCTACCGCAAGCTGGACCTGACAATCGAGTCCTGCTACCCTGCGTTACCCCGCAAACAAGCACAGGAGAACGCATCGTACGAGATACAGTGCAGGCTTCTTCTTTCCGGCCACCCCGAGGCTTTGCATGCTGCATCATGCATGCCACTGTGATGTGTAGTGCATGGGCTGTTGGCCCCGTTCTGCCTACCAAAACTGGAAGCAGCGAATGTCGAAGAGATTCTGCCTGCCTCTATTTCCAAACTTCGTACTTGCCAAAGGCCTGTGATATCCCGACATCTCGTGACTGGAAGGTCAGATTAGGATCAACGCAGCCAAGTATTTGTGGAAACAGTCTTTCAAGGCTTTCATGATCAGGCGTTTCCTCAGACCAAATACTCAGAGAGAAACTTCGCCACAGAGCCGGTTTGGCGGTCGCTCGAGCCAGGCGATCAAATACAGTAGCTTGTTGGCTTCTTGGCTGTTCTTGGCTTTTCTTGGCTTCTTGCTTGCGCTTATGGAGGTGTACACTACGGAGGACCCTGGCGCCACTGGTGCTTATCTCTGTATCCCCTGGCATTCCCTTGCCAAGCCCCGAAGGAGAAGCATCTTTGCATTTGCATGCCGCCTGAAGCGTTTTATGAGCGGACACTGTAGCCCTTAGCTAGCATTTTCGAGCATCTGCGTTCTCACAGTCCACCAGACTGAGCGAATTTGAATTACCATTCAACATTATTTGAATCGCGACAAAAACAGTCCACATGCCCTAAATGATAGGAGTTCTTGACGCGGGGAAAGTGGAGCCCAACTAAAAGTGTCGAACCAAGTTTCGAGTCTGTTCAGTAATTTATAACTTTCTACGGAGGACAGTTACCACATCGGGCTAAGGATGTGTTCTATCTATCAAGCAGTACCCATGCAGAAAACTCCGACAGAGCACATGCGCCTCGGTAGATCTCAAAAGGTCCCCATTCCAACCACTCGTCATCTACTTCGAGTTCAACCCGCCAATCCTTCTTTGCATGGAAAGTCAAATCAAAAGGAGATAAAGGATCGTCATAAACCCCTCCACCGAGTATCCCCGCTTTTTTCTCCTTTTCCCCTCGTGCCTGTGGATATATGTCCCACCACGGCATTGCCCATATTCTTGAACGATGACATGCGGCAATTTGCTTACTGTATCCATGATTGTAAAAGCGGTTCAGGGCATATCACGATCAACAGAGCAAATGCCGTCATTGGCAGACCAGAAGGATTTCGAGCCCTGCGGATTACGATGGGAGGAGTGGATTGCCGAATGGAGCCCAAGTGGAGCCGTTGGCGTGGAGAGTCAACCAGGCCAGGAAACCTTGTTGAATTTATGGCCAATGATAAACAGTTGAGCATCGAAGATCGAGCATTCGGAGCTGTGGCTCGTGGGCTATGGGGAACTTCAAGCAATAATGCTACCATACGGAGTAAGTTGTTGGTTCTCCACCACCATGACATATTCTGATTTAAGGTAAAAATGGCGTGTTAATACTTCTCCTCCGACAGCACGGAGTAGAAGCGTTCTCAAGAAAGCATAATAATAACACCAGCTTGGCGTGCTGCTTGTTTTTAACTCTGCCGAGGTCAAAAATTCCCTCGAGGCTTGGTTGAACCTGGTTGAACTGTAATATGGTGTCTTTGGGTAGGCGTGTATAATTGACTGTGAATTTGCTAAGCCTTGACGTGACTATTGATGTGCTTAGATCTCACCTACGGTCGAGGATGCATTCTGTAGTAGTGTCCGTATCTCAGACCAGTAATTTAGCGAGAAGCCTGGAGGATGTCGATACCAGCACCTAATGATAACAAGCGAGCAGCTCATTGTACTACCTCCTGAACATCCAATCTGATCCACGAGATAACTAGCACAATCCCGCTGAGAACGGCTCCCTACATCGTGGGGCCATGGGTACTAACAACAGACTAGCAATCTGCTAGTCCCCGCCAATTGTCAAGTCACACGAAGGATGTGGCAGCCGAAGTGAACGCAAAATAGAGATCACAAAGTTGGAATACAAGACGAGCCAAAGGAAGAGAGGAGGTGAATAAACATTCATCACATGGTACCACCTACAGACTTAACCGAGCAGATTCAAGCTCAATTCATGGCACATTTTGTCTTTTGCGCACAGCCTCGCGGTCATGGCCCTACATTGTAGATAGACCAAGCAGAAGAGGTCAATGGATGGCTTTTCCTTTGCCCAGCCAGAATTATGCTTGGTTCATTCCCGTCCGGCTTTCATCGTGAGGTCCAAGCATCAAAGATCAACCGCCGGTCTTGCTTAGCTGGGGAAGTATCTCCAAAAGAGCCAACCCACCAGCCCCAGATACTCAAAGTAAATGACCCGTTCCAGACCCGCTTGCCACGCCGATCGTCGTTCCACATATGAAGTGGGAATCCCCCGGTCATGGCATGCTTAGCCTGTGCGTTTAGTGCCGTTTTGAGGCTGTTCATTGGATGTTCGCAGGGCTTGGCCTCTGCGGGTTCAATGCAGACTAAGGATCCTTCCCCTCTCAGGCACAGGGGAAAACAATAATAAGGTCTGGGAAGAAGAGTAGTGAGTAGGGATCACGAGTGAAAGGGTAGTGGAGAGAGGTATATAGGTACATCTGTCGGACCCCCGAGAATCGGTTCTTTGTTCTCCAACCTCCATTGTGTATGGAGTGACTGACTTGACCCTGGTCTCTCTGTTCTCTGTTCTCTGTTCTCTGTTACTTCTGTACTCCTCTCCTACCAAGATGAAGTCCTCCATGCTACTGCTCCTCGGAGCTGCGACAGCCGTCATTGCTAGGCCTGCTCCCCACGAGTATGTGGTTCATGAGCGCCGTGATTATATTCCCAACTCTTGGATCCAGAGCAAGAAGCTAGATGGGTCAACCACACTACCAGTGCGAATTGGATTGACGCAGTCGAATCTGGATCGTGGCCATGATCTTCTGATGGAAATGTATGCTGCTACTCACCGAACCTACATACTGTGATTCGAAATTTTTACTGACTTGATGGATGTTCAAGGTCCAACCCATCGTCAAGCAGCTATGGGAGACATATGACGGAGGCCGAGGTTCATGACTTGTTTGCGCCCAGCCAGGATGCAGTTGATAATGTGCGATCGTGGCTGGAATCATCTGGCATAGCAGTGGACCGTATCAGCCACTCGGCAAATAAGCAGTGGTTGCAATTCGATGCCGGTGCTGATGAGCTGGAGAAGCTACTCCATGCGGAGTATTATCTCTACTCTCACGCTGAGACCGGTCGCTCACACATCGCCTGCCGCGAGTAAGCTCAAAAATAATTTGACTTGAGGCAGAACATATTGGCTGACTTGGAGCACTTCCCTAGATATCATGTCCCCCACTCGATGCGGGATCACATCGACTATATCACTCCAGGCATCACCCTCCGGGAGGTGAGCGGTGTCTCTCAAGCTAACAAGAGGAGCCTTGACAAGCGTCGCATTAATGGTGGACCGGCCAGTATCTTGCCCATTGCACAGGGTCTTTTGGACGAGCTGCTTGGCGGCTTGGGCCTTTTGGATCTCTGCGACGTGGCCGTGACTCCTGACTGTGTTCAGAGTAAGTACTGCTTAGCGGCGTGTGTTTCTCTCTGCTAATAACCACCTACAGAGATGTATAACATTCCCAAGGGATCCAAAGCAACTCCTGGCAATGAGCTGGCCATCTTTGAGAGTATTGCCGATGTTTATGCCCAGGAGGACCTTGACATCTTCTTCACTGGCTTTGCAAGGTTCGTAGCTCTACTGCTCCAAACCCGACAGACGTGAAACTGACACTCACTGAAGGGACATTCCAACCGGCACTCACCCTAAGCTCCAGGGAGTCGACGGTGGAGAGGCTCCAACTTCCTTTGCCAATGCTGGTCCTGAATCAGACTTGGACTTCCAAATCTCATACCCGATCATCTGGCCCCAGAACTCCATTCTCTTCCAGTCCGATGACATGGTCTACGAGAACAACTACACCTTCCAGGGATTCCTAAACACCTTTTTGGATTCCATCGATGGCTCGTACTGTTCCGAAATCTCCCCCCTGGATCCTCCATACCCAGACCCCCAGCCAGGCGGCTACAAAGGCCCCCTTCAGTGTGGTGTTTACAATAAGCCTTCCGTGCTTTCAGTCTCATACGGCGAGGCCGAGGCCGATCTCCCCATCGCCTATCAGCGCCGCCAATGCAGCGAATTCATGAAGTTGGGCATGCAGGGCATGTCCGTTGTGGTGGCCTCGGGTGATTCTGGCGTGGCTGGTCGCGGTGGTGATCCCACACCTAGCAACTGCCTGGGTGAGAATGGCAAGGTTTTTGCCCCTGATTTCCCTGCCTCGTGCCCCTACTTGACTGCCGTTGGCGCCACCGTCATTCCCATGGGTGCTTCGGCCAGCTCGCACCAGGAAGTGGCCGTCACTCGCTTCCCATCTGGAGGCGGCTTCAGTAACATCTACGAGCGGCCTTCGTACCAATCGCAGGCCGTGGCCGACTACTTTGCTAAAGCAGACCCGAACTACCCTTATTACGAGAGTGTCAACAACAACAGCTTTGGCGCGAACGGGGGTATTTACAACCGCATTGGTCGTGGCTACCCCGATGTCTCGGCTATTGGCGATAATGTTGTTATTGTGAACAAGCTGATCCCCACTTCCATTGGCGGAACCTCGGCCTCGGCTCCGGTGTTCGCAGCGATTCTGACTCGGATTAACGAGGAGCGACTGGCTGCCGGCAAGCCGACCGTGGGATTCGTGAACCCGGTACTCTACGCCCACCCAGAGGCATTTTATGACGTGACCCAGGGCACGAATGCTGGCTGTGGCACGAATGGATTCAGTGCGGCAGAGGGTTGGGATCCAGTGACGGGCATGGGTACTCCTAATTACCCGGCTTTGTTGAAGGTCTTTATGAATCAGTAGAGTGGTCGGGACTCTGTGAGATCCCTTGCTCTAGTATTACATGATTGGAGTTATTACATGATTGGAGCAGATGCTTGGCCATATATATGACTAGGTCCAGCTTAATGCATGATTCTATTTATTCAAATTATGAGGAAGTCCATGTAGACTTGAATGAACCTGATGATTGAGGAATTGTAGATCGTAAAATGTGTATACAGAAATTGAAAGACAGAGACGTACATAGTGGCCATGGATATATATTTCCTGCTCCGCGCGTCCCTCATAGCAATTTCCATAGCAGACAGGGCTGTCACCTCTCCCCATACTACTCCTCGGTGGTGATTAGCGATTAGGTCCCGAATCCGAGTCGTGCAGGATCGTTTGAGCGATTGCGAGCCGAGTCCCATCGGAAAAGCTCACAAATATTATACTCTTAGGCGATACCCCCGCCCGGAGTAGATGCGAAGGTCGGAGCGATCGAGCCGACCAGACCGGCGATACTCCGAGAGGCGGCCGGCATTTAGTGCACTACCGTAGTACTGTACTACGGTACTTTACTACTGTAGGAATGCCGGGTTGCTCAGGGAAACTGGTCTGGAGCATTGTGTACAAAGTTCAAAGCTAATGAGGACGTCTTAGATCATTGATGCATGGTCGCCCAAAATCCGAAGATTGCCCCTCGCTAGACCGAATCGGGTGCCCGAATGGCGTCTGGACTGCCCCCAAGGTCTTCAAGATTTATACTAGTTAGATGGTACAATTATTGACTAATGATATTAATAGTTGTTACCATGGAACCCCATTCTAAACTGCCTACTTGCGACCAGTGGGGGTCGGTAAAAAAAGAGAACAAAAGCACCAGAACCAACGGATAAAAAACGGATAAGTTAACTAGTTAATTTTTATGACATCACGAATTACTCAGCAGATGTGGGGGAACCAGACTTGTTTACGGAGTAATGGAGAGGAATAAGTTGGAGCAGGTCCAGCCTGAATGGCTCGATGTAGTAGTAAGATAGATCGAGTCGATAGACATTTCCAATGACCTAAAACAGCCTCCAAATCAAGGAAAATACCACCTATGAAGAGCAGATTGAGCTCTACAGGGACCCAAAATCAATATACGAGCTCTAACAGGGAAGTTCCCTGCGTCTGTAATGCTTCAAAGAGTCGCGAAAGTCGGTGGAGTCTGCTCCGAGGGCGGGCGTGGGATGAACCCCGCCAGAGAAAGAGATCCACGTCGCGCGGGTCTGCGCCAGACTTTGCTATGCTGTCATGAGTATCGATCATGGGCAATCATAGAAATAAGACGTATTTAAGTGGCGCGTCCCCATCACAACCTCCCTCTCCCTATTTCCCAGCTTCTTTCACACAATTCTTCTCCCATCACCCCTACGACATCTCCATATTCCACCATGTCTCTCGGCAAGAAGGTCACTCTCAACACCGGTGCTCAGATCCCGTACGTGCTCCAGCAGAATGATTGCGTGGCCCTCTTAGCTCCAATGGTCTTCATAACCACCGAATTTAAAACTAACGCGCTGTGACAGCCAGCTGGGCTTTGGTACCTGGCAGTCCGCCCCCGGTCAGGTCGGCGAGGCCGTCTACGAGGCCCTCAAGGCCGGTTACCGCCACCTGGTATGCTTCACTTTTTTCCCTGTATCGAGTGCAGAAGAGAAATGCTAACAATCGCTAGGATCTTGCTACCATGTACGAACAGACCCCTCCCATGCCACACCACAATGAATCGCCCAATTGCATTCGCCGTTCCACATTTAACGCAATAAAACTAATCTCCGTCGTCGCGATACAGCTACCAGAACCAGCGTGAGGTTGCCGCTGGTATCAAGCGCGCTTTCCAGGATGTCCCCGGTCTGAAGCGTGAGGACCTCTTCATCGTGAGTGTTCCTTGTTCCATACAACTTGGACGTGTCAATTTTACACCAATATTCTAACCTTTTTTTCTCTCGAATATAGACCTCCAAGCTCTGGAACAGGTACTTGACCATCAACATCCACTCTCCCATATGGGAAGTTGAAAATATGAAGTCATTCTAATTGTAAACAGCCAGCACCGCCCCGAGGTTGTCGAGGCTTCCCTGGATGCCTGCCTTGCTGAGCTTGAGCTTGAGTACCTGGATGTACGTCTTGTTTTGGATGGAGATCATAACTCGTCACACAAGGACCGAGGAAGATTTCGCTGACAATAATTTAGCTCTACCTGGTTCACTGGCCCGTCGCTTTCCAGAAGGGCGAGTCTTACTTCCCCCTCGTTGAGGGCAGCACCGTTGAGGGTGGTGATGTGATCATTGACGACGGTGTTTCCATCGTTGACACATGGAAGGGTGAGTAGGCCTTGGTGACAAGCTTTGCTGCAGGATTGTGACCAGCTAACTTTCATGCTTTATCAATAGCCATGACCAAGCTTCCCAAGAGCAAGGCCCGCGCTGTCGGTGTCTCCAACCACACCATCCCCCACCTCGAGGCTCTCATCAATGGTACCGGTGTTGTGCCCGCTGCCAACCAGATCGAGCGTCACCCCGTCCTGCAGAGCAACGACCTGATTGAGTACTGCCAGAAGAAGGGCATCCACGTTACTGCCTACTCCGTATGTTATAGCCTCTTGATTATGGGTATTGGAACCCTAGAAATACTAATAAAGTCGTACAATTAGGCCTTCGGTAATAACATGCTCAACATCCCCTTGCTCATCACCCGCCCCGAGGTTAAGGAGGTTGCCGAGGCTGTCGCCAAGCGTACCGGCCAGGATGTCACCCCTGCCCACGTTATCCTCGCCTGGTCCCAGGTCGGCGGCCACAGTGTCATCCCCAAGTCGGTGACCCCGTCGCGCATTCGCGACAACTTTAAGGAGGTCGAGCTTACTGCCGAGGAGGTTGCGAAGGTCAGCGCTCTGGGCAATGACCGCAAGCGCTACAACACCCCTTACACTGCTAGTATGTGCTCCTGTCGTACATGTCTCCAATGAATCTTTGTGGATGGTTTACTAACCGATTTACCTTACAGACAAGCCTCGCTGGAACATTAACATCTTCGGCGAGCCTGAGGAGGCGCCTGCTGACCACAAGGTCATTGTTTAAATTTAGACCTTTTGTTATCCTTATTCCCCCAAAATGAATGAATGAGACATGTACTTTCACGCATGAGACAGTTTCAAAGCATAGTATAACCGCGTAATATTTCGCCCTGTAGGTGATTCGCAATGGAGGCTATGAATATGTTTTCCATTTTGATTGGCAGAAGCAAGATCCCACCACAGAGGATGGTAGGATAAGACTTAATGCAGCTAATTGCCTAGATGACCTGGAAATGTATAATCACTTCTTGAACATAAAAATCCCTCTTGTTATGCCTCGGAGTGTATCGGCCTTTGATGTGAGCTAAGAACAGGACCTGCGTCCAACTCATGATATTCACGAACAGGGGTCGAGGCATTTGGCATTTCATAGACCGAACGCCCATCTAGTTGTGCTGGCGGAGGGCCCAAAGGCTTCCTCGGGACCGGTGGCTTCGGACTCGGCAATGGTGACGGCTGATCGTGCAGACTAGTTTGCTTCTCATCGGATTCTACCGTCGATGACGAGAGAGAGCCCACCGGTGGCATATTTTTGTTCTTTCGATAGCGACGCGCCCGTAAGACATACCATAGAACAAGTAGAATTAACAGTCCCCCCAAAATGACGCCGACTGTAATGCCTCCTTTAGCAGCCGGACTGAGCGAGTAACCCGATCCCGACGCCACACAGTAGTAACTCCCACGATACACGCCTTTAGACTGGAGGCTGTTTAGGGCGCTGCACAACATGGAATTTGAGCCACGAATGGTTGTTTCGCCATTGACTTCATCGAGTGATGGTAATGACACACTTTATTTAGGTTGTTAGATCTGGAGTCTAATTACGCAAGGCATGACATGAAACCCACCTGGTAAATGAGCCCGTCAGCTTCAGTTGACCATTAACTTTCTCGAGATCCCCCATGCTGAGGGTCTTGAGTTTTGAGTTGCCCGTGATAGTAATCCCTGATGAGACATCTGACAATGCACTCATCGTCAAAGTGGTTAGGGATCCCAGGCTAACCAACGTTAGGGTACCTTGAATAGTATCAAGATTAGGGGCGATGATCCCCGTCAGCCCGTCAGCCCCTTCCGCGGTGAGGGATCCCTTGATCTCCTCGATGCTGTTCAACGTGATTGCCCCGCTGACAGAGGACGCGATGGTCAGACTGCCACCGAGAGTATCGCAGTTGGCCAAATTGTTGGCGTCAATTTGACTGGAGATAGTAACGCTATTTGAACCTGGGAATACCGGGTCAGCGAGCTAGTCGGGGCAAATGAAACACATATAAGCAAGAACGTTGCACATACAACTGTTTGAATCAGTGGCTGCTACCTGCCACAGCGTGGCGAAAACTGCCAGGAGACCCAGCATTTGTGCAACTGACAATCCTCAGGGGTCAAGGTCTGTATGTTGTCCGTCAAGGCGACAACTTCCGGGGCGTCGACATTACATCATCTTGGTAGCCCTGAGGCGGAGTCAATTTTTTCCAAGATTGCAGGAACGGCACTAAATATTGGCGATTGACCCACTGGCTGGTGAAGACCAAGCCGAAGGAGTTGTTGTTATTGATGCCGGGCTAGGAATGTTATCATTGGATCGCATCCGGGATTATCTGCATGAGTAACACTGCCGCAATCCACGACCATAGACGTCGATCGGTCTTGTTTACCATGATGGGCCAGGTGGTTATCACTCTTGCCCGAGGCAGAGAAGCATCGAGCTAGTCATCGCTGGAGACTCTTTGCTTGGGAAAGGGTCATTCATCCCACTGGGGCAAAGAAATTCTCATCCTGTAATGAACTTTCCCAAAGCAGAATGTATCAATCGCTCGGGATACGCCTGTTGACAGGCAGCAGAATTGGATGGCCCGCTGCGGCCAAGAGACATGCGGGGGTCCCGGGCTAGTGAGGAACAACCGACATTGGCACAGCGCTTGGATCACCTTGGCGACAAGAGAGCACAGATGAGCTAGTACGATTCAAGATGATTCAAGAAGAACAGAATTGTCGAGTCGTGAAGGAAAGAGGAAAGAGGCATCTAATATTCCAATGTCTTGGCATGGGTTCCCCGAATTCCCTGCTGAGTCAGCAAATGCGGGGAATCTCCAGCTTCATCTTCCTGGCACTCATCTTCATTTCAATTCGACTTCAACTTTAACTCGAACAGGTCAACGAAGGTCGAGAAAAGGGCGTGGGAATGCAAATCCCTCAGCTTCCTCAAAAACTCGAAGAACTGACCCCATGAGGACATAAGGTCATGAAATGAGAGTGGGCAAAGGTTGTGAACGGTGTCGGTATCGTCACATCCGCTGTGTGATTCCTCCAGGGGCCTCGTCCTGTGCTCCCTGCGCGCGCCAGAGTCGAGTATGCCAGCTTGATCCACCATTCCACTTCAAGAACGTTCGTCAAGTCTACCAAAAAAGTAGTGGTATATCGGCACGATTTGATCTTGACTGGGATGAGGATCAAGTTTGGGTGAATACATCTCAGCCTGGTGAGTGATTTTGAGAGTGGTTGCAGCAAACACATGGGGAATTTCGCTGATTTTGAGACCTGCAATGTTTAGTGACATTCGTGCTCGAATCCTGCGATGATGTGGATGGAGATAGGGAACAACATGTTGAAGAGACTCATGTTCAAGACAGTCATACTCCAGAGAATGAGACCTTGACTACGATGAGACCGTTGTCGGTAGAACCATCCTGGTATCCGCATAACAATGGTGGTTCAGGGATCCTCGCTGTGGAACATGTTAGTCCGGGAGCAGCGCAGTCTCATTCCAATGAAACTTCTCCTCAGCAGCAGATTACCATGGGGAATTCTCTGTCTCTCTCCCATCCGACCGACGGACCACCTTCCTTATCACTACGTGAAGCGTCTCTGATGCGTAACTTCATTCAGAAAATTGCCCCGTGGGTAAGTGATGCTCTTTGCCTGCATGCTGCTCGTGTTCTAACATGATATCAGGCAGACATTTGCGACCCCCAGTGCCATTTTAGTACGGGTGTTTCCCGTCGGGCATTGCAGGTCCCTATGGTGTTAAAAGCAGTGATGGCTCTTGCAGCGCGGCATGACGCAATTCTCAGCAATCAGAGCGACTCGGAGGCCTCTGAATACCATGGCCAGTGTCTAGAGCTGCTCATCCCGGCGTTAGATCGGCCTGAGCAGACGTACGATGAAAACCTCTTGGTTACAGTAGTCCTGTTACGAATATACGAAGAGCTGGAAAACACCACTGACCCGCAATTCCACCTCTTGGGATCGAATCGCCTTATTAACTTAATGTCTCGCTCCGCATCTTCGGGCGGACTGGCAGAAGCCGTCAGCTGGCAATTTCTGCGACAAGCTATCTACGCCTCGGTGGTGCAGTATCAGCCTTTCGAGCTGGATCTGCAAAATTATGCACGATCCTCAATGTTTCAGCGCAGCGATGATGCGGCAGTTGCAAATATGGTAATCTTCCACTGTGCCGACATTCTCCGAATCTGCCGCACCGTGCCTCAGGAACCAGTGGATGAAGATGCACGACTCCAAGTGGCCAACGCTGTCGAGGAGTGGCATCGGGCAAAGCCCACCACCTGGCAGCCACTCCGATATCAACCAGCGGATGTGGCTGTGAATCGGCCGTTTCCTGAAATATGGATGATGTCTGCCCCAGCTGGTTTGTTCTCCCTGTCACAACCCTCTATCGAAATTATTGGGCACTCACAGCGCGTGTAGTTGTTGGAATGCAATATTATCACGCCGCCTGTATTTTCCTGACATTCTCCGAGGGGCGCTCCCGACCCATGACTGATTACCAGATGGCTCGCTCGCGACGGATGTCAGAAGTATGTGCTGACCCATATAATGATCACCTTCTCACCCGTGTTGCTAACAGAATATGATAGAAAAACATCGCAAGTCATATTTTGAACGTCATTGGATTGTCCCAGTCCAATGAAAGTGTTCATAATGCCTATTTTATGGCATGCCATCTCCTTCATCGATGTTAGTCTCTCATTTCCCACCGTATGTGATCCTCAACTAAACCCCCTATCTAGTTGGCTACTGTCTGAAGCACTGGACAGAACATCAAGGTTCGCTGGAGTTCCTTACCTGCGTGGAGAAAATCCTGGGCTGGCGGACCTCGTGGATCAAGCGAGAGCTGGAGCGCCAGTGGACCGAACTCGAGCAAGTTGACAGCCCCGACAACTGAAAAATTTATTGGCTTCTCACTGGGCCTAAAGAATGCTGACCTGACTCATGTAGTCGGTTTCAGTGCGCACACAAGGAAGATTCAGAGAGCTTCAGGCTCTGTGCATGAAGAAGTATAAATAGGTCATCGAGCTCTTCATGACATGATATGGAATCGCGAACAACTAGAATAACTCCTGATTTCACTTGGTACTGTCCCTTGGTGGTTATAAATCGTGTATTTGCCCCTTGCAATGAGACCGCAAGAATTTCACCAGTAAATCTAGCTCGACGTAGTCGCATTCCTCGCTATACACCTCAGCAACCAATCAGTTGCATTTATCATGGTGTATACTCACCTTGGATAGCCCTGTGTGTGGCGATATGGACGCCCCGGTATACACCGGGAGGTTGTTTAGGGTGATTCCTAATCAATCTAGCTGGGGTATGACAGGACAAACAGAAACCTCAAAGTCCGGAGTTTCTAGGAGATACCAAAGAAATCCGAAATTCCAATATCGCAGATCCCCGCTCTTCGGCCTTTCACCTAGTGGGTTGAATGCTGACTCGAGTGATACTGCCACCATTCGTGGTGATTGGACATGATGAACAGAGCGGGATTGAATTCATTCAAACCTAAGCACTAGTACAGTGAGATGCGGTCACCGTGCATAATATAGCCTCAAAGGTCGATACTGGGCAGAGCCTCGTATAAAAGGCCCCTCGCTCTCTACACCTCCCTCACTTTCCTCCTCTCATCCTCTTTCCCTTATTCCCCCTCAACCATTACTGACCACTCGAAAATCAACCCCTCAGTACCACCACGATGAGTCTTCCAACTCATTACAAATAAGCTGCCTTCAAGGAGGCGGGTGCCTCACTGACGATTGAGGAAGTCGAGCTGACCCTGCCAAATCCTGGTGAGGTGCTGGTGAAGGTGGAGGCATGCGGTGTTTGCTTCTCAGACACGGCTGCACAGGCCCATGGCTTGGCGGGTAAATTGTGCGTTGCCTCTTCTCGTCATTTCATTGAAGCAGGGATATTCTGAGTCGACGGGGCTAACTTTCTGGCAAATACAGCCCAGGTGTACCAGGTCATGAGATTATCGGACATGTGGCTGCGACAGGCGATTATGTCTCGGAGTGGAAGTTCGGCGATCGTATCGGTGGAGGGTGGCACGGAGGCCATGACGGTAAATTGCGCTCACTACCCTGTATTCTCTGGGAGGTATCAAATTGAGGCTGATCGATTGCGATTTTCTCAGGCACTTGCCCCGCTTGTCGCAAGGGCCATTTTCAAATGCGCGACAATGGCAGCATCAACGGCATAACTAAGAATGGCGGATGTAAGTAGCTCGCATCGCAATTGGCTCGATTGTCAAAAGGCATCGTCATTCTAATAGCTTCTTCAATAGATGCCGAAAACTGCATTCTCAATGCCGAGGCAGGTGTGAGAATTCCTTCTCACGTCTCAGCCGCCGAATATGCCCCGATTCTCTGCGCAGGCGTCACGGTCTTCAACTCAATGCGATAGATGGGCATCAAGCCTGGCTCTACAGTTGCGATCCAGGGACTTGGTGGTCTCGGTCATCTCGCCATCCAATATGCGAATCGCTTTGGATTCCGGGTGGTTGCCATTTCAAGAGATGACCAGAAGGAGCGATTTGTTCGAGACCTGGGCGCCCACGAGTAGATCAATACTAGCAAGGAAGATGTCAGAACTACTCTCCAGAAACTGGGAGGCGCTGCTTTGATCGTAGCCACCGCACTCAATGCCGGGGCCATTTCCCCTAAAGGGCCTTGGACCTCTCGGAAAGCTCTTGATTCTTGCCGGTATGTACCTTGAATCCTATCTTCCTGTGAATTTCAGCTGCTGAGTGACTCTAGTTCCGGGTGAAATTCCTCTCGATTCGGGGCTTATGGTGGGTCCCCCTATTCCTTCTAGCTCAGCCTTGATTCCACCAAGGTCCCTAGCTGTCTCTCGTTATAGGTTGCCAAAGGTCTTTCGGTCCACGGATGGCCCAGTGGACATGCACTGGGTTCAGAGGAAACAATTCGGTTTACTACAAGTTTCCGTGAATTGGAGGATATCAAGTGTATGATCGAGACTTTCCCTCTTGATCGAGCAAATGAAGCGTTCGGTAGGTCAAGACGCCACAGAACTTTCCCAACTAAAGTCTCTGACAACTATATAGATGCGATGACTTCCGGGTCAGTTCGATTCCGCGCCGTGATTACGATGGAATAAACCCGACTACCTAGAGAACAACGATTGTCAACAGAATTTCGAGGCTCATGATAATTCGGGGTTTTGTCACTGGCGTGGACTGAAATCTCGCATCATTCTCGTGCGGGGTGGGTAATCACAGACGTAGTCCAGTCATCAGCGTGCCTTTGAATAAATAATGGGCGAAGAAATCAAAGATGCATTGGGATTCCACATTTAGAATGAATTAAAGATAAAACAACAATCTGATGGAATCACTGAGTATCCAAGGCCCCGTAGATCCATGTAGTAGTAGTAGTGATAGACATACCCTAACAATCATCTCGTACTTACTTCTTTTGCGACCGATATACAGTAGAAAATAAAAAGGTTGCTACGTAGTGACGTAGCTCTCCTCCACTTCTCAATTACTAGCATTTACCTCCTTCCTGCGTCTTATTTCTATCTTCCATTGATCCGAGCAGAAAGGAAACCACTCCCGTCATGGCACGCGTGAGAAGATTCTCCTGTATTATTGGCTTTGGGTTTGATAAAAGTCAACTTTCGAGTTGCTTGTAGCCCGGACAAAAGGAAGTGTTCGAAGGGGCTTCAGAAATCGATGATAGCATAGAATTGGTATCTAAGATTCAGCGTTTGTTTCGGGTTATCTCTTCGCGAGCGATCTATGTTCTCCACGATCTGGGGTTGAAGGCGCCACAAGTCCCGTCTTTACCCCGCAATCATCCAGAAGAAATGGCGAACCGGAACGTGCTTGGCTATTCTGTTGGTGGAAATTATTCTTTCTCGAGCTGCAGAAATGCCGCGGATATATTCATCAATTCAAGAAGGATGGCCAGACGGAGCATAAATATCTTCAAAGGGAGACAGAATAAAAAATGAAGCCACTCAACATCACTAACAAAAATTCATGAAATAAGCATGATGCTTGGTCTTCTCTCGCTTTTCATCACTCTTCTCCCAGTGCAAGCACTGCCTGCTTCATCACAAAAGATGCTGCCTCCGTATTTTGTTCTCGCAGGTGACAGCACCACCGCAACCCAGTCGTCGAACGGAGGAGGCTGGGGAGATGGATTCTTGAATACTACGCTTTTCAAGGGGGCATCAGGCCATAATTACGGGCATAATGGCGCAACAACAGTCAGCTTCAGAGCTGGTGGTGATTGGGATAAAGTCCTAGCAACGGTCAAAAACGTCAGCCACGAGCACCATCCATTCGTTACCATCCAGTTTGGACACAACGACCAGAAGGCTGCTGCAAACATCTCGCTCGCCCAATACACCGAGAACCTACAGCGCTTCGTGACAGAGACCGTTGATGCTGGGGCTACGCCCATTCTTGTCACGCCGTTGTCAAGGCGGAATTATGAGACTTCGTCGGGAGAACCTTCGATCATTCAAGATCTCGCCAACCAGACTGCTGCGACTATCACTGCGGCGCATAACACTGGAGCCTCTTTCATTGATCTCAACCGAGCAAGTACTCAATACCTGAATGCCATTGGGCCGACGGGTGCCTATACCTACAATTTGATTTCTACAGATCACACCCATCTGAATGTCGAGGGCAGCATTGTGTTCGGCGGGGTAGTTGCCCAGTTGATCCAACGGGACTTCCCTGCGTTGCAGGCGCATAGCTTCGTTCGGGTCAATGAGACGTTGAAAGAGGACGTTGCTCGAGGTATCTACTACTGGCCTTGAACAAAACTCAAAAACTGCTACATGCGCGAGCTTAAACATCCGGCTTTTTTACGTCCTCGTTACTATGGCAGCAATTGTATTTAGGAATATGACGGAAAGCCCAATTATTGGGAATTTCAGACAAAAAGTATCAAAAACGGTTTAGCAAAATCGGGCTCACTAGATGCCAATTTCCTTCCCATCGCGACACTCCAAACAGGCACCCTAGCGCATAGAGACAAGTGTTTGCACAATGCTCGCCCCACTGGCTGATGGAGTCACCTTTTCCTCCTCATGTTCGTGCTTTTGAAGGAAAAGCGCCTTCATGGAAGGGTATGTTCTTACTTCAAGCTCATCTGACAACGCGGATGTTCCGTTTTCGTCCCCTAGGCCGTAAGCAATGGCCGCAGCTGGCTGATCTTCGTCCTGTTTGAGGATCCAAGTTATGTGTACCCAGTCTATCCAAACCTCATATCCTATGCCTTGGTCATGGATCATAATAGTTGCACCATCCTCGGCTCGGAAGCTTTGGTCCATCTGTATCAAGTCCTCCCTACCCGACGAGCCATTGAAGACGATCAGTCCCGAGGCACGTCGCATAGACATATGGAATACCATGTTATTAGCAGCATCTAGAAGCGCGATTTGGGTTATGTCATTTTCCGCACCGGTAGTTGCGAGATCAACAGTCGCTGATTCGATAAGAATGACACTGTCGGCTTTGATTTGGCGATGGAACTTGAGAGCGCTTTGGAGGAAAAGGTTGGCCTTTGGACGCGCAGGTCTACATATAGTCAGTATCAATTATCTATCCCATATTTTGACTAGAGGGCTGAACTTACCGTGGGGCCGGTGGTTCAACCTTGGGTTGCTTGAGCTCGGGGTCAAGAGCACCATCTGCTCCACCAGAAATAGTGGGCTCTGGCTTGAAATTTTCAAAGGAAGGTGGTACAGCAGGATTCTCAAAGAATTTGCTGTCGTTAGAGCTTCCGATGATCTCCAGATCGAGATTTTCCACCTCGTAGCGAGGGAGTTCCTTGCCATTCTGTTCAATTTTAGTAACCTACGACTTTGAATTCAACGCACGACACTGGAACTCACTTTCACAACCCTCCAATATGCACGTTTCCGCAAGTAGGCGAGAACTTCGTCGCGGGTCAAGGTCTTCAACTTACGACCGGTACTTAACAGCCTGTAAAGAACTGGTGTGATTGGGACGTAGGCGGTGGATTTGATAAGAATCTTTTGACCCTTTTTGCAATTTCCGCAGGCAGTGGCTCCATCAAGCTCAGGCCTCTGACTGAAGTTGTATACCTCGGCAATCAAGTCCGTCACTGCTGTCTGTATGCCCTCCTCTTGAGCGAGGTAAAGCTTGATCCAGAACGGTTGACCCCCAAAGGCGTATCTAATATAGGAAAATATTGATATCAGCAAGGCAGATATAACTTCAAGATACCTCATGTGACTTACTTCAGAAATCGAATACTAAACCCAAAGTCCGTAATTTGGAGTCCGCCCTCAATGTGATGAACGCCGTCTGGGGTAGGTGCCTTCGGGTCCAGCACCAGGGATCTGGATACTCCGTAAAGCTTGTTTACCGCAGCAATCAGGTCTCCCCGATACAGCTCCTCATCGAAAACTCCCTTCGGAGGAAGGTATTTTGGATCCCAGCGCTGAAGCTCAGGGTACGTGTAGCCAAGCCTGACGGTGTGTCGCACACCATCTGGGGTCCAATAGTCGTTTTTAGGATTCAAGCCTCGGAAAGGCTCCAATGGTGTGTTTTCATTGACAGCATGTTCCTTGCCAATCGAGTCCTGGATGGTTGCGTTGTCTGCAGGAATATTATTCAGCCACTTTTCAGGGTTCAGAGCCTGCCAAATTGCAAAAATACGATCGATATTGCTTCGTTACGAAAAATGTGAGTGGTCTGAAAATCCGCATGGTTCGAGGAGCATTGATACTCACCAATGATGCAAGAAGAAAAGGGGATCGAAAGCAGCCACAGGCACGTTCCCCATATGGCCCTCTGCTCCGGTCCATCCGTGGATATTGTTATGGATCTAGTGCAGTGGTCAGAAGAATTGTAGATATCTCGGCGGTTTGCATGAGATGATACGGGTTGGCTCTCACGTATTCGATATTCAGATCCTCGTTCACGTTCTGGTCCTTCGAGGTTGGGTTTGTACTAGCGAATGTAGTATAATCCATAGGGGTAGTCAGCAGGCGATAAACAATCTCTGCTGCTGGGCCATGGTTTTTGTCATTGTATCCGACGTGTGAGCCGAAAGCATCAGCAATTTTTCGGTTGTTGACGACACCGTGTCGCCATCCCTCACTAGTGGGCTTTTGATCCTCCTCGTCGGGCCAACGACTGGTTCCAATTGCGTTACCGAACTAAGCTAGATTAGCCTTTTGCTTTCTATAATTATGGGCCGCAATACTCACGTTCTTGTAATCCTCTTGCTCGGCATCGTTTTGCCAGGTGTTTTCCGTACCGACGCCTTCACTGCGCATAGGCTGGTTTGTGGGCATACGGAATTGGAACAAAGGGTTGTCAATCCGCACAAAACCACCTTCCGGTGAAGGACTGTTACCATGTATATCAGCAATCTCATAAGACTCATTTAGTCGGGGGAGATAAGGGCCAAAACCTACACATTGATGGTTGGGGTCTTCGCCAGGTCTGGACAGCGACCACGCCCTTTGCGCGCCCAATCCCAGAAAGGAAGACGCCACGAGTCGGCTTGTTCACGCCAACCTGCCTGTTGCTCCGCGGGGAACTGTGGAATGACTTCGTTCACCATCGTGTCATAGATGACTTGCTGAAAGATGATCAGCCTGGATGAAATCTGCGGAAATGCCTGTAAGTGTATCATACCTCAAAAAGCAAGACATATGGCCGATGCCAAATGGGAAATAGCACATGAGAGTGGTGACAATACCCATTTTTAATGGGCTCGGGAGTGGGATCGTCCCATCGTGCAAAGGGCTGGCCGTGAATTCCTTCATAAAGGGTTAATAATTGAATGGTCTTGTTTGAGAAGAGGGAAATACCAGCAATTTGGAAGTAAGATAGTCTCTCTTTGGGATCTTTCTTCTGGAACTTGTCCATGGCCATGATAAAAAGGTCCACTTGTTTTTTATTGGACTTTTTACCACTCCAGTCATCAATGTCTTGACGTACAAACACTTTCCGGTTGAGACCATCATTAATACTCGACTCCGGGGGAAACGACCCCTGATTGGATAATATTCGTAACCGTTTGCTTCTTGCGCCATCTTGTCAGACGAAACCGACGCAGGGGGGATTTTCTGCTTGAACTTTTTCTAGAAAGTCGCCCAAACAAGTGCATTCGCGCGTTGATAGTAAGACCTCGTAATTAAGAATTGGCGAGGAATCGGAGGTCCGAATGCTGGTTTATGTACATCTAGGTCTAATGGCTGAGCTGGTTATTGTTTGTGGAAAGCAGTAGGTATTGTTGGCTGGGAAGCACACTCCCACGAAAGACATGACCGTGACTGCAGCTAATGCAGTCCTCATGCATCTCAATTGCTTTGGGTTAAGTCCCAAATACCCCGAGGTTTGCTCCCGAAGGCGAGGAAATAATTAGCGACAAGCTGAGAGTGCCCGGGATCGTCGATCTAGCGTGGTGCTAAAGACTTGTCCCTGTGGTTGTTTTCATAATCAACCAATAGCTGCCACCTACTGATGGCGGAGACCTAAATTGACGTCTTGGTATACCCAATCGGATAAGATTGTGGCTATTTCCACCGAGCCTGCAGAGAGGCTAAGGCATGGGCGCGAACGAGGGTTCATCAGCGAAACTCGTAATGCCAGCCAGCCACAATCTTGCTTCCCGTTTCACTTACGGTGTCTAGTTCTCATCACAGGCAGCCATTGCCCACATTAACCGCTTGGATCACAGAGTTTGCTTCGGGACGAAACCAACCCCCGTCAAACTAACTATTAGCCAGCCGCATTCTTGCTGAGGTCAAGCCCGACCGAACGCCATGCGTAGGCAGTGACGCCCACAGCGTTCACACTTGGAGGAGTGTGGAGAGTATCATAGGCTCACAATCCATCGCGAGGATTCGGAGACACGGGGCTTGATTGTTCCTGCCTGCATCCTGCTCAGGCTTTAGAGCTGCTTTAAGCCACGAGTGTGATGGATGTTACAGTAGTCGAGTTTTCTGTATATTCAGCTAAGCCATTGAATCCATGCGTTTAGTTGGGATTAGAATATGCCCATGCCTGCCTTTGCAGTACATGTTTCCCCCATCGACTGAAACCACGCCTCGGTAGGTCCTCCGAGTCCAATGAAGAAATCTGCGCTAGATGAATCTACACTTAAAATATAATTAGATATTCCCAAGCGAGGGTACCACCGAAGCTAAACTGATCGGACGATTTCTAAGCTTTACGCGAGATCATTGCAGTGCAAAGAAATAAAAAGTGCTGGACAACGCAGGTGCGCTGCCATCCACCGATGAGGAGCTCAGCAGAGCTGGCCTGCCTACCAAGTACGTAGGAATAATTGGGTCCCTAGTGAATAGCTTGCCAAGGTCACCTAACCTGAGATGTCAAGTCTCTTGGAGCTTTCCCTGCCCTTTGCATTTCAATTCAACCCCATCCCAAGATTTGTCCCCTGCCAGATTTTTGAAGTCAGATTTACTTGTAGCCAGGAAAAGAGGAAGTAATGCACCATCAGCAGGACGTGGCTGCTGACCACCGCTTCGATAGGTTTTGAACTTGAGAATACTCCATGTATTCGTTTCCCATCGGTATGATCATAGCGTGAGAAGTGCAAGGCTATGGTCAAAGACGAAAGCAAGCCCTCAACCGGGGCGATACCGCCAACTTCCGAATGAGGGTACGTACATCTTTTGCAAATAGACAGCAATCGTGGAATTTGAATTGGGTTCAATAGAAACGGGCAGTGTATATCCGGCATCATTGCCAAGTTTCCGAAATGCAGCTACGTCAGGGGCGCAACGGACTTGTGCAATATTAGACAGAGTTAAGTCCCACATGTTGAGTATGTGACGCCCCTGAAATCCAGCGACAGTCGTGATTTCCAGGGTCTGACCTGCAGCAATTTTTAGCCACTGGGGAATGCATGATATTGTAGTGGAAGACTAAGGGAACTATGACGCTCGTATGAGGCTCCATTGGGTGGACGTCATGAGGAATGATGGAATGGACGAGCATCTTCGTAGCTTCTTAGATAAAAAGCATTCAAAACTTTTGGATTTTTTAACCGCTTAGATTCTCAATCCGACCAAAATGTTGAGGTGAGGCCAAAATTTGGGTTGAAAATGGATTTCTTCTGATATACCGGACACCTGGGTGGAAATATACATTCCTCTCGCTGCTTCCACTGATGTATGACTGCGTGTAATCCTAACTAATCTTGGCTTCGCAACCCAAATCGCCGCTCAAAAACCACTGGAATGAAAATTCCGGAGTACGTTAGTATATTCCAAAGGAAAAGCGTCATGGCTATCTGATCAATAGGTGGTGGGAAAGGTCTACCGTGACCAGGATAGCGAACTGTTGGCGAAAACAAATAAGCAGCAAAGAGCTGGAATGATGCCTACTGATCGGGATATAGGCTGTATGAAGGACAAAGAAATGCCGAGTATAGAAATCATACACTCAGCTTACCCCTGTCATCTGTTGTTGGGGAACATCTCGGCTGTACTCCAAATGCGGGGTCGAGAGGTTGTTCATGACTTCTTGTGCCTCGGATCATTCGGTAACCACAACGTGCCGCAGTTATTATTTCCTTGCTACTTATACCAGACTTGTCGAAGAAGGATTTTCATGATCACTGGACTTTGAATTTCCAAATGACATCGCAAAATCCTTCAAAAAATGCATACGTTCTGGGGGTGGGCCTGACTCAGTTCCTCAAGCCGCGCCGAACCAGGGAGTACCCTGAGCTCGGGTACGAAGCGGCCGTCAAAGCCTTGATTGATGCCAAAATCAATTACGATGAAGTGGAGCAAGTGATAGCCTGCTATTGCTACGGTGATACAACCAGGTATGAAGCAAACAGTATTCAAGCACTGTGCACAGGACTTCTCGCTAATGACTGCGACCCTCGTTTAGTGGCCAGAGAATAGTCTACAATCTCGGGATGACAGGAGTTCCCGTATTAAACTTGAACCAAGCATGTGCCACTGGCAGTACAGGTCTACACACAGCGCGGCGGCTTGTCCAGGGTGGATTGATCGACTGCGCCCTGGTAATCGGCTTCGAGCAAATGCGACCTGGTTCGATTAAGAGTGTGTGGGATGATCGCCCCAGTCCATTGGGTCCTTCCACCAAACTTATGGAGGATATATTCGGCAAACACGATGCCCCACGAAATGCGCAATACTTTGGAAATGCCGGGCAAGAATATATGCAAAAGTCAGTGCAGGCTTGGGATTCCCAATCGGGCATTGCTGACTCTGAATTAGATATGGTGCCAAGGCCGAAGATTTTGCTGAGATCGCCCGCATCTCGCACGAACACTCGCAGAGAAACCCATATGCTCAATTCCAGCAAGCGTACTCTTTGGACGAAGTGCTCAACTCTACTCCAGTCTATGGTCCGCTCACAAAGCTTCAGTGCTCACCCACTAGTGATGGTGCTGCCGCAGCTGTTATCGTGTCTCAGCGTTTCCTAGACTCCCGCCCGTCCCTCAAATCGCAGGCTATCTTGATCGCGGGTCAGTCACTCTTGACTGATGGACCCGAAGTGTACTCGGGAAGCGCCATTGACCTTGTTGGATTCAACATGTCCCGCGATGCAGCAAGACTGGCTTTGAAAGAAGCTGGAGTCGATGTTAAAGATATCAAAGTGTGCGAGCTCCACGACTGTTTCTCAACGAATGAGCTTCTGCTGCTAGATGCCCTTGGATTTTCTGAGCCTGGCAAGGCACACGAGATGGTTCGCCGGGGTGATATCACGTACGGTGGACGTGGTCCTGTGATTAACCCCTCGGGCGGGTTGATTTCTAAGGGACACCCCCTAGGCGCGACTGGAATCGCCCAATGTGCCGAACTTACGTGGCAGCTCCGTGGTTGGGCCAATAATCGGTTGGTTCCGAACGTTGATGTTGCGTTACAACACAACCTCGGCTTGGGAGGAGCCGTGGTGGTGACTGTTTATAAGCGAGCCGATGGTCAGACCAATCATCCTGTGTCAAATGAAGACGTGATGCGAATTTCTGGATTGGGATATAACCCAGCGGTGGAAGCTCATTATATCTCTCCCCAAGACGGCGAGAGCGTGAGGAGCAAGACTAAGCGTCATGACTATCCCCTTCGTGAGATTAAGGCAAAGCTAGCGGCTAGGATGTGATGTTTGACAGTGGAACAAACTAGGTATCAATGAATATTTCATAGATTGTTTATGCAATTACCCTCCTGGATGACTAAGGAGTCGCATATGTCTGACTATGACCTGCATGGCGTGGGTGTTCAAGTAGAGAGCTATTGCACAGTGCGTAAAACTTTAATAGTTGATTCGGACACCCAGTCAGCTTCCATTCCATGCCATTAGATCTGGAAATTAGAGGATACACTAAGAATTCCATTGAGTAATGTTGATCAGGATTTGCTTGATTCGCAACATTCAATGAAGGTTTCGACGGGGAGTTCAGCCCTCTCATGCTGCGGCTCGGAATTTCAATACTTCTGCTCATCAATCGGAGGCCTGCACAATTCCTGAACAAGTAACTTTTCTAGAACAGAAGCACCGTTATTCATCCCTATCTGTAGGGTAACTTGGAGATTGCTCAAACAGAGGGGCCATGGCTTGCACAATGTGGCTTCCTCGAGCATGTCACGCAAATCAATCCTCTGCCAAAGGGTTTCCGGATCAGCAAGACCACCTCGACTATTTGCGGCTGGCCTCAGTATGTTGCTCGAAGCTGCCAGTGAAGCTGTCAGCCTCGGCTCTTACTGGGGTGAAGCATGACGCTTTAAAGGCCCAAAGACTTTGGGATCCCGATCACTCCTTCTTCAATCACTCCGTCTGGAGCAACAAAAATGGCGATGTTCTAATTCACTGAGCACTGAAACATTGTTTCCGGTAGAGAACACATATCAGGACGCCGGTCAAGTTTCCTCATCGTGCTTTGGATCACATGTGTGCAAATGCATGGAATGGAGCTTTTGTTTGGCCTCATCCAACTTCTCGTGAACATTCTTGATCTTCCTTTTGGCTGAAGTGTACCCTTCAATTCCGGCTAGGATGGCATAAGACTTGGTCATCGACACTCGAGACAAATCGACACCCCGGTCTTGGAGCGAGTGGTGAAAGGCACGGAAGTTGGCAAGGTGTGGGCGATAGTGACCACTACGTGTGTTAGAATCTGTAGATATTTGTGCTTGGCCTCAAGTTTACCTCAAAGGTGCCAGACCTCGGACTTGTCCGTTCTTTGTTTTGATCAGGCCCGCTGCAGAGATCCTCCCTCCCCTCAGGAACGAGCTATGCTGAAAGGCACCTGGTGCTTTGATGCCAATGTAGATCCTGAACGACGTATCCGCGACCTGAGTCCATTCCACGTTAGAAAGTAATACTTGAATTATTCTTGATGTTGTTTGTATGATCACTCACAAAGATCCACATTCCGTCCTTGATGGAGAGACTCCCAGCGAAATGGTCGTAGATGACCACCGGACGGATGCGCGAAAAGTTGTTGACAGCTTTATCAAACTCATGGTCCTCTTGAGTAGACAGAACTTGGTCTTTCTTTCGTTCATTACCCGGAATTATGGACGAGGATAGTTGGCCTGATGAAGTCGGGGCCGATGCAGGAGAGGTGACTGAATCTTGGCCAGAGGGTGCTCCATGTTTTGGGATATTTTCATCGACACGAATCACCCCATGGACACTATCCTTGTAGCGCTTGTTATCAGTGTTCACCAATTCGTTGTTTTTGGCCCACCGTAACAAGCCCACGTCATCGACGTTAACGAGGTAGTTGAATCGCTCCTCCGGGGATAGATAGCGAACTTGATCTTTCTCGAGTTGTTCCCGCGTGCATTGTGGTAGTTCGAAATCCTTGCCTTCGCCGTGGTCTAGCCAGTAAAAGAAGTTCTGACTTGAGGGAGAGTTCTTCCAAGCAGCATGGTATGCCCGTAGATTGCTCCCATGGCGGTGTTTCGAGTCGACCATTTCGAGAAAGTATTCCAGACCCATCGTCTTCGGGGGGCATGTGGGCGTGTGAAGGTCCGTGTAATCGTCGGGATGGACATGGCCCTCCTGGTCAACTGAAGATCCCCCATCGCCACTGGCCTGCAATGCAGCACTGACGGCTCTTTGCCAGTTCTTGCGTGCTGGACTGAGGCTGTCGGAGGGATCGGTCTCAGCTTCAACATCGGATACGAGGTATGGGTTTGCGGAATCGTCGGCATGGTCTTGAACAGGAGGCTTGATGGCCTGGCACATATCAGTCAGTCAGCCGGCATTCTAGTACAAGCTGCGGAAGAGGATGGCTGTTATTACATTAAGCCACCGAGTGGAGGCCGCCACACCACATCCTCCGAGTTCGCGACGAGTTCGGTAGCCACGATATACCCTCTGACGTGCGATAGTGTCAGCAAGTACAAATTTACATTTCTTCACTTGGTTTTTCTCCGATTCGTACCTGAATGGTGGACGCTGCCTGTTCCTCTGGAACTGAAGGGGGCATGACGTCAGCGAGGACTCCCCGTTGTGCACTGGGAGAGCTATGCGGTCGTATCTGCGGTTGTGAGATGGTAGTTGTCGTCATGACGAGCGCCAAAGAAGGACCAGCACAGGGCTTCTAGAAGAGAAAAGTATATCTCATGTTAAGCAACGGTTTTTGGCAGGGAGCAACACGCAGCAACTCGCCTTCCTTGTTTTTCGGGGGAATCAAGCGGGGAAGTGGCCGATAAGATAGAAGATAAAAGATAAGATAAGGCTCAGATTGCTAGTGCCTTGGTGCCTTACATTGTGACGGAACAGAAGCAGCAGTGGATCCCGGAGAAGGGATATTGTAAACCCGCATGTATTAGTCATTTTTATGCCCACATAAATTGCCAGATAGGGGCTTGTTATTGAAATTCAGACTTGTTGATATCCAATTGGTGCGCACCATGTTTTACTAAGCAGCATTTCCGACTCGTTATTACTGCCTGGTGATTAGGGTGTCTAATCTCCCCATTGGGTCTCTCCAGGCAATTCTTTTGCCCACAAGGTTGTTCTTTCAAGAAACAAGGACCTTGGGGAAAACCAGGCAAATATTGTATAAAACCGGGACTCTGCATCTTGGAATCCCTCTCACATTGCTGGAATTCCGTCGAGGTCGAGGTGAGAGTTGTTGGTCTTGATTAGCCCACATACTCAAACCTTTCCTCAAAACCTCCTGTACTAACCAGCTAACATTCCGTCTTTTAGTCTGATGCATGAAACCTCAAAGACTCAAAGATACTGATCAGTGGATACAAGTCGCAATGACTAACTTATTTGCCAGAGGCTTTCCATCCTTCTGTCCATGATTGGTGGTTAGCATGGAGCAACCCCCTTCCTCGCTCGAAACCTCCTCACGAGTATGAATGAAAGGTCCCGCCTCCTCTCTATACTTTTCTACAGAGACGGTCGACAATTTGCCTAGCTATCATTCAACATCCGTGTCCGTCTCGCACGCCATTGCGGGGAGAGGACTCGGACGGGAGCTCTAGAGGGTTATCAGTCGGAGAATTCCCCACCGGGGCAGCGCGGATATATTCCTCCCATCCAACAAGAACACAGCCCTGACGGATACGAATACCACTTTCAGATGTGCCCCGCAACCTATCTCGGATTTCTTCATGCTGCGCCCGGGGACGAATAAGAGAGGCCACTCATGAGCCTCCAGGGGCTTATGGAGATCAAACAATCGCGGCTTCATCGGCAAAGCGCCCGGGCTGACCCGGGACCCCCTTCCGAGTCCGGTCTCCCCTCATGAGGGGAACCATTGGACGGATGTGGGGGTGGCATCGCTATCGAGAGTAAATCACCACCATGACCTCTATATATTGCGATCGTTGCGGTGGGACTAAAGGCTGAACAATTCACAACAACCTTACATTGATTCAATACGCCATCACTTCAAATCACCACAATCCACACATCCAACCATCATGGCCCCCTCTATCCACCCTCTCATTGACAACGGCATCACTCGGGGCGACCCCAACTTCCCCGGTGGCACTCTGCACTGCCACTGCCCATCCAACCAAGTCGTCGTCGCATTGAAAAGCAACATCGCCCATAACCACGCCTGCGGCTGCAGCAAGTGCTGGAAGCCCAAGGGTGCCCTGTTCTCCATTGTCGGTGTCATCCCCCGCGACAATCTCAGTGTCCAGGCCAACGAGGCCAAGCTCTCCATCATCGACTCTTCTGCAGTGATTCAGCGTTACGCCTGCCGGGACTGCGGCGTCCACCTGTTCGGCCGTATCGAGAAGCCCCATCCCTTCCACGGGCTGGACTTTGTACACGCAGAGCTGTCGGATCAGAAGGGCTGGCAGGAGCCCCAATTCGCCGGCTTCGTCTCTTCGATCATTGAGCAGGGCTTCAACCCGAAGGGTATGGATGAGGTTCGATCCAAGTTCAAGTCTGCAGGACTCGAGACCTACGACGCCCTGTCACCACCATTGATGGACCTGATTGCTACGTTTACCGCTCAGAAGGCTGGTGTCAAGTTTGCCAACCTATAAAAAGCCTCGCATGGGAAAGTCTGCAATGTATAGTGATATATTGCGTTTAATACTGCAACATCGTGGAGAGCGTTGATGCCCGCAAAAATTGGTTCTCAGCACAGGCACCTGTATTTAGCTTTGCACATAGAAATCTTTGATTCATCCAAACTTGAACTGTAGCCATCTGTTGTAGGGTATTTTCATGAACGAGTAAACAGACATGGACAAGATCGTAAGGCTTGGGTGGTATTGGGTAGTTTTCCACAGCATACCGAAACTCCAGTTTCAAAGCAATGGCACACACAAGTAGAGAGCTGGGGCTGATTGAGACCTAAACAATGACATGGTCGCGCTCAGTCTGCTCCACCATCTTGACCAACGCGTCCGCAACGCCATATGAAAAAGCATATCCACCGCCTCCAAATCCATAAGCCGAGAGGAGGGTTCGTGAACCTTGTACCTCGGAGTCAAGTCGAAATCCTCCTTTTCGAGACGGACGAATGCCAATGATATGACTGATCGCGTCCTCGGGCGGGTTTGCGGGGACCACATCGGGTGCTAATCGATGTGCGCGGGCAATTTCATCTCGAGCAATATCGAGATCGACATCGGGAGACCTGAACGGTGAATCAGAACATGAGTTGATAGACGAATATGACCCCTTCGTGGAGTGGTCTTGCTTACAGGTTATCTTGGTGCTTGACGCCACCCAATACCACACCTCCCGAGTATGGCCGGGGAATCACATAGGTATACTCTTGCCCATTGCGAAAGTACATAGTTTGGCACTTATCAGTTCGTAGAAAGACATTTTGGCCCCGTTCGGGGAAACAGCGATCGTCTTGGACATCTGCCAGAGTCTTACTGCCTAGCCCGCTGGCGTTGATGAAAACCCGCGAGTCTAGGAACATGCCGTATAGCTCGTGCAGTGATTCGACCTTGCGGCGGATGAAACGGCCGCCCATCGTCTGGATCTGTCTTTTCAGATAGGGCATGTGGCGAGTGGGATCGGTGACAAGTGTCTCATACGCCCAGGCACAGGCAAACTCTGATGGATATTCCTCTGGAGACAAGTTCCGGAACTAGATATGGGATAGCATTAGTGGCTCGACACTATTGAAAGACCACAGCCAAAAGGTAGTTCAGGTCCTAAGGAAACTGACCCTGGACACGACAGTCCTCCCCCAAAGGGCGGAATCGGGGGTCGGTTCTTGTTCAAGGTACTCTCGAGAATCGACTAGACTGACCCCCGATGCCGGTTCCCGGGCCATCTGAAGCAACACACGATGGGTCACAGCCTGAAGGTAACGCTGATCGGGAGTGATGCTCCCTGCTGCATGCCAGGCAGCACCTGCCCAGGCCGAGGCGTAATTGATATCTTGATCCCCAGGCAAGAATTCCGCGACGAGAGTGACGTGAAAGCCTTGAAGTAGTAGCTGGCGAGCTGCGGCACATCCGATGATGCCGGCGCCTAGGATGATGATCGGGCGCTGGGAGAATGGGATCGGACAGGTGTTGGTATTTTGGTCGCATTCACTCATGGCGACGGAATTGACTGTCTGTGCAGTCGATGTCAAGGGAAAGAGACTAGAAGGTGATGTACCAGGGCTGGTCTGCTGTCCTGTTGAGCACTCCAGCATTTATTCCATGGACGAATCGCTCTTTGAGCAGAATGGACGATCGAATTTTGGGCCGTGATGGACTCTCCTTCGAGACTGTTTGGAGCTCGTGTATCGAATCAATCGATCTCGTATAGGTCGAGTTTGTCGAGAGTGTCTTTCATGCTGGGAGGGTGAGTTTGTGGTGCATCACGAGAGCCCGAATGGCGGCTTTATCAATTAGTCTTGTATGAATGTATCTTGTCGCAAATTTTGCCTTTCATGATCTCTTCTCAACGGAGGATTGGCTGATCATAGCAAGGCGCTCCGAACCGCCCGAGCGGAGACCAACTGGGATGTTTTGGGATGATTTTGGATTGTTTGATGCCAAGCGGAGCGGGTCAACCCGCCCGATTCTCCTCAGCGAGTCCCAACTTGATCAACCGGTCTCCTCGTTTCTCCTTCTTCCTTCACTCTCATTTGTCTCTGCTCGACTTTTGTTCTCCATTTGGCCCCTCCCCCTCCTCTCTGCAGCTCGAACCCACTCCATCGATTCCCATCAATCTCCTACCCAATCTAGAGCCATTGGCATCCTTTCAGGCTAACTTGGACGGTCGCAATAAGCCGACCGTTACTGTGATCGGCCACCATCCGTCACGCCGGCCCCCAACTCTGAACTCTCGGGCTCTCCCTTTAGGTACGTGCGGGATTTGCGGTCCAGCCCGTCCGATCGGGTTGACGCGTCTGATCCGTCGTTTGAGGTTGGAGATCTTGGCCCCTCCCATCGCTTCCTCCACTTCTCGATGTGGTTGACTTCGACTCGCCCGTCGTGATTGGGGCATGGGTCATTGTTTGATCTGGCCAACCCACTGCCCGTTCTACAGAGTTGGGTCTGAGCCGGGAGTCTCCCGGAATCAACGGCGCGATGAAGAGAGAGATGGAGAGCCAGAGTGATGCACCCCAGCCTCAGCATCAGACACAAGAGCAACAGCATCCAGACTCTCCTGTTGGCTCATCGATCGGCGAGAAAGCTATAGACTCTCCGCCATTTCCTTTGCAGGTAAAGTCCACCCTTTTGCAGCTAGTTGCCCCCGTTATCTTCCATCTTCCATCTGCCTATACCTGTGGAGTACAATCCACTCCAATAGCTTCCCCCCAATCAGACTGTCTGGTATTCTACAACTCTATGTATTCTGTATCTATTTACCTGCCAATCTTCCTTGCTCTGCCCATCCCTACTGAGATGACTGTCCTCGTTGGCTCCTGGAGTCGTTAGTCGTGTCTTGGCAGCGTTGGCGTGGGCCACTACGGTCCATTCCTAACATCGTTGACCACATGGTTGCGGCCCCAGCCGACAACCTTCTTCCACGGTGGACACTAGATTGTCGAGCTCTGGTCAGATCACATTCTTTGCATGCGATATGACTCGATCCATGTGGTATTGGTCAATGCTCCCTGACCTTGTTGGCCCCTGCCTCGATGATCACCCTGCACTTCCCGTTGGTTTGTTCCGCTTGACCTACCTAGACTATTCGCTCATACAATTTTGCCATTGCGTGGTAACAGGACTGCTCTTCCAAACACCATGACGACGATATTTCTGTCCTGCGCGACCGTAATGCTGCACAAGTCTTGTCGTACGATGCCGACGACTCCCCCTTTCCGGAGGTGCGTGCGGTCATCCAGCCTATCGACGACCTTTCGCTGCCTGTGAACACTGTCCGCATGTGGACAATCGGCTTGCTTTTTACTATTGTATGTTTCCACTGTACCCGGGGCCCTGCTAAACTGCCCCGCTATCGACTCACATATACTGACAAAGCTTGTCGTCTCATTCGTAGGTTGGAAGTGGATTGAACCAGTTCTTTAGCTTACGCCAACCCAGCGTCACCATCAGTGCCCTAGTCGCCCAGCTGCTCGCGTTTCCAGTAGGCTGTGCCTGGGCCAAATGGATGCCACTGGGCATCCTGAACCCAGACCGACACTTCAATATCAAGGAACATGGGCTCATCACTATCATGGCCAATGTCTCGATCGGTTCCGCCGCAGCGACTCAAATCATCGAGGCGGTGGTCAAATTCTATCATATGCCCTCTCATGGTGGATTTGAGGTCCTGCTTTGTGTTACGACGCAACTGTTCGGATTTGGATTGGCAGGCATGGCCGCTCGTTGGCTGGTCACTCCGGCCTCCATGATCTGGCCCCAGGTGTTGTCAAATGCAGCCTTGCTCACCACCTTGCATTCACGAGAGAATGCTATCGCAGATGGCTGGCGCATCACGCGCCTCCGCTTCTTTCTTGTGGTGTTCCTAGTGGGCGCTATATGGTACTTTGCCCCTGGGTATCTGTTCACCGGCCTCAGCACCTTCAGTTTCATTTGTTGGATCGTTCCTTCGAATGTAGTGGCCAACCAACTCTTCGGGCAGATCACCGGGCTGGGCATGTCGGTTTTGACCTTTGACTGGGCCCAGGTGGTCTATGCCAACCAAAGCCCGCTTTTGGTTCCGTTCTGGGCTGGCTTGAATGTCATGGGCTCATTTGCACTCTTCTTCTGGCTCATCTGTCCAATCATCTACTATACCAACACTTGGTACTCAGCCTATATGCCCCTTCTGAACTCCAACACTTTTGACAATACGGGCAACACTTATGACCCGTCTCGCATCATGGGCCCAGATGGGTCCGTCAATCAAACTGCCTATCGAGAATACTCACCCATGTTCTTACCTGCGGGGTACGCCATTACCTTTGGTGTTGCTTTCGCCAACCTGACCGGTATCTTTGTTCATATTGGGCTCTACCACGGTCGAGATCTATGGCAACAGTGGAAAGGGACAAACAAGCAAGATGTGCATGCGCGTCTCATGTCGGTCTATCCAACCGTGCCTTGGTGGTGGTTCGCCGGAGTGACAGCATTGATGTTTGTGCTGAGCGTGGTGACGAATGAAGTGTGGCATACGGGTCTCCCCGTCTGGGCTGTGCTGGTGGCATTTGTGCTGCCCACCCTCTACTTTATTCCGGTCGGGGTCATCAAGGCATTGACAAATATCAGCAGCAATCAGCTGAACCTACTGTCTGAATTCATTGGCGGATATGCTTTCCTTGGCAAACCACTCGCAAACATGGTGTTCAAATTTTACGGCTATGTCGCCGTTCAGCAGGGTCTTGAGTATGTCCTACGCTCCCGAATGATCTTTGCTAGTAGCATATTGATGTCTGAATTTCGCAGATTCGTCGCTGACATGAAATTGGCCCACTACCTCCACATCGCCCCAAGAACCGTGTTCGCCGCTCAAGGCTTCGCCACTCTGATCGGTGCCATCGTCCAGTGCGGAGTGACAGTGTTTATGATTACGAGGATCGACGATGTTTGCACCTCGGATGCAGACGGTAATTTTACATGTCCGCATGGCCGAGTCACATATTCCTCGTCTCTTATTTGGGGTGTGTCTTGCCATGTCTTGTAGCGAGTCGTCCCTTGCTTTTCGACCTTCGTTCTCTCTCTCCCTCTCTCTCCTATGGATATTTATGCTCACATTTCTTTCTATTACAGGTGCGATCGGCCCTGGCCGATTATTTTCTCCCGGCCAGATCTATGGTAACCTATTGTGGTTCTTCCTCGCTGGTCCGGTGGTTGTCATCATCACGTATCTTTTAGGTCGGCGTTGGAAAGCTGTGAACTATATTTCCTGGCCGGTCGCTTTTGGAGCGATGAGCCTGGTCCCACCGGCGACTGGAGTCAGCTTTTCCTCCTGGTGGGTCATCAACATGATCTTCAATGGCTTGATACGCCGTCGCAAACCTGCGTGGTGGTCTAAATACAGTATGGTACTTTCCCCACCGACCAATCCTGAATCATTGGCTAACATTGACTTAGATTATATCTTGTCTGCTGCGCTTGACTGCGGAGTCGCCGTCTCGACCGTCATTATCTTCTTCTGCATCACCTTACCGGCGGGCCCTTTGAACTGGTGGGGAAATACTGTGTATACCAAAACCGCCGACGGACGAGGCACGCCGTACAAAAGTCTACCAAGTCGAGGCTACTTTGGTCCTGAGAAAGGGATATGGAGTTGACCTCTTCATCAAAATTCGTCATATAATCATCGATAATACCTATTGTGCATAGCAGTCGGCGCTGGGCTATTCTTGGAAGATGAGCGTGTTGGGCCGTTTATTGGTATGGATCATCGGCTATTTTTCAGTGTTATATAGCTGCAATCTGAGCATGGTGGACATTAAGAATCTCTGCTTTGGTGTGTAAATCGTCTTCTTTTGTATCTGCCCCAAGTGCCCCATGATCCATCTCCCAAAAGAAGATTGTCGAGTATGAAAGAGGAACGTCGCTCACACCTTCACCGAACGCCCTTGGACATAAACCTTGGCAATATTTCGATCGTCGCCCGTCATCAGGAATTTCTCAAAGATAACAAAAGTCGAGTCATCCTCTTCAACAGGCGATATCACGCCGCGCTGCTCCAAATCGATGGTATGTATTTCCAAGGCATCGAATTCCTTGCCCACCGCGAAGCTCCCAATTTTATCCTCCAAACCACAAACTTGAGCTCCACCCATGGTCGCAAGATAAAATCCTTCAGCCAGTGATAATGGTTCATCCTTTCCGTTGGTTTGTGTCTTCTGGGCAATCGACACTACAAAGGCTTGTTTCATAGCATCCAACATGGAAGAAGAATATCCACCGCCACTGTCTGTTCCCAGACCGACCTTGATGCCGCGGCGAAGGTATTCACGGATTGGTGCAATCATAAAGTCCCGCATGGTGGTATTGGCAATTGGGCAATGCGCGACACCGCAGCGGAGCTCCCGCATCATATTCATTTCTTTCTCTTCTAGATAGATCGAGTGTGCCAGGATGGATCGCTCGTTTAGTAATCCAAAATGCTGGTATAGATCGGCTTCGAGGTGAAACTCGGGAAATAGCTCGCGCGTGAACTCGATTTCCTGCTGTTCCTCGTTGAAATGGGTCTGAATTGGCAGATCGGGGTGCTCTTGAGCGATGGTCCCCAGACCCGAAAGCAGTTCCGATTCACACGAGATTGCAAATCGCGGGGTGATGACGGGCCTCACCAATCGTCCCTCTGGATCCAGGTCTTGAACGTGCTGAATCAATGCTCGTGTCTCACGTAAGGAGTCCGAAATGGAGGCATCGCGATACCAGTCCGGAGCGTTTCGATTCATATTGCACTTGCCAACCAAAGCTCGCTGGCCTTTCTCGTAGCAGATGTCGGCCAAGATCCGAGTTGCCTCGCCATGGTGGGAGCCATAGTAGGACGCGGTCGTAATGCCTTGCTGGAGGAAGCCGTTGACACATGAAGCATATGTGCGTTTGGCGTACTCGGCATCAGCGAACTTGGCTTCATGGGCGAAAGTAACTTGGTTTAACCAGTCGATGAGTGATATGCCGCGGCCCACGCCACGCTGTGTCCACTGAGGGGCATGATTGTGGGTGTCCACAAAGCCCGGACACAAGAACTCGCCCCAGCGCAGGTACTTGACGGGGAATACATCGGGCGCATAGCCATGGTCTGAGATGATGGAGCTGATTTGACTCGGATCCACATCTGTTTGGAGGGCTTGTATCTTGCCCGACTTATCCACCAGGATAAAGCAATTTTCCAGAATCTCAAGATCGGTCAAGCTGTGAGAGTGAATTGCTGTGCCGTGAAACCCGAGAGGAAGCCCCGATGCTGGGGATGAAATCTTATCCAAGTCGTCCATAGTGGATAAAGGGAGCGAGGCTCTGACAAGGTTGTCACTGATAGACGGCTCGGTTGATTAAGCTGGGGGGAGCAGCACGCCCTAAAATATGTTGAACGGGCTGGGAATGTGTCACTGGAGGTACAATCACCTGTATGCAAGTGTAACTGACCAAGAAGATTATTGTGTGAAGGACACAGTGAGGATGTTGTTGTAGTGAGGGGTTCCCTGCGGTCAAGTCTCTAGCCAATAACAACTGCATGAATCGTTGATCTTATCGCTTCTGCCTGAAGATTGCTGATCTTGATCCACTTGGAAATTCCTTAGTTTCCCTATTCTAAACTCTTTTAACCCGTTCATTTCGATACTTGCCTTGGTGGGTCTACTTTCGAGGTAGAATTTGTTGAGATTTTGACAACCCATAGGTGTAATATCCTCTACAGACAGGATATGTGTCACCAGAGAAGACCAGGCTACCTCTCCATTAATACTTCATTCAATCAAAAGGGTATATGACTGACACAAATCCACATGGCTAGACCAAGTTGTGTACTTGTTATTTACAAAAGGGTTTACAACGGACTGATAGAATCCATGAGCATCCACATCTAGTTCCGAAAGTAGGTAGGCTCCAGCTGTCTATGAAATCGAAAACAACGCGCTCAAAGGGTATAGTAACTGGCCATCTCCTCCTGGAACCAGTTGTATGAGTAGTAAAGTTGCTCTGCCATTTGCGGGTCGATCATTGGCATTATCCCGCTGCCATCGACCAGCAGAACGTCATCCAGAATGGGGGCCAGAGGAACGGGAGGTGGAGGTGGAGGAGCGAGAGTGACGGAAGGTTGAGGTGGCATAAGAGGTTGTACATGATGGTGTTGGTGCTGCTGGTGTTCCAATTGCTGCTGTCGATATGCCATTTGGCTGAAGATTGTGGTGCTCTGATGGCGGAATGTCTCTGCCAATCGATCCACTCCCGGGCGTCGCTTGCCAAATTGCTCCAGCAATACCACGACAGCCTGGATGCCCCGACGCATCATTTGCTCGTCGGGATGCCATGGAGCCGGGCGGGAATCGCGTAGACAGCGGGCATTCTGTTCCAGACACCACAGAATTGTGATGCCGGCAAAATAGACTTGGCTCAGTGTCAACCAGATCCATTTCAGTTTGCCCACAGAGTAACTATCCCAGTAGGATCGAATGACTTGAATACTGGAATCACCGCAGCTGACAATGCTGGTGACGTCCGGAGTCGGATTCCGAGGACTTGGACGATACATCAGCAATAAGGTAGTATAATACAGATAATCGTAATAAGAGGTAGAATAGAGGAGTGCCGAGGGGTAGACAGGGGCTGCCATACGCCAGTCATCCACCTCGCGACGGAATTGACCCAGCGTGGCGGCAACTTCTTGCTGAGAGGGTTGGGGGAGATTGCTGTACACTAGATTGCAAGTCGTGAGACATTAGCACGATGTCAGGAGAGATGAGGGGGTCCAGAGAGTCTCAACTTACAGTATTGGTAGATACGAGAAAAGATACGTCGCAAACGCATCACTTGTAGTGGAATGGTCATAGTACTCGCACCAGGTGCCTCCATCCCATCGTCGTTCAGCTCCCGTGGAAGGCCCACGCTAATGTCATCGTCTGGGATTCCCAGCGGTCGCCCCAGGGTGCTGGCAATGAGACGGTCCAGGTTGTAGAGGCTCCAAAAGGCACGTTTAGCCATTTCTTCTTCCATCAGGCTGGGGTATGACCGAGCCTTATGCAGGCCCATGCTGATAGCGAGTCGTAGGGTAGCCCCCAAGACATGCCAGATGCTGGGACCAGCCGTGGCAAACATGGTATACAGGGCCAACCCGAGCAAGGCCCGAATGGAGGGTAAATCCTCGTTTTGGAGAGCGAGAGGGAGAGTCTCCTGGCTTGCTTGATAAAACTCGGCGGCCTGTGCAGGCTCGGCGGATCCGATGAGGAGTGAAATGGCGATGATGATATGATAGGTGTTATGGACCTCCGGGGTTGGCACGCCGCCCGTGTAGATGTGGCGCAGATGGCCGAAGAACTCCGGCCGAGAAAGGAAGGGGTACTGGTATCCTATGCTATCAAAGTACTGGCCGGCTACTCGTTCGGCTTCTTCGAGTGAGGACAGGCGCAGTACCCGTGGAGCAACGGCCGGTCGTGCGACGGACGGGCGGCGATTCTCCAACTGATCGCGAAGGATCTCACCCACATTGGGCAGCTCAACACCCACCCCCGTGGGCGAGTCCGAGATGGCTGCCAATCCTGGGGTCGCCGACGAGCTACCGCTCCCCATGGGGCTCAGCATCGATCCCACGGATGACCGACTGCCACTGGTCGCGATCATGGCAGGCACCTGATACCACCAGTCGGGATCCCCCTCGCCATCCACGGGGGTACCTGTGGCCAGATCGGCCACCGAGACGCCCACTTTGCGACGTACCACCTCCTCCAGCCATCGCACTCGTTTTTGTAAGGTTTCCAGCTGATCTCGGGGTACCGAGGCACTGGCCACTTGGGGCCCTGGCGGGGGGATGGTGCAGCGAACCCCGGCGCGCGTACAGGCCGAACAATTGGGGTACCGGAAATCACATTTCTTCTTGCGCTTGCGACAAAAGTCGCATGCCGTCGATACGCGTTTGCTCCGCGCGCTCAGAGTAGACGTGGGGTCGGGGGTGGGCGCCGAGTGGGACACTGGCGGGGGCTGCTGTAGCGAGGAGGGTGAGGTGGGTTGGTACGAGCGAGGCGATGGCTTGGGGAGTGTCGTGGTGGTGGTCGGAGAATGTGACCAGGCCGTCGGAGACGAGACGTTCGGGGACTCGAGGCGAAACTTGCCGAGTTGGTCACGAAAGTCCTTGTTGCCCGAGCTGCTCGTCATGATGAGGAGGCAGAGGAAGCAGCAACAGGCAAAGGCGGCTGGGGCCGCTATCCATCGTCCAGCCCAGTCAGTGGAGTGAGCCTCAGACACGAGGGTCAGCCACTGGATGAGCCACCGAGGCAGCTGGGCAAAGGATAGAGAGGAAAGAGAGATCGGACAGGGTTTAGCTCGAGCCAGGCGTAGAGGATGAATGTGGAGGGGGTAGAAGGATGGGGGAAGAAGTGGAGAAGTTCGGTAGTCTCCAAGTCGGGAGTGATGATGCTCGATGCATGATGATGAAGATGATGCTAATTCGGTCGGAGGCCCTGCAGATCGCCGGTGAACTAATAACAAATTCTGTAAAGTCAGTGTAACTTCAAGCAGATATGGATCCCTAATTAGGTATTAGTTCAAGTCCAGCGCAGGGAAAGGAGGGTAACATACTGGATAACGCCATTTGACTGGCCCGCAGGGAGATGGATAGATACTTAGATACTCGGGGCAACAGGTTAGGCTCCTTTTGGTGGGATTATGCGAGTATCAAATTGTAGGTAGTATAGAGTATCTTTTTAGGAGTAATCCTTACACGGGACCTTGATGGTGGAATAGCTGGGAGGTTATCTTCTAGCAAGTTACTCAACTACCGAGGCAGATATATATTCCACCAGCAATGGATGGAACCTGTAGATATGGCTACTTCATGCAGTTCATCTAAATGAATCTGACCTACTACTACCCACGGTACTCAGTAGTTATGGGAATTCAGTACCTAGAAAACTGAAACCAACCAAAGTAATGATACTGATGATGATACTAACAATAATAACAATGAATACGAGTGCCCTGACGATCTGCAAGGAACACTGGAGGAACCTTGAAATGCCGAATTCTGCACACAAAAGCCTAATCTTCACCAGGTACCAAGGAGGATATCCATAAGAATAATTCTATCATCATTGTTGTAATGGCTAGAGACCTGCTAATAGTAAAGACCCATGCAAGTCGGTACTTAACTTGAAACTCTCCTAGTGCATCGGGATACCACCTTCCATCGGAGGATCGGCTTTTGGCTGATAAACCTGCTATGATACCAACTAACCCAGTACCGACTAACCTTGATTTCTACTTCAGAACAATATAACTCCGGACACGTGAAGAATATACTGGTCGACATGAGTGGCTTATTATCCCTTGGCCCCCAGCCTGCTACCGTACCTAGTGCTATTATAATGCAACACTGCAGTTATCTAGCGAGTAAGATGATCCCGAAGCGTAAGCTAAATTTCATACTACTATGTGCACAGTCCGGTGAATTCAAGATCCAGTGATCGGCGGTCGTTGCAGTATTATACCGAGGATATTTAGTGCTCCCCATTCATCACTGCTCAGCCGCCAACTGCGTTCTATTTAACATAGATGGAACACAATGGGCCTGGCTCTTCTCCTCAATGTAATTGTAGTCCGGCATAGACCATCACTGCTCCTCACCATTTTTCCTAACCTGCGGAAAGTAATCAATCGTGGCTAATAGTGTCATCCATGATCTTGACTGTTGAAGTTTCCTGCAAACCCCCTTGCCCCTCGCCACAAGTGGATTGATCGTCATCGGCTAAATACCCCGACCGGCATACCATCGTCTCGTATTCTCTCCTTCAGTCCTACCCTGACCCTCAATGTGACAATGATCGGCCCTGATCTATTTATTTTGGGATACGATAGGATGTGGGCTACACGCCGACGAAGGAACGCCATTGAGCTTGCTTCATCCTCCGGCATCACCCATAAATAGAGCCATTTGCCCTTGTCATCAACCCCTAGATTGGAATTCTCTCCTTGCAAGACATTTGAGCCAACCATGAAGACTACAATTCTTTCACTCCTTGTCGCCGCGGGCGTCACCCAAGCCAGTGTCCAGGGCTTCGATATCTCGAATTATCAGGGCGATGTCAACTTCGCCGGTGCATACTCATCGGGTGCCCGTTTTGTCATGATCAAGGTCAGTGCCCGAATGATGTGATGTCTTGACATGATTGAATTCCGACTCAGGACTAACTCAAATTTCCCAGGCGACCGAAGGCACCACGTATATTGATAAGGGCTTCTCAAGCCATTACACCGGTGCCACTAATGCTGGGCTCATTCGCGGTGGCTACCACTTTGCCCACCCCGACTCCAGCTCGGGCGCCACTCAGGCCAATTTCTTTTTGGCTCACGGTGGTGGGTGGTCCAACGATGGCATTACTTTGCCGGGAATGCTGGACATCGAATACAATCCCTCCGGTGCGACCTGCTACGGGTTGAGCGCATCTTCGATGGTCGCTTGGATCAAAGACTTTGGCGAGACTTATAGGAGCAAGACGGGTCGATACCCGATGATCTACACCACTGCCGATTGGTGGAATACTTGCACTGGAGGCAGCACTGCCTTTAGCCAGGACTACCCTCTCGTTCTGGCTCGCTACTCTAGCTCTGTGGGTACGATCCCTGGTGGCTGGCCCTACCAGAGCTTCTGGCAGAACTCGGACTCCTACACTTACGGTGGCGACTCGGACATCTGGAATGGAAGTGAAGATAACCTGAAGGCCTTTGCCAAAGGTTGAATGTCTTGAATAAGACATATATGAATTCTCATGGATGAATGATGTGTGCGAATTGAGGTTTGGCAAGGAGGCTGGGTGTGGAGAACAAGGCCTTGTTGTGTTTTTCCTATGTGCCACTTATTGAATTCATATTGGGGTGTTAGATGCAAGAACTTCCGTCCTGGCAACTACTCGAGTGATTTATTTGCGTCATCTTTTTGGTAATTCCTGTCAAGGTATGGCATGAGATAAAGACTTACTTTCTCATGCAGTACAAATGTCAAGCATGTGCCTCGACGTATAGGTAGATCACGGACGCTGTCTTCTCTCTAGGAGGATCGTAGTCGTCAACTTGACACATAAAATCTCATCATTTTCACTGGGCGTAGTACGTCTACGGGTAATTGGACAGTTTATTTTGTCTCCATGAATGCAGCCAAGGCAGCCAAGGAATTGTTCCTGGGCTCTTGTCCATCCTTCAACGGTCCCACTTGCATTCATCCAGGCCAATTCCTTGAATAATCTCTCACAAGCCGGAAGGGGGTTTCAACTCATTGTCAGTCAGTTTTTCCAGTAAAAATAATGCATAGGATATCTCCAAATACTATACATTACGAAAGTGGGAGACGTGGGAGGCAGTAGTGACCAGCCATCACTTTTTGTACCACATATTGAATCTCGGGCGCCAAGTCGGGCATTTGAAAGACCCATTGCCCTGCCCGATTATACGCATCCGTTTCTCGGGCCGCTCCATACGCTTCCTCCGACTGTTTCTTCTGATTCTTGGCTTTAGTAATATATCTCACCCATAATGGTTCGAGAATTTCTTGGAAATGGCTGTCCTGGCCTTGGGATTTCCTGAATGGGGCTTACATCTTCCTTTCAGAACCTAAAACCTTACCATTCTTAAGTGGACGAATCTTATAATCTCTTAATAACTGAACATCCTATGCACAGGTAGACCTGGGACAATCTAGTGTTTTCTCCTTGACTCGCAGGATGTTCTGTTCCGCCTCCTCAGATTGACCCTGCGACTTGAACTGCAAGGTATATGAGTGGACTTCCGGTGCATTTTTCAGCAGGCAGCAAAGATGAAAAGAAAGACTTGGCCCGAGTCGGAGCCAAGACTAATAATAATAGTTGATACTAGGCAGACGGAGCAGGATTTTCCCCCGCCGTGGGGCAATGTTGAGCAGTGACTACACTCAATCGAATCATGACCCACTTCCTGCAAGGGCAATAAACAAAAAACCATCACGCAGGCTACTTTGGCTGGTCTAAACGGACCTTCTCCGAGTGACACGTGCTAAATGTAGAGAGATTTATCATTTGAAGTCTTTCGCTGAGAAACACATGAAATTGTCTGCCGCGGTGGGTCAAATCGCATTGTAAACTTGTCGCTATCGATATCCCATACCTAAAACACCCGAATAACGCGGGGTAGAACTACCAGTTTGAAACCATGCGGTGGGACACATGACCTCTAAAAACCTTGGAAAGGAGAACCATGAAGTCAATCGTGGAATATCCATGCATGGAAAGCTCTCGAGACTATTGAGAATCCGGGAACGCAAATCGGGTGGGCGATTTAATTTTGCTCTACAACCACTTTTCACCACTATCTCAGGACAGAGATTTCCGTTTTAGGAAATTAGGCCGAAGGCATAGTCAAGTATTCTCACCTGGGATATGCATCCCCGCAGTTTCAAGATTATTCGAACGTAGCTCAGGAGTAAGCACCGATGATACTATGCACTTATATCGTCATACGGGCAGGGGATGCCTCGTATGTCGCATCGAAGATAGCGTCTGCTGGGTAAGTTGGCGCCTTTCTCTTGCAATCCCCGAGTACCGAATCGTTATTGATGCGATATAGCACTCTACCGTACTGGGCTCGAGCGATATCAGCCCTACATAACCGGGTGCAGATCAACTATGCGTGCTTTTCTGACAAGCAAGTCAATGACTGTTCCCCGAGCTTGAGACATTGAAGCGGAGCAAAGAAATAACGGCAGCCTCATAACTCCGAGTAAATCCCGACCTTCCCCGTATTTGGCCAACTGCATATGCAATAATAGACTTTTAGGGATCGCGGGGAAGTGGGGTTCGTGACATTCGGCTGTGCAGAACTTCGATTCCACTAGTGTGGCGTGTTGTCGGAAACACAATTGGCTCCAGTACTTTCCTCAGAAATTCGCGCTGACTGAAGGCCTCGGTGTGAATAGCAACCTATATGCAAATATCATGTGAAGTAGCAGACTCTCCTTATTCCTCGACTCGACTATAAAATAGGTTACGGTACTCAATGAGAAGAGTAGTGTTTCTGAACAAGTCCTTCGAGGCAGACTGAAAACTTCTACAAATATCTTATCTTCAAAGGCAACGATGTTCTTCAAGCTCCAGTCTCTCGCACTGATCTTTCTCGGCTTCAATGCCTATGCTTCTCCGCTGGCAGAGCCTAATGAGGTTCATATCTCGGAACGAGGTGCAGGGTTGAATAGCTTTTTGAATCTTCTTCTTAGCTATCTACCAGCTATAGATACATCCGTTACCGATGCAACCGGGATAATCACCGATTTTGACAACCTTCTCGGAGCTTTAACGGGCGCTCAAGAGACATACAATGAGTTGGGAAGATCTTGCACTGAATGGACTGTTATATTTGCTCGTGGCACAGCAGAACCAGGCAATGTATGTCAGCCAGAGGATCTTTTGCGTCTTCATACTGACAACTAATTTTTTAGGTCGGCGTTTTGGTCGGGCCTCCATTGTTCGATGCCTTGGATGACAAATTCGGATCTTCTGCAATTACCATCCAAGGTGTGAATGACTATTCAGCCTCAGTTCAAGGTTACTTGGCAGGAGGAGACTCAAATGGAAGCGCGGAGATGTAGGTCCCAGAAGAAAGGCGCATTTGGATAGTTCAATGTTACGGCAACTGACTCCAAACACACAACACAGGGCACGCCAAATCAGGGCCGCAAAGTCCCAATGCCCTCACACAAAGCTGATCGCATCGGGCTACTCCCAGGGTTGTCAGATTGTTCATAAAGCAATTGCACAGCTTGATTCCGCTACAGCCAGCTGGATTTCCAGTGTTCTTCTCTTTGGAGATCCGCGTATGATAAGTCCACATCCTGCTCCTGTTTAGATTACACGCTAATTGGTACCAGTGAAAGGACAAGCCCTGAACAGTGTTCCTTCATCCAGAGTTTTCACTGCATGCCACGCTCTTGATGATATTTGTAAAAACGGCATTCTTATTGGTCCCTCCCATTTGACCTATGCCGTGGATGTTGTTAATGCTGTCAACTTTGCTGCGGCTCATTAGTTAAGGTGAACCGAGCACGTCTATAATCCAACTTTATAGTAGTGTTGAAGATCCCAGAAAGAGAGAGAGAGAGAGACAGACAAATTCAACTCCTATTTGACAACACCGAGATCTGTCCACGCAGGCAGATAATTCCGATGCACTTCCTTTCGAATTAAGCTTGAGAGTATGATAGAAAAAGAAAGTAAACCTTCTCTCAGTACAATGAAAACTCCTCGATCCACAAGAGTTTCCTTCCACATGCTAGAAATGAACGGATTCTTTTAGTATGAAGATGTGTCCTCTTAAGATATCTCACTTTCATGGATACGGCAGTCAGGGAAAATCTAGAACCTGTCATTGAAAGAGGCCCGCAATTTCTAATGAACCTGATGGGTCCACTCTCCGGTAGCGTGAAGTCTCTAGCTCTTTTCCAAGACCAGTAATGGCTTGCCGTCTACCCCTTTGGATAGTAACTGAGAGTTCAGAGTATGTACTCGTTTAATGAAAGATTATCAAACGTCTCACTAGCTGAGCCGATTATGCTATTGTCTGAGAGAGCTTGTAGTTTGCTTTCGGCCTTGAGATCCAAAGTCACGTTATTTTCCTTTCTCAAAATTAGCAAAGGATCACGGAGCAAAAGCTCGAAATCTTTTGACATCGCAAGATCATGTATGTATATGCTGCCGACGACTCTGAGCCTGCTCAATACATTTAGCGCCACTCAACTGGCTCAAATGTCTCGCTTCGGGCTGTGGTCAGATGACGCTTTAATGAGTCATTTCCCATCAATTTAGAGACTCTTGGGAGCACGACTAGCGTCGAAGAAAAAAAAAATCAGATTCGTCACACTGTTCAAATATCTGTGAGCATTCGTATTATAATGTCTTTATAGGATAGCTCAAGGAATTAAATCCTCGTGGAATAGGTGATTCTTAATATGAAGACACGGAGGTAAGTAGATATTCCATTTTAAAAAGCAACAATATCTCCGTACCTGGGCATAATTTCAGGACTGGAGATAAGCATGTCAGAATGGACCAATTGATTGTGGGAGCGACTCGTAAGACTCGAGAGAGGCTGACAGCCAAGGAATTAGCCGAGCACGGGCCCGACTGGTTGTCTCGAACACGACCAATCACTGGGAGCATCAGGATCAAAGACTATCCTAAAGAAGTTTACGGCAGGGACCAATCCGAGACTATTTCCGGAGACCGGCCATGTTCGATCATTCGTTCACTTATTGTAGCCTACGCTTTGTTCATTTCCAAGGGACTGGAGAACCAGTGCAAGTACATAATCGAGTACCTACCCTCGTGGACCCCATTTCTGTCTTCCAATTGCCAAAGCTTCGATTTCAACTCCTAGTCATTCGTTTTTCTTTTGTTTTTCGATTATTTGCTTTGCATTGTGACCAATCGCTCCTTGAAGGTTTCATTGCTCCAAAATTCGGTTATTAGCGAAAGGAGTCAATTATAGAATTACGAGAGTCACGATGATTCGTTCTGTGATCCCCCTTATCCTTTCACTCGGTTCACTGGTCGCCGCCATCCAAATCACCAGTCCTGCGGCCAACTCGACCTACGCAGCCGGGTCCACCATCACCGTCAAGTGGACCAGCGTCGATACCGATCCCGCCAACCTCAGTCTTTATCTTTGGAACTTTGTGTCTTGGCCTCCATCTTATGTTCCCCTCGCTACGGATGTCGCTACCTCCGATCTTTCTTACTCTGTCCAAATTCCCTGCGACACCAACCCCGAATGGGGCTACCAAATCAGCGGCATCAATGGCACAAATGTCTACATCATCTACGCCCAGGGTGACAAGTTCACTGTCTCTGGCCCTGTCAACGGCAGCGCCTGTGTCGATCCTGCTCCGTTGCCGACAACTTCCACCTGCCCTAACGCTGCGGTGTCTACCGTTTATGTCACGGTGAGCCCTACTGGCCCCAGCTCCCGTCATCTCCATCATTCCCATCATTCCTCCCATGTCCATCCTTCTCCTTCATCCAGCACCACCAGCACCTCTACCTCCGAATATGTGAAGCCCGGAAATGTGCCTAAGACTATTGGTTGGTGCTCAGACTATTCCCACCCTGTGACGTTGGACCATGTTCCTACCCCGACTCTGCCAGTGTCCAGCAATGGAAATGGATCCGATATTTCGCCGGTGGTTACTGCGGTGCCGGACCAGGTGACCAGTGCTCGCGTTAAAACTATCACGACTACTGTGAGTGTAGTGGTTTGCCCGAAGGACAATGCGCTTTGAGTCATTAGTGGAAGTTCCTCGAGTGAAGAAACCCGGAACGGATTTTTTCACCTAGATCTACGTTCTTTCTGTATCAAAACTTTTGAGTCCCTCGCATAGGGAAATAGATTCATATCATAATAATAGCTAGGTTCTAGTATTACAAACAGACCTCAACCCTCTTAAAATTATTTTTGTACAATCACACGCCGATATCGTAACACTTAATATTTCAATGAGTGTCATGCGTGAGAAGTGGGAAATTTGGGGTTGTCAGGTGAGATGGAAGGGTGACAAAAGTGTGCTTTCAAGATAGATACACGTGGGTTGTATCTCTACTTGCTGACAATTGATGCAAACCTCGCAGCCTATAATGAATCTGCAGCATTACCTGGGCCGGATAGCGACTTTTGCTAACTTATGTACAGATGGAACCGACTACTGTAAGAATACATTCTGCGTTTTTATATCAAGGTACTGATGTTGTATTGAGAAATTGCTACTATCGAGATCACCATAATTGACTTGACGCCTAATTTGGTGTTAGAGTACTAATGGACACCAATTTGTCTATATTTGACTGTTAAGTAATAGGCATCTAACGAGCGACATGAAGAGTAAAACAAGAAATCTCAAATCAAAGAAATATGTTTCCATGGAACGCATACGAGAGGCCATATTTGAAGAAGGCCTTTGCCCTCTCACAAATGGTTATTACCATGAACTGAAACTCACAACAAGATGCTCGGCAATATCGCGCAATACCGAAAGGCCGACCATTACCACCTTGTGCTTGAAATCAGCGATCAATTCCAGTGAGAAGGGGTTGAGAAGAAACGAACATCACTGGGATTCAATTGGACTCGTAGGCCTTGTCAAACCACTCAGCAGCAGTGTCCTCCTCGGGAGAACGCTTCTCGGAATAGGCTCTATCAAACCACTCGGCTGCCGATTCAGTCCCCGAGCTAACAGGAACTGCAACCGCAAAAGATGCAGGAAGAACAAGGAGTAGAGCAGACGAAAATCTCATTTTGATAATGTGAGACTGAAAAGGTGGAATGTGGGATAAATATAAACTGGCTAGACAGTGAACACTATTTGGCGATAAAAGAGGAGAAAAAAGCCGAAATGGTCGCTACCTCGACTTATATAAGAGTTTCTCAATCTCAAGAAGAACTATGTCCAGGGGGGTATGAAGAGCAATAGGACTTGCCCCTCATCGGGGTACAAAGATCCGCTGCCCCAATAACATTATGCCGACCCCAAGTCCTCATAGCTATTTCAATTGTATTATTCGCAGGGGCGTGTTTGCTGTTTGGTGCATCACTCACTATTCTTGCACCTGGTAACCGGAAATACGCAAAGCAGTTGTTATCTTACTATGGGTCTCAAGACAATTTGCTTAGATATTCCGATGTCCATAAAATATATACTAATACTAGCATTTTAGCTCTATTGATAGAGGCTGTAGAATACTACGAGATCGACTGGGCGAACAACTTCCATCAAGAATCTATTTACCGGGATCACCAACTCCAGAGCTAGAACTCGTATAGGATCGTCTTTAGAGACGTAAGTATTGAAGTTCACCTCAAGCCTGAGATAATCTGCTGAAGATACTTAGAACACGATATCAACGTTCCGCTAAACAAACTATCCTTACTCAATCGGTCTGTAGATGCAAACTGGAAGCAGACACCCGCACAATATAGCGGAGGCGCCGAAGCTAATGTGGAAGTGTTTCATTAGTTGCACTGTCTGGTATTTGGACTATAACCTGTTCGATGTAAGTGGCTAATAGAAACGGATTGGTCGTGTTAGAATATGATTCGGCAGTATACGTACCTTGCTCTACACCTACTATATTGGTTCGTTTGGTTAGTGGGTATTTGGGTCAACGCTGGTATTTGTATCTCTATTCGTGTTCTGCATTTCTTCCCGCGTAAGTATCTCCCTGGCTCTATCTATAGAAAGGGTTGCTAAATACTCCTTACAGAGGTTATGTTGAGCTAGTGATGTCGCTCAACCCCCTATAAGAACTATATATATCTCGGATCCTACGTCGCTATATCGTCTATCGCTGTCATTACAAATTGATAGGCAGGGTATTAGGGTCGCTGGATGACATTATCAGGAAGTACCGAGTGCATGCGGCGTGTTTAGGCCACTGTCCACGGGGTATTACTCCGTCCCATGGCACATCAGGTCTCTGCGCGATGCTCTAGCCAACACCTAGCATGTATGATCGAGGGGCGAGTTCCGGGTTAGCCAATACCCTTCAGCGAAATTGACCGACCTTTAATCCCGCTTATAAGCCGCAGGAGGTTACTGCGGCTATTGCATCAAGTGTACGGAGGAGTAGTCATATGAGATAGTCAATTGGGGCCGTCCTAAAAGACCATCAGGGAATCTGGGGTCATGGGGTCCTTGGCAAGATAAGAGCCCTTGTGTTTGCTATGGAATGGTATTGTCAGGACGTATTTTTGACGGTGGCGTTACATGTAATAGATTACACAGTTGTACAGGGACACAATCTGGCGGGGCTCTTTCGGTGTTTCCAGGGACCGACGCCCTGCCGGAGGAGGGGCAGTCATCCTTGATCCTCCCTCTTAGCTCTCTCCTTGTGGCCTTTGAATAATGCCTGAAAGTAGTGGCATCGTGTGGCATAATCCTGTGAAGTTCTATGCGCTGCCCTCTCACTCATTTCCTGATCTTTCCCAAGGTTTCACGCCTTCTTCATGCGTCATCTTTCTGTGACTTTCCGTCGGGTCAAAAATGAAGACGTCAAGACCAGAGCTGCCTTCTTTCTATGTCAATCCATCGCAGCTAACCCATATGGCGGTGGATTTGATCAAAACGGTCCGAACAGGGACAAAGCAACTACTCGACAAGCTCTCACCACGAGATGCCACATTTGAAAATGTCATCTTGCCAATGGCCAAGATCGATAACGACATCAAGGGCAAAGTGCAATTTCTAGCATTCTTTCAGGCGTTTCGCCCTCATTGGAGCTACTCCAAGCATCCTCGGCCGCTGTGAGCATGGTGGACACGGCATATTTAGAGATTTTCAGGACGAAAACTTGTTTGCATTAGTAGATGCGGTACATAAGAACTGTGATGCCAGCCAAATGGAAATCGAAGACCGAAAGTTTCTCACAAGCTTTATTCAACCTGTATCGATAATGGTCTTGGGCTAAAGGGGAAGAGAAAGAAACGGTCTTATGAGATTTCTAAGCGACTCATTGAACTTCGAGTTGCCTTCACGGAAAATCTCAGCTTGGGCCCTGGGTTTACGTGGAAGGAAGAAGAGGATTTAGAGGGACTCGGTGCCGAAATAATTCAAGCACTTCCCTTGCGTTCCTCAAATGGCCAGAGGGGCGTACCGCTGAAAAAGACCTATGATGCGGTCCTCCCCAGCTACGTTCGATCTGAGACCCGGAAAGAGGCTTTTCTTCAAAGCCAAAGGATATTTGCTGAAAATGTCACGGTCTTTGAAGAGATTATCATTCTTCGAGATGAAAGGGCTCGGTTGCTTGGTTTCGAGTCATATGCACATCAACAGGCCCGGTCTAAATTGCTGAAATCTCCACAGGAGCTCAAGACCATGCTAGACGAAGTTTCTCTTCATTTGCTCCCTATTGCACAGACAGAGCTGGAGGCATTGCAGCGCACTAAAGATCCATCGGGGAGGCTCTTCTATCTTTGGGATTTTGACTATCATCACAACAAGATGTTGCGCGACAATTACCAGGTCGATCATGATCTGATTGCGGAGTATTTCCCTGCCAAAGTGACAATTCAGAACATGCTCAGTATCTTTGAAACAATCCTCGGTTTAAAGGTTGAAAGTTTGAAGTGCATTCGAGGTGACTACATCTGGCACCCAGAGGTCAAGATCTTCAGTGTACATGACAGAGATACATCTACCTTTCTTGGCTTTCTCTATTTAGATATAAATCCTCGTGATGGGAAATTCAACCATGCGGCCAATCTTAACATATTCCCTGTATGTGGGGACCCACCCGCTTTCAATAGTCCTACTCGGTTCCTGTGGGTATAGATCAGCCTTTGGTCTGTACAGCTTTGGTGCGGAACGTGGTACACCACCTATCTGACGAGCCAGCTCTTCTAAAGCATCACGAGGTTATCACACTCTTTCATGAGCTAGGCCACGGTGAGTGACGTGTCCATATCCCCTCTGACGTCCGCTCACAATCCACGTATTAGCTTTTCATGATCTCTTAGGAAGGTCCAAGTACGTGACCTTTCATGGGCACAGAACAGTTGCAGATTTTAGTGAAACCCCAACCCAGTTGCTTGAATATTGATGTTGGGTGCCGGAATTTCTTCAGCGACTCAGTTGCCACTATAGCTATGTCTCTCCGGATGCTGATGATGATCATGAGTGTGATACCTTTGTGAACCATTCGACTCGCCCACCCAAGGAGATTCCTCGAAGCCTTTTAGACAGACTCGTCGAAGCTAGATCGATAAACAAGGGGATTTTGACAATGAGACAGGTCGCGTTCAGCCTTTTCACTTGCAAATTCACTGTCCAGCTTCCCATGGTGCCGTCAAGTCTATGGACATCGGTGCAACCTATAACTCCCTTTTGAAAAGAACAACACTCCTGCAGGGTCCAGATAATGATGCTCAATGGGGGCATGGTTGTGCGACCACACCTCATTATATCTGGGGCCAAGAAGCGAACTACTATTCCTACTTGTAGGAAGTTCCTCCATATTTGGGTGTGATACCTCTGTTATCTTTTGATTTTTTCTAACTTTCTTTTGAATCTAGCACCCGTATATTGGCCGCTAACATGTGGTGGTCGAATTTTCACTCTGATCCAATGAGTGAAAAAGCTGGTCTCAAATATCGGAAGATGATACTCGAGCATAGGGACAGTCACGATGAGCAGACAGCCCTTAGGGGATTTCTGGGCGGGGAACCATCCGTCAAAGTATACTTAAGATATCTCTAGTCAGACAAATCAATGGTGAGTTTGATTCAGGGGAAAACCTGGCAAGCAAAGGTCCAAATTTGCGATTCGTCTTAGAAAGCAGTTATCCGTTTCTCCTGTTGGCGCCTCAAGGCACGGCAGCTGAAACAGAAATGCAGTGATTTCTATCGATTCCTTTCAGGCTACGTCGCATTCAGAGGAGGCCTTGTTTAAAGGTAGGTTTGCAGACGGGGAGAGTGATAAATGACCATCATTCCCCTCCTGAATTGGTCTGCTCGGCATCTCCGCCCGTCTCAGGTCCGACGAGTTTGTACAGTTTGTTAGTGGACAGGGGGGAAGCTGTGCCGTGGAGTAGCTATTTGCTGCCGTAGATCACGGCTATAACCTCGGCGCATCCCTTACCACTTCTTTGCCCTCTGCCCGATCAGAAAATACTATTTTGATTGAAAATGCTCGGTACTGGTTTTGTGTGAAGCAATACTCGATTTAGAAAGCAGCAAGATCATGGCTACTAATGCATAGCCCCAATATTGATGAAACTCTGCTCTCATGTCAGAGGACGAGGTATCGCATTCACGGACTTAGTAATGAATCAGAATCAACGATGAGACGCCTTAGGACTGTTGTTTTCGAATAGGATTTCTTAGGACTGGAATAACATGCTATTCTACTGTCGCTGGTCGAGTGGTCATCGAACTTTACCAGACCCCGTCCAGGCTTCAGCCGGCACTACATTAGCCCCACAGTATGGCGAATACGAACCCTGGTGGCCAATCCCAATAGCCATGCCCGCCATGTGCTCGTATTATGACAATCAAGGTCACATGCGTGAAGAAACGGTGCATCATCCGAATTTCTGTTTATAGAGTATGTAGGACAGAAATTTACTTAAGTTGATCGGCTTCCTATCATCTCCGAAGTATCGCGTGCCCACGAGCCGTTCTTTTAACGAGTATAACTATGCAATTCGCTCCCGAGAAGACTTTCTTGCGAAATGGAGTCCATCTCGATTCGAATTCCAACAAGAAGTTCTACACCAGTGGCGATCAGGTTACTGGAGTCGTCCATTATGATCCTCCTTGGGGCACAAAATCTGTAACGGATGTTAATATCAACTTGTACGGCGACGCCGATGCGGACTGGTTCACAGACTGCGATAACAGCGAGTCGAGGACTGGAATACTTGAACTCAACATCATTCTTTACCGTGGGGCTGCGATGGAAAAGAAGAACTTTCCTTTTGAATTCAAGTTTCCATCACACACAACGCCAACAACACCACATCATCCGTGGAATCCCAACGACCAATTTGAACACGAATATGGCCATCCTTTACCACGCACGTGGGATTGCCATTGTTCTCGAATCCGCTACATTCTCAATGCTTATTTGACTCTTTCAACAGGGAAGATTGTCCGTTTTTCAAAAAGGTTGAAGTACCAACCGTCACTGGACACTAGAGTTGAACACATTGTGTGGCGTCAACACCGGTATATGCTCTCTGGTTTCTTTCATCCTGGCTGTTTGATGCCTGACAACGCAACTGAATCGTATCCTTTGGACTCGAGAATAGTGAAATTCAGGTTTCCTACAACTCTAGTGGCGGGGGAGCCTTTGCATGGATCAATCCATGTTCAACTTCCAACCCATGTACAATCTCTCAAGCTTTGGTATTTAGTTATCGAGGCGAGATTTACGAGCGGATATAGAACACTCGGCCGACAAAACGAGATAACGACAAGGCAGTGTTACGGCAGAGTTCGACTTCTTTCCTTACATACCATCACCCTGTCGAATGATCACCTGCTTCATCTCCAAGCAATATGTAAGAAGCCGGTCCCACCGTTTTACACCTTACGAACATTTAACATTTGTGTATCCGGTCAACTACACGTCCGCGGATTGGTTAGCGACCCGGCTGGAAATATATATCGATTGCGTATCTCCGATTTGCCCATCCAAATAGTGGGTCCGAGCTAAATGGGAGTGACCACCAGAGTGTCACTCTGCAAGTCTTCGGCGTTCGTATCAGGCGTACTCTCCTATAATGGGAGGCATTTGAAAATTTCCAAGCTACCTTCAGTAGCGACTATGTATCTATTAGCCTTTCGAGTCAACAGGAACCCCGGGACCGCGAAAAAGTTAAACCACCTTCGTGTCCTGGAGGCGGATTAAATTTTGATCGTACCCACCTCCGAATTCATATTTTTCATATTGGTATATGTCGTTTTGAGAGAGTTCGTTGAAATGAGTGCTGTTAACTGGGCAGAATGACCTAGTCGGTTATTGTACATACCGAGACCCGGAATCTCCTACGAGGGTAATCATAACTCCTCAGAAAATGAACCAACTAGATTTTTTTAACGTTTAATTTCTGAACGGAAGTTTGAAAACACTCAGTGGTAAAACACTCAGTGGCAAAACACTCAGTGGCAAAACACTCAGTGGCAAAACACTCAGTGATTGACTTACTTGGTACGCACTTCTGGCACGATTCTGCAAGATACTCAACAGGGCCCGAACCCGGCGTAAGGCTTTGCATAGCAACGGTACGGTTGCGAGATACTCTTGGAATTCCCAGTTGGAAGCAGGCAAGTATAACCCGTGGATCTTCTAACTCACAGTGACCAGTCGGCACCGCGTAACATAGGGATAATGCTCAATTTATTAGCCTAACGCAGCATTATTAACTGATATAGTATATTAATCCTAAAGGCTCTATAACTAATTTTGGATTGGTCTAGAAGTATTCCTAGAGCAACCGGAGCGATCCTGGAGTGATTCTGCAGTTTCTAGTATACTCCTGAAGCAGTTCCGGAGCTCTTCCAACGTGAGTCGCCACTAGCTACAGGATTACTTGATGCCGTATTGACCAGTACACTGTAATATCGTTAGTTCTGGCCCTAATGGTTAAGACCTTTACCGAAGCTTATAAATTGGGCTAGTCACACTCAGTTAGAAACCTGCCGTAACGAAATTGTGTCTGCTATTCTATTTCTTCCTTCAAGAAACGAGGATGGCGCTTCCCTTCACTGTCGTATGACCGACAGACTCAACGGTGTGGGGATTGAGCCCCACTTCCCGGAACAGTCTTTGTTCACCATCCTCTCTTTTCACCACCCTCAACCTAAGAGCTCACTAATCTTCAGATCTAAAGAAAACTATGAACTGCTTCAAAGTACACATATCAATACTGGTGACTGTTTTTACATTTAGTTGTCCTCAGAGCGTCGGTGCTCGTCTTGAAGAGATTATGGAGTGTAAAAGCCATGGGCTATTTTGATTCTCAAGTGATAAAGCGATGTGACTAACTAATACATTGTGTGACTAACTAATACATTGAAATGTTGACAATCTTACTTACCGGCTCTCAGAGGAACGGATGCAGAAGTTCCCTCCATTTATTTTTGAATTGGCCGAGTATAGTCACAAGTTTCAAAAAAGCTATCCAATCAATTTCCCGTAACCTGTAATCATAGTGGACGGAAGGAGTGCCCTTACCTCCCAAATTGTCTATCCCTCGAAGATTGTCTCTCACAAAGGGATCGCAAAGTCACCACATCTACTTTCCGTTGGCCTTACGACGCTTGCTACCAGTTCTTATTTTAAATTCCTGGGCATAAGTCTTGAAGAACTCATTAGGTTCTTGAGGATGGGCACCAGTGATGTCGTGGAAGGCAGTTGTCGAAATGTAATTCGTTTTGCCCTCCCGAACCAGCGAGTAATACTCAAGTAAATACTGCAGCTCGGAGGAATCACTAGTCGATTGAGAGCGTAGAACCCTCTTGGCTTCTGCCCTACAAAAGATTCTTAGTAATGATAAAGCTGCGCTACTAGGCTGCATACTCACTCGGATATGTCTTCAAATTTCATCTCTTGCCCTAGCGCCTGACTCGCGGCCGCAGCGAGCTCATCGCCAGTTGCGAGCATTGGCCCTATTTCCGTAAGCAATGGTGCTCGGTATTTTTAGGGAAATAAATGGCCTGTACCTGTCAGGACAATCAGTTGACCGCGGTGTTTATCACTGAAGCCGTGCTTCCCCTTGCCAGTCAAAACGTGAGCGACAACTTGAGAGATATCCTAAATAGCATTAGGCCAAATATAATCCAGATTAACTCATGTGAGCTAACTTACTCCAAGGGCAATCGGTGCAAACTTATGATCCTTCCCAACTGGCAGTGGAAGGACCCCCTCGGCCTGTGCCTGTTGAGAATACAGAAGAAGATTTTCGGCATAGAATCCAGCTCTATGCGATCGAGTCAATTCCAGGAGTCCGTACTGATGAAGTAGGGGTACTCTTACCGAATGACAACTGGCGAATGGCCTGTAGTCGTCATCGAATCTCCCTTGCAAGATAGAACGAGAGTCTCTAGGTCAATAAACTCTCTCAGTCTGGGCTGACGATTCCGTTCAGCAAGGTCACAGCCCGCGGAGCTGATAAAGCAAACATTTGGTACATTTGCCTTCTTCGCAGCCTCGATCAGCTCCGTCGTCAAGTCAAGTTTGTTTTCGTGTGCCGGAGGGATAAGGCATAAGGTGTCTGCATCAGAGTCTTGCAGGGTTTTGGTCATGTCTTTCACTCGTCCGGGCTTGTGTGGAACGATCTTAGCCCCGAGCCCAGCGAGCTCTTTGGCAAACTCAGAATGAGGGTGCAGTGCTAAGCCTATGATTGAGCCAATTTCTTTCTTGAAGTCATTGTTTTTCAGTAGGAGCTCGGTAATAGCGAAACCGGTGTGGCCGTCTACTGCAGTAATACAGATATTGCGAGACATAGGTGAACCTCAGTATCAAGAAAGTAGAACAGAATTAGAAACTAATGACCAAAAGACAGTGCAACAGCACCGGCTCAGGCAGATTATTTAGCTCATCAGTGGACGCTATACGTCATCTAAAATCCTGTTTTGGGCTTGTTCTAGGCTGCTCTTTTTGAGAGTTCGCTTGTCTGGTCAACTTTGGCCCAGGTCTCTTGCCTTGGCATGGTTCTGCTCGAATTCGGGTGATGACAGTGGATGACATCAGGTCTTGTGTTTTGCAGTTCAAAACTCCTGCCTGCAAGCCAAGCATAGTCCGCTCGTATCGTTGGGAAATGACATCGCTTCGCATTCAACAGCTGCCAAGATTAAACATATGCCCTGCACATTACCATATGTTGTCGCGCCTGTAAAGATGACGAGAGCTTAATTATCGATTAGCTGTTGCCACTATACAGGCCGGTTGCCCGATCGGGTTAATGGCTAATATTCCTGGTCTTTATAATTTGTAGAAGGTCCAACTGAGTTGAGCCCCGACGTAAAATATTGAACGTCAATTAGCCCGTGAGGCTGGGCCCGCTTAAGAGGCTACTATACTTACCCCAACACCTGTTGACCAATGGATATACAGTTTTCTCATCCAGTTGTATTTTACGAAAGAATTGCGGCCCAGCAAGCATTGTTAGATTGTGAAGGATTCATAGACTGTCTTTCCTGCAGATTCCATTCCGTGCAGTTTTAGATAATAATTGAGCTACATAAGCCTATAATAACATTAACTGATACCGCCTGCTGCGTTAAGGGCCCAAAATCCGAGTCCACTCGGCCCAAGTGCAAACATCGGTCAATCTCATACTACCGCAGCTGTAGAAGCTCATCCAGAAAAGCTTCCGACCATTTCTCACTGTCAAGCGTTAGCTCTCTGCTCATCTCAACACAGAAAAATGTCTAACCTTGTATGGGTGGTGACAAAATCACGTAACTCTTCGTAGTTCTTCCGCCTCTCTTCTTGGCCCATAGTGACAGCTCTGTAAAGCGCCGCGGAGACACCTTCTGCGCTAGAAGGGTTACATAAGATACTCCCAGTGTTCAAGAAACTTGCAGCGCCGGTGAATTCAGAGAGTACCAGTACACCATGTCTTACTTTTTGGCACGCTACAAACTCTGAAGCCACGAGGTTCATGCCATCCCGGCGAGAAGTAAGAAGGCATACGTCGGAGATTGAGTATAAGGCTGTAAGATCTTCAAATGAAACGGAACGGTGGATATAGAGCAGCGGCGTGGAGTGAGGAGAGGCTGTCGAGCTTGTTAAATTATTCGCTTACAAATAACTTCCCTGAGTAACTCACCATGCTTTCCAATGATCTGACCCACGCGCTTGCTCACCTCACCCTCAAGGTCTTGATATTTTTTGACGTCTTCACGACTCGGGACGGCAATTTGAATCAAGATCACTTTGTCACTTAGCTCCGGATGCTCGTCTAGGAAAACTCGAAATCCCTCCATCTTTTCCGGTAATCCTTTCGTATAGTCCATACGGTCGACACCAATAATAACTGTTTTACCTTTATATAAAGACTCGAGTTCCTTGATCCTGGACTTTACTTTGTCATCGCTGATTGCAGTCGCGAATCTCTCGTAGTCGATTCCCACAACGTATTTACCAGTCTTAACGATGCGGTCATTAATCTGAATCTGGTCGTCTTTCAGTTGGACAGAATCACTATAATTATACAGTCAGTGACAGCTTTTTGTACTTCCTGGATTTCGCGGCTTACAGGAGAATATCACAGGCGGTGACAAAGTTTTTTCTGTACTCATCAGTGTGGAAACCGATGACATCGCTACCAAGGATACCTCGGAGCAAATCCTCCTGAACCGGGAGTCCTCGCCAGAAATCGTCCACGGGAAACGGAGTGTGAAGTGAAAACCCTATCAGACAGCGTTTCTTCTGTACATGCAAGCGGTCTCGCAGCATTTGTGGAAGGAGAAACAGGTGATAGTCATGTACCCAAATTAGATCACCATCTCTGGCTTCCTGAATGACTCTGTCCGCGAACAGTTCATTCACTCGCCTATACGCTTCCCATGCGTCTGGGTTCATCACTACCCCTGATTGATAGTGTAGAATAGGCCACAAAATAGCGTCTAGGTGTCATTCAATTAGCATTACTGCAATCTATGCAATAGAGGCCCACTTACTGGAAAATCCATTATAGTGATCCTTAGCCAGGCCATCGTCGAGGTATATAGCTGCGGCATTTTCCTTGGCTAATGCAGTGTCGACGATTTCCATGTCGCCTTCATTTACCGCCACTCCAGGCCACCCTAGCCACACATAATCGGCGGCTTTGAGACCTCTTAAGGCACTCACCAGTCCGCCACTCGATTGGGTGACTTCGAAAATGTCATTCTTCTGTTCGACAGAGAGCGGGAGTCGGTTAGATACAATGACGAGTCTCGGCTTGCTCGAAGAGTGATCGGATCCCATCTCAATCACAAAGTTGATTCTTTTGTCTTCTGGTCTAGTGATGTAGTATTAAACAATAGACCACAAAGGGGCAGCTAGTCTTAAAACACTTTTCAATTATAATATTTCTGGGGCTTGGCATGCGTCGTGTTTAAATGATCAAGAAGAATGCACGACTTATGGGACCGCACTGCCCTACAAAGGTCCAAACGAAGAGTTGCTGTCTAAAACTTGCTTCGTCATTGTTCGGTTTCTAAGATTTCATCTCTTTTCACGGCTATCAGAGAAATAATGGATTAGCCAGTTATAATTAGCCCCCACATTGATGCCAAAGTATGTCCGATGACAGAATTCCGACATCATTGGCTTGAGGATCAAGTGTTGCGGAACTTCTTAGACCAGGGGATCCACTAGAAGCCCGCAGCGCCTTGAAGTTAGGAGGCTAATATAGAGAAACACAGAAATAGACAGAAGACGGTATCAGTTCAACTTTGTGTATTTGGCAAATTTGTTAACGAATTTGCGCGGTAGCATAGTCATAGATGATGTATGCCCATTTGAGTTCTGTTGCGTAGCTTTCCAAATCAGTTGACCTTGAACCTCTTTAGTAGTTGATTACTAAAAGATAAATCTGGAATACGCTAATCCTGTTTAGAGTGACCGCTCCATTAGTTAAGCAGAACCAGTCTCTTGGGAGTTGTTACACACACAGCAGCTTTTACTAGCCGCACAGCAATTATGTAATATCCCGCATCACATAATCAATTTCGCCAAGAATCCTTACCATACATTACCGCAGCAACTGCATTACTTACCACTATAGCAACTACATTCTATCAACTACTACTATAAGAGCTTCTATTTCTTCACTTATTCTTCACTGATTCTTCATCTGATTCTTCATCTGATTCTTCATCTGATTCTTCATCTGATTCTTCATTCAATCATGAACCCACCAGCTGAGCAAGTCTTTGAGAGTAAAGAGAAGCTCCTTGCTTCTATCCAACAGCATGCTCTTGCTCATGGATATGCGATAACTACTGTCTCATCAAGTAGAGATAGAAATATCACTCTTGGATGTGATAGAGGCGGTTACTATCACGATTAGGTCAATGCTCCAGATGGGGCGAAGCGCCGGAAAACTAGTACAAAACGAATCGGCTGCCCTTTTCGTCTCTATGCGAAGAAGCTTATAAGCGATCAGTGGGAAATCCAGGTTAGAAATCCTATTCATAACCATAAGGCTGATGATAATATGATTGGTCACCCTATAGCACGACGTCAGCAGTTTACCGAAGATCAAAACCAAACTATTCAGGATCTTACTGATATCGGATCAAAGCCACAGCATATACTAAGTATAATGCGAAAAGATCCTAAAATCTTGATTAAGCCAAGAGATATCTATAATATTCGAATAGCATCAAGGCGAAAGAAACTTGGTAATTCTACACCGCTTGAATTTCTAAGGGAAACCCTTCAAAATAATAATTGGAGATATGCATTTAAGCAGGATAATGAAGGCTATATCCTTTTCTTTATGTTTGCTTACCCTGAATCAATAAAATATGCTAATCAATATAATAGGGTCTTTCTATTAGATTGCACTTATAAGACGAATCGATATAAGATGCCGCTTTTATATATTATCGGCCTTACACCATCGAATTTATCCTATAGTATTGCTTTCTGCTTTATGCAAAATGAGCAGGAAGAAAGCTATAAGTGGACTCTACAGACCTTCTTTTTATGGCTTAATCCTTTACCCTTTCCCCCTGTTCTTTGCACTGATAGAGATCTTGCTTTATTAGGTGCAATTAAATCGATCTATCCAAAAAGCCCACATTTACTATGCATCTGGTATATTAATAAGAATGTGCTTGCAAAGACGAAGCTATATTTCTCCTCGAATGAGGAATTTGAAGCTTTTATACAATCGTGGAAAAGCCTTATTAATTCATCTACTACTATTGAATATCAAGATCAACTAGCTAAGTTTGAGACTAGATTTAGTCTTACTCCTGCTGCTCTTCGATACGTGAAACAAACTTGGCTAACCTATAAAGAAATGTTTATTAGGGCTTGGATAGGCCAATATCTTCATCTTGGTAATTGGGCAACCTCACGAGTAGAAGGCTCTTATGCTATTTTGAAAAAGCATATAGGGTTATCAACAGGTGATATCCTCTTTGTTTTTGAACGAATTAATATCGCATTAGAAGCTTAGCACTATACCCTTTCGTCTGATCTTGCAGAAAATCGGATTAAAACGCTAAACTTTTGCTTACACTTTCTCTATTCGAATATTATAAAGAGAACATCACAATACTCGCTTCGCCAGATCTATAAGCAAGCTTCTATAGCTAAGAGAGCTACTCCTGAAGCCCCTTTATCTAATTGTACTAATATATTCTCTAGGACAATGGGCCTTCCATGTGCCCACCGAATTGCTAGCTTATTATCAACACAGCAGCCAATTCCACTAAGCGATATCCATCAATTTTGGAGGCTTGGCCTTGGTAATGAGCTATCGGAGTATCTGCCAATACTTAATCCTCTATTACCACTGCCGCCGCTAAGGAAATCAACCCAAGATACATCATATCAAATCAACAAAACAGACGAAAGGGTTATCAAAAAGAAAGGGCCGTCAAAGTGCTCAAATTGTGGAGAAATTGGCCATACGATCCGTTCCTGCAGGGTATAATAGGCTGTGTAAATAATATGAGATGAAGAATCAGTGAAGAATAAGTGAAGAAATAGAAGCTCTTATAGTAGTAGTTGATAGAATGTAGTTGCTATAGTGGTAAGTAATGCAGTTGCTGCGGTAATGTATGGTAAGGATTCTTGGCGAAATTGATTATGTGATGCGGGATATTACATAATTGCTGTGCGGCTAGTAAAAGCTGCTGTGTGTGTAACAACTCCCGCCACTTGCGCTCGAATTCCGAATTCACTGACTTCTAACCCCTGCAACTACCTTACTAAAACATCGGATGGCTTATATACGTTGGAATAAGTGTTTACGTACAATCGGCGAAACTTTGAAGTTTCTAAAACAACAGGAGCCTAACTGTAATGGCACCCTGCAACTAACTGTAATCTCCCCCCTCCCGGAAACCCTAACCCATATTAAAAAATTAACCCTAAACTGTAATGAGCCTCATTAGGGTCAGTAACTTACTAGGAAGGTTAAAAGGAATGGAATACGCCGTATAAAAAGCTAAAATGAATAAACTAAAACCGGAAAAGTGAGGCTTAACAAAACAAATGGCGTCGACCTGGTCCGATTTACCCCCGTTGGATAGGCAGTATTTATAACGTTGGGTACATGGCAGAATGTCACAGGAAAAGACTAATAAAAATCCGAAATAAAATGGGGCATGCGAGAGTGTTACGGAACTCGTAGCTTTTTCCATCTGATGTGATAGTTGTTATCTTTTCATCGTATTGTGTAGCGGGCTATAGGATATTGATCCCTATGGCTCGCTCGATTAGCGCATGCGCATCGCTTATACACATGCTGTGTTGACAGATACTTATGTGCGCTGCTCGGTCGCTTCAAGGCTTGTTGATGTCCAAGTCTTCTTCCGTAAACTTCATGTCATCAACCTCGCCAAAGTTCGCATCCCGCTCTTCAAGTGGAATAGAGTCTTCACCCTTGATGCTGGAAGGACGAGCATCAAGGGCAACAGCCTCGCTGTCTTCAACCTCGATGCCATTAGCTTCCTTAGGATTCGTCTGGAGACGGCTGTTTTCTTCTGCTTCGAATAAACGCATCTCCATCAATGTGGACCGTTTTGAACTCTTAGGGTGGTGGAACGACCGTTGCCCATTGTCTTTTACCGCAACCCAGGCGTACTTGGAAATATCGACATCCATTTTGCCAAACAGGTTATCTGTAGGGTCTCTGTATACACTCGTGTCAGGAGGGTCTTGTTGCAGTGCCTTGCAGAACTTCCCTATATCTCCCGTGAAAGTAAATCTGAACCACTGTCTATCAGCAACACCAGCTTCTCTTAAAGCGTTCTTGAATCTGGCGCCCTGAACTATTTATGTGTTAGATCCTATGGGCCATTTAAACGAGATATAGTCACGACCTACCACGCTGCTGACGTGTGGTAGTTGGGAATAATGTTGCACCACTCCCCCCTTGGGCTATGCTCTCTATGGGAAACTCCTCTGCGCTGTTAGTTTCCCTGAAGGCTCCGGGTGCGGAATCTATCTGCGCCGTACTAAACTTGGTAAGATTTTGCTTCTTGAAAGGTCCAGAGGCTGCACCCGAATTCGTGTAATGGGTCTTTCTCAGATCCGGTGTATCTATTTTTCGCCTATCGGTCTCTTAGTCAGAAAAGTAGAACCCTTGATTACAGAATCAGATATACACTGACTATGTTCTCTCTTGGCCTTCCAGACAGAGCATAGCATAGCAATCCTCCTTAGCGGTATCTTTCCACCTAGCAACGTCTAAGGTTATTTCCTTTGCGTTACTTTTCGCTGAGCTATCGCTGTTACCAGCGCGTGTAACCAGCTCTCCTTGTATTGGTTGCTTGAGGGGTGCCGTAAAAGCGACAGAAAAGAATAACGACAGCAGAAAAAAGCCAAGTCTATAAAAGAGACCGTTTAGCTGTATGATGACTTTAGGATTGCTTTTCGAATGTCTTCAGTATACAATTGTCGATATGAATTTGATAATGCTTTGTTATTTCTTTTCATCTTCGAGTCTTCTTAACTATCATTTAAATAGTACCTCCCTGTCTATGCTCGGGCTTAGACAACTTCTACCCGAAATAAAAATCGAATATCATGGTCTATTTCTGTTTCTTGGGGGCTATATTGCACAATCACAGAAGGTTTTATTTTGATAACCCTTGAAACTTAGCATACATAGTGAGCTTGGGCTACCAGCAAATATGAGTTTACTAGGGCTGCCGCAGGTTCTGGGGCCACTTCGAGCTTTGACCCAATGAGATGGCTCCTGGTGGAGGGGGGCGGGCGGAATGGAGATATCCAGAAAATCCTTTGGGGCTAGAAAGACCCTGGTATGTTAACGAGGCATTGACCCCCGGTATCGAGCGTTGAGAAATCGCGAGGGATTTGAAATTCCCAGAGGATGAGTCCCTGGGCATAGAGATGAGCCTGGTTTGTTTTATGGGGCGGATTTGGGCTATTCAGACTTGTGTTGGTGGTGGCTGGCGCTAGGTACAGGATGTTGACGCGTAAGTTGGGGTATTGGACGAGATGACGTCATTGCGGTTGACCTTAACTAAACCCAGGCTCTTATCACCAGAGATTTCGTCTTTCCACAACAATCTGAGAAGTACACCTAGAGACACACATCAGATTACTTACTATGACATCCACATTGCTGTTCTGTATTGCTGAGGAGGCAAAGCCTGTAAGTCAATTGTTCATCTATTAGGGGTATTGTTGGGCATTTAACAAAGTTAATGCTTCACGTTATTCGCAAAACAATACTGATTTTTCATAATCAGTTTATCCCTCGGGCTATGCGTGAAATCAGTCCAGAGGATAGCTGCCCCCCTATCTACTATCTTGTTGAATCGAAAGTCTGCCCAGATAGAAGCACGGGGTTTAAATCTCAGTTGCGAGATGGCGAGCCTTTCGGGTCGGAATTCATCGGTGCCTCTAAAGAGGAATGCCAGAGTTGGGCAAAATCGAATTGGAATGACGTTAATTTCATTTCGAAGAATATCATAGCAATCGCAGATGAACGAAGCGCTCGAGACGGGACTCTGCTCCTGAGCTACTACTGTTCAACAAGTGAAAATGCCCAGTTGGAATTTAAGGGATGGGGACCCCTGCCACCGAAGAGCGACACCTGGTATGATTTTAGAATTGAGCCTGTTGGATCGGATGACCTCCATACCGATCTTTTTTTCGCCCCAATCGAGACTGCCTATCCGACCTATTTCGGGCATCCGGAGAAATTTACGAACAAGACAGGTGTGTTTGATGTGTTCAAAGCAAACAAGTATGTGGCTGGTATGGATAGTGAGCAGGAGGACGAACTATAATGCTTGTACATTTTTGTACTACAAAGAATAGCGAATCTGTCTTTTTCCACTTGAAGTTTGATGGTGGCCATTCTAGGTGATTGTATATGAAGAAAGTAGCTATATGGATTCCATCATGGTGATTTCTGCTGAATGAAAGAAACGTAAGCGAAGTAAACACTCGCTGTAATCTAGTAAGGAATTGGGTAGCGTAAGTCGAATTTTTTGGCCGCTCAATATTTTTTATACATTCATACCGTCTCAAATCATATATTGGGAAACTTCTTCCCTATACGTGCTCAATAACAGGGCTATGAATTTTGTTCTACGTACCAACTTATAAGATTGACACATGACTAGTCAGTTCAATACACTATCCGAGCACTTATTGTGATTAATTTGTACCTGGTCTTTACGAACGCAACGAAAGCAATCAGCAATCCCTTGTAGGCAAGTAATCACTAGGCTGTACAAAGTTGAAAGTAAGATTACACTTTCGATTTGACTCACTACTGCATTTTGATGCTAGGTAGTTTCTTCGACCGGGGCGATCAGCTATGATTATATCTCTGCTAAACTTGGAAATGATCGCCCTGGTAATGTAAATCTAGATATTCCGTGGTGTTGGTGGCGCCGCCAGGGCTCATGGCAGGATTTCGATCTGCGAGGAGTTAGCCTCCTAGGTAATTCCACTCGCCAAAAAGTGGTTCTCCCGTTGCAGCACATAGAGGGGCGGCCCCGGGGGCAACCCCAACCTTTACATTAGGATAAAACTTGAACGGGTGCAATCCTATTTGCCAACAACTGGAACATCTCGTTAAAGCACCCAGAGGGGCGGCCCCGACCTCAGCATTGGGATTAAACGTCAATAGGTGCATAAATATTGTAACTATGTCCCGTGACATCATAGTTCTATCAAGGGTCTAAGAATAACCTACCACCCGCCGCATTTACATTGAAATGTTGATCAATCAACAAGGGTCGTGGATTCTGCCCACAGCTTCTTTCGTGCTAGGATCTAGTTCCTACTTGGGGCCAAGTAACAAAAATAGCATCTCGCCAGTATCCGTTTGAGACTTTTGTTTTCTGCTTCGAAATGTCGTGAAATGAATAAAGCGCATTGGTCAGTTGGCGTCGGGGTCCAGATTGTGCCGGGGGTCAGATAGAAATTGAACAGGATTTTGTTCGGCCGCGCCCCGTATATCATTATCAAGGCAGTGGTATGAAGTATAAAAGCACTCAAATTACCCCAGGTATTGCTCTACCCACAATTATATGATCAATCACTACTTCCATTCAATACTCAATCCTCCGAGAAGCTAAAACGAAACAACGTCCCCACGCTAACATGCATTTCAATACTATTACCTTGATACTTGTGTCTGCTTTGGCCACTGGCCTACTAGCGTCTCCTTTTCAAGATGAGAGCGCGGTCACCGGTTGGGTCAGCACAGTCTAGCAAAGGGGCCAACCTACGGCCGGGGGCAGTTTCGTAGCCAGCACAGTCTAGCAGCGGGGGCACCCTGCCACCGGGGGCAGTTTAGTAAAGGGTGCACCCTGCCACCGGGGGCAGTCTAATAGAGGGGGCATCCTCCCAGCGGGGGTAGTCTAGTAGACAGCACAGTCTAGCAGCGGGGGCACCCTGCCACCGGGGGCAGTTTAGTAAAGGGTGCACCCTGCCACCGGGGGCAGTCTAATAGAGGGGGCATCCTCCCAGCGGGGACAGTTTCGTAGCCAGCACAGTCTAGCAGCGGGGGCACCCTACCACCAGGGGCAGTCTAGTAGCCAGCACAGTCTAGCAAAGGGGCCAACCTACGGCCGGTGGCAGTCTCGTATATAGCGTAGTCTAGCAGCGGGGGCACCCTGCCACCGGGAGCAGTTTTGAAGCGGGGGCACCCTCGCACCGGGGGCAGCCTAATAGTAGGGGCACCTTACTAGAGTGCTAGCCTACTATCTGCTAAGCGGGGGCCCTAAAGGTATTCCGGCCCACCCCCGGGGGGGGGGGGGTGTGTTAATACGCCCCCCCCCCTAAGTACCCGAAATCTTGATATTTTTTGATCGGGTCTTTTGGATCTTTGTATCCGATAGCGAGTTCTATCTAAATGTCATATAATATTCCAGGATTATTATGTGGAAGGGTCTTACCCTAAGGGGGGCCTTTTCGCTGGGATTTTTTTGATGGGGGATGCCAAGGCCAGGGCCGGCGGGTAGGCTATACCCGATTCGGCCCGCCAAATTGCTGGGGTTGCTAAGCCTAGATTCGTGGCCTTAGGAATCAGGCCGTAGTGGTCTCTATTCGCTAGTTGCTAGCCAGCCTACTTCGCGATATCTAGCATCTAGCTATGTGACTCTATCCGGGGGTGAAATCCTAGGTAGGTTGAGGGCCCTTCTACTAGGTGAGGTTATCCCCGTCACGTGACTGCCCCCGGGCCTTGGTGAAAATGAGGTTGAATAGGCCTAGAAATTTTTTGACTGCTGACTAATCAAGATTATTATAGCTAGATAGCCCTCGCTTCGGGCACTATATTAATAGTATTAGTAGCCTAGTAGGCCTAGTAGTTCCGGAGTAATCGAAGGATTTAGTATTTTATCCTTACTAGAGGGGGCACCCTGTCACTAAGGGTAGTGTAGCAGCGGGGGCACCCTATCCTATGGGGGTTGGTGGAATGGGGTCTATTCGATTTGTCGGATTTACGGGGTCAGCATAAATCCTTCGGCGTGCACAAGCAAGCGAGTGTGCACGGTTGGTCAAATCAGTATACGATTGGCGAAGAATCGTATAGGTCAGGTCGTCGTACGATTCGGCTTAGAATCGGAAGTTAACTTATGATAGAAGAATGCTCCAACTTCATCACAATCATTAAA